CATGGGCGCTATACAGATGCGTGCATGTTGTTCTTTCCTCAAAACTCTGTTCCTCAATCCCTCCCTCCTTCTGGGGTGGCAGCTGGAATATCATCTTCGTCTCCTCAGAGACTGGATCCCTTGGCAACTGATTTTGGAACTCTGGAGGATTTATGTGACTTGAGTATTGGGTATGGTGCAATGTCTGTCTTGGAAGAAGTGATTTCCTCAAGAATGACATATGCACAACAAGATGAGATTGTACAGCAGCATACTGCTGCTGCTGTTGCTCGTATTTGCACGTATTGTGAAACTCACCGGCATTTCAATTACCTATATCGTTTTCAGGTATGTTGAAGGTTAAGGTCTTGATTCTGAGTTCAATACTTCTGTAGATATTCAATCCCAGTGCCATAATGTCTGTTATATGTGTGAACTAAATTTGACTCTTTCCTGATGTATGGGGTTTCCGAATTTGTTTTTAAGCCTTTACCTCGAAGTTCAGTACTTCCATGGATATAATTTGGATGTAGATATTACAGCTGGGTTCCACGATGTATGTTATGTGTGAAGTAATGTTTGGCTGTTTCTTGTTTGGGTTTCTCAAGTTGTGTCCGGCGAAGTTTTCATAGCTTTGACAACACATTTGGAGTATCTGTGTATATTCTCTTTTAGTCACGGTTTGTAGTTTACTTTGTGATGTTGCATTCCACTACCTACATGAAGCTAACCTTGAAATACTTGAGCAAAGCTAGTTGATACCAGCATCAGGGTACTTTGGAGAAGCTATCCTTGAAAGGTTTGAAGTTAATGTACATTTGTCAACCAGTCTTGAATGTTTTCCAAGTGTACCCTGTGTCTGGTGTATCGTGATTTTGTGTGCTTATTGGTAAGCTGCATGGTACATAATATTTACATAGATTTCTCTTACCCAAAAAAGCTTCTCAAACTGAGATTTCGCCAGCTATAATAATCGGTCTTTGCCTGATTTGATGTATTTCCTGCTTCCATGGGAGGTCATTTATGATTTCATGTATTCCCTCTCTCAGGTTATCAAGAAGGATCACATTGCTGCTGGCCTTTGCTGTATTCAGTTGTTCATGAATTCTTCTTCACAAGAAGAAGCTGTTAAGCACTTGGAAAATGCTAAGGTAATTGTTGTATGTATGTGTCATGTGTGTTTTGTTCAAATGCTGAACTAAAACGTAAAATTTGTCATATTGGAGCTTGGCAATACCATTATGATCATATTGCTAGCACGGGGATAGAGAAAATCTGAACATGAACCCTTTTAGATCCCTAGACGAGGGTTTTTGGAAAAATATATTAATTAGTGTGCATCTACAGGATATGGTTATATCATGCCATATCAACCGTGAGGGTTATATCATGCCATATCAACCGTGAGAAACATTATCACTCATTGATGTCAAATGTTAATTCTGTCATCGAAGGGTAAAATGGTTCTAGGTTTACTGAATTGCATTGAAGTTGGTGTTGTGAAGTTATTGAAAACTGGAAATACTTCCTAATCATGGAACTCGGGCCAGAATTGGAGCTGCTGACTAAATGTCCCCTTCATGAGGTGCATGAGCTAGGAGGCGCAGCCATGTTATTGCTTATTTTTATTTGGGTATATTAAGTTGCTACTCTTCTGCTTGCTTCGGGTGTAGGTGCATTTTGATGAAGGATTGTCAGCCCGTTACAAAGGTGGAGAGTCAACTAAGCTTGTGTCAAAGGGTGTTAGAGGAAAGAGTGCTTCAGAGAAGCTCACTGAAGAAGGGCTGGTCAAGCTATCTGCTCGGGTATCTATACAGGTACACATTATCAAAACTGCTGAGTGACTTTACTGCTCTAATTTTAGAATTATAGCCTACTTCCATGAAGGGAAAGAGATATTGGGACTTAATGACCTTTGACCTTATAATACATGATAATCAATTCTCCCTTTCCATTGCTTAGGTCGTCTCACTGTCTTCATTAATGTGGGGGCAACAAATACCTTGTTTTTTAATATAGCAATACCAGCAAGGATTGATTCTTCTTAGATATGAGCCTGAGCTCGAAGTGAAACTAGATACCATGAACGATGATTATACTACTTAAGTGCCTTATTATTATTTTTCTTAGAAGCTAGCTGTTTGTTCTTTTGTTTGAGCTTTCTTTATAGCATTCGTGAAATAAAAGAGGGTAAGTAATGGCGGAGAGCCACTGGCGGTAGTGTCAGATCCAGTTGTTAGTTTCTGTATGGTGTGCAACTAACCCTTTCCATGGTGCCACAGTATCCTACATGTAAGATTGTATTGTTCGTCTCCAGGGGATCCATATTTTCTCCAATTTTGATATATTTTTTTCTTCTTTTTTGCAGGTGGAAGTTGTAAAGTCCTCTAATGAGTCTGATGGTCCACAGTGGAAACGTTCACTCTTTGGAAATCCCAATGATCCAGAAACTTTCAGGTCTGTGCTGGCTTTGATTACTGTGGATCTTACTTTTAGCAATGAGGCTGCCCAGTGTATTATAGACACAAGCACACAAATCATCACATAAATCAGTATGAGCTAGATTTGTGTGGCCGACAACACAAATGCTGATGATCATATATTCAAATGGCCGACAACTTCAAATGAATCGGGTAGGACGTAAACGATTAAAATGGCAAGCTTAGGTATTTCCATGCTTGAGATACACAATTATTTGCCTCTAAAAATCTACAAAGAACATATCCTATGTGGTAATTGGTGAAGGGGAGTTGAGGCCAAAGCATAACATTGTAGAAATGCAAATTTTGGTGGCTGTACATTGTAAGGAAAACAAAATAATAGAAGGAAAGAATGGGACAACCAAGATCAGCTGTCTAATTTCTCGGAATTTCCATTTGGCCGAAAATTACACGCTATCCGAGGACCATATGAATATTTTGCCTATGCTATTCTGTTTTAGTTATGAGTGCACTAATGGGATGTACTAATCTGCTATGGATGTTGGTCGACAGGCGAAGGTGTGAGATTGCAGAGACTCTTGTCGAGAGAAACTTTGATCTGGCTTTTCAAGTAATATATGAATTTAATTTACCAGGTATCTAATCTGTGACTCTCATTAATCAGCATTTCTATTTTTTTTTATATACGTATGGAGTCACGTTCTTGTTCTGTAAATATAAAGAAGTTTTGGTGCTCCTCTGTGCAGCTGTCGACATATATGCTGGCGTTGCTTCATCACTGGCAGAAAGGAAAAAAGGTGGCCAGTTGACGGAATTTTTCAGAAATATAAAAGGAACCATAGATGATGATGACTGGGATCAGGTAACTTGTTACACCTGTTAATGCAATTTTATTTTAAGTGAGAACATAATCCTAACTCCTAAGGTACCTAGTTATAATATCCGGCAATATAAACCAACAACACACCTTACTTTATGAAACGAAATGACAGGACTGTTTAATGTGGTAAGAGTACTTCCTTAAGCGTTCAAGTTGCTTTCTTGACTAGATTTTGACCCTCCAGGCCTCCACCATATCATGTTAGCTCATAAGTCTTCACTTGTATTTGAATTTCACTTGTTTATTGTTAGGAAACTTTCTTATATAGTTGGATTGCCCCTTTTGCAGGTGCTGGGTGCTGCAATTAACGTTTATGCAAATAAACACAAAGAACGTCCTGACCGTCTTATTGATATGTTAACCAGCAGTCACAGGTAATACCCTTTTGTAAAAGGTCATTTTGTCTCTCGTGCTGTCGTGCATCACAAAAGTACTGTACTTGGCCAGTGATTTGAGTTATTTCTGTGATTCTAGTTGCTGCTTTACTTACTTTCACTTTACTGCCTTTGAAACTTGAATGATTGTAACAATGAAGTGTTACTTTCTGGATCATAGCAAGGAACTCACATCCTTTTCACTGTCACAATCAGTGCTATTCTGTTCATGTCATATGTGCTTATCTAATATTCATGGATTTTTCATTAATTTGAAATCACAATTATGATTCTGTAGTCCTTTCTAGTTTCTACTTAACATAAAATATAGATACGAGGTAGTCCTGTTACAAGGTAGATACGAACCATGAAAATCTTGTCCTTTTAACTTTGGCATTGCAGGAAGGTGCTTGCCTGTGTTGTCTGTGGCCGTCTAAAAAGTGCTTTCCAGATTGCTTCTAGAAGCGGAAGCGTGGCTGATGTACAATATGTGGCTCATCAGGTAATTAATTATTGTATCTCAGTTGGGACTCACTAGTTGTGGATAGTTTTAGGCTTTTAGCCGATACCTATCATTCCTGTCTCTCAAAGCCTTGGGGCTCAAATCTTTGCTGCGTTTAAAGGACCAAAATATTTTCACAACTTGGCATTTGATTCCTCTATTTCGCAGGCGTTGCATGCAAATGCTCTACCTGTGCTTGACATGTGCAAACAATGGTTAGCACAGTACATGTAAATTTTGTTCTACAAGTTGGAAGAAGTGCAGTTCCAATTCCAAGGTAGTCTCTCGGGCGAAAGAGATGGTTGGGCACCCGGGGAACTCCCAGTGTAAGCAGTGATCGGCTGTGTTTTTGTAGAGGCCGAGACGGTGTCTAAGTAAGGCTCCTCCTGCTGCAAGAAAACTCTGAAAGAGGGTAAAATGCTTAGAATTTTGTGCTGGAGCGCTGCAATCTGAAAGATGGAACGATCGCATGTCCTGAGGCTGACTTAACCTGTCATTACGAGATCATAGATCATTTGTGAATAGGTAGCAAGTAAAAATGCTGCAACTGTTTTTATATGGTTTTGTTCTTTTTTGTGTATTTCTTCAGCCTGACTTCCATGGAAAATTTGGGACAAGCCGTAGTGTAAAAATGGCATGCAATGAAAGCCTCAACGGGGAAAGAGAGGGAATTAGTGGTTGATAGATCTTGTTGTACTTCGCGTCTGCTCCTAACCTGTTCGAATGTGCATATGCTGTCAAATGTATTTCACCGGAGTAGTATTTGTTGATAAACAAGACGTTTTGGATTTGATGCTTATGTTAAATGTTGTACAACTTCCATCAGTTTGAAGCATCTTTTATTACTCGATCAAATGATTACCTTCGGCCCGTTCTTCCCAGACCATACCTTGTGAGCAAAATAAGACAGCCAAGCATTGCCATCTTTCAACTGAATCATCAGTTTGAAAGGGCTTTTGTGCAATCTACCCGACTCTGAAGCATTCTGGGCCAAACAAAGGTTTACAAAAACCAAACCCGTTCCAGCATCCCCCAAGTCAGAAAGTTTTCAGAAGCATCACGACACATTTGAGAGACTGGAATTGACAAATTATTCATGCACACTTTAACTTTTCAGTGCTTGAGCCAGTAGTTTCGTAGTTGAGCCATGTGCAATAGTATCTCATCGCGACCCTGATTGGTGACGCTGCTTGTCATGATCCAAGGGGGTGTCGTTTGGAAGTAGCCACGAATCAGCTCCTGAAAATCATTAACGTTCTCTTCCGGATGCTTCCCTCCATTCTTCTTCTTCTTCCTCTTATCGCATTTCGTGAAAACTAATGTCATTGGAATCTGGAAACCACAACATGAAAATGGGATTAACAGATGAGATATGCAATCAAATCTGTTTCAATCAGCAAAAGCAAAACTGCACCCATTTACAGTCTACAAGTTGATTCAGCAACTACAAACAAAAAAGTCTTCTCCTTTTACCTGGTTCTGACCAAGCCAGCTTGCATACTCCAGATCGATCTTCTTTGCTGGGATACTTGCATCTATGAGAAGGAACACAGAGACCAGAGTTGAACGGTTTAGGAAGTAATCCTTGGTAAATTTGGCCCAATCTGTCCTACATTCCTGTGGTGCAGCAGCATACCTGCACAGAAGATCATACTGGTCGAATCAGTCATCCGACTAATTCATAGCATTGAGTCTAACACAGATAAGTACTAATTCCAACTTTCCCAAATGAAAACTGATCAATGCTTGAACCATTACCCATATCCAGGCAAATCCACCAAGAACCAGCTCTCATTGATCCTGAAGTGGTTTATGCATTGCGTCTTCCCTTCAAATTTAGAACGATTTCAATACCAATGAATGCAAATTTCCAACACAAGTTTCCCTATACAAAGGCACACAAGGCAGAATCCCATTATATACCAGGTTTCTTAGAAGTGAGGGCGAGCTTCTTCCTTTTCACCAGCGAATTGAGAAGCGAAGATTTCCCGACGTTAGACCTCCCGACGAGGGCGAACTCCGGGGATCCATCGGAGGGGCAATCCTCGGTCTTCACGCTGCTCTTCACGAACTCGGCCTGCGCCACCTGAGCATCTCTGGCGTACTTGCTCAGCACAATGTTCGACCCCTTGAGCACCCTCGTGGTCGGGTCGTCGAGCGACACTTCTGTCTCCGGCGGGATGAACAGCTTGTCGAGTGGAATCGGCGACTGGGTTTCCGCAGGCGGCGGCGGTTCGACAAACTGAGAGACCGGAATGGGCTCGGCGGTGGATAGGGCGGATTGGGGCCTGATTAGGGTAGGGAGTCGGTAGAGCTTGGAGCAAAGGGTTGCTTTAAAATGGCGGGAAAGAGACGGCGGCGGTTGTGCGCGGGTAAGGAGGAAGGTGGAGAAGTGGAGCTTATGGAATTGAGCTATAACCGCCATTGCTGCTTACGGTGGAGCAGTCGTTTGTTCGTCGGCGCCAGAACTAGATAGGGGACGGCAGCTGTACGAAAACGAATTAGGATTTTTAATTTTTTACATGTTTATTTATTTTTTTCAATATTTTATATTTTAATTCCTATAAATAATTTTAATGTTAAACTATGTTTTGGTTTTCCCTCGCTTACGTTTCTTCATTTCTTTCTTCTCAGTTCTCTGTCTTTTGCTTCTTCGATCAAATTAGGGCTCCTCCAACGCCATCCCCGTCTTATCGCCGGCGCGATTCTCTTCCATAACAGCTAGGATCCCGTCAACGCCGGCAAAGTTTGCCTTTTTTTTTCCCCGCTAATTCTATAGGGGACAAAAATTCGTCAATGGATTCCGCTGTTACTTCTTCCTCTTCGAGTTCGCCATCTCCTGTGGATTACATCGTCTTACTGATTCTCCGTCCAATTGCTGCCATCTCTTTCGTGTTCGTGTTCATAGCTCTAGGTCGGTGCCACCTCTATGCTCAAAATTCATCTTAGTAGGGATTCGTTTGATGATTCTGATGAATTTTGGCTTTTTTTTTTATGTTTTCAGGTTGGTTGTTAGCTTGGAAGCTGGTGCTGGTTCACGTCCCGCTGGTTCAAGAGATTTTCGGTCTTCGTAAGAAACCTGCTAAACTCAAACCCCAGACTCGACGATTGTCAAGATACTACAACAGCATCAACGCCCGTAATTCTTCTGTTGCTGGACCTGGGTATGTCTCGTATTTTCAGAATTGGATTCTTACCTTATGTGGTTGTTTGATCAAGTGATAGGATTTTCCCACTGCATTAAGTATGCTGTTCCTGTTTATGCTTTTTGTGTCCATCCCGCCGTCCCATGGGGCTTCTATAGTCAAGAAGTATGTGCTTTGGTGATTATTTGTTGTGCTCATATCGCTGAATTTCACAAGTATGGCTCTGTAATTGCAATGGCGAAAAGGACTTTTTTTCATTGGGCATTTTGGTTAGCTGTTAAGGTATTGCTTGGGGAGCTGTTGTGATGAGACTCTTACGGTTGGTTATTGGGTAAATGTCACATTTGGTCACTGGAATTACTAAATTGTGTTATGTTTAGTCACTAGAAAAAATTAATATCAATTTTGGTCACTCGAATTACTAAAACATGTCACATTTAGTCACTCTCCTATTAGTCTCTGTCCAACTCCGGTCACTCGAATTACTTTTTTTTTATGAATGTCACTCGAATTACTGAAACATGTCACATTTACTCACTCTCCGTTAATGGAGTTGGACGGAAACTAACGAGAGAGTGACTAAATGTGACATACTTCAGTAATACGAATGATCAAAATTGATATTAATTTTTTCAAGTGACTAAACATGACATGATTTAGTAATCTCAGTGACCAAATATGACATATACCCGTTGGTTATTTGATGGTCATCCCGAGTGATCCCTGCTGTGATGAGGCTCTTACAATTGCTCAAGCATTGAATGCTAATTGATCTCATTTATGGGGTTGATCTTGAATCACTCTTTTGAAAAGAGTGTGGCTTTCATACGGAAAAGAATGTTGTATGATGCACAGTATGCACTTCTTGCCAGACCTTTCTCTTATTGTTGTTATCTTCTGCTGCTTTTGATGGTTCTCTTGACATTAGTTGCTTCTTGTACAACTCTGAAAATTTAACATTTTCTTTGAGAACTCTACAAAATCAAAAAGGCAACTCATGTTTTGTAAAAATGAGCAATGTTGCAGTTTTTGATTTGGAGGTTTCTTCGCTGTCGTCATTGATTGCTGAAAGAAAATGATTCATTTGTTGATGCATCATGATATTGCCATTCAATTGGGAGTTGAGTCATTGAATTTCTTCAGTGAGGATTCTAGCAGTCTGATATCCTCCCGTTCTAGTGCAATGCCAACGCTTCAAACGAGCACATTTCATCTACTATTGTTAGTTAATTCCATTAACTCGAGTTGTTGGGAGAGGTTCAATCGTGAATCATATACCACATACTAACACACCTCCTCATAAGGGGATGTGTTAGTATGTGGTATATGATTCACGATTGAACCTCTCCCAACAACTCGAGTTATTGGGATCAACTGGTTCTTGACAGTCATCAAGCCTACTTATTCTCCCGTAGCTGTAACTTCCCATTATCAAGCATTAGGTTTATTGAAATTTCATCATTGTGGATGCTAGGATTGAAGAAGCTGATAGATGATGTCATTCCAGATGGAACAAAGCCAAACCCTCCCAGAGATCTGCCCATTTCCGGGTGAATGAACTTCTTGAGCATTCTCAGATCCTCGCCGAGATCGTAAGAAATTGACGGCCTGAAATGATGCTGAAGTAATATTTACTTTTACGGCTATTCGAGAGTAGGGAGTTGCTTGTGACTTGAAACCGAGCTCGTTTAGAGGCTCAGTTTCGTAAGTTGTATCAAATGTTCATAGATGAACTTTGAGATAATGTTTTCTTGATTTTTTATGGCCCTTTCACAGGCTTTATTTTGTACAGCACCGAAGAGGCTCTGTTTTGCTTCAATGACAAGGAAGCAGTAACGTAACGAAGTATAAAAGGTGCTTCACAGCAGCTATTCCATTAACAACAGACAGACTAATGTTGTATAAAGAAGTCTATTAATCGAAACAATTCTTACGGAGCTATCAGACTAATGTTGTATAAAGACGTCGATTATGCTTCCTGCTAAGTTAAAAACACTTTAATTGTCAACTATCTCTGTGATGGATTCGAAGCGCTTAAGTCATGTTAGGGGACAGTGCTGAGAGCTCTTTACAAAGTTCTTCCCCTCCTCGACCACATTGTAGTAGTGGCCAACGAGGATGCCATTTGACTATTTGATGCACGCTGCGTTGGAAGGGTGTTTTACGTTTTTTTCGAATTGATAAGTCTTGTTTTGTTGCGACTTCATTGGAGTAGTTGCAACGAAAGAGAATGCAATTTGGGGTACACAATGACAATGGTAGTATGTTGGAGGAGTGGTTTATGATTTTGGATCGATAAGTCTTGTCTTGTGTCGAATTGCATGGGTAATGTCTTTTTACTCTTCAATTCTATATAAATCTGAGAAATGAGTACTCCGTTCTTTTGATCCAATCTGAAACCGCACACAAAATTAAAATTGGGTTGAGATTTTTGTCAAAAAAAAAAAAAACAATGTTAAAGAGAATGTAACACAAGCATTTATATGGAACCAAAAATGCAAGCGAGAGAATGTTTAGGTACTGTTTTGGCATTTCCGGCAGATTAACCGGACCAGCTTGGCTCTGTTCCCGTCCGTCTTCACTACCTCAATAGATCTCCCATCTCAGGTCTTCCCGTGGAGCCAACATCTAACTGAATTCGACTACTGTGTTCCACATTCAATCCGCCCATGGCTCCTCCGGCGCAGTCCTCGCGATATCCGTCTCCATCCCAACCGTCCGGGTAAGTCTAGTTTCCTCGAAACAAACCAATCCTCTTCAAAAATGCGTTCCAACCTATTGACCATGGAACTCGTTTTCGCCTGCAGAAAAGGTGAAGTATCGGATTTGAGATTGCAGCTCCGGCAGCTCGCGGGGAGCCGAGCTCCCGGAGTGGACGATTCGAAGCGCGAGCTCTTCAAGAAAGTGATCTCTTACATGACGATCGGGATCGACGTCTCGTCCCTGTTCGGCGAGATGGTGATGTGCTCCGTGACGCCGGATATCGTGCTGAAGAAAATGTGTTACCTCTACGTTGGCAATTACGCCAAGGTCAACCCTGATCTCGCTCTTCTGACTATTAATTTCCTTCAACGAGATTGCAAAGACCAGGACCCGATTATCAGAGGGCTTGCCTTGAGGAGTTTGAGCTCGTTGCGAGTGGCGAATCTGGTGGAGTATCTGGTAGGGCCTTTGGGTTCCGGTTTGAAGGATAATAATGCTTATGTGAGGACGGTGGCTGTCATGGGAGCTGTTAAGCTGTATCATATATCTGCTTCAACTTGTATTGATGCTGATTTCCCTGCAACTTTGAAGCATTTGATGCTCAATGACTCTGATTCCCAGGTAATTGGCAGTCAGAATTGCGAGTGAACTTTATCGAACTTGGTTTTGGGTTTTGTGGTTTGAAGAGAGATGCTTTTTTGTCAGGTTGTTGTGAATTGTTTATTTGCATTGCAAGAGATTTGGAACTCAGAATCGAGCAAATCTGAGGAAGCAACGAGAGAGAAAGAAGGTTTAATCAGCAAGCCCTTCATATATTACCTTTTAAATAGGTATGTTCTTGAGCAATAGGTTATAAGGTATGGGTGAGTAATATTTGAATACAAATTTCAGTTGATATTATTGAAGTAGCTTGTTTTTTGCATGTTAAACCTGTGATAACCATGCTGGTATTGATAGCAAGTTTGTATGTGCCAATTGGGGCTATTGTTGTGTTTTAGAGTCATAAAACCTATGTCCTTTTAGACCCACTTTGACGTTGGACCAGTATTATCGATTCACAAAATGTCTTTTTGGTCTTTTGGTTTCTCTTTTTTCCTTCTGTGAGGCATCCACAATTCTCCAAGTTGCTGCTGAGTTTGGATTCGGGAAGAGGCTAATTGAGGAGTTGATGCTACTATGATACTTTTAAATTGCTGCACCTGATAGATCTTGGTGCAGAGAAAGGCATTGAATCATGTATGAATATAGTTATGTTTGATTTTCTGCTCTGCTGTATGCTGCTGCAGACTCAGGGAATTCAACGAATGGGGTCAGTGTCTTGTGCTTGAGTTGGTCGCCAAATATGTGCCTTCAGATACCAATGAGAATTTCGACATCATGAATCTTCTTGAAGATAGACTTCAGCATGCAAATGGTGCTGTTGTGCTGGCAACAATCAAAGTGTTTCTTCAGCTTACTTTGTCAATGGCTGATGTTCACCAGGAGGTATTCTCAAAGATACTATTAAGAATTTTAATAGTATCATTATAGGGGGAAAAAAAGAATTTTAATAGAGCCGATTGCTTTTATGAAGTTGTCTGGCTTTCCCTGTTGGATTGTACATATCGATCTAATCATTCTATGAAATTTCACCACTTTTGGGAAATGGGCGTGCCATGTTAAACTAAAGTTCTTAAGATTGGTTTCCTTGAAGCAACTACGTTAGCTTATCCCTATTAACCATAGCATTCAAGAATTTCTTGAGCCATTTTTGACATTTTATTAGCTCTCTATAACACTCTTAACACTGGGGGCAAAGAAGACACAATTTTTTTAATGTACTCATTGACATTGTATGTTGCAAATAAAATGGTTTAGTACGTACTGAACCCGCTGTTTCCCCGTTGTCTTAATTATATTCATTTGGTCTCATTTTTGGTAACTTAATGAAATTCGGATGAGATCATCATATGACTAATGTGCTTGATTGTTCAGGTGTATGAACGTATTAAAGCCCCTCTGCTTACCCTTGTGAGTTCTGGTAGTCCAGAGCAATCTTATGCGGTACTAAGCCACCTTCACCTCTTGGTGATGCGTGCTCCGTACATATTTGCTTCAGATTACAAACATTTCTACTGCCAGTACAATGAGCCTTCTTATGTCAAAAAATTGAAGCTTGAAATGTTGACTGCTGTTGCTAATGAAAGTAATACTTATGAAATTGGTAAGTAAACAGTTCCCACAAACTTGCATTACAAGGGCAACTCTTCCGAATGTGCTAAATTCTGGTGTTCCTTTGTCAACTGCAGTGACTGAATTATGTGAGTATGCTGCGAATGTTGATGTTCCTATTGCACGAGAATCGATTCGGGCTGTTGGAAAAATTGCTCTGCAGCAGTATGATGTGAATGCTATTGTCGACAGGCTTCTTCAGTTTTTGGAGATGGAAAAGGATTATGTAACTGCTGAAGCTTTGGTAATAAATCTATTATCTTATCACAATGAAAAGTTCATGTTAAGTTTTCACAAACTGGCCTTCTACTCTTATATCCCAAACTATATACTACGTGACAATGACAGCAACATAATTTAATTAATTAAATTATTTTCTGCAGGTTCTTGTCAAAGATCTGTTAAGAAAATACCCTCAGTGGAGCCACGACTGCATCGCAGTTGTTGGGAATATAAGCAGCAAAAATGTGCAAGAGCCCAAGGCAAAAGCTGCTCTAATATGGATGTTGGGTGAATATGCACAAGACATGGATGATGCTCCTTATATTTTAGAGAGCTTGGTGGAAAACTGGGAGGAGGATGCTCCTGAGGTTGTTATAGGAATTCTTTCGCTTAGTGCCATCTTCACATGATTTTGTGTCCTCTGTTAAATCTTTACAAATCGTAAATTACCACTGCATTTTGCAGGTTCGTTTACACCTTCTCACAGCCATAATGAAGTGCTTTTTCAGAAGGCCACCGGAGACTCAAAAGGCACTAGGAATTGCATTGGCTGCAGGCGTGGCTGATTTTCATCAGGTGATTGCTTCTTTCTTTCTTTTTTTTTTTTTTTTTTTTTTTTTTTTTTTGTGCTAGTGCTTCCATCAAACTTCGCTATTTTGCCAATTTATGATATGAGTAGCTCGGTTGTCGAAGTACCTTCACAGTTGGAATGTAACTGTTTGGTTTAAATTTTGATTGGCTTGCAGGATGTCCATGATAGAGCGTTGTTCTACTATAGACTACTGCAATATGATGTATCAAGTGCAGAGCGTGTAGTGAATCCTCCAAAGCAAGCTGTCTCAGTCTTTGCTGATACACAGAGCAATGAGATCAAAGATCGCATATTTGATGAATTCAACAGTCTATCTGTCGTGTACCAGAAGGTAATTGGTAGTATATGACTTCTATGCTTCCGAATTTAGAGAAGAGTTATCAATTGCTTACAATGGTTTTTGTGATAGTCGATTTGTGGGATTTGTAATTTCGTTGTTCAAGAGGGAACAATGGAGATGGTTGAAACAAAATATTGTACACAAATTGTGGAATACCTTCTCTGAATAAAATGAACGTAGGCATTGGAAAAGGCTGAGAGAGTAGAGACGAAACTGAGATATAGAAATAGAATAATGAGACCGTGAAGTTGAGAATGAGTTCACACTTGCGTTTCTCTTTGCCTTCTGTTTTTGGTTGGAAGTAATAAACATCTACATGTTCTTGCAGCCATCATACATGTTCACAGATAAGGACCACCGGGGACCATTCGAGTTCTCAGACGAGATCGGCAATCTAGCAGTTGGGGTAGAGTCTGAACACGAAGTGCCAGCTACCAGTGTCGATGCAAATGAAACCAGTGATCTGCTTCTGAGTACCACCGAGAAGGAAGAAACGAGAGCAATGGTCGCTAATGGCTCTGATTACACCGCTCCGTTATACGATTCTTCTACTCGAGCTCTGCCTTCACAAGGACAATCTGAGCTGGCAATTACAAACCTTTTAGGAACATCAGATCCAGGACCACAGGCTTCAATGGCAATTGATGATCTACTGATGGGCCTAGATCTTACAGCCCCTCCGGCACCTGCTTCTGCACCGCCTTCATTGAAGCTCAATGCCAGAGCTGCTCTAGATGCAGGAAGCTTCCAGAGAAAATGGCGGGAACTACCTGTAGCTATATATCAGGTATACATCTAACGTTATCTCTGTCTTTCCTTCTTCATACTTCCCCCCCACTATAGTTTTGTTCATTTGAATGAATTCAATGGAACATGATCTAACCTCAGTCCTTAAGCGTCTCAGACATTCCTGATATGGTTCCAAATTTTTTTGTGATTGCAGGAATGTGAGTTAAGTTCTCAAGGGGCTGCAGCACTGACATCAGCTCAAGCCCTCCTCCAGCACATGCAAGGCAATTCGATCCAGTGCATTGCGTCGGGGGGTCAGTCACCTAACTTCAAGTTTTTCTTCTTTGCACAGAAAGCAGAGGAGCCATCTGTGTTTCTCGTAGAGTGTAAAATCAATACCTCAACAGCCAAAGCACAACTGAATATCAAGGCTGAGGATCAAAGCACGTCACATGGATTTTCAGCTCTTTTCCAATCGGCTTTATCCCGGTTTGGAACGTCCTGAGATTTTGTCTTTTACAGGAATGAACAGGCAGAGGGATGAAAATTGTCTTCGTTTTGAGATTGTTAGATATGTAACTGTAGATGAGTGTATAATGAAACCTGCACATACTTCTCTTTGCTGTTTCCAGGGTTGTTTATGACTTATGAGGAATGGTTTATGAGATCTCGTGATTCATCACGAAGATTGCGCGAAAATTTTGTTGATTAGCTGATGAATTGCATGAAAATACATATTATTTATGTGAATACAAAGCTGATTTGCGTACAATACAAAGCTAATTTCGTTTTTTTCAGGATTGATTTTCTATTGCCACCCACGACCACATAAAACAAAGAGGAAATAGAAAATGAAGCCGAACCTGAACAATACGGGGAGTTACCTTCGAACGTTGCATATGGACGTCGAGGCAGGCTTTAGCTAGTTTTTCTTTCTGGTTTAGTCGTTGAGCCCAATGGGCCTCAAATCAAACGCGCTCTCGATTCCGATGACTCCGTCGTTGCGGCTGCCGCTGGGAGATCTGCCGAACTCGCTGTCTCAGATTTTCTCCTCGCGTGTCTCGCCTCTTCTTCTCCTCAGAAAGCCAAGCTTGTAAGCGAAATCCTATCCCGAATATTTTCCATTTTTGCTTTGTTCGGATTTCGAGAAAATGTAGGAAAATGGAATTATATCCACTGCCTGCGGTTACTCGATAGCTCAATTTTGTCAGATTCTCTCTCTCTTGGAAAGTCGACAATTACCGTTTACGTCCGTTTTTTTGTTCAGGTTTTGGAATGGAGATTGGACAGAATGCTTAACGACGGCGATAAAGAACACAGCAATTACTCTAACTTGATATCCCTTTGTGCTAAGATTTGAAATGTCCCGCTGGCTATGTCTGTGTTTATTTCTATGGAGGATCGTGGAATTCAGGCCACGGCTTCAGTTTTCAATCCCCTCATTCTTACCTGCTTGTTTTCAAAACGAGGTAATTACTGCCCTAAGCTTGTTCGAGGTCATGGAAAGCTCTGAAACGTTTAGGCTGGATTCTCAAACTTACGATACATTCATATTGGGGTTCTCCAACTTTAGAGACATCAGCAGAATGCTGGATTGGTATAAGGCCAAAAGGGAAGCCCCCAACTCTGCAATTAAAATGAAGTATTAATCTCTGATCTCTTGCTGCGTTAAGGTTAAAGATTTCAATAGGGGTGACTTGTTCTACAATGAAATGATGGCTCAAGGAATCGCCCCAAGCGAGAAGATATTGGATTCTGCGCTTGAGGGGCTGTGTAAGAGGAGGAATTGTGAGAGAGTTAAGGACTTTGTGAATTTTCTTCTGGAGCGGAGCGTAGGTTTGAGATTAGTGGCAGTTTGATTGAGAAGGTGGTGAAGTTCTACTGTGAACTTGAGAAACCAGAAGAAATGGAAATGCTACTTAATACTCTAGTCGAGTTCAATCAAGTTGGTGAAGCTTTGTTGCAGGTGCATTGTGGGATTCTAAGGCTGTATGCAAGTCTAGATCGATTGGATGATGTTGAATACTCGGTTGGGAGGATGATGAGTCAGGGGATGTCGTTTAGCAGTCCATGTGATGTCGAGAGGGTAATCTCTGCACACTTCAGGCACGAAGCTTATGACAGACTTGATTTGTTTCTGGAACATGTAAAAAGGTATTATGAAATCACGAGGTCGACCTATGATTTGTTGGTTACCGAGAAAGTCGATTTGGTTATAAATGACATGGGATCTTCTGGGATATTATCATCTTGAAATGGGAAGGTTGTTTTGGCAAGGTTGGACTTGATTCCATCACAGAGAATATGAAAAATCTCCGACCATTCTAGCGGCCACTCTAAATCGGCAGAGTTCCTGGAGAAGTGGTGGCTTGATCAAGATTACATTGCATGTTCACTGTCGTCAGCATTGAAGTTCAGATCAAATCTGGAAAGTCAAAAATAGCTATGAACTGGGGCAATGTCGATATGGTTATTCTCGTCCCAACTTAGCTTTATCACCAAGGACCGAAGGCCAGACACAATCTCCACGCTCCTTTTGGCAAGGATAGCTCAGCTTCAGGTTAGCACATTGTCAGTTGTTTGCATCTATATATCAGTAAATTCTGTTAATTTTTATCCTTTCCCATCTTAGTTCTCGCCTTAAATCCATCCGATGTCAGATTATAACATGTAGCTTCTTTTGGTTAGAGCTATTCGATCCTGTAGTTCCTCCAGGTTTGAAACTGAAGAGGAGAAAGGAGCTGGTACAGTAAAGTAGAACACTAGCTTGTGGTACTTGATTTGTTTTTATGGAAAGTAAAACGGAAATAGAATTCCTTGAGCGAAATGTAGGACTGTAAGCCTGACTCTCATTTCCTTATGAGGTCCAAGTACCCTGAACATAATGTGTTGGAATCCCATAGAAAATGAGGAAGAACAAAAACGGCTATTATTCCGTCTACAAGAAAGCCAAAATGAACCACCCACATAATGACAAGCCAAGCTATACGAAGGTATGGCTGGGGCCACTCACATGGGTAAGTGATAGAGTGTCACTATTTTTGTCTGACTATGTTTGTCTTGGAGCTTTATCTGCCCAAAAATGCCCAAATGATTATTAACCCAACTAAAACCAACTGCTACAAAAGAAGCTGGTTGGTTGGTCTTGGGGAGAGAGAAAGGGTGAAGAGAGTTCACGAGCAGCAATTGCAATCTAAAAATACTAAACTATGACGAGCTCTTTCAGCATCCCTCGAGACTTGTTTAACCATTTCTTTATCTTTGTACCAATTTACAGCTCAGAAATCCACAAGGGGAGCGGATTTGTGAGCGGTGGGTGGGTTTTCATCTGCATATTGCACTGCATGCGTCTGAAAGAAAGAGAAAAAATTGCACTAACAAAGTAACAATTGTGGAGGGTGGCAGAGAGATAGGGTTCAGTGGTACTAATAATGGCTTCATCTCCACTTGGGTCTCTGCCTCCGGTGAATTCCCCTACCTTGATCTCGCCGCCCCCTTTGGAGGCGGTGGTGGGTAGTTCCAGTCAGCCACCATTGTCACAGCTACCACCACCTTCCGTTTCTGCACCAGCACCACCAATTCCAGCTCCTTCCTCCGCGGCTGTGTCACCGCCGGCAACTACACCTGTCGCCCCACCGGCATTGCCTCTCCCAACTCCGGAATCTTCTCCGCCAGCACCTCCTACTGCGCCGCCGGTTAGCTCTGAAGCACCACCATTGCTAGCATCCCAACCATCAACGGCGCCGCTACCACAATCATTGCCAGCATCCCAACCATCACCGCCACCGCCGACACTGCCAGCATCCCAACCATCATCGTCGTCACCACCACCGACGAATCTTGCTACAACTCCCAGTCCACCAGTGATCATTATAACTCCAGTGACTTCCCCATTGCCTCCACAGCCTCTACTTCTCTCGCCTCCTCCACCTGTCATTCCTTCCCTTCCCCTGTCATCATCTCCACCTCCTCCTCCATCTCTGCTGCTGCCGCCATCGTCACCGGTCTCTCTCCCCCCACTTCAGACTCTTCCAAAACCTTTTTTCCCATCACCTTCAGTGACAGCGTCTCTGCCGCCTTTACCGAGCCCAGGCGACCAACATGCATTCACAGCAGTAGCTCCTCTTCCTTCTGTACCATGGCCATCCAGAGGATCTCCACCGGTTGCTCTGCCATTAGTGACTAGCGCGAATCTCACAGCGGCGGGCGCGAGACAGCAACAAGTACTACCAGCAGGGCTCATCGTTGGGTGTCTGGTGGGTGGAGTTGCCCTCTTTCTGGTTCTTGCCCTTTTGGGTGCTATCCTATACAGACGGAGCAAGAAAAGAAACGAAGAACCGAAACTGTCAGGCATCGGAGGAGCTGATTTATCTCCAGCGGCGCAACATTCACAGCAAAGCACCCCAACTGACGGCAGCCACGTCATCAATGTCGGGACTCAAGCAACTCCGCCGCTCACCGGCCCCGCTGCTGCTGCCGTTTCATGTTCTGCTAATGTATCTCTGGCGGAGAAGTACCCTACTAATGGTTTGACTTATGAAGACCTAGCAGTGGCTACTGATGGTTTCTCAGAGGAAAATCTCGTCGGAGAAGGCGGGTTTGGGTACGTTCATAAAGGGATTCTTTCCAACGGGAAAGAAGTCGCGGTGAAGCAGCTGAGAGAAGGAAGGAAGCAAGGGGAGAAGGAGTTTCAGGCAGAGGTTGAAATCATCAGCAGGATACATCACAAGCACCTTGTTTCCTTGCTTGGGTATTGTATTCATGGGGCCAAGAGGTTGCTTGTCTATGAGTTTGTTCCCAATGACACCCTCGAATTCCACCTTCATGGTAAGCTAGCTCATAATCCCCACCCTTACACTTTCACATGAAAAATAAAGACAAATATCGAGTTGATTTTCTTAATTTGCAGGAAATGGGCGACCGGTAATGGAGTGGGGGGTTAGATTGAGAATTGCTGTTGGGTCTGCGAAAGGACTTGCTTATCTCCATGACGATTGTTGGTCTCCTTCCCTTAAATGCATACTTGAATGTAACTTTTTTATATATATGAATACTCGACTATAACTTTCTGGAAGCTCACAACAAGAGATTTCTGCTTGCAGGTGATCCCAAGATCCTTCATCGTGATATCAAGGCGTCCAATATTCTCGTTGATCTCAACTTTGAGGCAAAGGTTTGGGAGTTGGGACATTAGCTGTCAAGAACTGTACTCTATCCAATTTTGTCGATGATAGGTCTTCATTGATGAGAAAATCTGCCTTGATAAATTTCAGGTATCTGACTTTGGATTGGCCAGAAGTTACAATGCTGATGCTTCTGTAACTCACATTTCCACTCAGGTGGTTGGAACTTTTGGGTAGGAGCTTCTTCTCGATTTGTCTTTGTTTTCAACAACAAACAGGGTCAGCCAGCCCTTGTTCGTCATCTTCAATGTTTCTCTGGTTTTTTCCCCAGCTACCTAGCTCCAGAATATGCATCCAGTGGCAAAGTAACAGAAAAATCAGATGTGTACTCCTACGGTGTCGTGCTTCTGGAGCTTATAACTGGACGTCCCCCTATCTGCTTCTCTGAATCCATTTCCAGAACAAGCTTGGTTGAATGGGTGAGTTCTCTTTGCTTCTATCTTAATTGGTCGAGTTGAGGAGAGGGGGAAAAAACATGCTCCTGAGGTTTTTTACTTGCTGTGGTGGTGGTTTTCAGGCTAGACCTCTACTCACCAAAGCTGTGGAAACCAGAAACTTCCAATCCCTAGTCGATCCACGGCTAGGAACGAACTACGACAACTCCGAGATGACTCGAATGGTTTCTTGTGCCGCTGCGTGCGTTCGACATTCAGCGTGGCTTCGTCCTCGGATGAGCCAGGTAGTTCATGCCCTGGAAGGAGATGCACGTGCTGTGATGAATCTCGACAAGGGAAACAAGGTTGGACGCAGCGCGTCTTATGGCTACAGTCCCTGGAAGGGCTCGAACTACTGTTCTGCGCAGTACAAGGAGGATATGAAGAGATTCAACATTGTGCTGACGAGTGATCACAGTGGGATGACAAGTGATACCACCTCAGAGAGAAGACTGTAGGAGACTTGTTTCGGTTTCCTGAGGAGAAAAGGATTTGATCATTTGCTTCCGACAAAGAGCAAGACTGTGATCCATCTTTTTTTTTTTTTGCTTGTTCGAGTTGGAAATATATCGTGTTTGATGATAATTTGGATATGATCCACTCGATTCAATCGTTCGTCGCATGACTCTCAGGGTGTTTTCCTAACTGGTGAGCAATGTGTAGTTAGGCACGAGTGACTGAGCGAGTCTTTTACTCTGCCTTGTCCTGTCTCTATTCGTTCTAATTCAATTCTCTTCTGTATTTTTTCTTTCATCTTGTATTTTGTTTTCCTTTCATCCTTCAGTTTTTATTATTCATGTAAACTTCGAATCGTTGTATTGTATTCATGTTAAAATGGGACTTGCGATTAACACATCACAACTATTGGTATTGAAGTGCTTGCTAGTGCTTTTTATCATTTTCAGAACCCATTCTTTCATGCAAAAAGACTAGAAGAATGTAACTATTAACTCGACTTGGTGGAGTCCAAGTCCGCGGTGATGTGGGCAAACCGAGTCTAGTTGGCGATGACATGTCGTCCAGGTGGAAGCCACGTCACTTGGTGATGATGGCGTTCGTGATGACATTAACGGTTGTAAAGGAAATGACTATAGTTGACAATAAAATCGGCTATATTTGTCACAACGCGAATAGTTATAGCTATGGAATTTTATTTTGCCTAATTTTGAAATACAAAATGTACCAATTTTATCATTGTGTCACACGGCTTATTGATACAACATATTGGTACGGTATTATAAACGTCAATTTTTATTATCTTGCGCGTAGAATAATTTTACAACCTACTTTATGAGCCAGACGTCTATGAACCGATTTCGATTGTTATGTAGATTTTTTCAAGTATTGATTTCTAATAAGATTCGCTCAAGAAATCATTGCTTGGAACTTTTGATGTGTATTCACACGTCCTTTTGAATCCGGGATATATCCAGTATTTCCACTTTTATATATACAAATGTGATTAGATTATAGACATACATGTATTTATCTTTTTCAATTAATAATAACAAATATCATTCTTTTAGTCGTCACTATAATAGTTTAGCTAGGTAATTTCGTCAATATATTACCATTTTCGACTTATTTGGATTGTGACTTATATAAGTCCGTTTCACATAACAAAAAATACTTCTATGATCCATGTGAATGAAAAAATAAACAAAAATGAAGGAAATCAGGTCAAAATGATTTCAGCCTGAAGTTTTTTTACCGATAATTACAGCCTCAATTTTACTAGCCCTCTCATTTTCACTGTTTTGTCCACAATTTCTCCGTTGAATTTTTTTTTTTACAGGATTTTCTGGTGCAAAACAAATTTATTCGGAATAATATAAATAAATATATATTCCCGCACATCCTTCAGTAATTGTAGCTACTTAAGCCCCGTCCTGTCCAAACTGCAAATTCCCGTTTTCTCTTCCCCTGCATTGCTACTTGCTACTTGCTACCTTCTCTCTGCTTCTCTCCAATGGCGCGATGAACCGACTGGTAAATTTAGAACTTCCTTCTCTCTTCCGCTTCGTTACTAGTTGCTTTCATTTCTCGAACTATCGAAGAACGCTCTCTGCTCAGCTTTGCTGCGCGCATTCGACTTCGTTTTGGCCTATTTCTTGCGTCGATTTGTCTTCGCTTGAGTCGCGTATCCATGGCGCGAACTTCCAGTTCTTCTTTCGTCTTCTCTTTGCGGTAGGAATGATTAGGTTTTTCTTTTCTTCAAGTTCTTGCGACGATCATCTTCACATTTGGTTCTCTGGTTGCGGACACTGTGTTCTTGCGACGATCAGTTGTCCTTTCCCGTTACGACGGGTTCTCTAGTTCTTTAGGGTTCCTAGATAGCTTTCTCTGCACAGTTTTGGCTTGATCTCTGCTTCGTTTCAGTTGGCAACTTGTGCGGCTGTGTTGATTTGTGGTTCCGCTTCCATATTTCTTGGAAACTTGTTTGGATAGAGAGCAAGTCTCCGCCTGTTACTTTCTGTTAATTTATGAGTTATCGTTCATGGAGCTTTCTCTGTTTTCTTTTGTTTAAGGGCTGAAGTCGAGAGGATGTGATGGCTTAGATTCAAGTGAGGACTCTGAAGTAAGAAGCACGGATTTAGGTAGTCTCAATATGGAAGCGTCTTGCAAGGAAAATGGTTTTTTAGGGAACTCAAACGGAAATCCAGCAGGAGGAGCAACTGCTATGAAGAAAGGATGGTCTCTTTTGTTGCCAATCAAGGTATCCATGGCTATCACTAACCTCGTGAACCTCTGCATGTACCATTTATTTCGTTATGCCTGATTGTTTGACCGTAAGGAACTTTGTATCGGTTCAGTCTAAGAGATTATTCTTGTTTCCCAGGTGAATAATCTAGATAATCAGAACGATTCATCTCCTATGTCAAGGTCTGCAGAGTCACCAAGTGCAGTCAGTTGCACAATTTGCATGAGCAAAAATAGCTGTAGAATTGTTAGAGCACGGACGAGTGAAATGAATGCTATGATGAACAGAGGAAAGCCAGAGAAAGTACAAACCATATTTGACAGTTTGGTTGAGGGAGGCCACAGACCATCTCTAGTAACATACACAATTCTCTTGAATTCCTTGACCCTGCAGAAGCGCTTCGACTCTGTAGCCTCTATCATCTCTCAGGTAGAGGGGAATGCACTGAAACCAGATTCAGTATTCTTCAATGCCCTGATCAATGCATTTGCTGAATCCGGGAACATGAAGGAAGCCATGGAAACTTTATGGAAGATGAAAGAGAATGGGATGAAACCTGCAGCCAGCGCTTATAACACACTGATCAAAGGCTATGGCATTGCTGGTAGACCTGAAGAATCTACTAAGCTGGTGGAACTTATGTCCAAGGAAGGGAACCCGAAACCTAATCTCAGGACTTATAATGTTCTTGTTAGAGCATGGTGTAACAAGAACATCGATGAGGCATGGAATATAGTGAATGAGATGATGGGTTCAGGGACTAAACCTGATGCAGTTACTTATAACACAATTGCATCAGCTTATGGGAAGCAAGGAGTGCCAAAGAAGGCTGAAGGTGTGATTTCAGAGATGCAGAAGCATGATGTACAGCCTAATGCCAGAACATGTGGTATCATCATAAGTGGGTATGTGAAAGAAGGAAGAACCAGTGAAGCTCTGAGGTTTGTCTGCAGAATGAAGGAACTTGATGTGCGTCCTAACATTGTTGTTTTTAACTCGCTGATCAAAGGCTTTCTTGACCAGATGGATAAAGCAGGACTTGATGAGGTGAGCTCTGAGCTGTCCTTAATATTGAACTATAATGATGCACACTAGTTCTTTCCAACTCATTCGCTAGAAATCCTCCCAATTTAGTTTCGTATCTGGGTTTTGATACGTTGTTGTATTAATCCGCAGGTCCTCGAGTTGATGAGAGAATTCAACGCGAAACCTGACGTCATTACATTCAGTACTATCATGAATGCATGGAGCACAGCAGGGCGCATGAGCAAGTGCAGAGAGATCTTCGAAGACATGGTGAATGCTGGCATTCAACCCGATGCACATGCATACAGCATTCTTGCCAAAGGCTATGCTCGTGCCAGAGAGCCAGAGAAAGCAGAAGAGGTCTTTAAATCCATGATCGAATCAGGAATCCACCCGAACATCGTGAATTTCACAACAGTCATCAGCGGATGGTGCAGTTGTGGCAGAATGGATTCTGCAATGAGGGTCTTCAACCAGATGCGTGAATTCGGTGTGTCTCCTAATCTGAAGACATTTAAGACCTTAATCTTGGGATACTGTAAAGCTAAACAGCCATGGAAGGCAAAAGAGGTTCTCCAAATCATGAGAGAATCTGGGATCGAGCCTGAGAAGGCAACCCTCGTGCTTGTCTCAGAAGCATGGGCTGCCAGTGGACTAACAGAGGAATCAGCTGCAGCAGAAGCAGAAGAAGAAATAACAGTGCAGAGCTTAGAGGAACTCTATCAGAAGCAGGTTGCGACAGGATTGTCTGGATTGACTAAGAAAGGTGGTAGGATTGTGCTGAGAGACCCAACTGATTCTTCTTCGACGGAATGCTCGTGGCTTGCAACTAAACAGGTGAATCTTTCTTACATCAGTAAATTCGGGTCGAGGTGGTCGAGGGTGATGTGCCTGAAGCAGTGTCAAGTGCAGCATTGTGGTGGTGGTGTATATGGTCAACTTGCACAGTCTTGTACAGCCGGGTTCCTCAACTGAAAAGATAGGTACAGGAAGATAACAGGTGGTGGTGTATATGGTCAACTTGCACAGTCTTGTACAGCGGTGTTCCTCAACTGAAAAGATAGCTACAGGAAAATAACGGAAAGCAAAGTTTTTTCCCCGCATTTTTACTTGTATCTGCATTTTGGCAAAGGGGGCAGAGGGAACTTATGTTGCAGATAGCTGCAAAGGCCTTTCAAATCTGTGACCCTACTGATCAACAATCTAGGTCTTTTTTCGCATCTGTTCTAGTGCAACTTAATCATGAAATCTCAATTTTACTGTTGAACTCTGTGAATTGCGAGATTTCACATTTAAGTTTCTGGTATAATCTTTTTTCCCCGTGTTTCTTCACAAAGATTCGTAGAATGATAAACTAAAGAGAGAGAACATAGCAAGAACTATCAGAGTGGCGCAGCGGAAGCGTGGTGGGCCCATAACCCACAGGTCCCTGTATCGAAACCAGGCTCTGATAATAAATTTAGCTTTATTTTGCCATGGGGAAACCACGATGAACGCTTCAGGCATATAACTCTTTATCAGTGCTGTTTTGTCAGTCCAAACACAAGTGTACAAATTCCAAATATTCATCTAACTATAACAAAGTTCTTGTATTGCATCCGTGTAGAATCATACAAACATAATCGTGGCTTCAATGACACATCAATATGCAAACTTGATCAGTACACACCGTGCTTGGTGGCTCTGTGCTTTCACTTTTTCCTTGATTTCCCAGTCAAAGACGATACTTCATCGTCGTCATTAGGAGCAGGGATTCTACTGACGAGCCAAACTAGAAGAACGCCGATCAGAGCACCAGAGAGATGTGCAATATGGTTCACACTCTGACCCGGGTTACCTCCTCTTAAGCTCCCTGATAATGCTGCTGAAGATTGTGCTGCCTCCATTACCTGTTTGCAATAACAGAAATGGTCATAAGCATTTCATAGATGGGAAGCTTTTGGATGGAAAAACAAGATACCACTTATTCCATGGCTGAAAAGAATCAAGCTCGGGAAGTTGGTTGCATACCTTCTCTACAACAAATTGTCCCAATATCAGCACCTCAAGGATCTTTCTCCAGTCCCAAGTCAACTGCACTTGACAAAATCAAGAGATGGCTCATCTTGAAGATAGGCTTTCAGAGAATAGGGCCACCATCCATCAGAAAGGAGGACTATACCTTGACAAGTACACTAATGGCGAACAATCCAAAAACAGCACCTGAGGCTCCAACCGAAACGGCATTCCTGGGTAGAACTAGCCACGAAACGAGATTCGCCCCAACACCAGTAAGAATGTAGGAAAACCACAGAGCAAAAGTTCCTTCCTCTTCTTCAACAAGCTTTCCTGCAAATAGAAAATAACTGCATATCAAATTTCCAATCTAAAATTTTGAAATACAGTCATCCAGTAACCCAAGTAAACCGCAGCCCTCACCGAAGATATACAAGAAGAAAAGGTTGCTCGAGAGATGCTCCCTGACACATGAAAACCCCAATATGAATATGAAGTACATAGAAGTGTGAGGGAACTTTGGCAGCTCAATTTAGCTCACCAACTGGCATGGCAAAACGTTGCTGTGACAAACTGGTACCAGGCAGGCCAATTGTGATACAAGTAGAGAGATTTTATGGCGCGGACCTTCTCGATGAATAGCAGAAAACAGAACAAAGTCACGGACTCAACTACACAATCCGAACTTCAAACTTTGCAAGAGGAAAAACTTCAGAATTTACCTGGAAGAAGTGATCAGCCAAGAACACACCAAGGTTCACAAGAATAACCCAGAACACCCCATTCACTTGCCTCTCAGGCTTCCTTCCGCCTCCCCGCTTCCCAATTTCAAGACTCCCTGGTATATCTGCAATTGAGACAACACACCGTCAAACCCCAACGCACGCCAACTGCTTGTCAAAAGTCCTGAATGAACTAATAGCACACATTCAAAATTTTCTCCCCAGCAGCTTCTTCAAGCGTTCAATCCAGCCACGAAGTTAAACAGTGAAACGCTGAAATGGGACCTAGAGAAACTGAATTCAGGGAAGTGATTCTGTCACCTGAGCGGCCATTGGACCTGCAGATGAACCGAGAAAGCGGGGCAGGGGAAGGAAGGAATACGGATTCCACTAGTCTCCGAGAAGAGTGAAGGCTTCGAGGAGCAATGTGTAAATGGCTGGGGAAGGAGGTGTGAGAGTAAACGGGGACCAGAATTCGGGATAAACGAGGGTTTGGAAATGGCGGGGAGTAGTGCTGATGCTGCTGCAAATGCATCATCTTCAGCATGGAGTGAAGAGAGAGAGGGAGTGGGTGGTGAGAAAGGTTGATGCAGCTGCAACGCCCTTCCTCTCCGGGCCCATGGGCCGAAATAGATGAACCCGTGAATACTGAATTACTGATAAGCAAGCCCGAAATTTGCAATCCATCGGTCCTCTTGGTCGAGTTTTGACACTTGGAAAGGCCTGGCAGCCCAATATTTTCTGGCGCGCGCACACAAAAATGGTTTCCTAATCGCTTTCCCGGAAAACAAACGTGGCCTATATCTCCCCTCCCATTTTCTTCCGAGGATCCCAATTCGGCCATTTCCCCCGGAATTTGAGGGCTCCAAATATATCGCTTCCCTTCCCTCGGAATTTCATTCTCCTTACGATCTCGCCTTTTGACTTTGAATCCCTGCCAAGTGGACAGCGAAGTCTCTTCTCAAGTCGCCGGAGATTCAAAATTTGTGTTGGTTTTCAGTGAGCCCCCGTCGCCCGTAATACAACAACTACCGTTCCTTTTCTTTCCCCCTCATTTATTCGGCCGGTGGATCTATCTGATGGCGGAACGCGGAGCGCGACGGCGGATTATGAGGACGATGTCGACGGTTCTGTTGAATTTATTGTTCGCGGTCGTGTTTGTCTCGGCGGACCGACGTTTGAGATTCGAAGAATCGGAAGAGCGGAGTGTTGCCTCTAGTTTTCTCGTTAAGGCATCGGATTTCGTGTGGCAAAATGGTCGAACAGGTTATCAGCGCGTCTGGCCTGTAAGGCTGGTCTCATTTCTCCTTCCTTTTTCGTTTCCTAATTCCGTCGTAGTTGACTGCTCATATCCAAAATTATGGAATGGTTGTCCATTATCCTTCATCCCCTTCTGGGTTGATGGCCCCCACCACCTTTCCCTGTTTCATCCTTTTGGCCGGACTTTGGAGTTTTGTATTGTCCGGATTTCTCTATTTTTGTCTTTACTCCTTGCCTATTTTTTTCACCTAATGACAACCTTCCTACCATGATGATTGCCTTCTTGCCCTCATCTTAATGCAAACTAGATGGGTGGCTGTAAAATGACTTGAGGTTGGTTGCTGTGGAGTGTGCAGGAACTGGAATTTGGATGGCAAATAGTGCTGGGCACAATTGTTGGGTTCTTGGGAGCGGCATTTGGGAGTGTGGGTGGTGTTGGCGGAGGTGGCATTTTCGTTCCTATGCTTAGCCTTATTGTTGGGTTTGATCCTAAATCATCAACTGCAATCTCTAAATGTAAGATTACCCGTGTTGCATTGACGGTAAAGCTAAGACTAAGTGGCATTGCTATTAAAGAATGTGTTTCTGACCATTCTCTTGTTGTTTAGGTATGATAATGGGTTCAGCTGCATCAACTGTGTACTATAATCTTAGGCTACGGCATCCTACACTTGACATGCCAATAATTGATTATGATTTGGCTCTGCTGATCCAGCCCATGCTTATGCTAGGAATTAGTATCGGTGTGACTTTTAATATCATCTTCGCCGACTGGATGGTTACTGTCCTGCTTATTGTTCTGTTTATAGGTACTAAATCTTCTATTGAGAAAGTATTGTTGGTCATTCTGCATTTGCGCATCGCTTTTTGGCTAATTATTATCATGGTATAGGCACATCATCGAAAGCATTATTAAAGGGTGTTGAAACCTGGAAAAAGGAAACAGTAATGAAGAAGGTAATCTCTCTCTGTATCAGTGTATCAATTCACAACTTAGTTCTTGGTGAAGAGTAGTTGCCATTGTGTAACAGGAGGCTGCTAGGCGGCTTGAGTCAACCAGTGAGTGTTGCTTATTTAGTCGTTCTTAATCTTTCTACTGGATCTTTGGATTATCTTGGTTTGGTGATAGCCTAGAATTTGACTGATTGTTGCGTTTGTGTGATTGTACTAGGTAATGGTGGTGGGGATAACGCATACAGGCCTCTTCCAAGTGGCCCTCGAAAGGACACCAATGAAGCAGAGGTGAGTTGGAGCCCGCCTTTGAAATTGGAGGCAGATCCCTGCAAAGAGATTCATCTAATGGTTTATATTTTTGCAGGTTTCAATTGCAGAGAATGTTTGTTGGAAGGAACTTGGGCTTCTTGTTTTCGTTTGGGTTGCATTCCTCATATTGCAGATTGCAAAGGTTCTTTTCTTCTGCTGACCCTCAGAACTTTTGTACTGCCGATTCCATCAAGATTCAAGAACTGTAACGAATATAACTCTGTTTTTGCAGAATAATATGGCTACTTGCTCAACAAACTACTGGGTATTGAATTTGTTACAGGTATGGAGACAAAGTCATCATTTTGGTTTCCGCCGATTTTGCTAAGGTGGAGTGAGTTATACTTTTCTGTTGTTTATGCAGATCCCAGTGTCACTTGGTGTCTCAGGCTACGAGGCTTTCAGCCTCTACAAAGGACACAGGGTGATTGCATCCAAGGGAGACCAAGGCACCAACTTGCAAGTTCACCAGCTTGTGACTTATTGTGCTTGCGGTATCCTGGCTGGAGTCGTAGGTGGACTTCTTGGACTCGGAGGAGGATTCATACTGGGTCCACTATTTTTGGAGCTAGGAGTGCCTCCTCAGGTGAGCTTTCTTCTTCATTACTGTTGTATTTCTGAACTTGTAAGGTTGATCATGGTGAAACCCTTTCATACCGTTTTCATGGAATTTGTTTGTAGGTTTCAAGTGCCACTGCAACATTTGCAATGACTTTCTCATCGTCTATGTCCGTCGTAGAGTACCACCTCCTGCATCGATTTCCTGTTCCATATGGTATGCAGTGCTTGTCTTGAAGCTCTCCTCTAGATTTCCATCGTTTCAGCTTTCCTTTGTTTCACTGGTTTTTCTCCTTCTGCAGCTGTCTACTTCTTTGCCGTAGCAACGGTAGCTGCATTTGTGGGGCAGCATGTGGTGAGGAAGTTGATCATCATTCTAGGAAGGTCGTCTCTGATCATCTTCATTCTAGCATTCACCATATTCGTCAGTGCAATCTCTCTAGGTGAGGTCTCTCGGTCCTATAATTTACATGGGGGATGACTGGATTTGGGTTCACTAACAAATCAGTCCCTAAATTTTTGTTTTTAACAAACTTGTCACTGAAGTTTTGAATATAACTAGCATTACATTCACCTCGTCAATCTCTATTAAATTTTTTGCGAATAGTCTATCGTGCCATGTCATGTCAACTAAATTAATACTTGAATTGGATGTATAATTGTAGATGCTAATTATGCTGCCTTAAACTGTCCAGTTTTTTTAGTTGTATTTTCTTGTTTTCTCTTGGTGATAAAGTTCATCATTCATAAAAATAAAAAAAATAAAAAAAACTGTCCAGTTTAACGCGAGTCTCTATATACTCACCCAAAACCAATCAGTTAACTAAAGCTTAATCCAAATGTGATCCATATTACCGGAACCACTCTAATAGGTTTTCCGGGCTCCAGATAGCTAATTAGAGAGCCTACAAGCCTGAATATGGACAATTTGGACATAAAGCCTAATGGAGATGGATGAACTATAGTGCTATACTTCGAACTTCAGCTTTATCTTGTTATATACATCAACCCTTTAACACTCTTTTGCTTCTTTATATGCTATTTCTGGTCAGGTGGTGTTGGCATATCCAACATGATTGGAAAAATCGAACGACAAGAATACATGGGATTTGAGAACCTATGCAAATACGATTCTTAAATTTCGTGTAAAGTGTTAATCCTTATTGTCTAGTAGAATCAATGTCCCCCGCGGGGGCATTTAGTTGTATTTGGCATCTCCAAAAGCAGTATATTCAGATGGAAATAGTTAGAAATTATATGTAGAACCCAAGTATCATATCATTTGTTCAAAAGGTTTCTTGTTATGCAAGACGAATGACTAACTGAATTACGAATAATTGTTTGGTAAACATATAGTAATTTTGTTGATATTTTTTACTATTAATGTATTTTATTTTACCAAGTTTTTCAAAATATAAGATTATATGATGGATGATTAAAAAGTAACAAAAAACTATTTATCATATGTATTTTGTTCAAATGACCCACCTTGAATGGAATTGACTACGCTGTGACTTCATAATCAAACAAGCTAATACCATTTTATGAATCAATTGGTCCCAACAATTCGAATTGTTGATAGATATCAATGTATAGTATGTACGTTATAATACTCTCCATACATTAGTTCCTTCAATATAATCCAAAGCGAATTTGTACAAAAGAAAGGGGGCTCACCTCTCCCAATCCATGAGGTGGAGTTCTTTTATTCCCCTGGATCAAAGGATCTTCTTCTTCTGCCCCCATCTCTTTTGCTGGCTTTTCATCTTTGTTGGCCTTTCGAGCACTACTTGCTGATAATACAGCTTCAAATGGAACAATACAAACTGAAGTCAAAATCAGAACCAAAACACATGTACTGTTCTCATCTAGGATCACCAACTTGATCAATGCAGTCCATGTGGGCCTGATCTGTTTATCCACGGGATACAGGCTAGAACTGTCGTTTTCTAAGGTTAGATTATTATTAGTACTTACGGCGACATGGCGCTCATTATGAACCAGTCGAATTTTTTATTCCTTCCCCTGGATGGATCAAAGGATCTTCTCACTTATGCTACCAAATCTTATGATGGCTATCATTTTGTTATCCTTTCCCTCGTTTTCTGGTCGCCTCACTGTTTGGTAACACCACTACTGACTGATACTCTTCTTGGTAAGTCTCTCCCCATATGCTAGCTTTAGCTTCCCATCCAGCTCGGAAGCAACAATGGGTGATGCCTTCCCATGGCAGTCCGGTTTCCAGTATCAGCATGTTTGGCCTGTAAGTAACAACCCAAAATCTACTTTTCCATATACGAGTGTTGAATCTAAAATGCAGCTGGATTCCACTCTGCAAGTTGATCACTCTACTCACTCTGCAAAGCATTCTTACTTCAGGAACTGGAATTTGGGTGGCAAGTAGTGGTGGGGACTGCGATTGGGTTCCTGGGAGCAGCGTTTGGAAGTGTCGGGGGCGTTGGTGGCGGCGGGATATTCATTCCCATGCTTACTCTCGTCATTGGGTTCGATCCGAAATCCGCCATCGCCATCTCCAAGTGTAAGAAGATGACGAAAGCAGAGGATTTCCTTTCCCATGAGCTTGCTGTGTATTAGGCTAGTTTGTCCATTCAAACTTGTGCAAATTTTTTTCGGCAGGCATGATCACTGCCGCTGCGATTTCAACTGTGTACTACAATCTCAAGCTGAGGCACCCGACTCTGGATCTTCCCATCGTGGAATATGATTTGATATTGCTGATTCAACCCGTGTTGCTGCTGGGAATCAGCATTGGAGTCACTTTCAACGTTGTATTCCCTGATTGGATGGTCACGATTCTTCTCATCATTCTGCTCTTATCAACGGCGGGAAGGGCATTCTTCAAGGGTCTTGAACTCTGGAACAAGGAGGCTGCTTTGGAACCAGCAGGTAGTTAACAAAGAGTTCCAGTTTCAATGGTTTTTGGGCGCCAGGTGTTTGATTATTTGCTGAAGTGAGCACATAAATTTCTTGGCAGGTGATGGTGGGGAGGTGGGAGAGTACAAGCAGCTTCTAGGAGGGCCAGACCAAGGAGCAACGACAGGAAATATTTCAACTCCCAAAATACGAGAGGTTGTATATTTTTTTTTTTTCATTTCTCTGCCATAGTCTGGAAATCACAGCTAAAGTAGCTTTCTTGGTAATGGGGGGTTTTCAGGTTTCCATTGTTGAGAACATTCGGTGGAAGGAACTTGGACTTGTGACTTTCGTCTGGGTCTCCTACGTCGCCTTGCAGATCGCCAAGGTGATTTCTTAATTCTATTGGCTATTCTTCCTTTCTGTGTTCATCTATCTTTGGACTGAACACTGATTCCTTGCAGAACTACACAGCCACTTGTTCAATGGAGTACTGGGCCCTGAACTTGCTCCAGATCCCAATCTCGGCCAGTGTGTTCTTGTATCAGGCAACTGCCCTGTACAAAGGGACAAAGAAGATAGCATCCAAGGGAGAAGGAGCAACGACCTTGAAGCTAAAGCAGCTGGCTTTGTTCTCCATCTGTGGGTTGTTTGCTGGTATCGTTGGTGGGCTGCTTGGATTAGGTAGTGGATTTGTGATGGGTCCTCTGTTTCTTGAACTGGGCATTGCTCCTCAGGCAAGCATTTCTATCATCTGCCATGAATCTGCAAAAATTTGCAGCTTTTTTCACCTTTCTGCAATCTGGTTGAAACATTGAAGATCCGTTTGTATGTGTTTGTTCATTTTTGTTGAAGGTTGTTAGTGCTACAGCAACTCTGGGAATGGCCTTCTCTGCATCCATGTCTGTGGTGGAATACTACCTTCTCCATCGCTTCCCTGTACCTTACGGTAAGTATTTTGGCCAGCCTGTTACGCCATTGTTAACTCGACTTGAAGTTGACAATCTGAATAAGCTTCTCCCTCCATCTTTGCTCTTTTGGCAGTTCTGTATCTTGTTGCAGTGTCCATTTTAGCAGCCTATATTGGGCAGCACTTAATCAGCGCAGTTGTGGGATGGACAGGCAGAGCATCGCTCATCATATTTGTGCTCTCCTTTACAATCTTCATCAGTGCAATAACGCTAGGTGGAGTTGGGATCACAAACCTGGTTGAGAAGGTAGAGAAAGGAGAGTACATGGGTTTTGAGAATCTCTGTTTGTATCAGCCATAGAGAATCTGTGTGTTTCTAGATTAAGTGGGATTTGGGCTCAGGTCTCATTATATATTGTTCATTCTTTTGTTTATGGGCTCTTGGGATTCTTAGTTTTTATGTAAACACAAACCAACACTTTGGCTATGTATTGTGTTTCATTGTTGCATGTTGTCTACATGTCAAACACCTAGTAGAAGGCATTAAAATAAGGTAATTTGTATAAATTTAAATCGTGAATGTGTATGAACCTTAATTTAGGTCGTTGATTAAAATAGTGAATGAAAAAAATAAAATATGAAAACAGTGATAACTCGTTTTTCTGGTGACTTGTTTGATGAATGTCTTTTCATTTTTAGGGTTTCTTTCAAAGTCAAAATAATGGCTCCAAATATTCCCTAGAATCAAATCCTAGCATAACCATTAAATTAGACGTGTTATACGTAAAGCTTTCGTAATTATTTAAGACTTAACTTAACACAAGGTTAATGTTCATGACCTAAAAGGACCATCCATTACGGTAAGGCCTCCGTAATGTCATTTTACAACTCTTACGTTAAATACACATCCATTACTTAAAGGTTTATGAAACGAAAGTTATTTCTTACGTAATAGTTAAATTAACACTTTACGTAACACACATTTAATAATCATTACGCAAAAGGAAAAACCATTACGTAAAACTTTCGTGATGACATTCTATATCTGTTATGTAAAATACACATCAATTAAGTAAAGGTTACGGAACAACAATTATTTTGTACGTAATAACTGAATTAGAAGAATTACGTAAGACTTTGGTAATGACTTAACACTTTACATAACGCAATGTTAATATTCAATTCGTCAAAAAATTGTTCATTACGTAAATCTTCCAGAATTACATTTTTTAATTGTTATGTAAAATACACATCCATTACGTAAAGGTCAACGACTACTATTTCTAACGTAACTGCTAAGTCAAATGTGGTTCGTAATCCTCCTCAATGACTTAACACTTTATATAACGCAAGGCCAATAATCACTACATAAAAGGTTTGTCCATCGCGTAAGGCTTACGTAATTACATCTTACCACTATTACATAAAATAATCATACGTTACATTGCATAATAAGTAATGACGATTATATTTACCTAATGCGACCTCAAGTTAGTGAGGGTATTGTCGGAATTCCCAATTGTGAAAGGAAAGGTTAGTTAGTAACGACAATCAACTGGAGCTAGTACTGTGACAACTGGCGCTCACTATGAAGTATGAACCACTCGACTTCTGTACTCCCTTGGATATAAAAGGTGTGTTCTTTTACCCGGTTTCTTGATTGCCTCAGCTCTCACCTTTAGTAAAGCACTACTGACTGAAAGTCTGGTTAAGACTTTTTCTGTAGCCTCAACTTCAGCATTCCTCTGATTGTCTCTCAGAGGCCCCAAAATCCAGAGCAGGAGTAAGAGCTTCCACCTGGGAAGCAAAACCATCAATGGGCGACCACTACTCATGGCAAGCGGATTTCGATTATCACCATGTCTGGCCAGTAAGTAACAAACCCAAAAAAAAAAAAAACTCATTTTTCATACTCTGCACGTTAACCACTGTACCTACTCTGTATCTTCCTCCAGGAACTGGCATTTGGGTGGCGAGTAGTGGCGGGGACGGCCATCGGATTCTTGGGAGCAGCTTTCGGGAGTGTCGGCGGCGTTGGTGGCGGCGGGATATTCGTTCCCATGCTCACTCTCATCATTGGGTTCGATCCAAAATCATCAACCGCCATCTCTAAGTGTAAGAATACAAGTAGAGAGGGTTTACATGAGCTATCTTAGAAGAATGACTAGCTGGTTTGCTTAATTACCCTTTTTCACACTTTTGCTGTTACAAGGCAGGCATGATCACTGGCGCTGCAATTTCAACTGTGTTCTACAATCTCAAGCTGAGACACCCGACTCTGGATCTTCCCATCGTGGAGTACGATCTGGTGCTTCTGATCCAACCCGTGTTGCTGTTGGGGATCAGTATTGGAGTCACTTTCAACGTTGTCTTCCCCGATTGGTTGGTCACAGTTCTTCTCATCATTCTCCTCTTAGCAACGGCGGGAAGGGCATACTTCAAGGGTCTTGATCTCTGGAACAAGGAAGCTGCTGCCAAGTGTTTGGAACCAGCAGGTAAATACTAAACAGTAAAGAGTTCAGTTTCATGGAATTATGTGCACCATGTGTTCGATTATTTGCTCAAGTGAGCTCATAAAATTTCTTTGGCAGCTGATGGTGGTGGGGAGGTGGGAGAATACAAGCCGCTTCTAGGCGGGCCAAGCCAAGGAGCGACGACGGGCAATGTTTCTTCTCCCCAGAAGCGAGAGGTGGTTGTATTTTCCTTTCTGCTGCAATTAGTCTGGAAGTTTACAACTAAATTAGCTTTTGCTTGGTAATTGGGGCTTTCAGGTTACTGTTATCAACAACATTCGGTGGAAGGAACTCGGACTTCTGACTTTAGTCTGGGTGGCCTACGTCACCTTGCAGATCTCCAAGGTTGTTTCTTTCTTTGGCTGATTAATCTTCCTTTCTGTGTTTCATCCATCTTTGAATTGAACACTGGTGACACAAGTTTAAAATACATTCGAGCAGAACTACACAGCCATTTGTTCGATGGAGTACTGGGTGCTGAACTTGCTCCAGATCCCAGTCTCGGCCAGTGTGTTTCTGTACCAGGCAATTAGCCTGTACAAAGGGACAAAGAAGATAGCATCCATGGGTGAAGAAGCTAGGAACTTGAAGCTAAAGCAACTGACTTTATTCTCCATCTGTGGGTTGTTTGCTGGAATTGTTGGTGGGCTTCTTGGATTAGGTGGTGGATTTGTGATGGGCCCTCTGTTTCTTGAACTGGGAATTCCTCCTCAGGCAAGCTTTTTACTTCATCAGCCATGAGACTGCGAAATATTGCAGCTTTTTCATTTTTAATCTGGTTGAAACTACCAAGATGTGTTTGTTCCCTTTTGTTGTAGGTTGTTAGTGCCACAGCAACTTTGGGAATGGCCTTCTCAGCATCCATGTCTGTGGTGGAATACTACCTTCTCCATCGCTTCCCTGTTCAAACGGTAGGTTATTTGGCTAGCCTTCTACGCCATTCATTTGCTTGATTTGAAGTTGTGATCATGCAACCATCTCTTTTGGCAGCCCTGTACCTTGTTGGAGTGTCCATTTTGGCTGCCTATATTGGGCAGCACTTAATCAGCGCAGTTGTGGGATGGACAGGCAGGGCATCGCTCATCATATTCGTGCTCTCCTTTACAATCTTCGTCAGTGCAATATCACTAGGTGGAGTTGGGATCACAAACCTGGTAGAGAAGATAAATAAAGGAGAATACATGGGTTTTGAGAATCTCTGTTTGTATCGGCCATAGAGAATCCCTGTTTCTCGAGACTTGTGGGACAAGTCTCACTACGGAGTGTTCATTCTTATGTTTATGGGTCTTTGGGATTCATATTTCCTGGTAGACCCAACCAAAACTTTTGAGTGTGTGATTGTATTTCATTCGGTGTCTGAAATGTCAAATACCAAGTTGTCATTATGATGTAGAGTTGGGTTTCTATGTGGTGTGGAATGGTTAAAATATGTGTTTGTAAGTTTGTAAAAGTGAAATTTCATAACATAAAGAATGATGCTTTGAAGCTGTAACAAATATGTCCATTCTTATTTTGTTTATTATATATAGGAAGGTGGTAAAAATATAATTTATAGATGTATATTACTAAAAACAAAAATTATGTACATTAATAATTTTCACAAAGGTAAAATTACTAATTTATGTTATTTTGTTGTACTCGATGTCCATCATACTTAACACATTGTAGAATACATGGATTATATTTTATACGCAGCCGAACTCATATGTAGCCTAGTTGATGACTGCTTTGAAAATGACGATTGAATGTAAGAAAACATGGAGTCGTTTGAATGAATCAATTGTATAATGATATTGTTTGATCAATTATCTCATTTTATAAAACGAGTCAATTTGAATTACCTGTCCTTCCATCCACTTCTAAATAATTAAAATTGACTCAAAACAGATCAATTCGATATTTCTCATGTCAAATTGATCCATCCAAATTTTCTTTTGAAAAACAGGTTAATTTGATCCGATTGCCTTATAATAAGACAATTTAATCAAAATAATTTATTACAATTACTCATCCAAACCATTCCTATGGATTTTATGGTGGTATAAGGACTAAAAAAAGAAGTTTAAAAGCACTAGAGACACATTTGGAAAAGTTACATAGTATAGCGACAGAAAGTGAATTAACCATAAATAAATAAATAAGAAAGTAGGAATATTAGGCTAGAACAGAAGTCGGATATAATAAAATAATAACGACGCATTTTCCTTTGAAAATTTGGCAAGCACAGCAAGTTGGCCAGAAATCGGAATAAAAGGAAGAACCCTAACGACCCAATTTACAGAAGAGAGGGAAGGCAGGGGATTCTGAATTGTAGCGAGAAGAGCAAAAGCAGGGGAAGAAGATGGTTCTGTACTTCAAGGCACGGCCAGATGTGGGCGATTACACCATTTTCATGGGATTCGACAAGTTCGAGAACGAGGAACTCATCAAATACGGCTTCCCGGAAGACGTTTGGTAAAGAATTAGCATCTACCATTCTACCCCCAACCCACTTGCCCCTTTCAATTGTTTCTGCAATAACAATTCATCCGATTTTCTTCTTAAAAAGGGTTCTTGATTGCTTATTTTCTGATCGAAGCGCCATTTGATGGTTGCTTGCTTCCATAGTTCCCGTCTGCTAAAGTTTGACCCCTTTTCATGGGGACTTTCTTTGGTTGAAGGTTGCTGCTTTAGTTTCCAACTTTCAGTTCCCATTTCTGAAATTTGGTTGACCATTGGTTTTCTGGTCTTGGTTTTAATTCTATATAAGATAGATGAAAGTTGATGATCCTTAATTCAATTTCGAAAGCAGCTGATTGCTGTTCAGACCTAGTTATTTTGGTTTTATGTGCTGTTAGTCGGGAGTTTTGCTTCATTGACTTTGTGATGATGCATTACTGCGTTCAGTGCAGTTGGAAGGTTGGCTTTTATGGATGACTTTCACATCGTTGTTTTGTTTCTGAATGGGTTTCTGGCGATTCCCCTCAATGCTAAGACTATGTTTCGTTCGGCGGATGGTTACAGGTTTCATGTGGACAAAATGTCTTCAGCCCATGTTTATGTAAGGCTGCATAAGGGTCAGACTTTCGACAATATAAGTGAAGGGTTACTAGAGGATTGTTGCCAGCTTGTCAAAGCAAATTCAATTCAAGGCAATGGTTCTCTTTTACCGCTCTTCTGATTCCTGAATATGCAGCTTGCATTTGATGTACCATTATTTTCGTGGTGATGTTGGTGTAGAAGCTTCTGTTTCCATTTGTCATTATATACTTCATGATGCACTTCGACGAGATGTGAAGATACTGTTTTTTAGGTTTGTTTTTTCGTTTTTCGAATTCCAGGCAACAAGGTTAACAACATTGATGTTGTCTACACTCCCTGGTCAAACTTGAAGAAGACCGCTACAATGGATGTTGGTCAAGTTGGCTTTCACAATTCAAAGATGGTGAGAACTTATTTTTCTGGTTCCTATCACTTTCAACTGGGAGATTATCTAGCTTCCTTGTGTACTTTGGTGTGGATATAATTTTGTCACTCAATTGAATAATGTAGGTTCGTACAGTGAAAGTGGAGAAGCGGATTAATGAGGTGATCAACAGACTGAACAAAACAAAAGTAGAAAGAACGCCTGATTTGAGAGGTCAGCTAATCATCTCATATTTGGTACTTTAGACATTGACTAAAAAGTCACAACATAATTGTTGAACCGTTAACCGTTTTGGCCTTGCTGGTAAGCAAGTTCTACTTCTGTTGCTGATGTTACTTGTTCCTTTCTACTGTTGCAGCGGAGAGGGAAGCCGTAAATGCGGCAGAAAGGGCTGAGAGGAAGCTTCAACTCAGAGATAAAGTAAGCTATCTCATGTTCAGCCATTGGCAATTGACATCTCACTTAGTTGGCAATTCTATTACATGTCATACAAGGGTCGAGTATTAAGTTTATTTGACACCAGATCCAGTTAAGGATGTTGATCCGTGACTTATCCCGGTGTTATTGGCGTAAGAGACTTGCATATTCGGAGTCTGAGCATAAGGGTCGATTGTAATATAACCTTCTTACTTCATTTGTGGTTTTTTAGATTCAAGTTTACTAGTTCAGCATTGAAATTTTTTGAGTAGGGAATTTCGTGATGGCTGGTAAAGGCTTTCATTTGATTTCTAGCCTGCCTCATCATTGCTTAGAACAATATTCCAAACATTACCAGCTTCACCTCCTAATTTTTTGAAGTGCAGATACAAATATGTCTTCACTAATCACTTTTTATAAATCTTCTGATTTGCTCCTGGTCCATAATTTGGCTTTGGGAAAGAATCCAATTTTCCACCTCTGTTCATTATAGCTTAACAAAGATTGCTAACTCCATTGTGTTTTGATAGAAACGAAGGGAGGAGATGGATAGGATGGAAAAGGAGAGGCAGGCAGAGGTGAGGAGCTACAAGGGATTGATGGTGGCGGAGAAGATGACATCCAACAAGCAGATTGCATCAGAGAGCAAGTCTCTGCAGGAGATGGAAGAAGATTTCATGTGAGCCAAAACGAAGGAGCACACCAAGATGATGTACCAAAAAATGGTCTGTGGCCTTGCCGTCGCCCCTCCGTCAAGGGAAGTGGAAAATATCATTCTGCCTTTGTATGTCAGAGAGCTCCAAGTCTAGCTCTCTCATCATTCTCTTTCTGTTACTCATGTCCTGTTATTTTCAATTGAGAAAGCCCGGAGGAAATGTAAAACTGAGGGAGAAATCGAAGGAGACCAACTCCAAATTTGAAACATAGGGTGGTAAACCATAAAATTGTTTCACCAAAGTTCTTTGCTTGGTTTCTTTTGGAGACAGAGAAAGAAGCCTAATGCCCTGTTCACTTCCCATTTCGTTTTCTGTTTATTGTTGCCAAAACAAAAATTTGAAAACGTAGACGAAAAAACGTGTTCACTTGTTTTCTGTTTTTAATTGAAAAAACGATGAGCAACGAATGAAGTATCTGGCCGAAAACAAGAAAATGTCGTTTTCCAGGAAACTGACACACGGGTTTCTCCCCGGTTCCAGCGGAAAAAATGATAATTTGGTTTAATGAGGTTGGGGATTCGAATCCCACGACCCTTTTTTTTTTTTAATTTCAACTTCCCTATAACTTTTCCCCAGCCCGTCGTTCTTTTCCCTTCTATATCAACTTCCCTTTTATTTCTTTCTCCAGCAATGACCTTCCCCGAGCCCGTCGTTCTTCCCATCGTTCTTTCCCTTCGTTGAGGCGGTGGAGGCGGGAGCTACAGCTTTCGCTGCGATGGCGGGAGGCATGGCGGAAGATTGGAATTCAGGGTTCTGACAAGGCGGGATTGAAGGGCAAGAAGATTTTGGTGGTTATGTAGCACTGCGCCTCGCGGGATTAGGCCGTCCTGTTCCCGTTCCAACCCCACGCGGATGTAATCTGGCCGTACACCAATCCGGCAAATTCATTGTGGATGTCGCGGACGAGTTGGAGGTGAAGTTGGCAAGGTAGTCGTAGTTGATGCAGATTTGGGTGGCCTGGTAGTCGTGGTTGGTGTCTTCCAATTGGCTTTCTAGCTTTTGATGTGGGGTTTCTATCTAGAATGGTTCTAGTGTTATTAAAAAAATGGTTATAGTGTGGGTTTAATGGATTTGTGAAGTTTGGTTGATGAAATGGTACTATAATTTAGACGTGTCTAGTATCACAGAGCACTAAACTATGATGCTAGAATGATATTCATGACAGTGTTATTGGTTTTTAAAGAGATAGAATCTCCAATGTTTGATGTTGTAATATTATTTTTTATATAAAATATCCGTATGTTTATTAGTAGTTTAAAAACAATGTAATTGTTATTATAGTCATTATTAGAGTTGCGTAATTGTTATTATAATCATGGCTAGGGTTGTATCATAATCAAGAATCAGAAAACAGAATGAAGCAACTAAACAGGTTTTCATTTCAGAACCCAGTTTCAGAACTCACAAAAATTCTCAGCTAAACAAGATTTTTTCAGGTTTTGTTTTCCAGGAAATGACAGTTTCATTTTCATTTTAATTTTGTTTTCTGTTGTGGCAGCTAACAGAAATGGAATGGCAAGTAAACGGCCCATAACTTGTCATGTCTGTGATAAATGGGAATGGTGGTCTTACTTCCTCCCTTTGGCTAAAATGATTTGTTGTTGCATCTCATTTTGATGGTTCATCGAAACCTATTGAGTCATCGATCGTTGGTTTCACTTATATTTTTCCAATTGATAGCTTGAGCCTTGAGTTTCTCTTACTTTGTGCTCTTCCTTGAAAGTTGAAACCTTAAATGTTGATTAACCGAAATCGGAATCCGAGAAGCAACTAAATTAGTGTTTCATTAATATTCAGGTTTGGTTAGAACCCATCGAAAACTCGAGACATTCACCCTATCTCCCCCCATTACGGTTGCACATCTTTATCATAGTTGTTTATAGATCAAAAACTGGTGGTATATAGGCTCGGTTTTAGGTCAATCTAAATCCTATACATGTTTTCTTGCTCCAAAACTGTTCCTGTCCCAAATGGTCAGAGTCATGATTGCGGAGGAGCTATTCTGGAGGACGTTCGGTGCTTGGCCTCTCGCTTTAGCAGAGTTTCTTACTTGTTTGTGTCCCGTCAACCCAATAAGGTTGCCCATCTTGTGACACAAAAGGCCCTCTCATCGAGAGTTCGGCTATTGGTCGACTCCCGCGTACTCTTGTTTTCTTCTGCTTGATGGATTTTAATAAATACCGACTTTGGAGGGGGGAAAATGGTTAGAGTCAGACTCCAATTTCTAACCTACAAGTTGATTTCTTTCGTCATCACGAGACATGGGGCCCCTCTCGGAATGGGTTAGGGTGGAAAGTGAATTTCTAGTATCCACCATTTATTTTCTTTTCTTTCCTCTTTTTTTAATCTTACGGTTAAGATTATCTCAGGATAATTTTGGAAGAAAAAAAGGACCACACTTGATTATTCTATATATTCTACCCTAACCCTACTTCTACAGCCAAACCCGCCGTAGCCGCAAGCTCTCACCCTCCTCGACGATGGCTTAGGGTTTGCTTGTCCGACGACTCCTTCCGCGCCTCTTTATCTGGCCACGGGCGAGTCACCAGTCGGATGGGTGGCGATCCGAGCAGCTCGACCACATCGTCGTCCACCTCGACGGAGATCCTACCTGCCGAATTCCCCGCCGTCTACCAACGGAGCCGGCGATTACCTCGACTCGCCCCCGCCGCTCTTCGACTCTCCCGACAGATTCCACCACATCTACGCCGGCACCGTCTCATCGACGATACAAATCTCTTCCTTCTCCGCAATCACAACAACAACGACGATACTATTATTAGTTCTCCAACTACCGTAAGCCAGTCGTACTGGGCCGGTGGGAGGAATGAGAGAATCTCCACCGCCGCGGCAGCTGTCCGAGATCACGTCGTGCGCTGAGGAGGAAGGATTGATATTATTTTTCCGTAGTGATTTTTTTTAAAATGGTAGTCATTTTTCCCCGTAGTGGTAGTGTTATTGTAGTATTGGTATTGTTTTTGTCGCATTGGTATTATTTTTGTCGCATTGGTATTGATTTCGTCGCATTGGTATTGATTTCGTCGCATTGGTATTGATTTTGTTACATTGGTATTGATTTTGTCGCATTGGTAGTGATTAAATCTGCAATGGTATTGATGTTTTGTGAAATGGTAGTGTTTTTATTTCTTGAATGATATTGATGTTTTGTACAATGGTAGTATTTTTTTAATGGATTGGTGTTGATTTATTGTTTTGTTGTTGCAGCTGTATTAGTTTGGATTAACGAAATCAAGGAAAGATTGAGAAAAAGATGGAAGAGAGATCTGGCTCAAAAATTGTGAAAGTGAGAGAAAGAGGGAGAGAAAAATTGTATTTAATATATTTATGTAATTTCTTATTAAAAAAAATCATTAATAAATTTTTTTGTTATACTCAATTTGCTCTTAGTAACCACGGTAGTAATCACCGTAACCTGTCCCGTCCTCTCTCCCAGTAGTCTTCTCTCATTCTGCGTCTGCGGAAGTGAAGTGACGAGTACGTGGTGTAACTGAAAAATTAAATTCCAACCGCGAACTGGAGAAACCGGTTCGAAGTGGAACCTATAAAATCGCGCGTTGTCCCTCGTATTCAACCTCCTAAAACCCCCACTACGCCTCGACGCCCAAATCCTCTCCAAAACCCTAATTCATACTCCGTCTCCCTCTTCATCGCCTCTCTGCTTCCTCTCTCTCTCTAACCGGTGCTTCAATGGCGACACAATCGTTGGACGAAGCCACCGCCAAGGAAGTCCTCCGACAGGTCTCTTCCACTCCTTTGATTATCACACTCTTCCTTCGTCTAATAAATCATTACCCTTTAGGCTCAAAACTATATTATCGATTGGTGATGTATTTTGCGAATGATGGCAGGTGGAGTTTTACTTCAGTGACAGCAATCTGCCGCGGGACAAGTTCTTATCCAGCACTGTTGCATCCTGCGAAGATGGCTGTATCCTTGCAAAAACGAAAACAGAAACAAAAACTGTTTACTTTTTGCTCTGTTCCTATTGTTTTTTTCATTAAAATCAATTTGGATTGGATTTCGGATGTCTTTCTTGACATGGTTAAACAGTGGTAAGCCTGGCTCTGATATGCTCATTCAAGAAAATGAAGGGTTACTTGAAGCTGCAAGAGGCCAATCAGGACGAAATTCCAGAGGATACTTTGAAGGCAGTTGCTGATACTCTTGCAAAGTCTACTTCTCTTAAACTCTCTGAAGATGGTAACCCCTTCTTCAATTTTCCTCTGTGTTGCCTCCTTTTTTTCCAGGCTCAGTTGTGAACTAATTGTGTAGGAGTTTATGCAGTTTATATGACATGTGAATTGTGAATTTGATGCAAAGTTGAGTTGTTTATGCTTACCCCACCATTTAGAACTGTCTTGTTGACAACAATTTTGTTTTTTGGCTCATGGTCTTTTATAGGTAAAAGAGTTGGTAGGATTGGTCCTCTAATGAAAACAGAAGAGTTAGTGGAACAATTGGATGGAAGAACGATTGCTGTATCACCGTTGCCTTATGATGTGAATCGTGATGCATTGAGGACATTCTTCAGTCAATATGGCCAGGTAAATTGAGTGTCTTTGTTTTCTCGTGGTATAAATTATCTGTGTGTGAACAACTTGTTCACTTTGCATGCTTCAACTTAAGGGAATCCGCTTTGTGGGTGGATGTTTTGATGTGAGTTTAAGTGCCTTAATTTTTTTTTGTTTTTTTTGTTTTTGTTTTTGTTTCAGGTGACTAGTCTGAGGCTGCCTAACCATCTAGCTAGCAAAAAGGTATTGTGTGGCACTGCTTTGGTTGAGTTTTCGACTGATGAAGAGGCTGACAAGGTCTTAGGTCAACGTTTGGAATTTGAAGGTGTACAGCTAGAACTGAAACCAAAGTGAGTCTTGTTTGCGGCTCCTCTCATCGGAGTGCTTGCTATCTATTATATTACGTTATATTGGATATTCTAGACTGTATTAACTCTACCCGATAACATGAACATTCTTCACAACTCAGGAAGGAATTTGATGAAGAAAGGCAGAGTAAATTAGCAGAACTGAGAGCTTCCAATCCCCGGTGGAATTCTGACAACAACAACAACAACTCAAGCCCACATGAAGAGTAAGTTATTAGCAGTGCAATGTAATTTTCTTCATAGTCCCCTTTGTGCATATTGACCATATTAACTCTTTAACTTCTGATATGATCACAGGTACACAAAGGGCCTGATCGTTGCTTTTAAACTGAAAAGCATATCAACGGGAGATGAGACAAAGCAGAATGGTAACCAGGAATCTGTTAAAGATGGCGAGCCTGTCTCTAAAGCAGCTGACGAAATGCCTACAACTTCCGTCGAGAAAACTACTGAAGAAGCTCAGGGGAAGTCTTCAGAAGATGATGCTGATAATAACAAGGAAGAAGGTGCTGCTATGGATACTGAGAAGGTTGATAATGAAAATGTCTCTGGAAACGAAGAAACAAAGAATGAGGAGGAGGAAGAGTCGAATAAAGATTCTGTTGAGAAGGATGTGAAACAGGGCAACAGATTTGACCTTGCTGCATGCAAGAACGACAAGAACGTCATGTTGCGTGAGGATCTCAAAGCTGCCTTCTCTAAATTTGGCGCTATTAAGGTACCACTCGATTACAGCTGTTATAATTTTTATTTTTATCACTGGAACCCACAACTGCTGCCTTTCGATAGTGATTCTTTTGTACGACGATACTCCTAATTCTTTTGTGTGTGTTGTGTTTCTGTTCTCTCCAGTTTATTGATTTTAAAATTGGAGAGGATTCGGGATATTTGAGATTCGAGAAACCCGAAGCAGGTCAGAAGGCTCGTGCTGCTGCAATCTTGGCAGAGGAGGGAGGGCTGATTGTTAAAAACTTTGTTGTCTCTTTAGAACCAGTATACGGTAAACAAACTCAATCCTTCACCCATCTTTAACTAGTTAATTGTTCGTTACTTGCTTTTGTTGCTTTATATATGAGAAGGGTAAATGAACAAATTGCCATCATAGCATGAAGCATGATTTTTAACAGACGGGCTTAGTCTGTGTGAAATTTAAGTAACGCCTAGTAATCATCAGTTGGGAAGATGTAACAATCCTCTAGTTATTTTCAGCATCTCAAACTTTCGATTAGTCAAACTATAAGTGTACAACATTCTGTGTGGCATGTAGGTGATAAGGAAGCAGAGTATTGGGCTCAGGTCCGAGCCAATCAAGACAACCGCAGGGTTAGTTTCAGCAACCGAGGAGGAAGGTCAGTTACTGATTTACATCAGCAATTTGAAATTTCAGTATTGTGTTCTGGTTCTTAGTGGCAGCATCTGATTCAAGATGGTTCTTTTTCCCATATTTTCTGACCAGGGGAGGCAGATTCCACCGTGGTGGTAAGCATCCTCGTTCGAGGGATAACAATTTGGGAAGAGGTGGTCGTAACAAGTTCCAAAAGGTTGGAGCCTGAGTTTGAATCTTAGGCAAAACTAGCAATGCCTCTTTATGATCTCTGTCCCCTATGCTGTTGTCTGATGGTAGTGGGCGTGTGGGGATTGAACTTTTTGCTTTGTAAACTTGGTGAAGTTATTCGGAGAGAAATTTTGCCTTTATCAGCCTTTATAATGCATGGTATTATTTGAAGTTTATTGCCGGCCACAATTTCCTTCTCTGTGATGGATGTGCTATTGACTACTATTGCCTGTGTAGTTGTGAATGTCAGATTTATTATAACCATAGGTTCGTCATAAAATGTTCTCAGTCGAGTACTATTTGGAAATGGGTTTATAATAGTGCAGGAAAACTATTATGGGAGAGTTTTGGGATGATTTAAGAGTGGTAGATGGATGTTTGTCAATCTGCATACGAATATGATGTTGACTCTTGAGCTCTTCTGTCCCCCAACTCCTCCCATGGTGGTTTTTGTCGCTTGATTTTATTTTCTTCTTGAGCTTCTTGGGTTTTGACCCTTGTCCCATAGAACATCTCGTAAAATTGAAATTTAGGTTTGGTCAATTGGTTTGAATTCAGAGTTCTATATTTCAACGATTTGAATGCACAATAATGTCGCTCTTTACACTCCTGCAAGACTAAGCTTCTTTGAGTGTATTTCCAAATATTTCATGTATTTTAGATTACAAAATTGTTCTAATAATTTGAGCTTATATGTGTAATTTCAAAATAGACTTTACATCGAAAGTGTTGACGAAAAATTGTATATTTACATTTTTATCACTTCCAAATATTCAAAACTAAAAAATGCGTTAGTGTTTACTATGTGGTATAAAAAAAAAATGGACAACTATAATATCCATTGGTCCGACTAGATTTTGAAGTCCTCTCATCTTAATGGTCAATAATATTAGTGTTCAGTGCGCCCTAATCCGCTAGATGGTCTTCTTGTGGAGGATCATTAACCATTGTGAGTTAGGGTTTGTTTAAGTACATCCATTAATCATGCAAGATTCTTTCAATATCTTCATCGCGCGAAGTTCTTTTAATCTTTTGATTAAACCCGCCGCACTTTTTTTATTATATATAAGCGTTGGTATAGGTTTTAAGGTTTAGTTTGAATGTTAGGTGTTACTGAAGGAATTTGAATTTTAGATTTTCACGTCAAAGACCATCGAGTTAATCGCTAGACCAACCCCTTGATTAAACTCAGCCGTCACCATACTTTATATCAGATTTATTTACATATTAAATAATATTATTATTCAGGAAAAATAAAATAAAAATATCCGTCTTCTAGCTCTCCCGTTGACATTGGTCTCTTTAAATGAAAAATCTAATTCACTAGTTACACATGAAATCGATGAAAATCAATAATACAACAAATTCAGCCGTTCAGCATTTGAAAAACCGAAGGTGGAGGGAGGGAAGGGAACTAAACGAGCAGTAGAAATAGACGGCAGAAGATCCGACCCGTCAAGATCACCGCCGTCTGATCTCACGGTAACGAACGAGAGAAACAATAATAACAATCCATGCTAAAATAATAAAATAAATAAAAATAGGGTTTTCTTTCAAAAAACTCCTCTTCTCTTCTTCCTTCCACCTGGAAATAGTCCGCCCCTTCTCGTTTGAATCCCTCCCTTCTCCTCCCTTCTATAGACCGTTTAAATTCCTCTCTCTACTCTCTCGCTCTAGGAAAAAGAAGGGAAGAAGGGGGGAAAAGCAGCCCCAAAGCAAACTCAATCGGAAAGTGGGAAGTAGAGCACATTCATAAATCATCATTTCTTCAAACCAAGTGCCATTTCCACCAGATTTGGATTTCCTACTACTCCACTCGGATCTGCGCAAATGCGCATCGCTGCGACTGCCTCGCCGGCGCCGTTGCAACTCCTGCGTCCATTGAACAAGTTCAGTCCGGTGAGTGAGTGAGTTTGGTTTGAACTCTTTTTCTTTTTTTACGAGGGATTTCGAATTGGTGTGATTTGGTCGGGGGAGAAATGAGAGGCGAATGGCTTCGAACTTATGCTGCTTCTGGGGGTGTTTTTTTTTATACGAAAGAGGATTCTTTGGATTTTGGAAGAGGGATGTTTTGAAATTGCTTCTGTTAGAGTTCAGGGTAATCGATTGTGTTTTAGGGTTTGGATTCGGGGGTAGTAGTAGTAGTACTGATTAGTCGTAGTTTGACTTGTTCAATTTTGAATTTGTGCTCATGGTCAACATAGCTGTGATAATTTGAATTTCTGTTCGACCGCCAGCCTTACCGATGGGTGCTGTGCTGTGGCTACTAAAGTTCATCTCATGATTTCTCCCTTCAATCTAGAGAAATTGCCGGCTGAAAAAGCTAGTTGATTCTCTCTACATGCTGCCAAAGTTGTTTCCTTTCTACCATTTTTTTTACTCTGTTCGAGGTTGAATTAGCCTGTCTGTTTGGTTAATTAGCATGCGATCTTGAAGGTTTAAGCGTGAAATTGAACTTCCTTTGCAGGGAGGCATATGACGTCGTGGAGAATAAACTGCAGAGAAAACGATCATAGAGTAGGGATTGGGGTATGCAGCTTTATTCTTCTAACAAAGAACGATGGGCAGTGAGAAGTCAGTTTCTGCTCCCTCGGATGGGGTGAATGATAGCGTTCAGAAAATCCGGCCACTCCATGGGTAACCATCCTAACATTGTATATATTCATATGATTAAATTTGCTCTTTGGCCTTCTGGAACACCTTTAACATTAGGGGGCTTGGATGAGATTTTCATTATGCCAACTTGTCTACTGATTTCGGTGCTTTTAACAATTCTCCATCGCCGGAGACTTTGAAATCAAAATTAGTGTTTCATGGTCCGAATTCCAAAGCTTGTTACTTTGAGCTGATTTGAAATACGTCTGCATTTTAATGCTTTCACAATGAAAGGACTGTATTATCAAGGCAAATAAATTCTGGAATAATAATGTCTCAGCAATTTACAGGAGAACGAGTGGCCCTACTCGGCGTTCAACAAAAGGGCAATGGACAGCTGAAGAGGTGACATTCTAGTCATTTGTTTTACTTAAGTATGATCCTCCTGCCTTTGGGTTCTGGACATCCATCTTGTGCTAATGAATAAAGAGCTTCATGTTTTCAGGATGAGATTTTATGTCAGGCTGTTCAACGATTCAAGGGAAAGAACTGGAAAAAAATTGGTATGTGAGGATATTCATACTTTATGTTCATGATCATTTGTGCTTTTCGTATCTGTTAGGATTTTATTTGCCACTGCCAATTGGTAGTGGAGCTAGTTGGCAGCGAGATGAATGTTTTCTTATTGTAAATTTTTATATAGACAACTCGCAAGTCCTGAACCTACATGAACACAGCAAGTTAACATGGGATAGTGAACACTGACATTTTATGTTGTAGATACTTTCCTGTCAGTTTTTTGTTCCATGAATGCCTAGGAAACTGTTCCAATCAACAAAGGCACAAACCGCAGAGCTTCTGTAGAAATTTAAAACTTTATAATTTTACTTAATCACTTAAAGTGCATTCCTTCTCATTTCGGAGTACTTTTTTTGTAGCCTTGTACAAAAGGCTGCAGTAGCTGCACATTTTGTTTGCTCAGCACCGTTAAATTTGTAACAACCTCCTAGTCAGGAATGCAATGTCTAGTATGTAGCTGGCAATGGCATGCCCTGAAACTTGAGCTCTTTTGAATTGAGTCGGTTCTACTTCATTTCTTTTTGTTGGATTGAAGTTTCTGCTATGCTCTTTGCTACATAATGACCTTTGTTAGTTTACAGAAACCCTTCTGGGTGACTGCAGTTCATTTACGTTTTTGGTATATACCTACCTTCCTCATTGGCAAAATTAAAACCATTTAATCTTATTCTGGCCATCTGCAGCTGAATGTTTCAAGGACCGAACTGATGTACAATGCCTGCACAGGTGGCAGAAAGTCTTAAATCCAGAACTTGTGAAAGGACCATGGTCAAAGGAGGTATATTGATACTTATTTCTGGAATTGGTCAATGTTCTTCTTCGTTCTATCTTGTTTCCCCTTTTTTTTTCTTGAACGCGTACATCATGTAAATTCCTTATTTATCTTGAATTTCTTCAAACAGGAAGATGAAACAATTGTTGAACTGGTGAATAAATATGGACCAAAAAAGTGGTCTACAATTGCCCAACATTTACCAGGGCGCATTGGCAAGCAATGTAGAGAAAGGTAAACATGAATTACTTATGAATTTATTCCAAACTTTACAAATTCATGAGTTAACATATTATTGGCTCATCTTTTATTTTCAAATCTAACTTGATGCCTTATTGTGTTTCTTCAAGCTTCCACTCAATGCGTCTATATTCACTAATGCTCCAACATTTGGCCCTGACTCGCTTTTTTTATATTTAGGTGGCATAATCATCTTAATCCATCAATTAACAGACAGGCTTGGACTCAGGATGAGGAGTTGGCCTTGGTCCGTGCTCATCAAGTTTATGGAAACAGATGGGCAGAGCTCTCAAAATTCTTGCCTGGAAGGTTTTGTTTTGCCCCATATGTGGAAAATATCAACTCTTCTTTTACCTATGCACAAAGTTCTTATTAACTATCTGGCAGACTTTACTAGAGGAGTTTCTGTTTGGAAGTTAGCGTTGATAATTGATGATTCATTTGATTCTGTGTGGGGTTTACAGGACAGATAATGCTATAAAGAACCATTGGAATAGTTCTGTGAAGAAGAAGTTGGATTCTTACTTGGCATCGGGTCTACTAGAACAGTTTCAAGGCCTTCCCCTAGTCATGCATCAAAATCAAGCCACACCTTCATCTTCTTTAAGGTTGCAAAATAGTGGAGATGATAACGACAGCAGTCGAAAGTGTGGCACAGAGGCAGAGGAAATATCTGAGTGCAGTCAAGAGTCAACAATCTTGGTGTGTTCTCAGTCAGCTAGTGATTTGGGCAATAATTCCGTTATTGGTACCAGAGAAGAATTCCAGTTAACACAAGATTCTGGCATGGTTAATGAAACACACCCCTGTACTGCTGCCCATTGTCCCCAGGAGTATTACACATCTCTTGGAAATGTCCAGTTTTCCATCCCAGATGTACCCTGTGAAGCAGATGGATCGTCCTCCGGCTTTCTCCAGCAGAATTATGCTCATTTGGCCGCAGTTAATAATCCAGCAAGTAGTGAATACCAATTTAACTTAGAGGACCTTTCCAACATGCCTCATTCACTGGAATTCGGACAAGGTGGCTTTTCGGGTGTGCCAACTCATTGTAGTATCGGTGCTCATGAAACCCAGGAAATGGGCTTCACTGCTCCTATTCCTTTGGAAGATATGGCAACATGTTCATCCACACCCGAACAGCAAATTCTTATACCGGACGATGAATGTTGCAAGATCTTGTTCTCAGAGGTAACAACCAGTGGAAACGTTGCCCCTCAAAATCATCATATAGAAGACTCGTCAAATATGGTTGACTTAGGTGGATCGTCAGTCAACCAAAGACCTGATAATGTGCTTATTCCAACTCATGATGAAGATCTAATAGCAAGTGTTATGAACTTCTGTGATGGTGGTGGTGGTGGTAATATGATGCAAGCAGAACCATATCTGGAAGAAGCTTCAAATTTGGAGATGACGAATGACGGTAGACTAGATCAACATCAAGGTGGGGATACAGGATCATTATGCTATGAGCCTCCACGGTTCCCAAGCTTGGATCTTCCATTCCTAAGTTGTGATCTAGTGCAACCTGATAGTGATCTTCAGCAAGAGTACAGTCCACTCGGTATCCGACAATTCATGTTGTCTTCAGCAAGCTGCATCAGTCCATTTAGGCTGTGGGATTCTCCAACTAGGAATACGAGTACCACCAGTCCCGATGCAGTCCTCAAGAGTGCTGCTAAGACTTTCATGGGCACACCTTCCATTTTGAAGAAGAGGACACGGGATTTATTGTCGCCTTTGTCGGAGAAAAGAGACGAGAAAAAGCTTGAGATTGATATGACATCCAGTTTGGCTAGAGAGTTTCAACGCCTGGATGTAGTGTATGAGGAGATGAAATCTGGCAACAGACCGTATTTAATGTCTCCATTATCCAAAGTTAACCAAATGTCTTGTAGTGAAGATAAGGAAAATGTGGACCCTGTTCTTCAATCGGATGAAGGAGAAGGGAAGGGACGAGACTCTTCTACTACCTCAGAGGATGCTGTTAAAGTGAAGAAAGAAATCGATGGTGGTTATACGAAGACAAAAGATCAGGATCCCGGTGTTAATAACCCCCAACTTGTGAGTTCAGTTTTATGTTACTTTTGTTCTGTTACTTGCACTCCAATGTGATGATTTGATTTATAGCTGTTTCTCCTTTGTACTGATTGCGACAGCACTCCGAAATACTTGTTGGTGAAGAAAGCTTGAGTGATCTGTTACTATTTTCACCTGATGCTCGAACTCCAAGAAACTTCCATCGAAAAATCTTGGCTACTTTATCAGAGAAGGTTGTGACAGCTGGGTCGTCATCACCTACTGTGAACAAGAAGAATGAAGGTCAATCGACGGTTGCTGTTTCTGCAATGAAACCCCTGGCGTCATTATCAGCACCTGCTCAGAAAACAGTTGCTACTGCTACTACCACCACTGGGAATGACCTGTGAGTACTTTGGTTGTGAATTCTTGATGATTGCCCCTTTGCCGTCAGCTTTTTCTCAGCAGAGGCAGCTAAAGTTTCAATTTTTAAATCTAACATGAACGCATCTACTTAGCGGGGCATATCCTTTTTCTCCTGATTTACAGCTTTGGTGGAACTCCTTTCAAGAGGAGCATTGAGTCTCCCTCCGCATGGAAATCTCCATGGTTCTTTAACTCTTTCCTCCCCGGTCCAAGGGTCGACACCGAAATTTCAGTTGAGGTACTATTACTACTTCTACTTTACATGACATTCTCCAGAGTCATGAGCATTATTTATGGAGCCTCATAGCAATCACTTAATTTTTTCAGGATATGGAATATTATCTGAGCCCGGGGGACAGAAGCTACGACGCAATCACACTTTTGAAACAGTTAAGCGAGCACACTGCTGCTGCTTGTGCTGATGCATTGGAAGTTCTTGGGGATGAAACCCCTGAGACCATATCGAAAGGAAGGCAACACCAGACAAACCTGGTCACCGGTCAAGAAAACAAGGATGGAGAGTGTGACATTAATGGTTCCCATTTGGCCAATATCTCTGTATGTGTTGATGGTTTTCTGTCAGGGGAGTTATCATGTATATGCAGTATGTACGGCTACTTAATGACTTTGGAATCTGTTTTTTTCTTTTCTTGTAGCAGAAGGAAGGCCGAGTGTTGGACTTCAGTGAATGCGGGACGCCTGAGAAAGGAAGGGAGAATGGGAAATGTTCTTCTTCTACTACGGTTGCAGTAAGCAGCTTGTCCAGTCCTTCCGCTTTTTCCCACCTGTTGAAGGGTTTCAGATAGTAAAGGAAGAAAGCCAAGGGAAGGACAGAAACAGTTTTAGGCTGTGGGAACTTCTATTGTTTATAGTAACACCAAATATAGATGATGTATGTAAGCATTTTGTCTGGAATCCGATACTTGTTAAGAACCTTCAATCTATTCTGAATTCATTCAAACTTGTTCATATCAGTCTCTCCTATCTGATTCGAGAGAGAGAGAGAGAGAGAGAGAGAGAGAGAGAGAGAGAGAGAGAGAGAGAGAGAGAACCGAGCATTATTTCTTTTCGCCGTATCTTGTCAATTTACCTCTATCTGTTTGGAATCAATGTCGAGAAGGGCGGAACGCGGCTATCAAGGGTTTGCATGGAAGCTTTTTTTCTAGTTAAGGAAATGCTCGTGTCGATGAACTGTGGCTATTTGTAATGTGATGTACAGAAGGTAAGTGTAGTGGGTGAGGATACAGAGGCATTGAGGCAGATATTGTTTTTCCTCTTGTCAGGAATTGCATGAACAAATATAGGTCTAGCGAATAGAGTGTGACGATGTTACTTGACCAAGAGGTTGCCTTGTCCCACAAGAAAGTGATGGAAAGCCTGAAAGGAATGGAACGATGAACCCATCGATTTCTAGACCGATGTTCTATGCTATGATTCGGGTCTGTCAGTCCAAGTACAATCTAGCAGTTGTTATGTGAATGATGCTTCTGACATTATAACTCGCAGGATTGCAACAATTTGGAAGAGAAGTTCAAAGCTCTCGAGAAGCAGCATAGGAAACTAAGCAAAGGCAAGCAAAAGGCAAATGTGTAGGGATCATAGGGTACTCATTAAATAAATTATGTCGATAATATGTATGATAATTTTACTGTAAACTCGTCCAGTAAATTTCCAATAGTTACAGGGTGGACTATCTCACTGTTTCCAACCCCTTGTTTATTTTGCAAAATTTTATTCTGAATCTCCCACCAAGTACACTTACGTTTCGCCCTTGCCAGGCAAATTGAGCTTATAAGAACACAACAGAAGACCATATTGAGGAGTTTGCTGTTGACAATGAATGCATTACTTCATGCGAGTGACAGCTGCATGGATGGCATCAGCAAGGTGAGGAACGGACTTCGAGCTTAAACCTGCCATGCTAATCCGCCTGCAAAACCAAAGATTCCCATAAGAAATTCGAGAATTCGAGAAACAGAGATCCACTAGTGAAATCGAAAGCTTTTTCTTACCCGTCGGATGTCATATAAATGTGGTACTCCCTGGTCATGAAAGCCACCTGCTCAGAGTTCAGACCAGTGAAGGTGAACATCCCGATTTGCTTGATGATGTGACTCCAGTCACCAGGTGTACCTTTAAAGAATCCAGATTATTAGCTCTTTTTTATTAGAAGGTTGATAACACGGCATACGATATTGGAGGGAAATCGCGATCACCTCTGGCACGGAGGGCATCAAAGAGCTGCTTGCGCATGCTGATAATCCGGTCAGCCATTGCCTTCAGCTCTATGGTCCATTCATTGTACAAGTTTCTGCAGCCAAACCATGATTCAGAATCCCAAGGGAAATACCAGGCATCTTAATGCGCTCGCATAATTATTGATAGGGTATTGATTCTTACCCATCTTTCAAGATGGCAGCCACAATTGATGCACCATGGATAGGTGGATTGGAGTACATGGGCCTAATCACAAGCTTCAGCTGGCTCTCAACCCTGCCTGCAACATCAGCATCCTTGCAGACCTATGGTAGGCAAAAATAATAAACTGATAAATACATTTGCCAAGCAAAGCAATGAATTCCAGTTCTTAGTACTTCCAACTTTCAGGACAATAGCTTGGGGAAGTCGATCTTACAATGCTCAATGCACCAACACGCTCCCCATAGAGGCCCATGTTTTTGGCATAACTTTGAGCTACAAGAAGCTCCCCTCCATCGGCAGCAAACATGCGCACAGGCTGAGCATCTTCATCTAAACTCCCACTTGCAAAACCCTGCATATCATCAAACATGAGACACACCAGTTAGCTTTAGACAATGCCAAATAAAAGGAATCAATAGTATTTTGTTCGCTTGATGATACTGAACCTGATAGGCACTGTCAAAGAAAGGCATCAATGCTTTCGATCTCATCAAGCGTCTGATCTGCTCCCACTGTTGAGGAGTAGGATCCACTCCTGTCGGGTTGTGAGCACATGCATGAAGTAGTATGATGGCGCCAGAAGGGGCAGAGCCAAGATCTTCCATTAAGCCTATTGGCCACCAATAAGAGGGAAACAACAAGGCGTAAATATGACTGCAACATATGAGTTTAAAATGTACCATCATAAGCATCAATCCTTCTTCCATTAACCATGAATGCACTCAAAACTAAAGAACTTTGGTGAAAGGATCCAAACCTTGGAAGTTCAATCCACGAGTTGCCGGATCATAGTAACGATATGTCTTCACTGACAACCCGGCCAAGGTGAAAACCTTAGGGTGGTTACCCCACGTAGGCAGGGGAATGTATATCGTTCGCTGCAGAACAAGGCAAAAACAGAATGTTTACAAACATCAAATACCCTCATCATCACACAATCCTTAACTGCGACAAGCGGAAAATTAACTATGGAATACAAGAGCAAAACTCACTTGGTGATAATGCTTGGCCAGGAATTCACCTCCAACCCTTAGCGAGCCGGTGCCCGACAAGCACTGAACTGTGGTGATCCTATTCTCGCGGATCACTGGGCTGTTTCTTTAGGTAAAATGCATTAGAGAGACACCCACTATTTTGATGCTAACTAATCCATCAAAGAGCTGAGCTTAATCAATTGGGAATCTTATCAAATTACCTATCAGCACCGAAGATTAGCTTTGCACTCAGTTTGTTGAAGTCAGCCAGTCCTACAATTGGAAGGTACTCCTTAACCCGGGACCTAGATCAGAAGGAACAATGTCAAGAAACACATATCATCGGTAACACAAGAATTAATTCTCTATAGAAAGCCTAACCTGTCATTAACAAGCATATGCTCAGCTTTTCGAACCACATTCAGAACAAGAGGCTTCCCTTCCTGTCAATTGCAAAATCGAAAAAGGGTAAACTAACAGAACCCATTTATCGCAGATTCAGCCCTGGTTGCAAAATTAAGGAAAAGGGGGAGGAAACTGTTGGTGTTACCTCAGTTCGATAAGCACCCACGCCCAAATTGAGTTTGACAGGGCTGGGGTCCTTGTTATATGCTACCGTCACCTGTAATCATTTCAAAAACAATCAAAAGGGGGAATTGGCCGAATTCAAACCACTGAATCAATCAGAACAAGACTGATTGAAATCAAACGTGATCAGAGATCAAAAGCCATCGAGGGAGAAAGAGGGTACCCCGAGAATTGGGTCTTCGGGCCCACGAGCGATGTGGGCGAAGACGGAGTTGGCAGAAGAAGTAGGAGAAGCATAGATGGGGGAGGAGGAGAGTGCATTCTCGGCCACCAGGTGCCTTGCTAGAACGCTTATTCGCCGATCACTTGCCGGCGAACAGCCTGAAGATGAAGAAGAAGAGAACGATTTTGACGCCATTTGTTTCCTCCGTGCTTCGCGTTGAATTATGTCTGGCCTTCGGTTGGGTTCCGCTACTTCTGACAGGAAAGACGGGAAAACAGGGGAAGAAGAAGAAGAAGAAGAAGAAGAAGATGGAGATCGCTGTTTGTTATTCGCGTTTATATTGCTTTCCTTTTTTTACTTTTATTAATTTCATTTTCTTAAAATCGCGGGATCGCCGCGGCGGGTAGGAGAGAGAGGGAGATCGGTTCAATTGCGTAAATTGCCATTTCTCTTTGGGGGTGAATAACAATTTGATCTGCGAACTTTAATCTCCAACAAATCTAGCCACTGATGTTTGAAATAACTAATATAAATCGAAATCATTTCATCTATTTAGTTACTCTAAAGCAAACATCTATATTGATATTTGTGTGTCAGCTTGACCTAATTAGCATTTAAATATTCACATAAAATATTAATCGGCCAATTTGAATCACTCATTTGACCTCGTGTCGAACCTAAATCAAATTGATTATTACTCGATTTGGTTGCGATCGTGCATTGCCCACAAAAACACCTCAGACTCCTCTTTTCAATCCGAGCAGTTATCATATGGTCTATATGATATGATAGATGTTTAACTTGAATGATATGACACACGTTGAGCTAGGCGTTTCAGATAAAAAAAAGTGAAGCATAGAAGAAAATTTGATTTTACAGTTGAGATTAAACCAAAATTGAAAATTTAAAAATATAGTTGAAAAAGTATTATTCAAATTCATTTTGACAAAAAAAAAATTGTACGTACAGAAAAATAGACAAATAGGAACACGAAAGAATAAACTCTTCAAATGAACAAAATGTTATTTCTTGAAGTAAAGCACCCACAAAGACATCAAGCATCGTGTGATGAAGCGGTTGTGATATACGTACTTTACTTGATGAAACAATTCGTAGATGGTAGTTTTTAAATCGCTTTCAACATAGGTCGTCGAAAGATGAAAGTTTCTCAAGCAATATGTTCGTATTCCAAACTATAATGGTGATTAGGTAATTGATGAGGGGGGAAATTTACCGGCGCGGCATAGTCCACGGTGGAGATCAGCCTTTCGTCGGGAAATGGAGAGAATCCTAGCCGTCGATCAAGGGTTGTTGATAGCCCCGGCTATTATTGCTGAGCTGAGAAATGGTGGCACGCTAGTCAAGGAAAGACTGGGAGTTGCGTCACCGCAACCTCTTCTTCCCTTGTAAATGGAGATGAGGTGACACGTCGATGCAAACCGCCATTGATTTGCTTCATCATTCTCGAGGTTTGGGTTTTAAGGATGAGGATGTGGACCGATAGATATGAATGCCAAGCCATGTCTCCGCCCACAACTTCGGATTGGAAGAATAATAATTTCAATGCAAGTTGGTTTGGATATATTGTGGGACATGTTTGTTGATTATGTATTCATGGTAAGAGTGATCTAATCATGTAGGATGAACACAAGTCAGTGAAAATGAGACGGTAAATGTAGTGAAATCATCTTGTTATGGGTAGATTAGGTGAAAGTATTATGGAATCGTGCAATGGTGTATACTTGTATAGAGTCGTTGCATATGTGATCAAAAAAATTAAGCCCTAAATATGAGTTATGTATTTCGATGTTATGAGTCCTTATATATGAGATTAGAAAAACGAATATTAAGGTGTATGTTTTTATCATTTTATGTTATGAATCCTTGCATATGAGATTAGTAAAAATGACTTTCTGAAAAATGAGTTTTATGAATTGATGTTACATTTAGTCGTTGGGTTTGCCTAGAAAATACATAATCGGACTACACCATATGAATAGTTATCCACACTAATCTTGAGGTGTTTGTTTTACTTTAGTGCACTACATTCTTGTTTGAACAAATAAGTACACTACATGGATTTCTACATATGTGTCACACATTGGTATACGAACATAAAGACCTATTTTTCATTGTTACACTAAAGATGAGCACATATGATATTAGAAAATTAACGCTAAATGAGTTATATGTTTTTCACTCCAAAAAAAAAAGTATATGTTTCAATGTTATGAGTCCTTATATATGAGATTGAAAAAAACGAACCCTAAATATGAGGTGTATGTTTTTATCAATGTTGTCATAACCGAACCGGAGCATGACCCGGTAATGCAAACAGCTCGCACTTTAGTGGTCCAACCGGCATTAGACCGTTTAAAAACCGTTAAAGAACCGGTACCTAATAAACGTTATCAGTATAAATAGTGGACATTTCTTAATCAGAGCTCATCTCTTTCCTTCGAAGTTGTGAAATGGAAATAAGGATTCAGTTTAAGAGGCCGACGTTTTTGGTTTATTTCAATTTTCAAATTTTCTGCAATTTTTTTTAATTAAATTTAGTGGCTGAGTGGCAAAAACCGGACGAGCGACTCAATCGGCTCGAACGGTTAACCACCCTGGCTGCTCTTCAACCGCTACATAAAACCGGAGCGGCTTTTAAACTGTTCCGAGCTGGTTTTGTGACCGGGTGACGGTTTTACCGGTCGGGCCGAGCGGCTCGGCTCGGCTTTAATAACACTGGTTTTTATGTTATGAGTCATTGTATATAAGATTAGTAAAATGGCCTCCTGAATATGAGTTCTATGAGTTGATGTTACAATTAGTCGTTATGTTTTGCCTAGAAAATACATAATCAGCTTACACCATGTGGATTGCTCCCATACTAATCTCGACATTTTTTTTTTTTTTTTTTTTTACTTTAGTACACTACATTCTTGTTGGAACAAATAAGTACACTACATGGATTGCTACATGTGTGTCAGTGTGTCACATTGATATACAAACATAAAGACCTGATATTTCCAAAAATAATGAGCACATCTTTCGCTTATGCTTGTTTATAAAAATACATATTCATCTCCAAATCGCTCGAACCGCGCGTGATCATCTCATGTTATCATTAAACTAACCCCTTGGAGTTAAGATAGATGCACAATAGAGGTTAGTTATTTCTCTGCCTTCATGGAACGGAAGCTAGGGCTTCATGTATTGCATTGGCAAGGTAAGGAACTGTCTTGCTGCTAAGGCCTGCCATGTTTATCCTCCTGCTCTCCACATAAATAACACCAAATGAAATCAACAAAACCATAGTTGAAGAAATAGAATCCACACAGAGCAAGGAAATGGCAAAAAAAGAAGTTCTGAACCCCTACTGACCCGTCAGACGACATGTAGATGTGGTAATGTTTGGTCAGAAAGGAAACTTGATCTTCATTAAGTCCCGAGAAGGTGAACATTCCAACCTGATTCACAATGTGCTTCCAATCCCCAGGAGTTCCTGAATCAAAACATGCACATAATGATGTAGAACGAGAACTCAACATCTTCCAAATTAAGTTACTGTATCACAAGGAAGTTACCTCTTTCACATAGGGCATCATAAAGTTGGTGACGAAGGTTGACGATTCGAACAATCATCGCCTTCAACTCAGCGGTCCATTCATCATACATTTCCCTGCAGATTCAAATGAATCAATCATAAGAAACTCTTGAACAGACTAAACTATGTTAATGACATATTCATGACATTTTTAGTTCTTGTACTATATTAAAGTTTATAGCATTTTAAGTTCTGGTAGTACACTGTTTTAACAAACACAGCATATAATATGTTCCTTAATGAACAAGAATACTGTATTACTATGATGTTCAACCAATTCTATCCCCTCCATAAGAAATCTGAGCAGATTCACTATTAACTGGGTCGACCTGTGCTTAGTAACCATGTCATTGATGAGTCATGTGTCTGTCACGCACACTGGAAATTCGTTTTGCCTCTCATTGCAGCCCCGTTAAGCCCAATGATGGATGTATAGCAAAAATGGGAAGAGAAAGTAGGCATGGAAGTCCAATTGAGGTACACAAGAGGAATTTTAAGTATAGCCAACATGTGAGTCATTTAGAACATACATAATAGTCGATCCCACTAATAAGCAATAAAGGATTTTGATGAAAGTTTTAGTAGAGGGACAATAAAAATAAATGTTGTTGTAATTGTTGTGTTTGTTAAAATTCATAGTATAGAGAGGTGTTCATAAACTACATCGTAGGCACACAGAGTAACATTAACCCGTTATAATTAATAATATTACCTGTCCCTCAGGATTGTTGCTACGATTGCTGCCCCATGGATTGGTGGATTTGAGTACATGGGTCTGATTATAAGTTTAAGTTGGCTCTCAACCCGGCATGCTACATCTTCTGCCTTGCACACCTGCAAAAAATAACCACCTTTAGTAAAGAATGCTTGAGTAGTCTAAGAGAATCAAAGTGTTTTGATTCCATGAGATTCCCAGTAGTTACATAAGCTTCTGAGTCTTACAACATTAAGTGCACCAACACGCTCCCCATAGAGCCCCATAATCTTTGAATAAGATTGAGCTATGAGACATTCGCCTCCATCTGCTACAAACATCCGAATAGATTGAGCATCCTCTTCCAGATTTCCAGTAACAAAACCCTTTTGCAGAGTAAAATGTAAGATAGAAATGGTTAGCATGTTCTATGAGACGAAAGATATATATGGGCTGTTGAACAATAATTTTGTAAACCTGATATGCACAATCGAAGAAAGGTACAAGTCCTCTCTGCCTGATCAGCTGCCTGATTTGCTCCCACTGTTCGACAGTAGGATCTACACCAGTAGGATTATGACTAGATGCCTGGAGAAGCACAATGGCCCCTGATTCTGCTGAACCAAGGTCCTCCAATAATCCTGCCACCCCAAACAACCACCAATACCAAAATTCAGGACTGCCCTTTAAAGCAACTTTATTCATGGTTCATCACGTGTGAAATTATTAGACTCATCCGTGGATGTACACATAACCTAAATGTACTTGCAAGTGATCAAACAGGTGAGAACTAAAGAAAGACGGGATATAAACCTTGAAAGTCCAGCCCTTTGGTTGTTTCATCATAGTACCGATAATACTTCACAGTTATTCCTGCAGCTATGAAGAAGTTCATATGGTTGCCATAAGTAGGTTGGGAGAGGTAAACAACGTGCTGCAACATGGAGATAAACAAAACGAAAACCGAGAGATTAAATCATCAAGCATGAAAACGCCAACAATGTAAATTTGAAGCAGTTCAGCAAAGGGTAATATGTATCACTTGATGGTGAAATCTTGCCAAGAGTTCAGCTCCAATCCTCAGGGAGCCACTACCAGACAAGCACTGAACCGTGCACACCCTCTTCTCTTTGATAGCAAAACTACAATCAAGCACCGAATTCATAAATGTCAACTGTCAAAAAGTTCTGGGTATTAAAAGATCATTTCAGCAGTAGCAGCCAAATATACCTATCATGACCAAGCACAAGTCGTGCACTTAGTTGGTTGAACTCTGACAATCCAGTGATGGGTAGGTATTCCTTAGAGGCAGACCTAGGATGAAAAATTTCAGAGCTTTCAAAACCCATTACAAAGTGTGGGTAAAGAGAAGAGCTGCTTATTATTATTGTGGGTTTACTTGTCATTGAGGAGCAACTTCTCTGCTTTGCTAACTACATTTAGTAGATGAGGCTTCCCTTCCTGCCAATGTGCATCCATAAACAAAACTTAAGGAGAAAGAGTTTTTTACATAGGTTTTACGAGAGTTGGAAATTTGGAGCAAGAAACCCACCTCAGTTCGGTAAACCCCAATTCCCAAATTGAGTTTGGAAGGACTTGGGTCATCACGGTAAGCAACCATCACCTGCTCATCGCAAGTTCCACATATTTTTTATGGTCGGCAATGGAAGTCGATTGTAGCAATTTTGAAGAGTGAAAGAAGAGTGAGTGAGTGAGAAGGAGAATCACCGCGTAAACTGGGATATCCGGAGCTTGGGGTACTTGATAGAAAACGGAATCATGGCTGTAGTCGCCCATTGTTTGCCTGCCTCCTTTCCTCGACTGAGCTCCCTCTGTGCTTTAGCTCTCAAGACTCAAGAGCATCAGTGAGGAACTATTTGTTTTGGCCGGTGTGGGATTTTCATTTCCCTTTTGTTTTTTAATTTATTTGTCTGTTTCTGAGTAAATTGTCTCAACCTTCGTCTGTACTGACTACTGAATACTCTCTACTTTTCCAGCGCATTTCTTCCCCTAAAAAGGAGATTAGATAGAAAAATGGGATTTGCATTGGACGAAATCAACGGCTACTCATGGGTTTGAAGTTTGCACAGGTCCACCATACCATGTGCTTGAACGACAAACGGTGGCTTGAAGTTTGCACAGGTCCACTATACCATGTGCTTAAAAGACAACGGTTAACATTGGAGGTCGTGAAGATTCGAACACATGACCTTTCAGTTCTAACCTCTGATACCATGTCATGAACCAATTGGTCCCAATAACTCGAGTTGTTGGGATTTTGGGATGCTTCCAAATGCGCCAACAAAAGCAAGCAATCACAACCTACAGAAAAATGGCTACCCACATTCATGGAAAGGCAGAGATTTTACTTCTTCCTCCTCTTTTCCTGAAGCGGCTGGACATCTAGTTGAGGGTATAGAAAGGAATGCATAGGAGCACTCAGTCGGAAAATCCATCTCATCCCCAATTCCCGTGTCTTTCAGCCAAAGAGAGTAAAAACACCGAAACCAATCCCAAACAAGACAAAGAAAACCACGCTGCTAGCAAATAAACATAAAGACTATCTATTCCAAAGTCTTGACAGAGTGCTTCTTCTCGATTATGGAGTTGCAGCATTTCACTAGGTAAGCATAGGGTTCATATGACATTGGGGAAAACGACTAAGAAATGGATACCCAAAATGCGAATGAATATAACAAAATCTCTGCCAACATCTGGTAGAACTACATGCTCCGGTCAGATAAAGAAACACAAACGTTAATGGGCTGACTCCACCTTTATCCGATCCACGTCATTGATCACTCCTTCAAGCTGCAGCAAGGGATTTAGCACACATAATCACCATGGGAGAACATTATGAATAGATCAAATCTTCTTCTAACATATCATAAGCAGAAAGAAGAAACTATAGGACATAACTAGCATACCTTTACAATTTGCCGCAAGAAGAAATCGCCATATCGCTTCACTGGTTTTGAGTCCACAACACGTACCATGTCCTGCAATAGCCAAAAAGACATGGATATGTTAATTATAAAAGTGAGAATCTTTGCTATATGCACATCAAACTCCAAAACTATATGGAATCTGGGGGGCGGGGCTTGTATCATACATCATCAATGTAGAAGTCAACATCAGCATTGGAGATAATCTTTCCAGCAGAATCAACAGCATGAGTCTTGTGCTTGTATGTGATCAATATCATCCTGAAAAACAAGACCATTGCTCAAATCTCTCCTCCCATAGACAAGATACTGAGGGACAAACTTTTCAAGGACTAGAACCTTCACCTTAACGTGGATTCATCCACATCCAAGTAATTAGCAAGCTTCCCAAGTGATATAGTTGAGTAAACTTTAAGGAAGGTTCGAGCACCAACTAACAACTCTTGCTGCCTCACCTCAGAGAGAAAAAGCTTCAACTGCAGCCTATAAGCATCCTGTAAAGAAAATAAGAAAGTGTAAAGCACGGGACAAATTCTTCATTGGAAGGCATTGCATATTAGAAGTAAAACATGTGCGTGATAATTTGCATACCTGGTTGTAATTTACAAGAGGCTCATTAAAACTTGGAGCTGAAGGGGTAATAAATTTGGGGCATGCATATGAGAAGAGTTCATCATAGATACCAAATGCCTCATCAGCAAACCTTTGCCTTCTGTTCATCTTGTCACCATATGCCTCATCATCATACCTTTGCAATTTACCCATTTTTTCACCATACTTCTCGCGCAATTGAGCATTCACAGCTTCATCGACAAGCTTCATTTGAGGGCAAAATGAGAGGCAAATTGCAAGCAGGGCATACATTTGCTCATTCTTCTTCAGTATCTGTTCATACTGTGGAGACTTCTGATGATATTGCTTGGTCTTGTAAATGTACAAGAGAATTTTGTTGAACTCACGGATACCATCCACATACCTAATGTGAAATTTCAGTTTTAGAATGGTAGAAAAACAGAGAGAGAGTACAAATCAGAAACAATATATACAAAAGAGACCCAACTCTAAGAACATTCAAAATTCTTGGAATCAACCACTAAATCAAGATATTACTTCATGTCCAAGAAGGAACAATGCCCTTGAAAGATACTGACAACAATTTTTTAGAGTTATTAGAAGCATTTCAACATAGATATGGCAGGCGCTCAATTGGAATAAGAATTGAACAACCAAACGACCATACAATCGAGCAATAACAAAAATACCCATACCACCAAAAAACAAGAGAGGAGAGGGATGGATACAAACACTCCATGTAAAAATTACCTCCTCAACATCAGGCTTGCAAAACCATAATGATATATCGTAGCGATGTGGCTTCCTATAACACTGGTGTAAACACCTTGTTGACTTATGTCAATAGGTTGTAAGCACTTAAGGCCAGTATGATAATCTCCCAAAAGGCAGTGAACTCGCAACAAACCAATCATACTGAAGTACCCCAACACCTTCAGAACGTTACTTCCTCCACTATAATCATAACCATCAGTGGCAGTGAACTGCTCAAGGCCTTCCTTTTCCTGCTCCAAAATGTGAATAATAGCCGACTTTTCAACCAATGCTTGCAAGAAGTTGAGCACTCCATACACATTCCACGCCTGTAATAAAAGTAATCTGAAGATGCTCAAAAACTAATTCAAATCAATAGACAAGGGCATCCGTAACACTTAAAACCGCCGCATTGACACTTCATCAGTGAAGTAACAAGAGTCAAATCAGATTGTATGGACATTGAAGATTGATTTTCTTGTCCAGATAATTAAGATTCCGAAACAGTCTGGCTAATCTTAATCTCCACGGAATGTCACTCGAAAACCCATCTCGAGCAAGGAACATGTATGAATCCGGATGTACCTGATCAAATTGCCTCAGAAGTGCAATCTCCTGCTCAGTCTTGTTCTTCATCTTAGCTCTATACTGGCAAAAGCTCTGGAACTGGTAGACAAACTCATCCACCATATCCCACAGCCACTGATTGGGCAACTGCATATTCACCACTCCATGCAACACCACCTGCAAACCAAACATTCAATAAGCATTCGCAAAGCCAAAGACATCACAAATCAAAAGTGGGAACGAACAGAAGCAGCAAAAACAGACCTGGAAGAGACTGCAGTAATTGTCCCAACTGTCGATTCTCTGCTTAAGCGTAGGGGAAAGGCGAGCATAGAGATGGCGGAACCACATCTCGCGATAAAGAAGACAGAAAACATGGTCATTGTCGACATAGTGAGCCACGGCGTCGACTGAAGGCCAAGGAGTATCCTTGAAGAGCCGCTCCGACAGCGTCTGGAAGGAAGTCTCGTACATCTGGTGGATCTCGTAGACATTCTTCTCCCTGATGTGGCGGTATAGGTGGACGACGAAGGATTTCACGGAATCGGGAACGAAGTTTGGATCGTATCCGACTTCCTGCTGCCGGAGCGCAGCTGCCTGGTCGTCATAGTGGCCGGCAGCTTCATCGTACTCGTAATTGGCAGCCATGGCTCGAGATTCACAGCTCGAGGACCCGATGGCGATGGGGGATTAAACAAGGAGTGAAGCACGACGACGCAGTAACAGGGTACAGAACCAAGATTGCTTTCAGTGGAGAGTGGAGACAGAGCAAGATAGAAGTTCACGCAGACTAGGGTTTTGTGAAGGGACAACCTTTGCGGAGCCCATCTTCCGATTCTGGCCCATTTAACCTTCTCCAGGATATAACTAGTCTAAGCCCATCCTAAGGCCCATTTAGCTGCTTATAACTGCACCAATTGTATGGAAAAGGCCTATTGACATCGCACAGAGCAGGCTCCTACAGAAATTTTGAACTTCGTCATTGAATATGTGCGGAAAGAAAAACCAAAAGGTGTAAATCGTGCTTACAAAATCCAGACAAAGACTGCTCCTCATTAGGCCATTTGCAGTCTAAGTCAGGCTGCCAGATTCAGTAGTCATGTCATTTACAGTTTACAACGACCACCGAGCTAAACTACTACTGGTAAAGTGCACGTCTCAAAACCGCTACAGATAGCCACGCGAACTGGGTTTCCCTCCTCTTTTTGCTTTTGGTATCATCAGCTGTATACACTAATCAAACCTGGGTTCACCAACCACTATACCCTCTGCCTGTTTGCAGTTGCATTTGTCAAGTGAGGGGCTTCTAGAAAAGTGTCTGGTTCGTCCTCGTCGTCAGAAGATAGCAGAGAGGAACCCATCCAGGACTTAAAACCTTCACTAACTCGTCTTTCGACCTCTGGTGTTACCGCCACTGCCAAGGTGTTTGCTTCCAGCATTTCCAGACCGAGGTTTCTGCTACCCTGATCGCCCTCATCGATGATTACTGCAGCTTTTCTTCTCAGGAAAAATGCAGTTCCCCCGTATAGAATAACAAGCCCCCACGCAGCAATCTCGTAGCACCAGAACAAAGTTACGGAGCAGCTACTCCCTAGGGTTAAGAGGGTTGAACCGAGGAATAAAGCGAGAAGACCAAAGGTGGTGGCGAAGATGGCGTTTAAGATGGAAAGGCAGCGGACCCCACCTGTAATGTCAGAAGATTCAACTGTGATCATTAGAGGGGAAAAAACATAGCATGCCGCCATGCACATGAAGCAAGCAGAAGATTCTCTCTACTATTATCACACAATAAGAGAAGGAAAAAGAAAATTCTAACAGATCAAATTCCTATAAATAAGCAATAGTGAGTGAAGGTTTGTCCTTGGTGCTCCATAGTCTATATTTTGCCATCTGAATGGCCATTGTTGCTTCACCGATGGCTCCAGAAGGCAACATTTAACCATGGCAGAAAGAGACCATCAATTATCGGAATCCATAGAGTCATACAACTGATCAGTTATAATCAGTGCCACCGTCCTCTTTACAAGATCATTTGAAAACTTAGTTTACCTCTTCCCACTAAAAAGCACCAGCATTCAGGTAACAGACCAGACTTGTTTTAGCACTATCAGAAAATTACATATGGTAGCAGGCTTCCTAAACTCGACTCAACACCCAAGTCAATACACTAACCAACTACAAGGGGGGCAATCGGGGCTGTATTCTAATATCAACTATCATCTCAAGACTACAATGGACTGCTAAACAAGGAGAGTAAAATTTTAATCAAAGTAGGAGCTAGACAAGAAAGTAACTAACCAATGAGAGATCACTATTGGCATGGACAAATCTGTAAAGATATCTTCAAAAAGACTTAACTTATCAAACGCACTGCTCTAGAGAATAAGAAAGTTGGTTTCTTCCTGTATTTCCATTTGTCTGTCCAGTGCCCATCGCACTGAATACCATGAATAAGTAACTAATGTAGTACTCACAGTGCCAATTGCATTATTCAGTGTGCCAGAAGTAGTAAAGCAGTCATAAGCACTTCTAGCACCAGAATGTAAATCCAGAAAACCTCAATCATATTCCACAAGTTGAGGCTACCTAGGCAGACGACTAAACATATAGATGTACTCTAGATAACAGAGGTGCCAATATACAATAGGCAAGCTGTGGATAGAACTCATGTTCATCACGAAAATACGAATGAAAGTAACTCTCCACATCATCACAGACACCATAGAAGTAGAAGCACCACAGTCTTTTGAATCGTGATGAAGTGAGTTCATAATCTGTTATGAAAAGGGAAGTAAAGTGGAACACACCTCTTCTGGAAGCACAGTAATTGTTTTCCACCACCTTTAAGCAACTATGTCTTGTTGGAGCAGAATAAGCAACGGCAATCCCTGCACCAACATTAATCCATTCCATAAGAACTAATTTCTCTAAGAACCCACCAAAACAGCTAATCTTGCAAATGATTTTCATGAAGAACTACCTCATTACCCAATGGTAAAGTTTCAAAATCTATGACACAACTCTATGCCCAAAGAAATCCTACAAAGCTGAACACGAAAAGCACTCATATCTATGCATTGAGTTCGCTTACTTCAGTCGCCAACAAACAACACTTTATAGAATTCAGTTCTAATAAATACAGGAATAGAACAACCATACTCCATTGAAGGTTTTGCACTATGGGATGTACCAAAATGGAGAACCAACGCATTCATTCACCACTGATCAGAAGTAAATTCCAGCAATAACCTAAATTGCAGTGAAATGTAAAGCAAATAAGGATAACATTCTTAGTAAGGACTGCTCACCTGCGGCAAGATAAGCAAACGAGGTCAAGAAAATGATGAGCGATGGAATGAAGAGTACCATCCAGTAGTAGTCGGCAATCTCCTGATCCGTGAGATAAAACGCACCGGGAAACAGATCAGAGTCCCGCCCTCCTTTCATGGGCAGAGGCAGGAGCCTCCGGTCACTGCAAAACGGCCGCCGGTAACCATCGGCGGGGAAGACAATCTTCAAACTAATAGCCGTGCAGACAAGGATGGCAAGGCAGATTAAGGAAACGGCAGAGATCAAGAAAGGTCTCTGTAGCCTCGACCATGCCTTCTCCTCCTCCCGCAAGCTCTCGTACTCGCGTTTCGGCATGAACGCTTGCCGCAGTGCGTCGCTGATGATCATTGCCATTTTCCAGATCTACTACTATACTACTAGGTAGAGAACAAAAACCAAAAGCAACTGACACACACACACACGTGAGATGATTATACTATGGGGATTCCTTTTCCTTCCCTTCCCCCTTGCTATTGTTTATTAGCAGATTGCGCGATTCTCAGCTAGGGTTTTCTTTCTTCCAGTCTATTTCAGAGCCGCGTGATGTTCCCTCGCGAACACGAAGAGCTGGTTCTTATGTGAGTTACCTAATCTTGAAGGCGCACGCAGATGGCGTATGTGGAAAGTGATTGATCAACGATTTAAGCTTCGCCGAGTTCGGAATTTTTCCCGGGGACGAGAATTCGTCGAATTCGCAGGGAGGGGAATGTATTTCTTCGTGGAAATGAGAAGGATTTCTCGGAAGATGATTTAACGGAGTTGGCCGGAGAAGGAAGAGTAGCGAAGGTGAAGAAGAGAATGGAGGTTGGACTTTGGAGCGGAGAAGAGAAATGGGCTCGGGTTTGTTATTGGGTTTGCTTCTGTTGTTCCTTGCTCCTGTCTTTGGGTTCACGAAACTTCCGAGACTCAGCGGGTTTTTTGCTACTCTTATGCTTATTGATTAGCTGGAAAGTGAAATTTAGTAGATTATCAACAATTTCTAGCAGATATGATCAGAATGGAATGCTGAAGTTTGTAGTAAGGAAAATTAGCAATCCAATTACCAGGGACAGAGGTATAATCACAAGATCATGAAAATAGAAAACAAAAATATGTTTAATTGGTATATCTAAGAAATTATGGAAGTTAAAATTATTTTGTAGGTTTAGTTATTTCATTAGGCTGCGTATGGTATCATGTTGAGATGAACACAAAAATAGGAAAACAGTGGAAGCAATAGTGTGGCATAACGAGTTATGATGAGAATGAGGGATGAAACTTTTTGTCTTAGCCTCCATGATAATGTCTCGATCACACCCTTGATAGCCCCAATAGCTCTACAGTCTACACTCTCGTCGTCTTGAGACCGCTACCTCATTGATTATATAATAGAGCCCCTTTCATGCTGACTTGGTACTACCCTCGCTTGTTAACTTATCCACCTTGATGAAGTGACTTGTTAGTTAGACAAGGGTAACCGCCTTGACAGGGTGCGTGAGACCTGGTCTATTTCCCCGCCAGGGCTCCACACTTAAGTTTTAGGGAGCTCAACATCCGTCTTGTCGGCTTGATATCGCTTGATACCTTACAGGCTTGCTCGTAGCCACTCTTAAAAATTTGCTAGCAAGTCCATTTGATCGACCCTTTTACCCCGCCAGCTTGCCTACAAGCTCGTCTTGCAATTTATTTAGTCTCCATATGACCCCCTAAGGGGCTCGACACCAAGTCCTCGTCAAGTTGATGTCCTGTCAGGTCAGTACCTTAGCTAACAAGTCTCCACCCTCGCGGTATCATACTTATAATCGGGTTGGCACCCTGCCAGTTTGATCTCTATACTTAATTTTTTAGAGCCTCATTAAGTTGGTACGAAAATATGAAATTTGACCAAATCTGGAAACAACATAATTGGTAGCTATACAACGGGGTATCGACTCGGTATTAACCAGAGAGTCATACAAAAATTAATTTTGGATACTTGATACCTTGTTGCATGGGCGTGAAGCTTGTCTCGACAGGTTGGTATCTAAAGTTAGTTTTTTAGAACCATATTTCACACCAATGGGCTTGTTACAAAGAAGAGGTCGTGTCAACTACTTGTGTAAGGAGGAGGAGGCCGCTGGCCATGGAGACACAATCGACTACCTATGTAAGAGAGAGGAAGCTCAACCATTTAGGATCCAAAAAACCAATTCAATAAGACCCAACTAGCTAATAATGTTTAATGATGTTCATCTGAATTAAATTCACATAATATTTGTAATTAATCGATGTGTCAGCGTAGACAATAACATTTTAACAATAAGTTCACTATCCAAATGAACAACATGTAGGGGTATTCAAACGGTGTGGTTACTGCGGTAATCGTTTTAACCGATAGTATTTGGCTAATTTGGATAATTGGTTTGGTTACAATTTTTAGTTTGTTTGGTTTAGGTGGTTTGGTTTGGTTTCAGACACTCCTAACCAATCAAACCAAATTAACCAGTTAAAAAATTATCCAGATGACTAATATATATTATATGCACATACTTAATACTTGACATAACCACTCAAGAGCCAAATATTCCTTCTTTTTAGGCTCATTAATAATAAAGCGCAATATTGTTCCTATAATGTATATTTGTATTTGTAGAGTGTAAATCATGTATATGAACACCCAAATTAGATAAAACTCATACAATATATTAGACGAAAACTTAAAATATATGTCAATAGTATGGAGTTAAGTAATTGTTGTGATTGTGTGAATTGAATTAGCCTCTTAGCAATTATCATAGGTTGCATGTGTTTCTTGTGTTTCTGTAAGGGTTAACTATAACTTATAACTTTGTGTTCATTGCAATGTTTTATTCATCTTATATATTTTCTCACTTAATGATAATGTGATGTTATATTGATTAATCTGGTTAACCAAATTACCAAACCGATTAAATTTTAGTTTGGTTAATTTGATTGTTGTATTAGTTTGGACGGTTTGGTTATCATATTATATTCCATAGTTAATAAAAGGGTAATTTCTATTTTTTATCTAAACCTTTTTCAGATTCTTTTATATTATAAAAATCTACCGAAATATTAAGAATTTAATAAATGTTAACTTTCATTTAGCAATTTTGTTAGTAATATTGACTTGCCAACATGATACTAACTTGGAAGAGACATATGAAGGTCAACATTGCAAAATTTTAATATTTTAATTAAGAAAAAAGTTACAAATTTATTAACGATAATGTAAAAATGGCTAATATTTTGATGCATTACGAACAAATTGGCTAATTAATAACATTTTAATAGATTTGAATAATATTAAAAAAAATTAAAAAAAATTGAATAAAAAATAAACGTTACCTTCAATAAAATTTTGACTTGATTTGGTAATTGTCATATTAACCATTTGAACATTCCTAACAACATGGTTTAAACAAATCTACACATAATATAATACGCCGAAGGGAAAAACGGGAGCTTCATTTCAAATTTCTTGCAACGAGAGTGAAAGTAGGAAGGACATTTTGGTCTTCACAATTACTTTTTTTTATTGTGAAAGTAGGAAGGACATTTTGGTCTTCACAATTACTTTTTTTTATTCATTAAAAAGACACGTACTGGGATTTGAACCATGACCATTTTAAAGAAAAGCAAGGATAATAACCAATCACACTAAGCACATTTGTTGTATCTTTTTAAATTAAAAACATACCCATTTCAAATTCCCTGCTCCATGAGTGTTTGTAGGAAGGGTAGAATAGGAAGTGTCAATTTTTTTCTCTTTCCTCTGTGGAACGGGCCAACTTACCGTACACATGCGAATTTAAACGGGTCCAGGAGTGTCAATTTTTTTTCTTTAAACCCTTTTATTTCTCCGTGGTGATTAAATATATATGAAAAGGAAAAACTAATACTCCTTTTTATTGTTAAAAATAAAAAATTTAACGATAAACTAATGCATGGTATCTAATGGGCTAACCGCTAACCATAAAATAAAAGAGTTGAATGGGCCTGACCTACATGGGATTTGGCCATCAAGTAAAACAAATGAACATCATTGGTTTGTCATTCTAAAACAAGTTATTTTCTATTATGCTATTATTTTATATCTTAGTGGCTAAAATATAATGTATTTTAAAGTTATTCAACGGTTCAACCTCGGCCAACACAATTAGTCCAATTTTTATCATTTCAAATATATATTTTATAGTTATTTGATATCACAATGATCAAATTATAGTGTATTTTATAGGGAATCGTTTGGTATTTGTTAGTAAAAAACTAAACATAACGATCTATTTGGTTATTTTAAACATTATAACGATCCTAAACATTTTCAGTTCCTTTTGAATTTCCATGGTTTTAATCTCGATTAAGTGATGTGCAAATGGCGAATTGTAGTCATCTCTTTTCTTTCACTATTTTTTTATTTTCAAATAGAAAGTTTAAAAGTAAAGAATAATTAGAATTGGCATGGGTCGATCGAACAGGCTGAATTTCAAGTTTTGGCCTGTTTGTTTTATGCATTGCAAATTTATTAGCATGTTGATGGAAATGGCTTGGAAAAAAGACATATAAGTTGTACCTTTGCAGAAATGTCCTCAAATGTTTGAATGTTTTGTGAATCAGGTTCCGTGACTTTTGTGATGGTGTATGTGCTTGACGATTGCTCTTTTGATTTTCCCTATGAGTTGTGATACCAGTTCTGGTGGTTGCAGCATGTTGTCGTTGTTGGCCTGTAAAAGTTGTTCCACCGTGGTGCTAAATACCTTTCTTTCTTTTTTAACAAATTGTGTGGTAGTGCTATGAAACAGACCACCCATGAATGTTACGCTTATTATGGTCTGTTCTTACTTCCGTTGGTGAGAAATTGTGAATTGAGAATCATATTCGCCTACCGCACTGTGTCTGGCTGGTGGCTGCTTACTGTGCTCTCTAGAGTTATGAAACAGACTACCCATGAACGTTACCCTTAAGAGTCCATAACTTTGCGAAAAACCAAATTTAGGCAATCAAAGGTGGTGGATGTATGATATTTTTTATGGCTTAATTGTTTGTGAATTGGATATATGATCTTTGTATGATTAGAGGGGATGTTTGCTTAATAGAATAATCCATTTTAATTCATGTTTATTTTTAACATGAACTTTAGTAACTCAAAACCTTCGAGACACATATCACCTACTGCATTGTATCATTTTGCCTGGGTGCTTGCTGTGTTGTCAAACTTCTTTGCCGCTGCTGCTGCTTTTACACTAACAGGGGAGTTAAGAACCCATGAATGTTTTCGTTTGACACAAACAGGAGGACTTGCTTCTAAATCGTGCAGTTGATATACTGGAGACCAGAACAAAAGCAATGTATAACATCAAAACCAACCATCTGAACTATTAGCATTGTTGCTTTACTCTTTTTTCGTGGTTAGGTCTCCTTCAAAAAATTTAGTTTGATTTTAGAAAATTTTGCTTCTGCAGTCCTGTCTTGGCACCAACGCGTTCAGTAGATGGAGATGGCAGAGGCGAAGGCTATTTTTGTGTTGTTGTTGCTGGTTTAGGGATCGGTTTGTGAAGAAGAGGGAGAAGAGAGGGGGAAAGGGAAATGCAGGAGAGGGGGTTAACTCTTTTCTCTGACAAAAATGGAGTGAAGAAAAGAATTATGATCAGTAAGGATATGGTTATCTTACATAACTGTCTCTATTCTGTTGGAATTGAGCTTGGGAGGCAGTGATAAGGACGAGCTGCAACCAATTCATAGTGAGAAGAGAGCTATGAACTGTGATCATGTCCTATTTCAAGTTAGAAGGTAGTTTTGAGTATAAGGATTATTTAATTTGACAAGTTGTTTCGTCCATGATTCTTGGTAGTTTCAGTGCCATTCTAGCCATTGTTTAGTCTGTAATTTTTGAGAATTGATTTGCGAGTAATGACTTTCACTTAGCTTCACTATTATGCGTGTATTTATTGTCATGTGATAGAATTCTCTTTTCCTTTCTTTGAATTCAGTTTCATACTCTAATTGTATCATTTGTACATAGGCAAATCATGCTCGAGATGACAACTCACCGATATGGCTGGTGCAAGGAACGAAGCCATCATTAGAATTCAGACCGACAACGGGGAGGGATGCCCAGGACTAATTCAATGATGATTGATGATGGTATAATAAAAACTGCAGTCTGCATCAGCACCAATTTCTAGGCCTAAGTAAAGTTATTCAACCAGAACTCTGCTTAGCGCTAAAAATTCCCCTCACCCAACCTTGATCCTGTTTGACCCACTTATGAAGATTCAAGATATATGACTAATCCTCTCCGTTCGTATTTTCTTATTGACTCTTTCTGACCCTTTAGGTTGGGGCGGGTCGGGAAGAATCGGATTAGTGGGTCGGTCCTAAGCAAGTGGAATCCCAATTCCTTCTACTCTCACTTGCTTTTTCTCCTATTCCACAAGTGGGTAACATACACTAATCCGGCCAACGGGCCGGATAATAGGCTAGTATGTTACGAGAAGCTCAATTCCGTCAATCGCCACCAGCGAGCGTGGAGCAGTTGCGAATCAAATACAGCGAAGAATATTTGTCTTTTCGCCGCCGGCCGAAATGGTTTATCTCTCCTACCAGAGTGAGTGTCGTTTTTCTTCCTCCGCTGCTCCTTATGGTAACACGAGTCAACACTCTCTCGATCGATCAAAAATTCAGGAGGCACTACTTTCCCCGAATTGGTTGAAATTCTGTTGCGATGGCTTCTTTCTCGGCTTCTCTCCTGCAGCCCCAACATCTGACGCCGGCGAAATCCTCCGACGTTTCGCTACAGTCGCCGCTGTTGTACCGCACGAATCTCCCCTTTCGGACCCTTGATGGGTTTCGATTCCTGCGAAATGGGTCGGTCAGCACTAACAGAATTGACGCATTTACTCATCGAGCTCAGGCTGTGATTGGTAACTCATTACTTCTCTAACTTGATTCATCGAACTTTCCAGTCATTCTTCACGCCGAGGAAGTCTTCTGATCATGGTTTTCTATTCTTTTCCGTGTTTCGTGTTTGAAGATTCCGGTGTGGAAATTTCTGATGTTCCGATCCTCACTGCTTCGGAGGTTTGATTCCTCTGGCTACATGGGCATCGCCACCTGATTTCCTGCTTTTCTCTAAACGTTCTGCAAAAGTAATTCTATTTGTCTGTGTGTGGTTTTCGAAGGTGGTTGAGAGACTGAGATCAAGCAGAGAGAATGGCAAAGGGAAGCAGGAGTTCCTGGCAATGTACTCTAGCGTTGTTGGTGGAATAACAACTGATCCAGCAGCTATGGTTATACCAATGGATGACCATATGGTCCATAGGGGCCATGGCGTCTTTGACACTGCTGCGATCATGGATGGGTTAGTGTACTTTCACTTCACGCCAACAATTTAAAGGCTTTGCTTCCATTTGTAGGATTTGACCTTGTTTTATTCACTCTTCACCAGACTATGCTTTTGTGGATTATTACTTGCCATCTGTCAAGAACTAGTCCATGTAACTGAAATTCTTACAGATTCATCAAATTCATTAATAATGGGCGTTTAGGACTCCAACACGAAGTTTTGGCTATCAGTGACTATGATATCATGTTAAGCACTAGTTCATCTCAACAATTTGAGTTGTTTGGAACTCCATGACATGAAAGTTGCAGACTTTTCTGGTTTTTTTATGAACTAACAAAAGGAGCAAGAGGTTGATGTTTATCACAAATGTATGGACTTGACTCCCAAGTGTTTGTTTTCTTGTTTCCTTATTTCAGGCACCTGTATGAGCTGGACCAACATCTTGACCGCATTCTAAGATCAGCATCCATGGCAAAGATCACTCTTCCATTTGACAGGGAGACCATAAGAAACATACTAATACAAACAGTGAGCGCCTCTAGATGCCAAAAGGGATCCCTACGGTACTGGCTTTCAGTAGGACCTGGTGACTTCCAACTATCTCCTTCATCCGGTTGTCATCAGGCAGCCCTTTATGCAATCGTGATTCAAGACCAATCCCCCTTCGACTCCAAAGGCGTGAGGGTTGTGACCTCATCGATCCCCATAAAGCCTCCACAATTCGCCACCATGAAGAGCGTCAATTACCTCCCCAACGTGCTCTCGAAGATGGAAGCTGAGGAGAAGGGCGCATTTGCAGCTATTTGGCTGGATGAGGATGGGTTCATAGCTGAAGGTCCTAACATGAATGTAGGGTTTGTCACCAAAGAGAAAGAGCTTTTGATGCCTCGGTTTGACAAGATATTGAGTGGCTGCACTGCTAAGAGAGTGCTGACACTAGCTGAAGGGCTGGTGAGAGAGGGGAAGCTTGGAAGTGTAACTGTGAGGGACGTGAGCGTTGAAGAAGGGAAGCAAGCTGATGAGATGATGCTCATCGGGAGTGGGATCCTCGTTCGCCCTGTTGTCCAGTGGGATGAACAAGTCATAGGTGATGGTAAGTTCATGAAAAAAAACCCATCTTTCTGCAAATTCCCTTAGACATGCTGCAAAATTCCCAAATCCATGCGTGCCTCTTCCTGATAGAATCTCCATTTCCGCGTTGCTGAAATTACCTCAAGTCTTAACCTGATTATTTACTGGGACTGTTTTCAATGTCCTTTATAATCTTCTTTTCCCAGGAAAGGAAGGTCCCATATCTCAGGCGCTACTGAATTTGATACTTGATGACATGAAATCCGGGCCACCTACTGTTCGAGTTGCGGTTCCTTGACTGTGATGCTGGAGCTGCCTTGATCCAGAAGGTATTTGCAAGAGGCAATAAGTTCCTGTGTTGCCACTTGCCATGTAAGTTGGAAAATGAAAGCCAGATCTCTCTCATACAGCAGCAAGTGGAGGATCTAGTCAGAGGCAACCGGCCTTGGAATTTTCTCTCCTTCCTTTATTTCACCTTTTTTTCAAGCTTTCCTCTTGTTTGATACTGGTAAACAGTGAGCCATTATGCATTTGGGCGGTGCTTTAAGTAAGATATAAGATATATATACATATGATGATATCATCGCCAGACACCATCTATGCAAACAAAACAAAAGACTGAACATATGTGATATGAACCTAGGCAATGATGTGGATTTGGGTCAACGGATGGATGCCTCCTTGTTATCTTCTCGCTCGTTGACAAACGTTTAAGTTTAAGGACTGTGCTGTTTATAAAGACTAATTTTGGGACCGTATTGATAACAACCGTTAAATTGAAGCACTCATTCGCATACTGGTAGGCGGACAACGCAACGTGACGGAAGTGGACGGAACGGTAACTGCAACGTGTCACTCAAACACTGGTTCCCCACCACCTCATCAAATGCTAATAATGGGTAAAAATGAGGAAAAAGGCCAAAAAAATAAAATGACAAGACAGCGCTTATCACCAAGAAAGTAAGAAGAGAAGAACCAACTACGCATTAAAAGAGGCCCACAGTAGAACTAAATTTTCTGATTATTTTGTTTTAATTTTTCATTAAACATTTTTTTTCTTCTGGTTTTCCGGAGAGGGAGAGGAAAGAGGCGACCTTTCGAACAAACAACTGTTTTCTGTTCTGTGCGGCAGCTCATATAATTATTTTTTTTTGATCCGGTAAAGCGAGAGCGTTATACAGGGCACGGAATAAGGATTCTTGCCGGAGGAATTATTATTCTTCACTGTTTCAGTGTCGCCGGAATTGGACTTCCAGCGATCTCGTTTTCGGCAGAATAAGGGAGGGTTGGTTGATTTGATTGGTGGCCGGGGGTTGGGTTTTGAAGAGATTCCGGGGAAGATGGTGAATCCTATGGTGGAACGGGCTACGAGCGACATGTTGATCGGGCCTGATTGGGCTATGAATATCGAGATCTGCGACATGTGCAACCACGACCCTGGGTACGCGCGCTATTTGCCTTGCCCCCACTTCTCTCGTAATTTCTGCTTCGATTCTCCTTTTGCGGACTTGTTTCTATGTGTTTTGCTTCCCAATCGATTGTTTGAGCGGTAATTCAGCGGAGTGGGCAGTGTGGCTTTTGATCGATTGGTTGTTAGCTGGGATTGAGGAAGCTCTAGTGGGCAAAACGCTGTGAATATCGGTTTGGTCTTTACTCTTGATTGTAGCTCAAATTTCCGAATTTTAAGCTGCTGCGGATTTGGGGGTTTATGGTGAAAGGCTCGTATCTTTGCAGCAAGTGGATACAGTTATCTCTTGGTTGAATTTGTTTCATCATGTTTTGTGCTTTAGTTGCTCGGGAGAGGTTTAGGGCCTCCTACTAATAGAGTGTTTCTTCACTACTGAAGTGATTTAGACGGCAGTATGTCTCAGTATCGAACCTTGAACTAGTTGCATTCTTCTTATGATGATTACCATGCTAGAGTACTCTAAAATGGCAGTGGAGCTTGATGCTGTCTTGGATACCGATTCTACTAGTTTATGAACCAGTTGAGCTTGTTCAACTTTCTTTAATTGTAATGTTAATTTTTGTTTCGTTTGGTTTTGTGTTTTCAGGCAAGCAAAAGATGTCGTTAAAGGAATAAAGAAGCGCCTTGGAAGTAAGAATGCCAAAGTTCAACTTCTTGCTTTGACAGTAAGCCTCGGTAACACCTGACATCTATTTTAAGTTCCACACATATGTTGATTGGTTTAGATGGTTTGTGGACCAAGCATAATATCAGCATTCTCCCCAATTGGCATTGATAAACTTTTAGGGGTCGTTTGGATTGAGTATTTGGGGGTGTTATTTGTGGTCAAATAACAGATTTTGTGTTATTTGACCCCAAATAACATGTTTGGCTGACAAAAAGTGAGATGCGTTATTTGGATGTAAGTGTTTTGCCAAATAACAGGTTTGAGACCAAATAACACAAAAAGTGTTGTTTGCCAAATACTTGGGAGGGGGCAGGTATTTGCCAAATAACAAGTTTGAGACCAAATATCACATACCAAATAACAGGTTTTATATTATGTGGTATTTGTGTGGTAATTGACCCCAAACAACAAGTTTGTCAAATACTCAATCCAAACGACCCCCTAGTAACTTGAGCCTTTAGAACAGACGATCTAGGCTCTTCTGGATGTGTCCGATATATGCATATACTTCTCTGCATCAATGTTTAGTGGGTTATTGCAAACCTTTAACCTCTAGATACTTGTTTTCCATCAAACTTGTTAGAAGGGAAGCGGCTTCAAGGCTGTAAGGATAGATTGGAGGCACAGTATATTATCTAGCTGCTACTAACTTTGTGTTCTGAATTCTGGTTTCTTTCCTTTTGTCTCGAGGGCATAAGATAATCAAACTTTGGTGGGATATTTCCTTTTCGGGGGTTCTGCTGTTGTTGGGGATAATTAGTATAATGATTAGGAATGAGTATAGTTACCTTCTTTGAAAACTTGAAGATGAAGACTGTTTACAACTTAGTTTGTGTTCTGAATTAGTATCCTTGAAGATGAAGGCTGTTTACAACTTGGTCTGTACATTGTATTCTAGTTAATGGAGACTATCATAAAGAATTGCGGGGATATCGTCCACATGCAAGTGGCAGAGAGAGGTTTGCTCCATGACATGGTGAAAATAGCGCGGAAAAAGGTAAGGGCTCTTCTACAATCTGGTTCTCCTACCCAGTGGCATTTGTTCGGAAGTATCTTCATAATGATCCTTGGTGCTTGCTTTGTAGCCTGACCTTCATGTCAAGGAGAAGGTTCTGACTCTGATAGATACATGGCAAGAAGCTTTTGGAGGGCCAAGGGCAAGATATCCTCAATATTATGCAGCATACCAGGAGTTGTTGGTATGTTCTTCTGACATAACGTTCCTGTGTGACCCGATAATCCAAGTATCTTGATAATTTCAGCATGTTTCACCAACCATGTGCGACTTCTCATTTCATTGTCTTTGTCTTTGGGGCCATTAGTAATTTTATCATGGTCTGGCAATTTCTTTAGTTTATTATATTCAATCTTTCAGAGAGCTGGGGCAGTGTTTCCTCAGAGATCGGAGCAAACAGCTCCGGTTTTCACACCTCCACAAACACAACCATTATCATCATATCCGAAGAATCTGCCGAATCCTGATGCGAGACCGGAGCCAGCTGAATCCTCTGAGTCTGAGTTCCCAACCTTGAGGTACATCTGTGATTTCTTCATTTATACACTAAGTTTATTCTTTTTACTTTATAAACAGTTTGTTGTAGTTTGTATGATAATCTTGTCTTCTGGTGTACGTGGCTAAATAAAGCGACATAGATCAGGTTTGATTAAACAGTCTTCTACAGACGTGAAACTGTAGTTTATGTTCTTATAAATATGAAGTACTCCAAATGTTCTTTTTTGTGGCACATATCAGTGTGGCAGTACATCCTGCATACTCTTTCTTCTATGTACTGCGAAGTGTGACCATTGCATATCGTGGATCCGTTTGCTTCCTTGGTTTATGAGTTGTATGATCATTTATTTACAAGTCTGGTAAGCTGAATGCTGCTGGATGTAATGATTTTTCTAAAATTCAAAGCCACCAGAGTCTCCACAGAGTCGGATAGTTTTTCCCTTCAGTTTCTATTTTACCATAAGCTTCTTGTTGCTATGTACCCTTCATGCTATTGTAATTTTTTTTATCCAGCTTATCGGAAATCCAAAATGCACGTGGTATCATGGATGTCCTGGCAGAAATGCTTAGTGCTATAGATCCGGGAAACAAAGAGGTATGCCTCCCATTTGTGCAGAATAATACACTGAATTTGTGTGATGCGTCAATAAAAGTGTTGATTGTTCTTGTGTGTTTGAACTTAAGCCGTGATTTTCAAAGACGTTATAGTCTCAGAGGACTATGGAAAGCTCTGTAATTGCTTCTTCATGGTCATATTGGCATTCAGGGATCTCATGACTATAGCAGCTTATGGGGTAGTCATAGAATGTATAGATCACTGTGCTTTCACAAAATTTTATTATTTTATTCGTCCAACCAGGAAATACGTTTCTAATTCACTCAATCCTTACATTTATTATTTTTTCCTCTTGAATATCTTAGGGTCTAAGGCAGGAAGTCATAATTGACCTAGTGGATCAGTGTCGCACATACAAGCAAAGAGTGGTGCACCTTGTTAATTCGACAGCGTAAGCTTCTGTTTGTATCACTTCGATTAAGTGAAATATTTATAAATTGATCTTTCCACCATCTTGACTTCTGCTCATTTTGATGAACTAATGTTGGGTCTGCTAATAATTCAAATTTTTTTTTTTTGGCTAGTCCATTTCTTCTACTCATACCTTACTTTCTTTTACAAGCTTGTGTATTTTGCAAAGTTGCTTCTGTTACTATAGAGCTGAAATATATGCAGTGAGATAGTAGTTAGGACTTAGGAGAGGTTCGCGAGTCACCTTTTATTATTGTCTCAACTGGGTTATAGGACACCATGTTAAAGCTGTATGCATGGTGCTGAACGATTACTGATCAGTACTGTGACATAGGGTATCTCTATTTGGGCGTGAATGCTGTTTGTTTGAGATGGTTTTCCTATTTCCAGGGATGAATCACTGCTATGTCAAGGTTTGGCACTTAATGATGACTTGCAGCGTGTTTTAGCCAAACATGAAGCCATTTCGTCAGGAACTGTTCTTCCGAAAGATAAGCCAAAGACGGATACTCAACCTAGTGGGAGTCTAGTTGATGTTGATGGTCCTCTAGTTGATGTTGCGGGTGCCAAACAGTCTAATCAGGAGTAAGTGATTCTTTATTCAGACAGGTGTTACCATGTCCTATGCAGCATAATGTACTTCTAAAATTTAATAATTTTTGGGACCCTCCATAAAAGTTCTTCTATGAAGTTGTATTGGAAATTTGTGTTTGTTTGAACTGTTATTTTCAATTTAAGTTATAGGATCTCAATTTTAGACCCGACAAGCACACGTTAATCAGCACTGTCTTTCTGCAGATCTCCTTCGAGTTCAAGTGGAGCCAATCAGCCACTGAACCAGCTATTGCTTCCTGCACCCCCCACGAGCAATGGTCCAGCCACTCCATCAACAGCAGCCAATCCTAAGATGGATCTGTTAAGTGGTGATGACTTCAGTTCCCCAAAGGCTGGTGACACATCACTTGCTCTTGTTCCTGTAGGTGAAACACAGGCCACTACTTCTCCTTCTCAGCAGAATGCACTTGTCCTGTTCGACATGTTCTCCGACAATCAACCAAACGGTGTTGCAAACAATCCTGCCAATGCTAACATGCAGCCTACTCCATTCGATGGTCAAAATAACACTATGACCCAGCAATTCCAACCACAGCAAAATTTCCAACCTCCAGAACAACCTGCGATGTACCCTAATGGAACCACGCCGAATATGGGATCGCCATTCATGCAAGGTTCTGTCCCTGCCTGGAATGGACAGCTCACCCAGCAGCCTCAACAGCCCGTCTCTCCAGTTTATGGTATGTTTCTTGTTTTTGTATAATAATAACATACTTGTGTTAATGTCATCACTTCATCATCTTTCTGTTGGTTTTAAGGGTGGGAAAATGGTCTTGTAGTTTTTGGTTAATCCGAAACCAACGAGTTATTTGGTTTAGGTTGTTGATTTTAGGAATGGAAATATTGGTTTTAGTTTCGGTAAAATCAGAATTCTATTTTGTTTTGGTTTAAAAAGTTCGAGTTTTCTTGGTTTAAAAAGTTTTCTTGGCTTTGGCTAACCAAAATCAAAACCTATCCACCATAGAACGTTCCTTCATGTTTTCTGCCATCGGTACATACTATGTGATTGCCAGCTGACCACTTTACGGCCATGAGGGAAGAGAGGAAAATGTTTTATGCCGAACTTTCATGCTCTAAAGTATTTGATATATATATAAACTGCTAATCCATGTTGGTCGGGCGTTGAAAAAAGGTTCAAAACCAGACGGCTCGCTTCCTCCACCACCATGGGAAGCTCAGCTAGCAGCAGATGGCATTGGAAGCCCAGTAGCAGGATCTCAATACCCATCACAGCCCATGCAAGTTACTCAGGTGGTCGTCACTCACAGTCAGCCACTGACCAACCCTATGCACCCGATGGGACCAATGGGAACCGATCCTGGAGTGGGAATCTATATCCAACCAGTTACAAGCGCCCCGATGTCACCCATGAGCAATTCGGCAGCTGGAGGACAGGGCAACCCATATTTTGGAATGCAGTATCCCCAGCAAGCCGGAGGGGGGCAGTACATTGGGATGGGAATGGCCCCACAGTTACCAATGTATCCTCAACAGCAACAGCAGCTGCAGCAGCTACAGCTACAGCAACAGCAACAGCAGCTACAGCAACAGCAGCAGATGTATAGCAACCAAATGGCAGGATATGGAGGATATGGTGGTGGTATGTACGGACAGCAACCGCAGCAACATCAGCTGACGCCTCAGCAGCAGCGGTACCTAGAGCAGAAAATGTATGGAATGTCGGTGAGAGACGACAGCAGCTTGAGAAGCTCGTCTTCTTACGGGCTACCTTCATCGAACTCTTCGTCTATGGTCCCAAAGCCATCAAAGCCGGAAGATAAGCTGTTTGGTGATCTGGTCGACCTTACCAAGTTCAAGCCGGCGAAAACTCCAGGGGGTAGTATGTGACATCTCCCTCAGTGACTGCTTTTCCATTCTTTTTTCTTACAGCGTTTCTGGGTTTTTTCTCTTCATTCCCTCGATCAGCTTCTGTTGTTTTACCAAGTAGTTTGGTAATAACTTGCATCTTCATATGTTTGTTTTACTTTGATTACATGTATTCCTTGGCGTTTTGGTCCTCCCTCATAAGTTTTGGTCCTGGCCTGGCTATAATAATCACTTTCTGTACATGATTGTTGTTTAGAGAGAGGGAGGGAGGGAGGGAGGGAGAGAGAGAGAGAGAGAGAGAGAGAGGGAGGGAACCTTCAAATATATACTGTAGAAGGGCATCTGGTTTTCCCCCTATATGCATGTTTAGGGTTTTGAACTTCTTACTTTGTTTCATGGACAGTACTGTTCTTGTTCCTGATCAATGTTGTGAATAGGGGTAGTGGTTTGGTTTTTTGGTTTTAATCGAAACGGTTTATCGGTTTTCCTTGATGGTTTCGCTTAAATCGGAAATCGTTACTGAACCGATAAAAGTAGACAAGCTCTTAATGCAATCAATGATTCATTTTCTATTTTCCGGACTGATTTGGTTTAACCGAATGGGGTAGCATCATTTACGTCTTTGATAAAAACGATTTTGTATCAACGGCAAAGGTAGGATGCGAAAGAGGGACACAATATGTGCTCATACAAAACACGTGCAACATGGCAGCTTAATTAATTGAAAACATGCAACACACTAAGTACTTAACTTAGTTAATCATACAGCAAACCAGCCTAACAGCAGAAGAAAAAAGCAATCCAAAGAGGTTACGGCAGAGTATATACGTAGTATAGTATGATTAAGGACGTACTGAAGTCTTTTAATCCGATATGTAATAATCATGGATCGGTACTGATTCAGAAGAGACGATGGATTAGGTCAGGAGGATGACGACGATTAATCAGCTCCAGCCGGAGGAAGATGATAATTGGTTGTGGCGTCATCATGACGATCAACGTACCCATCCAAAGCCTTATCCTTGGGCGCCGGCCAGCTGCCGTAGTAACCCTCCAGCCGCTCCGTACCGGGCGGCCGCCTCCCCGTGACGTAAGCGTAAACCCAAACCAGCGCTCCCGCCGCCGCCATCCCGCACCCGCCGGAGACCAAGAACCCCGCCCCCACCACCGCCGCGGCCAGCACGGCGGGGACCAGCACGGGGCTGAATATGACCAGAAGTGGGGTGGCCACAACCAGCCCCACCACCGTCGCCGTGACCGTCAACCCGAACAGCAGCGCGAAGGCCGTGCACATGGTGGCCGCCGTCAGCAGCTTCACCGCCCGCCTCACGGACCGCCGCCTCCTCCTCTGGCGGGAGTGGGAGTGACCGCCGACGTGTGTGGCCGAGTAGTGCTCGTCGGAAGAAGAAGAAGAAGTAGACATGGATCTTTCAGCTGGAAAGAGATGGATGATTTTGCGAGGAGTAGAGATTGTTGGGAGGGGTTTATTTGTTTGTTTATATAAAGCGGCGGGGGAGGAGAGATGTGTATTGAGGAATGGGAAGCTTGCTTGGTTAGCTAATGTGTTTGCATGGGTCAGTCTTGGCTTTCAGTTGGCTGCCACGTGCGTTTCGCATTTTGTTGGGGTTGGGGATTTTATTATTTAAATAATTTTCATATTTGCTACGTCTCCAGCACTGGACTTATCCTTATCAATTTGTGGCAAAATAAATAAATAAGATTTCTATTTGACTCTGGTTTCAGAGCAGTCCAATTGTTGGAAAAATGTTATTATCCCAGTAATTTGAATTGTTAGGAGAAGTTCAATCGTGGATCATATACTACAATATTAATACGCCTCTTCAAACGAAAGTCACTCATAAGGGGTTGAAGTTTGTATAGATCTGAAGATAAGAATACCATGTGCTTAACAAATGGGAGTCACCGGGAATCGAACACAAGAACTTTATGTCATGAACTAGTTGATTCCAATAACTCGAGTTGTTGAGAGAAATTCAATCGTGGATCATATATCACAACACTAACACTAATTATGTATTACGTTACATGGCGCTACATGATGATCCGTTGGACAATACCAACAAGACGACGCACCGACTCCGCCGGTGCGGTAGCCGCCGCCGAAGTCACAAATCTACGTAGCCGACGGTAGAGACGAGTGGAGGCGGCGGCGGAGTGGAGCTCGATGGCGTACCCGAGCGAGGAGTAGAGGGCGAGGAAGGAAGCCAGGTGGATGTTGGGCTGAACGACGGACTCGAGGTAGTGGCCGGAGAGGAACGAAACGGCGTCGTGGAGGTCGACGATCGGGATGGAGAAGAGGGCGACCAAGGAGGCCAGCGAGAGTGCGACGAGGAGGATGAAGCTTGCCGTTGTGAGGACGGCGGCGATGAATGCCCCGTGGAGCAACGCCGCCGTTATGAGATCCACGTTTGCTATCATCGAATGGATCGAGAAATTAGCGGCGACGATCGAGGTGAGGAAGAGGAAGTAGTATGATCTGATAAGAAGGTTGGTTTTGCTGAGGTGAGGGATTCGAAGAGGATGAAGTGAGTTGCACTTCTTCTCTATCTATGTCGGATTCCTTGCCGGGAGGAATCAAGCAAAGTTTTCGGCTTGGCCGGCCCCAGTAGCCATTAGCTTCCCGTTTCCTCATATACATGGTTTTGAAGTCAAATGAAATCTAACTCACAGATTTACAATTTGTTTAAGGTTATTTTATATATTGTGCTTACATCAATTGAAGTTGGTGGAAATTTGGATACGTAATCTTTGATCAAACTAGTTTATGATATCATGTTTACAGACCACCATCTAACAAAGCTCGATAAGAGATAGAGATTAGACCTAGAAAAAAAGAAAGAAAGCGGGATTGAGATTTAAGGAGAATTGAAAGGGATTCGCGAAGAGAAGGGAAGAGAATAGGATAAACGGATAAATCGAATCACTTTTAGATTCATTGATATCGTTTAATAATTCTGACGGTAATAGTTATAAAGTATATATTATATATATTATGTCTCAAGTCCTTAATCATTTTTAATATACAAATACTAAACTATCGCTAGACTAATAGTCATTCCCTCATCTTCTATATAAAAAAACTCATTCCTCATCAATATGGGTGTATATGGGTCGTTTGCTTCATGAATTTAAAATGAGGGTTTTGTAATTTAAGAACCGAATGATTTATCAAGGATTTGAGTTATTATGGTTTTGAGTCCTTTATATTAGAATCGGGGGGACAAAGAATTACACGTTTCATGAAAATGTCAAAGGAAACTACAACACAAGAAATGGTATAAAAATTTAACTCATGTTTGCACATTAATTGAATATTTATATTATTTCTTTGTTGTTAATTAATTGATTGTTTATAATGACAATGGGTAAATGTTGTTAGTGTTGTGGTATATGATTCACGATTGAACCTCTCCCGCAACAACTCGAGTTATTGAGACTAACTGGTTATTGACATGGTCCGTGAGGTCCACAAATTTGGTCACTAAAAGAAATGCAAGCAAACGATGGATTTTCTTTTAAATCCATGATGGAGTGGAGTTAGGTAACAAATCTATCATCCAAATCTATAAAGCAAAGGACCTCTAGATTTTCATTTAAAATTCATCGGGTATATACAATATGCATAGTGCATATAAGCGTAAAATTATGATTATACATAATGTGACAAAAAAAGGCAATCAATTGAAAAAACTAAAAACAAAAAGCAACCATTTGAAAAAACGTCAACAGCAGGATTCGAACCTGCGCAGGCAAAGCCCAACAGATTTCGAGTCTGTCTCCTTAACCACTCGGACATGTTGACTTATGCTTGTTTATTCTTCTCAACTTTTTATTAATTAAAGTTAAATTAAACTGTCGTTAAATTACTGATCTACTGAGCCAGAAGTCCAGAACGAAAAATAAGAAGAGAGGAAAGCCGGCGTCTGTGTAAATTATAATTCCAAAATAAATGAATCTTATGCATAAAAACCTTCGTCGTCCCCTTCCAGATCTGTCTATCACTCTATCTCGTCACACTCATCGACGAGACCAGGCGAGAGAAGAAAACACTCGGAAAAGACTTCTCCTCCGCCATGGCCACGATGCTTAGGGTTTTTCTTCTTCTCCTGTCGCTTTTATCCATAACAGCTCCTGCCTTCTCTCTTTACGAAGATCAAGTTGGCCTCGCTGATTGGTTAGTCCCCAATTCTCACTCCCTTTTTTCAGCTCAGTTCACTTTATCGGCCCTCAAACTCAACCTGCTGTTTGTTCAACAATAGAAGCGAATAAACGGAGCTAATTGTTCTTGCTCAATCATTGATCGAACTATAGAAATCGGATTCTTTTGGAGCTTTTACTGCTTCAGTATCTCATAATCGCCATAGCTCTGAATTGCTTGCATTTGTTCCAAGCAATGGATTGAAGGAGCAGGGGAATAAGTATTCGGTTTGTGTAGTTGAGATTTTTTTTTTTCTAATTCGGGCGATCAATGCAGGCATCAGAAGTACATAGGGAAGGTGAAAGACGCCGTCTTTCACACGCAGAAAACTGGTCGAAAGCGAGTCGTGGTTTCTACTGAAGAGAATGTGATTGCCTCTTTGGATCTTAGACATGGCGAGATTTGTAAGTTATTCTGGACCTCAACTTTAAGTTTGTGGTCAATGCCTGTCAAGTTGCTGGATTAATAGAAGTTCTTTTATCTGTTTTGCTGCAGTCTGGAGGCATGTTCTTGGACCCAATGATGCTATTGATGGAATTGATATTGCCATGAGTAAATGTGAGTCGTGCTTCCATGATTTTGGTGCCTTCTTTTAGTATTTGTTTCCAATGCTGGATGTACTTTTTTCCTTTTGAAAGAAAGGATGATAATATTTATGCTTTTGTGGATGGGAATATTTTATTGTTGTATTTGTACTATGTATCTGCCCATCTTTTCTCTCGAATACTAGTACCCTGTAGGGGTGAATTGCTAATCGAGCAAAGGCTTCTTTCATTGTTTCAGATGTCATCACCCTTTCATCTGAGGGCAGTATTTTGAGAGCATGGAACCTACCAGATGGACAAATGGTGTGGGAATCATTTCTTCAAGGTCCATATTCCTCAAAGTCATCATTGTTGGTACCGGTCAGTAAATGAAGTTCATATTGCTGCTATGTCTTTCTAATATTTACGTATCTTTCAGTTCTGCTATCTTCTCCATATTGATAACATGCTACTGTCATTAAATTGTCTTTCAATGAAAAGCAGAGTGGTCTATTGCCATGAATATTGAATACTTTTTTTTTTGGTGGTGCCTCTCTCTCTCTATGTTTCATCTTTCATTTAGAAACTACCTCAATATAATGGTGTCATTACATGGTTCTGCTTTCCTCTGTTTACTATCTGCTTTCTTCTGTCCACAATCATTGGTTCTTAGTTTAGCACACTATGTTATTCTAGAATGCCATAACCACTTGGACTGACAGGGCCATAAACAGCATAGTTGGCAAAGAAAAATCGGTGAATCACAAAATTTAAGCTTTTGCTTTTTATATTCTTCTGAAAGGACTGATTTTTAACCAAGGTGCTTGTTCTTCAGGCTAGCTTGAGAGTCGACAAGGACAATGTAATCCTTGCTTTTGGTAAAGGATGTATTCATGCCATTTCAGCCATTCATGGCGACACGCTCTGGAAGAAGGATTTGGAGGCAGATAGGTTCGTCCAATTTGAAATCTCGTGCACTGTATTTTGCTTTCTATCGTCTGGTTGTAACCATTGTGCCGTCTCTGACTCCTATCTCTGTGTTTGCAGTTTTGAAATTCAATACATGATTCAGGCCTCTGACAGTGATGTTATTCATTTGGTCGGGTTTGTTGGCTCATCCGAGTTTGATTCATACACATTCGATGCCAAGAGTGGAGAGCTTCTAAAGCATGATAGTGCAGCTATTCCTGGAGGTTATTCTGGGCAAGCTGCTTTAGTTTCGAGCAACACACTTGTAGTGATGGATTCTGCTGGTTCAACTGTGACAACTATTAGTTTCCATGATGGAAAAGTTACATTTAACCAAACACCTGTTTCCACCCTCATTGAGGACTTTGTCGGGAAGGCAATCATATTGGCTTCAAAACTTGAAGGACTGTTTTCCGTGAAAACTGGTACACTTACTTTATTTGTAAGAGCGACGGTTGAAGGAAAGTTGGAGGTGGTAAATAAAGTCGACTATGCAACTGCAGTTAGCGATCTTCTGGCAATTTCAGAGGATCGGCAAGCTTTTGCATTTGTGCACAGTAGAAGCAATGATATTGACTTAACAGTGAAGCTTGGTGCAGACTGGAACCATGATTTGCTTAAGGAGAGCGTTAAGATGGACCAAGAAAGAGGGTCTGTCAAGAAGGTGTTCATAAACAACTACATCCGGACAGACAGGTCCCATGGATTCAGGGCACTGATTGTCATGGAAGATCATTCTCTTTTGCTGGTACAACAAGGTGCTATTGTTTGGAGTAGGGAGGACGCTCTGGCTTCAGTGATAGATGTTAAAACGTCAGAACTTCCTGTTGAAAAGAAAGGTGTTTCAGTTGCAAAAGTCGAGGAGACCCTCTTTGAGTGGCTTCAGGTATGATCTAGAATGGTTCTTTTCCGAAAGCTAAGACGCTATTCTCGTGTTAAAATGCTGATTTTAAAAATTTGCCATATTTACGCCATTGAGGTTCCAGTATTTTTTTATATTATTATTAAAGCTAATTTATCGTTCTTGTCTTCTTTGAGTCTGAGGGGCCTGAATGAGATAACAAATGAGATTTTTCCGCATTTGTCTACTTTTACCCTCCAGTAGAAGTCTTCTTCTGTCCTTGTCTATAAGGCCGATACTTAGTTATTGATCTGATTGATGATGGAGCTCCAGTCTCATATGAAGAAGCATTTATAATGGCTGATTATTCGTAGAAGTAGAGATTTTGAAAGTCCTCCTGCTCGGTGTATCATAGCAATGGTGTATGACCTTTGAATATCTTCCTGAAAGCCTTTTACTATAATTTTCATGGTAATAACATCAAAGGTTAAACTCCAAGGGGTTAGCCACTTAGCCTAGGGGTAATGTGGCCAACAACCATCCTTATCAGAAAACAACTTCAATGATTTGCCTCGTGGGTCATCTTTGGATTGTTGGGATTCTGATGATTCTCTTGCTGTTGTTGCTGTTGCTAGGGACATGTGCTTAAGCTGAAAGGAACACTAATGCTTGCAAGTCCTGATGATATGGCTGCCATACAAGCCTTAAGGTTGAAAGCCTCTGGGAAGAGCAAGATGACCCGAGACCATAATGGTTTCCGGAAGCTTCTCATTGTGCTCACAAAAGCAGGGAAAATATTTGCCTTGCACACTGGAGATGGTAGGATCATCTGGTCTCGGTTACTGAACTCTCTACGCCAATCAGCAACATGCGAGGCCCCAACTGGGCTCAATCTGTTCCCCTGGCATGTTCCTCATCACCATGCACTGGACGAGAATCCATCTGTTCTTGTTGTCAGCCGATGTGGACCAAGTGATGATGCTTTAGGTCTACTTTCTTTTGTTGATACCTACACTGGCAAGGAGCTTAGTTCAGCAAGCCTTGACCATTCTGTTGTGCAAGTCATTCCTCTGCCATTCATGGATTCAACTGAACAACGCCTACATCTTCTAATAGATGCTAGTGGGCAAGCTCATTTGTACCCCAAGACCTCTTATGCTCTCAGTATTTTCAGATCTGAGTTGTCAAATGTTTACTGGTATTCAGTTGAAGTTGAGACAGGTATTATTAAGGGGTATGCTCTAAAAGAAAAGGCTTCCGATAACTATTCTTTTGACACTAGAAGTATATGGTCGATCGTCTTCCCCTCGGAATCGGAAAAGATAATCAAATCTTCAACCAGAAAATCGAATGAGGTATATTTCTCCTATTCGGCTTCTTCATGCATAGATTATATATGTCTGTATGTGGGCTGTAAATGGAAACTTTCTTTGGGTGTCCGTAGGTTGTTCATACCCAAGCAAAGGTCATAGCAGATCAAGATGCAATGTTCAAATATATATCGAAAAATTTACTCTTTGTTGCAACTGTTGCACCGAAAGCCAGTGGTGATATGGGCTCATCGACCCCAGAGGAGTCATGGTTGATTGTCTACCTTATTGATACAATAACAGGCCGCATATTGCAACGAATGACTCATCATGGGGCCCAAGGTCCAGTAGAGGCGGTATGTTTCTGCATCTTTTCCTGCTGTTGGAATGGAAGGGAAGTTACAGGCTTTGTTTATTTAGGCTAACCTATAAGTAACTCTTTTTAACTTTTTGAAACAATCGCCAGAAAACCTTCAAATGATCGAAAACGTAAAAGCCACTCACTAAAAAATTACTTGTTTTTTAGCAAAAACAGAAACACTCCTAGTCGGCTAGTCTAATCACTTCTCAACATCTGCAGGTTGTCAGTGAAAACTGGGTAATCTATCACTACTTCAATCTCAGAGCACACAGATATGAGATGTCGGTGATTGAAATTTATGATCAGTCTCGGGCGGTACGTACATAATAATATTTTACTGTTTTGTTGATTGTTGATTTGATGCTGATATTCTACTAGGGCTCTCATTGTGTTTCCCCCGGTAATTATAGGACAACAAAGATGTTTGGAAGCTTATCCTGGGGAAGCATAATCTGACTTCCCCTGTGTCTTCGTATTCTCGGCCAGAGGTCATGACAAGGTCACAGTCTTACTTCTTTACCCATTCCGTAAAATCAATAGCAGTTACATCAACTGCAAAGGGCATAACTTCGAAGCAGCTACTTATCGGTACAGTTGGCGACCAGGTTAGTCAAACTAGAAACCGATGTCAATATGAGATTTTGTTCCACTATATGCAAGCTGCAGCAACTTACTTGACTCAATTGCAGGTTTTGGCACTCGATAAACGATTCTTGGATCCTCGTAGATCAGTCAACCCCACGCAAGCAGAAAAAGAGGAAGGAATTATTCCTCTCACCGATTCGCTGCCCATCATCCCTCAGGTAAGCTGCCTCTACTTCTCTCCAAACTCGAACTATACTGTATGGGTCTGCAACTATTCAGTTGACATTGTATATTTGGACTGTACCGAGTATAAGTTTGATTTGGTTTCAATTCTATAAATCCTCTTAAAATAAAGAAAAATCTGGATTTAATCTAAACACCAAACAGGACTCAACCAGGTTGGACCAAATGCACTTTGATTCGACTGTTCCTCGTTTTCCCTTTGTTTTTTATCTGCTAATTTTCAGTGCAGCAGGGCCATGCACCCTCTATTTTACATGCTTTCTGCTGCTGCTTACCTTGTGCTCATATTTTTCCGCACCCGAACTTTTTGCAGTCATATGTTACACATGCCCTTAAAGTGGAAGGCCTGAGAGGCATTGAAACCGTACCGGCCAAGCTGGAGTCAACCACTCTCATTTTTGCTTATGGAGTTGACCTCTTCTTCACCCGGTTCGCACCATCAAGGACCTACGACTCTCTCACAGAAGACTTCAGCTACGCGCTCTTGCTCTTGACCATTGTCGCCCTAGTGGCCGCCATCTTCATAACATGGATTCTATCGGAGAAGAAAGAACTCCGAGACAAGTGGAGGTGAAAAGGATATAGAATGCTCTCCATCCTGTGAAAACCTGTGGTTTCCGCGTCCTTTACATTCACCTCACCGTTTTGAGTAGGCTAAACTTGTAGGACATTACCTCTCAGACTGTGTAAGTTTTTGTAGATTACATTCTAATTTCTATAGAGTTCTTCTACTTTGCTATTCAATCTCTCATCAACTCTTACTCATCATGTTGTAAGTTCGATAAATTATAGGACCTGGGGGGAGAGTTACCCCGCCGTTTTTTAGGGCTTTCAGTCTTCTTTTTGGAAGGATACCTGATTTTCAGTTATTGCCTAGTTGTTGTGCATATGGTACAGAACACTTGAATGATTCCCAGCAACCCGCGTACCTTGCCAAAATGAAAGTCGAGAGACTCAGCATTATGCAAAGCAGGCAATAACTTCATATATTCACGACTGAAATCTTCAGATAGTATAGGGTTGTCCCTCGAATACCAGTCTTCGGGCCAAAAGCGAATGCCTGCATGATCCAAAGAAGGGAAGTCCAACGTATGGAGGTCTAGCAAATAGTACATACTACAGCAAAGACGGAAAGATTTCAGCTTTGGAGCAAACACTTCAGCTCCATCGAAGAGGCATGTGCTAAAGAATGTGATTTCCAGGTCCAGCAGTTGGGGTGCCGATACTACCAAGCAACCTTTTGACGAGCAGTCAATTAGTTTCAAGGAGTTCAGACAGGCCGTGATGGAGGCAACTATGGAACTGAAACGATCATCGGTACAGCTGATGGACAAATTGTGAAGCTGGCCACCTTGCACTTCAGTAACATACCTCATGACACTATCAAACAACTCTAAGCGTCTTCGTTGCCACAACAACTCTGGTCCAAAGTCAAAGGTAATTCTCTCCACAGCGGCAGAGCGGAACCGAAGAGATAGAAACTTCTCCACGTAATCTCTGAAACTTGATTCCTCACGGAAGGAGCGTCTGTTGAAATTGAGTGCAGGAACTGCTTTCCACAAGCATCTCCATGTCCTTGACAGAATGCTTGTTTGAACTGAGGATTTGCTGTCGAGGAAGGAGATCGCTCAGTCTGTCAATTTGTTCTTCTTCCTCTTCCACAGAAAAGAGGAAAAGCAGAGCTCTCTGGTAGTCTCCTCAAAACGAAAGCCGACTCATGGGCTTGAAATTTGTATAGGCCTATCATACCATGTGCTTGAACACAACGGTTAATATTGGGGTCGTGGAGATTCGAACACACGACCACTTGGTCAAACCAGCTCTAATACCATGTCATTAACTAGTTGATCCCAATAACTCGAATTGTTAAGAGAAGGTTATATTGGATCTTATACCTCTCTCTCTAACAAAGGCAAGATACAAAGTCAAAAGTGGGGGATTTTGGTACAGGTCCAAAACAGAATTTTATGCATTCGCTTATGTGCATTCCTCGTCACATACTTAATTCAGCCATTAACATTAGGAATCCCAGCAGTTCATCTTATACCATTTAGGCATTTACTTAACCAAACCAGCTTATCATTATGGTACACACATGACCATGAGAATACACTAACCGTAACCAGTCGAAGCGACAATTAATTCAAAGGTGGGAAACAGGGACGAAAGCCTTTCTTAAACAGCACAGTGAGAGAGTGATCAGTTCGTTCTGGAATGAAACGATTCAGAGAACAGAAAGCCACAAACCGGTTTTACTAAAGGGGGAAAAGTTGCTCAACCTTGACCAACAAACTACCCGCCGGAAGGAAGGATCCAAGCCCAACCCAGCTGCCGGAATCAGCCGTCGCCGATTTCAGCTACTTCTTTGAGGCATTTCCTCATACGGTTGGTGAACTGATGAATGCGGAGGTCGGGGGATGAGGTAATGAGTGCCGGAATGAACGGGTGTGCGCCGGTGCCGGTTCGCGGTAAGGTTGAGTTAGTCGTAACAGGGAGAGGAAGTGGGCGTGAGAGAAGGAGAAAGAAGAAAATGGCCGGCGGCGAGGAATCCAAGCGGTGACGGTGGTGGGAAGGCTCAGGGGAAAAGTGGGTGTTGATGGACTTTAATTTCACGGGCCTGACTTGGACTTTAACTTCATTGTGTTTTGGGCTCTTGGGTGGTTAACTGGTTATGGGTTATTAAATGCTCCACCAAACCAATTTAATATCTATACAAAATAAATGAAACACAACAAGAACTTCCAATATCATTTATGGATTGGCTGAATATAAGTAGGGTTAATATCTTAATTTGGCCTGAACTATACACATACTTTCTATTTTGGCCCGTGGTATTGAAAATTGCTATTCCGGTCTGAACTATGTAGCAAACTTTCTCATTTGCCCTGGAGGCGGGTTTGACCGTCAAATTAGACGGTCAAACCTGTTGACCGTTAGTCAATGTCCACCTTACCTGCCATTTTCTTTTTTTTTCTCATTCTATTTTGTGCCTCTTTCCTTGTTGCTCTTTCTTTTTTATTTTGAGTCTCTGTATTTGGTAGTCTATTTGGTAACTTTTCTTGATTTTTTTCTTTGAAGAAAATAGCTTCAATTATAAAAAAAAAGTACCATAATTATTCAAAATTTTAATTTCACAACTGTTCTACATCTAAAATGTGGGCAATTATTCGTTGGACACCATTATAAAATCATGAACACATAATTACAAGTATCGTATCTATGAGCTCTGAAATAATTATTTTAAAAAAATATTAGAGTAGCTGAAAAAAAAAGTACAAAACAGTTGACTTGCATGCTTACACTATAAGACCATCGTATTGAACAAAAATAATAACGATAATTTTATTTTTCGAGAAGATAACAATCAATTGGGGTGGTGCATGACCCACCGCTTCAGTGCCACGACGACGGCACCAGGTGTATTATGTACAACTCTTATGTCGTATGGAATGACCGGAAAGACTGCCGAGTTCTCAACGGCACGTACCCGAAAACAGAGCTGGTTTCGGAGGTGGCTTTGTAAAGAACCCGTTGATCCCAATAACTCGAGTTGTTGGGAGAGGTTCAATAATGAATCTTATGCCACTCACTAATATACACCGTCTCAAATGAATGTCAGTCAATTCATAAGGGCTTTCATTTGCACGGATCTGAATACAAGAATACCATGTGCTTCACAAATGGAGATCACCAGGATTCGAACACACATGACCTTTTGACCACAGAATACTCCGATACCATGTCAAAATATAAAACGAAATGCAAGAACACACAAACAAAATTAACGTGGTACTGTTAGAATGACACTAGCTAGCTAGTCTCCTCTCGTGTTATAATATTATGAACGGCTTAAAACCTCAACGCACGACACGTTACAATATATAGGGTTTTATGCATGGTAACCTTTCCATGTCCTAATACAACTAGTGTCAATAACCAGTTGATCCCAATAACTCGAGTTGTTGGGAAAAGGTTATGTTGGATCTTATAGCACTCTCTAACAACTAGGAGTATAATTAACACATTAATTCCAAGTGTACGTGCCGTTCAATAACGTAACTCGCTCGTCTCTTTTGCAATCTGGAGTGATCACCAGCATGCATGCATGCATGCAGCTATTTATCGACGCATGTCATTCGAGCTTATGGCTAGAGATCAGTAGTGTGGGTGAAGTTTATGTTTTTCTCATCGATCGTATGCATAGCTACTGAGAAAACAAGAACGGCGGCCAGGTCGATCAAATTTAAGCGCTAACCCAAGTAATGCGCGCGTGCATGCATGCATGCTTCGCGGAATGGTCAGCTTGTAAAGAAGATACACAGAGAGGAGCAAATCAGAAAGCTAGCAGGCAGCGTCGGAATTATAAGTACTGATCGGACAAAGAGTGCGGATGTGTCATAATAATAGTATACATATATGCCCTTAGCTTTCTTTGTTTGTAATATCATGATGATCATAAACTTGGCTTCGTGCTGGGTTTGAGTTGCTGATCAATTGGATTAAGACGCTACATCTCGAGTAAATAACGATCGAGGTTTTAAATTAAAGGTTTTCAGCACTTCTGGACGTTTTTTAAGTGGTTAAATAAAAACAATAGTTTTATGCCGGAATGGCTGAATTGGATTGTACTAAAAGCTCGTTTGGTATTTAAAACGTCTGGAGCGCAAGCCAACAAGTCGAGGGCAAAAGTTAGGGCGGTATTCAGTAAAAGTTGGAGCGACGTTTAGCCATTCTGGAATAGAAAAGTGGAACATCATCATATATTTCCCGGGAAAAGGAGTGAAAATAAGAAGCAAGCAAGAGGAGACTACCAAAGTGATAGGAAAAGGTTCACTATGATGAATCAAACATTCATTCAGATCATCATTAACCTGATCTCTTAACAAGCTTTTCCAGCAGCTAGCTAGCTACAACTAAAAGTACTCCCTCCAAACTTATTCGCCTTTCTGACAGCATAATAACATACTACTGGGCTGCTGCTGCTGCTGCTGCTATTACAACTACATCTTCATCAACAACAACATCAAGACTAAATTCTACAACTGTTTTTTTGTTCTGTATGGCTGGCTCCTTCAAACAAGTCAGCTTCTAAATGTTTTCCAACATCAAAACATAACATCATCCTCTTCTCTCTGTTTCCTGCTCAGAGGGGGTTGAGCACAAAGCCTTCATTGAAGTCCCTTTTTTCCCAGAGATGAAGCGAAGCGAGGTTCTTTCAACCAAAAACCTCACAGGGTACACTACAGTTCTCTCTCTCACACACACACCATACTTGTAATAGAATCTCAAGAAGAGAAACTCCAAAAACCACAAACTTTGCCTAAAGTCAAGACCTTTGCTTTGTGGGGATTATATACAAATTCTTCTGATACTTCCCACCCCCAAGGAATGATTGCTTGGTCACCTTTGATCAAAAGACCTCGATCATGCTAAAAACCAGTATGATACTTCATTTGTCCAGTTCATTTCTCATAACTCCTTTCAAAATCTTCTCATGTATGTACCTTGTTCTTTATTTAGCTAAAGGCAGCCAGCCACAAGGTTCAAAGCTTTCACCTTTCTGCAACCAGTACAACATATTGTTAGAGAAAGAGAGAAATATGAACGAAGAAGCTGGTGAAAAGTATTCAAGAAGTGACCATATATTGATTACCAGCATCAAAATATCAGGAACATGTCTACAGGTTCAGATGATGTTTCCCACGTCCTCTTATGGCAACAAGCTTCTTCTGGCGCTTTTGCTCACTTCCATCTGCATCCAGGAATTTCAAATCTTTTGGACCTATCATGTAAGGGTTTCCAGGCCCTGGATAGCTAAAATCAGCTGGATTCCTGTTTATTCTGCAGGTTTCTTGAAGCTCCAGGATGCGTTTCTGGGGATGACCAGTTGTGTTAGTCTTAGAACCCGCCTCTAATCTGTATACCATTGGTGATGGGAGCTTTGATGCTTCTTGCATTTGAAAGGGAACCTTAGAAGAAGAATCTGAAGAACCAAGAATCTTCTTTCTAATATGAACTGGACTATATCCAGAATGCTGAGGGATACTACCATGCCTGTTCTCTGCAAGTGAATCAAAGTCTTCTTTTCTCCTCCTTGTCTCTTGAGAAACTTGGCTGCTGAAATCGATGGCCTTCTTGAAACCTCTACTATCAATTTGAAAGGAAGCAGAAGAACCGATTCTCTGGGAATTTGCTGAACCATGTTGCTGGAAACCCCTTGTGAATTGGTTTTCACCGTCATAATCATATGGCAGAGTTCTCATCTCTGAATAATGTCGATCACGAGAGGTAGACGGGCTTTCCTGATTCACTTGTCCATTGGATCTCCGTCCTGCATCCATGAGGCTGAGTAAATGCATAGCTGAAATTGACTCGTTGGAATATATGTCTGTGTTCCCCACTGGCTTCTGATTAAGCTCTATCAAGTTGTTGTTACTCCTACGAGCAAGTGAGGTCTCCAAATGTGATTCCCTCCTTGGTGTTTCAGAACCAAAGCTGTTATTACCTTGTCTCTGAAAGCTTGTAGCATTCTGATTGTCATTATCCATGTTTGGAGTTGCCTTGCGTATGATACTTGGAGGAGGAGGAGGAGACATCAACTTGGGGTCATTAAACATGAAAGGTAAGAGATGACTTGGTGCCATAGTTGGCCACGAGCGATTTGCTTCTTCACTCCATGACCTTGTTGTGTTGTGGGAACTACTCTGAACCGGAGGTCCCTTCGTCGAAAGGTTGCGTAACCATTGCAAGTGTTGACCACCAATATGCCTCCCTGCGGAAGAAGCAGAATCTTGGGGCACACCTGATGGATTCTGGCGCCGTAGGAACTCTGCGTAGCCCAAGGGTGGGGGACGACTTTGTTCTGCTTGATTTATGAAGAACTGGGGTTGATCAGGAAACTGAACAGCTGACTTCTGTTTGGCGGGTGGTCTCGACTTCTCGCTCCACTGAATCATTCCATTTGTTCCATTTTGAGTCAGTAGCTTTTCTCTGAGAGCCTCCTGATAAAACGGGTGCGTGGCCACAACGTGTCTGTTACCAAAATCCAATGTCTGATGACCCCTACTGCTGCCGGCTTGAGCATCAGGAAGACACCTCTCATACTGATTCTTTGCCATGAGTTCAACAATTTCCATAGGGATGTCGTCTGAAACCGGAGCTTCAGATGCTCGACTACCAGCTCTCAGGTCATTATCCCTGCTTTTGCCAGCTGCATGTGCCTGAATTCCAATGGACTTTTCATTTGAGCTTGTACTGCCAAAGTCCTGGAACAAAGAGAGGATCACAGATCTTAAATAATAAAACAAGGAAATGAAAGAAAGGTCAATAAGCAGGAATCAGAATGCGTGGAGCTAGGAAACCATCCAAAACCAATCAGGAAGATTAGGATATACAAGGCTCCTTCACTCATCAATCTGAAAGAACTGAAATTCAAAAGAAAAACATCATGACTACCTTTTTCTGCATACGGATACCTCCCACCTCGACTTGGGAGCTACAGTTATGTGCCACACCAAGGAAAGAAAGTCCATGCATGGGTTGCTTCCTTCTCACGTCACTTTGTACTCCACCAAAAGGTGGAGGCATTTGAGATCCATGACTCAAAGAAAACATTCCAACATATTGTGTCTGATCATCTTTCCTCGTAACCCGATCGTTGGAGGTCATTCTGATATGCTCACCGGACAAAGAGCTCTGCCTGCCATGGACACTACTATACAGCCTTTCCGGTTGATGTGTGGCTGTGTAAATGTCAAGAGAAAGATTAAGCCCTCTTTCACTGGACAAATCTTGGTTACCTTGGCCATGCATAGGCCTAGTTTCCATAGTACTCTCGGCTTCCTGTGCTACTAGATTATCTCGAAGCATGCTGAGATTTTCACCAAACTGACCCGGCTTCGCTTGCTTATTCATAACAGAACTAGATTTTCCATCAACCTCTTGAGTACGCAGAGGGAAAAGATCTATCTCTCTAGCGGCATTTGAATTCTCCACACGTTTTGGTGCAGCATGACCAGTGGCATCGGCCACCACACCAGCATGATCTCCAATACTAAGCTCGGTTACAGTTGGAAAATTTTCCAGAGATGCTGGCGCCAAGGACAGATGCTCATCAGCAACCACAACATTTTTATCTTTCTTCTTGCCCATGACACCACTTTTTTCTACTCTTGATTTGCTTGAGTTGCTTTTTGTACTACTTTGCTGGACCATTTTGTTTCTCACATCTGCAACTAATTCAGAATCGAAACCAGCCTCAGTGTCTGAAACCTTCTTACCCGTCATAGCACTAGTTTCGCCTCTAACTTTGCTAGAATTGCCTTTTCTACTACTTTTTATGACCATTTTGTCTTGCACATCTGCGACTAAGTCAGAAGTCAAAGCTTTGTTCTTCTTGGGAATATGATCAACAGCTTTCTTCGAAATCCTGGCTTTGCTCACCTTACTTGAAGAAGGATTCGGCTCAGGGGTGCTCCACTGATCATCCCGAGGAAATTTTCGCTTCTTGTATGGAACCAAAGTCCTTTTGGCAGAACCAGTTCCTTCCATTTCCACTTGATCATTCAGGGAACCAGAAGGTTTATCATCAACTTCTACAGATGCATAAGGAACGACATTTATGGAGGGAAGAGAATCTGCAGTCTTGGGGGAATCAGCATTTCCATGTACTCCATTCCCACACAACAGATCAGTCAGTAATCGGATCTTTCGAGTTTTTCTACGACGAGGACCACTTGAATGATCACGACGAGAAGCCTGAAGATCATGATCATTCTTGACTGCAGTTTTCTCAGCATTTTCAGAAGAGCCATCACCTGCTTCCATGGTATCTTTAGCACTAGCATTATCATCTTTCTCTCTAGTGCATGCATCAGCAACTTGACCAGAAGCCACAGATTTTAAACGAACTGTCAGGCCTGCGTGTTTTTCATGCCTAGAGTTTCCTTCTCCTGTTTCAAAAGTTCCAACAGAATCCTTGATCACCATCGAATCGAGGTTCCTACTGGGATCATCAGCAGCCAGTTCATGATCCGCACAGCCTGCTGTAAGCGAGTATAAACAAATTAATTGAGCTTATCATAAAGAAAACCAATTTCACAGAAATGACCACATAATCCACAGCCAGAATACAAAAGCCAAAAGCCAACAAGTCAAGGGACTTACTCGAGTCATCTGCACGAAAAGTAATCTGCATATTGCTCAGAGGAATTTCGGTTACAACCGTCTCCCCATCCATATGATGCTTTGATCGAACAGTTTCTCCTGGAGAGGAAAAGAGAAAGTGTAAAGCACAAAAGAACCCACAAGGTCGATTCAATGAGTAAATACATGTAGACACTGACAAACATAGACCAGTGAGACCAATTACCTGAAATTGATGTTCCTGGGGAATTCGTTAACTTATTGTCAGCATTATGAGTGCTCAAAGGATCATGTTTCGAGGCATCATGCAAATGCTCAGCACCATCTTTACTCGATCCTTCCACATCATATAATCCCGAGGGTTTCTGTGTCAACATTAGCATTGGAGCAGCAACTACTGCTGTTTGTATGTGAGAACTGGTAGTTCTTTTACCAGAGCTAGAATGCTTAAGAAGAACGGCAGAATGCTGTATGTTCTCAACAGGTCCAATTTTCTGAGAGCAGTTCTCACAACGCCAGTATCTATACAGCCGTTCATCTAAAGGAGGAAGCACTTGATGATCACCCTCACAATTATCTGTAGTATTGGTTTCAACTGATGAATCAAATGGCCAACACTTGTTGATGTCTTCCTCTCGGACTTCAGATACATAACCACTGCAATTTTTTTAAGAAGTGAGATCAGCTGATTGCTAGAGAGTCAAATCAATGATTACTTTCTTGTTGATCGATTCTATTTTTGGACAAAGGAAAGAGAAGCTACAAGTTCCATATAGACATTGATGAACACCACATGCATGAAGTAAAGGTAGCTAGTCTATTTCCTCAATCCAACTGCATGAAGTAAGTTTTTTGAATGATTGTCAGCCACACTCGGCAGCTTAGGGAACTTGATGCATGGAACTCACCTAGTAATCAAATAGTGTCATTCTAGTAGGCATAACTTGAACTTCATACAGCACTTTCAATACAAAACCAAAGCATAATATAGTGCTGCCGGTATAGAAGAAGGTAGTTAACTTTTCATATGATCTCTACTTACCGGATAGAAAAATGATGGCACTTTTCTGCAGTAGTATTCTTCTCCTTAGGAGCAGTGAGCTCTATATATATAGAGTTAATCTTAATGGGAGATTCCATGCGCTTTTGTACAACAACAAGATCAGCTTTGCTACTTTGATGATTCTCCCCCTCTTCCATATTACAATCACTTCTCTCCATGTGATCACAAAGTCTTCAATCACTCTACAGCCATCATCCCAAGTATATGAGAGGATCAGATTACTACCATATAACACAAAACTTTAGCAGAAAGCACAGCAAGCAAGCAAACAAACCTAGGGTTTATGACTAGCTGCCATGCCTTCCTTCCAAATTAACATGCGGATTGGCTCTACTACTTACACAGCATTGCATTCTTTGCTAATAACATTGTTCTATAACGAGAAAATAATTTAAGAGGCAATCACTAAGGGTAAGTAAGAGACAAATTCCTCACATAAAATGACATCTTTAAACCATGGGAAAGTTAAACACAGCATGCAACTAACAAGCAAATTCAGCAAAACCCTAGATCTTCAGTAACCACTTCATTTGCATTTATAATCCCATGAATTAACAAACCAAGTAACTGCCCATCTGACTTTTTTAGCTGCAGAAATGAGGGTATAAGTGAGCCTTGAAGAGCCACACACAAGGGAAATTAATTAGGGTTAAGATTTCCCTCCAAAACCCATAAAGCTATCGAATTTCCTCAATCATAAACCAAACCCACATATCAAAATCAAGTCTTTACCGCTCAAAGCAGCAGAATCACAGCAAAGAAACGAAACTAGGGTTTTCTCCCAGCTCATAAAACGAACGAAAACAAACAAACAAACGAGTTGATGAGCTGCCCAAAGTAAAACCGAAATATCAGCTCTCTCCCACGACCCAACCCAAAAAATAAATTCACACTGCATGAAATACCGCCGTAAATTCTTTTACTCCAAAACCCACCGAGAAGTCTAAGCGTCGAGTTAGAAGAAGCGTACGAAATGAACAGTGGAAATGAAAATGAAATTAAACGAAATGAAATGAGAAAACAAAAAAAAAATCCATACTTTACCCCCGGGAGCCCGATATATACTCAGCTAAGGAATCCGATAACACGAATCCGAAAAAACCCACCCGCCCAATCAAAACCCCAGCTGACAGCCAACCGTCCGTAGCTAGATAGAAATTTTTTTAACAGAAAATAAGAAAAAGGAAGGACCTTTACATAGACTTGAGCGGCGATCCACCACGGCGAGCTGAGAAACCGGTACTGCCCGATACAGAATCCGTCGGCGGCGCCTCCTGGAGCCTCCGGCGGCTGAGATTCGCAGCTGCCGGGGAAGAATTAGAGTGCGAAGTTCCGACAAACCCTAGAGAGAAGCGCGCGCGGGGAGAGGAGGAAGAGAAGAGGGGATGGAGAGAGGTTTTCGATTCTTCAGGGAGAAGTGTGTGTGTGTGAGAGAGAGAGAGAGAGAGAGAGAAAGAAAGAGAAAGTGTGTCTTTTTTTTTTATCTTTCTCTTGTCCCTTACAAAAAGCAGGTTTTGCTGTCGTGATTTTTACAAAAATGAAATATACCCGATTATTAAATAATTTTTAGGATTTATTAAATATTAGTTGAAGAACAAGGAAAGCAATTGTTAAAATAAAAATAATAAAAAGGGTGGTTTTATTATTTTTTCTTTCCCCAACGAGCGTCCCATGCCATGTCATAAATTAAGCGCCCTTCTAGAGAGAGAAAGGACTCAACGAGGACAGAAAGGTTGAGAGAGAGGTCTCAACGAATGAATTCACACCACGTGTCGTGGATGTGCGGTTCTTATCACATTTCCATTACACCTTTTTTTCCCTTTCATTTCCCCGAGAAGAATTAATTAAAAGGAAATTAATAATAATAAAAAATAAACCCTAGCGGAAACAGTGGAAAAGGGAGACGCCAACTTTTAGATCCGACGCGCTTGGATGGGGGATTGACCCGATGGTGTCACGTCGGCGTGGGGCCCAGAGAGGGGAAATGGAGGGGAGAGTGAGTACACGCGGCACAGTGGCGAGTGGTTGGAGGAGGGGGGAGATGATCTCTTTTTGGGCTGGACAAACCCTAAGGTTTTTTTCCGGCAGGTAATGAGAAGAAAGGACGCTACATAATTGAAAAAGGCGATATAGGGAATAGAATAGGAAGGGAGGGGCATAATGGTAAATGTAGTTTCGGATGGATCTATGGGCATATATCTAACCCTAATCAGGTTAGGTTGTGTGTCTGGCGGATATTATTTTTGGTGCTTGGAAAGTGGCCACGGTATGGATCTCACTACTAATATCCAATTTTAAAAAAAAATTAAGATAGTTCCAATGACGTTTTCACCTATTGATATCTCATAAAATAAATAATTTCAAATGGGTATTTTGTATGAATTAGCGTTCTTAAAGACGAACTCGCAATAATAAAATATAGATCTGGAACAAGACGCTCGATCTAAACAACAACGAATTCATTTATATATACACACAAAGGCAGACGAAAAAAACTAGTCAATGAACAAAAAGACGATATACCGAGTGAGTTGTTGCAGATCTGTAGTCAGAACTGCTTGAATCGTCTCTGAAGGATGTGAATTCGGGTTGACTTGGGAGATGAGTGTCACTATCCCCGCTCCGGTGTGAAGATTTCCTGTGCAAATGTATTGAGATTTGACAAATAAATACTATGGAAAAGAAAATTTTATTAATGAATTTCTTCTTTTGTGGAATCTATAGAAGGGTTAATTTTTATTTCTCGGCTATAGTTGTCATATAATTTTTTTTTCTTTCTTTCCAAATTTTCAGAGCAACATTTTTCTAACAATGGTTGGGTTATGTAATATTAACCTGGTCAATGCCTCAATGGATTTTTCCCAATAGAGATAATATATAGCACCACTGCCTAATATGTATTTAGGTTCATTGTATCGGGGAATAATACAACATAAAAGTGTATCCATTTTATCAATGGTTGATAAATACACAGTCTATGTTATACTGTTTTTTATGGGTAAACACTTCTGATTTTTAAGAAAATGGTGAATATATCGTCTCGGTCTCGGCATTGTCAATTGAGCGGGATGCAAAAAATATCAATATTCATTGATAGCCGCACAATTTAACATAATTGGATAAGATAATACATGAATTAATTACAGGAACTATTTTAAATGGGTATGAGTAAATCTTTAAACATATATAACTGAAATGTATGGTACTTGACACCACAACTCTACTTTAGGGTAATAACGCTTTTCTAACATAACTGGTGTACCCATTTCAAATCATAAAAAATATATGAAAGTTAATCTAATCCACGAAAAAATATTGAGAAAAATATTTTGTTTTTTAGCTTTGCTAAAGAAAATACCCATACCACGACTACACTAAAAGGTGGTTCGAATCCAACATCCCGACTTTACAAATTTCGTTATGATACTACTTAGATCAAAATTAAAGCACGCTGAAAGGTTGTCCACCTTTGAACAACATTACGTTGATCAAGATTAAGCTTGATTGTGATCATATAAGCTTGGTTTCTAATCAATAATTACCATGTGCAGATGATAGAATGGTGTTCGATTTTATTCCAATTCCAAATTAGTTGAAGTAGTATACATCTTGGTCACTCATTGCAAGCGAGCTATATGCCTACATCGTGAATTGTGCCTAGATACGTACGAGATAATAAAATCCACTAATCCAGAAAAGTAGCTAATTAAGCTTGTTTGGCGTAAATTTATTTATTTTGATGACCTTATTTGGCCTTTTCACTGGAATAAAGTGGTTCGTTTTTATGGAATTAATGATTATATTTATCACCCGCAAACACCATAATGAGCGTATCTGATACCCTAGCTACTGGCTACTGCACATATATGGAAAACCTAAATCAAATCATCATGCCTCAGCGTGGACTGCACGTCAAACCATAACTTTAATTAGTTGTATAGTAGAGTATCAATTAGGTTAACAAATTGCATATCGCAACTATTAATCGAATTAATTATCAATTGAGAACATAGTCTTCTTTTGATTTAGTTGTATGTTAACCAGACATAAAGCTAGCTAGTTATTTTGTGTTCTTGCTTACTGGAGATCGATGAGTGAATAGCCCAGGGATGCAGCTGCTTGGGTATTCAATCCAAATATATGTATGATTGTTAGGGATACTCATGGTATGATATAGATAGTTTGGTATGTAAAAAAAAATGTTCAACGGGCAGGTAGCCGATCGAGTTTGGGTGTTTGGAAATGTACGGATAAGGAATTGATTGGTCGGATATTGGGATTTTCAATAGACCTCGCGACCTTGAGCATGTATGCTTTTTATGGTCATTAACATTATGTGCGACGAGTTAGCTTGTTTGTGCTATGTACAGGGAAGAGTCTTATTCGACTTTATGATATTACATGTTTCGTTGTACGACCCTCTCTCTCGTATAGACTTTGTTATGTTTTCATCCAGATGCACACATTGTGCACCTCTTATCATTCATAATAAGTAATCCACATTGCGCACAAGTCCAAGTTATAGTTTAATTTACCCCTTACGAAAACGTAAACTTGAGTAGATTGTGTAGTGCAAGAAAATTTACTCATCTACAAATTACGTAAACTGCCGCCGTACGCAAATGAATCATCCCGCCCGGCAAGAAACAAGTCCTGGAAATGCATGCATGTAATGTTATTAACGAACGACAACGGTCGCGGTTCTTAAATGACTTGCTAATTAATACTAAAATACTGATTAATTGACAAACTTGATACTGATTTAGCAATTAGCAGGAGAACCGACACCTACATACGAATCTTGTTAATTATATATAGTATACTTTCTTAATTCTTATCATGATATAGATATATATCGAGGCATTATATTGTTTTGATATCGAGATGGCTGATTTTCAGGAGATTCCGCGCCCACTCCAGTCGGCCGGCCAGCCAGCCAAAGATTCATTGAGGAGGTATCATATAAGCGGGTCTTGTCTTCGAGCAGGAGAGACCACTCATTTTCCTTTCAACGCAGTTAAATTAAAAGCGGGCGGTAAATGAGATGATTTTGGTTTAATTAAAAATTTAGGTCGTTGATACTTGATAGAAAAAATTCATTTTCCCGCTCAATTTATACTATGTGAAAGTCGATCGATATTACTGATCAACGTAATGTTCGAGGTTTCAATGGCAGTATATATAAGTTGTTCGATGTGTCAACCTAACAAAAAAAAAACCGCGAATGAGAAATTCCGTTACAAAAATCTTGTTCCTTGTGAAACTCATGGTCGAGCGAGTGAGGCGAGAACATCTCAATTGTCGAACAAATTATAATGTATATATATACAATGGTAGTCCTGTCAATAATAACATAGATCTAAGAAATTGAATGACATTGTAATCACGGTAAAATACATATTTAGAACTATCTTTCTGAATCCCGACTCTTAGACTATAATATTGAAACGAGTATACAATTCCTAACAACCTCCAGTGAGTTTTCACTCTCCAGATGGCCTATTACTGAAATTAGTCATTCTCGTCTCTAAGTATGTAGTAGACAGAGAGAGGACAGGGGAGAGAGAGAGAGAAGGAGAGATGGGAAATGTCGCATTGCCATTACCATCCGTTGTTGCTTTGCTTTGCTTTGCTTTCTTTACTTTCTATTTCCATTACTATTTGCTGCTGCTGGTGGTGGCAGCAGACCAGAGGCCCAGTGGCAGTGAGACCCATTGATATCCGTGTTGAAAATCGATTATTATTATTATTGCATCTTTTTTTGTTGTTTTGCTTCATTACTTCTGCTTGTGTTGTATATCTAACCGTACCATACTGGGAAAAAAGGGGGGTAAAATTCTCTGAAGCGTCACTAAAAGTCGAAACAACCAACATGGAGTTAAAGACCATGGGTACCTTCATTTCACTAAAGTAAGAATATGGCATCAAGAAGAAATAACGAAGAAGGAAGGAAGGACCCATGCATTGCATTTGCATATAATAATAATAATAATCTGTTGCATTGCATGTGGCCCTCGATCTCTCTCTCCAATGGAATGGAGGCAATAATCCATTTTATCGATCCCTTTCTTCCAACTTTTTCCACTACCTAGTTTCTTCCTTTTGGCAATATCATCATCATTTCCCGCTCCTCTCTCTTTGTATAGGTTCTCTCTCTCTCTCTCGCAAGATGTTGATATATATAATTGAACGTTATACATGGGTCCATTCCTTCTCCTAGCTAGCTAGGTTATCTACTTCCAACTAGGGCTGTTTATTGGTTTGGTTTGATTAACCACATATGGAAAGCCAAAAATCAAATCAGACGACAAATTCCCCAAAACAAAATCAAAATCGTTGAGGATCGAATAGGTTTTCGGTTAACCGATGAGATCCTTATCGATTTTGGTTTGGATAAACCAAAATTCAAACCTGATCTAATTTGGAAAGTCCAAAGATGGAGTTATAAAATAGGCAACAATAAACATGAAGATGGGAAAGAAGTATACAAGTTATAAGTTGGTGACAACGCGTGTCGTTGATGTGTATTGACTTTTCATTTTTAACCAAAACCATTAACATTTTAACGGTTTAAATTAAAAAAATAAAACCGTTAACCTTCTTATGGCCTCGCTTCGGTTAAAATGGAAAAAAACAAACTGACGGCCCTAGCTACTTTCAACCAAGTTCATACACAATTCCGTGCCCTTTCTTAGCTAGTTCCACGTCTTTTTGCAGACATCTGGTAGGAAAAAACGTAACCTCATCACCATAGCAGCATTAAAATTTTTAATTGAGTGTTGATTATTAAACAGCAAGGGGACTCGTCGAAAGGAATCTCCAAACAAGGAGAACATTTATCACTAAAGCACCCCTACAAGCTACAAGCATTATGAGTAGAATCTCTGGCTTCTATTCGCATACAGAAAGATGAAAAGCAACGGACTGAATCTCTACAAAACTAACAAACAAGATATAGAGCATAAAACGTCTTCAATGACATCTACAAAAAGCCTATTCTAACTTTTAATTGTTAAAACGCAAAACAGTGAAACGAATTCATACAAAACTAACAAACAACATAACGTAGACTTATAAGTTATAACGCATAAATATTGTTTTTTTTTCCCCATTATTTTTGTTATGAGGCCTAAAGTTGGGCACGTGGGTGGTTAACCCGCAGGTTGATATCGATCCATTTACAAGTAATCTGAATCACAGGTTATGGGTGATAAATGTGGGTGGATAGTGGATTAATTGATAAATCTCCTACCCGCACTTATGTGGGTAGGTGGGTGGTGGATGGATTGCAGGTCACCCGAATGATACACACCATATTTTAACATGAAAAAATGTTATTTCTCATACTGTAAAAAATGCATAATATTTTTACTAAAAAAATTATCATATCTCCTAACCGCACTACACACTGACCATCTACTTCTAAAGGTCGGGAATAAAGAATATTTCTGTACTACAATTATTGGTTATTGTGTTCTGAATTATCCATTAGATTTTATGATGCAAATTATAAACTATTAATTATGTATTGTTGCAAAATGCGTTAGTTTTCTCTACATAGTTGGTTGATAGAATAATAGAAAAAAATTATGCAAATACTATATGGATTCATACGAGACAAATTAAAGTGGGAAGTGTCTAAATTGATATAATATTACTAATTTGCTAGAACTTATTATAAATATTAGTCAACTTTCTTACTAGTTGCCAAGTTGGAGAATTGCTTTTACGGGTTAAAACATAACCCACCCAACTGCACCCATCCGTCACCTACCCAACCCAATCCGCAGAAGAAGGTGAGTTGATAGCATTAGCAGGTCACAATTTTACCAACTCGCTAATAAGCATATGGACCAATTGGAGATCAAAATCCACCCAACTCGCTTATTGCGGTGAGATCAAGAGAACAAAACCCAATAAAAAAAAAATATTTGGCGGTCCAACTAGGTAACACCATGATTTTTAGCCATTTACTCATATAGTTTAGCTTTATCACCATAAATGATGGTTGTGGCGGGTGGGGTACTTGACGGAGAAATTAAGGAAGGAAGGAGAGAGATGTGGGATCGGAAAGTGCTTCCCCCACACCACCACACGCCACCCCAAAATTAGACCTACCTACTCACTTACCCATTTCTTTAATTATATAAAATATTTCTTTGTGTCCCGAAACCGCCGGCCGGCGGCTTTCCAATACATTAATCCAACCGCCGTTACCATATTTAGCGGGAAAGAGACACAACGCAGATCACTAATTCAGCACATATTAAATACAATTCATGTGCTGTCATGCATCATCGCGCGCTTCATTCCGCATCCAAACAAACACAAGAACACAGGGCGCGTGCAGGAAGAGGACAAAAACACATGATGGAACAAATTAAAAAGAAAGGGTTTCACTCACATGTTACCGCAGGCCGCCGGAAAACTCCGCCGACTGCAGGACGGAACAGTGATCTGACTCGCCGGCGGTATTGTGCATATTATCGCGCGCGCTGCATTTCAATTACCAGAGACTCAGAGAGTAATATTCGTAAGTAACGAGTAGCAGCTTTTTCGAAATCCAGGTGTTAGGTAGCTAGGCAACAGAAACCAGGCCGGCTTCGCTGAGAGTTAATCGGGTCAGTAGTTAAGCCAACCGGCTGGTTTAAGAACCCGGCCCATATGGGTCAGAGCTGCTTCACCCTGCAAATGAAAGTTGTTTAAGGAACAGATGAGGCAAGGGATCCTCTCTAATAATGGTCATTAATTAGTAACACACTTTGGTCCCTGTTAGGGTTTGCAAAGCATAGGAGGAGAGCAAAATTTAATCTCCTGATAGTTTCTCTCCAGAACACACAAGATCGAATCAGTTGGGTCGTAGTTATATGGGTTCCCTTTAGAATTTGAGTACCAAAATTTTAGCCTTTTCGAAAATAACGTCTTTTATCGTCCACGGGATGATGATGAACTCCGTCATCTTTACTGGGATCCGATTCGTCTTTCGATAGATGGCGCCGGCGGGCGTCTGTTGCGACAGAGATTAACGACCGCCAAAACAGTGGTCGGTGCATGTGTATTTGATACCAACACGAATCCTGTACCCGTAGTTATCAAAGTAACACAACAAAGGAGAGGGATAAAACGATAGAGATAGGGTGGAATTGAAAGTGCAATGTTAAAACGGAATCGGGAAAAGGCTCAATCAATATAAAACGGTAGAATTTCGACTACAATCAAGGGGGAAACTTGATTCATACAGAGAAAAGTTCAAACCTAAAACTCAAAACCAAGATAAAAATAAATATTCTGCTAACAACTAACCATAAAACCCGAGTCTCGGCTTTTATACAAGGTTTGGACAATTAAAGATAACAAAAACAACTTAAAACACAAAATCCCGTCAGTCAGACCCGAAACCCGGACAAAATACGCGGTCGGATATTTTGGGCCGCTGAGGGAGAGAAATCCCTGGACACATACCCTAGTCTCTCCTCCCATTTCCCCGATCGGGGAATTCTCGTTCCTCAAAACCCCCGCTCCCAGCTGCTTGTCCCACCAACGCCTTTGCTTCTCGGTATTTGATGTTGGGCGGAGCTGGGGTTGCTGACTTGCTGGGCTCGCATCAGTATTATATGGCGGTTTACCTAATCAAACTATAGACCTAACCCATTTTCCAAATTCGTGTTAGCAACTCATTTTACCATTATTTTAACTTTTCAACGAGACCTAATATTCAACCCTAAATTTGTGAATCTCGTCCCCTACTTCATTAATAAACCATACTCCATCACTAACAGTTGATTAAAGCACAAGGTATGGTGGCCCTGTGCAAACTTTAAGTCCGTGAGTTGGCTTTCGTTTGAGGAGGCGTGTTAGAGTGTGGTATAAGATTCAACATAACCTTCTCCCAACAACTTGAGTTGTTGAGAACAACTGGTTTATGACAGCCACGACCTTGAATTTTCGTTGTTTACCTTGATTTATAGTATCAAAATTATGCATACTTGTTATAGGAATTTATGTTTTAAGTAGGGCTGGGAAAATAGACCAGACCGTTAGAAAAACCATGGTCAAAATCGGACCACACTTTTTGGTCTGGACCGTAGACCGTTAAGTATGGTCATGTATGGTCCATGGTCTGTATTATCTGATGTTTTCATCTCTTGGTCTTGTCTAGTCTAGACCCCGCGGTTTACCGGATCAAACCGTGGACCCCAATCGACTTGTCAATACGTGTTAATAGCCCATTCGACCACTCTCCCAACTACCACAACGACACCCAAGTCTCAACCTTAATTTTGAGAATCTCGTCCCTCCTTCATTCACAACCACATTTCACCAGAGAGTAGAGATAATTGTGTCTTCATATGACATTATGGTAATGTTTATGACGTTATGGTGCATTGGGATGCTTTTACTTTGTATCTTTGTTATGTACTAAGATTTAGGGTATGCAAATTATTCATGCATGTTAGGATTAATGATTTAAGGCAAAAAATAATTTTTTCTTTGTTATTAGTTCAATTTTTTTGTGTTTGACTAAACAAGCTGATCATTTTTCATTGAGTGTGGTTTATCTGGACCGGACCAGACTGCATAGGCGTGGTCTGGACCGGACCGTATAGTTTATGGTCTGGTATGTGGTCTATACTTCAGCCTCTCGGTTTGGACCATAGACCGTATATATGGTCTGGTCTGGACCAGACCGCACCGTTTCCCAGCCCTAGTTTTAAGGAGAATAACAAATTTTCTCTCAATGATTGGTTCAAATTTTCGTATGGTTTATTAAAAAAATAATTCATTTTTGCTCAATCTGGTCTACATGGTCCAGATCGTACCAAACTAAGCCGTACAGGCGTAATCTAGTATGAATCGTGTAATATTTAATCTGGTCCTTGTTCTATACTCAAGCAGTCAAGCTTCTCGAATTATCTAGATCATAGACTGTATGTATAGTCCGGTCTGCACCCCAATTTTACAACCATACTTGTAGATCCAATTATTAATATTTATTTGTTTTGTTTTTATGCTTTGTAACTTTTTAGGAGAAAGATAGAAACAAAGCACGTTTAGCATGCATTGACAATTTAACGTTTTTGGAGAATGTCCATAATATTATACTCTGAGTCGCTCACTTCAAATAATTTTTTGCCAAAAGTCCATTCATAATCCTTACTAGCTAAGCAGCCCGTTGCAAAGTTACATTTGTAATTAACTGAATGCTATGTAGTTAAATTTGGTACTATGAATTCACAGTCACACTAGAAAAAGCCTATATATGATATGTCAATATCTACTATCCATAAGAGATTTATATGCAACAAAAACATGCAGTGACTGAAATGTGAAAGAAAATTATTTGAGGGGCTAAAGTTGGAATAAAGTTGAATTAGTGGTAGTTCACGCGCATCCCTAAAATTGTTTAAATTCGTTTGAAATTTCAAACCTTATCCGTCGATCAAAAGTAACCCTTTTTAAGTGCACAGCCAACCAACGCGAGCCGTACACGTGTCCTCCCAACAGAATCTCCAGCCTCATTCGGAGTCGATTACCGCCAAATTCCCATGGAAAGTCATCAGCGAAACCCTTTTTTCTCAATCCGACGGCTGAAGTCTCTCTCACCGTCAATCCGGAACTTTCAAGCTGCACCGTCGGATGAAAACAGTCAGCATCTCGCCCTCCGATTTCGCAAAATTAAATTTTCAAAATTTTTGACGAGGGAGCAGGAAAAGGAAAAACGATTAAATAAAAGCAAATCCCCAAAACCTTGTGCTTCCCAGTCCCCCCTCTTCCTCGAACTCCGGCTCCTCCGTTCCCACTTCCACCGGCGTCCATTGATGATCTCCCGCAGACGGCGGAGCTCCTCTTCTACTGCATCGTCGGTCTGGTCCGGAACTTTCCCCGACTTCACAGCTCGCAGAGATTAACGTGAGAAATTGAAAGGACAAATTCTGAATTCGGCTGCAAGGGGTGGGGAAAATAGCTCCAGAAGAGATAACTTTTCGCGATTGATTGCTTGGTGAGCGATGGAGCAAGGAGAGGCGGTTTCGGATTTTGCGCCGAAGAAATTAGCGCGGCAGCTTGATTTCACGGCTGTTTGTAGAGCGGCGCCGGAGCATCACTCTCAGCCGGTAGCTCAACAGCCGTCGCAATCGGATTCGACGCTGCAGCTGCATTTGCAGTTACAAACGCCACCGCCGAAGTCGAAGCCACAGCCGCAGTCACGAGAGCTGGCTGGAGCGGGATTGGAATTACATTTGCATCTGCAGCCGCCGCCGCCGCCGCCAAAGCAGTTACTGCAATCACGGCCGCCACCACAGCCTCAGGTAATGCCGCAGTTTCAAGCGAGGTTTCAGCAAGTACCGGCTGCGGTGTACCGGATCCCTCATCCTGTTCATAAACTGCCACTGCCTGTGCTGCCGGTGTAAGCTTTCAGACTAGTCGAATTGGGGAATTAGATTTATCAATTCGGTATTCGTGGTGTGCTTAAGAGTCTTGACCTTGCTTTGGTTAACAGTTAGATTTTCTGTTAGTCATTCTAATTGTTTGTTATATCGTTAATCATTACTCCTTCAGCAAGAAGCAAGAATCTCCTAGACCACGTCCAAGGGTTGACACTGAGGCAACAGATGTCAATGTTACTCCTAACAAGCCTAAGCAGTGCAATTGCAAGAATTCTCGGTGCTTGAAGCTGTAAGTGACACTCGATTAGTAGCATATGGATGAACTTTAGCTGTTGAAATGCTTCACATTGCATCAATGCTGTTGGATTTCTCTTCAGTTTCTGTTGATAAGTATCATTCCTGGTTTCCATTGAGATGTATGCTAGAGAATTTGATAAGGCTGCAGATTTTATTACTCGGTTTTGATGCGAATTTAAGCTTCTAAGAATGGAGAAATGAAGTTTAGCCTTCTAATCATGTATGGACTTTGGACAATGTTCTCTGTTTTCCTTGATTAGCCAACTCTTCCGTGTGTTTTAGGTATTGTGAGTGCTTTGCTGCTGGGCTATATTGCAAGGACTGCAACTGTGTAAATTGTTATAATAATTTGGAACATGAGGGTGCTAGGCAAGAAGCTGTTGGGCTAACCTTGGAGCGCAATCCAAATGCTTTTAGACCGAAGATTGCTAGCAGCCCTCAAGGGTCTAAGGCTAGTGTAAGTATGCTGTGGTCTTTGAGTTTCAGATCCTTGATCCCAAACTCGATGATCTTGATGAATTCGTTTGAGTAGCCATTTTGTTTTCTATTGAATTTGGAGAATGAAAGCTAAGATTAACTTGTAAAAGAAGGAAAGTTCATTTAAACTATTGTGTTTACGTGTTGTTTGATTGTAGCAAATCTAGGCCTTTAAAATAGCTTCTGTATGGTTATCACTGTGTATTGATTCCATCAATCAATAACAGGGGAATACAGGAGCGGTTCAAATGATTGGAAAGCATAATAAAGGATGTCACTGCAAGAAATCGGGTTGTCTAAAAAAATACTGTGAGTGTTTCCAAGCAAACATTTTGTGCTCAGAAAACTGCAAGTGTATGGACTGCAAAAATTTCGAAGGAAGCGAAGAAAGAATGGCTATCTTTTGTGGGAATTCTAGTCCCAACATTTATGCTCATCAAGCAGCAAATGCTGCCATCAATGGAGCCATTGGTTCTTCAGGCTATGGGACTGCAGTTTCATCCAAGAAAAGAAAGAGTGATGATATGCATGGTATTGGCACCAAAGATTCAAGTCTGAATTTCAGTTTAAAGTTCCAACAGGTGAGCTTTTGTAGCCTATTTTCGTTCTGAACTGCTTGGTGAAACACAATACTGTGCCTATTTCTATTTGTTGACGTGGTTTGCAAAGATAATTTCTTGTTCATTTCGGTCTTGTTGCAGTCAAAAGTGGCCTCTCTTATGTCGAGACCCAGTCAGTTTAATAATACTTCTGAAAATATTTAATCATTACCTGTTCTCTTGGGCGTCCCTTGTGACTTTGAAAGTTAAATGCCTTGTTTTGGCTTCTTCTTGCTTTTTCTAACTAGTGATTGCTACCAGGAAAAATACCTGAATAGCTCTTCTCCATTGCCTGACCGGAGATTGCATACTTCTGGTCCTGCTCGGTTGGGATCTTCAAAATTGACATACAGGTCTGCTTTGTCGATTAGAGTTTATGCAAGTCGTCGATCATAATTTTTCCTTCTCAAGTTAGTCTTCATTGGAAATGATTGTGTGTTCCCCATCTCCATTAGGTCCCCATTGGCAGGCATAATCCAACCGCACCATGTCAAGGAGTTGTGCTCGCTCTTGGTAGTACTTTCAAGAGAAGCTGGAAAGGAAGTATCAGGTTTGACTTCCCGCAGCAATCTTTCAAAACTTTCATATGTTGCTTTTTAGTTTTTACATTTCATTTCACTCTATAGCTTGTGCTAAGCATCTGACTGTGATGTGTAGAATGATTTTTCTTCCAACCAACACGACTTAATCCCTGCTCCATTCCTCACACCTCACAACTCTACCCGAAGAAACAGCCTTTCAGATTCAACACTTATGAAATATCCATTAGATACCATGTCCTGCAATTAATTTGAGCAGAACATGCTTAAGTCAAGTGAAAGGGATGCATTCGATACCCTGAGCTGAAAAACTTTTATCCATTGTTAAGAGCAGACAATAAGTTGTGAGTTTGTGACCAAGAATGAATTGCAAGGGCTAGAAAAGACCGAGGAGGAAAAGTTTAAGTGTGGAATTGAAAGCTCTTAGGTTATAGACTAGGAGAAATTGTGCAGTTGGTTGGTCAGGAAATTAGTGGGAATGAACATCGATGTCCATTGTTATTTCAGCAAAAAAGAATCCAACTTTTGTGCTGTGCATTGTTGTAAATTGTCATTTAAAGCCGTAGTCTGATTTAAGTAAGGTTTTGGCACTCTTTGTAAGGTGAATATGTTGTATTAGATTGATTTATTTCCATAATGAGCATCTCACTCTGACTTGAGATTTTTTCAGGTAGGGAAGGCAAAATGGATGGATTACACGAAGCAATAAGGAGTGACAAGCCTTCTGCTTCACCTGCTCAGGAGAGGCAAGAAAGGGATTGCTTCAAGCAGACTGCAACAGAAAGAGAGAAAACCACTGATTATCAGGCAGGCATGGAAAATGGAAGATTGTCCTCTCTTGATTTCGATCCAGCCACTTGTGAAGTGAAACCCTCCCAGCTGGAACAACCACCATCCACTACTAGCACTCCTGATTTCTCTGAGGTCTACGCCGAGCAGGAAAGGCTCGTCTTGACCAGTTTTCGAGACTTCCTAACCAGACTCATCAGTTGTGGGAGCATAAAAGGTTCTTATCTATGATCTCAGCAGTCAGCTCTTCAAGTTGTTCACTCTTTACCCCCTCCATAACAGCAAAAAAGGGGTTCTATTATTTTGCAGAACAAATGTGTTCTCCACCAGCCAAAGGTAAAGTGGGGAACCAACAACAACATGAAGTAAATGGTACAGGAATTCACTGCAGTCCTTTGTATACTAATGGCATCATCAAGCCTCCAGTTTCGAGGGCTTCTCCATCGAATGACGATCGACAACAAGCGATCTCTCCTGCACCATCTCCTATCAACGGTAGGGCACAAACTCCCAATGACAAGAACTGAGTTTGACTACAATATACCTGGTTATGGGTTCCATTTCCAGTGGCAGGATATAAGCAGAGTAACTCTCGCTACATAGACTGAGAAGAAAAAGGTAAAAGAAAAGACAAAATGAAGGATGCTAATCAACAGGAATTAACTGCACATTTTTACAGATCATTCTTTCACATTCACGTCACCGTCCTTGGTGATGTTAGATTGCGTTCATTGAACTCCAGTGCCTCATTGTGTTCTTGTAAATTTTGGTAAGGGAGGTATTCCAGCTTTAGTTGATTTACAACTAAAAAGTAACCCTTTTCTTTTGTGTTTTTGGTTACTTCTTAGTAGCCTAACGAAGTAGACTTCCTTCAAGAAGATCATGTGTTTCCTTTTTGTCGAGGACTTGTTTGATGTGCTACATGAATAGGCATACTATACATGAAACATGGATATGTCATATGGATGAACAACTACTCGTAATTGTACGCTAATTTCTTCGACCTCTTAGACTACAATAACTTTGGAAAACTAAATCTTTTTGTATGTTAAGTTCAAGTAATTTGTAGCATCTCATTTCAAACGTTTTGTCGAAAACGATGCAACAATGCAATTATGCATTCTCCTCCTAAGCAAACATCTGAAGTGAAATTGTACCCCTCCTGCAATGTGAGAAGTTGCAAGATGACCGAAGAAAATGCGATTTCAGGAATTGTTTTGTTAGAGCACCTACATTGGTATTGCATTTTCAATTGTAAAATGACATGGTACAGGTGTTTGTAATTGCAAAATTAATTACATTGATATGGCTACCAATTGCATATTTGCAAGCTTGCAACAAATGAAATTCCATATGCAAGTCAAAAAAGACTAAAAAAATGGGGATTTTGTATTTTATTTTATATTATTTTCTTTTCTCTTTTAATTATTTTTTATAATTTGAACATAATATTTAATTACATTTGCAATTGCAGGTTAATTGCATTGATGTAGGTGAATGAATGAATGTGATGTGGATTGTAAAAAATTTGAGTTGACAATAAAAAATACAAATGCAATTTCTTTTGCAATTGCATTGATGGTGATGCTCTTAATTTTCTATAATTTAAACATAATATTTAATTACATTTGCAATTGCAAGTTAATTGCATTGATATAGGTAAATGAAATGAATGTGACGGTGGATTGCAAAAAATTTGAGTTGAAAATAAAAAATGTAAATGCAATTTCTTTTACAATTGTATCGATGGAGATGCTCTTACGTAGCACAGGAAACGAGAGACACTAACTCCTCCACTTCATCCTTCAGATTGATTACCTGCCAACAATATCAGATGAGCATTGGCGCATCGGTATCCAATAGCGTACCTCTCATTGCTGATGAAGCTCACAGAGCCACACATTTATACGTTCTCTTGGATTCATCCAAAAATACGAAGTCAGGAAGGTGGTGAAGCTGGAAGAGCAATCCTCTGCACCCAGCCCAGAAACTTGGAAAAAACAATCATGGAAGTAACTTGGAATTGAAGGCTGCCATCCTCCGAGAAGATGAATCTTCCTTGTACGTACTCCTCCCTTTCCTCCGTTGTCTAGTCAGCAGTTAGGGCTGACAGTCAGTCACCACCACCAACCCATTTTGGCATTTTGCTCCGTATCTCATTCGTGCAAGCAACCACACGCTGTAATTTCTCCATCCTTCCACCGTGCGCATGGCGCCGCTCTGCTGTACCTTTTACCGTGCCGTCCTGATTACGTTTCCCGCCATCTGGCTGTTCTCGTCGTCAGGCGGAGGAGCCAGCACGGTGATTCTTCCACCACCACGAACACTGACGGAGGCGGCCTCCTTCACACGTGCGCACCACTACCCAGACTCGCACGTGCCACCGCTCGTCGTCATTCGTCCTTCTCTTCCCCAGTCCCACCACGCGCCCGTGGCAATGTCCCCGCCGCCAAAGCATTTTCCCTTTAAATTTCCAGCTCCTTCTCCACTCTTCCTCCGCCGCACTCCACCGACCTCCGGCGAGAAGAAGAAGAAGGACTTCGGTCTCACTCCCGCCGCTGCTACAGTCATGGATGGTGAAGATTGTCTCATCGACGTACACAAGCTCCGCTCCGATTTCCTCCGCGTTCTCCGCTCCAGGCGAACCGCCGCAGGTTTGACTTTTTGAATTTTTGTGATTCCGTATTCTTTTTTTTTTGTTTAATTTTTTTTATTATCGTCGCTCCTTGCTGAATTGCGCTTCGGTGGAATCGGAAGTTCCGTTGGCGGTGGAGCAGGCGAAGCCGGTCAAGCATCCTTTGTTTCAGGATGAGAAACCACCGACGTTCAGTGAGGTCGGTGACTGTGTCTCCGTTTGAACGGCTTATCTACCTTTGCGGTTTAGTTTCTCGTTGTTTATTACCGAAATGAAACTTCTCCGAGTTTTAACTGACAGGCAATGGAGTCTTGTCCGAAGGCAGATATACCTAATCTGAAGGAGAAGTTGAAGGAGGAGAATCTTCACTTGATCACTGAGGTAATAAACATTGAATTCAATTAATTAACCTCTCTCTCTCTCTCAGTGGAGTAACTTTCGGTTTCGTTCTTTAGCCGATTAGGAATCGGAGTTTCTAAATTAAGCGGGTGACGTTGACTGATTGCTGTTTTGGGGGATGGAAAATTATGTATGTAGGCAGGGGAGCAAGGGCGTTTGCCTGTTCTGATTCTGAGTCTGAAAGGGGGGAAAGAAAGGAAGCCTGCCGTTGTGTTTCTGCATAGCACGCATAAGAACAAGGAATGGTTGCGGCCGTTGCTTGAGGTGATCATCATCATCATCATTGTTCTCTTCGTCTTTGATTCGTTTTCCACCTTTTGATTGAGCTGTTTGAGCAAATCAGTATACAGAAGTGGAACAGTTCTGGTAACTGCTTGTGTTTTTGTTTTGAAAGGCGTATGCTTCACGGGGATATGTGGCGATCGCCATTGATTCTCGCTACCACGGTGAACGAGCTCACAACAAGACCACCTACAGAGATGTTAGCTAGCTCCATAACTTACCTCTTCTTCTTTTTTCTTGTTATTTCGAATCTCGTGACCAAGTGAGTGAATTTGAAAATGGCAGGCTCTTGTGGAATCATGGAAGAAAGGTGACACAATGCCCTTCATATTCGATACGGTAAAATGGATTGATTTGCTATTTCTTCGGGTTGGCTAGCTTCGGCACAAGGGATGATCACTTGATCAGTAGCCAAATCAACTCCATTGTTGCAGGTCTGGGACTTGATCAAGCTTGCGGATTATCTCACACAAAGGGAGGATATAGACTGTACCAGGATTGGAATCACTGGCGAATCATTGGGAGGTTGGTTGGTAGCGGAGACCTTCAAACTTTGAAGTGGATTTGCTTCTACTTGCATGGTTTATGAATTAAGTTGATCTTGTGGTTCCTTCATCCCCAATTTTGCAGGAATGCATGCATGGTTTGGTGCTTTTGCGGACAACCGATATTCAGTGGTTGTGCCCATAATCGGTGTCCAGGTATACATCAATGAAGGAATTGATCAACGTTTTGCCACATAACAGAAACGAATTAGCTTTCTGATTAATCCTTAATGCAAATCTTGTCAGGGATTTCGCTGGGCCATAGACAACGACAAATGGCAAGCCCGTGTTGTTAGCATAAGAGCAGTATTTGAAGGTATGACAGTTCAGGCAACTGGTAGTAAATGAGGGTTTCATGGTTGGCAAGTTCTTGTCTTGATTTGGTCAAGCCTTTTTTTTGTTGCAGAAGCGAGGATGGATTTGAGCAAAAAGGCTATTGATAATGAAGTGGTGGAGAAGGTCAGTCGCCAGATAATGAAAAGAGTTCTTCTGCTTCACTCCGTTTAAACAGCATTGATCATTATCTTTGGCTTCCTGGATCAGGTCTGGAACAGGATTGCCCCTGGCCTGGCGTCTCGCTTTGATGCACCATATACTGTACCAGCTATGTCGCCTCGTCCTCTGCTTATTCTCAATGGTAACAAAATCTAGAAAGCCTGCAATTTGACTTCACGAACCATTCAGAAATTCATTAAGATTCCTAACTAAAGTTTCCAAGTACTGAAGTATTTGGTCGTTGAATTTTCTGAAACTACAGGAGCAGAAGACCCACGTTGCCCGATTTCTGGTATACAGAGTCCAATGCTGAGAGCGCTAGCGGTTTATGAGGAAGCTAATGCCGCAGACAAGTTTAAGGTATACGAGCTCATTGTACCTCGTCACAATGTAATAGAAAAAGAATAAAAATATATAACAGCCTGAAGCTTCTACTTCTGCATCGAATGCAGGTAATTGCTGAAGCTGGAATTGGGCACCAGATGACAAAATCCATGGTGAAAGAAGCAAGCGACTGGTTCGATAAATACCTCAAACAATGAATGCTCTAGTCAGGATGCATCATGCTGGTAATACCTTGTACTGAACACCAGAAGCTGTCTTCAATTTGATGATCGTCGAGAAAGATGTGTTAAATAAAATGTAACTTTTGGCAACAGTACGTGTAAAATATACTAGGTTCTTTCCTTTCTGTCTCAAACATAAGCTAATTACACGAAATCAGCATTTCAGCATACAATACAAAATTAAAGTCCAGAAAACCAAATGATAAACCATATCAAGAATTATAGTAGTAAACAAACAGAGCATACAATAACAGTCTTTTGTAGTTTCAGCCTTTCTTTGGTGAAGCTGCGAGCCTTGTGTACATTCTGGCCATGGACTGATAACCTCTTACATCGCCAGAACGCAGAAGGTTTCCTGAATCACGACATACTTCTTAGGATATCGGAAACAACACTGGCGGATGGATCAAGAAGTTATAATCAGAGTAGAAATCTAACTTGCCTGAATCACAGTTCAGAGGGCTATCAGGCTCTGGGTGAGCCATAAGAGCAATTATAGCCCTACAAACCGATTGAAGCGTCCATGCTGGACTCCACGCATTCTTCAATATGTCTAGACATATCTCCCCAGTCTGCAACAGAAAAATTATCCCCACTAAGCCACATCAATATCAGCTTGATAATTTCTTAAGAGGCTCTTGAAATGCTCACTGTTTTTCATATCTCCTAAAATCAAGGTCACCTGCCTTACTTCAAAAGACTGCCACAGGATTCTAAGTTCTAACTGTACTCTGCAATAACTCATGTGCATTCCCCTAAGCCACTAAGAGTAACTGACTCAACACATAATGAAAGCTTATCCATGGATAGTTGGATACAGAGATAAATAGAGAACCGAAGGAACAACCCACCTTGAAATGCACGTTTGGGTGGAATATTTTTGTCAAGAAACGAACTTGAGGAGGCTGCAAGGGATACTGCTCCGGCACGGCGAAGGCAAGCTGGAAGACTCCACCATCAAACGGAGTCTCTGAAGGCCCCTGCACGGTGACGAAATTCAGCACAATCAAATCACCAGTCATCTATCTATCTCCATCTGAAACCAAACAAAAAAAGAAGAAAAAACTCACCTTTATCAGAGCAGTCCATTTGAAAATGTTGGAATCATCACAAACCAATTGGATATCCGGATCGGCCGATTTCTCCCTTTGCACCTCTTTGTATTCCTTGAACAACCTTGCCCTTGAAGCCTGGAACAATGCGTCCCAAAGTGGCAAATCATGATTCATAATTCATCAACAAAACACGCAAATCTACCACCCATGGAAGTAAAGAAACTAACCTGCATGCTTGCCAGTAGCTTTTAGGAACCACGATAACAACTGCAGTCAGTGAAAAGGTGGATCTTTTGGTAAAGATAAACCTAAAATTCCCGCCCCAATTCATCACCCATTACAAAACAGAATTCCCACTCTAATAGTAGCGTAACTGAACATTTCCATTAGAGCTAGCACAAAAGATAGATGAACCAGAGGTCGAATTCAGCGCCAATTCAAACGCCATCGCCGATGCACCCAAGCGATATGACAATTAGGTTTCCGGGAAGCATCTAAATCTTTCCCGGCGAAAATTGAGGATGGTGTATTGTCGGAAGCAAAAGGTAAAGGAGGCATACCTGATCTGACACCTCGCCCGGCGCTGATTCTAATTTCTAACAGAAGAGAGCTGATAAATGGAACAGAAAGATTTTTCGGGTTTTCCGTCTCGAGAAGTAAAACTGGAAAATCAGAGAAACAGATTTAACAGAACTCGAGCAGTCATCCCCTCCACTTTCGCTTTCGATCGAGATACCTTCGTTTTGGGCCGCGGTTGGCGAGCCGGGCCACAAGCCAGGCCCAATTCGTACGAGGAGAAAGACAAAAAAAAAAAAAACTCCGTTCATCGGTGGGCCCTACGTTGAATAAGTATCGCTGACGTGTACCGTGAACCGCCAGTCCATACTACTGCCACCTCATCGCCTCTCAGCTGGCGCTCTGTCCAAACCGCAACCGCCAGTTCCTCTCTCTCGATCTCTCTTCCTTCTAATTCCACCGCCGACTCCGTCCCGGCCGCCATCTCCACTCTCAAGAGCTTTCTCCGATATCGAAATGGAGACGATGATCATCTCCACTGCGGCGTCCTCTTTTCCCGATTTTGCGGGTCTCTCCCCTCTTCTCTCCCGCGCCCCTAGTAAACCTCTTTCTTCTCACTTCCCCAACCCCCACCGCCGCCGCATTCCGCCGCTACGGAAACGTTCATCCAATTCTACAGTGACGGCAGCGCAAGCAACTTCCGATAGCGAAACCTCTAGTCCGGATTCAGGAAACAAACCGCCAGCGGCGGCTTCCCCGACTGTTTCTCCTGTTTACGTCCCCACGCCTCGGAATCGGGACCTGCGTACTCCGCACAGCGGCTACCACTTCGACGGGACGACGAGGAAGTTCTTCGAAGGGTGGTACTTCAAGGTCTCCATCCCGGAGAAGAGGCAGAGCTTCTGTTTCATGTACTCGGTCGAGAATCCGGTGTTTCCGAAGCCGTTGTCGCCGTTCGATATGCTGCAGCACGGGACTCGATCCACCGGCGTCGGGGCTCAGATTCTGGGTGCTTATGATAAGTACATATGCCAGTTCTCTGAAGAATCTTACAATTTTTGGGGGAGTAAGTTTCTTTTGTTCTGCCATGAATTCCAATTTTCATGGGTTCCGTTTGGAGTTTGTTGATGAAGTTTGTTGGTTGGCGTAGGTAGACATGAGCTGATATTGGGGAATACTTTTGCTGCCCAGAAAGACATGAGGCCTCCAACCAAGGAGGTTCCCCCTCAGGTAGGATATATGATCTTGTGGGTGTTCATATTGATTAGATTCTCCAGTTATCATTCTGCCTTGAGAGTCTTGATTTAGCTTAGTCTATCAATCATATTGGTGAACTTGTTCCTGCCATTTTTTGTTTTGAAGTTTGTCTTAGTCATGGACGATGATCCTTAGATTTGTTTTTGTTTATTTGCTGATTCATGGAGGAATTCAATAGAAGAGTTATGGAAGGTTTTCAAGTAACCCCAACCTGGCATCAAGGTTACATATGTGACAATGGCAGGTAAACTTTGCTTTTCATTCTGCACTTTGGTAATTCGAAATCGAACTGTCCTTTCGTCATAACAAGTTCGTATATAGAACCTATCTGTAATATACCACTAGAGAGAAATAGGGTTAAGCAGAGAAAGAAATGGCTTTCCATTAGATGGGCAATGAAATGTATTTGCCCCACCTGAGGTTTGTGATTAAGTGATTGTCTCATAATGATAGAGGAATACCCAATCTTTCGCCTATTGACTTCTGGAATCAGTATGGAAAAGACATAACTATGGAGATGTGTACTGCCTGAAATGCTCTCCCTACATTTTCTTCATTGTTTGTTGAATCAGTGGTATTGTTTTGTGGCCTCCAATGTTGCTGACTACAGAACTGATTATGCGGAAACTGTCAAGACAGCTCGATGGGAGTACAGTACCCGGCCTGTGTATGGATGGGGTGATGTAGGGTCGAAACAGAAGTCCACGGCAAGCTGGCCTGCAGCTTTTCCTGTATTTGAACCCCATTGGCAAATATGCATGGCTGGCGGACTCTCAACAGGCATTTGCTACTCACTTTGTGTCCCATTTCCAATTACTATGACCAGGAATTTGAAGTCCGAGGAAGAAGTCCAATAACCTCTAGTATTAAATCTGTCGGTTACAGGTTGGATAGAATGGGATGACGAAAGGTTTGAGTTTACGGATGCCCCTTCTTACTCCGAAAAGAATTGGGGCGGTGGCTTCCCCAGAAAATGGTTTTGGGTGAGTTGTTTTTCTTAATTGTTGATTATGCTATCAGTAGATGTCGTGCTCTGTAAAGGTATCTTGTTCAAAACTTCATGATTTTATCCTTATATTCCTTGCATCAGAGACTGTTTAAGGTCATCTGCCATTTTGAGTATATGATGAAGGCAAATAGTGAGAGTTCTCCAGAGTCTCTTGGCTTGTCCATCCTCTGTGGAGATTAAAGATGCATTTCGAATTTGCTTAAATTTTGATGGTATGGATTCCACATCGCAGGTTCAATGTAACGTCTTTGAAGGTGCGGATGGAGAGGTGGCTTTAACATCAGGTGGCGGCTTGAGGCAATTGCCCGGACCAGGCGAGATTTTTGAGAATGCTGCATTGGTACTTTGTGAAGATACTTCTTTTTACCATTTGGTCTCCGCTTCCTCATTCCCTTTAATATTTTTGCAACACGGGAAAATTTGGTGCTGGAATGTCTGCAAGGCCTGCAATATATAGTTTAACCATTGAGATTTAAGAACTATGTTTTGTTATACATTGATGCAAACAACCAAAACTTTTGAATTTTGATGGTGCAGATTGGGGTGCACTACAATGGGGTTTTCTACGAGTTCGTACCATGGAACGGGGTTGTGAATTGGGAGATTGCTCCATGGGGTTCTTGGTACCTTACGGCAGAGAATGAGACACACATGGTAAGTAATTACTTGTGGTATAACTTAGGTGGAGTTTAGCAGTGTTCTCTCCGAATGCATGCCTTTTAGGGATCATTTGGCTGGTGGATTGTCTTAAATGAATGGATTGTTTGAGTAACATAGATCTTAAAATACATCGATTTTGAGAAATTAGTTTATTCAAATCCAAATCCTAATGTTTTGTTCTTCCTACACGATGAAGAGTATTGATCCAGTGTCCATGCTATTTTCTTGGCAGGTCGAGCTGGTGGCAACTGCGGACGATCCAGGAACAACATTACGGGCTCCAACCACGGAATCTGGATTTGCTCCAGCATGCAAAGATACTTGCTTTGGCAACCTCAAATTGCAGATTTGGGAACGTAGATACGATGGAGCAAAGGGGAAGGTCGGGCTCTTTTCTCTTTTATCAGGCTTTGGGGAATGGTTGTGCGGGAAACATGAAATATCTTATTTGCTGTTAACCATCTCAATCTGGGGGCCTACGCAGGTGATTTTGGAAGTCACAAGCAACATGGCAGCACTGGAAGTTGGAGGAGGACCCTGGTTCAATACGTGGAAGGGGAAGACGTCATTGCCGGAGATTGCCGGCCGTTTACTTCGGGCTCCCGTCGATGTCGAAGGAATTCTGGGTTTTATTCCATTTCTCAAACCACCTGGCTTGTAAGAAATGATGCTCTACATATAGAATGGGATGATGATACATTTGATACCACCAGTAGTATTAGTATTATACGATGGAGGAAATGCTAACGTCCTGTGATATTATACATGGTAGAATTACTGTATGGAGTTCCATTTACATTTACCGCAAGCTGTCCGTCTAATAGTTATCAAGCTGCAGGAGGCGTAAATGCCCTGCAACAGAGCAAGAAGTACACAAAATTTCCCAGGCAGAGTCCAGCTATGAGCCAATAGTAGTAATCCAAGTGGCCCTCTTCGAGATCGGTCGACAACCAGCTCGCCTTTCCTCTTCCGGAGGTCAGACCATCCACCGCGTTGATCAGAAAACTCGAAACCAGGCTCCCAATCGCGGTGACCATGGTGTACAGCGACACAGCAATGCTGGCCATGGATTTCGGCAGCTGCGAGTAGTAGAACGCGATCTGCTCGATCGAGTTCAGAGTCTGCGCCATCCCGAGCAGAAGCAGTGCCGGCGCTAGCCACAACACGGACATGTCCACCGTCGTCGCGGCGTTGTCAGGTTGTTGGATTGCCATCCCCCTCCTGACGCTCTCCACAACACCTGACATCAGTGATGACAGAAATAATTCTTCAATTTGTTTCTTTTTGTATCGTTATAATTTTTCTTCTTTTGTTCATCTCGTACCTGAAATCGCCATGGCGACCACGGACAGGACCATCCCTGCTCCGAGCCGAACGTTGGTGCTCAGGCCGCGGGGATTCCCTGTGATCCTCGCGAGGATAGGGACGAAGGTGGAGTCGTAGAGGACGATGCAGAGGGTGAAGCTGAGGAGGACGAAGCAGTTGAGGGAGCCCGGTGGGAGCTGGAAGGTCGAGTTGGGGAAGATGTGGCGGTTCATGGTCTCGGCTTGCAGCGTCATGAAAGGGTACTGAACTAAGGTGACGTAGTGGAGGATCCCAGTGGAGCAAATGGGCAGGACTCGAAGGATTGATTTCACGGCTTCTACTTCTTCTATGGTGCATAGGTTCCATGGGTCTGTTGCTGAGCCGTCTGCAGGGTTTATGTCTGTCTCTGGATTGGCTATGAAGCAAGCTTTGTTCAGGCACCTGCATGCAAAATAAAATCATGCTGCGAATTCAGGAATTAGATCGAGTGAGGGCAGCTGGCTAGGGGTGACACTAGGTACGTAAAACCCAATCCTCATCCTTGAACTACCCTAGAATATCTGGTCTTATAGAATATATATAGGGTTAAGTTACAAATCTGGGCCGCTTCGGTCCTATTTTTCCACGATCTTGTTTGGTTTGATTGGATGAGATTTGACCGAGTCAGAGGGGTCGACTCAATTTTAAAAAAAAAAAACAATTTTTTGAAATTTATATTTTTTTATATCTAAATTTATATCTTCTTACAAACATGGAAAAACTATGTTTTAGTACTTCTATATATTTTATCATTATGGTACATAAAAATTTAAAACTTTACAAAAAAAAGTCCAATGTATTGGCATGTATAATTTCATCTAAGCCCGTCCCAGTTGGACCAGATCAGTGGGTATTCAGAGCCAAACTTTCACCCATAAAAGACGGGGTGCAAATCACAACCGTCTATGAACATTTTCAATGATTGGATGTAAATTTTGAAGATAGAGGCTAATATAACTCCCATTATACCACTTTCTATCGTATTTCAAGGTATAAATACACACATTATAACCTTGGATAACTAACTGCATGATGAGGAAAAAAAATCTTACCTAAAGTTAGGAGTTGGGCAGGTAATCGTAAAGTCGCCGGATCCAACACGACCTTGGAAAAACCGGCCACCACCACCATCACCCAAACTCGCCACCTCACCGTCACCAACCCTAGCCGCCTTCCTCACGGCCGCCACCACAACCCGAAAGCAGCCCGCAAACAAGCTGCTCTTGGCCTCGTGCTTCACGTAGATCGAAGAAGGAAGCAAGAAGAGCAGCGCGGAGAACAAGATGAGGAAAGCAGGGACGGCCAGCCCCACCTCCCACCCGTAGCTGTCCTGAACGTAGACGAGGACGGTGAGCCCCAGCAGCGTGGCGGCGCCGGCGACGGCGTAGTACCAGTTGAAGAAGCGCTGCAGGACCTTGTCGTTGTCCGGGTTGTCCTTGTTGTCCAGCTGGTCCGCCCCGAAGGCCATGGAGCACGGCAGCAGGCAGCCGGCGCCGAGGGAGATGAGGCCCAGCGATGCGTAGAGGACGGAGAGCTGGAACGGGGTCGCGGTGGCGGTGGTTGTCGCCGGCGGGTGGAGCTGGGGTAGCATTGCCGTTGACCAGAATAGAGTGGTTCCCTGAAAGAAAGAAATGTATGAACATTATTATTAGGTCATTGATTAATGTACGTACTAATTAATTCTGGTTTTGCTAGAAAGAAGTGGTTAGGGCCGGCTCTGAAATTTTGGAGGTACTGTTCAAAAATTAATTAAATGTGACACTAATTTCTCGGGTTAGCATGCTAACTCCTTAAGGGGTTGGTTTTTTGACACCCCTTTTAATTGGTCAATTTTTCATTAATTATTGACAAGTATTAATGAAAGTAAACATAATAAATGTTCTGTTATTAAATACAAAGTAAGCATTAAATACACCACATCAATTACCACTTTACTGGTATTTGTACCACTACACTGATACTCAGATATGACATTGCTATCAGTGCACTGATACCGCTACCAGTGCAGTGGTATATCTACCAGTACAGTGGTACAACGTATCAGTGCAGTGGTATATCTACCAATACAGTGGTACACCGTATCAGTGCAGTGGTATATTTTTTGGAGGTGGTCGGAGGGAGTCTGCCGATGGGATTTTCACCGGAGAAGTGTGGCGGTCGGAGGAAGTCTGGTGGTCGGAGACTGCTGAAAATATAGTGAGAGAATTCCTAATATGTATTTAATGTGTGTATTTAATTCCTAATGTGTATTTAATAGTGAGAGAATTCCTAACTAATATGGTACATTTAATTCCTAATGTGTATTTAATGTGTATTAAATTCTATAATTGTATTTAATATACTAGGGGTTGTCATTTTTCCAACCCCTAAGGGGGTTAGCATGCTAACCGACCCCTTTGTGTGTAGCAATTACTAGTTAAAATGGGTCGAGACCACAAACGAGTTACAAGTTAGGAATTCAACGATAAAAATAGGCTACCCAACCCAACTATTGTTTATTGACTGAGCCCTGTGCCATTGGACCTATTGGCACAGCTTCAGGGGCGCCCCTGAAAGCTAATTAAGTGGTAAACTGGTAATGGTAGGGGTAGTAGAATGTCACTAATTAATATGTGGCTGGCACGTTAACTACCTGTTCGTCCAACTTTATGATCAATTTCAATATCTACGATGTCTACATTAAATTTTGCGTTTGTTGAGGATATTAATTATTTAGTAAAAAATAATTAATTCCTTCTCATTCAAATCCCTTGTTTCCTTGTCATTGTCAAAGAAGGAAACTTGGTTGTCATTAGGGTTTTAACCCTACGTCTATATAAGCTTAGATACGAGATTGTCGTAAGCAAGCCGTCACAATGTAGTCCCATAATAAAATCGTCAGCCGTGAGCTCTTCCGAGCTCCACGTAAAATCTTGTGTTCCATGTTATTTCGTATTTCCGCATCATCAAATTCTTCATGGTATCAGAGCAGAACTCGATCCCTTGTTTAGGGTTTTGAGCTTCCGCAGTCAAGGTGAAGTCCAGCCCGCCGTCCGTCAATCTCTCAAGCTACCTTTACAGTAGCCACCGTTGGTAGTAAACTCAATGTTGGCGTCTCTCCAACATCATCTCGGCATCCCCTCGATAGTCATGGTTGTCGTTGAAAGAAGAGCCGATTTCCAATCCGGCCTTCTACTCCGGATTCGTATCATGGTCGGCGAAGTCCTTCCCGCCGTCAAGAACAAGATCTCCAGCTCCATTGCATCCTCTCCAGTGGAATCAATGTCATATGCGCCACTATTGATGATGTTGTCGTCGTGCCACACCATCGTCGTCCGCGCATCGTCGTCATCAGCTTTTGTGTTGTCGTTTGGTCAATTATGTTTGGAGAGAGACAACTTCGACCGAGAATCTCAATCATCAATTCAACGTGATTTCAATCAAGCATCGCCGGCAGCTCCTGAGTCGCGGCACCTAGTCAAAGCTAAGTCATCAACCTCGTTGGCCAAATCATCAAAGTCAAGATTCAGTCTCGGCTGCCCTTCTTCTTCACGTTGGCGTTGTTCGTTTCCATAGTCTTGTTGGTTCGTTGGCAACACAAAGGCCAAGCCCAAAAGAGACTCCGATTCGACTACATATACAATCAAGGGTTAGATTCGAAGCTGAAAGTTCAGCAAGGGTTTAATTTTCATTGTCTGTGCAGCTGAGTTTTTCTCTTGAGCTGCTTCATCATGTCCGATGAAGAGTCAAGCTTGAGACAACCGGTGGGTGGGAAGGCTCTTGTTCGTGCTGTCAAGTGTTGTGTACGTGGTGTACCTTGGAAATTAAAGGGCTTTCCCCTGCACATCATCTGAAGTTCATAGCTCGTTTCAGCATATAGTCAAACTTAGTTGGTCGTCGTCTCATCTTTGTTGCGGCCACGTCGTCAAATAGCACGGTCGCATCATAGCAATTGATCTTCCGGCCTCTAATCTCAAGTCGGAGGTTTCAATCACCGAGTCAAGCCTCATCCCTGAAGTTTTGTTCCGAAGATTTCACCAGCAGCCCTTTCCATGTGTCGTACAAGTTTGGCTTTTAATCCAAGTTCAACAAAACTTGTCGAGAAGATGCATTCAGAAGCATGTCCAAATGGGTTTGTCCTCTTCTGTAACATCCTTGGGTGAGGCTCGTCTTTAACCTTGTACTTGGTGCTAATGTGCTTTGCAGGGTATCACCCCACAGTCAATTATTCTTCCATTCATGTGGTGGGGGAAAAATGTGTTTGGTGGTCAAAAGTTGGGCAATGGAAGGTAACGAGTTCTAGCACCAAGATCAAGCACTTCCGTTGCCGCTTGGTTAAATTAGTTTGGGGTACCGGACTTGGCTTCTCTGTCCAGTCAACGTCACTCTAAGTGTGGAAGGTGGAGTTTTATCTCACGGCATGTCATGTAGCTGGTTATATCATCGTGAATCTTCACCAACATCGATTAAAGTCATGGCATTGAAGACAGTCGTGACCTGCAGTGGTCGTCCCTTTAGTAGCTAGTGTTGGGGAGATACGACTTTCGTCAACAAAGAAGTTCAATGCGAGGCAGTCACGATCAAAGAAGTGATCGTCCCCTCCGCTTTCAACATCGGTCAATGTTGAGTCATTACCATTCTCACTTTCAAGCTGGGCATTCACGTCGTTCATGCTCCAGCTTGGGGGGGGGGGAATAGGAGGTCAACATACGTCGGTCGACTAGCTCAGTCATCAAGTCGATCGCGTCTATCTATCCGTCAGGAAGATCAAGAGACGTAGTCAATCGTCTCCGTCAGTGAGTTCAAGAGACGCAGTCAACCGTCTCCGTCAGGAAGTTCTAGAAGACGCAGTCAACCGTCTTCATAAGGTTGTTCAAGGGAGAGAGTCAGTCGTCTCCAAATCAACCTCGTCCGAGATGTTATTCATCTCGAGTTTTGTTTTTCAAGCTTGTCATGCTTGTTCGTCACATTTACTTTTTCAAGCTTGACATTCTTGTCACTCATGTCTTCGCTTTAGGGGGAGTGTTGAGGATATTAATTATTTAGTAAAAAATAATTAATTCCTTGTCATTCAAGTCCCTTGTTTCCTTGTCATTGTCAAAGAAGGAAACTTGGTTGTCATTGGGGTTTTAACCCTACGTCTATATAAGCTTAGCTACGAGATTGTCGTAAGCAAGCCGTCACAATGTAGTCCCATAATAAAATCGTCAGCCGTGAGCTCTTCCGAGCTCACCGTGGATTAGTCTCGATCAATCAATCGACCGAGGATACCACGTAAAATCTTGTGTTCCATGTTATTTCGTATTTCCGCATCATCAAATTCTTCAGCGTTCCAAAAATTTGAAAAGTAGCATTAATTTTTTGGAAATTTTGAGTAATTTTCGTTGAAGGATCAAATTTTTTTTTTTTGAATCTTATGGAGTAGTGTAACTCTCTACTTATGAAGATCATATGATTCCCGTGACAACAAGCCCACCACAATGTTTTTTTTAATTACCCAGGAACCTCAGCCCCACGTGCCACTTTGTGACAGCGGGTCCTACTAAATCTGAGGGTATCATTTGTTGTTTTTCTCAATTAAAATGAGCTAATGAATATGGTAGGCATTTATTTTATATTTTTTTTAAAAAAATGTACAAATTTAAGCAAATTCAATAATATTTAACGTATGGTCTAGAAAGCGTTACGACTCATTCAACTTCTAGCTCAAAGTTAAATTATGTGCATGTATATGTTTAGCAAGAGCTTCTTATACCATAATGTATACTCCATTAATGAAATAAGGACAGAAATATTTTCAATTACTCAACAGAATCTCTAATATCTACATCATGCAGTAGTAATTATATTACACCTAAGACTGTAAGAGCAAAGAGACGTGGAGCTGCAAGGCAAGTCGACAACTCACATGTACCATCACCAACGTCAACACACATGTCAACATTCGAAAGAAAACAGTAAAGACACCTAATAATGAAAAAGGAAGAAGAAGAAGGAATCCAAACGGCAAAAGGTAAAGGCAAAAAATAATTAAAGAAAAGAGTAGCGGTGAAAAATGAAAGGCAGGGAGGGAAGGAAGGAAGTGGACTGACGAGAAGGGAGAAGCAGCAGCCGAGGACGATGACCCGAAACCGGCCCAGGAAGGAGTCGGACAGCGAAGCCCCGAATACGGCCAGCGCGCTGGAAGCCGCGGCCCAGAGGGAGATGAAGCTGGAAGCCGCGGCGGCCTCCATGTGGAAGGAACTCGTCAGGTAGATTACCATGTTCGCGTTCAGCCCCGTGCTTGCTAACGTATGAAACGCCTCGTTCACTGCCGCAACCAGGGATTTTTTTTTTTTATATATATATAAAGAAAATCAACGGTGGAAATGAATTGATTGGTGGGGAGGAAGGAGCAGAGAAAATTAGGTTGGAAATCGTACGTACGTATGATGAATGGAATGGTTCGGAAGCCGCCCTTATCTGCGGTCGTCTTCTTCTTCTTCTTCTTGGGGTCGGAATTGAGGAGGCCCATTTTGGTCTTCCCGTCGAAGTCGCCGCCGTCGTCGACATCGCCGGCGAGTAGCCTGGCGTTGGCCTCCTCCATTTCGGTTTGTGTTCGGAAGAAGGAGTGATGATGTAGTTGAAATGCGGAAAGTGTTGGAGATATGTTATGTTGAACTATATATGTAATGGAGAAGATGCGTAGGTGTCAGCCATGCGATTGGGGTCCAACCTGATTATTTATTTATTTATTTTTAATTTTGGAGTGCAGTGTGATGTGTCATGTGTGGTAGAAACTTTACTCAACCGTTGGTTGACTAACCAGTCAGACGTTAAAAAGTAGAATAATAAGTTATAATATATGTTGATAAAGTCGAGTTGGTTCGATACACAGTTTAATCGGTGTAACAAGTTGATTTGATAGTGTTATTTGTTTGCGTCTGTTGCAAGTGTCATATCGACCCTCTTTGGTCGATCAAAATGTTAGGATTTAAATAGAGAAACTCTATAATGTATGATGGAAATCGATTGAGTTGGGTTAGGCCTAGCTAGGTAGGTAAAACAATTTGTATATATTTCAATTGGCAAATCGGGAGGTCATCGAGGCTTCGACCTTGAGCGTATCGACTTCGTTCTTGCGCAATCGTGTGTCAATATTTGTCGTGGCCTTGCAAAAGTACTATTGATGGTATGCGAAAACTTCATGACGATATTATTGTATGTAGCATTTGTAGATCGTTGGGCCTGAATGAAAGTTTGATGAAGATCGAGAGAAAACTCAAATCATACAAACAACACCTATGATGATCACTTATCTTTTCTCTATAGCATAGTCACATAATTGTAGAACCAAATATTAACCGATGCAATATATACTTGGATTCTCCAAATACCAAACACCATCATATTCGTTCAAGTTTTTTTTTTTCTTTTCTTTTCTTTCTAAGAATTCATATATATATATATGGACAATGCTAACATCAGTTCGTGTCTCCCCTCAAAATCAAATAATTAATGTGTTAGACCCACCATAATTATTATGAACGTACTCCAGCGCAAACAAATACTAAAGGCTGTAAATAGTCGTCATTAGGATAATGAAGGTTTGGACCCAATTATAGATGGACACATCTCCTCAACCTAAATGAACGGTCTATATTAATAATATATTAATATATACCGCTGATTTAGTTCCATAATGCCCACGAAGTTTGGAAACAATCCAAATTAACCCAAGGGTTTAGAAGAACCGATGAATATTTACTCGAAATTTACATCCACGATGAAGACAGAAGGGTTATGCGCCGCTGTGTTGTTTGCATGTACATATGTAGCCTTGGCGAGACAAGTACGCAATTTCGAAAGCTTTGTCGTTGCGTGTAGTGTAGGGCAATTTCCAAGTAAAGTGGGACCGTGAAGTTTGAAGAGATATGGAGCTTTTGTTCGATAGCCGGGCGCGTCAAGGGTTGGTGACAAAAGGCAGGGAAATTTAATGACCAAAATGAAGACGAACGATCGATAGTTGCGTCTTTGGACGATGTACACATACATTTGAGGAGCGTCAGAGTGAGAGTACAGTACGTAGATGAGATGGTTAGGGAAGTTAACTTGTGTGGCGGCAGAGTGCTTCGGATAAGATATTTTCCTATCAAAGTATGGATTCAGTTTTCGGTGATTAACCAGAAGTTGAACCGATTAAGAGTTCATATATAATGATTATGTGTGATCAAGAAGTTGGGTTTTCGGTTTGGATTTTTCCTCGATTACAAACCCAGAAAGTCGTTAAGTAACCAGAACCATGTGTCGATACCAGCATATATACGTCTCGATTGGTTATTTTACACTATACTTCATGTTGTCTTTGTAGGTTTCAGAATCGTTGGTGTGAACTGTGAATGGTTTGGTTCTGAGTTACATGTGATATGGGGCCTAGCTAGCTAGATGAGGATTATTTTTTGGTTACTAATTCGATAACCAAAGCGAACCAGTTCGCCAAACCCTAGCTCCAGCTGCAGAATGATTTTAATTTTTTTCCACAAGGTTATTTGAGATCAACATATTGGTTTCGGTTTGAATGCTTTTCGATGAAAATTACAAAAATTCACACGGTTACCAGAAGGACGTACCAGAACCTGTAAGTTTTGGTATAGTTGACATTGATGGTTCGGTCTGAGCTACACGTGTGATTAGGGTTTCTAGATGGTTGGGGATGGTTTTTCGGTTACTAGTTGGATAACTAAAGCGAACCGGTTTATTTGCCAACCCTAGTTCCAGCCGGATGGGTTTTCCGTTTTCCTTTTTTGAGTTTTTCCCCCACAGGCCACAGCCACAAGGTCTTTGGGCATTCAAGTAAACGCAAGATCTTTGGGCCGCTCGGCAACTTTGTAAGCCCAAGAACGCACATTCATTTCATTCAACGCACCGAAAGGCGAACGATTTGGGTCGTTTGGCAAAATTTTAAGCCCAAGCCCAGTGCAGTCGGAAGCGCGCGCTGGAATGGAGAGGCACATGCAAATACAGAGGGAGACCGGATCAGATCATGCACGTACGGAGAGATCTAATTAGGCCCGGGAGATTGATTATTCATTAATTAATAACAACTAGAGGCTATTAAGTAAGTAAGAGTTCAGTGCTGCAGAGGCTAATTGTTTGTATATATACTCTATTAAAGATCCAAGATTTGGCTTTAGCGGCATGCCTGTGCCTGCTTATAGCTAGCAAGATAGCTCATGGGTCTCTAAATTAATAAAGTGTGATCCAGTACTCATAATTCATGACATAATTAGTTACTTAATTACGACAATTCTCTCTTCATAAACAATCCTGCTGCTCTCAGCAGACAATTAATCAGGAGATGATCTTGTTCTTTAATAAATGGATATACCTATTTAAATATGTGGACAGTAGCTTTGTTCCACACTCTATAATGTGCGCATGTTGTGTTAAGTTCTATCTATATAATAAGTTACTTAGAATTTGTAATGAGTGCATGACCGATTCAATGCCTCCCCCACTGATTTTCGACGGATCGATGCTACCAGCTAACTGTAAGATTAGAATCTAAATGATCTAGTAATTAAGAAAGAATAAAGAAGGCTGAAACCTGAAATCGGTGGAATTTAAATTTATGACTTCAAACCCCATGAAATTATTGAAATAATTTTGTTCGGATAGCATATTTGATATAAGAAATTGTTTTAAGTTGTCTTTTCGGCGATTTGAAATCGGCAATATCATCTTATTGGGAAAAGAATTAGGGTGTCGAAACCAAGAGTTGGAAAATTAGGAATTACATCAACTTAAAATTTTAAATTTTTTTTCTCCATCCAAACGATAGAGTTCTTTGCTAAATTTAGAAACTCCGTATATGAAATTTAAACACGATTCCATCATTCATCTATTTCATCCAAACGCCTCATGAGTCATCTCATGACCACAGTTCAAATTCATTAACTAATAATTTCGATTCCAGTACATAATTTGATGAAATTCTTGATGATTTGATTGGGATGGAGAAGTGTTTTGCCTTTCCTTGTGCCAGAAGAACCTCGGTGTATATGTATTCGAGAATACTCACGATGAATATTACGTGAAATCAATCCATGAGTTCTAAGTAAAACAATTCAAGAACCCATCGTACTAACCATGCATGCATCAATCAGTTGTTCATTGTATAAGTAGTGTTACCGCTTGCATTGATTATATATGCTCATTCATTCCCTCCGATCTTGAGCTTGAAATCGTTCCAGAACCTTGAAGTGTGTGCAATATTATTAATACTGCATGGTAATCATAACTTGGCAATGGTGCCCAGATATAGAGTTCGACACTTGGGCTGGTAATAATATGTTCGGTTTTCAGGCTTGGAATCTATCCATCTCTGTCTGGTTGACGCCATGTCCGATCATCTTATTAATTCCATTAAGCCGCCGGCGGGGACTCTTAACTGATCTCCAGCGACCTCCCGCAAGTACGCCATAATTGCCACCAGAAAACGTCTTATCATGAACAACTTTAGTATTCCACATCTGGCTAGCTAGTACCATTGCTTTCTCCATCATTTATTTCCTCTGACTGTGGCTTCAAATTTGTGGGGTGTAAGGAATTAATTGAAGGCCTATAAGAAGATTCCTACGTACATTTGCTTTTTATATTGTTCATTTACTATCTACCTTTTTCTTGGTGTGAAGTGCTATTTAAATTATGTTGGTAGGGAAGACCAGTGCGGTAATGGAAACTGATAAAACAACTGGGTTAGGTTAACCTGCTCTAGTAGTTTTCTTTTAAGATGAAATGGTGCGTCATTCCATCAAAGATTTAATTTTTCATTTTTATTATATAAGACTGATATAGTTATGGGTTTTAGAGGGGGCGAGTTGAATTTGGTGTCAAGAACCAGTTGCTCCCAATAATTTGAGTTGTTGGGAGAAGGTTATGCTGGATCTTATACCACTCTCTAACACGCCCCCTCAAACGAAATCCTACCCATGAGCTTGAAGTTTGCACAGGCCCATCATACCTTGTACTTTTTTTAATCAATATTTAATATTAGGGGTCGTGGAGATTCAAACACATGACCTTTCGGTTCTAGGCTCTGATACCATATTAGCGAACTAACCACTTTGTCCCAATAACTCGAGTTGTTGGGAGAGGTTCAATCGTCTTGTTAGTGTTGTGGTATATGATCCACGATTGAACTTCTCCCAACAACTCGAGTTATTGGGATCAACTGGTTCTTGACATGGTATCAGAGCCTTCTGTGACCGAAAGGTCTTGTGTTCGATTCTCGTTGACCCCCATTTGTTAAGCACATGGTATTCTTGTCTTCATACGTGTGCAAACTTCAAGCCCTTGTGAGTGGTTTTCGTTTGAGGGGGCGTGTTAGTGTTGTGGTATATGATCCACGATTGAACCTCTCCAACAACTCGAGTTATTGGGACCAAGTGGTTAGTTCGCTGGAACCTCCAAGTTCAAAATGAGTCGTATAACTACCGGATCAAATCACTATTCGTCAAAGCTAAGCCTATTTCATACTCTTGGTTGATAAACCTGCTCTATCCAAGCAACTGTATGTGTCCATTTTGGGGAGAGTAGACATGCATCTATCTTAATCATTTAGAAGTACATCATTTAATACAACCGTTTGTAACAAAGAGATTCAAAGTCTATCATTTAGAAGTTAACACGATAACATAAATATATGGAGTATTTGAGAAATGTTAAACATACAGGGGAACTGTGGCCTTTGATGGGATGATGAGTTTAATTTGTAACGAAATTGCACACTTGATATAGCTTTAGATTAATCAGAGATTGACATCTGACAAGAAAAAAACCATATGTTGAGTAACATCTATGTATATAAAATCTCGTCACATGTGGTTAACTCATTAGATGATTGATCTATGTCTACTCTACTGTTCACATAACTAGATAACTTTCAAAATCCCACTTGACCATTTCCCAATCTATCTTAATTTTTTTAATTTATAAGGGTCATCTATAGTTACATTTTATGATTAGATACTACTTAAGACATTCGAATTTCAGACCTCTAAATTTGACAATCTTTCTAATAAATTTGTTATATTAAACATTTATTTAGTCGAATGTTGAACCTCCAAATTTGACAATCTTTCTAATAAATTTGTTATATTAAGCATTTATTTAGTCCAAACTCATCATACCATGAAAATTCCAATGTGATCCAATTACAACATTTTATTTTATTTTAATTCAATGAGTAACGCGGTTGCTTCATTCACTAATCACTAGTCGTAGATTATTGATTTATTTCCCATCTCTGATCATTAATTTCAGAGTGTGGACTTTGGCACCTAGTGGCAGCTAGCTGCCCGTGGTCCGAGTAGCGAGCAAGTAGCAGCAAGTAGCACAGGCCCCATGTTCCCTTCCCTACCGCCGATCACATGACGCCCGATCAAACAATCTCATCTCCTTTAGAATTTCCACCCGGCGCCACACACCATTCACATTCCCACTATTTAATCCAAACCCTCCTCTGCCATTTTCACTCCGATCACTCCCCAAACCCCCCCAAACAATGGCGTCCCAAACCTCCACAATCATCAGCTCAAAGTTCACAGAGCAAGACTGGATCATCCACATTGAGCGCACCATCGCCCTCCCCGACCTCGACGCCGTCGCCCAAACCCGCCCTTCCATCTTCCACGTCCCGGAATCCGTCCGCATCCGCAACCGCCACTCCTTCTCCCCTCAGACCGTCGCATTGGGGCCGTACCACCACTGGGTCCCCGACCTCTACCGCCTGGAAACCCTCAAGCTCGCCGCCGCCAAGAGGGCTCACTCCAAATTCCGAGTCTCCGCCGAGTTCAAGCAGTTCGTCGACGAGCAACTGGCGGAGCAGCTCGCCCCGGATCTCCGCGCCTGCTACGACGCCCACCTGCCCATGAGCGACGCCGCTCTCGCCTGGATTATGGCCGTCGACGGGCTGTTCCTCCTCGATTTGCTCTACGGAGATCTGCAGGACGAGGGTCTCACGAGAGACGTCTTGTTGCTGGAGAATCAGATCCCGATGATTTTGTTGACGGAGGTGGTTTTCGGGAAATTCAGTGGCGACATTGACGGGTCAATTAGTCCGACGGGTAGGGATTTGATTTCCGTTTCGGTTGATTTCTGCAGACGGGTCTCGCCCCTGGAATTGGGATTACCCGACCCGGATCCGAAACCAAAGCATTTGTTGGATCTCTTCTACCGCCTGCTCGTTGGTGCGAAAGAGAAGCCGAAAGTCAAATCGGAAGGCTACTCCTCCGACGAAATCTCGGCGGAGAAGCCGGGCAATTGTGTGCAGAGTCTCCGGCGGAGGGTGCTGGCGTGGCTGCGGAGGGTAGTTTCGGAAGAGGATGCCGCCGGTTTTATCCCGTCTGCTTCCCAGCTGCGAGATGCAGGGTTGAGATTCCGGGTCGTGGAATACGGCGGCGTTTCAGGGATATGTTTTGACAAGAGGTTCAAAACGCTCAGACTTCCGTCGTTTAGCTGGAAGCCTCACTGCGACGTCGCTTTGCGGAACCTGGTCGCGTACGAGGCTGCGGCGGAGCCGGAGCGGCCGATCCTGGCGCGGTACGCCGATCTGATGAACGGGTTGCTGCAGTCCGCCGCGGACGCCGAGGTGATGGAAGAGGAAGGCGTTACCGTCGCTGCCGCAGGCGGCGGAGCGCTGGAAGTGTTCGGGCGCGGGATGGGTTTGTCGAACGTCGGCGGAAACTGCTCGACGGCCTTAGACGGTACCATTGAGGCAGTGAACGAATTCTACAGGGAGAATCGGAAGGTGGAGGTGTGGAAGACGGCGAAGAGGTACGGGAAGCGGGCGACGGAGATCGGGACGTTCGTGGCGGCGCTGGGGCTGTTGGTCTTCTTCTGCCTGCAGATTGTTTTGGGGATTTTCGAAGGTGGGATCTCCGGTGTTTCTGAGATGACGCCGGCGGCGGGAATTGCGAAGGTGTTGCCGGGGTATTCCGGTGGGTCCTATCTGCCGGAATCTCAGTAACGTTGACTCCGTTGTATTTGCTTTTTGTGAAAATTTGTACTGATTTGCGTTCGTGATGATTCCACGAGTAATGCTAACTGAGATGTGTTTGTTAGATCCGATCCCGTTGCTAGCTGTATCCAATTGGCTTATATATTTTACTCTCTTTTTGGCTCCACTATTGCGATCTAGTTGGCTGCATCGCTGTGACTCCGTTGCTGTTAATTGTGGATTAGTCTGCCACTCAAGTTTTTGTTTCACGCATGATCGGCTGATTAATTGGTTGCGATTGGCTTAATTAGCTTTAAGACATTGATTTGTTGATGGATGGGTGGTGGGTTTGTATTGTCAACCTAATCATGAAAAGGTGACACTGGGTTTGAACTTTGATGTAGTTGTTTCTTCAGTGACTATGCCATAATAAGTGCCATACGCCATTATTGGGGGAAACGGCAAGTGGGTTGACCAATGACCACTACTGCTAGTTGTCTAGCATGGATTAGCACTTGTAATGTCGGGCAACTAGATGTCCAAGATCGAGTTTTGATAAGTACATGATGGTTTTCTATCCAAACTTGTTAAAGATATGGATTTTAGAGGTTTTCAAGCTATTTTGGGAATTAAGTTGGTGGATGTGGTTTGAAGATTCGCCCTTCACCTTAATCAGTTGGTGGACGAGATGACCCGAAAGTGCATCTTACTCATGTTTATCGCGAGAACAATTTATTGTTTATTATCAAGTCCATTGGGGATATATTCTCATTTTGAATGTCATAATATAAATTTTTTTAACTGACTTTTGTATGACTCTTTGATCTTCCTATCATTAACTACATTTGATTTAAAATTGACATGTGTCAAATACTTTCGTTCAAATCATACTAGAAGTTGTCAACAATAATACCTGTTTTTAGTTACAAGTGCATTCAAGTGTAGACAACTCCATCATAAATAAATAAGCATATTTCTTTTTTTTTTTTGGTAGAAAAATAAGTAAATTTCTGGGAACAAGAGTGTTTGACTCAAATAACTTTGCATATTAGGGAATTCAGTCTTCTTGCAATGTTAATTGATCAAAAGAAAAAAAGTGATCAACACGCAAAATATAAGTAAATATGACATGACGACTAATCAATTTATAAAGAAATTGTTCATCGAGAACGTAATTCATTGTCAATTTATCATGTAGTTGCGCGTTGCAAATGTCACCTCCTTCGTAATATAAAGAGAAACATAATGCCACGAAACATTTGGCCCAATATGTCTTACATTTAGTATTTACATCTACCAAAAATCTCTTCTGCCGTGGAAGTTTAGCCGTTTACATGTGGTAAAATCTTATCAAAATCCAACCCCCCTACACTGAAACAGGAAAATTCAAGCTCCACCCTTGAAGTCCACGTCATCATAACCAACAACGACGTCGGCCTGCTTCCCCATCCCTTGGGCCGCCGGCCCATAGGCCCCGGAGCAGCCCAAATAGTACACGAAGTTCGCCAGGCTCAGCACCGCCAGCAGCCAGTAATAGTAATCGTACCGCCCCTTGTCAATGTCGCTCGAAACCCAGCTCTCCCCTCCGTCCGCCGCCGTCACCCCGTCGACGGCGTTCATGATGAAGCTCGACGCCAGGCTGGCACCGGACATCGCCACCCCCCAAAGCGTCGTCGACACGCTGCTCATGCTCCTCGGCAGCTCCTTGTAGTAAAACTCGCTCTGCGCGGTGCCGTTTAACCCCTCCGCCAGACCCAACAGCACGAGCGACGGCATCATCCACATAGCCGACGACTGCGTCCCCGAAACGCTCTGTCGCTGGCGTCGAAACGTTTCTGCAGCTCCCAGCGCGGCCATGGAGAGCGACGAGAGGAAGATCCCCGCCCCCATCCTCTCCTTGGTGGTGAGCCGGGCCGGTTTGCCCCGGATCCGTGACCCGACCGGGATAAGGACCTTGTCGTACACCACCACCCACATGGCCAAAGCCGCGACCATGAACACGCTGAACGATCCCTGAAAAAAAAAAGTACTGCATTAAAAAAAATCACTTTTTTAAATAATTACTATTAACTGATAACATTACCACTAGACTGATAATTTACCGCGGGTATCTCGATGCTCGGGGTGACGTGGCGGTCCATGTTGGACGCCATGATGGTCTGGAACGAACCCTGACTTATGTCGATCGCCATGATCATCCCCGTCGACCATATGGGGACGATCCGGAGCAGGGATTTCAAATCCTCGACCTGATCGACGGTGCAGAGGCGCCACGGGTTGGATGCGGCTCCCTCCGCCGTCAGATCTTGGTCGGGGTTCTGGATCCTGCAAGCCCTGTTTAGGAATTTTACATTTTCGGATGGGAGGAGTCGGGTGGTCCCCACGGGATGGTGAAATCCGTCCACGTCGTCGTCATCGTCGGGAAACGAAACGCTGCGTTTTGTGAACGAAGCGACGAGGACCTGAGCGAGTCCCGTGAAGAGGCTGGAGTCGGCGGGGCTGGACGTGACGTAGAACGGCGAGGCGAGGAAGAAGGAGACGGCGGCGAAGGACATGAGGACGACGGGGACGCCGAAGCCTACTTTCCAGCCCATGGTTTCTTGGATGCAGACGATGCAGGTGAGGGCGAGGATGACGGAGACGGAGACGAGCATGTACCACCAGCTGAAGAAGCTCTCCAGGATCTTGTTGTTGTTGTTGTTCTTGCTCGTCAGGGGAGTTAGTTGGTCGGCTCCGAAGGCCATGGCGGAGGACCGGACGCCGCCGCTGCCGATGGACATGAGGATGAAGGATGAGTAGAGGAGGATGAGCTGTGGGGTGGTGGCGGTTTTTTCGCAGGTGGTGGAGGAGTGGGCGGCGCCGTCGACGGCCGTGCAGGGGCCTGGCCTTGCTTGTGGGATCATTGCCGTTAGCCATATTGTCACCAACCCCTGTCCAAAATCGACTTTTGTTCCGTGAGGAATACTCTGGTGTTTGAATTCAATTAATGCACATCAACTTAGTATTTTAAGAATTTGAGTATGCTAAAAAGATTTTCTACTTCCATGAATGCGAAGAAGAAGAGTTGTATGAGAGAGGCTCAATGCATAATGTATGACTAGTCGATTATTTGACGTGAATAGATATTACATTATTTATTTATTTTTATTCTAAACATATTTAACGTATTCATAAGATAAGATCAATGATCACAAGAATAAATAATTACAAAGAAGTTGAAGCATTTATTGTTTGTAGAATAATGAAAAGTTTCTTAACGTTATAATCAATAAATAACTATCGTAACTTCGTTCTCGACCCATCATAACTAGGCACAATCATAATAACATTAGCTACACATAACATTGCTAGTAAATTATAGTCGCTCATCTGCAGCCACTCATTCTGTAAGGTAAACAACAACAAAATCTACATTAAAAAAAAAATTCACACTTCTTAATATTTAATGTAGCCTCCAAATTCGGAACCTTGTAACATATGAGGCTATGCTATAATGTTCGTAGCTAGGCTCCAATAAAATGACGCGTTAATTAATTAATCGCAGGATAAAAAATTAGTCACTCATTCGGATCAGAACAGGTAAGTAATCTTTGAGTGAAAAATTGAATTGAGAATTTACCATGAGGCTGAAAATGGAGCCGAAGGCGATCATACGGAACCTGCCGACGTAAGAATCGGCGAGAAAGGCGCCGAGGACCGGCGTGAAATTGGTAGCTGCTGACCACAAGAAGAGTAAATTGGCGCCTTGAACGTTTCCCATGCCGTACTCCGTCGTCAGGTACAGAATCATGTTCGGCATCAGCCCCAGAGTCGCCACCTTCTCGAACGCCTCCGCTCCTGCAGTTTCATCATTTCACCAGCCGGAAAATTCGCCGGAAATCAGTTCACTTTTTTTTCTCCCTCTAGGTCCGATAAACCCGGAATATTTGACCGTGGACTCAATTGGTAGTGGCAGGTGATGGAGTGATTATGAGCATGTATGTACCTATGATGAACGGCAGAGTTCTGAAGCCACCCTTGAGGTTATCGCCGTCGCCGCCGTGGCTAGGGAGGAGGAGTGGCTCCTTGACGGCGGACATCTTGTCGGGTTGATGATGCTTGGTGCTCCGGCCGGCGTCCTCGATCGCTGCGTTTAAGAGAAAAAAGGGAATGAAGCTCAGGGAGAGGACATTTCGTATTGTTTGTAATGCTTTGATTCAACATTTCATATTTATATTTATCACTTTGTGAGTTATCTTTGGTGGAATTTTATTTATTTAATTATTTATTTACGTGAGATATTATATGTGTAGTCAATAATGGAGCTGGGAGAGGGGAATGTACGTAACGTAAGGTATGAGATATTTATTTTTTGCTTTCCTCAATTACATCAGAACGTGAGGTTGATGGTGAACTGTAAATTTGTTATTTTTGTTGTCATCGAAAAATTCCACGTAATGAAATATAAAAAAACAAACAAAGAAAGAGTGATGGGACAGTGATGTGTCATCGTTACCTGCTTCATATTTTTATTTTTGGGTCTTTGAGTTTTGCAGGAAACTTATTACGGTTCTATTTTGGACTTAGTAAGGCTGAAAAAAACCACGATGGTTCAGGTTCACTGGACATATCATTATATAGTTTACGGTTGAATAGGTAATTACCTGCGTACAATGCACAGTGAACATAAACCACAGGTTTACCTTCATGAATTAACAAAGATCTTGGATATGAGAGGTAGGTAATATGATCTCTCATGAGTGTAATCGTTATCGATATTGTAATATGATCGTCGTGAACAGATGATCGGTTGATGTGATGTGATTGATGTACCAGTTATGGTCTTTTAAACTTTAGTTTAGTTCGAAGTCAATGTGATTGTTTCGAGGAGAGAAAATTACATACAATCTATATATTTTCATCATTTACAACAATTTGAGTTATTAAGATGTGGTAGTCCTTCTATTGTAAAGTTAAAAAAAAAAGTGTTATAAAGTCTTATTAATAAAAACATATGATGTTTGAGTCGTGATAAACTCATGCAACTCTACATATTCGACTTGACAACAGATTTGTACAATTTTCTAGCAATCAAATGATTTTTTATTTATTTATTACAACATCAATCAATAATAATACACATGTGACATGACCAATCCGTTACACTAACACTAGTTTCTTTTGTGAACAATGGGTTGTTTCCCTGCATCCAAACCCTGCCCGAGCTCAGCTTTACAAGGTCCATAAGCCTTAGCACAACCAAGATAATACACAAAATCAAGAACAATCAAACCAGCAATCAGCCAGTAGTAGTAATCGTAATGCCCCTTGTTGATATTCCCAGCAATCCAGCTCTCCCACTCTCTCCCTCCTCTCGTCAGAATCTCCACACCGCTCAGCACAAAACTGGCCACCAAACTCGCCATCGACAGCCCCATTTGGTACAACGTCGTAGATATGCTAGCCATGCTCTCAGGCAGCTCACTGTAGTAGAACTCACTCTGTGCAAGGTAGTTGAAAGCCTCTGCAACCCCAAATGGGACGTAGTAAACCACGAACCACATCGCGGACATGTCCACTATACCTGTTGGATCATCAGTTAGCCCCTCCTCGATGGCCCTTTCGCGACGAATCATCTCCACGATGGCCAGTGCTGAAATTGCTGCAGAGGAAATCAGGATTCCCAGTCCTAACCTCTGCTTCATGGAGAGGTGGAACGGTTTGCCTATGAGCTTGGAGGTTATGGGGGTGATGATTTTGTTGTAGAGAGGAACCCATATCAGTTGTGTTAGCACGATCGTTAGGAAGAATGATCCAGCTGGGATTTGGAATCCTGTTGGATTGATGATGTGTCGATCCATGGTGTTGAGTTGGAGCAAGTAGAATGGGAGTTGGGTTGTTGGTAGTGACATTATCACTCCTGCAAACCATATGGGAATTACTCGGATTACGGATTTCAGATCCTCCACTTGCTCTACTGTGCAGAGGGTCCATGGATTTGTGGCAGTTCCATCAGGGTTCAGCTCTTCTTCAGGGGAGTCAATGATGCAGGCTTTGTTCAAGAACATCAATTTGTCACTTGGATGCAGGGGAATTGCAGCAGAATTTGGATTGGAATGGTAGGTATGAACTTCAGAAGGCAACTTGTTCCATCTTTTTCTGGAACCAGCAGCTGCAACCACTACTTGAGCGAGTTCAGCGAGCAGGCTTGGTTTGGTCTTCTGCTCGAGATACAACGAGGAACCCGATATGAAGATGAGGCCCGACGACACGATGAGAATCAATGGAACCCCAAAGCCAACTCTCCAACCTGCAGCTTCTTGGATGTAGACAATGACTGTTACTGCTATTAGTATGGCAACTGTTGAGGAGATGAAGTACCAGCTGACTAGACTCTTCAACAAGGTTCCTGAATCGTCATTTGTGGTGCCATCTTTGTTCTTGGGGATGATTTGGTCAGCACAGAATGCCAAGCTGGATGATCTCATGCTTCCAGAACCGATGGAGATGAGGGCTAAGGAGGTGCATAAGAGGGAAAGTTGTGGCAGTGTGGCCTGTTTGCAGGTGGTGTCAACACATGGTTGAGGCCTAGCTTGTGGGATGGTTGCTGTCAGCCATAGCAGAAATGTACCCTGTAGTGGAATTTGCAGAAACTAAGGATTAGTTTATGATTTCATAACTCAATTTTTGGTGGTTGAAGATACAAATTGCAATCATGAAGTCAGGAAATTGAAAGCATCTTGTTTATGGATAAACTATTGAAGGGTAGTGAGAGAGCATCTTCTGAGGTTGAACGCCTAACCAGTGGTTGCAGCCTTTTGATGTCTGTTTCTTATAAAAAAATGGATTAATTGTATAAACGGTCACTGCAATTTTTGGATAATCGAATAGGCTGATCACTAAAGTTGATTGATTGTGATTGCAATTGACAATGAGTAACAAATTATCGCTTAGCTCATCGCTATCAAGTTCTTCACACAAATTCGCCCAAATTAAGGTGTCAAATTCATCCAATTATCGACAAAGAAAAGTTAAATGCAAGAAATTTCGATTAACTCTCAGAGGGGAAGGGAATTGATTCAGGTGGTTACTAGTAACACGAGTTCAAATTGAATCGAGTAAAGGTTTGATTTGTATCAAATACTAGGTAAAATAAATATTTCATTACATCTCAATTCAGCTAATGAGAATTTTTTTTTAGTATAATTTTAGTAGTTGGCATAATAAGCCGAATAGTTTGGACGAAAAAAGCTGTTACAAAAGATCGAGAGAGTGACAAGTATGCTAAATATTGAAGTCCACTAGCCCATTGTTTAGTGGCTAGTTGTGTAATTGACCCCTTATTTATATATTTAACCCATTGCAAATTGGCAAAGCTAATGAAAGGAGATTGCAGGTACAACAAGAAAAGATTATTATTTTATATGTGCTGGTGGTGACAGGCCAGCATCTCAACCAGAACCAGGTATGGTCACTAAAGCAGAACTCAGGGGAACTTAACTAATTAAGCAGCAGAGACTACTGCTGGAGTTATTGCCTTACTGGTAAATTCAATCAGTTTCGATGAACAAACTTACATTTGCACACATAGACGTGTAAGTAAATGATATAAGATCGGTTTACCGTTTACTGACCAGAGCGTGGGCGAGGGAGCCGAAAGCGATCATCCAGTATCGGCCGACATAAGAATCGGCGAGAACTGCTGCAACGACGGGCGTGAAATTGGTGGTAGCAACCCAGATGAAGATCAGGTGAGCACCATCGCTGTTCTTCATCCCGTACTCTGTAGTCAAGTACATGATCATGTTGACCGGAAGTCCATAGCTCACCATTTTCTCCAATGCATCAGTTACTGGTTTGAAGATTACATAGAAAAAGGGGTTTCATTAGCGGAAAAATGAGTTAAAGAAGGTAGAATCAAGAAGGTGATTAGATATGGATTTGCAGTTGCAGTTCCCAGTAGCCCACCTATGATGAAAGGCAGGGCCCTGAAGCCACCGTTGCTGCTGCTACTCTTGGTGGCTAAAAGTGGCTCTCTGCCCGTGATTTGACAATCTGCTGCATTTTCCATCGCCATTCCTCTCTCTCTCTCTCTCTCTCTCTCTCTCTCTCTCTAGGACTGAGGAGGTGGAGAACGAAGAGAACTAGCTTAAATATATATTGGGTCGTCAGTCGTCGCTAAACTTTGTGACTTGTTGTCATTTATAAATAACTCAGCTGGATTTTATTTCTCTGCAAACTCATCGTTGAAGTTAGACATAATAGACACATTTCGGCCAATTTTTTTTTTTAATTTTATTTCGGTCACATAGTTTCATTGATAATATACTAGCATAAGTCCGCTCGCTATCGTTTCACGTTTGAGCGAGTACGTGATATTTTAAAAATTAATAGTTTGAATTTTGACCCAAAAGTAAAGAGCTTGTCATCAACAACTCTACGTAGTCGACACAACGACAAACTTTAGTAAGAGAAAAAAATCGTCGAGCAAATGATTTCTATGTTTAAGTTATAAACAACGAGTTAAACCTGCTTTGGTCGTATTGAATAGGTTGGATGTCAAATTTTGTTAATCAAGACATCGGGAGCAGATCCGGTGAGTAACCTTGTGGTGAGTAACCATGAGTAACCCGTCCACATCAGCATGACATCAGCATCCTCTCTCTCCTGGAAAGACTTTAATTTTCCCCTCTTTAATCTTTGACGGACGATTTCTCGCTCATTTTAAGTCGAAATTTAATTTTTTTTGCACAGTTAGATCAGATTAATTGTGCTCTTCAAAATGATATCCACTTTAATATATTTTTCGAACAAAAAAAATTGAGTCATTTTTTACCAGTCTATACCATATGGTATTGACTGGTATTGAAATAAAAGCATACATATGGTTTGAAAAAAGTACCATGGTGGTATGAACAAACCAAGACTGTAGGATGGTTGAATACATGATAGTAGAAATATATTAATTGTCATTTACGACTTTTAACATTGTATACCACAAGATACCACCCCGTACCAGGGTGGTATTGTATGGTATTTTTTGGTCCTGTAATTTGTTCACCCATAAATTTGTAGATCCAATAGATCATGATGAACTCGTCCCTTCTGTGCAAACGTTTTCAAAAACGAATTAAAAACGAAGAATATACCATACAATACCACCCCGTACCAGGGTGGTATTGTATGGTATTGTGTGGTATTTTTTGGTCTTGTAATTTGTTCACCCATAAATTTGTAGATCCAATAGATCATGATGAACTCGTCCCTTCTGTGCAAACGTTTTCAAAAACGAATTAAAAATGAAGAAAATACCATATGGTATGCAGTTGGTACCGAGGAGCCATAATTTTTTGTTCTAAAAAAATATTGAAAATTAATCTCATTTTGTAGAGCACGATGAACTCGTTCCACCTGTGCAAAAAAAAATTAAAATCCGAGTTAAAACGAAAAAGAAACGAGCCAATTAAGAAAGCTAGAGAAAATAAAAATGATCTTTAATTCTCCATCCTTAGATCTGGATTTTCTAAATGAAGGGTCCAGATTTAGTTATTGATGGGTGCATAACCCATGGTTATGCTGAATAGAGCTGACAAACGGTAACCCGGTAACCGTCGGTAAACGGTAAACCGGTTACCGTCGGTATCGGTATTCGGTTGCGCGTGGCGACGATCCAATTTACCGAACACAGGGTCGGTATTTACCGACGGTAATTCGGTAATACCGATACCGGATCAGTTAAGACATTAACATATAACATATACATCATTATTCACAAATATAAAATATTACATACATGAATGTAAGTATGGCCTAAAAAATATTGTAAATAAGAGTTAATAATAAATTATTAATTACAAAAATGATGAAAAAACTCAAAAAAAATCAAAATATTACAACATTACCCCACTTCCAGAAATTCGGTTCGGTAAATATTCGGTAAACCGACCGAAAAACAGCCCGAAATCGCTTCTCACGGTATTTCGGTAATACCGATTTGTAACCGTTTACCGGTAATTTGGTAATCGGTAAACCGGTTACAAACCGGTATCGGTAATCGGTAACCAGTTTGGCCAACTTCGGTATACCGAAACCGGTAAATTCGGTAAACGGTAAATTGTTTACCGACCGAATCCCACCCCTAGTTATGCACCTATCTTGAGCCCAAGACATCTTATATTTGATTCGTGATAACCTCAAAATGAACTATTAATTTGTCTGCAACTCTACATAGTCGACATGGTGGCGGACTTGTACAATTTTCTGCAACACTAATTTCCTTTGTGAACAATGTGTTGTTCCCCTGCATCCAAACCCTCGCCACCAAGCTCAGCTCTACAAGGCCCATAAGCCTTAGCACAACCAAGATAATACACAAAATCAAGAAGAATCAAACCAGCAACAAGCCAGTAGTAGTAATCGTAATGCCCTTTGTTGATATTCCCACCTATCCAGCTCTCTTCCCCACTCCCTCCTCTCGTCAGAGTCTCCACACCGCTCAGCACAAAACCGGCCACCACGCTCGCCATCGACAAACCCATCAAGTACAACGTTGTTGATATGCTAGCCATGCTCTCAGGCAGCTCGCTGTAGTAGAACTCACTCTGTGCAACGTAGTTGAACGCCTCTGCAATCCCAAATGGAATGTAGTACACCACGAACCACATCGCGGACATGTCGACGACGCCTGTTGGATCGTCGGAGAGCCCCTCTTCGACAGCCCTTTCGCGGCGGATCATCTCCATGATGGATAGTGCTGCCATGGAGGCAGAGGAAAGCAGGATTCCCAGACCTATCCTCTGCTTCATGGAGAGATTGCTGGGCTTGCCTCTGAGTTTGGAAGCTATGGGGGTGATGATTTTGTTGTAGAGAGGAACCCATATCAGTTGTGTCAGCATGACGGATAGGCAGAAGGAGCCGGCTGGGATTTGGAATCCTGTTGGATTGATGATGTGTCGATCCATGGTGTTGAGTTGGAGCAAGTGGAATGGGAGTTGGGTCATTGGTAGCGCCATTACAATTCCTGCAAACCATATGGGAATTACCCTGATTAGGGATTTCAGATCCTCCACTTGCTCCACTGTGCAGAGGGTCCATGGATTTGCAGCGGTTCCATCTGGGTTCAGCTCTTCTTCAGGGGTGTCAATGATGCAGGCTTTGTTCAAGAACATTAATTTGTCACTTGGCTGCAGGGGAATTGCAGCAGAATTGGAATTGGAATGGTAAGTATAAGCTTCAGAAGGCAACTTGATCCCTCTTTTTCTGGAACCAGCAGCTGCAACAATTACTTGAGCAAGTTCAGCAAGCAAGCTCGGTTTGGTCTTCTGCTCGACATACAACGATGAACCCGATACGAAGATAAGGCCCGAAGACACGATGAGAATCAATGGAATTGCAAAACCAACACTCCAGCCGGCAGCTTCTTGGATGTAGACAATGAATGTTACAGCTACTAGTATTGCAATTGTTGTGGAGATGAAGTACCAGCTGACTAGAGTCTCTAACAAGGTTCCTGAATCGTCATTTGTGGTGCCATCTTTGTTCTTGGGGATGATTTGATCAGCACAGAAGGCCAAGCTGGATGATCTCATGCTTCCAGAACCGATGGAGATGAGGGCCAAGGAGGAATATAAGAGGGATAGTTGTGGCAGTGTGGCCTGTTTGCAGGTGGTGTCAGCACAAGGTTGAGGCCTGGCTTCTGGGAAAGTTGCTGTCAGCCATAGCAGAAAGGTACCCTGTAGTGGAATTTGCAGAAACTAGGGATTAGTTTATGATTTCAAAACTCAATTTTTGGTGGGTTAAAATCCACATCATTAGGTCAGGAAATTGAAAATGAAAGCCTCTTGTTTATGAATTAGCTATTGAAGGATAGTGAGAGAGCATCTTCTGAGGTTCAACACCTAGCCAATGGCTGCAGCCTTTTGATTTGTGTTTCTTATAAAATGGATTAGTTGTATGAACGGTTACTGAAATTTTCGGAAGCTGATCACTAAAGTTGATTGATTTAATAAACTTGTGATTGCAATTGACAATAACTAACAAATTGTCACTCTGCTGCTCATCACTATCAAGTTCTTCACTCAAATTTGTCTAAATTAAGGTGTCAAATTCATCCAATTATCGATAAAAAAATTAAAAGTTAATGCAAGAATTTTCGATTAGCTACCAGAGGGCAGAGGGGAGGGAAGGGATGCCGGTGGTTACCAGTAAAACGAATTCTTCATATTGGATTGAGTATTAGTTTGATTTGTATCAAATACGAATTAAAATGAATCTTTGATTATATTTAGTTCGGTTAATCAGAGTTTTTTTTTTTAATATAACTTTAGTAGTTGGCATAAGAAGCCGGATAATTTGTACGAAAAGCTTGATATAAAAGTTTGAGAGTGACAAGTATGCTAAATGTTTTAAGTCAACTAATCCATTGTTTATATTAAGCCATTGCAATCGGCAAAGCTGATGAAAGGAGATTGCAGGTACAACCGAAAACATTGTTATATGAGGTAGTGACAGGCCAACATCTAAAGCAGAACTCAGAAAACCACACACACAAAAAATCCTTGTAACAGAAAAAGAAAAAAAAAAAGTGTTGCTGAAGATCCAAACCAAAGACTCCAGTCTCCAGGAGGAACTTAATGCTCTAAGCAGCAGAGACTGCTGCAGTTACTGCTTTACTGGTAAATTCAATCTATTTCGATGAACAAACTTACATTCACATAGACGTGTAAGTAAGTGATATAAGATTCCAAAGAATGATTGGTTGGCTATGGAAACAGTTGAAGAAAAAAGTGGTGAAAATTAATAAGAAGAAGATTGTTTACTAACCAGAGTGTGGGCGAGCGACCCAAAAGCAATCGTCCAGTAGCGGCCGACATAGGAATCGGCCAGAAATGCTGCAACGACGGGCGTGAAATTGGTGGCAGCAACCCAGATAATGATCAAGTGGGCACCATCACTGTTCTTCATCCCATACTCTGCAGTCAAGTACAAGATCATGTTCACCGGAAGACCATAGCTCACCACCTTCTCCAATGCATCAGTCACTGGTTGTTTTACAAACAAGGAAAAAGGTTGTGATCATCTTTAGCCAATGAATTGAGCAAGGTAGAATCAACAAGACCGTTTGGTTATGGATTTGCAGTTGCAGTAGCCCACCTATGATGAAAGGCAGGGCCCTGAAGCCACCGTTTCTGTTGCTGCTGCTGCTACTCTTGGTGGCTAAAAGTGGCTCTCTGCTCGTGATTTGACAATCTGCTGCATTTTCCATCGCCATTCCTCTCTCTCTCTCTCTCTTTCTCTGGGACTGAGGAGGTGGAGAACGAAGAGAACTAAGCTAATTTATTGGGTCGTTAAGTCGTCACTAAAGTTTGTGACTTGCTGTCATTTACAAATCACTCAGCGGATTTTCTATTCTCTGCACAGTCATCATTGAAGTTTGAACAAATTGATACATTTCGTCCATTTTTTTTTTTTGGATTTTAGTCACAGTTTCAGTGATAATATCACCATCATTAAAAAAAATTCTTTCTTCCATTATACCTGCTTTCGAGTTTAGAGCCATCTTTAGCAGAAAATGTTTATCCAGGTACTTAAATGATAAATATCTTAATTGGATTATTCATCACTTAGTATACAAACAACGATCAATTGATTTGAATAACTCGATTTATTGGAGAAAAACTTAATAGGCTAATATAGAATTTTATCATGTTATCTTACATACTCTTTCAGGCAAAATTAATGTCACAAATTTTTTTGTTCATGCTCATCAGACTACATACGTACAAATACTCTCTCAATCAAAAACTCTAATACCATATTATGAGCTTCTTTAAAATGGAGAGGTTGAGATCAGATGCTGATCTCTTAATTTGGACACACACTATGGGAATAAGTTTTTAAATGTCCCCTCTTGTTGGCACTCTTGCTAGACAACAACTTGAGAATCATTTTAGTACTCGCGTATTACGTCACTGAATATACTTCAATCATGATTTTGAAATCTGAACCAACTTGAAATATGTGAATTTGTGAATTTTGATTAAGGTTTGAAATGCACAACAATTCAACATAGTACTGCCACTAATATAAAAATTGCAAGCGCTAATCCTATGATAAGCCATCGAATCTCATGTCTAAACACCAGCTCTAGTACCCAAAACTTTTTATTTAATATGCAAGTATATAATTTTGATTGTTTTTGTGATATTTCTGTGCTCTTTGCCTCTTTCATGAGTTTGTGTATAGAATATACGATGGTGCTCAAATGAATTGAAAGGAAATTAAAGTGGATTATATAAGAGTACGAAATTAATTAAAATCCAGCTATATAAGTAATGATATAAAACTATGTTCCATTACCTGTATAAAAATCTAGACATTTGAAGCGAAGTGACTCATATTCAGGTTCAGCTGTACAAGTAATGTAAAATTTATTTCAGTCAATTCTTTTCCTAATAAAACTAGGAATCATTATAGTACAAATTCCTTAGACAATTCACAATCTAAAGTTCCTTTCCTAGTTTGATTACAAGTCTTAATTGGAATAACAAAGTAGAACCTCATTTTTATTCTATTAAAAATCGTTATATGATTACTGATCCTTATCTATTAAATAAAAAACGAATCCTTACATGATAAAAGATTTCGACTCAATAGATAACTATCCCAACAGTAAATAAGATGAGTTTTCCTCATCGGAGTACCAATTTTATTTTATTAAGAATCCTTATCCTAATAGGATTAGGAATGCTATTTGGACTAGGTCATGACATCATGTTCTACTAACCTCTACTGGTTTCACTCTCCATCCAACTCCTCCATTGTCACCTCACCCTTGCATGGGCCATAACCCTTGGAACAAGCCACATAGTACACAAAATTCCCAACACAAAAACAAGCCAGAACCCAGTAGTAGTAATCATAATGCCCCTTGTTAATATTGCTCCCAACCCAGCTCCCTTCTTCCCTTCCACCACCACCACCACCACCGCTCGTCGCATGATCCACCATGCTCAACACTAAACTCGCCACCAAATTCGACACCGATAACCCCATCTGGTACAGGGTCGTGGAGATGCTGGCCATGCTCTTCGGCAGCTCGCTGTAGTAAAACTCGTTCTGTCCAATGTAACTGAACGCCTCTGCAACCCCAAACGGCACGTAGTACAGCAGGAACCACATTGCAGACATGTCCACCATGCCGTTGGGATCATTGGAGAGCCCCTCGTCGAGCGCCCTGGCTCGACGAATGCTCTCCACTAGGCCTAGTGCGGCCATGGAGACAGAGGAGAGCAGGATCCCAAGTCCCAGTCTTTTCTTCAGGGGCAGGGAAATGGGTCTGCCTTTGAGGGTGGAGGCTAGAGGGATGATGACTCGGTCGTAGAAAGGGACCCATATGAGTAATGTGAGCATTAGGAAGATGCTGAAGGAGCCTGCTGGGATTTCGATTTCGGGGGTGATGTGGCGGTCCATGGTGGCGAGTTGTAGCAGCTGGATGGATTGCTGGCACGCTGTGACGGACATAAGCATTCCTGCTGACCAAATGGGGATCACTCGGATTACGGATTTGAGGTCTTCGACTTGTTGTACTGTGCAGAGGCGCCATGGATTCGTTGGTTTGCCTTCTTGGGTAAGATCTTGTTCAGGGTGTTGAATGATGCAGGCCTTGTTTAGAAACCTCAACTTCTCAGTTGGCTCTGAATTCATTGTTGCAGCATTGGAATGATGGTGGCGATGATGATAAGCTAGTGTGGTTGATTGAGGTGGCTGCAGCTTGATACTTCTCTTTGTCCAGGCAGCTACAACAACTTGAGCAAGTTCAGTGACCAAGCTTGCTTTGGCTGCTGGCTTCACGTAGAATGGAGAAGCTAAGAAGAAGGAAAGTGCAGACAGTACCATGAGCACCACACAAACTCCAAATCCAGCACCCCAACCAGCTGAATCTTGGATGTAAACTATGACAGTTACGGCCAACAGAATCGAAATCGATGTGGAAATGTAGTACCAGCTGAAGATGCTCTCTAGCACTCTTGATGAACTCTTTTTGGTGCTTCCCATCATCTGATCAGCACCAAATGCCATGCAGGATGATCTCATGCTCCCTGAACCGATCGAGATGAGGCCTAATGACACGTATAAGAACAGCAGCTGTGGCGTCGTGGCTCGCAGTCTGCAGCTGTCTGTGGAGTCTGGATCAACACAGGGTTGAGGCCTGGCTTCTGGAATTGCAGCTGTTAGCCATAAGAGAACATTTCCCTGTACATGATCGAAGAATCAGTTCGTCTTAATAATTTGAATTGATGCTTTGAGAAATATTTGAAAAGAGGCCCTACCCTAGTTGATTGATATGATTGTGTCAGCATCTTAAGCAGGCTTGTTCCCTAAAGGACAGGGAATCTAAGGAAGAAGCGCAGGCAGTAGTAGTACTAGAGCAGACCAATTATTGGGACTCTATTTTTCATTTCTTCATATATTGGTCAAACTGTTCTTCCTTTTCCCTGTAGAAATATTCCCCATGTCAGTTTCTGTTCCTGAGGTAACACCTAGTGAGTTTGATAATTTGAAAGCTTATTTATGTGTAATGGTGAACCGACTACTTCTGTTCCTACTAACAATAGCCATTTGATGATCTCTTTAATCTTTGTCACTACATTTTATGTCCAGTTCTTGTCTACATTTCCTCCGCAATATGCCTTGTACTATGTACTGACCTAAGCGTTGGAGTGCAAATTTAATCTACGCCGAGAGAGACAGAATCGAAGTTCGAACAGAGCTGGAACCGGGATCCAAAACTAATAATGCTTGACTATCTCATCAAAAGACCAGAGCAGAGAGGAACCATGTTCTTACCAGAATGGAAGCAATGGATCCAAAGCCAATCATCCAGTAGCGACCCACATAAGAATCAGCAAGGAAGGCCGCGAGAACAGGGGTGAAGTTAATAGCAGCTGTCCATATGAACATCACTTGGGCACCATCAGCATTTTCCAGGCCATACTCTCTCGTCAAGTAGAGAATCATCGATGCACCGAGACCGTAAGTCACCACTTTCTCCAATCCATCAGTTACTGCAATGCAGTAAGAAGGCATTAATGTAACTGTTATGATGCTTTGTAAAGTACCCTAAATATGTTACCTATGATGAAGGGCAAGGCCCTGAAGCCACCCTTTGCAAGATGATTGTTGTTACAGGAATTGACCAAAAATGGCTCTAACTGTGAGCTATCCATTTTGGTTTCAGCTGCCCAGGGAGCTCTGTCTGTGCTTCTTCTATTGAGGGAGTCTGGGAGATGGAGAAGAGTTCATGATAAAACCAGTAAAGATTTTGTTCTTTCCAGGTGGTATTGGTTGGAGAAGTAATGCAAATGTAACCCACGTTGAACCTGACAAACTTGTCTGTGGTCCAAAGTACATGGAGCTAATATTAAAGGAGAGATTAAGGTTATACAAATATGCAAACAGCACGTGGTGGTGAAGCAACAACCCACTTCAAAGAGATTCCAGAACACTTTTAATACATCTCGAGTTCATTGCCACGTCACAGTTCAAATCCTCGTATGATTATTCGTGTTTTCATTGATTTTGTCGTTTCAAACTCTTGGCAAAGTTAGTGGCACAAACAGTATTGATCGAATATGAAATTTTGAAAGACTGATTGCCAAAAACAAATTGTGAATGGTCTAAGATGTCCCTTTTGAAAGTGTTGAAGACATGATGAGATTTAAAGCAGGCAGGTATGGAAAAGCAGAATATATTTCAGGAAAGATGCAACTCCAGGTGGGTCTGCTGCTGCCTTGGAGTCATCAAAACCGCAAAAAAGCAAGAACTGCTTTTTCCTTTCCTCCTGGTGTTGCTGTGGGTGGTTGATTATAAGTTTCGAATAGTGGACCTCTCGGTCATGATGATTATCGACCTTCAACCCGTGCAAGAGGGAAGCCAGCACCATTTGGTTAAAGCTGGTTAAGAAATCAGAAGAAAAATAAGTACTACAGTACAAGGCTTTATACTAGTGGCCAAATGATGAAGGCCAACTACACCAGCAGCAGCTCCAAAATCCAGCCTTAAGGGAATTCGAGACAAGCTTTCTATCTTGCATTATGAGATTTGTTCTGAATATGGTGCCAAATATTTTGTTCTTTTGGAGTCGAGAAAAGGAAAAGGAAATCAGTCAGCAGCACTCATCTGCAGCTGTCATAGTACAAGTCAAGGCAGAAAGAGAGGGGGAATAAAGCCACCAAGTCCACTTCTCATTCACCATAATTACTGGCTTGCTTCCACTTATCTTTCTTTTCTCTCAGCTTTTAAAAGCCTTCCTTGTACTAATAAAGAAATGAAAAAAAGCTTGCACTTAGCCTAACTTGGGAGCAAGAGCCCCTCTCCCGACCCTTTCTCACTCTTGTGCACCAGCAAAATTGGATATTGGTTGAGCAACAAGGTAGCAGCATAGATAGTTGAGGCGTTGGACTCACCTGATAGACGTTCTAAGTCTCAACTTGGTATCTTTCTGCTAAAATTTTCTTACAACCACTTGATCGACGAAACTAGGAAGATGCTATTCGCCCTTTCTCATGAGGTTATTGACCATTCATATGGACAGAAACAGAAAAATTCACCTCAACAAAGAACGTAGAACTAAATAGTATCTGCAGATTGCATTCAAGTACGAGTAAGGAGCGCGGAACGAAACCCACCCTCAACTTATTCCCAAAACCTTTGTGGATTACGAGTGGAAATGTCATCCTTTTATCTGATCGGAGACGCTGAGTTGAAAACCTGCGATTACAGGTAGAAATGTCATCGAACTGAACACCTAAGTATGTCAAAAGGCTAAAAAAAAAAAAAGAATCAAAAAGGTTGAGTTATAGTGGGAAATAGGGAGAGTGGAGAAACAACCCCACCTATTTCCTTATTTTTCCCAAGTGACAATGGTAAGTGGTAACAAAAGTGAAGTGAAGCCCCCCCACAGCCATGATTATTCCCGCCGCTTACAAAAGAGTCGAACCCATACCAAAACCCCTCTGCTACTTCAGTCACACCAGCATATAAGGGCCTTTGGCTTTGATATAAAGGCCAAAGAAACCAACCTGACCTGCAATCTCCTGCCACTGCCCCCAACTTCTCCCACTCCATAGAATATATTCCTGCATTTAAACACAAACATCCTGCATTTCGCCATGAGAAGTTGCACCAAAGCAACCCTGACACTTGACCAAGAAGAAGAAGAAGAAGAACCAGAAGAGTCCCCAGGACTCAGCACAACAAGAAGTAAGTAAGAGTAAGAGCTTAATGGCATTATATCAAGGGTTTCCCTCTTCTAACTTCTTTGTTTGTGACCTGTTGTTTGATCAGTGAGCTCTTGCAGCACAAAGAGCCTGCTGCAGAAGCTAGAGAACATCGACGAGAACACTCCTGCTGCCTGGGTACCCCTACCATCATCATCGTCATCTGCTGCACCCCCTGAGACACCCACCGAGTCCATGGAGTTCCTAGCTAGATCATGGAGTCTCTCTGCCATGGAGCTCTCCAAAGCTCTTTCCACTGGTGGCACACCACATCAGGCACCCCCTCCTCTTCTGGGTAGTCTCCACAAGTCGGTGCCTCCAGCTCCTCCAGCTTCTTCTGCTGTTGGAAAGGAATCTGTAAGAACAAAACAAAGTTTGAAGTGATTCTGTAAGCACTGAGATGTTTACATCGCTTGTATTGTTGGAACTGAAACTCTTTATATTCAGCAGTTGCCTAGTGCTGGTATTGGCAGTCCCCCTATATCTCCAAGAGACAGTGAAGAACTCAAGGTAATCTCCTCAAAGCAAACACCTTTGCTTGTTAATATTAGTGTTGAGAAATGAATTGGGTTTATGGGTTTCACGGTTGGTTTAAAATGGGTTCATGGGTAAAGGGTTGGTGGTTCGTTGGGATCAAAGGCACTCTCATGAAAATTTGAAATGCTTTGTAAAATCCTGAAATTTTAGGTACTGTAGTGCAAGACAATAATTCTTAGATCCCAAATAATAAATTCACCGAAACCATTCAACCTGACCAAGAATTTGGACCAATCTGGGTAGGATGGAGTTTAAGTGCATTGAGTTGATTGGTTAGCATTTCCCACGTCTAATGCTATCATAATCACTTGTATAAGAAATACAGTCTGTGCAGGAGTTACTTCTACTTCATCAAGCACTGAACCCAGAATTCATCTACAGTCAGCAATTGCTCAAACATGGGGTACCTTGTTTAACTTGCAACCTTTAGCATCCAAGTAATCTATATTTTGTCTCTCATGTTATCTAATGGCTTGATAACATAAAAAACAGTTATACAAGAGCATCATGAAGGGTAAAACGATGGGGAGAAGGCTGAAGGATCATAAAGAGAGGAAGAAGCAGGAGATCAGAACCCATAATGCCCAAGTTCACGCAGCTGTCACTGTAGCCGGAGTGGCTGCTGCTGTCGCTGCTATAACTGCCTCGAATGCCATGTCAGCAGAACTTGCAGCAGCAAAAGGCGAGACAGCTGCTTCCAAGACGCCAGCTGCAATGGCATCAGCGGCGGCTCTTGTGGCATCTCACTGCATTGAGATAGCAGAGGACATGGGTGCTGAACATGAACAAATCATGACAGTTATTGACTCGGCGGTCAACGTGAGGACTAACGGGGATATCATGACTTTAACAGCTGGTGCAGCTACAGGTATAAGAATGTCATCAATCCCCAACACAACAAACCATGCACCCACTCAATTTGCCACATCTATTTCATTGCAATAAAATAAAAATAAAGAATAGAAAAGATTCAGAATAATGATATTGCATACAGCTTTAAGAGCTGCTGCGACCCTGCGAGCAAGGCTGCAGAAAGGATATGGAGCCCCAGCACTTCCCTTGACAGAGGACATGGATGAAGAAGGCAAGGACTCCAAAATCTCAGCAGCATTAAAATTTGTCACCGAAGGGGAAGAACTTCTCAAGCGGACAAGGAAAGGTATGCTACTTCACATTTGTATCAGATAGGGAAAAAACGAATGTAAACTAGCCTTGAGAAATGAATACATATTGATAAACCATTGATGGCAGGAGCTCTACATTGGAAGCGAGTTTCTTTCAGTATCAGTACAACTTGTCAGGTATGAAAGAAAGAAATATATCAAAAGGATAAAAGCAATTGCTACACTGATTAGCATATCCCAGAGTGTTACAAGCCCCTAACAAAGGTTTTTTGTTGATGTACTGACCAAAAACAGGTGGTGGCTAAAATGAAAAGCAAGCACATGGCAGGGACATTCACAAAGAAAAAGAAATGTGAGCAACTTTCTCAATCTAAGAAAAGTAAAATTATTACCTTGCTCTCTTATGGTTGATTGACCAAACTTTACGTTGAATCTGCAGGTGTTGTGTTTGGAGTTCAGACTGAGGTGGCAGGATGGCCAGGGAGGGAGACTGACGACTGCAGCGAGCAAAGAGCTTATTTTGGGATTAAAACATCAGAGAGAATAATAGAGTTCGAATGCTGGAGTAAAAATGACAAGCAGATGTGGGTTGAGGGGATACAACATATGCTCAGTTGCCGAGCTAAAGTTGCATGAGTTCTAAAACAACATTATAGAGTTCCCATTTGGAACTTCTGTGTCAAGTATCAGAAAAACGGTCAAAGGGTTTACAGCAATTGTTAGTCACGAAATGTACAGGTGTTTGGGTATAATGGTAACATTTCTTCCTTTAGAGGAGTTCAAAACCATTAATCAGAAATGGCAAGGAATGTTTGTTTGATAGTTTTGGCTTATTGGATTAACTCAGCTGCGGCTTCAGCTCACTCCAGTTCTCTAAGAAAATCCCCATTATCAACAAACACCTGCAAGGAGAAAGGCATCAATTGATTTTAGCTTTACTGCTTTCATAATCATTCATCGAAATCAAAGAATAACCTTTGAACATATTCAAACATAAAAAGAATAAGGAGTATCCCTTTAAAGATACTGGATATAAGGAGTATCCATTTAAAGATACTGGATCTCAAAGAGATTAGGAAACAGTGTTTTCATTCTTACTATTCAAGCATGAATCAAGGTCCATTGGTCGACAAAAATGAGTCAAATAGCCAACTAAAGTAATGACAACCACTTAAAGAGAAAGCGTGCAGGACTAAAGAAAACTAGAAGATTTACCCATTTCCAACCCTCAGGATCCAAGCAAACAGTAATCTTGGTGTTAATACCAGGCAAGGGACCAGGCTCCAGAACAATGGCTCCACCACAGAGTTTTATTGCTTCAGCACTCTTATAAACATCATCTGTCCCTATTGCAATCTGGTAAATACACGACAGTTAAACGACATCTCTGCCAAGCAATGGAAAATAATTTTGACAGAATAAACATATCCTTTTACCTGTGCATAACCATTTCCTTTGTCATATGTGCTGATACCATAGTTATAGGTCAGTTCCAGCACCACATTATTGTCTTCGGGACCATAACCCATATAGGCAACTGTATACTGAGAATGCAGAAGAGCCACACGCACAAAAAAGGTCAGCAATGTTGTTAAAGTCAGAAATTTACAAGGGTATGAAAGAACTTCAACCAACGCTACCTTGTCATTGGGGTAGTCCCGTTTACTTAGAAGCTCCATTCCAAAAGCCTTTTCAATAGAGTGGAAGGATAAACATCAGCAAAAATCAAGGCATTTCTCAAGGCAACGCAAGCACTGATTAGACCCTGAATGAAACTTACCTTCTTATAAAAGTTAATGGATCGATCGAGATCACCAACTCGAAGCATCACTTGGCACAAGGGTTCACGTGCAGCCTTCCTCTCCAATAGCTCAAAGTTGTAACCATCTGGGTCTTTAACAAATGCAATTACTTGATTTTCTCCTTTGACAGGACTAATTCTCCCCCCTTTCGCCTTAACGAGATTCACAGCCTTCGCAACCTATAATCGAGAAACAACAGAATGCAAACACTGCCGATGCTCATAAACTTTTGTTGCATCAAATGCCAACTAATATTACAGAGCAGGGGACCTTACATCGTCAACTGCAATGCCAAAATGACCGAAACCAGATCCAATGTCATACTTGTCAACTCCATAATCTGCACACCAAAAGCCAGCAATTACTAACCAGCATGGATGCACAATTCCAGAAAGACTCTACAAGTTTGATAGCTTACTGTAGGTAAGTTCAACAGCGAAATTGGATTCTTCAGGGCCATATCCAAGGAAGGCATTTCTATATCTATCTTCTGGTATATCACGTTGCCTCAACAGCTTCATCCCCAAGCACTCAGTATAAAATCTGATAACGTGAAAAAACAACGTTGTTGTCAACCGAACTTGGCAACTAGCATAGAAAGAATTCCATTGCAGAGAATTAGTGTAAAAGATGCAAACTTTATGGTCTTGTCCAAGTCCCCAACACGGTAAACAACATGAAGCATTCTCCTTTTGTCGTTCTTAATCCACTCCAACAACGCATTAGGGTCATCGAGAATTGTAGTTCTTTCTTCTGCAATTGCCTTTTCAACCGCTCTTAACCCCAACAAATGCGACTGAGGAATAGCTGGATTTTCAGAAAACATGGACTTCAATAAACGAAATTCCCAATTGTTGCGACAAAGAAATAGAGAATTATCTGAACTGGGAGCAAAATAGAGGATGTGGGGAATGGGGTTTGTTGTCTCACCGGCGCCGAGTTGAAAGAGGGCAAGTCGACGAGATGGATTGGGGACGGTGGTCGGAGTAGCATTAGCTCGGCCGTCGTCGGAGATGGAAGAAGAAGAAGAAGAAGAAGAAACCTTTAAGGAACGAGCGCGGAGAAGCGGGATGGTGATGGCGGAGACGGTGAAAACAGAGTAGTAAGAAGATGAAGACAACGGCATTGCCTGTGTTGTCGACATTTTCTTTTTCCAGTCCGGTGCTTGCTTGCTTCCTCCAGCAGTCCAGCTCCTCCTTCCTGCTCCGTGTTCCTCTGGGCTTATCCATCTTACCCTGATGAATCAAACGACGGTCGTCGGTCGACAATTGTGTCTCTCAAAATTAGGATACCAAAATGATAACTGTTACTTACACAATAATAGTGGGATAATTAGTACAAACGGTCACAAATCCTGCAATTTGTAAAATGATAGCACTATTTTTATTTTACACGTTTTGATAAAAATATGTTTGATCGAATAATAAAATGGTCATTTCGTCTATTTTAATTTAAAATTTTGTTAATAGTGGGACTTATAAAATTATTGCACATAAGATGCTTGAGTACATGCTACATGGCCTTTGTACGTCAAATTTTCTCTTTACTCCAAAAATATTTAAGTGAGTATATTCTTCCGAATAAAAACTAATATAATATTTTGTAAAAATGATTGGTTAGAAAATATGAGAATGTGTAATGGGATATATTAAAATGTAATAAATTTTTTTTACTTGAACAAAATATGTTATATCGACCCGTACAATTGTATCCTTTAGCATCAAGAAGATAGAAATTCAAATATGATAGATGAATTATGACACATGATCAGGACATTATTAATAGCTAAGATAATCCTCGAATCATCAAAGCAGTAGATGATCGTTCTTAACATCCTTAGTGTCGTTAGAACGATCATGTGTGATGTATGATCAACTACTAATACTTTAAAACCCATTAAAACTAAACATTTTTCCAGTTCGCTGTTTGCTTGCTTCTTCCAGCTCCTCCTTCTTCGTACCATCTATCTTACCCAGTATGCATCAAACAACGATCGACTATAAGGATACAAAAATGAAAAGAATTACATGCAAAGTAAAAAAAGATTAACAAATTACTCTCAAATGACGTTAATTGAGAAATATAAAATTATGTAAATTTTGATATATTTCATGAATCTCGAATATCTCAATTCTCAAGGACATGTGGATGATCAGTCACGCTATAATATGTGATTATTGGCTTATTGTGTATCTTTCTATTATCTTAGTAGTTTAGAATTCAGAACTGATGAAATATTTTGTACAACTAATCGGTTAGAAAAGACTGAGAACATTAAGGAATATACCTGAAATGTAATCGTTGCAACTTCACTTCAACAATATATGTTCGATCTATTGGCTCATGTATTTTGTGTCCTTTAGCACTACAAAGTTAGGAGGTCAAACTTGGTAGACGAATTATAGCCACATAATCGAAACATCATTAAATATTCAAGATAATCATCGAGACGGTAGAGTAGAGGATCGTTGTTAACGCCTCCAGTAGTATTATGATGATCATATGCGATGTATGACCAACTATTATTATTTTTAAACAATTATAGACCTATTAATGCACCGAATCTTCGGCTGAAACTCGCACATGTAGCAACAATCACAATTCACAAAGACAAAGAAACAAGACAGCAGTACTTATTAAGCTGTGGTGGCCCTATAATATGAAAACCGGCCTACACCAGAATTATGGACATATTATCACCCTCACACAAAGTCACAAGTTAAATTTGCCCAAGGGCATCCACGTACTTTCCGCACTGAGCCGAGGTCAACTTCCAGAAGGGCATCCACGTCCTTTCCACCAACGTAATTATTTTTTGGGCGCATGATGATTGATGATGGATGGTGCTGAGGTGTAATGGTGAAGTTGTGACTGTAACGTGCACATCGATCAATAATTTCACTTTCCCTTTTCCATCTCGTCGCCTACTCTCTGTTGCCATTGCACTCTCTTCCTCCATGTTTATATAAGCCAATGCCACTCTACCAGAAACCAAGCTGTAAAGCAGAGGAGGAGAAGCAGAATAAGAATATTCTCTCTTCCTTTTTCGTCATCCTCTGCTTCATTTTTTAATATTAAAAATGGCGAAAATTGCTTTGGGATGTTGCTCGGAGGTGACCAAGCCGGACTGCATCAAGGCCCTCGTCGTCGAGTTCATCGTCACCTTCCTCTTCGTTTTCGCCGGGGTCGGCTCCGCGATGGCCGCCGGTACGTGTGTAACATATATGCATCAACAACTCGTCGCTAATATTTCCACACACAAAAAAATGGTCACTACTAATAGCTTTGTTAAATATTAATAGCGACGAAGAAATGTTTTTTTTATGATTATTACATACATGAACAAGTCGTCGCTAAAAAAGCTAATTATTATTATCATATTAATAGCGACGAGGGGGATTAAATTTGATGATTTGGTGACGACTGGTCGCAGATAAGCTAGAGGGAGGGGCGCTGGCGGCGCTGCTGTTCGTGGCGGTGGCGCACACATTCGTGGTGGCTGTGATGATCTCCGCGGGTCACATCTCCGGCGGTCATCTCAACCCTGCCGTCACCATAGGCCTCCTTTTCGGCGGTCACATCACCGTCGTCCGATCGGCTTTCTACTGGGTTATCCAGCTGCTAGCTTCGTCGGCAGCCTGTTTGCTTCTCAAGTATCTCACCGGAGGATTGGTACGGTCATATTCATTTACTCATCTACCGCAGTAGTTAGATTTTCCAAGCAAATTTGTGGCTCCAAAAGATTTTTCCCTATAGAAATCTATTTCTACCACTTTAGAGATGGATACTGGACCCTATTTGGTTTTTCAACTTTAACCAATTCCATTTCAGTCATCTTTCAACTAAAAATTCATAAACTTGCATTACAAATCAAGAAAATCTCGCTAGTTGTTCAAGAATCAAGACGTTAGTGTTACAATTATGATATTATCTAACCATATCTTAATGATTTAAAATTATGATGATTTTGTGAAGCTTATTATTATCTGTATAAACACCACAAATAGTCACAACAATTTGAAAAACGATTAGAACTGTTAGTTTCGACTTATAACTATCGATTTAAGTTTAACAACACAATTCATATACGAATACTTCATGAGTGTATGATGCTTTTCTTTTCACTGGAATTTATACTTTCATTTGTGTTATTCGACGTTTTAAATATCGAGATACTCATTTAGTGACACAAAAGACCTATCGTTATCGGTCTAAATCAAACACACATTTTGTGTGGGTGCAGGTGACGCCTGTGCACACACTGGCAAGTGGAGTTGGGTACGGGCAAGGCATAGTGTGGGAGATAGTTCTGACCTTCTCCCTACTCTTCACAGTCTACGCCACAATGGTTGACCCCAAGAAGGGCTCACTCGACGGCTTCGGCCCACTGCTCACTGGGCTCGTAGTTGGAGCCAACATCTTGGTTGGTGGCCCGTTCTCTGGGGCTTCAATGAACCCAGCAAGATCATTTGGGCCTGCTCTCGTGGCTGGAGTATGGACCGACCACTGGGTTTACTGGGTTGGGCCTCTCATCGGCGGTGGGCTTGCTGGCTTTGTCTACGAGAACTTCTTCATCGTCAGATCTCACATCCCCATTTCCAGCGAAGACCCTATTTATTAACTGCGGAGAGAGCAGTACAAGATTTGAGCGAGGCAGCAGAAAAAAAATGGTGTCAAGTTCCTGTAGACTATGATTATGTAAGTTGTAGTACGACGTCGTGCAATCGTGTTGGTTGTGGTGGTAATTACGTACCTTTGGTTTCGTGTAATAATTACCATGTCAGTATGTACTCTAGCTCTACCATTTCATCACAAGACAAGAGTTTACATGAATTCTGGTTCAGTAAGTTTTGGTTATAGGTTTCACCGTTTCAGAGAAAAGGGATACAACTTATAAGAAGCAATATTAATGAGGGCCAAACATGAGATTAGAAGACAACTATTCTACATCGAGAAACAAATATTAGTAGCTGACGTGAATATGGGAAGGACGTTCAATATAGAAAAATGATCGACATTGTCACTAAAAAATTAATTATTTGTAGAAAATGTTTGTATAGAAAGAGGCACTTTCTAGCATTAGCATGTTCCATAAGGCTTTTTCCTATCAACGTGCATATCCTCAACTGGCTTACCGTACTCAAGGGGCATGACGATCACATATGAACCGCATCTAAACTCTACCTCTCGTCTCAAGTCACACAAGTATGATTGTATGAGACACTACCCACCACTAATCACGCAAATCTTGTTCTTTACGAAAGACAAAACAACCCAAATGGATTGTACGTTGACAATGGGATTTGTTCTTGTCTCGGAAATTAATAAATGTAGCTAAATACTGAGTAATTATGTTGTTTCGAAATGAACGAACAATTTAGTGATCAATTTGATACATTTTGAAGTCGCTCCTCATTTTCTTACATGAAGCACAATTTAGTGTCCAGTTTAGAGTTTTCAGATTGGCTCAAGCCTATGATCAGAACGGAAGAACTAGCTAGAAGCCCCAAAATAAATAAACTCCATTTCCCATCCTTGTGTTTGATGTCATATTAAAGAACTACCCACCTGCCAGCATATATATAATGTAAAATGAATTGATTAGGGAACTACCGGACCACTTGAACTTATAGTATCGACATTATATTTTCCAACTCCTTTGAGCTACCACCCATTAATTTCCTAGTAATTGCCACAATGAATGTCCTCAAACCCTAGTTAATGTTTTCACCCGAAAAATACATGTCCTGCAGGTGGCAAATTACTTCATGGCTACACACCAATCTAACATATACGTTCCTTTCTTAATTTTCCTTCCATTTTTGTACTTCTCATCCACATATATAAGGATTAACGATAATCATCTTAATCGTTCAATCTTGGACATAATGCATGATGATAAATGAGCAAGTAATTTCGACTTGTTGTCTCGCTATTGAGTTTTGAGCGTTTCCTCTAGTTAGGTGATCGCTGGTATATATAGGTGTGTGCTCGTATTAACTCGTTTTGAATATTTACGAGTTTAAATTTTGTTATTTTTTACAGAAATTTTCTCGTCCCGAACAAATTAACCATAAGCATTAAGTTAAATAGCGGTTAAAAAAAACAATTAACAATGAAATATTTAATCAATGAACATATATTACATGGTATATATAGAACACAATAATCAATCTATAGAAAGTTGTCTTTTCTAAGCTTCTTCTCAACCCATGAAGGAGATAGAACAGGACTAATCTCGTACTCCATCACCTTGCTACTATTACTATGACTCAACACCAAATCACCCACTGTAGTAGTAGTACTACTACTACAGCTGATACTCTCCACATTGCTGTTCCTCCTCTTCATCAACCCTTCTCCACTAATGTGACAATACTCCGTTAATCCCATCCCTAATTTCTCGCCACTATAATTATTAGTACGATGATGATCATCCTCCTCCATCAAAACCTTAACCCTCCACACCTTGAAACTCTGGTCCAACCCTGCACTATACACCAAGAACCCATTCCCAACTCTCTCGTTCTCCAAGCAAACCGCCAAGCACCTCACTGGCCCTCTATGACCATCCAACACGGCCAAACACTCGTGAAACCCGCTCCCTCCTCCTTCCCTCCTCCAAACCCTAATGCTCGTGTCCTCGGACCCACTGAACACGAGCCTCTCCGACGCAGAAGCCAGGCAGAGCACCGCGAACCGGTGTCCCTGGAGGAACCCGGAGTGGTTGAACCTCCCGGAGAACCTCTCCTTCTCCCAGAAGTTGATGGTCCCGTCGGAGGAGCCCGAGTACAGGAAGCACCCGGATACGGAGCTGGTCAACGCCAGGGCGTTGACCGGGGAGTGCTGGAACCTGAGGGTCATGGTCAGAGTGTGGGAGTCCTGCAGGTAGACCCTGCGCCACACCTTGACCGACCCGTCGGACGAGGAGCTGAAGACGCACCCGTCGTCCTGGTTGACCAGAACGGACGTGACGTCCTCGTCGTGGGCCTGGAACGAGTCCACGCACATTCTGTCGTGGACTCGCCAGACCTTCACGGTCCGGTCGTGCGAGCCCGTGTACAGCAGCCCTTCCGCGTGGTAGTACGCCATACACGAGACGTTGTCCCTGTGCTGCTGGTGACGTGGCGCGACGTTGCTGTTGTACCTGAATCGACTAACAAAAAAAAATTATTTTATTTTTGTCTTATGCAACCAGATTTCAAATGAAAGAGTTTTTTTGTCACGAGGTGACCAGCAACTTATTGATGAAAATATGCTTATTACTTGGTGGAAGAATTGTAGATGGTGAAGCGGCGGAAGGGGAACATGATTGGGGACGAGTTGGTGCGGGGGAGAGTGGCGACCTTCTTGATCTTGAAGCCGTCGGAGGAGAGGGTGAAGTTCCAAATCCTGATCTTGTGGTCTTTGTGGGCGGAGAAGAGCGCGTTGCCGTAGGCCAAGACGGCGCGTACGTGGCCGCAGCTGGACTTGACGTAGCCACGCTCGGTGCAGTCGGGGTGGCGCCACGCGCGGATGCGGCTGCTCTCGGAGCCGGTGAACACCACGCCCTTGGCGACGGCGATGGAGTAGATGTTGCCCTCGTGGCGGTGGAGGGAGGCGATGCAGTGGTGGAGGAGGGAAGGGGAGGGGCTGGTGCGGAGAGGGGAGAGCGACCACGGGGAACCCGGGCTCGGCGGCGCCGCCACGGGGACGTGGATGATTGGGTTGGGAGGGGAAGGTGTGGCCACGGAGGGGGAGGAGTGGTGGGTAGTTGTGGTGGTAGTGGTGGTGGCGGCGTCGGTGGAGAGGCGGCGGGGGGAGGTGAAGTGGACCTCGTCGGCGGCGGTGGTTAGTGGGGATGACATTTTGGTGGCGGGGGAGGAGTGGGAAGCTAAGCTAAATCGTGTTCTCTTTGTTGTTGCCATGGAAATTCCCATTCCATTCGATATAAAGGTGGTATTGTTTTTTGGTTATGGAGATGTGACGTGATTGGTGAGAGCCCACTTGATATAGAGGAAAGTGTTGCCTTTTTCCTTTTCTTCCTTTCATTTTCATATAGTTGTTGCAAGGTCATTAGCATAGCAAATGAAACCCTAATCGGGTTATGATACGGTTAACGTTTGAAGCTGATTGAATCAAGATCAGGTATGCATATGAATTATAGTACGCTCCTATCTTTTAACGAATAGAGTCATTGGACATACTAGTATTACTAGCAGGGGCAGAGCCACGTTGTTGCCAGGAAAGGCTATAGCCTCCCCTCAACTCTCAAAAATTTGTAAATTTACATGTAAATTTCACAGCAAATTTGAATAATAGAGTAGGTGGTTAAACTTTAGCCCCCCTCGTTGGTTCAAACCTTTGAACGTAAATATTTTTTAGCCCCCTATTATTCAGATTCCTGACTCTATCACTGATTACTAGACATATAATAGAAGGTATTTATGTTCAAATGACGGTGATTATCGAAATTACTTGGATGGTGGCCTCAATAATGGCATCCACTTCCTACAAATAGCGAAACACATGTATCTGTACAGTACCCTGTTTTGTTCTTAAACCAAAAAAGTAGGAATCCACATTCAATATGCAATGAAGGATGAAGAGAATTGGAGAGAGCAGTTTGGGAATTTGAGACCCACTAGTTCAACACAAAAAGTACGTTGATGGTGGTGCCTCATGTGACACGAGCGAGCTAAAGAACTTATTGGACAAAGAGTAGTAAACATTCCCTAAAATCAGTACTTCCTTAGGACGATTTCTTGCAACAACAGCAGTTAGAGGACCAATTTAGGGAATGAATCGTTGTTTTCACTTTCAAGAAAAGAAGCCAATATTCCGGGGGCGGCCGGTCGATTGGTTTTTTAAAAGATTTAATATCGTCTAATTTTATTTTTTTCAAAGAGATAGTCTCAATTTTTCGATAAACAGTTTAGAAGATTACTCGCTCTAAAATCATCAAACACAATTTACATGTTTTTTTTTTACTACAAAAAATTATATTTGACGTAAATTTGTGGATTTTTAGAATCATTTTAGTTTTGTCCCTAATAGAGGAATAGAGAACAATTGTTTATGTAATTGATAAAAAAAATTCTTTGTTTTGGAGATGGCAATAATCATCTCGAAAACTAACTGGTTGATTCAGGCGTCTAGATAAAATTTTACAAGAAGACTACGAGAATAGAGCCCCGGTTCGCTAGTACTTCTCATACTAGCAAAATTTAAGGTTAGCATTCTAGTCTTAAGTGCTAAAAGAATATGATTAGCTAGCTAATGAGGTATATTTATGTATCATTGAAGTGGGGAGTGGTTTCTTTTGTTGTGATAAATTTCCCCACCAAATAAGTACGACGAGAAGTGACTTGGTTGGTTGCTACATAATAATAACTTCTTCATCATTGTGACAATCACACCATATCTCAGTTTTGGCCTTTGGGTGCATTATCTCCTTTGTGGGGAGGTGGGTGGGTGGGTTGTGAGAGCTTTACATTACAACCTTTCTGCTGGTCCTCTCTACCTATTGCTGATTTTGGGTCCATATGGTTTCCTAGTGCTGTAACTAGGTTGAATCATTAGCTTATCATTTTGTTTTCTCTTTACATGCTCTACTCAATGGGCATGGAAGATGGGGAATCCGAATTCGAGATATTCACGTTGAAAGTCAATAATGATATTGGTAGATCAAACTCTCATTCCTGTTGACTTATAATTTTAGTTATTTTCTTCCACTAACTTTAAAGAATTTCTAGGTTATTATTTTGGATTTATAACGTGAAATCAATGTACGATAAGGGAGAAGTTTTAATTTATAGCGTCATTAGTTGAACAAGTTGTCGAACGTTGTCTCGTAATTCATCATCATTGAATCGTGTATGTCTCAATTCACCATTATTAGATACATGAGATGACAATATTGTACTGCTACACGCGTCTAACTATTGTGAAACATAAAACGCGCAATTCAAGATCGTTAGCTCATTAGGAAGTCCCAACTAATGCCGGGCCATTATTGTTCCATGAATCAAAACTTGAACAAAAACCAGACAATTAGGAATGGTCTTAAATCTTAATTGGTCCATTCTGCATTGATATGTTTGTCTCTGTCTCAAGTCACAAATGTATTAAAGAGACGTGAATGGTTAGCTCTGCAAATTAAGACACAAATAAATGTACATGTTTAGTTTTTTGCAAGGTATTAGGTTGGGAAATGATGGTCAGTGGGTCTGGGCAATTAAGCCCTTCGATTCTCTATTAATCGGTCAGTTAAAGGACTCGTACGGTCTGATTTGAAGTTTGAACCATAAATGGCATGAATCTAATAAGAGTGGCCAAGAATGAAGCTCATGAAGAGATACAAATCTAGGTAGTCGACTAAGGGATGTTGCCTATGTTGCCCGGCTTTTAAAAGTGTTTTTCGGCTTCAAAAGTTGAAGCAGTGTCAAACACCTTTAAAAGCTCGGCTTTTGAAAAGCCGTAAAACGCTTTTGTATAACATAAAAGCAGAAGCTCCGATTTGGAAATAAAATAAAGCTGTTTTGAAAATACAAGATTATCCTTACCATATTTTAATTTTATTTCAGAAATATTATTTTCATTCATTTATATCATTTTAAAAATAAAATAAATTATAAAATCATATTATTTAATATAAAAGAAATCTAACAAGATCCATTTTGACTACTTTTTATTGTTTAGAATTTTTATTTTTATTTTATATTATAAGTCCTTTATAGTCATTTTACACAACCGCTCATATTAAAAAGCACTTCTAATAGTTTTACAGCCAAACACTAAACTGTTTTTTTGACTTGGCAGTGACGTGGCGCGTTGACTAACGTCCAAGTTAACGGTCAAACATCGGGTTTGGCCAAATTGTTTATTTTGGTGTATAGTTCGGGCCAGGATGTTATCGATCGGAAAAATTGGCCAGAATATTTATTTTGGTCAAAGTTCAGGCCATACGAAAATATTAACCCTACATTTTAACTAGACTTAACTTTGTTATAGCTAAAGAAGTGGGGCTCAGATTATATCTCGGTCACCCACTAATTTTTTTTAATCCCCTGTTTGTTCGGCTTTCACTTATAATAATAGCAAAAATTATACTAGTAAATAAGAAAACTTTATTCAAGGGTCATACATACCATTAGCCCGCTGCTAATTATAGTTTGTAAGTTTAAAGAAGTGGTGTTGCGGCTTTTAACTTTATGAGTAACCCTATGTTGAATGGAATGTTTTTAGGTGGAAAAAAGGAAATGGGGATCAAGATTTAAGATTGGTCGAATCACAAGTGTAATATTCGAATGTGATATGTTTTTTTCTTTTTAAGAGACATGAGATCAAAATTAAATCGAATTATATTTGATCTAATTTGGTTTGATTCAAATGTCAGTTGTGTTCGGTGCAAACCAAATCGTTACCCACTATTAAGATAAGGTGAGGTGATGAGTAATTAATCATAGTTCATTCAATTATCATGAAAGATACCACAAATGTTATGATACACATTGAATTTTAAATCTTGAATCTTCCTGAGCTAGTTGTGTAGATCACATAAGTGGGAGTGACATAGGCATGAAGGCTCCATGAAAACCATATGGAACTCTGCAAGGCAATGCAATCTTGGCAACTGGCTCGCTGCTCAACTTCTTTGCGTCGATTATGTAAACCTGCAGGCAGATCAGTCACACATTAGGGAGGAAAACTGAGCGTTAATTGCAGAGTTAGTTAGCAATAGAATGCTAATCACAGCAATTAATTAAGAAATATCCATTGATTTGATTCATCATCTCTCTACCATGGAAGTGTCAGTGTCTTCGTTGTGAACAAAAGTGATGACCCAACCATCATCTTCTTCTTCACTACAACTACTTGAGCTCCCTGCTGTGGCCATTTTAGGAACAAAAGCAGCTCCAGTGCAGAACGTGTTCTTCTCGAATTCATGGTACTCCACCTTGATCATCGCCTCTTCGCACTGGTCCTCGTCGCTCTGTAAACTCCCCAACACCACCAAAACTCAGCACGCTCAAATTTTGCCTTGTACGAGACAGAGGCGAAACAAAACAAACATCCACCGCCACCATGAGTTCAAAGGATAATTTTTGGACTAGTTACCAGATCGCAATTTGTTGCAGCAGGTTCTTCAAAGTAGAGTTTGGCCAGACCTCCATATTTTGTCATCCCTAAAGAGAATCATCAAAAGCCACACCAGAAAACGATCAATCTTATGATCTTTGACAGACCCACCAATATCAAAAGGAATGTAAGGGAAACGGGAAAATTTTCACCTGCAGCAGAGCTTGCTTCAGAATCGATGGTTTGTGTGTATCCAAACCGGTTATGGAGACCTGTGAAGTCAGGATGGATCATAGGAAAATCCATGGAGGCTTCTGTTTTCCCAGTTAGGTTTCTTTCCTTCACTTCCCCTGTTTCTAGGTTCAGTCTCCACTCGTAGCAGCGGGTAAACAACGATCCGTCTTCAGAAGAAGAAGAAGAAGAAGAAGAAGTACCATTCCCCTCGTTGTCAGCTGCAAGCCTAAACCTTCTTGAAAACCACTCCAACTTGTTTTCGCCCAACTCAGGTCCTGGAATGATTGAATCAAGAGCCCTGCATCCCCTCACCACCACCTGCATTCAAACAACTGTTAAGTTTCATTAAAACTTATCTATGAAACATAGATTTGACAAGTGAGACTGAATTCTCTTACATCAGTAACCTTTTTATGTAATTGAGATATTACACTTGACATTTTTACCTCGTTTCCGTCCTCGAAACAATTCACGATGTGAAATGTACAATTGGGTGTCACGTCGAACCATCGAATCGACTCTGCATTTCCATATCGAGGCATCACCCCGATCCTTGCATAATCTTCTCTGGTGTACTTGATTAACCTGTTCATTGATTAACTTAGCTCCTCAAGGTGATCATATATTGAAATTCACATCTCGAGGAAGTAAAATTCAACAACTTCCATGCACTTACGGTCCTCCCCTGATCAGCCTGTTAACGTCTATGGTGAGTGGGAAGTCCATGAACACATTGTACCTGCAAAATCATTGCACCACTAGTTTCTGAATCAAAATGTCCCAGCATCATTCAACCAGCTCATCAATGGAAATGGCAAGGAGTTACAGCATTACCTCTCAGTGATCCCAACATCGTGACAGAGGGTGCATCTGCTGAGATTTAGATCCACTCTATGGAGTAATCTCTTCCCGTCAGCTGAAAAAATTCAGATGTTAAGTATTTCCATAACCAGCACGACTAGCTAATTGCCTGACTGGTTGTTGAATACAACTACAGTTTCATACCAGAAATGACTCCCAGCTCGACGAACGGTTTCGAACCCTGCACTCCAAATACAACCAGCTCGCCAGAGCCAGGAACTCTCTGCAGATTAAAACATAAGAAATGAAGGTACAAGCAAGCAACTACCCATTTTTCCATCTTCCAAGCAAGAAAACCACATGTATAAACTACCTTAGGGTGGGAGGCGAAAGTTCGATTCCAAGCTCCATCGACGTCCCAATCTCCAATGGTATCGAGCGTGACGATGTCGAATTCTTGAGCAGCATGACTCTCAGCTACTGCGTAGAACTTCCCACCATGCTCCACAACGTTCGTGTTGCTGTATAACTTGTTCACCATCCCGAATCTCATCTATCCACCCATATTATCATCAACCCAATTCAGAATTTGAATCAACAAGACTCTCTAAATTAGCATCATAAGTTTATAATTAAGTGCGCCCACCAAATTGAACAAGAAGGCTGCTAAGATGGCAGGGGAATGGCCTTCAGCGGCAGGAAGAAAGCAAGGTTTGGCCCTGTCTTTCTCCATCTTGTAGGTCTCAGTCTCCACGTGCCGGTTTTTGTAGGAGACGCTCCATTCCCCGTCGCTACTGTCCTTCTGGAAATAGAGGACATGGAGCATCCCTTCTCCTTCTACCCATATGTGGCTTGACCTTCCCAACACGGATCTCGTTGATTTCAATCCTCCAAACAGAGGATTAGGTCCTGCAAATCCTAGTTCTCCCCGATTTAATCACGATTCTAGGATCGATCGTCCCTACTACGGTAGTAACTAATTACATGTACCATACAAAACATGTTTTCATCACTATGTAGAATTTTCGTATTATGTCACCATGTTCGTGTTTTTGCGTATATACTTAAGCGAGAAAGTAGAGTAATTCACATCAATCACGTACACGCTAGCAAACAGGCTAACTAAAGTTAAATTCGCATTGTATAATTATGTCGATATTATCTAGAAATCAAAGAACTGAACTTGAAAAACGATAATTACAATGGAAGTATATATGTTTAGCAATTATATTATTTCAATACTTTAGTTACCATTTCTGATATAAACTCCCTCTGTGAAATCTTCCGGAATTGTACCCTCTACGGCCGTCACACGAACGGCTACCTTCAGTTCATCCACCGGAGCAAAGTTGCTCTGCAATTGCAGAATGAAATCAGTTTTGATTTTGAAGCTCCGATCCTTTAGTGACGAATTATTTTGGGACGAGCTAGTCTTTTTCGTCGCGAAAAACTGTTTTGCGACGAGTGAATGGTTGCAAATATCTCTGGGACGGACGGCATCCACGGTCGCAAACTTCGTTTGGCAACTAAAATTTGAGACCTTAGGCGACGTTAAACCCGTCGCAAAATGTGCAGTTGGTTATTAGCATCGAATTCGAAAAACCAACTGCTTTACCATTTGCATCATGAATTCATGATAAAAACAAGCACAAGCTAATGAGATTATGAGAGCATGCATATATGTACGACCTGAGATGGGAGCAAGGTTTGATCAAGAAACTGGAAGACAAAATCAACAAAAGCATCCAACAGCTTCCCAGGAACCTTCTTGATCATGTACTTGACTGGATCATCATCAATTTTCAGGGGGATGATGTTCAGCTGCTGCAAGTCTCTCAACAGCGGCTGCTTGATTTGTAGATCGATCATACATTAAAACCTCAATGATTTTGAAGAAAAAAACTAATACCACTAAAAATACCAATCTTTAGCGCCTTTGTCATTTATATTATATAACTTTCGATATGACATTTCAATTATGTTGTTAGTACTCTGTCAATTTTTTCGTTATTGTTTGACCAAGAATTAGGTCAATTATGAGGTGGACGCTGACATGGAAAATATTTTATTAAGAAATAATAAAAAGAGAAAAAATAAAATCCACCCCAACCCCACTTCTATAACAGTAATGTAGGTAAACTAAAAATATATTAAGCGAATAGAAAGATAGTTATTTTTAACACATTAATTAAACAAATGTTTTACATAGGTCTTACTAATGATTAAGACACTATGAGAATTTTATGAATATATAATTATTTATTATATATCAATTAAAAAAATATTGTACGTAAGTAGGGATCACAATTACCCACTCATGGTAATTTAACCCAAACTCAAGTATTCCTATTTAGAATGGGTAGAGTATGAGTGAAATATATATGGGTTTGGGTAGAATTTGGATATTGTTTCTATAATCTAAGTGGGTATGAGTTGGATATGAATACCCATTTAGGTATCAAAATGTAATATCCAAAAAAATTATGTACTACAATGTAAGTTTTCATCAATATTTTGAGAGCTTATATGGAAAAAATTAATTTAATATACTTAATATAAATATCTATTAAGTTAAGATACGTTTAATATGGGTATGGGTACAAACCTAAATACATTGATTAAAAACCCAACCCAAATAAATGGGTATGAGTACAAACTTATCAAACTCTACCAATTTACCTAGGGGTGAACAAAACAACCTCTAAACCTACCCACCCCTAATTTTCATCAAAATTAAAGTTTAAAATTGGGTGAGGATTTTCTTTTGTACAACTCGCCTCTATTGGGTTGGGTGCTGATACTGGGGTAACGCAACCCGTGTTGAACTATTGTCATAAGTGTTCGTATCCAAAATATATTTTTTTGTAAATAAACATATTTGTGAGAAAATTAAGATATCTTGTCATCTTTTTCTCTTGTGGTTTTCCTAGTCTAATACATTCTCCAACTTAAAATTTAGACGTAGATTTAATATTAGCTATGATTCATGTAATCTTTTTCTCATGCACAATTCTAGAAGAAAACTATATTATGGATGTGTTAGCTTATAACCACTTTAGCTTATTTCTACAAATTTTTATGAAAAAAACTAGACATACGTTGAAGTAAATTGCATTTCATTAAAATCCAAACAACATTTATGAATATTGTTACTTTTTGCCATGATTTATTTGTTTAAAGTTTTAATTTAGTTATATTATATTTTTGTAGAGTTGCATTTTTTTGTGTGGGATTGGATTTTTAATTAAGAGTATCTCCAAGCCGACCCAATTATAAATAAATCGTATGGTTCTAATTTTTTTGGGTGGGTTTGAATTTAATATTTTCAAAACCGTAATATAATATGGGTAAGGTAATTAAAATGACCAAATCAAACCACCCGACCCATGTACACCCCAACATTTACCATTTATTTGGATTACATACCCAACCCAATTTGATTGGATAGCAAAATACCCATAGGTGTGGACAAAATTATCATCCCTATATATAAATCTTCCGTAATGATTCAGACACTGCGTAAAGCTTATGAATTGATATTATTTTTCTTATGTATCAATATTTAATTGATATATAATTCTTTCTTAATGATTCAAACATAAAGTTTATGGTGGGTTTTTATATTGCATAAATTAGTGTAATCTCAAATATAATTAGTTTATCAACGTTGCGGAGCACTAGTTAAAAAAAACTAGTTAGTGTAATGATTGAAGTTACGTTATACAAATGACAATTTCATTAGAAAATTGGTATTTTTAGTGGTATTAGCAAATATAGGTAATTCACATAGACAGAGAGATGTATACCTTGAAAGTGGAAGAAATAACGGTGGTGAGATGATGATGATGATGGTGAAAGCTACTGTGGTGCGGCGGAAGGGACGGCGGCGGCCGGTTTTGTATTCTACAGTTTAACAGATTGAGCGCCATTGATGTGGTTTATTTGGAGAAGGGAGATACAGCCGTGTAGTTGGTTTCTTGGTTAGAAATATATGCTTTTTAATGTAGTACTGCCTTCGGTTCCCGGATTTGATACAATTTCCTGTCGTTATATTTTTTATCAGAGCTTTCCTTGGACGACCAATGAGGTAATGATATTAAAGTAATCGGAATATTTTATGGGGTGCTGCCGGCCGGCGAGATATTTCGTTCACCTTTTTTTTATTAAAGGAAATTCCGTTCACCTCGTTTGTCTTTTTCCCTTCGGAATCTACATTTTCTATAAAATGGTATCTCGTGTGGGTTTTTTATAAGAGTGATATAAGTTTATTTTAGGATCAAAAATTAGATCAATGGTGCATTTAATTCGGTTTGATTTAGTCCAAATGTCAATTCGATACATTTTTTTATATTTAAAAATTTCATGGATTAAAGACTGAATCACATTATATATATTTGGTTAAATATAATTCAGTCCAAACATAAACAAAAACCCGACAATTAAGAATGGTCATATCTGGTGCATTCTGCATTGATATGTTTGTCTCGGTCTAAAGTCACAATTGTATAAAGAGACGTGAATGGTTAGCACTGCAAATTAAGACACAAATAAATGTGTACTAGATAAGCCCACTTGCTTGCGCTTCGGGGCGAGTGGATAAATGTGCGTAAAATACTTAACAAAATGTAACTCATAGGATATTACTACAAAACCAACCAGAAAAATCACAAAAATATTGTGGGAGAATTTGCACTCGTTGGCCAACGCTGTTATAGATCAGACGAGAACGATCTACCTACACTATTGTATAACAACTTGTTCAAAGTGGAGTTTCACAACGATTAGTTAGAAACTTACGAAATTTATATATCTTATATGAAAAAGATAAAAGAGATGATTGATTATACATCTTTCTCAAACCAAGAAACATTTAGATGAACTTAGAATTAACCTAGGAATCTCATTTGATATGGAAAAGAAAAAAAAAAGAATAAAGAAATGATAAAAAATCAATCAAAGCAGAGAAAAAAGACGCAAAAAACGTAACATATCTTTACTTAAGTTTCGATGCAACTTTAGTCCTCTTTAATTAGTTGGTAGATTTCCCCATTGTCCTTCCATTCAAACATGAGCGAAAGAGATGAGTAACGATGCAAAATCAAATACAAACAAAGAAATTATATACATAAATATCAGCTCTATTCGTTGCAAATCGAACCATTACACACTACTGTGATGAGGTGATGGGTGATTAATCATAGCCATTCCTTTCTCATCAAAGATAACAAAAATAATATTGATATTATTAATTAATCACACTGAATTTTAAATCTTGAATCTCCCCTAGCTAGTTGTGTAGATCACATAAGTGGGAGTGACATAGGCATGAAGGCTCCATGAAAACCATATGGAACTCTGCAAGGCAATGCAATCTTGGCAACTGGCTCGCTGCTCAACTTCTTTGCGTCGATTATGTACACCTGATCAGTCACACATTAGGGAGGAAAACTGAGCGTTAATTGCAGAGTTAGTTAGCAATAGAATGCTAATCACAGCAATTAATTAAGAAATATCCATTGATTTGATTAATTATCTCTCTACCATGGAAGTGTCAGTGTCTTCATTGTGAACAAAAGTGATGACCCAACCATCATCTTCTTCACCACAACTACTTGAGCTCCCTGCTGTGGCCATTTTAGGAACAAAAGCAGCTCCAGTGCAGAACGTGTTCTTCTCGAATTCATGATACTCCACCTTGATCATCGCTTCTTTGCCCTGGTCGTCGTCCCTCTGCAAAACCTCCGACCCACCAAAACTCAGCACGCTCAAATGTTGCGCTGTACGAGACAGACGCGAAAGTAGAAAAAACATCCACCGATTTTTGGACTAGTTACCAGATCGCAATTTGTTGCAGCAGGTTCTTCAAAGTACAGTTTGGCCAGACCTCCATATTTTGTCATCCCTATAGAGAATCATCAAAAGCCACTCCAGAAAACGATCAACCTTACGATCTTTGACAAACTCACCATATCAAAAGGAATGTAAGAGAAACGGAAAAAATTTCACCTGAAGATGAGCTTGCTTCAGAATCGATGGTTTGTGTATACCCAAATCGGTTAGGGAGACCGGTGAAGTCAGGGTGGATCATAGGGAAGTCCATGGAGGCCTCTGTTTTTCCAGTTAGGTTTCTTTCCTTCACTTCCCCTGTTTCCAGGTTCAGTCTCCACTCGTAGCAGCGGGTAAACAACGATCCGTCTTCAGAAGAAGAAGAAGAACAAGTACCACTTCCCTCATTATCAGCTTCACGCCTAAACCTTCTTGAAAACCAATCGAACTTGTTTTCTCCCAATTCTGGTCCTGGAATGATTGAATCAAGAGCCCTGCATCCCCTCACCACCACCTGCAATCAAACAAACTGTAAAAGATGAGTTTCATTAAACTGACGGTTCAAAATATAACAGCAAAATCTGATGGTCCGATAAGATATCACAAAGTGACTATTTATACATGTGAGTCATCATTTCAATCTCAAATAACAAGTTTGTTCAAAGGATTAGTAACCCTTTTATGAAATTGATCTATGACCCTTGATGTTTTACCTCGTTTCCATCCTCGAAACAATTCACAATATGAAATGTACAATTGGGTGTCACGTCGAACCATCGAATCGAGTCTGTATTGCCGTATCGAGGCATCACCCCGATCCTTGCGTAATCTTCTTTGGTGTACTTGATTAACCTGTCCATTGATTAACTTAGCTCCTCAAGGTGATCATATATTGAAATTCACTCTCGAGGAAGTAAAATTCAACAACTTCCATGCACTTACGGCCCTCCCCTGATCAGCCTGTTAACGTCTATGGTGAGTGGAAAGTCCATGAACACATTGTACCTGCAAAATCATTGCACCACTAGTTTCTGAATCAAAATGTCCCAGCATCATTCAACCAGCTCATCAATGGAAATGGCAAGGAGTTACAGCATTACCTCTCAGTGATACCAACATCGTGACAGAGGGTGCATCTGCTGAGATTGAGATCCACTTTATGGAGTAATCTCTCCCCGTCAGCTGAAAAAATTCAACTACAGTCTCATACCAGAAATGACTCCCACTAGCTAATTTCCAAATTTGTGTTTGAATACAACTACAGTTTCATACCAGAAATGACACCCAGTTCTACAAACGGTTTTGAAGCCTGCACTCCGAATATGACCAGCTCGCCAGTCCCGGGAACTCTCTGCGCATTAAGACGTGTTAATAGATGATATATGATTCACAATTGAACCTCTCCAAACAACTCTGAGTTATTAGGACCAACTGCTTCTTCTTGACATAATATCAGAGCCTTCTGTGACAGAGCAAGAAAACGATTTGCATAATCTACCTTAGGGTGGGCGGTGAAAGGTCGATTCCAGGTTCCATTGACGTCCCAATCGCCAATGGTATCGAGCGTGACAATGTCGAATTCTTGTGCAGCATGATTCTCAGCTACAGCGTAGAACTTGCCACCGTGCTCCACGACGTTTGTGTTGCTGATGTACTTGTTCACCTTCCCAAATCTCATCTATCCACCCCATATATTACATCAACCCAATTCAGAATTTGTAGCAACAGACCCTCTCAATTAGCATTAATCCTTGTTGTAATGAGTTTATAATAATTACCAAATTGAACAAGTAGGCTGCTAAGATGGCAGAGGAATGGCCTTCAATGGCAGGAAGAAAGGAAGGCTTGGCCCTGTCTTTCTCCATCTTGTAGGTCTCAGTCTCCACGTGCCGGTTGTTGTAGAAGACACTCCATTCGCCATCACTACTGCGCTTCTGGAAGTAGAGGACGTGGAGCATCCCTTCTCCTTCTACCCATATGTGGCTTGTCCTTCCCAACATTGATCTCGTTGATTTCAATCCTCCAAACATAGGATTAGGTCCTGCAAATACCAGTTCCTCCGATTTTAATCACGACTCGAGAATCGATCATCCCTTCAACAGTTACAACTTACGAGTACCGCCCAAAGCGTGTTGTCGTCACCACAAGTCACATGTCAAACCAGGCCAGCTGATAAGTCCGCATATATTACAAACCCGGCAGGCTAACTAAAGCTAAATCCACATTGTATAACAATGTCGATATTATCTAGAAATCATATAAGTGAGTTTGAAAACGATATTGATAATAAAGTATGGGTAGCAATACTTAAATTAATTACCATTTCTTATATAAACTCCCTCTGAGAAATCATCCGGAATCGTACCCTCTACGGCCGTCACTCGAACGGCTTCCTTCAGTTCATCCACCGGCGCAAAGTTACTCTGTAATAATTGCAGAATGAAATCAGTTTTTATGCTTTACACCTTTAGTGACGGAAAATATTGGAACGCGCTGGTTTCTCTTTCGTGCAGAAACCCCATTTCGCGACTGGTCACGAATTATCTTTGGGACGCAATTCACGGTCGCAAAGTTTGTTTAGCAACTAGTATTTGTGACCATCAGCCACTTTCAACCCCGTTGCAAAATGTGCAGTCTTTGATTAGAATTCGAATTCGAAGCTACCGAGTCGAAAAATCAACTGCTTTACCATTTGGATCATGATAAAAGCAAACACAAGCTAATTATGAGAGTATGCGTATATTTATGACCTGAGATGGGAGCAAGGGTTGATCAAGAAATTGGAAGACAGAATCAACAAAAGCATCCAACAGCTTTCCAGGAGCCTTCTTGATCTGATCATGATCAATTTTCTGGGGGATGATGTTCAGTTGCTGCAAGTCTCTCAACACTGGCTGCTTAATTCATAGATCGATCATACGTTAAAACCCCAATAATTTTGAAAGAAAAAAAAACATGGGCAATTTACGAATTGACATTAGATTTATGAGGATGAACAGTGGCAGATATATATATATACCTTGAAAGTGGAAGAAAGAACGGTGGCGAGATGATGAGGATGGTGATGAAAGCTACCGTGGTGCGGCGGAAGGGGCGGCGGGGGGCGGCTTTGGATTCTACAGTTCAACAAATTGAGCGCCATTGATGTAGTTTATTGTGAGAATTGAGAGATAACTGGTTTCTTGGTTAGCAATATATGCTTTGTAATGTACTACTGCTTTCGGTTTCCGGATTTGATACCATTTCCTGTCGTTATATGCTTGATCGGAGCTTTCCATGGACGAGCAATTTCCATTTGTGTCTATGTTAATGAAAATCGGACTTGGCACTTAGTATAAAGTAATGTTTACGTCTTTTCAATTGCTAGCTAGATTTCGTTTCGGTTTATTGTATACGTTTTCTTTACATACTGTTAAAAAGGGGGGTTTGTGGGGAAGAAAAGTTCATCCTATTTTTCTATGATTTGATTATGTTTTTTTATATATGTTGAAAATAAATGATGATACCACTAACTCGAGTCATTGTTTCTGATTTTTTTACTATGTCAAAAACTAATTGGTTATACTAAACAATTCGAATCGTTGAGTAACGTTCGAAACCGAATTCAATTTCATATCATTCATTTACGAAATCATAAGGCTTCGGCCTAACCACTGAGCAGAATTGACAACTTCTAGTTTAACGGTGACCCTCTTTTTTTATATAAGTGTGATATATGTTTACTTCTGTTGTTTACGTACTACTTAAGGAATTCAAACTTAGGACCTTCCGAATTAAAATTAGTGGTATTACCACTAGACACATCCTTGTTCGTCTGTTTAATTGTAGCTCTCATGATTGATACATACTATGCACTATGCAGTATATAAACCACTAGCCTCGGTCCAAAACTTTTTTGATATGTTTTTTGTTGGTGTTTTTTTTTGGATAAGGGTGATATAGGTTTTATTTTGTTGTTATTAAGGTACTACTTAAGGGATTCGAATTTGAGACCTTCAAATTCTGAGCTAGTGGTATTATTTCCAAAACTTTTTTATCTGTTTTTTGTTGGTGTTAATCACTTCAATAACCATATGTTTACATATGGACAAATGCAAGGGAAGTGATAATGCCTATGTTTGGCCCGGCTTTTAGAAGTGATTTTCGGCTTCAAAAGCTGAAGCAGGGCCAAACACCTCTAAAAGCTCGGCTTTTGAAAAGCCGAAAAGCGCTTTTGTATAACATAAAAGCAGAAGCTCTGATTTGGAGATTCTGCGAAAAGCTGTTTTGAAAATACAAGATTATCCTTACCATATTTTAATTTTATTTCAGAAAATATAAATTTTCTTCATTTATATCATTTTAAAAATAAAATAAATTATAAAATCATATTATTTAAGATAAAAGAAATCTAAAAAGATCTATTTTTACTATTTTTTATTGTTTAGAATTTTTATTCATATTTTATATTATAAGTCCTTTATAGCAACCGCTCATATTAAAAGCACTTCTAATAGTTTTACAGCCAAACACTAAACTACTTTTTTTGAAAATTACTTATCTAAAAGCTCCAGCCAAAAATTACTTCCGTAAAAGCTACAGCAGAGTCAAACTAAGCTAATAGAATAATAATAACTAACTCAAAAAACATAAAATGCCAGGAATAAATTAAGCCGAACAAGGAGATTAATTAACCGTTGACAATGAGGTAATGATACTAATTAAAGCAATCTTAATATTTTATGGGTGCTGCCGGCCGAAGACATATTCCATTCACGTCTTTTGTCTCTTTTCCTTCGGAATCTACATTTTTCTTTGAAAGGGTACATTTTGTGGGATTTTATTACGTGCAATGGTTCACGAAACCTTCGTACAAGCGATTAAACCACAATATACCAGTATCGGAGGTTAAGTCGGTTAACGGTATTTATGGTTGAACCACGGTTTGCCATAAAGAAAACGATAGAAAAGATGCAAATAACAGCCAAACTTTTGCTAACCACAAATGTGCAACAGGCTGGGAACATGGTCAAGCTCATGAGAACAGGGGTTTAATAGTGAAAGTCATTTTATGAACAAAAATTAGATCAATAGTACTTTCAGTTCATTATGGTTCGGTCCGAAAGTCAACTGTTTTTTTTTCTATTTATAAAATTTATGGATAAAAATTAAAAACCAAATCTCATTGGATTCAATTGGGTACGATTGAATTTAAACGTAAGTTTGATCCGGAGAACATGGGCCTCTCGCCAATAGAACCGCTATTTGTTTTTATTCAAGAAGTTACAAAAGCCCATGAAAGGAGGAGAACGTGAGCACTCACTCAATTAGCAAGCCCATACTTAACATTCACTTGTTTATGGGCCGATTACGTTGGACCTGTTGTTGCCAATATCCATTTACCAACGAGCCCAAAGTTGTGGAAATCAACCAAGGTATATGAGTCAGACTGTGGATAATATCGTCTTTTGACAAAGACTTATGGACAGTGAGTCAGTGATGGTCGTCGGAAGTTTCTTGCCTTGGAAATACCTGTGGAAATTCCTTAGCTGCTTGGACTTTTCCACAATATGCCTACTGCGGGTTCGGACTTGTCTTCTCTTTTTGTTCTATTTACGCCCACTTGATCAACTAGCAATTTTTTTCTCAATGTCCAAGACTTCTAATAACTATTTCCAATATACAATACTTAATACCAAAATTATCAAAATATACAGGTTTGGCGCGGTTCGCTGGAGTATAATGCGAAACAATTTGGGTCGCGAACGACAAAAACGAACCAGTCTCGCACCAACACAAATCGCGGCTAACCAACCCCCTCCAAAATCGCTAGAACGTCTCATCGATCTACACCTATAATACAGGTCAAAACTTCAAACGGTAGGTGGATTTCATGGTGGCGGCGGCGGGGTTACATTTTTTCTTTCCCCCCCAATCAGTCATTCCATTGGCTGCTGCTGCTGCTGCTGCTTCCAATACGTTTCCTCTTTTGTTTGTTTGTATCCCACATGACGGAACAAGTTGCCTCTCTTACCACTAGGCTGCGCCGGCGGGTTCCAAAACCCATGGGTTGGGACTTGGGACTGTCTTTTGGTCATCAAATAACAAACTACTCAAAAAGCTGCACTATATAAAGAACAATGCAGTGTCTAGCTAGAGAGGCACCCACCCACCATTAACAACCACCAAAAATATATGGAGATCAACAAGACCAACAAAGTCGATCCGTCGGCCCTTTACGATGCAGCAATGAGAGGCGACACCGAAACCCTTCAGGTATTAATTAGAATATGGATAGTACGAAGAAGTAATATATTATAATTTACGAGATTGTTCATGTTATGTTATAGAAGTAAGTCATTGTATTCTATATATAAGTTTTATATAATTTCAGTAATATAACACGATAATTTTCACCGAATTCTGATTTCCCAACACCAGGACATGCTTCAGAGGGACAACTTGATCCTCAAGAAACTCCCGCTCTCTTCCTTCACGGAAACCCCTCTCCACATCTCGGTCCTCGCCGGCCACCTCGACTTCACTAGAGCGCTTCTCCGCCACGACCCTGGAATGGCCATGGAGGTCGACGCGTCCAACTGCACCCCGCTTCACCTGGCTTCCGCTGCCGGCCACTGCGAGATCGTCGGGGCCTTGCTGAGCGCTGCCGGCGGTGTGGGCTCGGATGCCTGCCTGGTCCGCGACGGGGACGGCAGGATTCCTCTCCATTTGGCGGCGATGAGAGGCAGGAGCGATGTCATCAGAGAGCTGGTCGGTGCACGGCCGGAATCATTGCTGGTGAAGCTCGACGATGGAGAAACTGCTTTGCACTTGTGTGTGAAGAGCAACCATCTGGAGGCCCTGAAGGTGTTGGTTGAGATGATGGTCGGAAGCGGAGGGAAGAGGGACGTGATTGAATCGATCTTCAGGTCGGGAGATGAAGATGGGAACACCATTTTGCATTCAGCTGCCATGTTCAAGCAAGTTCAGGTACCGCTAGCTTCTTTCCAAATACTATGACCGTCTAGTTTCGAATCGAGCTGAGTTAGTGGGTCGGTTCAAATCAATCGAATTGATGCTTCACCCTTTTTATTATCTTGCATTTCAGTACCTAATCTCTTAAACTTTATAAGCATATGTAATGTATTGGTATGGGGAATTTCATGTTACTGATATAAGTCATTTGGTCAATAAGTGACACAACTCGACGATCCTTACATGATCAAAGATTATCCAACGCTAAACTGACCATGCAGATAAATTGACTCAGTTCGACCCTCAAAGTCTACTCAGACTTTGACCGGGTTGGTGGATATCTATAGGAATAATTTTATAGCCCTATAAGTACGTAACTACGTATTAACCGGTCATTTGGCTACTTGAATTCAGTCTAACAAGGAAAAGTCCATGTTTTCAGACAACAAGTTACCTGGTTTCACTACCTAGCATGGGAGCAGCAGTGAATTCATTGAATGGATTTGGCTCGACAGCCTTGGACTGCCTGGAGCTATGTCCCAAGGACTTCAAGAGCCTACGAATCCGAGACCTCCTCGTCGAAGCAGGCGGTAAACGAGCCAAGGAGATGACTAGCAGCACCGATCATCATCATCATCTTCCACCACCACCACCACCACAAATTCCTTCGTTGCCAATGTCCTCTTCACCATTAGCAACTAACAAGGGCAGACCAGCAACGAAGTCGATGGGCCAACGGTTCAAGAACTTCCTCGACTACGACCCCAAGTGGATCGACGACATGAAAGGATCGCTCCTGGTCGTGGCAGGCCTCATGGCGCAGATGAGCTTCCAGGCGGCAACCAACCCTCCAGGCGGCGTGTGGCAAGAGAACGTGGTGAGCCCCGACGGCGGCTTCGGCTGCCAAAACACGACCAGCGGCCTGTGCAGGGCCGGGACTTCGGTCCACGCTTACAGAGACCCGGAAGTGCTCTACGTTTTCATGGGGCTGAACACGATGGCGTTTGGCGCGTCTCTGTGCGTCATGCTTCTCATCATCGGCGGGTTCCCTCTGAGGAAAAGGTTCTTCATCTGGATGATGGCGCAAGCAATGTGCGCCGCCCTCGGCTGCATGACGGCTGCTTTCGCGGTTGGCGCGTTGTTGGTGACCCCGACGAAGGACGATGCGCGAGTTCGAGTCGCGGTGGTGGTGGCGTTTCTTCTGGGAGCCTGGTTGCTGTCGTCTCTGGTGATCAGTCTGCTCGACACGCTTCGGTTTTGTATCTGGATTTCGAAAAAGAAGAAGAAGAAGGTCGGAGCAAGAGCATCGACTTGTTGCTTAAGGGGTCAAGACCAGAGTTCTGTTGTCTAGAGCATACGTTATCTGGATTTGGGCGAGCAAGGGTTTGGTTTAGTGACTAAGAAAGATGTACGAGTTCGAGTCTTGATGGTGGTGTTGTTTCTTTCTTCTCAGAGTCTGGTTGATGTTGTTTCTGGTGATTAGTCTGCTTATTTGTCACATTATTTCGATTTTTAATCTAGATTTTGATTAAGTCGTGGAAGGTCTAAGCAAGAGCATGAACATGTTGTTTAAGGGATCGGGACCAGAGTTATGTCGCCTAAAAGCATACTTCATCTGCATTTGCGGACAAGAGTTTGGTTTAATTAGTGACTTGTGGTATTATCGTTGGTTTTGAACCTAGCCTAATTGAAATGTCGGTTCAGTTGAATAGTGGGAGCATAATCATTTCGGTATCGAGCGTGACGATGTCGAATTCTTGAGCAGCATGATCTACTTATAGAATTAATGGACAAAAAACCGAATCACATTATATTCGATTTCGTTATTGATAGTCGATTTGATCAGATTGCATACCCCTAAATGTAAACCCTCCTGGAACATGGGCGTCTTGCAAATTCAACGCCTCAACCCCTCTTTGTTTTTTATATATGTTACAAAAGCCCATGGAAGGAGGAGAACATGAAGCACTCACCCAACTAGGAAGCCCACCACTTGTTTACGGGCCGATTACGTTGGACCTGTTGTCTGCCAATATCCATTTACCAACGAGCCCAAAGTTCTGTCAATCAACTGAGGCATATGAGAGTGTGGCTGTGTGGATAATATCGCATTTGTTTGTACAAAGACTTAAGGAACTGTGATGGTCGTCGGCAGTTTCTTTGTCTTGGAAATACCTGTGGAAATTATATGTGACCTTAGCTGCTTAGACTTTTCCACTGTAGGCCTGCGGGTTCCGACTTGTCTTCTCTTTTTGTTCTATTCTCGTACCCACTTGACCTAGGGATTATTTTCTCAATATACAAGACTTTAAAAAAAAAAAAAATCAATATCCAACACTTGCACTAAAATTATCAAATTATAAAAATTTGGCACGGGTCGCTGGAGTACAGAGTGAACCAATGTGGATCGCGAATAAAAAATGAACCAGCCTCCCACCTACACAGATCACGGCTAACCAAAGCGATCCAGTGATCCATAACCTTTTGACATCTTCGAAGTTTGCAATCGTTGGACACTCCAACAATTTTAGGAGATAGATCACTGGAGTCCGCCACAACAAATTAGCATGTTCTCTCCCGTCTCCAGTGATCCATATTGATTCGGGACTGGTTTACCGCGATCCGGACCAGAACCACATAGCTGACGTGTCACCAGCGAACCACCATCAGAATCATCAGAGAGTATATGCAGCGAATCACACCAAACACTAATAGGAGATATATATTTTAGTGTTACAGTCAGTAAGTATTGTATTTTGGGCGAAAAAAATTCTCTTGAAGTCGTCGTCAACGTCAACATTACCTTACAGCTGTAGTATATAAGACGAAATATGCAGGACTGCATATATATAGGTTCCATTTTTCCACAACCGGTGGATCCCATGGCGGCGACGGCGGCGGGTTCCATTCCTTTCACAACCGGCGAATCCCATTGGCTGTTGGTTTCCAACTTGTTTGCCCCTTTTGTTTGTACCCCACGTGAAGATGAACTAGCTAGCTAGCTGCCACTATATAAAGACCATGCATTGTCTAGCTAGAGATGCCACCACCAGTCAGTCCACCCACCATTATATTACAGCAAATAAAGCAACAAAAATGGAGATGAACCCAATGACCAACAAAGCCGACGCAACGGCCCTCTACGACGCCGCCATGAGAGGCGACACCGAAACCCTCCAGGGTTTGCTCCGGAGCGATACCTTGCTCCTCAGGAAACTCCCGCTCTCTTCCTTCACCGAAACCCCTCTCCACACCTCGGTCCTCGCCGGCCACCTCGACTTCAGCAGGGCGCTTCTCCGCCACGAACCTCGAATGGCGATGGAAGTCGACGCGTCCAACTGCACCCCGCTTCACCTGGCTTCCGCTGCCGGCCACGTGGAACTCGTCAGGGCGTTGTTGGACACTGCAGGCGGCGGCTCGGATGCCTGCCTGGTTCGCGACGTGGACGGCAGGATTCCTCTCCACTTGGCGGCGATGAGAGGGAGAAACGATGTCGTCAGAGAGCTGGTCGGTGCGAGGCCGGAGTCTGTGCTTGTGAAGCTGTACGATGGAGAGACTGTTCTGCACTTGTGTGTGAAGTGCGGCCATCTGGAGGCACTGAAGGTATTGGTTGAGATGATGGTGAGTAGCGGCGGGAAGAGGGATGTGATTGAATCCATCTTCAGGTCGGGAGATGAAGGTGGGAACGCCATTTTGCATGCTGCGGCCATGTTCAAGCAAGTTCACGTACGTACTTTTTGTCCCTACAACTTTACAAACATGTTGACATGAGAAATTTCATATCACTAATTGTTGATATGCGTCATAACTAGGGACAAAAAGTAACCTAATCCTAAACTTTTAAAAAAGCAAAATATACTAAACTAACCATGTAGACAAACTGACCTAACCCGGCCAGTTAGGCCCAACCAAACCCGATCAGCGAATATTTAAGGCTAGACATGCAGACTTAGAGGGATATAATTAAGTAGGCATTAACCGATTCATTTGTACGTCTAGCTACTAATTCTCACAAGTCAAATTAATCCCATGCATGCCTTTTTTTTCTTCAGACCACAAGTTACCTGGTTTCACTACCTAGCATGGGAGCAGCAGTGAATTCATTGAATGGATTTGGCTCGACAGCCTTGGACTGCCTCGAGCTATGTCCCAAGGACTTCAACAGCCTACGAATCCGAGACCTCCTCGTCGAAGCAGGCGGTAAACGAGCCAAGGAGATGACAGCTGCTAGCACCGATCGTCTTCCACCACAAATAAACCTTGTGTATTAATGCAAGTATCCACATCATCAGCAGCAGCCAACAAGTCGTGCTGCAAACCAATGAAGTCGATGGGGCGACGGTTCAAGAAGTTCCTCGACTACGACACCAAGTGGATCGACGAAATGAAAGGATCGCTCCTCGTAGTGGCCGCCCTCATAGCGCAGATGAGCTTCCAGGCCGCAAACAACCCGCCAGGCGGGGTGTGGCAGCAGAACGTGTCCAACTCTACCGAGGGCTTCGGCTGCGAGGACACGAACAGCACCCTGTGCATGGCTGGGACTTCGGTCCACGCTTACAGAGACCAGGAAGTGCTCTACATCTTCATGGGGCTCAACACGACGGCGTTTGGCGCGTCTCTGTGCGTCATGCTTCTCATCATCGGCGGGTTCCCTCTGAGGAAGAGGTTCTTCATCTGGATGCTGGCGCAAGCTATTTGCTGGGCCATGGGCTGCATGACGGCTGCTTTTGCGTTTGGTGCGGTGTTGGTGACGCCGATTAAGGACGAGGCACGAGTTCGAGTCGCGGTGGTGGTGGCGTTTCTTCTGGGAGCCTGGTTGTTGTCGTTTCTGGTGATTAGTCTGCTCGACACGCTTCGTTTTTTCATCTGGCTTGGGAGAAAGTTGTGGAACTGGAAGGTCGGACGAAGAGCAGTGGCCTGTTGTTGTGTTTGTGCAAGGCCCGGTGATCATGTTGTCTAAAAGCAGGGGTCTGGATTTTCGAACCCAGACCGATTGAAGTGCAGACTCAGTTGGATGCAGGTCGATGCCTATTGTTCAGCGTGTTTTCTATATTTATTATGAAGAATATAATTCGGTGTTTGAATTTAAATGTGTTTATGTTTGCGTTGTCTTTTTTAATGTAATTTTTACTTTTTTGTCCTTGACGAATGTAAAGGTGATATCATTCGAAGGAGTGTCCGCTAGCTGTTGTTAAGAAAAGTGTATTTCAATGATACCAATAAGTTTTTGACGTTCGTTATATAAAATGCTCAAATTATTAGATTTTATTTGGCTTGATTGAATCTTAAAGATTAACCATTGAAGAAGAAAACAATGCTTCTAATGTTTTATTATTGTGATATATTCATCTCGAACCAATCCTTAATGGTATCACTTTAAAGCTCCATACTACATCAAAATCAAAATAATACATCAAGAGTCTATTACTCAAATCTGGCCAACAATTTTATAAGAAAAAGAATGCATGAATATATTGGTCAATATCCTCCATCATCAACACAGACAATGGCAGTGGTGGCCTTCGGAGGTTTGCTTGCAGAGTGCACCTTTACACTCCTGAATGCAAAACTCATAGCAGTTCCCACCAGGTGCGTCGTTTTGCCCAGGAATACACTCTCCCATGTTATATTACTCTCTGCAACATATCGAATCGATGGTCACGTTACTCAAACGATTCTCAAAAAATTGAGTACCTGAGACGTTGCTGAGAGCCAACATCGCCACCAGAAGCATTACAAGACACCCAACTCTCACTCCTCCACTGGCCATGCTATGATCAAGATTATTGCTTCTTAGTTTTTGTTTGTACTGATTCAAAGTTCTATTTGGCTTTGGAATGTTTTCCTCATTGAGACCAAACAAGGGTATTTATAGGGGTTTGATTGATAAAGAATTGGGAAGAAAGTAAACATGCGGAGAATGGGATATTTCATTCTGGTCATGTGATGGAAATTATTTAATTGTTGTGTTATATATGGAAAAATTTAGCCGGAATAATTTGGAAAATGTATCAGCTTAATTAGAAATTCTATTAAACTTCACAAAAAAATTCTATTAAACTGGTCAAAATAAAATTTAGGTAAATATATTAGAAGTGATAAGAATTTTTTTTGAAATGGAAATTCTGTTTTTAGCAGGATAATTATATTTGGGCTTGACCGTTGTCCGCATAAATTATTATATATTAAGACTTCATAAAATTATTATAAGTAGATTCGAGGGGAATTTTTTTAATTATAGGTAGTTAGGGTTAATAGCACTTTATATTTCCCTGTATTGCAAGTTAATAGGCATATTACTCGGCATAGTGAAAGACATTTTACGATAAAAAATTAGATCAACAGTGCTTTTCATTCTACTTTGGTTTTGTCCAAAAGTCAATTCAATTCATTTTTCTTCTCTATTTATAGAATTTATGGACCAAAAACCGAATCGCAGTCGATTCCGGTATTGATCGAGTTCAAATGTCGTTTTTATCCGGTTGCATACCCGTAATGTAACCCCTCCTGGAACATGGGCCTCTGTCCAATCAACCCCTATTAATCTTTCATTTAAAAGTTACAAAAGCCCATGGAAGGAGGAGAACATGAAGCACAGACCCAATTAGCAAGCCCATACTTGACATCCACTTGTTTAAGGGCCGAATACGTTGGACCTATTGTTTGCCAATATCCACTTACGTCGGTCATGTTCTGATTCGAATCTGACAACATTGGTTTTGAAGCTCCGACCCTTTGGTGACTGTATATCTTTGGGACAAGGCCAAGCTGATACCTTTCGTCGCAGAAACCAATGTGATGGTGGTCAGGAAGTATCTTTGGGACAGCTCCACGGTCAACAAAAGTAGCGTCCAACAGCTTCCCAGGAGCCTTCTTGATTTGAAAGAAAAAGGTAGATTCCGAAGGTATATATATATATATATGGCCAAGTTCAAAAACTTTTTCCAATATTTTAGTGTTATAGTAAGCATTATATTTTGGGGTGGGAAAAATCCCTTGAAGTCTTCGTCTTCGTCGTCGTCAACGTTGCCTTAAAGCTGTACTTACTATATCAGACGAAATATGCAGGACGTCATAGGTTACACTTTTCCACAGCCGGTGGATCCCATGGCGGCTCCACAACCGGCCGGTGAATCCCATTGGCTTTTGGAATCCAACTTGTTTCGCCCTTTTGTTTGTTTGTACCCCACGTGACTATATAAAATACCATGCACCTCATAGCTAGGTTACATTTTCCCGCAGCCGGTGGATCCCACGGCGGCGGGTTCCATTCCTCCACAACCGGCCGGTGAATCCCATTGGCTGTTGGCTTCCAACTTGCTTGCTTCCACGTGACGATGAACTAGGTGGCACTATATAAAAGACCATGCATGCATTGTCTTTGTCTAGCTAGAGAGCCACCACCACCCACCATTAGAAGTTAGAACAAGCAACAATATAATGGAGATCATCAACCCAACCAACAAAGTCGATGCAACGGCTCTCTACGACGCCGCAATGAGAGGCGACACCGAAACCCTCCAAGGCCTGCTCCAGAGCGATACCTTGCTCCTCAAGAAACTCCCGCTCTCTTCCTTCACCGAAACCCCTCTCCACACCTCGGTCCTCGCCGGCCACCTCGACTTCAGCAGAGCGCTTCTCCGCCACGAACCTCGAATGGCGATGGAAGTCGACGCGTCCAACTGCACCCCGCTTCACCTGGCTTCCGCTGCCGGCCACGTGGAACTTGTCAGGGCGTTGTTGGACACTGCAGGCGGCGGCTCGGATGCCTGCCTGGTTCGCGACGTGGACGGCAGGATTCCTCTCCACTTGGCGGCGATGAGAGGGAGAAACGATGTCGTCAGAGAGCTGGTCGGTGCGAGGCCGGAGTCTGTGCTTGTGAAGCTGGACGGGGGAGAGACTGTTTTGCATCTGTGTGTGAAGTGCGGCCATCTGGAGGCCCTGAAGGTGTTGGTACAGATGATGGTGAGTAGCGGCGGGAAGAAGGATGTGATTGAATCCATCTTCAGGTCGGGAGATGAAGGTGGGAACACCATTTTGCATGCTGCAGCCATGTTCAAGCAAGTTCAGGTACGTACTTTTTGTCCCTAAAGTTATGAACAATTTCATATCACTAATTGTTGATATGCGTCATAGCTAGGGACAAAAAGTAACCTAACCCTAAACCTTTAAAAAAGCAAAAGATAATTCAATACTAAACTAACCACGTAGACAAACTGACCTAACCCGGCCAGTTAGGCCCAACCAAACCCGACCAGTGAATATTTATGCAGACTTAGAGGGATATAATTAATTAAGTAGGCATTAACCGATTCATTTGTCTTAGCTACTAATTCTCACAAGTCAAATTAATCCCATGCATGCCTTTTTTCCAGACAACAATTTACCTGGTTTCACTACCTAGCATGGGAGCAGCAGTGAATTCATTGAATGGATTTGGCTCGACAGCCCTGGACTGCCTGGAGCTATGTCCCAAGGACTTCAAGAGCCTACGAATCCGAGACCTCCTCGTCGAAGTAGGCGGTAAACGAGCCAAGGAGATGACTAGCAGCACCGATCGTCTTCCACCACAAAAACCTTCAGCTGTATTAATGCAAGTATCCACATCATCAGCAGCCAACAAGTCGTGCTGCAAGCCAATGAAGTCGATGGGGCGACGGTTCAAGAAGTTCCTCGACTACGACACCAAGTGGATCGACGAAATGAAAGGATCGCTCCTCGTAGTGGCCGCCCTCATAGCGCAGATGAGCTTCCATGCCGCAACCAACCCGCCAGGCGGCGTGTGGCAGCAGAACGTGTCCAACTCTACCGAGGGCTTCGGCTGCGAGGACACGAACAGCACCCTGTGCATGGCTGGGACTTCGGTCCACGCTTACAGAGACCCGGAAGTGCTCTACATCTTCATGGGGCTCAACACGACGGCGTTTGGGGCATCTTTGTGTGTCATGCTTCTCATCATCGGCGGGTTTCCTCTCAGGAAGAAGTTCTTCGTGTGGCTGCTGGCGCAAGCTATTTGCTGGGCCATGGGGTGCATGACGGCTGCTTTTGCGTTTGGTGCGCTGTTGGTGACGCCGACTAAGGACGATGCACGAGTTCGAGTCGGGTGGGTGATGTTGTATCTTCTAGGCGCCTGGTTGGTGCTGACTCTGGTGATTAGTCTGCTCGACACGTTTCGGTTTCTCATCTGGCATGGGAGAAAGTTGTGTAAGGTCGGACGAAGAGCAGTGGCCTGTTGCTGTGCTTGTGCAAGGCCCGGTGATCATGTTGTCTAAAAGCAGGGGTCTGGATTTTCGAACCCAGACCGATTGAAGTGCAGACTCAGTTGGATGCAGGTCGATGCTTATTGTTCAGCGTGTTTTCTATATTTATGAAGAATATAATTCGGTGTTTGAATTTAAATGTGTTTATGTTTGCGTTGTCTTTTTTAATGTAGTTTTTACTTTTTTGTCCTTGACGAATGTAAAGGTGATATCGAGTGTCCGCTAGCTGTTGTTAAGAAAAATGTATTTCAATGATACCAATAAGTTTTTGACGTTCGTTATATATACTACAACAAAAATAGGATTTTGTGACCAAAGAATATGGTCACCAAATGTCAAATATTCGTCACAAACTTAACTTAGCGACCAATTTATTTTGGTTGAAGCTTTGGTCACATTCGCCCCGTTAGGAAAAGTAATTTCTGACCAATATTTGGATTTGGTCACAAAACATATGATTTTGTGACCAAATACTATAATGGTCACATAATAAAATGTTAATGTGACCAAATTTATTGGTCTAAAAAAACCTGTCAAAATTGTCATGAAAAGTATGCAATTGGTCACAAATATTATAAAATCAAACCAATTTATTTCTCTTTTAGCGACCAACTGTAAAGGTCACAATATCAATTATTTAAAACCAATAAATTTGGTTATCAAAATATGATTCAAAACTAATTTAATCACCTTAAGTAACCAAAAGTATTAGTTATGAAACTCCTGTCACAACCATTAATTTATGGTTACCATATGTTCTAATTGTGACCATTTATTTGGTCGTTAAAAATATTTTGTAGCCAATTTCCGTGTTCTGAAGCAATATTATATTGGTCACAAAGTAACCATTTCCAACCGAGATTTATGGATACTATATGCTCTACAGCTGATATACTGCAGTAAATGTGACCATTGATTTTGGTTTGAAAAAGAGCATAATGCATCAATATATTGATATCATAACATTAATTTACATTTGTCAAAAGGAATTATTTTGAACAATTTGTTACATTGACCCAAAATGTGTCATTCTATTGATAAATGATAACAATAAGATCTGTAACTCCATCTTGTGCGCTTTAGCCATGTTGATCAGATGCACAACAACCCCATACTGCAAAACAACCAAAAACTCATGAGAATCCCCACTGGAGTGTACCTAAACCTAATAATTTGAAAACTAACAAAGAGCCTCTGCTGCTGCACTTCAATTTGGCTTATGTTTTGAAATTTAGATAAATTCAGTTTATATCCTAGAGGCTAAGCCAATGGGAATAACACTTTAACCAGTTCCACTTGGGTAATCCATATACAATCACTAGTTGGGTGTACTAAAAGCACGGTCAGATCTGGGCATATGATCTAATCTAACTCATACATTACATAAGAGGTATGCCATAATGTTAATGGAGAGGAACTTACCTTCACAACTACCAGTTAAGGTTATACCTTCTGCTTCACGGAAGCATAACAAACCAAGATTACCTATTAACATCAAAACAAAAGGCAGAGTCGTTAAGTCCACTGATAAAACTCATAAGTGAAAGCAAATGAGAGCTCTAACAATAGCAGCATTAGGTGGAAATGGTTAAACTTCAAAGTAAACAACAAAGGACTGCTAAAGATTGTGCCCAGTCTAATAGACAAGGATTTCACAGGACAAAAGTGAAATTACCTCTCAAAATCATTCTGGAACCAAAACAAGCTTCGTGTTTTGCTATAGGACAAGCCTTCTATCGATGTCAACCAAGACATCTCTCGTGTTCTCTCCACTATGTTCACCCTGCATATTTCATAAAGTCACCGAAGTTCACTCGTGTAGGATGCGTAGAATCAACACAAGTCCTCTCTTAGTAGCTAGTAAAACCTAAATCTAAGCAATATATGTATCCTGGGCATAAATACCTGTTATCTTCGATGACACCATCAACATCACGAGGAGTGCTGATGCATTAATTGTGTCATCCACGAGACCAAGCGCCATAGACAAGCAGTCTGCAGGTAACTTGATCTGTTTCCTCCCCTAAAACACCATTAGTTGCAGCATCTAGTCTACATAAGTACATGTCATTAGATAGATTATCATGTTTCTTCCCCTAAAACTGTTAATGCTTCTAATTCCTTCTTTTTATGAGGCATGCATATGGATGATACAGATACTTACCAAATGAACTCGACTTCAACTGGCCAAGTACAACATCCAAACTGCAGTACAGAAGCTGTCAAAAAACTCATCGGAAAGTCTGTAACATGTTGATTACCAAGCAACCGAATGTAAACTCCGACAAAGGCAGTGACTTCTCACTACCCAGAGCAGCAAAACAAGCTAAATTAGAGAAACAAGACTGAAACCATATCAATAACGCAAGCACATGAAGGAGCAGGGGGGGAAAAGGAGAGTCAAAATACCCTTCAAATGATGAGATCATCGTCATACTTTGACATCTGCCCAACTTGTCCTTCGTCCTCCTTCTCACCTTCTCCTTCTTCTTCAGCTGCTATTGCTTCTTGGGCAGTTTGTTCTTCATGAAACTTGTTGACAGCATGTCTGAAGAAGACATAGATAACGAATCAATGGAAGATGGGTGAAAGAAAATGACAACTGAAGACCACCAAAAGAATAAGTTCATCTTAATTTGTTACCTCCCTAAAACAAACTCATCCTCGGCATCAAAGCTACTGAGAAATCCATTTGAACAACCTTGAATGATCTTCAAACCATCGTGATCCATAATCACTTCCAAGAAGCAAAGATGCAAACTAAGACAATCAGGCAGTTCAACACCCCGAAGCAAATTCTCCCAGTCAAGAAACGCTAGCAAAATGGATATCGAACAAAAAAACCCTTGGAGACAACCGAAATCCCCTCCAGATGGAAAATGCAAGGCAGAGACAGAGAGCGAGAGCGCTGGAGAGATTTAAGAGCCGTAAAAGCTTACCAGTCAAAGGCTTGCGTTTCAAACAACGATCTAAGCCTACAAGATTTACCGGACCGACATGGAATTCCCCGAGCGATCAAGCTCCAATTCCTCGCTCGAACTTGCTCACCAGTTTAGCTAGCAACGCATCTTCCTCCCGCGACCAAGGTCCCTTCACTATATTGTTCACCAATCCCCCGCTTCCACCTCCGTCGCTGGAGTCCTCGCCACCAACCCCGACCTTGTAGAACGCAAATGGAATTGCAAATTGACAAACTGACCAAACCACACCAGAAAAATGACAATAACCAAGAAACTCGAACAGTTAACTTCCAATGGATGAGAAAGTCACCTGCGATTCCGAACATCGCAGCACGAGTAATCAATCAACTGAACACTGAATGCCTTCCTGACGCGGTCGTTGAGCTGCCTGGCGAGCATCGCATGATGAGTGGAGACTGAATCGGAGATGAGAGGTGCCTATCTGCTTGATTTCCAAAAGTTCAGCGACTTCAATTTCAAATCGTCGCCACTGTGATTCCTCCTCCACAGCACCTGAGGATCTTTCTCGAGTCCATTTTTGGCTTCACGGAACGCAGTTCCCGGCGGACTCGAAAGAGTCGGTGGCGATCTCTTGGGCGAAGGAGTCGGCATCGATATCTTGGGAGAAGGAGTGAGCGGCGGCCGCGATCTCACTGGTTGGAAGAGTGAGCGGCGACGGCTAGGGATTTGGAAGAACCAGCGGACCGGACCATAATGGTTTCCCAGTTTCCAAATCCCAATTTTAGTTAGAAAAATAATGATGAGAAAAACTTCCAATCAACACATACTATAATACGCTGAAGCAAAAAACAGAACCCCCATTTACTGAATGGCTAAACCTCGCCCTAACTTTACTATTATCGCACTAATTTAAAATATAAAATTACTCAATTGTAAATAACAATGACAAAACAAACAACCCAAAATCCATTTCTCTATAATCCGCCTCCATCTTCTTCCAACGAGAGCGCCCTTCAAGCCACCTCCGTCGCCGAAAATCTGCTAATAATAATTCCCGCCGCCAACTGAGAGGGCTCCAATCGACCCTCCTCTGTCCTACCGTCGGACTCCTCTGTCCTGACCGCCGTCTTCCCTCCAACCCTGTCGGCTTTTTTCCAGATGACTGTTCGCCTCCTCCACCATCCGTTCTCTGTCCTAATGACCGGCGTCGACGCGTCGTCACTCCTCCCCAAGCGACTTTTGTTTGGGATCGCTATATATATAATGTATGTGATAAAAATAGAGAGAGGGGGTATATGTCCTAATAATTAAGCGGGTATAGTTAGCGCTAAGCCCTTCCTTCCATTTGCCACAATTAACATCAAATCTGTTAAGAAATATGGGGAGAACCTGGGTTTGATATTTAGCGTAGTGAGGTGATCTCCAATGATCAATATGATGATGGGTTTGTATGTTTTCTATTTTGGAATATGGGTATGTAAGCGATAGGTGGAGATCTCACTGAAGAGTAGGGATGGCAATGGGTCGGGTTGGGGCGGGTTTTGCCAAACCCGAACCCAAACCCATGGGTTTGTCCGTCAAAAAAACCCGGGGTAAAACCCGCTGGGTTTGAAAAACTCAAACCCAACCCAACCCGGTGGGTATCCGCGGGTTGATGGGTTACCCGCGGGTTTTTTTGGTAAAATATTTATAAAATAATAATTAACAAGAAACTATTAACATAGCAAGAACCTCCAGTTCAGCCAGTTGCTGGCCGCCGCGGTCGCCGCCATCGTCACCAATTTAAAGCAATTTGCGCAGGACTTTCTTTAAACAAAAGATAAATCGTTTCCTTGCTATGGGGGCATATATCCCTCAGTGTATAGTGTGTAGAGTATTTATGAAATCAGCCAGTTGGAGGCTTAGATTCTTACAAAGGGAAGGAATAAGAGAGACGCAGACAGCCGTGTTGAAGAAGAGGTGAGTGGCGCCGGATGCCGGTGGATTGGACGACCTGAAGAAGAGGAGCAGGGAGAGTGGCGTCTGGCGGCGGAGTCGACGACTGGCGTGTCTCAGTGTCGGGGCAGAGGAGCAGGGAGAGTCGGAGAGGCGCGGCCGGTAATGGTGTCGGAGAGGCGGAGCCGGAGCAAAGTAAGAGCAGGGGGAGGGCGGCCGTCGGATTGGGAGTCGGGACTGGAGATGGAGAAGAGGAGTCGCGGTGCTGGTCTCGCCGGAGAGGAAGAGGAGTCGCACTGTCGCAGCTCGCGCCTCGCAGAGAGGAAGAGAAGAGAGAAGTCACTCGCGCGGAGAGGAAGAGAGGAAGAGAGGAGTCGCCGATTAGGGTTTGTGAATTTGTGAATTGTGATCTGCGATTTCCGATTAGGGTGGGAAGGGAATTAGGGAAGTGGGCTGGGCCTGGGGAGTGGGGGTCTGGGCTGGGGGAATTTTGATTTGTAGGGTTATGTCCGGGTATCCACGGGTCGGGTTCCCCCAAACCCGAACCCGACCCAACCCGCCCAACCAGCCACCGGGTTTAAAACCGAACCCGGCCCGAACCCGGTCAACACGGGTTTTACCCGGTTTGACCGGGTTGGGTCGGGTCGGGTACCCACGGGTCCGGGTTGAACTGCCATCCCTACTGAAGAGTGACTTCATCGGCAGCTGCACTAACCATAGTAACGAGAGTAACGAGAGTGGCGGCCGGCGATCAGGGTCGGCGGTGGTTGAAATCAAAACTATAGTAGCAATTTGTACGGGGTTTTGTTTATTAGATAAAATATTTTTGACAATAAAAAACGAGAAGGATAAATGGGCAATAGCAATTTGTAAATTAGGGCGATTATCGTTAAGTTAGGGCGACAATTAGCAACTCCCTTTCAAAATCCCTGCTTCCAGAGCGTTTCTCGGAGGGGTATTTTTGGAAGTAGCGGCAAAAAAATTCTCCGTTGTCTGCCCGGCCTGCACCTTGCCTGGGCTGCGCGCAAAATGTAAAAACAAACACCTGGGCCTTCATTCCGGCCCATTTAATTTATCCCTCCCCGCTCACTTTCACTGATCGTCGATCCTACCGCGAGCAACGCCAGACTAGGTATTCTCTGGTGGTTCAGTTACGGGCGGAGCAGCCAAAGGGTTCAAGAAACCTCTTCTTCTCCTCCACCAAATTCCGATACAATAGCCCGTCGCCTAACTCCCATCATCTCTACCACGAGTCTGTCGAAGGAATTTCAGCCACGCCGCGGTACGCCGTCGAAGCTAATTGCTTTAATTCCCGCATTTGTATCTGCTTCGAGCTCCTGCCGCGAAGGGAGGGAAGATGAACAAGTGAAGCCCCAGTTATCACACCAATATCTGCAATCGAATTGAAGTCATCATCCCAATTCAACAAAGAACAGAGATCGGGTAATTCCTTTAATTCAATCAAATCTGGGTGGAAAGTGGAGAGAAAAAAAGCTGATGTCTTTTGTGTTGAGTCCAGACGTACCATAGCCAAAGAGGCACGATGCTTGATCTTTTGCTCCCTATTCATGAAAATTGATACAGTTTGCTCGCTTCATCATCCGAGGTAATTGAAAGGCTGAATGCAGTTTCTTTTTTTGCTCTTTCGATTGCATTTTCTGGTTTTGGTAGCTGCTCTTTCGAATGCACCCTCCGAATTGAGAATACCTATCTATTGCTCAACCAATTTGGGTGTTTAGAGTTTGAAAGTTGAAACCCCAGTTCAGATAGATGCTCTGCATGCATCATCGTTGTTGTCATCAGAGTGTGCATATTTTTCAAGAACAACATCTTTTTATTGGTTCTTACCCTGGATGTTGTCCTTTATTTGCTGCTTTGTTACTTCTTCTTTTTTTTTTTGGGTAAATTTGCTGATTTATTATGGTTCCCCTTAAGTCAGTGTGATATATTATGTTTCTTCGTTAATACAATTAGCTAATTTTTTTGAATTCATTGCTTTAACTTATGTCTTTTCTCTATCCTAGGTTAATATCACCTCTTACAAACTAATTAATAGGAAAGGAGAAAGGATAGAAAAAGGAGTGGGGAGACAAATAAAGTGACAAAAGCCTTATGAGGTTCGATACCAACCAAATATAACCTGAAACATGGTGCAGAAATTGGAACCTACAACAAGTATAATGTGCTGCGGACTTTGTTGTTTTTCTATTATGATGTTTAAATGCAGAGTGATTAATTTTCTTCGACTAACTCTAAAATCTTTATATATTATAGGAATTTGGCCACTAATTAATTCACCGAGCCCTGACCTTGGGTGAGTAGTTTGGATACTGATTGAAGATCGCGTAAGTTTCTCTTCCCTGACACCAAATGTGATACTTTTTCTCATTCATTAACATATATTTTGGTTTAGCGTTTGGTGGTTGGTGATTGTGAGATAATTGAAGCTCACGTTATTCTAAACATCAAATCAAATTTGACAAGAGTTAATGTTACAGTTGATCTTACTTCTATAGCTATTGTAGAGAATCCTTAAAAAAAAATTACTTGAATTTGATTCATGACCATGTTGTTTCTCTGCTGCCTTAGCGGAAAATTTTGGATGTTATGAACCAACTATTTAGGAAAACTGTATTTCAAGAGAGCTAGGAGCAAGACCTGTACGCCCTTGCTTTGACTATAATACTGATCTCATAATCATCATGCACTACGCAGGGTTGAAAACCAGTATGCAAAAGCAATTAAATTCAGAGTGTTGTGATTGCTTGCTCTTTTGATATATGCTTGCTCTTTTCATATACGAGGTAGGTGCATTTAGTTGATGAATGAAACCGCTTTGTAAAAGAAATTGCAATTAGTTGCTCATATTTGCTTGCTCAAAATTAGTTTATGTACCCTTTTGGTGTATCGATTCTGATCACAATTCTGTTTGCTGGAGGATTCGTAGAATGAATGAGAAGTCTCCTCTCGCTCCAGTGAAGTCCTATCTCAGTGAAGGAAAGGTCATGTATCAGTGATTTCCTTGGACTTCTCCACTTTTGTATGTTATTGAAAGCAATTAATTTTTACCCAGAATACAAACTGGCCACTTTGTATTTAAGAGGTATCCTGGTAGGGTAGAAGTGGTATCTTGCTAAGCCTTTTTAGCATGTATGTCGTGGTTCTTGGCTCCACAGTAGAATAGGATTGGGAAGGTTGGAATTGGTATTCTTATTATTGGGATTCTCAGTTAAGGATTGCTATTGGGGTTTATGTTTGCTGATGTTGCTTTGATTTTTTTATGTCAGGGGTTAACAACAAAAAGCTTTCAACCTTTTCTATCCAAACCTGCGATTGAGTTTTGCATTAGTGATTATATGCTTTGGTTATGGTAGAAGTATAGTTTATAATGGTCGCTAGCAGTTTTATGTATAGAAACTGTATTTGTCTCTGGCTCTAAGCTGATTTTTGTAGTATTTTCTACATGTGGTATGTTTGTTTTTTTTCTATTAACCCATTTCTTGCTAAATGGATTCTGCTCATATGCTGTATTGAATCTCTGATCTTAGCTTTGTTGCCTGCTCTCATGCTTATGTGGTTCATCAAATGCTTCAATGAGCAAACATGATACCGTTTTTATGTGTATTATGGACATTAAGAAGAAGAGAGGGGAAAGCTTCATTATGACAAGCTACTCTAGCCAACATGATACTCTTTTTATTACTAGGACTCATCATGTTAATTAGTGTAGATAGGCATTAGGCGAGTTAGACGGGTTTAATGTGGAAGTCCAATGATGTAAAATATTATGGAAAATTCTCGCCTTTGAGAAAGTTTGGCAAGACTTCTTTTGGAATTTCTTAGGACATTACTGAGTTGTACAAATTTTAGGTGAAAATTCAGCCAACTACAACTAATTAGGTGAATTTAAACATGACCCGCACCCACCCGAATAAACAACATTGGAAAGTTGGGTTCTTTTAGTATGGTTTGCGGGTGGGTTTGGTGTGTACGATGATTTTCATACATTTGAAGATTCATCTTGGGATTAGAAACAAACACTAATAGTTATTTTTCAAAGAAATCATCTTGGAGGCTGATAACACTCAAATTGGTTTCATTTAGCTTTCATATTTAGTTTTTTTTCGTGCTAATTCATGCACATAATCAGAAGAATAGTGTCGATTGCATCTATGTTTCGTTCTTATTTGATTATGACGTGATTTTAGGGTGTTTTAGTCAATACATGCGGATTAGATACGAAAAGGGCATAAAGGTAGCAAAATGGTAGGAAGCTGATGATCATGACCTCAAGAAGGAAGATCACGGCCAAGAAAGCAAACCGCGAAACAAAGGCAAAGATCGCGGCATAAGAAATATTTTTGATAATGGCTCGCGCCCTAAGAAATTTAGAACATCTACATTAAGAACAAATAAGTTGATATCATTTACATTAAGAACTTATAACTATTTTGTTGAGAATTTATTTGACAAATTAACCTATAATGGATCAATGTTTCATGACATGCATTAAGATAAAAAATACTTCTCGATTAATAAACTACAACAATATAAAAGACGGAAAAACAAATCAATCTGCACATAATATAATACGCCGAAGGGAAAAACGGGAGCCCCATTTCAAATTTCCTGCAACGAGAGTGAAAGTAGGAAGGACATTTTGGTCTTCAACTATTATCTTCTTATAAGTTATATTTTTAACAATGGTTACGTTTAATTTGTCTTCCTAAGTGATCGAAATTTAAGAAAGGAAGCCTCAAAGGATTAAAACAGAAATACTTAGTTAATTCCAAAACCGGCATTCCTAAACAGCCTCATAGGAGAAATATATATAAATACGGTAACAAGTTGAGCAGAATGAGACGGGGCGGAGCAAAATGAGTTGGAAGTTGATATTCAGGTAATACCCACAGGATGGGTTCAAATTGCCATCACTAATTATCATTGCTAAGTAATAAAGTTGCAATGAAGAATTATTGACTAACCTACCCCGGCCAACGGGCCGGGTTATAAGCTAGTTCTGTAAGATATGAAAACAGTCTGCCAGATAAAAATATATAGACTATCATTAACTTTTTTAGCAAACATAACCAATAAATTTGGTGAGAAAATATATTTTATTATTTTATTACCAATAGTTTTAGTATTAATTTGGTCACAAATTTGTTTTGTTTGTAAGTGACTATTTTAGCATGTTTATGTAACCAAAAATATTAGTTACTTTAAAAAGCATTAAGGACAATAGACAAATAGTTTTGGTTAGAAAAAAATTCAACATTTTATTAATAATTTTTTGGTCATATAAATTTTAATTTGGTTATAAAAACTCTATTTTTTAGTTAGTGACCAATTCATCAAAAATTTTACTACTAAAATATAATTGGTCATAAAAAATAAGCATTTGCCGACCAAAAAAATTTAGTTGCATGGAAATGGTCACAAAAGACCATATTTGTTGTAGTGATAAAATGTTCAAATTACTTGTTAACTTTGTGGTGAACAACCAAAAACTAATATTCAAATAAATTGTAAGAACTATGAAGTTGAACGTGTTGATAGAAAGAATAGTGTATAGATGAGTGACTTGCTACTCGTTTTTTGTATATTTTTTTAAGGGGTTAAAGACACATTTGGTCACTGAGATTATAAAATTGGGACATGTTTAGTCACTAGAAAAAGTTAATATCAAATTTGGTCACTACAATTACTAAAACTGGACACATTTAGTCACTCGCCGTTAGTCTCCGTCCAACTCCATTAATGAAGTCCGTTAAGTGCTGATGTGGCAAACAGAATTGTCTAATCAGCCGGATATAACTCAACAAAAATAAAACCCGACCCGCCACGTCATTATAACCCACCACGTCATTAAAACCAACCCAACCCATGACCCAACCCCACCCTTCTTCCTCCTTCCTCCCACCTCGGCACCTCCCACCTCCTTCTTTCCCCAAAACCACCGCCGCCGCCGCTCTCCTTCTTCCTCCCACCTCCTCCCGCAAACCTGTTCGACCTAACCCAGCAGACCAATCCTTCACCAACGAGGCCATTGACGTTCACAAAGAATCCCCCAAATGTTCACAATTGCATCAGAGAGAAATGCAAGACCAAGGAAAGCACAGAGCAAACTAGGCAGCAAACCAGAATCAAGATTTCGTTACAAAACAACTTGGCGGAGAAGGCGGCGGCGTGGTGGTGCTACTTATGGAGATACTTCACAGCAACAATCCTCCCGTCGAACAGCTGCCCCAAGTAAACCGACCCGAACCCACCGTCCCCAATCTTCCTCTTCGCGAATCCTCCTCCGCAACAAGCGCCTTCAAGTGCCTGGACCTGAAAACCGCCGCCACAATCAAAACCACGAGAAGCAAACACATCACCGTGAAAATCGAGCAGAGGATCGCAATCCGATTCGTATCCTCGTCGCGAATCCATGGCGAAATCCGGGCGGCGGGGCGGAGCGAAATCCCTGCTGTGATGGGTGGCGGAGAGGGGCGGAAGAGCAGGCGGGGAGGAGGCGGAGAGGGGTTTTGACGAGGGAGCAGTCGGAAGGGCAGAGAGAGCAATTGGGGAGGCTGGGAGGGGAGCAAGAGCGGAGGGCGGAGAGGCGAGAGCAGGAGGAGTCGGCGAGGCGAAAAGGGGAGCCGGAGAAGTGGATGGAGGGAGGGAGGGCGGAACAGTTATGGCGGGGGAGAAGGAGACGAGGGGAGAGGGAAAGGGAAGAGGAATTAGGGCGGAAGGCTAGGACGGAGAAGGAGGTGTTTGCGAGGGAGAGGATGGAGTGAGGGGAAGCGCATTTGAGAGTGAAGGCGGGGTGGCCGCAGCTAAGGGAGGAGGAGAATGGGTACGGCGGCGGCGACGGGAATGGCGGGCAGGGAGTGGTTTTGGGGAAAGAAGGAGGAAGAAGGGTTGGGTGGGGTTGGGTCATGGGTTGGGTTGGGTTGGTTTTAATGACGTGGCGGGTTATAATGACGTGGCGGGTCGGGTTTTATTTTTGTTGGGTTATATCCAGCTGATTAGGCAATTCTGTTTGCCACATCAGCACTTAACGGACTTCATTAACGGATTTTGACGGAGACTAACGGCGAGTGACTAAATGTGTCCAGTTTTAGTAATTGTAATGACCAAATTTGATATTAACTTTTTCTAGTGACTAAACATGTCCCGATTTTATAATCTCAGTGACCAAATGTGTCTGTAACCCTTTTTTTAAGGGAAGTGATTTGCTACTTGTTATGCCTTTGGTTTTTTTTATTAGATATAGCTCGTAGCATCGACAATAGATATGATAAATAGACTTGGTCACACGATGATTTTATTAGATTTTATTTGGCTTGATTGAATCTTAAAGATTAACCATTGAAGAAGAAAACAATGCTTCTAATGTTTTATTATTGTGATATATTCATCTCTAACCAATCCTTAATGGTATCACTTTAAAGCTCCATACTACATCAAAATCAAAATGAATACATCAAGAGTCTATTACTCAAATCTGGCCAACAATTTTATAAGAAAAAGAATGCATGAATATATTGGTCAATATCCTCCATCATCAACACAGACAATGGCAGTGGTGGCCTTCGGAGGTTTGCTTGCAGAGTGCACCTTTACACTCCTGAATGCAAAACTCATAGCAGTTCCCACCAGGTGCGTCGTTTTGCCCAGGAATACACTCTCCCATGTTATATTACTCTCTGCAACATATCGAATCGATGGTCACGTTACTCAAACGATTCTCAAAAAATTGAGTACCTGAGACGTTGTTGCCGAGAACCAACATCGCCACCAGAAGCATTACAAGACACCCAACTCTCGCTCCTCCACTGGCCATGCTAATGATCAAGATTATTGCTTCTTAGTTTTTGTTTGTACTGATTCAAAGTTCTATTTGGCTTTGGAATGTTTTCCTCATTGAGACCAAACAAGGGTATTTATAGGGGTTTGATTGATAAAGAATTGGGAAGAAAGTAAACATGGGGAGAATGGGATATTTCATTCTGGTCATGTGATGGAAATTATTTAATTGTTGTGTTATATATGGAAAAATTTAGCCGGAATAATTTGGAAAATGTATCAGCTTAATTAGAAATTCTATTAAACTTCACAAAAAAATTCTATTAAACTGGTCAAAATAAAATTTAGGTAAATATATTAGAAGTGATAAGAATTTTTTTTTGAAATGGAATTTTTTTTTAGCAGGATAATTATATTTGGGCTTGACCGTTGTCCGCATAAATTATATATTAACGACTTAAGACTTCATAAAATTATTATAAGTAGATTCGAGGGGAATTTTTTTTAATTATAGATAGTTAGGGTTAATAGCACTTTATATCTCCCTGTATTGCAAGTTAATAGGCATATTACTCGGACATTTTTTTTTACAAATGTATACTTCTATTACAAAAATGTAACAAACGTATTCTTTCATCCAAATTTCTTTTTTGGGTAATGTCTATTTTTTATCCAAACCTTTTTCAGATTCTTTTATATTATCCAAACCTATCTAAATATTAACAATTAGCCAAATGTTAACTTTCAATTAGCAATTTTGTTAGTACTATTGATTTGGCAACATGATACTGACTTGGAAGAGATGCGTGAAGGTTAACATTCCAAAATTTAGTATTTGAACAAAGAAAAGAGTTACAAAATTATTGAAGATAACGTAAAAATGACTAATATGTTGATACATTATGAAAGATTTGGCTAATTAATAATATTTTAATAGGTTTGGATAATATAAAAGAATCTGAAAAAGATTTGAATAAAAAATAGACATTACCTTTTTTTTATAGTTAATTGACCAAAAAATGACAAAAAAATATAACAGAGTAATAGTCTGTGGACCTTAACCGTTAAGGTGGTGTTGGTTGTAGTCTTGTAGATGTTGTTTTTTCCTTTTTGCCATAGATAGATTGTAAATCGATAATCGAGTACAAGAGATTGAAACGAATAACAGTCAATGCAAATCAACATGTCGATGAAAAAGTCTTTTGTGCCACATAATAGACAACTCTATTAATACTCTAATAATAAAGTAAAAAAACACCAAAAGTCCGATATAAGCTTCACTCGTCAAAACTGAAGCTAACCACTTGTCATCACCTCTGTAGCCTGTAGATGGGAAAGCGTTAGGGTGGAAACTGAATTTCTAGTAGCCACTGTTGCTACATTAGTATCCACCATTTATTTTCTTCTCTTTCCTCTTTTTTTAATCTTACGGTTAAGATTGCCTCAGGATAATTTTGGAAGAAAAAAAAGGACCACACTTGATTATTCTATATATTCTACCCTAACCCTACTTCTACAGCCAAACCCGCCATAGCCGCAAGCTCTCACCCTCCCCGACGATGGCTAAGGGTTTGCTTGTCCGACGACTCCTTCCGCGCCTCTTTCTCCGACCACGGGCGAGTCACCAGTCGGATGGGTGGCGATCCGAGCAGCCCGACCACATCGTCGTCCACCTCGACGGAGATCCTACCTGCTGAATTCCCCGCCGTCTACCAACGGAGCCGACGATTAACTCGACTCGCCCCCGCCGCTCTTCGACTTTCCCGACGGATTCCACCACATCTACGTCGGCGCCTCTCCCTACGGTCTCGACGAGTCGATGATCAAGACGATTCCAATCTCCCTCTACAGCAGCGACAACTTCCGTAAATTGCCCTCCCCTGCCGCTGCCAGTCGTACGGAGCCGGCGGGAGGAATGAGAGAATCTCCACCGCCGCGGCAGCTGTCCGAGATCATGCCATGCGCTGAGGAGGAAGGATTGGTATTATTTTCCCGTAGTGATTTTTTTTAAATGGTAGTCATTTTTCCCCGTAGTGGTAGTGTTTTTGTCGTATTAGTATTGTTTTTGTCGCATTGGTATTGATTTCGTCGCATTGGTATTGATTTTGTTACATTGGTATTGATTTTGTCGCATTGGTAGTGATTAAATCTGCAATGGTATTGATGTTTTGTGAAATGGTAGTGTTTGTATTTCTTGAATGGTATTGATGTTTTGTACAATGGTAGTATTTTTTTTAATGGATTGGTATTGATTTATTGTTTTGTTGTTGCAACGGTATTAGTTTGGATGAACGAAATCAAGGAAAGATTGAGAAAAAGAAGGAAGAGAGATCTGGCTGAAAAATTGTGGAAGTGAGAGAAAGAGAGAGAAACATTGTATTTAATATATTTATGTAATTTCCTAAAATGTAATTTATTAAAAAAGATCATTAATAAATTTTTTGTTATACTCAATTTGCCCTTAGTTTATAGTAAGCATCTTAACCTGTCAACTATAGATGCTATTTTGCTTGAAAAAAATGAGAGGGAAAGAAACTAAAACAGAGTAACAGACACAGCCGTTAACGTAAACGTGTCCTGATCTCTGACAAGACCTAACACGAAAGCAACGCCTCCCACCGTGGATTCTCTGCACCTCCCTTATCTACCGTCCGATCCATCTACCGTCAATTTTATCCAGTCCCGTCCTCCAAAACAAAACAAAACAAACAAAAAAAAAAAAGGCACGAGATTTACGGTGACCATCACCGCTAAGTACCACTTTAGCCTTCATTACTATCGCCTGAACACACAAACTACTGAGATCGTATAGGGTCAAATCTGGTATTTCCCTTGCCCGGCGGCTTTCAACCTCCGGTTACGCAATCGCCTGAAGATTACAACCCAACAGGCCAACACAGGGAAAATATTGGCGGCGGATTTTACGACAAACGAACAGCTTTTTACCGTCCCCTTCCTTTCGACTGCAGATTGAAGGATGGCGATTGTGAATTCAATAATTTGGTAGGCGGCGATGGGAAGAAAGATTGTGAATTTGTGATTGCATAGAAGAGATGGCCACACAGACGGAAGCAAACCGTGGCCAAGGTATAGCTGGGCGGCGGTAGCTATCAAGATGGTTCAAGGATTAAGAAGATCGAGAGCTCTAGCAAACAATTGGCTGATTCGAAGAACAATTCCGTTTCAACTTCTGTACTCATCTCAAATATCCCTCCTTATTTTTTCCTTTTTCTCTGTTCAACCGTTTGAGATTCGATTGGTTTGACGATTTCAATCAGTATAACTTTGATTGGTCAGCTGAATCTCGTCTGCTTTTTCCTGTGTTTGAGCTAAATTCTACCCTTTGAGCTGAGTTCCCCAATTGGTTTGTGTTGATCAGGCTTTGTTTGTTTGATAAGTTCTTCGTTCTTATTGATTCAACTATTTTCGAAATCAACAATGTCGAGTACATCGAAAGCTGCCACGACCAAAACTGCCAGAGTGAAGAAAGCCTTCTCCTTGGCTGGCCAGAAATATGATCCCCCTGAAGAGGTTCTGACTTCTGAGTAGTTTCATGTTCATAACATTCTGTCTTTGTGCTCATGTTCATAACGAATTATGCGCAATGAGGCGGCGTAATAATGGCTGTTTGATTTTGCTTTCACTTCTTTTGCAGAGAGAGCCTGTTAGGATATTCTACGAGTCGTTGTCTGAACAAATTCCGTCTAGTGAAATGGCAGAATTTTGGTATGGTTTCCTTCCATTCTCGTTAGGGATCTTTGTTGAGCCTGAGCCCTATTAAACGAATGAAATTTTGAGCTGGATCTCGCTGCTTTTCATTTTCCCACCTAGGGGATGCTTCTGCTTTAATACTTTGGCTCTTGAACAGACTAACTCACTTCAGTTGCTCAAACAAAGTTCAAACTAGTTTAGAGATGTTATTTCTTCCCTTGACCATTGTAACATCGGAAATTGGCCAGTTGAGGGAAGTTTTCTTGCATTTAAATTGTCTAGTACATCATATGACTCATATGATCACAAATCACAAGTCATCCTTGCCTGATAACTATCCTACAAGGCGCCTCACTTCTTTAAAGTTTGGAGCTTTTATTAGATGAAGGTGAGACTGATGGATGGTGGGATAGAAATCTATTCATATGTGTTCTTTTTAATTGTGGTTAATCTGTCTTTGGTGCAATTTTTAACTTCCCTCTTTATTTGAGATAGTTCCTCTGTTGGCCTTGATTTATAGTTTCATCATTGTACATTTATATATTTCTTCGCCTTTGTTGATCCGACTGACTGACTGAAAACCATTAAGTTTAAGTTGGTTGATGGTTTGTGCCTTGCACGTTGAGTGAGTTGCTGGTCTTGTTTGCTGTTTTTCTTTCTTGGTATATTTCATGGTTCTCTTACCTTTCGACTTCTCTTAGTTTTCTCTTTACGAATGCAGAAATGTAGGAACACTTATCCTAAGGAGATACCTAGGACATGATAGAAATGAAATGTAATTAGATGGGAGTAAAATTCTTGGAAGTATGAGTAATCTGAGGCTAAACTGGTTGAATATGAAGGATGATGGAACATGGACTGCTGTCCCCTGAGAGATCTAAGAAGGCATACGTGAAGAAACAGAGAAAGCAAAAGATGCAACGCATGGGCACTCCCATTAAATCTGCCAAAACACCAAGCAAACCCGAGAGTTCTTCTCACAGGCAGCAACAAGCATCATCAAACAAAGGTGATATAAAATCCAAGAAAAGACTAGTCGATGACAGTGATGATGACTATAATCTCGTATTAAGTGCCAAAAGGAAGAAAGGGTAAGCACGAAAACATCATGATTCTGGATAGCCGCTTAGTTTAGACTGGAACAGGGAAAGTATTCAATCTTCAAGCGTTGTTGGTTGTGAAGTACTTTGGAACCTCATAGATCAAGGCAATTTTTACCTTTTTATTTCTTTTTACTCTAGAACAGAAATTATATAAGCACCCTTAAATTTCTTAATTCTTGTTCTTGTTCTGCTTTGCACTTGACAGAGACAATAATTGGTACTTTTCATGTCCTGCCATTTAAGCTTGTTGGTAAATCGTAGCTGGTTGTGCCATCCTAACAAGCATTGTTGTCTCACCTTTGTTGTTTGCCATTTCAGTTTTTGATGACTTGAATGGAGCAGTTGTTCGTTGCCTGCCTTTATTCTCTATTAGATGTGCTTCTTATCTATCTACGATACCCTTTCTCTATTCTGAATGACCTGCTGTAGATGATATGCTTCATGAATTGGAACTTACAATCAAGTAAACCTCTTTGGAGGGTTACTTGTGAATGAGGAACGGAATGTCTGAGTGAATGCATAGAGTTAAAGTTTATTACTACTTTAACACTCTTTAACAGAACTCTTCCTCTCTTTCCCTACTCTTCCTGTATACCAATAAGCTTACTATTCACCACTTGCTTGGCTATCCATAACTGTAGCATTGTTATCTGCGACAGATAGTCTATGCATTTTATCTCTAATGACTGCAGCAGGTATAACAGGCAATGGTCTGAATATTTATTGAGTCCATCGACAAATTTATGACATATAGAGCCATTGAATGAGATGCCTCTCCTTTAAATGGGGTCTTGACCCCTGTACCTTGCTTGGGCACTCATGTATCATTTTGCATACTATAGCCATTGATCTATAGCAAGTAGGAAGGATTCCATATCGAGGGAGATTTTGCTGTTATAGAGCTCTTTGGGTAAACACACAAGGTTTTTTTTCCTTCTTCTGGAACCCACCTCTATTGTTAGGTGTTGCAGAAGAAGACTGCAGTTATGTCTCTCCATCTCTTCCTCAACTGGCCATGTGTTTTAGAGATTGTGTACACGCAAAAATACAGTCCATTATACGTATATACAACATTAATGCCAGAGGCTGCAAATATTCCAGGTAGCCGGTTTCCATTCTCTCATGCAGCCAACCACCACTGTAAGTAAGATTTTCCTACACTTATAAATACGACCCGTGTCTCGTTTGTCTGCTTTCTCTTCATCTTCTTCTCACATTTCAATTCATGATGGGGAAATGGTAATACAGGTGGTGGTGTGAGTAAAGTTACAGGAGATCACTGCAGCTGCTATCTATCGCTATACACGAGTATTAATTGGTTTTTGTTTGGACGTGAGCAAAGGTAAGGGAACCACCACTACCAGCTGTATACTGTGAAAAAAAAAAGTTTAGATCTTTGGTGGTGGGGGCATAGTTATTTATCACAGTACTATGCATAATATTGAAATTCAATGTGGGTTGAGACCATAAACGTTTATGTATGCATGGGAGGCAGTACATGTGACGAAACAAGCAATGAATCCGCTTTACATGAAAGACTACTGCTGCTACTACTGGTGTCATATAGATGGAATGACTTTAAAGTTTTCCTCTGATCCGTTTTTGAAACTTTTCAATAAGTTTCTGGGATCCAAGTCCCATCGTCAGAAGCTGATGGAAGTTTCACCCACTGACAAGGAACATGGAGTGAAAAAACATAAGTGATGGGTTGGTTTTTGGCTTCATGTTCATCATGCCCCTTGTTTGTGTTGCCGTGGATCTGATGATGTGTGATGAAAGCTTCTGCAGTTTTCATACACCTTATCGATACGCGGTTGACATATCATATCTTTGATCTAAAGGTTAGAACCTTATGAATGTTGTGTTGTATCATCTCCATATTACTACCACTGAGTCAACCCCTCAGGGTTTGCTGACATGTCATATCCCCGTTCTTTCATTGTCTTTGCTACTCATTGTTTATAGCCATAAACTGTCCAGACTTGTCATGCTCGTCGCTGGGAGGACGATTTGTTATCGATAACTTACTTAGGTCAGAGATTTTGTTAGGCATCTACTTTAGAGATGATAATTGTTTCATACGGGATGATATCGTATAATCTTCGGATGCCCGAGTCTTGACGAGATATTTTACTACATTAGAGTGCTGCTATGGTCCTCTTCTCCTGCTGCCAGTGGAAGACCTTGCATGAGGTAAAAGGGTGGGAAAAGTACATGGTATCCATTTGGGCCAGACAAAGGCCATTGCTGATTGTTATTGATTGTGAAGGGGAAGGAGACAGCTTCTTTGTTTTCTTTACCCTTTTTTTCTTCGTTTCCTGGTTCTGGGTTTGCATGATTGAATTATGTGAATGAGAAAGATGAGTCACCGCATCCATAATTGAGACCACTTGTCCTGTTTGTACTCCATGACTGGTATCTTTCGATGGAAACGGTTTGCATAATTGCCAATCTAACGATAAGTCGTGACAGAGAGAATGAGGTCAAAGTCGATTTCGGGTTCAACTAATTAAAAAGAGATGGGCAACTGACGCGGTTCGAGTTGGAATGACAACAAGGCGTGACAATGCCTCATTTTAGGTGTTGATTGATCTATCATACGCTTCATGAAACATCAGACAGAATTAGCAAGAGTGGCCACCCCATTCACCAATTTGGAAAAGGTGCAATAAATGAAACCTGCCGGCCATTCTGGTAATTGATGCCTGGAAATCATCATCGTTTCATCATGGATCTAAAAGGCTACAGCATAAGATTCTGGACACTGATATCTCTCCCTAGCTACCTGCTTAGGCTTACCTATAGCTTGTGTTTCGCTACCTACTTCGCCAAATTTGTACTTAAGTACTCGCAATACAGTTTTTGAACTAATGCTCTGCTCATTCATCTATCACAGGTCAGTCAGTGTCGTCCATTGCCCTGTTTTTTTTTTTTTTTTCTTTTGAAGGCTTTGCTTTCCCTTTCATACATCTCCACGTCAATCGAATTCAAACCCCATGTTGAGAGTTGAGACGACGACGACGACGATGATATAGCATGCAGCTGGCCCTGCAGAGAACTGCTGCTGCTCGTACGACAAGGTGAAATGTTTTCCCCCCCCTCTCCCTCTTATTGTTGCCTTTTATCCACTTTCTTGTTCAGACCCTGAAAAAGGAAAGGTGAAGACAAAAACAGAGTAAAAGGAGGTGAAATCCGAGTTCCTTTCTGTGGTGATGAATGATGATGATGATGTTCAAGTTCGAGTTCGACAAGAACCTGTGGTGGAGATATAAGGAGAGTTGGGAAAAGGGTCGTTGAATTGAATCGATGGGTTATTCTTATTCACCCTGGGGTGTAACGCAGAAGAAGGGTGAAGATTGAAAGGGTAACTTTCAGAAGGTCAAATTGAATCATTCGGATTCTCACAATGAGTAAAATGAAGACAAAAAAAACACAAACAAGAAAATGAATTCACATCCAAGCACAAAATACGATATTAACATTAAGCGTGTCTATACATCTACTTATTAGTCACCTCGATCGAAACCCATATATGATACAGATTGAAGCAAATTGGTGTTACTCGAAACTATAGATTTGCAAGATTTGATCCTGAAAGAAAGAGTCGATTTGACTCTTGAAAAGTCAAGTGCTAATTATGCTGAATATTTTTCTTCTTCTTCTTTTTTGTTCCGTTATTCTGCCAACCAGCAGGAACCAAAAACCAAAATAATTATTGGCCTCTGGAAACAACGAGAGAGTAGCAGCCAAAGCAAAGGCATTGACAAAACTCCCCCTCGTTCACTTGTTTTGTAGTATCAGCGGTACCACTAAAATATCAACAGCCACTTCTGGCTATCTTTGTGTCGTGTACCCATTACAAGATAATACAGATACAAATTACAAAGTACAAATACTTTTAAGAGACAAAAAGGTGACACTGAGAGATTAGACAGTAAAAAAAAGAAAAGCCTAAAAAGATTGCTGCCATATCCCATTATCAAATAATTAATTCGTTCAAAGATCCACAGGAGATCCTGAGACATATTTTTTTAATTATAAACGTAAACTGATTAGGAAACAGGGAGCTAGCCATTAGTCCACTAGTGGGACATGCAAATTTCTACGTCGGCATGGGGAAATAATTGGTGCCCAGAACCGGGGATGAGAGACTCCAGAGAAGGAGCAAATCGGTCAATTCGAACACACAGTTCATTAATACAGAAGAAGAGGTGAAAAGCTCACCAAAAAGCTTTTCATTGTTAATAAGTTTCCACGGGTTGGCTTCCATTATTTGGCGTTGAGTTGGTGGGGTGGGATGGGATGGATGTTGCATGGTGGTGGTGGCAAACCCAACTTGCTAAAAAAGTTGATCTCGGGTAGACCGGGTCGGTCGATTTTGTCGAATCATGATCTGAGTATACGCGGTTGAACTCGTATTATTATGTTTGGGAATTAGACAAGGTGTCCCCAATTCAATGGATTGACTATGTGTCGTGTGTATGGTTGATTGAGCAGAACTTGTAGCGACGCTTTATAGAGTAGGTATTCATAACGTTCGGTCTGTAAATAGACACAAACGAACGTTACTCGTTGCATATGTTCTGAGGATAAGCGACATTCGGTGAGCTTTCAATGAACGATTTGGTGATTGATGATCGCCACTTCAACCCTTCTGATAATCAACAAGAAAGCAAACGACTTTGCTCAGTATCTCTGGTTTGAGATCGAATTAGGTTACTTCTGCTAAGTATCCGAAACGGTTATATGATCGTTTGATGCACGAGTGGCCAGGATTGTGCAATGGAGCATTCAGCAAAAGGGGTGGTGGGGCAGAGCGACCCATCATTTCCCCGTCCAGTTGGCCCGAATGCGGTCTCCCTCTGCCCTTCCCTTTCCTACTCTGCTTATAAACTGTTGCCTCTGTTCCAATGCCCAATTGCGAAATTGCTAAAAACAAATCACTACCCACCAACGAACTTCTTTCCCTTTTATCAGATTTAGCCCTTCTTCTTCTCCGTCTTCGTCTTCTTCATTTCCCACTGATAACAACACTGCCACAACTGTTACTGGGTTACTAAAAGTAGTAGCTTTGCCCATCATTGCCCACAACACCTCTATTTAGCTCCTTCCTAGTCCCTTTCTCCATTTGTCGATCACCATCCAACGACAAGTTTGGTTTCCCCACTGCCCTTTCTATCTCTGTGTAACATTGGTCACTACCCATTACGTGCTTCGTCTTCCTTTTCCCTTTCTTGGCTTGCATAAAACCTGTTCGACGAAATGCCTCAACCACGACGAAATACAGAGCAGGAAAGCAGCTCCAACTCTTTCTCATTCTCATACTCCTCTTCGCCTCCGCCGCCTTCCCCAATCAAACAACAACACCTGCGGCAGAGGAATTCCCAGCGGCAGGAGCAGGATAATCACGACGATGGAGACTCGCCGGAATCTTCCAGCAAGAAGATGAAGCGGATACGGGACTGCAGCAAGCACCCGGTGTACAGGGGAGTCCGGATGCGGAGCTGGGGGAAATGGGTATCCGAAATCCGGGAGCCCCGCAAGAAGTCGAGGATCTGGCTGGGCACTTTCCCGACCCCTGAAATGGCGGCGCGCGCACACGACGTGGCGGCGCTCTGCATCAAGGGCAGCTCCGCCATCCTCAATTTCCCCGACCTCGTCAGCTCCCTGCCCCGGCCCGCCTCCGTCGCGCCGCGCGACGTCCAGGCAGCGGCGACCAAGGCCGCCCTGATGGACGAGTTCGACGGGAAGCGGATGACGGACGAAGATTTCTCCTCCTCCGCCGCCGTGGCGGCGTCGGCGTCGGCATCTTCGCTGTCGTCGATGGCAGAGGAGGATGAGGAGGGGTTGAGCGAGATTATCGAGCTGCCGATACTGGGCGATTTGGGGGGCGAGCTGAAGAGTGAGTTCGTTTTTGCTGACTCGGTGGCGGACGGGTGGCTGTACCCGCCGCTGTGGGCGCCGGACGACGGTGGTGGTACGGCGGGTAGGTATGTTTGTGGTGGTGACGGGAACGGATTTGGGGATGGATTGTTTTGTAATTATTATTAAAAAAAAAGAGTAATGGTGTTTGCTGTGACGTGTCCCTGTGAGAATGTCGCTATCGACGGCCTTTTTTCCCCTTTTATTATTTTCTTTTTTGTTACTGTCGTTTCTTTCCCTCTTTTTGTTTTCACTCTTCTTTCTCTCTCTGACACGAACGATATTTTTAGCCTCTTTTTGTGGTTTTTTTAGAAAGGGGCTAAAAAGCTGTACAAAGGATGGGGTCACGTGTTTCATGTGAATATATATGTGAATGTGATCGTTGTTGTATGGAAAATGGTTAATCATAGCGTTACAAATATGAAATATCGTACACATTGTTGATTAGGATGTGTAAATGTATGAGATTTGCAAATAATAATGACGTTTTTTGTGTTACTTCAAATCTAAAATGTAATGAGAATGATATCAATGTGTATATTTTTGCTCTCTTTACAATAATATTTTATGTCTTTGATTAAACTGAATGAATTCAAGACCATTTATTGGATTCGGCTGGTTAGTGTTCATCGTTGAACAAAATAACTCAAACCAAATTGACAAGGTAAAAACCAAAACCAAAATCACAAATCGGAATTTAATTAGTTTGGTTGATCGGCTATCTTGTTTGCCCAAAGTATAGCATATTTTGTCATCCTACTTTAATCATAGATCTTTTATTACCCACCAAAGTTGCCATAATTAACAATTAGTTTTTAATCATCCACCAAAACCATCATTAGTATCCCTTGCAACCTCCATCATATCCATGTAGCTATGCTATGCTATGCTATAAAAATAATAATATCCATGTAGCTAATTGGTTTGACCGGTGAGTAGGGTTTATAATCAGACCATAAGGATTTTGTAATCTTGAACAAGAAAAATCTCGATTAACCGAATAAATCAAATCAAACCAGCCAATCTTAATACACAAACTAATTACTATGATACTAGATTCGTTGGAAGTATACGTGATTCAAATGAACTCGTCCATACCAGACCAAATCAGGCCGCATCTAGTTCTCTTGTAACGGACATCAATTCATGTGACTACTGTAGAGAGTTTGACGAAAGAGGGCTTGAGGCCTTCATAAATGGTGGGTTTTCATTTTGGTTGGTGGAAATTAAACTTCACTTAAATCTTTGCTCTTTTTTTTTCCCCCCCCCCCCTCTTTATGCTACCGCCATTGAAACGATAGAGAGAGGGGCAAAGAGAGTAGTAGTACACAGATACAGCTAGGTGGTGTCTGTTTTCTTCACTTTCTCATCAAGAAAAAAAGTGCCTCCAGACTTCCATCATGTAAGATCCAGAGTCTCTAGTGGCTGAAAATGCTTTGTCTTTTAGTCTTTACTAAGCAACAAATTCGTGAAGATCAATGGTACAACAGAACAAATTGGCCAAGCTAGGCTATAGCTTCTCAGAGTTGAGGGGCTTTTCTCAGGACATGCTCAAATATCTAACATACCGTGCATAATTCTTGATTATTGTATAACTAGATTTAAGTTTTCTATTTTAAGTGGTATGAAGAGTGATAAATGGGTAGATATTTCTACTATCATGTATATAATTATTTTAGACTACGGTGTATTCATAGCTTCATGATATAGTTTCAAACCACATGGTATAATCTTTTGTATCCTAGTATTACCACTATGGTATGGACTAGTAATAAATATCTCAATTTGTTTCTGTTCCAAAGTATATCAAACTCGTTGTCATTTTAAAAAGCACGATTTAATTTGTGGAAAAAAAGGTTATGGCTTAAAACAATAGAGTAATAGCTCGTTAAAATTAATTGAAAAAATTTAGTTATCTTCCAAAAATGGTAAGTACGTAAGGTAATGCATGGTTATTGATGGGTAGGTTATGAGCGGGATTCGTTCCCTAGGGCGAGAGATAGTTAGAAATAAGCCGAGTTTTCTTTGAGACATAAACTTTTAGCATGCGGAATCGATAAGTGAATTTAGGATATTTTTGGATTGTACATATAATTCTCAAATAAAACGTGTTAGAAATATTATTATTAAAACGAAACTCATGAGTTTGAAATTTGTACAGTTTTATTGTACTATGTTTCTTAAATCAACCACTAATCACAAGTATCCGAACACTAGAGTTCTTGAATGAGTCGGTCAAAAATCCATCAGTATCATAACTCAAATGATTAAACAAGAGTGGCTGGCAATGATCAGTGTGTACGATTCCCAGTTCGTAACTTGAAATCGCTGCAATATATAGAATCACTCTCTCGCCGCTGATTCTCTCTCTCTCGACCTCTCTCTCTCTCGATGCCGATGCGCCATTATTATGTTGTTGAAGCCAGGAAAGCTCAGCAACGCATATTCTCTGTGCATAAAAGCATAGAAAAACGGGGCAGTCTAGGCACAAGTGTAGACGCGATTGAATATATTTCGACATTTTTCAACAATTCGAGTTAATATTACTCATCAATTCTAATTCATATCATTACCAAACATCATACTTGATTGGTATGATTTGTGGAGAAGTCAGGGTTTAAAGCGAACTTTGTAAGGAAGTGGTATAAGATTGATACTTGAAAGGATTTTAACAACTCGATGTATATAGATTAACTTGTTCTAGAGATAGTATTAAAGTCTTCAACCAAAAAATCTTGTGATCATGACAACTCCCAATATTAACATTAGATTTAGTTATGATGGATATGTACAAAGTTCAAACCACGAGCTGTAGCTTAGAAGTTGAGTATCATACCGTTAACAAACCCATATGAAAAAAAATAACTACTTCTTTTGCTTTAGGTTGAAAAATCTATTTAATACGATAAATTTCGACTCTTTTAAATATCTGACATATTCATAAAAATGATTTAAATGGACAAATATAATGACTATCAGAACTCGAACGTCAAATCCTTCTCAATTCAAGCCTACACTTTTATCGATCCCGTCAGATGATATAAAATTAAACCTATTTTCTCCTTCGATCGTGAACATATTAGTTGGTTCCGTAATATCGGAAACAAATAACAGGCACAAAAAGGAGCACGTATATGGGGTATCAATTGCAATTATTGAACAAACACAAACAAAAGCTCCCTTATTTCAAACAGGTCCAACTGATGGTGACGAATTTGTGTAGGAATGATTATTAATCAATAAATAATTATACGGGCATTAATCATCGAGATTCTGTATTACGATATATTACAATTAAAATAGTAATTAATTATGCTATTTGGCTTGGTCTCATTTTTGTATTATAAATTTAATATCTCACCCTAACAGTATGTCTATGTTGATGCCAAAAGAGGAAAACAAGATGATGATGAAAGGGAAGGCTTGCCACTTGCTAATAATGGAAGGGGGTTAATCATTAATAAATAAAATTAGTTGTTAGTTGATTAGGGTAAAATGGAGTATTTAATTTGGTACCCACAAATGAGAGGTGAGTCATGTTTACATAAGCCTCAACATTATAAAGAAGAATCAATATGCAATTTAGTGCTCGTTTTGTCTCGATCACTTTGTGGTGATGGTGAGAGTATATAATGTTGTCATGGATGAGGTAACATGCTACTAATCAACGATGGTGTTTGTCTTTTTTTTTATTTTTTTTTTATTTTACGGATGGTGTTTGTCAAATATCAAAATTCTCTAAATCTCTAAATTGAGGGTCAATCCGCTATTACTTATTACATTTTACATCAAAAAAATAAAATAAAATTTGGGTTAAAGTCATAGGCGAGTCGATAGAGGCGTGAGTATGTTCAATATTTCAAAGATTTTTATGTTTAAGGAACATGAACCTTGAAGATCAAACATACTTATGGGCATGTAAAGAGTGAGGTGAATGTTGGAAGATGGTGAATAGCGTGTGAGGGATGTGTGGCTCTACTCTATATATGCGTTAGAGAGAAGTGTCGAATCGAAGTCTAGCACAACCTCATTCATCTAATTGAATCTCAAAGACTTTGATATGTACTTATGGTTTAATAAGTTGTGAACTTAACAAGCAAGAGGGGGGAAAAAGCTTCTTTTGGCTCCCCTTTTATATGATAGCCTCCTTACAAATCATGAAAAAGTGAGGTGGAACTGGCTACGAATGGGATTTGCAGTCACTGCACTAGCAAAGAAGATACAACAAAGCATATTCTTCGTAACTTACACGAGATCGAAGGAATTCTGGACAAAATATAGGTAGAAGCTCATTCAAAGGAGCATTGGGATTACATTTCCTTCCAAAAGTGGATGATTTTAAATCTGACTAATGAGGAGAATGATGTGGATTTCAAAATAATATTTTGGCTCTCATGGCCCATGGGGAACAAAGGAATTCATAGTGTATAAAAGGTAAGGTTTATTTATGAGTTTGCTCTTATATGTAGAATCGAAGTTGGGTTCAACAACACTAGGCAAGCACAACAAAGTGTCAAAGAGGAGCATTCTCGTACATGAAGTACCAAAGACTAATCAACTTCTTACTAGGGAATCACTAGCAGAAGGGTGGATCCAAATCCAAATTGACGGATTAGTGATGCCCGACTCAGGACAAGTTGTTACTAGAGGGTTGTTGAGGGATCACTTGGGTGGGTGTACCGGTGAATTTGTTCACAATCTGGAGACTTTCTCTATTACAAGCGCTTAATTAGCTAAAGGGTGTTGTAGAGGGGCTGAGTCTTGCTCTTGCACGACAAAAAGGGTATCGAAAGATTTCCCTCGCCCTAGACTCCTCGACAGCAGTTGGCATGATAAAAATAGGATGATTGATGACCACAATCATGGACTATTCGTGGAGCATATTGATAACCTTTTGAGTAGTGATCGGACTGTGTTTGTTAACAATATGTATAGAGAATGCACCTTTGCAGTCGATTATTTAGCTAATATGATTCATTTATCCCTTTTAATGAGCGACCCAAAATTATGTGGATTATGGGCATTGTCTAAGACAATAATGCTAATTGACACTAGGAGGCAAATTAGCGTGTATCTTTCTACCAAAAAATAATACAAGCCCAACCAAGACTAACAGTATGTCTGGACCTGACCAGCCAAGTTAGTTTAGCTGGTCCAAACTGCGAACGAAGAGCCCAGCCCGCATGGCAGCATCCATTGGGATGGACAGGACCATCCCTCTAACCCTTTGAACCTACTTAACGTTCAGCCCATGGACGCAAATATGGTGAATGTCTCCACTCCAGCCCATAATATGTATAATTAATTGTTTGGGCCGTCAGATAACAGAACAAGGCCGTAGAAAGGGGAAAGAAAGTGGATCACTTTTTTTTTTTTTTGACAATGGAACATCTTCTATTATACCAAACCAGACAAGCAGAACCAAAAGGCTACAACAAGGGTGAAATCAAATTTGCAATGACAATCCAATCTTGTGGTAAGAGATCAAGTCGGACATTCCTAGCAACCCAATCCGCAAGAGAATTAAATCGCCGAGGAACGAAGGACAACTTGATCCAAGGAGCCCCCTGAAGAAGAGACACAATCCGGGCCACGGTTGCACGACATTGCCAAGGCCAATCGCAGGGGTCTTGAATAAGAGCCACAATCAAACGTTGGCAGTCGCTTTTGATACACGTCGGACATGACACTTGGGCCGCCAACACCACAGCACCCAGAATAGCAAATGCTTCTGCCTGAATCGGGTAGGAACAATAGAACCTCTCAGCCTTGCCGTCAATCACCTGACCGTGGGCATCAGCAATGGTAATCCCACAAGCCGCCAACTGAGACTCCGAAACAAAGGAGCCGTCACAGTGCACAATTCGTTCAAAAGGGCCAGGCGGTGGTGAGGGGTTTCGACGGGATCCCCTAGGCTGAGAATGACAACTAGCTGATCTCAGGATCGAGGACAGTGAGGTTGTCTCTCGAGCTTCGTTGATGTTCATGAATTCACGATTAGCTAAAGTCGCCGTGATGGCTGGGGAAATAGCCCTGCTCTCAAAGATGAAACCATTTCGAGCCTTCCAAATACTCCATAAACAGCAGACAAGGCGGGCAATCTGCTCATCCGACATTTGATCCTTGAGGCTAAAGAACCACTCTGCAAAGGACATATAAGGATCAGGAAAGGTTGTCAGTAATCCACAGAGTAACCATGTGTTATGAGCATGCTGACAATGAAAAAAACAATGGAGAACAGTCTCATCCTGATAATTGCATAAAGGGCAGGTGGAGGCTGGAGCACACTCGCGCGAGAAAAGGCGTGCTCGAGTTGCAAGAGCATTCTTCGAATTTAGTTTCCGAGGTAGGTTGTTGGCCCCAACCCAATACTAATCAGTAATAATCACTAAGGCTTGAGTGAGACGGTAGCTAATAGTTAGTAAATACTTCGTTAAATATATGAACTTATGTATATTATGCATTTAAAATTTATGTTTTCATATTACTATTTAATTATTTATTTTATTTGATAACTCTCCGACTAAATACTTATAAGTTATAACATTCATACATTGCGTTTAGTATCCATATGCAGTGAATTAAATTGATAATTCAAATATTAATTACACATTTATGAATTGGTATAATAATTAACTTTATATATTTTATGATTATTAACATATTATCCAACGTATCATAAGTTTAGAGACGAAGTAAAATTCACGTATATAATTGATATGTAACTTGTCTGTACCGTATTTTACTAACTATGAGTGTTAGTTTAATTACAACAAATCTTGTCCAGTCCAATTAACTCAGTGGTTGTTTGAATCAAGGATTTGAAAATGAAGTATTGGTGATGGATTTGGTTCATTCTGAGACTTGAGAAAATTTTGTTGTTTGAACGTTATAAATTTTATGATGGATTGTGTTAATTAGTATTTGTGGTTTAAATTTTGATTTACTGTACTTTCCCTCTAGTATTTTGTTATTTTCATTTAATTTACTTATTTTTAAAGGAAAATTTTCAAATCCTTTTTTTCTTGTTTGGATGTAATTCTGTTGGAAAATGAATTCCATTTCTTGTGAGAATCTGAATTCAAGTGGGAATTCATTTCAAGAGTTTATGTTTGGAGCAAATCCAAAAGTTTGGGAAATGATTTCATCTTTTTATGTTTGAAAAAATGGAAATGATTTCTTACAACAGCTTTTACAATAATATCTTTGGTATTAATGATTTCAAATCCAAAAGTAGTAAGGGCTTTCTTGTAAAGATGAGTCAAAATTAATGTGGGGTCCACTAATTCCATCACTCCCTCCACCAATTCCGACCACTTTTGGTAGGATTTAGAATTTCCAACTTTTTACCTTTTGGAAATCCATTTTCTTTTTAGTTTTTTACTTCCAAACATGAGAATCATGAAAAGTTTGAGAATTGGAATTCCATTTCATCAAAATTTAGCCTTTCCTAACAGGTTGTTCATTCTCGAGAGCCAAAATTTATTTTTTATCCAAATTCTTGTTCTAAACAATCTTAAACATTTCATTCTCAAAATCCTGATTTCAAGATCCATGATGGTTAGTGGTTGTGGAAAACGGTGTAGTTTGGACCAGACCATTCTATACATAGTATTTGCGGTCTAGATTGAGAGGATAGAACACAGACCATGAACAAGATCATATGCTATGCGGTCTAGACCACGTCGATACGGTGTGGTCCGATACGGTATGGGCTAGGCAAACCATGCTCAACAAAATTTCATTATTCCTCGTTCCTCTTATCATCCCTGATATCCATAAAAATAAAATGTTTAGTGCCAATATCATAGTGAAAAAAATTTAGTGATTGTAACTAACCCACGAAGAAATATGACGGGAGTAGTGGACTCTTTTGATTTCTTACTCCCACTACAGTTTTCACTACTCTATATGGTATTCACTTAAAATAAAGTATACAACAAATAAATTCCTCTCCCTCTTTTTGTGCTAATCGCTTCTCTCCCTTTTCCAGGTGGGCCGAAAGATTATCAATCAGAATTCCCATCGCGAAGATTTCGAGACCGTTTCAAACAACTGGGTTTTAGTCACTTTGCTCGACATAATTTCTCTTATCTCTCACCCAGGTAATAAATTTTGTTTTGCATTTTTATATCATCAACTCCAGAGTTTAATCATGGCAAGTGGAGATGATTTTCTCATATTTTCTTGTTTTGTGTGGTTCTTTCATTAGAAGATAACGCAAAAGGCATTGCTTGAGTAGTCGTTTGGTTTTCACTTGGACGAGGAATCAATATATTGGTTGTGCTTGTACTGAAATCCATAATAGTAAGATCATATTTTTTGTTCGCCATGGTTGCATTGATCAGGCTTGAGTTGTTCTTCCAAACGCAGAAATGGAGGTTTAGTGTTATTTTTTGTTCGAATTAGTGAGTAGTGGGTCACGGTCTGCCATAGTAAACCGATGTTTCTCGCGGTCCAAACTACGTCATCATAGGAATATTTTTCTCCTTTCAAGATTTCAAAGACGAGTCCCGACGAGAGCAAACGAAACGAGTAAAATAAACTTCTTTCTTCGTTAAAGGGAGAACACATACCAGACTTGACCGTAATTCTTGTCTCACAATCCAGATCAAACCATGCGATTTGATTTAAACTTTAAACCACAGTTTCCCATACAGTTTGATCGGATTCCCAACCCTAATGAACAACTCTCCTCCACTCCTCTTCCCCTTAATTCACTATTGCCGCTGGGATAATGACTGAATTTTAAGTTACTAATTAAGATTCTGGGATGAAGGAACAGCAACAAAGAAGGTAGTTTAGTAAATATGCTGAGGGAGCAGGCGACAAAGAAGAGCCATCACCCTGTCCACACCATTTTAATCTAATCATGGTCAGACCTTGGATTGGACCCTCCACTTAATCTCCGGTGGATTATATAATAATGGCGTCCCACGACGGTGAAATTTTTGTAATTACGTGCACCTCATCACTAGCCGGCGAAAATATTGTAGCATACAAGCTTTCCTCGTTAAGATATTGTCTGTTTTTGTCATATTTTGTAGAATTTTATTTTTGTATTTAACTTCAGACTTTTTACAAGAATTTTTTCATTTTATTCAAAAACGTTCTTGCAGTTAAAATTGGAATGTTTCATATGAACCATAGATCTCTCTCATGCTTTGTCGAAGTGAGATTTACCTAAAGTGTCACCCTCCTCCCCCAAGGACGCAAGGTCCTTGTTGAGGTTTTGCCCCACCATCGTTCAAGAGGGACGTATAGAAGATCTCTGATACCAATTGTAACATCTCGACCCTTTCTGACCAATATATTGTCCGCTTTGAGCCTACCCCGCATGGTTTGGCTTTTGAGTGCATCACAATTACTTCCCGGAAGGTCACACATCTCTGCACTGCTCCACGCTGAGCACACATTTAACTTCAGAGTTCTTACAAGAACTTTTCCATTTCACTTCAAAACACGTTTTGTTAATTAAAATTGAATTGTTTCATATGAACTATAAATTTCACTCGTGCTTTGTCAATATGGTATTTGTCTGAAATGTTACGAAGAGAAAAAAAAAACTTTGTTATTTGGCTGAAATTAATGGATCAGCTCAATTATTTTATTATCCTTCGGATAGATATGTAGCTGAAACATATCACTCTAACTCAAAATGTTACAAGATTTGTCAAATCACGTTAATATTATTCGGAAAATCTCAGATCGAGATTTAATATATAAACAACACAGGTAATTAGTTTTTTTATGAGTGGTTGGTTTAAGGTTTATACTAAATGACATATATCAAATTCGTAAACCTGTCATAAATTTTATGTATTATAAAATTAGGGAGGGTACTATAATTAAACACACTATTAGTGATGGTAGCCAATAATACATAAGAAAATAGTATCTTGACTACAGTCGACCCTCAGTCCCTCACATAATTAGAAAACAGGTATATGGAAAAAACAATGGGCTTCTAAAACTTGGGTCGAGTATGGGTCCACGTAATTATGTGCAACCATAATGGGAAACCCTAATTTTGTCCGCCACATATATACAAGTAAAATAAGCATTTGCATTCTTCCATATTGATTAAAATCTTTAATTGATAATGAAATCATTAGTACTTAATTAAATAAAGAAATACCTAATACACAAGAACTAGTCATATGCTGTAGACATCAAAGCTGATCAGTACGTATATCAACTCTTCCTTTTTTTCTTCTTCTTTAATTTCTAATGAATTTAGTAATTTCAGAAACTTGTATAAATGATAGATGCACATACCCAAAAAATAAAAGAAATCAAATCGGCTTAATCAAGAGCTCTCATCTTCGAATATTCACGACTTCTAAAACCAATTGTTGATTTAAACAAATTATGATAGGACAAGACTATGGAAAAACTACGTATATATATCGAGGCTAGCTGGTTTTCCAAAACTGTGGTTATTAACAAACAATCACAGAAATGGAGGCAGAATAATGATCATTAGTGGGAAGCAGATTAATTAGTGACCCACCTGATCTGATGATCAATCTTGAGCACTACTCATAGACATTAAACAACAACTGTGGGAGCTCCTATATATATATTAATCATCATGCCTACGCATACATTGCAAATTTGCAGCAATGAATTGCAGGCAAGTAAAGCAAAAAACGAACGAATGATGATGATGATATTGGTATATACTGTTTTAGGGTTCCCTCCCACTTTCCCGAAAGGGCATAGACTAAGAAACCAAATCTAGTGGGTTATAACCCATAATACAGAGATCATTATATTGATTACCAAACAACATGAAACGTAAACCAATCAGCAGTTTTCGAGCTAGGGATTCCTTTGCTAATGGGGAACATCATTATATATGCAGCACTTGGGCTACAGATGGAGTTCAAATTAGCCCAAATCAATCGAGTCAACTCCACCCTAATTGCTACTGTGGCTGGGATCGATCTCTGCATTAATGTTAATTATCATTTGTCGTAGGCCCAATATGTTCCCGTTTAATTTACTCTTTTGCTGCTGTGCGTTTCCTCCTTCTCCTCCTCTTGTCTGCGAGTGTTTTACATGCTGGCGAGTGGCGATAGGCTAGAGCTTATTTGTATAAAAAAACTCTACAAACCATTTTCAAATCATTCGAGTTATTGAAACAAAGTGGTTTGTTGGTTTACATGGTATTGTAGCCTTCGATCAATAGGTCAAAGGTTCAAATCCTTGTAACCCTCCAATATAAACGATTGGTTTACCCCAAGGAATGATATGTTTATAATATAATGTCTGCAAACCGTAAGCCTGATGGTTTAGCACAAGACATGATATGTTGATCAACTTGAGCAAGCTGAAACCCCCACAAGTTGACTTTCATTTGAGGGGGTTTGATACAAACCCATTTTTTCCAACAACTCGAGTTATTGGTGTTAAGTGAATGGTATATATATGATCCATCATTGAACATCTCCCAACAACTCGAGTTATTGAGAATAACTGGTTCTTGACATGGTATCAGAGCCTTCTGTGACGGCCGAGAGCTCTTTTCTTCGAATCCCAACGACCCCCATCCGTTCTATTAAGCACATTAGTATCCGGACATGTGCAAACTTCAAATCTGTATAAGTGGCTTTTTCGTTTGATGTGGTGTGTTAATAAGTAAACAGTATATGATTCATTATCAAACCTCTCCCGATCGACAACTCGAATTAATTATCGGGACCAAATGATTCTTGATTTCAAACCTATATGAATGGCTTTCGTTTGAAGAGATGTGCTGAGTAAATGGTATATGATCCATTATCGAACTTCTCCCAACAACTCGAAATATTAGAATCGAACGGATTCTTTAACAATCGAAACTAAGTGGTTCATCGAAATGTGAAAACGAGGAAGGAGATCATCGAACATATGGTATGGCCCAACGCCAACGAAACTGCTGTAGATATAAGTTATAGCCTAATTTCACCATCTTTGCTTAATTGGCAGCAGGGCAACTAGCTATAGCCAGGCTAGCTATGATCATCGCTAATCACCCCACCTGTGTCCTATCTGTTGGGATCATATACCAACCAACCACTCCCCCGCACAGCGACAAACAACATTCAATCGTGTTAAGGATTTTCCTTGTTTTAATCATTCATTAATTACCATAATTCCGAATAAAAATTGGACAAATGCATCATGATTATGCCTGCGGCCTCTGATTCTTTCATTCGCTGCTGCTAATAACAAATAGCTTTATGTCCCAGTGGATCGGGAATCTTTACCAGTCACGGCGACGTGTGAATGCATACAAGCGATCATCCTGTCCTTACGATCATCCAGCAGATCATTTAAACCATTAATAATTAATTAATTAAGCTCTCTCTCTCTCTCTCTCTCTCTCTCTATTATAATGGTTTCTTAATTCGGTCATCAACAGATGGATCCATGATACTGAATGTTTGAATGCTAAACAATATTAGTTCAATTTCATTTGCTCTACTACCTAGCTAGTGAGTAGGGATTAATTAAGTTACCTTAAAAAAAAGAAGATATGTAGGAATCATACAAACTAGACCAATAGGCCTAACTAGCTAGCCACAAGAGATGGCACGAATAATTAGTTGATGAAATTTGTGAGCTCGATCGAGGTGAAAATTGAATGCTTGTCATACGAGCCTGTGATTTGCTGCAAGGGTTTACATATAATGATGAAGAATTAAAAAAGGGGCAAGATGCAAAAAAGTTTTTTTTAAAAGATGATATAAGTTAGTTTGTTATTATAGTTAATAAGCTCCATATGTCAGGGATTAGAACATGGTGTTTCAGATTCAATATCGATGATAATACCATTAGATCAAGTCATTGTTCGCAAGATGCAAACAAGTTCATCATTAACAATTGATTAGAGTTTTGGTTGTTGTAGGATGCATGCATGTGTGACCCTCTCATAACCTTTTTTATAAATAACATTAGCAAAAGCACGCTCGCTATCGCTTCGCGTATCATAAAAATAAATATTTTATAGAGTAATAGTTTTAAGGTAACATAGTCGTACTCTTTTGGTTATTTTTTTTTGTTTGAGGTAATCGTGGTTCTCGTTTATGAATTTTTGGGACTGATTGCAGATTTGAGGATATTCAACTCGCATTGGTCGGGTCAAATTAGGTTGGATGCCCATGAATTTGAGTTCAATTGTCTTTCTCAAACAAAAGGAAAAGGCGAAATGAAAAATACTAAAGGTAAAACTCGCTACCGACTCAAAAGTCGTCAATACCAGGTTCAACTCGCTTTGACCCGGTGGAACCGAGTTTCGAGAAAATTCACACCTAACACAACCCGACAATTACAAAAACAGATAAAACTTGCTCTCGCCGAAAACTTGTAAACACCAGGTTCAAGTTGCTTTGGTCGGGTCGAATTAGGTTGGATACTCATGCATTTGGACTCAATTGTCATTCTCAACCAAAAGGAAAAAGATAAAAAGATACAAAAGTGGATATATAAAACTCACTCGCGACCCTAAACTTTCAACACTGCGTTCAACTCGCTTTGATTAATATCATGTGCACGAATCCGGGAAATCGATAAAAAAAACAAAAAAGACAACGATTAGCAAGAAAGTAAAGAACACAGGGATTTATGTGGTTCACCAACGCAACGTCTGTTGGTTAGTCCAGTGCACGGAGAGAGCCAACTTCACTATACTTGAAGAGATTCTTTCGATACAGATTACTAACCTGAGAAATATTTATAGTACTTTTCCAAACGGCCTAACCTTAATCCAATATGATTATAAAGAATAAAGTTATAAACCATAATCCAGCCCAAAAGCTCAAACGTATACAAGCCCATACAACAACATTCCCGTGACTTCAAATCGAGCACAAATCATCAACTTTTTCCAGTCACATTTAACAATTAACAATCATCCAAAGAAATTAAAGATGTTCCCATATAAACCAATGGGGATTTTAGACATTGATTTCCTATGATGTCAAGAAAGACTCTGGCATCGGTTTGCCCAAACACACGACGACGACGTATTGAAACTCCAGGTTTGGAAGTACGTAGCTGGTAGGGTTTAATTTACTCCACCCTTTGTTGACGAGAAAGAGGGTTTGGCTGCTTTAGACCGCAGGGGAATCAAGCAAGTTTATAGTGTCTTGTAGTGCAGAGGAATACCGGACACGAAGATACCCTCTCCCTCCTCTAAATGAACAAATATCAACACCACATCTCTGTCATAACACTACTAATTATGTAACTCAACAACTCCATCATCAATTAATTACTGATAAATAAACAATAGTGTTGGAGTAGTACTAATCATGTACACCGTCGATTTTGAATGCATATACGAAATACGTATTACAATATTTGTGTCCACCAGTGTTGTTTGCCGACCATTCTCAAACTTATAAGCTCGAGTCATGACATGCACGAGTCATGTGAGGAGGGAGAACGGCTAGATCCATCATATGCCATTTCAACCGTCGACATTCTAAAACTTATAAGCTTCACGAATTTGAGTCTCGGAATAAGATCAAACTTTTTTCCTTGAAAATATATCTCATCAATAATGTTTAAGCACACATTATTATACTTATTCTGTATAAACTTCATTCATGAAGTAAAATAAAAATAAAAATATTATGGTATTTGAATATTTATATTGTCTTTTGAAATTAAAAACATACCATTATTAGACTTATCAAGAAGTACGTGTAACATGCATTAATTAATCTAACCTACCCTAATTATAATATGAGTTGTACTAACGGGAGATAATTAAACTAAAAGGCAATAATTAATCGAGAATTCCCACACACTCTCTCTACCGTTACTCTTACTACCATATCACCACTTGCCTTTCTATAAATACCGCACTCTCTCCCTCTACCTTAATCCACTGCCTCTTCTCTCTCTAATCATAGTATCCCTCCTTCCTCGAAGTGTCTGATCATCATAATTAGCTTAAGCTAAATTAACCTCACTTAACGACGTGGTCGTTAAACAAACAATGGCTTCCATGACGGCGTTTTCAGCGACGGTCGGTTGCTACTTCCCACCGCCCTCCACCTCCATAAAAGCTCCATCCCTTTTCCGTTGCTCCTGCAGCACTCCTGCCGACGGTGGCTCCGCCTTCTCTAGAAAACGAGAGGCGGCCGGCGGCGGTGGGAGTCGGGAAGCTGTCGTCGCTGGCGCTGCCACCCAGGCACCGGCGGCTTTCGTCCCTTCGCCGTCTGGTGACGCCGACGTGAAGAACCACACGGCGTGGACTAGCGTCCGGCAGGAGCGGTGGGAAGGCGAGCTGGCTGTCCAAGGACAAATCCCTCTCTGGCTGGTAATTCCTAAATATACTTAAATATTAATAATTATGTTTTTTTGTATATGACTTAGTAAAGTTCAAAATGGATTTTTTATATGTTTAGAAATTTACGTACATAGACATAGTCATTAGAATGTGAACCAACCAATTCAATTAGCGGGCGGATAAAATGGATGCAAGTTCTTGTACGTTATTGGGCGTGTTTTCTTAAGATGATCCACCCGTCCCGCGATAATGAAATTTATATTGTTAATTATTAGATTAGATACTCTCGATATATACATTTTTCTAATATCTCATTTGAATATAGTTTGATGATATTGATATACATGCTCTCTCTTTCCGGCTCTTTCTCTTGGCCTTTTCGCGTAAGTAGTTCACTTTTTTTTTTTTTATTGGTTTTATTAGTAAAAACAACAATAACAAGTGTGGTCAATTATGGAAATCAAATATTTACAACTCGACAAAATATGTGAAGAGTTCAAGAAAAGAAAAAGGATATGGTTTGGGATTTACGATCAAATTAAACGTTACATATCCTCGACTTTCAAATGATCAAATTATACAAATTAAAAATTTAAACACTCACTTTATAGGATATTATATGCCTAACATTTTTCTGGATGAAGTATACATCTTTTTTGGGTCATTCTCGTTTCGTTCGTATTATTTTGCACTTTTGAGGTTTCATAGAGTCACCTTTTGTGACAAATAGGTTCTTTTATCGATATTTCAGTAGCATACAGTCTACTGTATTCTATATTTGTCAATCTTATAAGTGTATTGCTAGAACAATAACCTTTAGATTTATCTTGAAGAAGGGGAAAAATAGAGATAAAAACATCGATCTATTACACCATCATCCCTTACTTCCCTCCTTCAAGGTGGTTATCTTTTGCGAAAAAGTTATCCAACACACCTAAAATACTCATGAAATCACCTAAAATAATCCTAGCAATCTCATTCATCTTCATTGGATACCTATAATGATATAATAAAGAATTACTCTCTATGCTCCAAAAGAATTTCCCTTGAAACGATAACATTAATTAATAACAAATTGTCCGGATGGAATGATACTTACTGGTTAATTTTGTCGCTCGGAAGGGAAATTCAAGAACATGAATAATTAATTATGTCCAATCATAGTGGAAAAAAAGAATTAATATGTCTATAGTTAACCGCATTTTTCATTACTTTTGCAGAGTGGGACGTACCTCAGAAACGGGCCAGGGTTATGGCACCTAGGCGACTACAACTTCCGCCACCTCTTCGACGGCTACGCCACCCTCGTCAAGCTCCACTTCCGCGACGGCCGCCTCGTCTTCGGCCACCGCCAGATCGAGTCGGAGGCCTACAAGGCCGCCACGAAGAACAACAAGCTCTGCTACCGCGAGTTCTCCGAGGTCCCCAAGACGGACAGTTTCCTGTCCTACATCGGGGACCTCGCCAACCTCCTGTCGGGGGCCTCCCTCACCGACAACGCCAATACCGGTGTCGTCAAGCTGGGCGACGGCCGCGTCGTCTGCCTGACGGAGACCCAGAAGGGGTCCATCGTGGTGGACCCCAACACCCTCGACACCCTGGGGAAGTTCGAGTACACGGACTCCCTGGGCGGGCTGATCCACTCGGCCCACCCGATCGTGACCGAGTCCGAGTTCCTGACCCTCCTGCCCGACCTGATCCGACCGGGCTACCTCGTGGTCCGGATGGAACCGGGGACCAACGAGCGAAAAGTGATCGGTCGGGTGGACTGTCGAGGCGGGCCCGCCCCCGGGTGGGTCCACTCGTTCCCCGTGACCGAGCACTACGTGGTGGTCCCCGAGATGCCGCTGAGGTACTGCGCGGGGAACCTGCTCAAGGCCGAACCGACCCCACTCTACAAGTTCGAGTGGCACCCGGAGTCGAGCGCGTACATGCACGTCATGTGCAAGGCGAGTGGCAAGATTGTCGCCAGCGTGGAGGTACCACTTTTTGTGACGTTCCACTTCATCAATGCGTACGAGGAGAAGGACGAGGATGGGCGCGTGACGGACGTGATTGTCGACTGTTGCGAGCATCAGGCTGACACGACTATTTTGGAGAAGCTGAAGCTGCAGAATCTGCGGTCTTTTACGGGCGTGGATGTGCTTCCAGACGCTAGGTGCGTGACACATCAAAGTGATCGACTCTTATTAGAGTGTGATTCGAATTTTTCGTACCGAGTCCAAATACTTTAACCACTTGTACGTGTGTTTCGAATTATGTAACGCAGGGTGGGGAGGTTCAGGATTCCGTTAGATGGGAGTCCGAATGGGGAGTTGGATGCAGCATTGGACCCCGATGAGCACGGGAGAGGGATGGACATGTGCAGCATCAACCCTGCTTTCTTGGGGAAGAAGTATAGATATGCTTATGCCTGTGGAGCCGAACGTCCATGCAATTTCCCAAACACACTCACCAAGGTATGTTTAGTAGTAGTACTAGATCCGACGGTAAATCGCAGCTTATCTTAAACCGTTTTGTCACGTCATCTTATGTTCAACGACTTTCATCATGTTAGAAATTAAAGAGAATTTCGAGCTTGTCACCTCATCTTCTTATGGATTTTTAATTACACATCTGTGTTTGTTGCGTAGATTGATTTGATGGATAAGAAGGCTAAGAACTGGCACGACGAGGGCACCATTCCGTCAGAGCCGTTCTTCGTGGCCCGACCAGGTGCAACAGAGGAAGATGATGGTGAGCTACACATCCATCTAGCTAGCTCCAATTTGTTAAGCGCGTTAATGATGGATTAAGATTCAAATATTAGGGTGCTTAATGACAGAATCATTTTGTGATTAATGTGTGGTGATTATTAATTATGATTAGGGGTTGTGATATCGATGGTGAGCGAGGCAGATGGAGGAGGTTACGCGGTGCTGTTGGATGGTTCCACATTCGAAGAGATTGCAAGAGCAAGATTCCCTTACGGTCTTCCCTACGGCCTCCATGGAGCCTGGGTCCCTAGCTCCAGTTAAACAAAATGCTGTAAGAGAGAGCTTTTTGCGACGACTGCCGTATCGGTTACCAAAAGCTGTAAAATGGTCGGCAAAGTTCTTTGGCCACCATTTTGTTGATTTTGTGACCAATGGCTCTGGTCACGAGAAGCTCATTATCCATATAGCGGGATGAGAAAAAAAAAAAAAAAAGAAGTTAGTGTTATAGACCATAATACATAATTTGGGATACTAGTGTAAGTGGGAAGGAACTTGTGCAAAATTAGATCTGCATAATCTATAAAATCTTGTATCTTACTGTTCCTAATTTGTGTTAGTGATGTTAATATTTTTGTTAGGAAGAGTAAGATACGAGAATGTGTAGATTTTGCAGATTTGGGTTTTGCCCAAGAATGAAAGTGGTAGTACTTGTGGTGTTCATTGTGGGTGTTTACTGTTTGTGTATGTATGCACCAAATGGAGGCAGCAGTATGAAAGACGTGTAGCTCTAGATAGGCAGCTTCTTTCTATTTATCAACTGCTATATATCTCCTTTCATGTATGGATATCGTCGTCGTTATTGTATATAAATGACTGTAAGTTCATCAATGAAGTTGGTCATTACGTGCAAATCTCTCACTTCTTCTTCTTCTTGGTCTCTTGTGCATGTTGCCTTCGATAAAATTACATTAATGTGCTAATTAGTGGAATAACTAATTAATCCATACAAGAGTAATTATTATAAACGGAAAATGGTGCAACAAGATGATGAACCCATTCATTTTCACTAATATTTTTTTTTGTTAGAAAGTCATATTAATTGTAAACTAAAGATGATATCTACAATGATATATTTTGAAAGAGAAAAATAACATGTTATTGATAGGGTGATATCCCATCTTAGCAATTAGCACTTTGTAAATATGTGTCTTGCTCAAAAAAAAAAAACATGGCAGTTTAATGAAATTTAACAGGAAAAAATCATTGTCAAGTTGGGAGATTTAAATTGAATGTGTCTGACTCCTAGCTAAGACTCATCGGACAAAGTTAACGGAATTTAACGGTCAGTGTGACCAATTGTGAAACTAATATGTAAAGTGAGTGGCCACTAAAGCAATTAAATTTTTTAGTGGCAAGAAGGAGCAAAAAAAATTGTACTCGACAAATTTGAACCATGGTTATTGGGGAAGGGACTAGAGTCTTACCAACTAGTTTATTTCTCAATCTATGTTACAAATTTTACATATATATTTATCTACATTTAAAAGTTGGGGCTCTCTGCCACTGCTGTGTAAGTGTTATTACTCTCTTATGTATAAGCAAGAATAATTTTCACAATACGCATATCAGAATGTAGACAACACAAAAAAAAAAAAAAATTTAATATTTCAACTAATAAAAAAGATATTATTCATTAAGAAATTAGTTTGAGTGGCCATCGCCCATCCTATTCCTAACTTCTAGGTAATTCACCCAACTTAAGTTTGTTTTCACACTGATGATTGATGCAGCTTGGCCGTTTTCGCTGAATCCAAGTCGAGTTGGGAGAACAAAAAGAATAGAAAGATGTAGCAGTCATGAATTATGTAAGAATGCAAATAATGTCAATTACTAACTTTCTGTTAAATCGCAGATATTTTTAACTAAAATACACTATCAAGTCAAACACAGAGGGTAAGTAAGAAACGAAAATCATTGCCGGCGGCCAGCTCTGCTCAACGTTAAAGGTAAACTGACAAAGCCCCATCCTTTTCACTGCAAATATCATTGGCCATTGATTGGCATTATTCAACTAGAAATTCCTACCGAATCAATCGGAATGCCTGCGGTAGAGTGGATAAGACAATCACTTTGAGACAAAACAAAGGCATGATGACTTCTGAGGATGACAACGACGACGACCCTGTTGCTATAAACGACATGCAGAGTGTAAATGGATGTGGTAAACTATGATATGGGTCGAGCTCAGCTGATGAGGTGAACAGTCTGCTTGATAAGGGTCTCTCGATGAGCATCATTTCTGGTCTGTGTAAACGGCATCCACGTCGTCAAGCTCTAGCAGTTTGGACATGAGCTCTCTGTTCAAGTCTACTGCCTCGTCGTCTACCTGGAAAAAGGATCATAACAACACAGATTTTCCGACGTATCATGATCAGTTGGTTAATGTCAAAGTCACTGTGATGAAGATAGCTGCCACCTGCCAGAAAGACTTTTTTTTTTCCCCCGCAGAGATAAAGGGTAAACACTCGCCCCTGTGGCTCAACCTTTAACCCTTTTGGAAGAAAATGATGAATATGACCCACAACTCAAATTATAGAGGCGAAAATTACCAGAAATTCAAATTCTGGTTTGTTCTGTTCAACCAGAATATGAAGCCCTGTCAAATTGAGGTACCAGGACCAAAGCAGAAGCGCAGGAGAAAGATTGGATGGAATCTTAGACGGAATTTGAAATCTGGGCCATTTTCATCTCAACAGTTTCAGTTTTTGGACCATATTCATCATTTCGGGAAAAAATGTAGCTTTTCATCCAAATGAGCAAAAGTTGGGTCGTATTGAGGTATTTTGCCGAAAAAGAAAAAAAAAGAATCAACAACGATGGTGTTGTATACCTCAATATTTGCTATGGGAATCAGTTCGGAACCATTATCTGTCTCAAAAGCAATTCCTTCTTCACGCAGCTTTGATAATATGGCCGTGTAATTCTCTGTCGAGCTCACAATTTTGTAGTAGCTATATCAAATTAAGAGAAGGAATTGTCAGGAAGTCAGCATAATTCACTTGCTGCCTTAGTAGCAAAATCCTTGACTAAGGATAACTGATGCTACGAGGAAATTCTGAAGGAACAGAACTGTTACCTTTGGGACATATCTTCATCACTCTCATCATCATAAACCGAAGGTTCAATAACATCCTCAGCACCAGCATCTAAAGCAATGTTGAACAGCTGGTCTTTATCAGCATCGTTCGCTCTCACGTTCACAACCCTAGCACGTCTGAACTTGAACATAACAGATCCTGAGTCTGCCATCTTCCCTCCATAATCCTTAACCACCTCTCTAATAGCCGCCACGGATCTATTTACTTTGTCTGTCGACACTTCCACAACCATGCTCACTCCCCCATAGCCATACACCTATAAGTGGAAGCACAAACGTTATAGAGGAACCAGGAAGGAAACCAACTACCCTTTGCTATGTGCATCAAGGGAGAACAAGCATTGTTTACAAACCTCATAAATTTTCTCAATGTAGGCCTCTTGCCCCTTCTCGGAAGCCCTCTTAATATTGCGCTCCATAATTTCCTTGGGTACATCAAGCTCCTTGGCTTTCTCAAGTACAGCAGCAAGAGCTGTATTTGAAATTGGATTAGGACCACCCTTCTTTACACTACATTACAGATAGGAATCTTAAATTGTAACCCATCGGAGGAGATCATACAAGTCATGATTCTTTGGACAGTAATTCTACTTACGCAGATACGACTTCTTTTCCAATCCTTGAATAAAGCTTCGCCTTCTTGGCATCTTGAGCTCCCTAAATTTAGCACATAATGAAACAATATCGATGAGCAAGAATGTCCATCTCCCATCAGAAACCTAAATTTCCTGGATCCTACCATGAGGGAGTACAATAGTGAGAAGGAACTGGATAACTATCAGAGAGCTACACAACAATAGTAGCCATTTAGGCATTTCATCAAACAGATGGCGTGCATGCCACTGGACATCGTATGACAAGCAAAACCTAGACCAATTCCACCCGAAATTAGACCAGGAAAGACAAATACACCCATCTCACTTCAAATGAACAGAAGATACTAAAATGTGAGGCAATCCCTGTGTGAGGAAGTACTAAAAAACACAATGTGGTTCATTCACTAGTGAAGTATCAACACTACCAAAACAACCCAATGTTGGACGACCGATGGGTTTAGTGGGAGACTAATATAAAGGCGAAAGGGGTCAGAAAGAAGAGACCTTCCTGCCAGCAATTTTGCTGGAACGCCGACCCATACAAACAACAGGGGATGTCCATATCCTTCTTCTGAAGTTGCCCATATGATCCTTCTCCGCACATCTCTCCTTGCCCGGAAACAGCGAAGCATTATTAGACCAAAATGCCGAAGATGAAACCGCCCTGCCCAGAAGATGACATCCTGAAGGGGGGAAAAAAAAATTGCAACGTTGTGGAATTTAAGCGACTCATATCATCTGCTGCTCTAGTAAACAAGGAAGAAGAAAGAGTTGTTGAATGCTACATTACTTGGAGAAAGGAGAAGAAAGGAGGAGACGGTGGTGCTTGGGAGCTTGGAGGAGGTCCCAATGGAGAATCTCTGTAGAACTGTGCCCACTACTCTCATCGTTTGGATTTGCAGCCACGAGCAGAAGAAAGAAGCCGGCCGCTGACTCTGTACTTACCAATTCTCCATGGATTGGCAACGGAGCTGTGATCTTCAGAGCAGTCTTCTGCTCATTCTAGTTTCGAGTTTCGACCCAACAAGCTTGTTTTGTTTGTCGTGGTTATTATTGGGCTGGGCCAATACTCGTGTCTCAGTTAAAACCCGCCAAGTTACGCCCTGTGGGCCACTGCCTGCCAGGATCCATTTTATAAGCCCAAGCTCCGATAGGGCCACTGCACTCTGTTGTTTCGATAAGTTTTCAGAGTCCAATTTGGCGTAAAGTCGAATCAGTTAGGAATTTTTGTAGCTCAGACGAAGTTTAAACAAATATCATCCATGAATGATGAATCACATTCGACACCAAACAATTGTGTATTAATTTTTGATGACGATGAATATTATTATTGTTAATAAAATTAAAGTTCGAGAAAAGAAAACACAGACGTTAATCTACGTGACCACACTCTACCTCAAAATACGGACACAAAAATTATACATATCGATATAGATGTATATGATCTGTGTCATGCATAAATCATGATCTAATAGCGATACGGTGGCATGGACCCCAAGTTAATTATGTAATTTATTATTGGAGCTGTCAAGTTGCTGGTTTGTTGCATCTACTAGGGAAGTGTCATTATTTTAACATACTGTGATATCATAGTAATCAGTAAAATATCAGCTAGAGAACTTTCGTCTATAAATATATACACAAATGTATATTATATTATTCTGTCTGTCTAAGGCATGTGTTAGCAAGTTGACTATAAAACAACAATCTCACTAACCAAAAGCATCAGCTTTGAGTTTGTCATTTTACACTCAGCAAAAATACCTGTCCAGATTATCACAGCTAATAAGCAGAGCAAACAAATGAACAAAAACAAATCATGCACATACCTAGTCATATACATAATACATGTTTATACTTTATACTCTTTTTTTTTTTTGCGCAACAAGTTTCAACAATTATCGATATGATTGGAAATTTGGAATTAGTTGATCATAATTTTCAATTCAGACTGATGAATTGATACTGTTTTATTTAATTAAATAGATTAAGGTTTTAATTGATCAAAAAGTGATTCAAATAAGCAATTATCACAGAGAGCCCTAGAGATTAGATTACCGTTGTGGATGCATTTATCATCCATCTTGTGTATTTGGGAAAATCGGCAACGCATACAAATTATTTGAGATGCCAATAAATTGCTTTGTTTTCAATTTGAGTTTGTAGGGAGAGAAGGGAGATTAGGGTTTTATTTACAATGTTAAACACAACTTCTCAACTTCTTGTCTCATCAAAAATATTATTTGTTTTTGGTCATTTTGGTATAGTTATGTTTTTAGATGTATCATGTAAAAACTAATATGTTAATCTTGTCTGATCAAGATAGTCTCCTTGATCATTTTATAAATGTGGCCACATCAGAACGACCACAACTAGTATGATTGTCGACAAAACCGAATTCGAATAATAGCGAAATGTATTCAACCTACAATACGAATATCGAAAAATAACTGAACGTGACATTTGTAATATCAATTAACAAACCAACTTACGATAATGTATATGGACCCACAACTCTTGATCTCAACTTGCCTAGTTGCTTGTTGATCTTATTTTGGTGGTAACAGCAAACAAACACAGCCTAATCCTAATCAGATTAGTTGTGAAAGAAAAGGAAAATAAAATCCTGCTCAGTTGCTTTTCTTCTTCTGCCGACTACTTCGCTTTCTTTGTTTTTCGTCCCTTTTGTAGCGTGTGGGACTTTCTATATCGTCTTCTTCCCACATCCCCTTTCACTCTCTCTTCCCTGTCTCTGTCGCCGGGAAGCCATGGCTTCTCTCTTCAGAGACCTCTCCTTAGGCCAATCATGGAGGGAGTCCACTCCTTCTCCGCCGCCAAAGCTCCAAATCCAGCCCCCGCCGCCGATAATGTCCGTCAGGCCAGTCGCCGCCGATCTAGAGTGCCCACTCGGCCAGCTCGCCTCCCACCTCCCCGATTCCGACCTCCGCTCCGCCGCCTACGAGATCTTCCTCGCCCTCACCCGCACTTCCTCCGCCAAGCCCCTCTCCACCGCCGCCACCACCGACCCACCTAACCACCACCACAACCATTTGCCTCACTCCCCCAACTCCAGCTCCAACTCCAACTCGTCTCCGTCACTCCAGCGCTCACTCACTTCCGCCGCCGCAAGCAAGATGAAGAAAGCTCTTGGCTTGAAATCCCCAGGCTCCGGCTCCAAAAAGAGCCCCGGGTCTGGGTCTGGCTCTGGTCAGGGCAAGTCGAAGAAGCCATTGACGGTCGGTGAGCTGATGAGGATTCAAATGCGGGTACCGGAGGCTGACGATTCGAGGGTTCGGAGAGCTCTTCTGCGGATTTCCGCTGGTCAGGTCAGCTTTCTGTTTTTCAATTGAAGGTAGATCTATGTTTGACTTGAGCGCTCGCTTCAATTTTCACCATTTCCGGGATTCTTAATTGGTCGCCGTTGTCGTGGTAATGCGGATTCGATAGGTTGGCCGGCGAATCGAGACGGTGGTGCTACCGCTGGAGCTTCTGCAGCAGCTGAAATCCTCCGATTTCACCGATCATCAAGAATTCGAATCGTGGCAGAAGAGGACTCTCAAAGTTCTCGAGCTCGGGCTGCTCTCGCACCCTAGAGTTCCGCTCGACAAGTCAAACCCTACCTCCCAGCGGCTGCGGCAAATCATCAATGCAGCTCTGAACAAGCAGATGGAAACCGGGCGTAACAACGAGTCAATGCAGATTCTTCGCAGCGCGGTGACCTCTCTCGCTAGTAGATCTGATGGCTCATCGGTTTTGGACGTTGCCCATTGGGCTGATGGGATTCCGTTAAACCTTCGTCTGTACGAAATGCTGCTGGAAGCTTGCTTTGATGTGCATGACGACACATCCATCATTGATGAAGTGGACGAGCTCATGGAGTTTATAAAGAAGACTTGGACTGTGCTTGGGATTAATCAAATGCTCCATAACTTGTGCTTTACGTGGGTTTTGTTTCATCGGTTTGTCGCTACTGGCCAAGTGGAGACGGACTTGTTAGATGCTGCTGATGGGCAGCTGCTGGAAGTTGCCAAAGATGCCAAGACGACAAAGGATGCTGAGTATTCCAAAGTTTTGAGCTCCACTTTGACTGCGATCATGGGTTGGGCTGAGAAAAGGCTGCTTGCTTATCACGACACTTTCGACAGTCGAAATTCCGAGACCATGCAGAGCATCGTATCTCTCGGAGTGGCTGCTGCGAAAATTTTGGTCGAGGATATATCGAATGAGTACCGGCGGAGGAGGAAGAACGATGTTGATGTTGCTCGTAGTAGGATCGATACTTACATCAGGTCATCCCTCCGTACCGCTTTTGCTCAGGCAAGTCTATATCTTTCTATATCTGCATTACATTTGATATACGGGAGAAGGCGGGATAAGTATAAAGATATTATATTTGCTGTCATTTGCTTGGTACATCATTTCACGTGAGTAGCTTAAGGTGATTCAACCTTAAAGACAGAAAGGCGATAGCTTTAGATGTAAGAATTTCAGGTGTGTGTTTCTTAGGGAAACTAAATTCGCTAACGACTTCATTGTGATATGAATAGTCTACATATATTTGTTTGAACTGTTCTTGAGTTGGTGAGTTGACTGAATGTGTCAATGTGTTTGACTGCTGATGCAACAGAGAATGGAGAAGGCTGACTCAAGCAGGCGAGCAACCAAGAACCAGCCGAATCCACTTCCTGTCCTTGCCATCCTTGCCAAAGATGTTGGTGAGCTAGCGGTTAAGGAAAAGCGAATGTTTAGTCCAATACTCAAGAGATGGCACCCATTTTCAGCAGGGTTGGCTGTAGCCACACTGCATGCTTGCTATGGAAATGAGTTGAAACAATTCATTTCTGGGATAACGGAACTGACACCAGAGGCCGTGCAAGTACTAAGGGCGGCAGATAAGTTGGAGCAGGATCTGGTGCAGATTGCTGTAGAAGATTCTGTGGATAGTGATGATGGAGGGAAAGCTATCATTCGTGAGATGCCTCCTTATGAGGCTGAAGCTGCAATTGCAAATTTGGTGAAAGTATGGATTAAGTCTAGACTCGACAGATTGAAGGAATGGATCGACAGAAGCTTACAACAAGAGGTAAATACTCGTCTGATGAATATCATTGTTAATATTTATGAGCATTAAGATTCATAGCTTGATTTGTGATCCGCAGGTTTGGAGCCCACAGGCAAGCCAAGAAGGGTTTGCTCCATCAGGAGTGGAAGTGTTACGTTTGATAGACGAAACACTGGACGCATATTTCCAGCTCCCAATACCAATGCATCCAGCTTTGCTGCCTGACTTAATGACAGGCCTGGATAGATGCCTTCAGTATTACGCAACCAAGGCCAAATCCGGCTGTGGTAATTTACTTTCATCCCTAGCATCTCACTCAACCATATATCCCCTACAGAAATGATTGTCAATCCACCATGCAAACTAAGCACTTCTCTAAACTCCATGCTCAGGAACCCGAAGCTCTTACCTCCCTACCATGCCCGCGCTAACCAGATGCGAAACTGGATCCAAGTTCCAGTGGAAGAAGAAAGACAAGTCGTCATCAACAACTACAAACGGTCAGAAGAGGTCAAGTTCCCAGGTCGCAACGACAATGAACGGCAGCAATGCCACATCCGGGACACCTCAACTATGCGTCCGTATCAACACGCTCCACCGAATCCGATCCGAGCTGGACACGGTCGAGAAGCGAATCATTACACACCTCCGGAACTCCGAATCAGCAGAAGCACATGACTTCTCAAACGGACTGGCCAAGAAGTTCGAGCTCACACCCTCTGCCTGCGTTGAAGGAGTCCAGCAGCTCAGCGAGTCACTCGGCTACAAAGTCGTTTTCCACGACCTGAGTCACCTCCTATTCGACGGGTTATACATCGGAGAGCCATCGTCCTCAAGAATCGAGCCTTGCCTCGAGGAGCTTGAGCGGAACCTGACGATCATCTCGGACATTGTTAACGAGAAGGTTCGTACCCGGGTCATTGCAGATGTAATGAGGGCAACGTTCGACGGGTTCTTGCTCGTGTTGCTCGCTGGTGGGCCCTCTCGCTGCTTCACTCGTCAGGACTCTGCGATAATCGAAGAGGACTTCAAGTCTCTGAAGGATCTGTTTTGGGCCAATGGAGATGGCCTACCAGCAGAACTGGTAGATAAGTTTGCAGCCACAGTGAGAGGCGTTCTGCCATTGTTTAGGACCGATACGGAGAGCTTGATTGAGAGGTTTAGGAGGGAGACACTGGAGGCGTATGGTTCAGCTGCGAGATCGAGGCTTCCACTTCCTCCGACCTCTGGGCAGTGGGATCCGACCGAACCAAACACCATTCTTCGCGTGTTGTGTTATCGGAATGATGATGCTGCGTCGAAGTTTCTTAAGAAGACCTATAACTTGCCAAAGAAGCTCTAGTTGGCTTCAAGTTGGGTTCTGGGAAATGATCGCCGGAGGTATTGTACAGAACATTGTCGGTCAATCGATGGAGTGAGTTGATCTTCTGCTGTTTATTATCTGCGAATTCTTGCTTTTCTTTTTTATCCCTTTACTGTCATTGAGTGAGTTGATTTTTTTACCTGGTTTCTGATGGCCGGCAGCATAGTGTTACAGTATATATTATAACCAAATTATACTTATCATTCTTTAATTAGCTATCTATTATAGTGGGGAGAAACTATATTTGGTTCTTGGATTGTGATGATTTACCATAAGATTCAATTCGCGATGCATGCAAATTGTGACGGTTTGCCAACTTGTTAGCTGTAACTTAGAAATCAAAGCTGCAGGATTACCAACCAGTTCAAAGTATAATAACAGAACTGTGATATATCTGATTGTTCGTTGATATAAGATCTAACTGATGTAATCAATCATTATATGTTGCATGCTTGGTTAACAGATTGAGACAAGGTTAAGGATTTTGTTTATGTTTGGCAACAACGTAAAGAGATTGTAAAAGACTAGGTCTAGAGGGTTGTCGGGACTTGAACATACTGTCCTTTACGCACTATTGTAATGTGACCCGTGACTTGAACAAACCGTCCTTCGGACTATGCACCATTCTCATGTAAATCAAGTACTCAACAACACAAAACAAACACCTAGCTTCCTTGTCTTTGGGACCCTGGGTTCTGGCTATCTCTTTGAACATAATCCATATGTGAAGCTCAGATCCTGCAGGGGCTATTACCTACGTTCCCTTCTCCTTCTCCACATTCTGGAAAGAGCATGCCAATCAATCACAATTCTCCGAGGATGGCACGCCCGAGATTAGTACCCAGTGAGTATCGAACATGGTTCAGAGCCTGGGTTGGCAACTCGGGCTCCACAAAGTCCGGACGAAGTCTAGCTACTGACAACTCTTGTAGTTTATTGAGCAATAGATTCGTCTGGCTAACATTTATAAGAGGTCCCTCGTCCCAGCTTAGCAGCTTCACCTAAACACAAAGAAGGGTTAGTAAATGAAGAGCAAAGCAGCATAAGAATGCAAATGATATTGATTGGAAGCTCACTGCATCGTAGAGAATGGGTAACCAGAAACGCTGAGGTGTCGAAGCATTCCTCATAAGCTGCACACATCGTAAAGTTACACCAGGTTAACGGATACTAACCACGGACGAGCAAAGAGGGTGGAAAAGAAAACACGAGACTGGATATAAATCATAGCAACATACCGACATAAGTGATTCCACTGCTTGACGAGCAGCATCTGCATCTTTTCTGCTTTCAGCATGCTGAAGGCATTTCTTGAAATCCCTGTACCTGTGACCCGGAAACAGGTCAGAATCAAGAGTGGGTGTGGAAAATAAAGTTTGAAGTTGAAGCAATTGCCCACTTATTGTTTACAGGAAAGTTTCTTACTTGTGGAGGAAATTGAGACCACCAGCCAACTGACCTTCTGAACCCAACAATTCAATCAGCCCTTCCCATTGCTGGCATGGACAAAAGAAACAAAATTAGAAGTGAAGACTAGGTAAAGCTGAGTATGTAAAACAGCTCAACGATTTACATTACCTTGAAGCTTTCTCCAGATATTGACTTTCCAACAGAATCAAACAACTGGCTAGCAATCCTGCTGAGACGAACCTCATCATGTGCCTGCTGTAGCCAGAAAACAGCGCATCCTTTCCTACCGTGTTTCCAATGGTACATTCCAGAAATCTGGATTCAAAAGAAGTGTAATAGGAGAGTTGAGAAGAGAACATTCCTAAATCCATGAGAGTTATTTTATAATGGTCGAAGATTAGGAGTGAGGATGTTTCGTTCATGACAGAACTAATTACTGCTATTTATTCCCTTGTACCTCCATAAGGTGTGAGCTGATACCATCAAGTTCATAAAGCCTACAAATCTCCAGATTCTGCACAAATAAAGTACAGCTGATTTACAACCAGAAACACACATATATATATATATATATATATATATATATATATATATATGACTAGAAAAAAGCATAGAAAGGCACAACTTTAAGATTAAAGGGTAAAACCAAAAAGGCTAAGAAGTTACCTTCAGCAGCATTTGATTTTCCTGAACCGGCTGCTTGAGCAATAAAATTTCCAGCAAACCCATTCCCTGCCTCATGCACGATGTTAAATAAATTGGAGCAATCTGCAGACACAAGAGAACAAACAAGCATTAGAATGAGAAGATTGATAAGAATCCATTAATTTCAGGAATTGAATGACAGTCAAGACAGACTTTAGCATCACACTCCTAAGTATAGTTTGCAGAAGTGATACTTTAGTACTTTAGGTACTAAGCCTCAGTAACAACTGAACTGCACGAGTGAACAAAAAATTATCTAATGAAACTCTATTCAGTATTGTGGTTTTGGCTAGTGTCCAGAGCAGTAGTTTTCCCTTACTTGCCAAGTTAATAGATGAGAAGATAGAAGTTGAGCATAAACAAGCCGATGGAGTTCCTCCAAACTGATCCCACCCAAGTCTTCACGCTCCTCATGTACAAGAATATCAGCTTCGTTACTCCCAGCAGTCAAAAGCTCTATGGCATGGGCCACCATCCTGGAACATGGTGGAAACATTAGCACATTTGTCAAAAAGTTCTCCTGATAATATAAAAGAGCGGAAAACTGGGATAGGTGAACTGAGCTGCCAATTTAAATCACAGTTGAATGTGCTTTCCCCAACAACAAGAGCAAAAGCTGGGTAGAATTCATCCAAAACAGATTATGAATAAACATGAATACTTCAGAAGCCTGCCTTAATTAAGGGAATAGAAAAAGAGCTCACCAAGTACCAAACCCTCTCGAGCATTCTGCTAACACAACCTACAGCAGTAGGGGAAATAGAAGAAATTTCAGGCAAAAATAATTAATAGAGCCAAATTATGTTAAATTCACAGGCTCTGTCAGCATATCACCTCATTATTCTCCCCCAGAATTCCAATCATGAGTCGCATCAGCTTATGGGGATTGGATGTATGTTTCAATCGAATACATTTCTGGGCCAAGCTATACATGCTTTCAAGTCCCTGATGCATAAAAATAGAACTGAATGAAACGAACATCAAACTAGTGTATCATAAAAAGGAAAATCAACATTTCGAACTTCAGAACTATTTGAACAACCAAGTAATAGGAAACCTACAGCAGTGAAAGGTCGTATGTACAAGAAGTGAGATATATATAACTCCATCCAATGACATGTAGAAGAGCAGAGAACATCGACATTTCCAAGCATGATCTGGAGCATATTTTTTAATCCTTCCCGGGTCTGACGATGATCACACTGGACCCAGAATGCACTAGAATCCAATTTAGTTATCTGTGCACGCCATCTTTCCCACGCCTAGGAAAATTCAAAAGGTGACGCAAAGTATGAGTAACAATACTGGAAAGAACAGATAATTCAAAATTTATTACGCCCCTAAGCACACCACACAAAATTTTACCTTCACAAAATCAGGCTTCGCTTTAAAGCATTCGCCAATTTTTCCAGCATCTATAGCCGGACGCATGCGAGGCATCTTCGAAATTAGAACAGCAACAGCCTCTACAAGACCATTCTCTGTCTAATCGGTGACAGGCAAAACGAAGGTAGCATCATATCAGATTTCTTTCCCCCTACCTCATTTTATTTATAATAATTGAAATGAATTCATGGCATAGCTAAACATGGACAAATGACTCCTAACCTCTCTTCTGCCCAGTTGATCCAGTCGATAAGATCCATGCAAACGCAATAACTTAACCTGCAAATGCAATTCTTGAGTCGGATTTTTCTCAAACTTGGTCCAGTAGAGCTACTCATCATCTATTTTTACAAAAATAAGAAACATGGATGCAGCATTAATTGCAATGAGGTAACAATTACCACAATCTCCAACCATCCAACAGCTAGTGCTGATGATATCAAGTCCCAATACCTGGGATCATCCTCAATCACCTACAGAACAAACATAAAAGCGTCTAATTATACAATAAAGTTCACAAAGATATGATACATCACAAAGCTAGCAGACGGTGGCATCCAAGCTTCATTTTGAAATTTGACAGAATTGTGAAAAAAGAAGTAAAACCTGTAAGGTGACAATTTGATTTTGAAACTCCACAAGCTTTGAGTGAACAGTTGGCAGATCGATAGATATAAGGCTATCATAGTCCTGCAACATAAAACAAATCATGAGAATCACACAACCAAAGATTTAAAAGCACGATGTCAGGCTTGGAGATAGTAAAGTAAAGAGACAAAGCTCAAAAGAGACACATTACAGCTAACCAATCAACAAGGCGTTCAGGTAACCATGCTTGAGATAACTTATCCACATAGAACATTTCCATCAGTTCCCATGCTGCCTTCAAACTGCTTGGCTCCTCAACTTTCTACAACCGAACACCATTCAAGATTCTGAGTAACTCACTATTCATAAACAACCAATTTCTAGTCCAACGATGACTGAATCCAATCGCTCACCTTTGGGAAAACCTCATTCGGATCTTCAATCAAAGGAGCTAAAGCAGTTTTGGGATCCCCCAGAAGCGAGCTTATGTCCTTGCTGTACTCCATTACATACTCCCACCTGAATATCGACATATCGTTTTTTGCAGCTATCAGAGAAGCAAAGAACAAACAGAGGGAAAGCACAATTTGCATTCTTTCGAGCGGAGCTCACCACTCAAGGTGATAAGGAGAGGGAGACAATTGCATCCTGGACAAGCTGGCAGTCGAGTTTTTCCGGCTCTGGAGAAGTGCGAAGGGGGAGACGGAACCGTACGCAATTTTGCGCCATTGGGCATCACTGATCTCGCCGTCCCTGCTTTTTCCCAGAGTCACCTCCACCACTCTACCGCCGACTTCTCCATCGGATTTGGGATCGGAATCCGGCTGCCGGAATACCGAGACGCGGAGCGAGTTGCCGCGGCCCCATGAGACGGAGACGCGGGAGATTGGTGGGTTCAGACCGTGTCGAAGCGGGTATATAGCTGAAACATGAGAATCTGACGAGTAAGGGACGAGTGTTCCGTTGACTGAGTCGGGCACTCCTCCGGCGGAATCGCCCGGTGCGAGTCCCGGCATTGTAGACGGAGAGTGGGAAACTAGGGTTTAGGGATGGCGGGATTTGACGAGGAAAAGTCGGCGACTTGACTGTTTGAGTGAGGTCTGAAAATTGAAAGCTAACCGGAACCGGGGAAGTCTGAGACTCTGAGTTAGATACTAAATACCTGAATTTTAAGACATGGTAAGACCGATCACCAAACTTTCTTTTTGTAACATAATCTTATTTCTCATAAAAATCATACCAATGATGATTCTTGAGCTCTAACGATTTGCAAGCTTCTACTAATAGACTTGATGATATGTCTCTTAGGGTTAAGAAAATTGAGTGACGTAGCCATTGCTTGACACTTAACATATTTATGTGTTCTCAGATGTAGAACCAGTCCCAAGAGTCGGAATCGTGAAACTGTTCTGATAAGTGCAACATCACGAGATCCTCTTTGTCCTCACCACTCTGAACCATTCATATAAAAAGTCAAGGTTGTACAACATAATGCTTGAACACCAACATTAGCCAAACAAGCTTGCAGATAAACGAAGAATCAATACGAGCTTAAACTTATGACCGTACTTATTAAACCAAAATGTGTAACAGTTGTACATGCATTATGACCTCCAAGCACCAAACTGATCCACCATACGACAAGTCAAAATTTTGATGCTACGTTCATATCTCTAACACTAGCACTCCGAAATGGAACAAATTCACAATTTCAAAACCATAGTTAACAATATATTTATTTTTTCAACAACAACAAACTTTAGCGTATACATTTGAAAACGATTCCAAATTCAATAATACCAATTACCAAGTGATAAGGCAAAGCCAGACAACCTCGATTCCCAATCCAAACACGCCATTTCCCAACCTGGTGACAGCCCCCAAACACACAACGAAGTAGCCGAGAAAGTTTCAAAGCTTCACCCAACGCCATAAACAAACCTCCATTGTCTCATTTCCCACGCTGGCTTCCACCCACCCACTCCCCACCTTTCCAGTTTTTATAATAGCATGCTTCCTTCCATCAATCAACACCTCAAATGATCATTCATTCATTCTTCCTCCCCTGCCTCTTTCCTCTTCATCTTCTTCCTTCTGGGCTCTGGCCCTGCCCTTTCTCCTCCAGCACCACCAGCCAGCCATGGAGGAATACTACTACAACAGATCGAGGTCTTACACTTGCTCCAACTACAACGACCGACCAAGCAGGCTACCTGCCGCTTCCGCGACCAACTCTGCCTCTAGCTACGAGCTGAGATCCTACAGCACTTCTTCCTACCAGGTGGCTCCTTACTATGATCATCATCCACAAGAACAACATGGCCACAGTAAGTCCCACCAGCAGAAAGAGAAGAAGAAGAAGAAGAAGGATGCTGCTGCTGCTGGGACTGCAATGAGGTCGTGGAGCGTGAAGGACCCGGAGTTGCAGAGGAAGAAGAGGGTGGCTAGCTACAAGATGTACAGCGCACAGGGCAGAGTCAAGGGCACGTTCAGGAACAGCTTCCGCTGGCTCAAGGATAGCTATACCAGGGTCGTGTATGGATGGTGGTGATCAGTGATCGTCCATATCTGGATCAAATCAATCGATGCTTCATTATCAAATTCAATCGTAGATTTGTAGGTAGTGTTTGATGTTTGATTGATTTTGTTGTTGGGTTTGTATTGCTTGCTTAGTTTGTTAATCAGTGGGGGGAGGTCTCTTGCAATTCTTGTCACGATCATCTGTCACGCAACTCATCAAAATACCGATCGCGTTAATTGAGTTTGACGAAAGTTAATGTTGTCATTAACCGGTTGCTTCAACAATTCGAATAGTTAGAAGAAGGTTAATTATGAATCATGTACTCTTTTACTCATCTCTCAAATAAAAACCAATTATAGGTTTGAGATTTGCACAGCTCCACCATATCATATGCTTAAATCAACTATTATATTAGGATCGTGAAACTTGGAATACACAGTCACTTGATAAACCTGCTCTAATACCATGTCATAAACCAGTTGGTCCGATAATTTGAGCTAAAAGAATACTGTTTATGAACAATAACACTCCATTACAAACGGTTAGTGATCTAAATTAAAAAAATTAATTCAATTAGAAAGGACATTAATTAAAATCTCTAAACGATAAACATGAAATAAATTACAATGACCAAACATGTTATTTATCCTTTGAAAAAAGTGATAGAAGTAGAACTATAGAAATATACAAATGAATAAGTTTGCCGGATAAAGAGAGAGCAAGGGGATTAGGAGGATAGACTCAGGAGTCAGGAGTGGAAGGGAATAGCGCCGAGTGGGCAAATTCTGCGAAAACCCAACAAAAGCCCATTCCATTGCAAACTAAGAACTCCGGCGGGCACTTCCATTTACCGCCGGGCGGAAATGGCGGACTCCGCAGCACCTCAGACGGCCGACTTATCTCGCAGAGTCGTCTCCATCGCAGCTGGTGAAGCTCATACACTCGCCCTGACTGGTAAATATTTTTTTATCAATTTAACTTGTTTCCCGCAGGCCGCAGCTATTGCGTAATTTGCGTTCACTCCCCATATGGGCTCCCTTTCCTTAAATTCCTTTCTTGTAAGTAAGTCGAAGAAGGAATGAAGCTTTGGGGATTTTTCGTCTCCCCGTTACAGGGGATGGCCGCGTTTATTCATGGGGAAGAGGAATGTTTGGCCGACTGGGAACTGGTTCTGAGCAAGACGAGCCCTTCCCGGTTCCAGTCAAGTTTGAACCTTCCGGTGATCAACCTCCCATCAAGCTCGTCGGAATTGCTGCTGGTGCTTATCATAGTCTCGCTCTAGCAGGTTCTATCTACTTTTTCTTTACTTCTGTTGCTGTTTCTTGGTTTAGGAACCTTAATTATCTAAATTTTGATGGGAAAGGAGTGAAAGTCAGGCTTCAATTTCTTAATTAGGCTTTTTTGAAAGTAAATGATGTGAGCTGAATGCATACTTCTGGTTCACAGTTGCTTGTGGTTGCAAGGCTTCAAAATTTACTATCTAATTTTGATGGAAAAAGGAGTGGAAGTAAGGCTTCAATTTCTTAGTTAGGCTTTTTTGAACGTAAATGATGTGAGCTTAATGCATACTTCTGGTTCACAGTTGCTTGTTGCTTGTGGGGGTTTGTGCTCTAGATGTATTCAAACTGCCTTTGGATGGTTTAAAGAGCATACTTTTGGCAGGTAAAGTTGCTTATATAATTCCTTGATGTCCATGTCTTGGCAGATGATGGATCGGTCTGGTGCTGGGGTTACAATGTCTGTATCCTTCTTAAAATTTCCGGCTTATTAGTCATTGTCGTCTGATTAAAAGCTTGCACTGTTGATAATCTAGATGTTTAAGCTCATGTATTGCCAGTGGTAGGCTGCTATTACTATTCAAGCATTCTGTAGTACAGCCTTGACTTTATACATGGATGGCCAAATTGGTGTCAATGGAGAGAACCCTGTTGTACCACAGTTGTTAGACCAGTTCCACAACCTGTCTTCTCCATCTGAGGACACAGAAACTAAGAGCGTAACACCACTGAGGGTAACAACTAATGAACTAAATTACTTACTTTTGCCAAGTTTGGAAGAAAGAGACTTCATTGGACATTGCAATATCTGCTCCAGATTCTCTCCATCAAAGCTGGGGGAATGATGTCACTGGCGATTGATAACGTTGGAGGCTTGTGGATATGGGGTAATTGCCCTCAGGAAAGCAGCAACAGCAATAGTAGCAGCGAGGGTGGGTTCTCCCTCGTCAGCAGTTTCGCCCCAGTTCCTGTGTGGGATCTTCAAGGCGGCCAGAGGGTTGTGAAGGTAGCTTGTGGGAATGAACATGTAGTAGCCCTTGTAAGTGTTGGAGGAGAAACAACAAACAGCAAAGGTGGTGGTGGTGAGGAACAAGACCTAGTATGCTATTCGTGGGGTAACAATAATCACGGGCAGTTAGGACTGGGAGATCGAGTGAGCAGAGTCCATCCACAAGTTGTTCAAACTTCGGCTGTCTACGAGGTATCCTGTGGGGCATTCCACACTGCTTTGTTGTCCCATAGAACGAGAGTGTCAGGTGATGATGGTACCAATATAAGTGTCTGCTGGACATTTGGGCTCGGAGATAATGGACAACTCGGACATGGAACCACTCAGAGTGTGTCAAGTCCTGAACCTGTGAAGGATTTGCCAAACCAAATGTACCTGGTGTCAGTTGACAGTGGTTTGTTCCATACTAGCGTGGTTTCATCGAGTGGAGATGTGTGGTCATGGGGGATGGAAAAGGGTCTCGGCCTCTGCCCAGATGCTACCTTCACTGGGACAGATGCAGGTAAGGCTGGCTAACTAGTTTTCATCTTGCATTTAACCGAAAACCAAACTGGAGTCTTTCTCAGGTCTTCTGATTTTACATTAGCATTTTTTTGCTTTGATTAACCACAAATACTGCAGGTGATGCAGCATTGCCCTTGCCGATCAGTAAATTTCACAATCCAGTTCAAGTAGCTTGTGGAGCTGCACACACTGTCCTCGTTGCCGATGGTGGATACAGGCTTTGGTCATGGGGAAGGGGACGAAGTGGAGTGCTTGGAACTGGCAACACCGCTGATTCTTACGCTCCCAGTATTGTGTTATGGCCTCCACTATCCGAGCAAAACGTTGGAGACCAAGACGGTTCTTCGAAGAACACAGACGACGAAAGACTGTCTGCAGCAATGGATGAGATGAAGCTCCTGCAATCCAAGTACACAGCAATGGAGCAGTATGCAGGTATGCTTCATGGGCTGATTTTCGGCGAACCATTTAGAGAGCACGAGATTGCTACTAGCTCGTCTTGGCAGAATCCTGGTGGTGGCCTCGATGTTGCGAGGCAGTGGGAGGAGATGTTGGAATCCGCAGATCGTGGGAAGCTAATGAAGCTGGAGAGGTTGTACAAAGGAATGCTGGGAGGTGTGAAGGATAAGTTGCTGAAGAAGAGGATTCAAGAGATTGTAAAGGAAATCAATCATCACTAGAGATACTTTGCTCTGAAAAACCTGCTTAGCTTCTGTGTGTACATGTCTGATCATACTCTTTTTTTCGACAGATTAATACGAAGCTAATACGTGCTGCCTAATTGTATGCATTCGTATCGAACATAATGCAGTATTAACTCTAAAATAGCACAACGATGGATCTTGTGTCAGATGAATTCACAAATAGTTAAACACACACCAAGTCTAGATTACATTCTTCTGAGTATTTACAATTGGATAGCAGAGTCAACAACATTGCATACACAGGATCAACTAATCGCGATTAAGCTACGACCATCCACTAATATGAACAATAAACAGATTACAATCATCAGCTGTGGATCACGATATGATCAATTCAGGGAGCGAAGAAAATCCGGCCACCGCCACTATCGCCCATTACCAACCCACAAGTAGAAGAACTATCTTCACTAACATAAGCCCCCAAATTCAAGTACTCATCATTGTCCTGACGCCGGCGGCGGTGACCTCTGGCTCTCCACCTCGACCGGCAAATCACGCAGGTGGCTCCACGCCTCCCCCGGCTCCTCTTCCACCTCCTCAAGCACTCCTCGTGCACCAAATTCCCGCACGTGCCGCACGCTTCAAACGACCCCTCCTCTGCTTCTTCTTCTTCTTCCCCTGTTTTTTTAGCAACAATCTCATCAAGACAAATCGGACACGTGGCGCCCTCCTCCACCTCGACCCCACTCCGCCGCCGATTCGCCGGATCACCGCCTCCATCCTCCTCCGCCTCCGCCGCCATTTGGAGGCGGAGTCGGGTCTGGAAGAGGTGGTGGAAGGTGCGGCGGAGGGCGGGGGAGGCGAGTGATTCAGGGGAGGAAGGGGTGCAGAGGAGGCGGTGGAGGAGGCAAGGGCGGATGTTGCGGCGGCGGAGGGAAGGGTCGTCGAGGGAGAGGCCGAGGACGCGGATCAGGACGAAGAAGATGTGCTTGCACGGCGAGATTCGGTCGGGGCAGGTGCAGGAAGGGACGGCGGTTATGGAGACGGTGTAGACGTTCCCCGTGGCGCCCAGCACGTGGAAGTCGGAGTTGGAGCGGTGGAGGAGGCGGAGGTGGTGGCGGAGCGCGCGGTAGATTCTGTCGGCGGCGGCAGGCTGGGTTGGGCGAGAGCGTGAGCGGTGGTAGGCAGGGTGCGGCGGCGGAGGGGAGGAGGAGCCGGTGCTGGAGAAGAGATCTTCCTCCATTGTTGGGTTTGCAGAGGAAGATTGATTTGTCGTTTTGTGATTTCTGTATATATCAATTGGAAGAAGAAGAAGGGGGAGAAGGAAGGAAAGCAAAATGGCGGGGAAAAGGGAAGGGATATTCTTGATAGCGGTTCTAGGGGACAAGTTAACTGCCAAAAGGAAGCCAATCAAAGCCATGAATGAAAACTTGCCCACGTCCTCTTCGTGATTTTATATTCGTCTTTTTTCTGTTCCCCCTAACGGTATGAACTTATCCAAGTCGATTAGAACATATAACAAAAGAAACAACGGTCTTGCTTGGAGTGATGGATATTTCATATTTGTTCCAACAATGCTAGGTTAATTAGGTGAGATCGGATTTGAACGATTTTATTTCGAAGGATAACGATAAGAAATTGGATATTATAGTTTTTAGGATTTGTATTAAATGGTAAATTGTTGGAATAGATGGACGGTTGAGAAATAAAAATAGTTAGTTGAAAGTTTAGGATTTGAAATAGAGCAACTCGAGCAAACATCACATAAGATGACTTATTCTAAATAATTGTGTGTTGTCACTAGTCTATATGTATATTGATTGTATGAGGGAGATGAGTTGATTAATTACATAAAATTCAACTAGTCTCTTATGTCAATTAGACAACGGTTGGAGTCATGAGTTGACGAGTTTTGAAGAAGTGTTTGGAGTCAATCATTGCTAGTTATTAGACCCTTCGAAGGTTTAAAACCTTACTCGTAATCTACGTGCCCAAAACAATATATAACTACACTTCCCCGTCTTTTTATGATAATGTGAGAGAACAAATACGAGAAATCGATATGAATCTTACTTGTGTTAATTTTCAAATTAAAGAACATAACAAACATTTAATAAAGTATTAACCTATCTCACTCAATATAATAATTATATTTTGTACCCGATTTCATGTCGTTCTTTTGCTTTTTTGTCCTGGTTAATTTCCAGGGTGTAACGATCTTTTGGTTAAATCAATATAATGATTATCTTTTGTAAAAAAGAAAAAGAAAAAAAAAACCTATCTCACTCAAAACACCTATTCGAGATCAACAAATTTAAACGGCGTCGTAGTCAGGTTCGTCATGTTCTTAACTCGTAAGCCATCTATACACTGTGCCGAGGCAGCGAACTGCTCACAAGTCTCATTTCATCTTCTTCTTCAATTCGGCTGAAGTTCGCCGGAGCAACTTGCAGGTTCACTTGCCATGTGGGCTTCTTCCCGAGAGTCTCAGCTTTCCGGCAAGGTAATACTCCTTCTTAAATCCCCTCTCTCCTTTCTCTCTAAATCCCCTGAATTTGATTTCTCAGCTCCGGTTACTGACTGCTCGTACGTATCTCTGGCATGACCACAGCAGAAGCAGGGAAAAACCGGTGGGTTGTCCGATGGTTTCCAACCTGAGAACTTCATCCCGGGGCTCGTAATCGGTTTCATTCTCGGACTGTTCATAGATTTGTCGACTAAACCGTTTAAAGGTTCATCATCTACTGCCACCAAGAAGAATTTCTTACCTGGGAAACCCCAACAGCAAAATCCGGACTCCTCTGACGGTGACAATAACCGTGAGCTTAAAATGGTTCGTTTAATTAATGCTTTTTTGTTGTATTGGAATTGGGTTTTTCTTGTATAGTTCCAATTCCTAAGCTTTTTGATGAACTTGGGGGAAACTGGGGGGTGGCAGGTTTTGGTGGTTAGGCAAGACTTGAAGATGGGTACTGGAAAGATTGCCTCGCAGTGTGCTCGTAAGACATGCTTGAACTGTAATAAATAAAAAGACATGCTTGAATTTGAATATAGCTTCAGAAAATCTCTCTATCCCTTTTGCCATTTGCACCACTTCCTTCAATTGCTGCAATATCATTTCTGATTGAGTTTTTAACCTAGCATCTTGCAGATGCATCCACTGGCTTATACTCAGAACTCCTTCAGAGGTTGGTCTAGTACTGATATCAATTGTCTTACAACGTTTATCGTCGTTCAGAACTCAATGCCTCACTGGTTTTCTTTTATGAAATGTGTATTGTCCAAATGATGCTGCATATCTTCATCTGTGTGAGATATATCACGAAAGAACTTGTATGGTTTTTAACTGTGGGGTTGTGCCGGTATTGCTAAGAAGTGAAATGAGACACATTTTCTTCGTGTGTGGTTTGCAGTGATCGCTTGCTTCTGAGACGGTGGGAACAGTGTGGACAGGCTAAAATAGTTGTTACTTGCAAAAATCAAACAGAAATGTAAACAGTGACTTCCTGACAAGTAAAATAGAAAGTTTGGTTTTGAAATTGCCAAGATATCTCCGGTAGTTGCTTATTCGGATAGATGATGCTCAGATGTGTTTGATCATCAGGAATAAGCTCAAGGAAGCAGCTGAGAACATCGGCCTCCCAACATTCGTGGTCGCTGATGCTGGAAGAACACAGGTAGGACTTTCGAAAAATTGGTTCATCAATTTACTGATTGTATTATGGAAAGAAGTTGTCCAAATAAAGTGAAGCCTGGATATCTTAAGTGCAAGGTTAGGTTTCCAGATCTTGGTGTCTAACTGTGACTTTTAGAGCTTTCGGAACGACACAAATGATGACTGAAGACAAGTCTTAGGCACACCAAGTCCGCTTGCAAAGTCTTTTTATGTGGGCTTATGCTGTTAGTAGTGATACCATATTTCATAGTTTGTGATGGGGAATATGGTATTGCTTGAAAGCTGCTGCACGTTCACCCCAGTTTTATATGTTTATGCTGGATTAAGTATCAATTTCATCTAGGGACTTGTCCGTGTACATCGTATTGGGGACTGAACTGGGATAGTGGGACAACTAAATCACAAAACTTGCCCTGATAAGTCACTATTGCCATTCCCGTTTTCCCTGTAGCTTTCATCATATGTTGCTGATGTAGCATCCTTCAATTCATCAGCAACACAACTGCGAAAATTTATGGGAGGAAACGAAAATGCTAACCATGATTTATTAGAACGATTTCGGTGTTTTCATTGTCTCTCGGGAGACAGTTCAGTGCCCAAAATTTCCAGTAATCGCATGGTCCAATATTAAACTTGTAGTGTTCTCAGGATTCCAGGCTGCAAATGGATCTAATAAGTATAAGTGATCATACATTTGTCGAACTCTGTATACAAATAGAAAAGCTCATTGTTTTGCTGTAAATTTGGACAGGTTGCTGCCGGCTCACACACGGTTATGGCTGTTGGACCTGGTATGTTTTTACTGTTGGCTTCAGAAAACTGCAGTCGTTGTATGACATAACCAATTCTTCATTAACTCATTTAATTAAGGGGCTTCTGGTTTGAACTGATTACCGGAAGAGTGATCGATGTTGCCATTGATGAGCAGGTCCAAAATCATCAGTGGATTCCGTTACAGGGAAACTACGCCTTCTCTGATAACCTGGGGAGAAGAGCGAACGAGCTGCCTGCCTAGTCAAGTCTATATCATCATCATCATAGTATGGGATCAGGCACTCGGTGAAGCTGATTCTGTCGCTTTAGTCCGCTGAATATCTTGATGTATTAGCATTCGCCAGGATACGAGAATTGGCGTTTGGGATCTGTATCAAATCATTTGTTTGGATGTTAAAGTAGATTATTGCATGTGATTTTGCTATTGAGCATATGGTTCGTGGCTCTCCTCGCTCTGTTTAACCATTGTGTCTGGATTGATATGGAGGCAGACATTCCTATCCTTGATCTTTGAAGAGCAATACATGCAACCCCGTCCTTTGACATAACCTTTGTAACAAATAAATATGAAGCTTTGAGACTGTGATCTCGAGCCTAAGATCGACCGACAGTACTGCTATACCAAAAATGGGCCAGAGGTTCAACCGGCCAAGCTCCTTTGGTTGGAGACTTGGCGGGAAGGGGGTGATTAGTTGGTCGCTTCCGCACACGACGCCGTTCTATCATTCTGAGGTAAGCCGGATTCATAGCGACAAGAAAATTGTAAAACCCCACAAAAACCCCTTTCGGCAATCCTCCCCAAATCTGGAACTTCCGTTGATTCTGTTCCCGCACAAACCCTAAAGTCAGCAACTTTCCTCCTGTCCTGGGTCTTCACCTTCGGGCATCAATGGCGACTCGTTACAGAGCTCTTTCCAAATCAACGTTTTCTCTCTTCAAACACGCGGTCAACAAGCCGGCCGGCGTTAAACCCACACCCACCTCGGCCGCTTCTCTTTTCCCAGCTCGCCCTTCTTCTACATTCTCAAGGCAAGCACTATGCTCCTTCGCATTTCAATTCAATGAGGAGTTCTGTGAATACTGAACTTTGTGGATTTTTCCAATTCTCAGGCCAATTGCTCAACTGGGTGCTCTTCAGTCGCTCCTTCCTCTACACTCCGCCGTTGCTTCAGCTCGTCTCACATCGTGTCTTGGCATCGATTCCACCAGCTCACGGTCGTTGTCTCAGGGTATGCTCTGCAGTGCGAACCCAGGAGTTTGATAAATCTCTCCGAAATCTTTTAGTTTTGGTTATCTGTAAGCAACTTTTTACTCTTGAATTCAGTTCCATGTATTTTTACTTCGTTCTAGTATGTTTATAGCACTTCAATTGAATTGCCATGGCCTCTACTAACTTAGTGCTGGATAGGAAATGCCACGAACCACGACAATTGACCGGTGAATCGCATGTATTAGATGTGAAGGTGGTAGAGAATGATACATTTGATACAAGTTAGTAGAGAGAGCATTTGGGAAAAATTAGGCCATACTGATTTTGATGTCTCCTTATTCAGGGTTTAGATAATCTCAATTTGGAGCTGAAAAGTTAATGACTTGACTGTTCGAGTATCTACTTGAAACACAAAGTAGATAGGGACTGCACGGGTTCCTTTTTCAATTGTGCATATGGGAGTGCATAGAGTCTGCCAAACAACTTCCCTTATTTTGTTTAGGAACGGAGGAGGATATACTAGGCATTTACAAGTCAAATAGTGTGGTACTTATTCTGAAGCTATTCCTTCAAAAGAAATATAGTGTGCTCCTTCGCAAGACACAACTAGGTATATCGCTACATGTATGTCATGATTTACTAGTGCTCGAATTGTATACATTCTTCAACTTCAGTTAATTTGGGTTTTAGTTGGAGATGAGGTCATTGGAATGTTGTTGTCCTCATAGTGTAGCTTTGAATGATGGTGGGATTTTCACAGTTTTCTTTAATCCCAACACGATACATATTTGTCTCGATTATTAACATTTGAAGAACATCAATCATTCTATTGGAACTACTGTCTTTAGGTTCATCTTACAGTTTGCATTGAAATAGGTGGATACCCTCTGATTCTCAATGCAGTAAGACCTCTCCTGTCCAATCCGGTCCACACTTTTGGGGGACTGGGTACCATAGTTACTTGTGAATGGCCCAAACAGATCTCTAGGACTCTATCTTATCTTATTCACTATCAATTTGTATCTCATTCTGGCTGTTAAAACTTATACGTGTGCATTAAACCTTATTGGCGAAATTGATTGCTAGAGCATTCTATTGACACTTGTTTCTAATCATCATATGCTCCTCAATCATCTCGATTAGAACATCTTCAAGTGAATATGTGATGCCAGTTATTCCACTCTAAGATGGGTTTTGTTTCCTAATTGTTTTGCAGAGCTGGGATTGAGTGTGCCTCGATAACGAACCTAGTCAGATGAAGAACATGTCTCTTTGTGAACTCACATTCTGTCGCTAGAGTTTCGTCTTCGTCTCAAGGGGAATAACAATCAAAATCTTGGATATGATTCTTCTGCACTTTTGTGGGTTGTTGTCACATCACTTCTTTTGAATTGAAAAAAATCTTCAAAAACTTTGAAGAGGAATATCATCATACTATTTTTACTACACTGCTGGTAGTGAAACCAAACCATATGCTCTCTTCCATCTGTAGCTGCCATTGATTACTTATGGGCAGTCCTTGGCCTGACACTAGCAAAAACGTCTGGGTGGTTGGTTTCATATCTTCCCATTATCTATCAGGAGGCAACAATGCATGGCCATTTTATCAGCAGTGGTTTGAGTTTCTGTCATTGAACAAGGAACAGATAAGGCATGGGGAGGGAAGTTGTTGGGTGATATATTACCTTAGGTGCGTCTGTATCTGTCTCCATCTTCTTTATGTTTCCATGATCAACCAAATGAGTTATTCACCATTCTTAACCAACCCTCTGCATTTTTTTTTACATCAGTTACCAAACACACTTCTTCTGCTTTCATGCTTAACTAGCTACCTCGTCCTTGTACTTACTGATGTTTGCCGAACACACATCTCTGTTCGTTTTTGTCGTGGGATCGGTCCAATGAAAGGTAGCTGGTTTAGTGTGATGAGTCTTCCATTTGTGGTCATGTCTAGGCAGTTTTTGTGTGTGGAAGTACGGTTAGTTGCAGGCAGGCAAGCAAAGTCATGGTCCTGAGAAGGAAGATTAGCTAGTTGTGGGGGAAAGGGAAGGAGGGAACAAACACTTTTGCTCCACACATGGAAATGCATCCCTCCCCCATTCATAGATGCTTGGGAAGCTCTCATGCATGCAATTATGTTGTAGTTTAACTACTCATATGCTTTAGATATTTGCCTTTTCTCTGATATGGAGGGGGGAAATGGGTGAAGAAATGTTGAGGTGAAATTGCTTTTGTGTGTGGAGGAGTCGGGCCGAGAGTGGAATTGCTTTCTCATCTTTCCTTTTCTTCTCTTGACAGCTCCTTTTCAACCTCACAGTTAGTTATTAAAAAAAAAAATATATATATATATATATATATATATCAGTACATCCCTTCATTTCTTGACCTTTTTCTTTCTTATTCAACAAATGGATTCTCTTACAACCCATGAGAGTTTGCATGCGGAGCCAGAAATTTGAATGAGCGGGCTGTATTGAACTGGGATAACTGGATGAGTGGAGAGGTGGGGGACTAATATCTTACCGACTATTCTATTTTCAAAATTTGTAAAGAAATTTACAATGTGATTTCCTCCACATTTCAACTTAGAGGGGGATTATAGCTTCTTCTTGTTTCAACCTAGCTCCTTCGCTACATACTTACTGTACTCGGAGATTAACATAACTGTTTGATGTTGGGTTTAGTGAACCACCTTTAAGATCGACAAAAGCATTGGTACGATCAACCTTCTAAATATTATATTCACAACTCATACACACGTAACGTAAGAGAATAATAAATACACCAAGTTCATTATTGAACATTTCGCATCGACTCGAACAATGATTTAACCGTTGTGCACCATGGACCCTCCTGCCTCCCTTGATGGAATAAGAATCAATCCTCTGCCACTCATCAGTAGTAGCTTAGCTCAGCTTGCTTGCTTGCTGCACATGAAACTGCTCAGAGAAGAGAAGCCCCTTTGACTAAAATACAAGCTAGCCAACTGCTAACCTAACATCACTAAATCTCTACTTTAATTCCCATTTTCCCGCTTTGCAATTTAATAAATTAATAATAGGCCAATCACCGACTAAACCCTTAACATTTGCTTAATTAACCATTACTAATTCAAATATTTTCTTGAGTTTGTTTATGCATTTGTTGGTTTACCTTTTTAAACATGACCCATGAATATCGCTCCTCCCTCTGAGAAGGAGCACGTGATCTCTGACCCAATTAAACCCCTTTCTTTCTTTAAGTTAATTAATTGAGAGATAAGTTAATTAGTTTGAAGACATTAAAAATATCCACCTAATCCAATCCATTTAAATCCAATCTATTTGATCCAAATCCAATTGGATTGGATCCATGGATCATTAGCAAATTACGATTTAGTACCTATAATTTTTATTTTTACATTTTGGTACCTAAAATTTAAATTTTTATACAAAAAATATCATTGGAAAATTACTTTTTGGTACCTAAAATTTTTCATTATGACAATTTAGTACCTAAACTTTTTACATTTTACATATTGGTCCTTGATTGATGATGTCATTTGGATTCATGGATAATCCACCAATCCACTTGATCCAATCCATGAATCCACTAATCCATTAGATCCAATCCGTTTGATCCATGGATCCACCAATCCAATCCACCAATCCAATCCATTTGCCACCTCTACGTATATCCTCCCCAGTAACAAATCATTTCAACTGTGAAGCACAAATGCTTATTAATTAATTAACTGATACATAAATATGTTGCCCAAAAAGTATATGTATGAGTGAAACAAAGTTATGACCTTCATTCGCCCCAATGACTTGAACTAGTATTTCTACCGCAGTAACAAACACCATTTTACTGTAAAAAAATACCAGTAGCTAGTGGGAGCATATAAATAAAGGCGCTGAGAATTCAGATGGAACGAAGGGAGGGGCACGTGAGCACCGCGAACTTTGCTTCCCCTTCAACATTCATTAATAATAAATACCTGTACGGACAAAAGAAATAAATAAAATTGATGTATGGTATGAAAAAAAAAAGAGAGGAAATAAATAAATGTATGCATCCCCATTTTTAACTCCAAAGCAATACTTATAATATAAAACTTCTGCGGTAAATTCCAAGTAAATTTGCACTTAATTGAGCGATAGACAAAGTAGGAAAATAAATTATACAAACATAATGCGGTTCAATAACATAATCTGTAATAGTTATGTATATTCACGACCTGTTAGAACGTATTGTCCTAGTTTTGAGGGAGTGTACAAATTATAACTATAAGTGATTGTGAGGTATATGTAAATCAATAGATTTAATGTATTCCAAACAATAAGTTTACACGACATACATAGCGATTAAACTTTTGAATAATATGCGATACGAGTATATATCGGTGCAACGTAATCAGTCGTAAAACTAAATTGAATAATACAAACATGGTACATGTAGTGAATAGTAAATGTGCAATTTTGAAACTTATTAAACATCTTAACCATTTTAAGAAAAAAATTGTTCTCCGCCCAAAACAACGAGTTAGCTTTTCGACTGCACGAGAACAAATCATCACCAAATGCAATTGGGGTTAAAATAATAATAATAAGCTGATAATGAAACTACTAAGAGTGCACTGAATTGGGCATATATGCATACATATAAATATAATTATAATATATATTTTCCTGTGTGCACTGCGGTCTTTGGATTAGTGTAAAATGCAGCATAGGATCGTGCATTGTGCTACTCCATAGTTGTTAATTGTTATGACCAATAAAAAAAATTAGGGTTACGGTTATATTATCTTTTATTTTGCACTGTGAAGAAGAGCAAAATGGAATAAAAAATTCAAACTTATGTATATATATATTATCTTCTCCCTCGAACTTGTAAAGGAAGTTGGGGAAATTCATGCAACTAAATGAGGAGATTAATTAAAAGGAAACTGCTAGTTTATTAAATTATAGGTCGGCTGCAAAAACCCTCTTTGGTTTTCTAACATTCTCTGAGATAGGAACAATCCCAATTCACACCATGAATCAGCCACCGATCTAGCTAGCAACCCCACCGGCCAGCTCCCATTACCAAGAACACTCATGAAGTTTCTCACTGAAATTTATGTTGATATATTTGTTTTTTTTTCCTATTAATACTTACGTTGGTGGTAGGTACGTGAAAAATTGGTTGGTCTTGATAACTGTAGTTGTTAAGAGGGATTTACATATGTAAATCATCGTTTATGTTGAGAATAAATCGCTCTAATAATTTGAATTATTTTGACCAATCGATTTTTGACATGACATTAAAATCTTTGATCTCTAGGTTTTGTGTTTGAATTGTCACCACCCTCACTGTTAATAATTGATGTGCACGACATGGTGGGATAATTTGTTCAAATTTCAAACCTACAGATTTGACTCTCGCATATGATTGGACGTGAAAGAAGATGATATAAGATTCATTCATATGGGATACTCTCGACAATAAAAATGACAACCCTAACCACAATTATGGGCGTCCAACCCTCCTTGACACAGTCAACGAGGGAAAATCCCACATTGACTGAGTACGGGCAAGTATATGGGTAATATCAACAAATAAAGTGGCGGGATGGGTCTAGTATGATCAGTTTAGGTTCCCTCGCCATCCACATACATACCCATATTCACCCTATATTCATTCATATGACAATCAATTACATGCTATCTTAATTCATATGTCCTCCAGTGAAATTTCAAAAGACCACAACTATCAACTCACGAACTTTACCTTTTCAATTCCGTAAGGAGTTAAAGACACATATGTCACATTTTAATCCTTCTTCCGTAAACAATCTATATTTTTGGTTATGTTTCTCGTGCTCTTGTGGTTAGTTTGTTATATATAATGTTCATTTCAAGGTTTGAGCTCTACAATCATGTGTTTCAAGTTAATTACATTAAGTTCAAGTTCAATTTTCATACAATGCTCGAGTCAGAATGAGAATTATTCGGGCGTATCAGAAAATCGCGAAAATGATGATGAAAAAGCTCCACTTATATGAAAATTAGAACATGAGTTTAGATATTTAAAATTAAAATAAGGATTGAGTTTACCGCGACACACCTCAAAACCCGAACCATGAAATCCTTACCAACAAGTGGAGTTACTGAAACTAACATGATTCTTACACTTCGCAATCGAAATCCTATCAAAGGTGGTGAGTACCAACCCTAATAAGAAGGGATGGGATTAGGTGCTAACCCTTATAGGGGTTAGCACCGTGATAACTAGCAAAAATCACTACTAAAAATAACGAAATCACTACGGATTATTATAAAATCAATACAACATCTAAGCTAAATCACTACTAATTCAAACTAGTAGTAGTTTTTCCCTTGGTTAGGACGGTGCTAACTATTGTACAATTAGCACCGTAGCCGTTCCAGAACAACGAGGTTTGGTAGATGATTCCAACTACTCTCCAACGGCCTAACCAAATAAAAACTCATATTTATGCCAAGATTGGCAAAAATCTAGAGCATCATCTCACATTTTCCAAATTCTCCACATCGCAAATCCCTACTCGCAATCTCGCATTGCCATGCACTAATAAATAAAGAACCAAACAAAACTTATAATTGCATGCAAATAGCTAATCTCATTACGTAAAATCATGCATGGAGGATTCTTGTTTTTCTTACACAATTAAGTACTCACTCACTTATTTTGGCAAATAAATCAAGCAAGAATCGAATCGTATAGCATGGTGCATGGACGAGAAAATTCATGATTTATACCCTATGGAAAATTCAAGGAAAATGTTAAGCAAAATCCAAGACAAAAAAGCAAAAATCGAAATTATGCCTAAAAGTAACCCAAAAATAGAAAGAAAATTAGAAGTAACAAAAAAAAAAAAAAAAGATTAAGCGAAATTCACTAAACTCGTGACTTGTTTTCCGCCTATGCTAATTTTAATTTTAGGACAAAAAAGTAGGGAAAAAAAAACCCAAAAAATAGGGCCCTCTCTAAATGAGCTGCCTGAAATCGGGGCCCACGTGTTGGTGAATCAAGTAATCGTCACCGCCACCGTTGGATGAGACATCGAACACCATGCTTTGATGGTGGTGATGGTGGTGCTGCTGGTTGTTATGATGAGAATGGCCGTGCAGGAACTGTTGCTGTTGGTGCTGACTATGATGCGAAGACGACGTCGTAGTAGTACTCACCGGGTGGTGGGCCCTCATCATCTCCTTCTGCCGCCGCAGCTCCATAACCTTCCGGTGGGAGTTGGAGTGCTTCGTGAGCACGAACGTCGGGCTCGCCGCCGGCCGGTACTCCGGCACCAGCCTCCCGGACTTGTACCTGACCCCGCACGCGTTGCACAGCGTCTTCGGGCCCAGCGGGCCCGTCCGCCACTGCGGCGTCTTGTCGGTGGCGCAATGCAGGCATTTCCGCCCCTCCCCGCCGTTACTCCCTCCTCCTCCTCCCCCGCCGCCGTCTCTCTTCTTCGGCGCCGTCAATTTCACCGTCTTCTTCGCCGTCGTCATCATCATCGCCGGGTGGTGGTGGAACAACGTCGCGGCCGTCGGCGGCGGCTGGTGCGCCGGCGGGGGAGGAGGGGGTGGAGCGACGGCGATTTCCGGCGGGTCGGCGGCAGAGGAGGAGGTGGAGGAAGTCGGGGAGAGAACGAGGAGGCGGGACGCCCAATTGCAGGCTGCCGTGCGGGACCGCTTGCTCCTCGTCTTCGCCGGGATGGAGACGTCGGCGTCGAAAATGGGGTTGTTGCTGCTGTTGTTGTTCCCGGTGGTGGTGATGGCGGAGGAATCGTCGGTGCGGCGGGATTTAATCCCGGAGAGGAGCTGCAGCTTTTGCAGGTCCTCGCTCGAGAACGACGATTCCTCCACGAAATTCGATAGCCATTCCAGCTCCGCCAAATCATCGTACTGTCCCCCGGAAAAGACAAAAAAAAAAAAAAAAACAAACCTCCCGATAAATGGTAATTCCGTCAATCTGAATTAATGGAAATTATGGCTCTCTGTTTCACGCAATTACAGAAAGAATTGACTCGTTCCCAGGAAATGGGTTGCTAATTCCTATCGATTAAATTGGGAAAATGGGTTAATTGATTACCGGGACGCAGAGGTCGTTGGAGAAGTGGGAGTCGGAGAAAGCTGCAGCCGGAGGAGGAGGAAGAGGGGGATGATTATTGAAGCCGGAGGGAGGGTCGGAGCCGGAGAAGGAGGAGGAATTGCAGCTGTTATCAACGACGGTAACAGTGGAGGAGTCGGTGGTGGTGTCGGCGAGTACAGCGGCGTCGTCGTCCTCCTCGTCCTCGTTGGAGAAATCCAAGAGGTCTTCCACGACGAAATGCTCACTTCCACCGCCAGTACTGGGCTTGGAATTATCGATACTACTAGAATGCTTTTGACTATTATTACTCCCGCCAAACGAAGGAGGAGGAGTGGTAGTGCAGAATCCTCCTCCGCCATTGTTGGATTGGTACAATTCTGGTGCTTCTTCCATGACCCCTTTTTTTCTTTGTCTAATTTCTCTTCCTCCTGTAAGTAATTGCTATATTTTCAGGGGTGGGTAATTTCCCCCCGTTATTCTGCTGGATGGATGTGGAGAAGGGAGGAAGGAATGAGGGAGAGGGAGTGAAGTGGGGAGAAGAAAGTGAGTTAGAGAGAGAGAGAGAGAGAGAGAGCAATGGGGGAAGAAGAGAAGGGGAAAGGAAGGAAGGAAAGCGAGGTTGTAGGCAGTGATGAGGGAAAGAGAGAGTTTTGGGTTTGCGTTAGAAGGGGGACAGAGAGGACAGCTACAAATATGGAGGTGCCATTTTGACGAGGAAAAGTGAATTTCCCGCAAAATTACACCATTCCCCAATCACTGTTAAAAAAAAAAAAAAGATAAAAGAAAGGAGCAACTTGGACAAAAAAAAAAAAAAAAAACAGAAGAGAAAAGCTCTATGTGCAAATATGAGGGCAAGAGTCACTATTGAGAAATTTATGTTCATAGAATGCAATTGTGCTTACTTATTTTTCAATAAGTTCTGATTAATTATCGTTAACATTAATATTGAATAATATTATTTGAGTTGATATATTGATCGAACTAGACGAATATATATAATCGTTATATGACATAGATGTGAAATAGAAGCAATCAACAACTAGAAACCGCCATGCTATTAGAGATCGGTGCACCATGACATTATAGCTGTAAAACACCTCTACTATGCTTTAAAGTATTGGTACTTTAAAGTACAACTTGAAGTTGTACCATAACGTTAAAAGTACAAATTGAAGTTATATCATAAATGAATTTGACTTTTATGTTATGGTACAAGTTGTAAAGTTGTACCATAACATAAAAGTACAATAGTTTGTACCATAAAGAGATTTTACAAAAGAGTATAACTACAACCCGAAGTTGTACTATACGACATAGTTACAACTTCAAGTTGTACCATGAAAGCAAAAACTAAAGCACTAATGCCTTAAAGTATGGTAAAATTCCTCTATAGTTGTATGGTTTGATCATGATCCCCTTTACACTCAAACTTAACAAAGCCTGTGATTTCATATCGAATTAAATCCAAAATTTAAATTTCTCCAATAATTATGAATTTTAACACTAGAAAACCGTATTTTGAGCATTCGAGATATGCTTAGAATTGGGGCTGACTTTGTTTCTAAATAAATCCAACAATTACCATACTTTTTTGGGAGGTGTATAATATGAAGAGTCAAGTAGTAACTAACGAACTTTTGCATCGTTCTTCTTTTCGTATGACTAGTTTTTTACCCGCCGTTGGGCAGTGCAAATAGATTTATTTTTCATTGTATTATTTTATTTTTTGATGATTCATGTATGTTACACTATTATACATGAAAATTTCAATCTCCTTTACCTTATTTCATAAGAAGATATTGTTTGACCCTTTGTATCTTCCATTTATTATTGAAACACTAATTTTATTAAATTATTTTATGTAAACTATTTTGTATCTACTATTTTTTATTATTATTTTAGATCCTACGAATACCATGCAATATAAGTTATCCATGTAATTTTGATAGAGCAAGAAATCTCATTAGCATCCACATAATCAATTTTCTGCTTATCCATTTTAGTTTACCTTAGCAATGTTCTAGCATAACCAACCAGAAATAGAACCGTCAACTATCATTAATTTATTACAATAATATTTTCAGCAAATTTAAGCACATATAAATATAATTGATATTTAGTAGAGGGCTAAATATCCTTTGCAAAACGAATATTTTTTTTACCTAATAACAACATAGACGAATAGTGAAAGTTGCAAACTTCAGTACAACTCAATTCGTTCCATCTTATGAATTCCTCAATCATGAACTGGATTGATGCATCAATCCACGGTAAGAAAAAAAAAACAAATGACATTGCACACTTTAAGAAATTGAAAGAACATCGACATAGACAACCCATAGACCACCATTACCACTTTATTTCTTATTTGTGACCTTTATAAAACTCCACATCCCTTCTACTTATAACCCCCTGCTACTTACTAATTACTGACTATATCATCATTGTAAAGCTAGCTAGTAGCAAGCCACTCATGAATATAATAAATATAAAAACATCCTCTGATGGAACATGGTAAGGTGACAATCCTCACAATTTGTTTTCCATTTTAGCATCCAATGAATAATATAAAAGAGAAATGCTAGAAATCTCGAACTTTTGAGCAAAGAAGAAATGATTTTTGTTTGTTTTTACAGGGCTTGACCCACTCAATTAATTTTATTCTTTTTAATGATGGGTTTTATTTTTAGAGAGCTAATCTATACAGAAAAAAACGTATAGAAACAAACTAAAAGGTTGCATTCATTGTTATTAACTTAAATTTATGTGTTATTAATGATAATGACGATTGAAAGTGTTAACATAAGGTACGTCATTTATAATTAGAACTTGCCCACCATGAAAGGATGAGAGCTATCCATGTGCTGATGTGGCAGTAATTTAGTTTTGAATAGTACCTAAAGCGAAGATGAAAGACAATGGTAGATCAAGTAGGGCAATTTATAACCCTGCCACCATAGTATGAAAGTACTTAAGAAATGGAAAGAAGAGTAGAACCCGACCAGTTAATCACAAACAGCCAAATACCCTTGGAGAAGAGAGGTCAGTCATCAGCTGCGGATCACGGTAGAATAGGGAGTTGTCGATAATACTTGGCTTGGTTTACTTCGTATTCGCAATGATAAGAACTTTTTTGCCAATAGGAACAATATATTACAACTACTCAATTGTTTCTCATCTAATTGCTGCCTCTTGTAACTGACGCAATGAAAAAAACTCTATATGTCTTACCATTTTCCTTACATGTTGATGTATCTATGCATAAAATAGTAGAGAAGAAAACTGAAATGCTAGAAATCTCAAAATTTTGAGTAAATAAGAAAAGAGTTTTGTTTGTTTTATAGGGTTTGACCCAATTTCTATGTTTTATCTTTTATTTTTTTCCAATATCCAATTTTATTTAGATCATCTACACTGGAAAATCAATAGAAACAAACCAAAAGATTGCATTCATTGTTATTAACTTAATGCACATTTTAATGATAATAATGATGATTTTAAGTGTAAGGAAAAAATTTATAATTAGAACTTGTCCACCATGGAAGAATTAGAGTCATCTATGTGCTTATGTGACAAAGATTTAGTTTTGAATTCCTATAATATTATGTAAGGATTGTTAATCTTAGAATTCGAAACTAATATACATTAAATATTATATTATATTTCTCACCTTGCCACTAGTTACACTGACATTTACAACGATCCCAACTCATTAGCTTCTTCTTTACACTTGAAAAGAAAAAGGATTTACAAGGTTCTTAATTAACCAATCAGAAAAGGAGGGGAATAAATTAAGAGGTGATTAAAAGAAAAGAAAAGAAAAGCAAACACCTGACACTCCCTGCAGCATCAAACTTAATTAATTTATCTGATCAGATCATTAACATTAAACTGAGCTCCACCACCAGTGAGCACGACGGGCTGCATTTACTTACAGCGCGACTTCGGTGAGATGGGCGGCTGCGATCTTCTCAACGTGCCCAACTCCTGCCACAAAAACATTTTAATCTCTGATCCCTTTGGGTTTTGTTCTTTTCCCGTTTGATATTAAGGAATAGCTCTAGTTCGAAGAGGTTAGTAGCATAATTAAAGCATTGCAGTCTGATGGTAAAATGTAAATATGATCTACAATTAGTGCGAGCCATAACATGATGTGTCCTTTGTTTTCAATTCCTTCCCCAAAATCTCCAAAGTCGTGTCTTTTTCTCGATTCAATTTTATGTATTACGGATCGACAAATCCATCTCTACCAGCATAATACTAAAACGGTGTAAATTCACTAGGTTAAGAGCCCATAAAAAGCCCATGCCTCTCCATAAAAAGTTCATCTTCTATTCCAAGGTTTGGATTGACAAACCCTACACTTGCACTTATTCCTAATCATGTACTTGGTGAATCAATCTTGTAACATGGAGCTGATGTTATCCTTGCTCGAATATATGGTTACATTTACAGACGAAAGAATTAAATATGTAAAAAAAAATCAAATATTTCATCCCATTTAAACAAAAGTAAAAACTATGGAATATTGCATCCATCACAGGAAATAAACAATACATAAAATAGTGAATGCAAAGAGATGAACTTTTTTTCTTCTTTTAATGTAGTTCTTACTTCTTTTTCACATAGTTCTTACAATTAAATACACGATTACAAGAATACAAAGATAAAATCAAATTACTTACCTGGCGTTTGGTTTCTGCTATAGCTCCCCACTAATCTAACAAATTTCTTTCTTGGGATTACCTGCAACAGTTGGTGCTGTCAGTTCTGTGCCTAATTACCTCGCAAATATCCTTGGTAACACAGTAAGAGGACGGGGAAGCAGCTGGCAGTAGAATGTACTAAAATGGTGTGGCAATATGGCCAATGGGTTTCATGAATTATTTATTTTTGATTTATAACTCTAAATGTTCGAAGGTATTTATATGTGTTTTATATAATTTATTTTTACTCTTTGGTTTCGATAATTTAAGTTGTTGGGATCGAAGAAACTCCACTATGAATCTCTTATATAATTTTAGTGCAACAAGCCTCTTTATTTGAAATCTGACTATCCTTCTAACTGCCAAGTATTTACGTTTTTTTATCAGTTACATGATTTATCACCCGAATGATTGCGATGCACACCAATAAAATAGAAGAAAATGAAAGATTATAATACCTATAAGACTATAACCAGCTAATTGTAAAACTAACAAATAAATAAGACGCATAAACTCGTACTTGCACCTACCTCGAGTTAACTCGAACCGTTCTTTATCGCGCCCAATCAACAACACATATACGAACCCTGCACCAAAGCCGAATCAGATAAGGTGGCGGTGCATTATGGCGATGGAGGCGAGGAGTGGCGGCAGCCGCCGTTATTTACTCCGGCGAGTAGGATATTTTCCTTGTATATATGTGTTGCGAAGACTCATTACCCTCACTAGTCGGTAAACTCGCCGCCATGTCACGCTGTCCCGGAATCACACGTGATAGAGAGGGTGGGGAGGGTGTCAGGGGAGCATGTGACAGAGGTGGTGGTGGGATTGGATTTGGCTCTACGTTCCACCAATCGTGTCATAAAAGAAACCCCCCAAACCGGCGGTGGTCAATTATTATACTTTAATCAATCCCACCGCGCACCCTCGTCAATTGGACTTCCGGCAATCGGATCCCCGGAGACGATGTTAATTTTTATAATATAAATGCCTCCCTTATCTTGCAAGACTCTGCTCGCCGGCTGACCCGCTTGCCGCCGGCGGCCACCTCTTTTCGAAGCTCAACACGTGGTGGTCACCAGTTTTCTCATTAGTCACGTGACTGTCCTCCTGCCCTTCGTTCGTTGGTTAGTAGTACTTAGTAGGGATATCCGGATATGGGTGTTATGTGGGCTGGGTGAATTTCGTAGACGAAATGGGCTTTGACTAGCCCGGTTGAAACTTTGGGCCTGTCTGTGTGTCCTGTTGGGCTTTGAAATGTAGGAGAATATGAGTGGGCCGTCTCTCTGTACCAAGCCGAACGGACGAAAACGATGAATTTGCAGATGTTAAGCGCTGAGCGGGCTTAAGTGCAAGTCTGCAACTGCCGAGTTGGAAACTGAAACAACCTGAACCAACCGCCATCGCAGTGAGGCTGAGAGATCTTGAGATCGGAGAAGATGGTGAAGAAGAAGCTTGGCGGCGGAACGAATGCGTTCGAAGCGCTGAATAAAATTGTTTCGGAGCCACACTATCTCTTCCATTTCCTAGTTTTCTTCTCCTACTTTGTGGTTCGCAGCTCCGCCACTCAGGTCCTCTCCCCTCAATTGTCCCTCCGTTTCCTGCGTCGGGTTCGCGCTCCCTCTCCCTCTCCGATCCTCCTAGCTTCCTTTCTTTGGGTTTCTGAAATTGATCATCTGTGTGCACAGGAGATTCAAGCCGTTCTCGGATTCGCCGTTTTAGCTGCTGTCAAGGTACTACTCTTAAAATCGATCGATGAATCTGATAAATGAAACCGGGTTTAAAAGTGACGTTGATTTGATTGCTACAATCTTGAATGCTGAGTTGATTGCTGATGGATTTTGGGCAGTTGGTGAAAGAAGAAACATGGGAGGGTTTTATTGCTGATACCATCTTCTATGCCAAGGTGTGGATTGACGAATTCTTCAATGCTCTCCCTCTCCTTTTGATTTCCTGGTCTTATTTCGTCTGACTTTGAATGAAGCCTGTAAATGTAATGGGGGTTTTCAGCTTTTTCTCATCGCCATTTCATTGGTTTTGGATTACCATCTGGCTCTTTGGTATACAGTGTTGTTTTCAGGTAGCCCGCCTTTCGTTTGCTATTCTTGATACTGTTATTGTAATATTGACTCTTCAGTTGCGAAGAGGGTCATTGATACTTGGACTGGCTTTCGCATTTTGCAGTGATTTATCTCTTAGCACAACAACCTGTTTTCGAAGAACTAGGTACTTAACAGCTGAATGGGCTGTTATTGTATTTGGGCATCTACCATTACCATTCATAATTCTAGATTTTTTATGTTCTTGTCGTCGTATTTTAAATGATTTTCCTTTTGCAGGTGATGTGAATAAGTTAACACCTCTGCAGTTGGAAACCTTGTTGACAGAGGGGCATACGTCAAGATACTGGTTGGTTCGTTGCTTTCACTGGTCCTTGATCTTCTCGTGCAATGTGTTTTGTAATATGTAACGGTTACCTTATCGAAGTAGATTGGTTGCTCTTGAAACGGTTCAATTTGTTAGAATTGATTAAGCATTCTCCTTTTGGTTATACGACACGCCAATGCACCTTGGTTATCTCATTGTTTGTTAGAGTTGTGAAAGAGAGGTCAGTTTCCGGGTCTTCCGGTTTCTCTTGGGAGAAGAATCTAAATGTAAATTTTTTTTGTCATGCATTCTATGTCTTAATCAGTCATGTGTAAACTGGATGCACTGAAACTCTTGGTACTAGGATATGATAAGCGAAACCTATTGCTTGTATTAGTGAGTGGCATCTCCTTTAAGAGCTTGATTAATCCTGTTTTGACTGGGCTTTCTGTTGCAGGTAGAGTTTCGTGCACAGTGTTCCTCTACTTGCATACGTACAAGTCGTTGCTTTCCTGAACTTTCTGTCACGTACGTTCACTAATCTAGTTTTCCATTCTCAATTTTTTTTTGTAGCTGTTGAGACCTTAGCTGTTGACAAAGAAACATCTATGCATGTCTTACTTAGTACCATTTATTATTTAGATAGACCTGATGATCTACCATTTGCAGATACTCAAACAAGAACTTATCCTTTGGATCAGTCGATCTCGGACTCTTCCCGAATGCTGCAGAGAGATTTGGAATATCACTTAGCGGTAAAGATAACTGAAAGAAATCCAGTACAAGTCTTTCTTCTCTTCATATTTTATCGAAAGTGGGTTCTATAAGGAAGGTTGCCTCTGCAGGAGGAATGAACCAGCTCCCTACTTATATATTGTTTGAAAATGCAACTGAAGTCGCACGTTTTCCAGAGTGGGGCTTTGAAGCAAAAGCTCCTTACCCTCCTTTAACTAAGGTACGCTTTGCATATTGCACATTTGGAAAACTTCTTCAGTTCCCTTCTATGCCTGTTTTCCTCAGTGGTTTGTTGAAATATCAAATTTCTTTCCACAACTACATGTATGGATTGGTCATTGCTTGACTTCAGACTGTATATTCCAACATGAGATGCCTGATCATTGTTATTTTCCATGCAGGGACGCATTGTTCGACATTTTGAACTCGACAGGCTCCTCCTTGAGTATGTAAATGGAAAATAGACACAGCTACGTCGATAGATTACGTGTCGTATGTAGTATGCCCCTGCGCAGTTGCCACTGGTTCTACAGACTTTCAGTTTCATAGCGCTGCCACAGGACACCAGAAAAAAAGGCACTGAAGATTCCCTTGTATGATGTTATCTGTGTGTTGCTTGCTCTGCTTTAACAGACTCAAATGATCTCAAAAACTGATACATTGTGCATCATGCACTCTTCTATTTTTTTTCCTGCCATACTTGTAACAGAAACTGACAAAAGGATGAGGAACCTGTACTGAAAACTTATGATTCAGTAGAGTAAAAGTGAAATTTGGCTAGAAGCTTAAAATTTCTAGCAGGCATCCAAAGCAGAGAGTGAAAACTTACTCTGCTAGCTACTAGAGGATCATTTCGTTTCATCAAACTGAAAAAGCATAGCCCCCTAATGCTCCTTCTCGAGGGATATTGGTTAGCACCAAAGATGCAGCAAAAAGCAACCAAACCAGCAATAACTCTTTAACAATCATAACGTGGCAATTGACTTCAATGTGGTGTGCTTAGCTTCTTCGTGAAAAACAAACGTTTCTACAGTACAGACCCGAACTGGGGAATGCTTCGAACAACCAGCAGCCTTGGGAAATTTTAGATTGTTTCTTTTCTCTTCCATCTGATCAATCACGTACGAAAAAAGATGCAGTGAGCTGCAACGGATTACTAGACCCACAAGAAGCTCAGGTTCTCTGCTGTGACTTTATATTGATTAAAATACTAGTCGATTATTTGCATAACAAGCGTTTGTAGTCCAACGGTTAGGATAATTGCCTTCCAAGCAATAGACCCGGGTTCGACTCCCGGCAGACGCAATTCTCTTTTTTCTTTTTTATTCAATGCATAAAGTACGCAATCAGTGAAACACACGTATTGGGAGCCTAACGTGCAGCCATGATTATGCAATTGGGAGCAGGGAGCTGCTTTGGTTGGGCAGACCAATCCAATTGCTCGACAATCCCTTCATCAAAAGGTACACAAAGTGGTGATGATTTGATCAAAGAAAGAAAGGGCAATTACACAGCCTGGTTGGCTTCTTTCACTTTTGCTGTAGAATGAATGAATGATTACACTGTTTTTGTTACTGCATGAGACTGTGACATGCATGCATGGTGATCAAATGCAAACTTTAATCAATCAATCATGCCCTCCAAAGCAAAAGTGATTTAGATTAACCATTCAAAGGGCATCATTCATTCCTCTAGAACGCCATGAGAGGCCAAAAGGAAAGGAGAAACAAGAAATATATATATAAGGGGTGTTCCTCACCTCTTATGTCATAGTGACAAGATTTCACTCATTCTTGCACTGCGTTTAACTTCAGGGCTTTCATGAGAACTTCTTTATTTCATTCTTGCCCACCATCTATCGTTCAAAATGGTCTCGAAGAGGCTCTAATACCACTTGTAAACATCCACCCATTTTCTTACTAAAGTAGTGTCCGCTTTTGATGCATATCATAGTCACTTCCCAAGAGATCACTCATCTTTGCGTTGCTCCACATTGAGTGCGTTTAATTTCAGAGTTCTTACAAAAACTTCTTTTCATTTCACCTCAAACACGTCTTGTCTTGTAAGTTAAAGTTGAATTATTCCTAATGAATCTCGGGAACCCTCTCGTCTTTTGTCATCGTATGATTTAACTAATGTATTGCATTTAACCTTCCTCTTTACTTTCTCCACACCTTCCATACACACAGATTTCATATATCTAGTGGAGAGGATAGTGGGTTCATGAACCCCACTTGACAAACATAGAAGTCAATTATGTACATTCAGAGTAATTTCAACCATGATATTGATCCAATTCCTGCTAGCCAGTGATGCTACTCATCATCAAGAAGTGTCCATGTGTGTATGTGTATAAAGCCAAACGAAGAATGAAGCTGTCAGAAGGAAAGAGATCATCTTTATGGAAAGAAAAGGCGTTACGGCTCAACATGAAAGGACAAAATGAAATTTGATAAAGAAGAAGTATAGGGGGCAGAAAGGAAAGACTGATATATGGTCGATGGATGATGATGACTTGACTGCTAAAGAGCACTACTACACTAGACAAACAGAAGGGAAGAACAGGGAAAGTTGTGCAGAGAAAAAACAGGGGATTTTGCAAAATTGGAAAGGGACCACGACCTACCGGTTCAATCGAACCAACCTAGCGATCGACTCTGATGCTCTTGCCCGGCCGGTTTGATGTGAGAATTAGCATCTTGAGGTTGTAGTGAAGACTCATATTCTGAAGATTTTTCCTTATCTTAGTCATATGCTGATTTGGTGTAACTTTTGATGAGCGTATAGTTGTTCGATTCAGATGTGATAAATTTAATGATACAAATGTGAACAACGACTCATATTGAGTAATTAAAAGATATGATTTGATTTTGTAGATGAAATCATGTATTTTTGTTGTGCAATAAAAATATATTGGTAGGACCCTGAAGATTAAAAAGATTTCTTACGGTGATAATTACTTCATTCTTTTTTTTTCATAGATAGATCGTAATAGATAGGGTGTTACAATGCGGTGAAAAGGAAAGAGCGGTAGTCAACCAAATGGGTTGCTACCGCAAGGGCCGTTTGTGCCACGCAATGGGCAGCCCTGTTAGTATGCCTAGAAACATATAAAAAAAAATGAATAAACGCAAAAAAGGCCTTCTTTCGGCGAACTTCTTGAGAGCCTTCTATTAGCCGATTTATGCTGAATACAAAACCTGCAAAGCAAGACCAAGCAAAAATACCAAACACATGTGCATAATTAAATATGTCATTGAGTAAGAATTAAAAGTCTTAAAATGAACGTGGTTATGAACCGCTTTTGTAATTGTAATCGCCTATCTACTTGTAACCGTCTGAAGCATTCCACATCTAGGATTGGAGGGTCTGAATTTGTAACTGCCACCGAAATTTGGATGCCGGAATTGGAAGTACGAAGAGGGAACGACATCGGCGCCATTGCTATACACTGGCCATTGCCAGCCCTTGTGTCTCTGTAACAGCAGCTCCGCCATTGGTGAGGCCTGCAAAACAAACAAACGAAATATGGCCACTCGATGACACTCATTATCTCCCTAAAAACGGAGTCAATCAGGCCCATAAGCCACTGATGGTAATCCGAATACCAAAACAGAGATCTAAATCGTCGCCGTCTCTACAGCCGGTAAACCGTGTATCCTTGTCTTCAAGTGGATCTGCACCTCTTTAGTTGAAAAATCCAACCCAACCAAACAGCCCTCAAAACAATCAGCGCTCCGCTGTTAGGTTGAAGCCGTCGGCACCCTCCCCTGAGAACGGCCGTTGCTCTGATACACTGAAGCGACCAGATGGAGAAGAAAATAAGGAATTGTGCCACCAATCGCCTTCCTCTGGAAACTTAACTCCCTTCCCTAACCTAGCAGCAGATCGTCGGACCTGGGCACTTGCGTCGTTCCAGTCGTCTTCTCTATCGGCGGTGCAATCTGGCAGCGGGGAAACTTTTCCCAACCGGCTGTGCAGTTTCAGCTCATACCGTAACCGTCCCGTCTCAGCAGTGACACGAAGCGATTACTATTCCGTCGGATCTCAGCAGTGATACGCGTCTGAAATTGCCACCTACGATCACTGCTGATATGAAGTAGAAGGGACGGAGACGCTGCCGCCGAACAGAAGGGCGATGGAGACTCCAATCGACGTAGGCGTCGCTTTTGAAAGTTAGCAAGGATGAATACTATTTGACATGAATTGCAATTACTTCATTCATGTACCAAGAAAATATAAGTTACATTATATTTTTGCAGTTACAATATACATTCAACCAAAAATCATCAACCTCTATCTAGCAATACCCTAAAGCAAAAAGCCAATAACCCACAAACCTAAATCATTTTCATACTGTTTTCCATCTTCCATTTAACCTTCCCTTGCTAAGCGCCTAATATGATACAACTTAAGTGGAACAAATAATCATCCATTTTTCTTTCGAACTTAAAGGGTAACACAAACAAACCACAACAACAACAAAAAAAAGATAAAAAACGATCAAGATAAAAACAACTAGAAAACTCCTAAACACGGAAGATTTATAGTAAGCTACGAATTCTATTAGGCTACGGTGTAGAGCGGTCTTCCTCAACATGCATGAGACACAAGCTTTTAGTTCTAGGAGGCGACTGAATTTCTAAAAACGTTCCATCTTTTTCGCTGGCAACAAAATTGTCGCTAACTTGTCATCCAACCGTCCAAAAATAAACTTCACATGTATGAGATGACTGTTTGTATTTTTGCATGCATGGTTGTAGGGAATTGATTTGCCCGACCGCTCTGCACCTTAGCCCAATTGTTGCGAACTCGTCACAAGAACTACATATTTGAGGCAAAACAAGAATTTAGCAAACAGGTAGACGACTCTAGGGTTTTCAACACATCTTTTGCACACGGTCGAGCTATGGGATCAACTGCTGTGCAACGGAGAGCCAAGTTCATGGCTTCGACCACTTCATTTTGTTGCTTCATCAACACCATGGGATCGACCCACGTCTGGATATGACAATCTGAGTAGCAATATCGAGCCCATTCCACGATGCCCTCCTCCACTCCCAACGCTTCAACGTCGTTCGGGCATTTTCCAGTTAACAATTGGATGAGGATTAGCCCAAAGCCATAGATATCCTTCTTCTCTCTCATTTCCAAGCTTTCTGCAAAAACAATGACAAGAAAACCCTATCATTTTTTGTTCCTCCGTTGCAAAACACTAATAAATTTGCGATTCGAGAATGTATGATAAATAATAGAAAATATATGATTTAAGAGTCGAATAAATTCAAACGGATAAACCAACATTTAATGAAAGTGACATTGAAAAATATTCAAAATACTCTTCCTAAACACTGCCCAGTCCAAACTTCAATTAATAGAATTATTAATTCAATATTAAGAATAAATGTTAACGTGTATATTATTACCTGGACCAAAATGTGGGGATGAAACGAACCCTTTGGTTTCATAGCCGACCAAATCAAGTGGGCTCAGTTCCATATGAGGCTCATCTCTCCCGTCGACGATCACTTTGTCCGGCGAAACACATCCGACCAACCTGCTCGCCGACCGATGGCCGTGCAAAAACCGGAGAGCTTTCGCCACACCAATCGCAACCCTCTTCCTTCTCTCCCAACTCAAGCTCCGAACCACCTCAATCAACTTCCTCCCTTCAACGTGCTCGTAAACCAGAAACCCTAAACCCTTACTCGATTGCAGCACTCCAATCAATTTCACCACTTTGGGATGCTGAATCCCTCCAATTTCCGTCCAGAAACTCGCCGGAATCGAACTCATCATGACCATCTCCCGCCTTATTTCCTTCACCACGAACAGAGTCCCTGAGAAATCCCCCCTGTACGAAACAGAGTCCCCTGTTTTGGAAATCAAGTTCTCTTCTCTCCTGCAACCCAGAATCTCATCCATGGAAATGGATCTCCAAACCTTGCCGGAATCGAAGATCCTCAGTTCCCACGTCAACCCATCTTCGAGATTCTCCACTTTTTTCATCTCCATTGACATTCGTCCTCGATTCATCAGAATTACGGCGTAAGCGATCAGAGCGATAAAAGCCAGAGTACCTAAGATACAGGCGACCAAGTAATTGTGCCAAATCAGGGAGCGCTTGGCGTTAGCTCCTCCACAAGGCGGCAACCCGGTGGAAGTAGTTAAGTCGCAGAGATTGTTTCCGGCGACGGCGGTGGCGTTGAGTGCTAGAAAAGCTCCCGTCGCCGGCAAACTGCCGCGGAAATTATTGTGAGAGATGTTGACCTGGACCAGCGATTCTATTTCTCCCAAACCATTAGGGATTTCTCCTGACAACTTGTTTTCGGACAAATCGAGCTGACCGAGAACCGGCAATTGGGCGAGCTCTGCAGGGATCGGACCGGTCAACTGGTTTCGGCTGAGATCCAGAGTGACAAGCTTCTTACAGGAAGAAAATTCCGGAGGAATATCGCCGGAGATGTGATTTCCGCTCAGCTTTAGCAGCATTAATTCCGATAAAGCTCCGAACTTTGCCGGAATCGAACCCGAAAATTCGTTTTCCGACAAGTCCAAGTTCTCCAGTTTGTCGCTGCCGAAAGATTCCGGCAGGCCACCGACGAACCGATTCCTTCCCAGATTCAGCATTTGAAGCGACGGCATCTCCCATTGCCGGTGATCGATCCTGCCGGAAAAATTATTGCCGGAGATGTCCATGAAGTAGACAAGTGGCAGCCTGGCGAATTTCAGCGGTAATTCCCCTGACAACTTGTTGTTCTGGAGACGCACGCGTTTCAAGCTCCTGCAAGAGCTCAGACTCTCCGGAATCTCGCCTTCCAGAGAATTCGAGAAAAGAATGAGCTTAAACAAACCGCCGGAGCTGCAAAGGGTCTCCGGAATTTTCCCAGTCAGAGAATTGGTGGAAAGGTCCAGCACAGTGAGATTGCTCTGTTTTTCACCGAGATCTTTGGGTATCTGACCGGTCAGCCGGTTGGACCAGAGCTGAAGCACCTGAAGCTGCCGCAGGGCGCTTAATCCGGCTGGGATTTCTCCGGTGAAGTTGTTGGAGAAGAGATGAAGAACTTCCAAGCTCTGCAGTTGAGATATACTCTCCGGGATCTCACCTGACAACGAGTTCTCGCTGAGATCGAGAGAGACCAAATTCCGTAGGCCAAAAATCGACCCGGGAATTGAACCGGCGAGATTGTTTCCGTACAGAAAGAGGTACCGAAGATGGGTGAGGTTGCCTAAAGACGGAGGGATTCCACCGGTGAGATTGTTGTAGACGAGATCAAGATGTTCGAGGGAAGTCAAGTTCCCAATTTCCTCCGGGATTTCACCGGAGAGATTGTTGTATCCCAAGTAAATCCAACGAAGGCTCGTCATCTGACCTAACTCTCTCGGGATTCCCCCCACGAGTTGGTTCGTTGCTAGGGTCAGCGATTCCAACCTCGAAATCTTTAATATTGAAATTGGTATCCTCCCAACCAACACATTTCCTCCGAGGTCCACGTACCTCAAACCGGAGAACGACCCGATCTCCCACGGGATCTCTCCAGTCAGAATGTTACTGGAGAGATCCAACGTCTCAAGCACACCGGAAGAGATTCCAGACGTAATCTCACCAGTGAAGTTGTTGTTGCTGAGGTTGAGATGTCGCAAGGACGAGCTCGAGAACACGTAGCTTGGGATCTCGCCATAAAACTGGTTGCCAGAAAGATCGATGGTCTCCAGATAAGAGAGTTGGAAGATTGAAGATGGAAGTTCACCCGATAAATTTTTCGTTGGCAAGTTGATGAGACGGACGCGAGAAGAATTGACATCATCACAAACGATCCCATCCCAGCTGCAAATACTGGAAGCAGACGTGTCGTTCTTCCATGTGGAGAGGTGGCCAAAGGGGTCATGAACTGAGGACTTGAAGGAGAGGAGAAGCTCAGCTTCCTTTCTTACCCATTCCTGGTCTTGAGCAAGGACCGACTGAGGATTCAGTACGAGCAAGGATGTGAACAAGAGGATGGTGATGAAGAAGAAGAAGAATGTTGGGATGGATATGTTGGTGGTGCTTGCCATGTTAATGGAGACAAAACTCTGACAGAAAGGGAGCTTTTCTTCATCTAATCTTCATCTCATAATATAAGTAATGGGGTTTGATGATGAGGAGGAGTAATTATAATGTAATGAAAATGGAGTGGAGTGGAGTGGAGTGGATAGCATGACAAAAACCTTGAATGCATATATAGGAGGAGGAGAAGAAGAAGAAGGTGATGTGAGAGTGTGTGTGTGTGTGTTATGGGTTAGAGAGAGTTAAGAAGGATGCATGGGAAGTGAGTGAGTGCGGATGGTAAAATTACGAAAAGGCACCTTGACCTTTGTTTGAATACAAACGGCTGAAAGAAGAGGGAGGAGGGGACATATGTTGGGGTTGGGGAAAAAGAGAGTGATGATCCCTACCCCAAAAGAATGTCTTCTTTTTGACTGACTCATTCATTCATTCATGCCCTAAGGAGGAGAGGAAGATGACTCTCTTTTTTGTTTCTCTTGGGGTTAGTGAGTGACACCATTTTTAGGGCTCCTTGTAACCGTTGAAAAGCTTCATTGATGGACTTTTGATTGTGGACTTGGATGCATGCATGGCTGGCAGGCAGCAATAGAGATCTTCTTTTTGCTGAAGTTGATGATTGTATGGTGTTACATGGTTAACAAAATTGGTAACTTTAACTTTAAACTCTTTAGTAAAATTCAATTTAACGTGAGCAACTTTGAAAAGAAAGAGTAACTAAGCGTCTTGTTCTTTCTAACTTGTTGCTAGTGTGAATGTGTTAGCATTTCGAGTAGTCTTGTGATCATTTGGATGTCGCCAACCTAAACTACCAAATTTAACCTCAATCTCTTAACAAACCCGATATTTAGTCGGCCAATGATACCGAACCTAGAACATAAATAAACTCGTGTATCGATCCAACCCATCTCCTCAAATTGGAAATCAAGGATGAGCTAGATGGGTGTGTGGGATGTTGATTGGATTAATGAGAAGTATTAGTAACCAATCCATATAACCAACGAAGGAAGATGGAGTGAAGAAAAAGATTGACATTTATAACCATTGTGTTACAAATGCCATAATTTAGTGACCAATAAGACATTTAGCCTTCTTTCACTCCCCTACTTTCCACCCTTCTTTTTTTTTTCTCTCTCTCTCTCTCTTCTCTTGATGCCTTTAGAGCTGTATTGTACTTAAGTGTGGCAAAATAAGAACTCAGTTTCCATTGCTTTTGGTCTCAACAGTATATACCTTACTTTGTTCTTTTTGACTGACATGATTTCCCCTTCTAGGCAGTGTTTGACTTTGCTGGACCACCCATTGTGGTTAATTAATAATCTCTAATAACATTTGCATGAGTAATACAGCATTCGGTAAGTACACTAATGACTTGTTGATTACATTATGGACATTGGCTGGTTACTGCTAATAGGAGATTCATCTAGGGTTTAGAGAAAGTTTCTACATCAACCTTCTAGTTCTTCTTGATTATGCTAATTAATTAGCACAATGTTGTGCTAGTAGTGAACCACATAAATACGTTATATATGTCATTTGTTGCTCTCACTTTAGCAATTATATATTTGATATGTTATAATATATTTCCTAAACACCTTGATTTACGTGGTTAACAAAAGGTTGGTATTTGCTTCTCTCTTAACAGCTGAGATTCAACATTCAATAGTTATGTATATGATAATGAAAATCAGAAGCTTTCGTGTTTGAATTGTCACATCTTATTTCGAGACTCCAACAAACGGGAAGAACATAAAAAGGAGGGGGAAAAGTGAAGGACATATAGGAGTGAATTGAGAAAAGTGGAATCTCTTTTTGATAGGTTAGAATGATAATGCTCTCTCTCGTGCGCTCATCACTAGCTCTTCCCACAACCCAAAATCCTCAACTCTCTCTGTCTCTGAATATTGCTTTCTTCTTCTTCTTCGTTCCACATTTCGCCAGCTTTCTTTCACGACTTCTTCCATCCATCCATCCATCGCTGTCCTTTTTCCTTGTCGCGATGTGAAAAGTTTGGCTGGTGAAAATGATGATGAAGGGAATTAAGAGAGAATGGAATTAATGGACTATATGGAGAACGTGGGACCTTAAATCGATCGATCTGCGTATTTTTGGAAGAGAATATGCAGTGAATGGTCTTAGTCATAGTAGTGGCTGAGACCACAGACCAGAGGCCATAGTCCTGCTAGCTGCAATGCATGCTTTCCCCGTTCTTTGCTCAACCTTTTCTTTCTGTTATTTTCCTTCTTAATTTACCCAACCAACTTCCCTTACAATAAGCAAAGGTTGTCAACTCGAGGGTCTGATTTGTTGGTCGATCTATTTGGATCTTGCGGATAGACAACCTTACCTGCCTAATAGAGAAGGCTATATATATAGAGTATCGGTCCTTAGCTCCGTTAAAAAAGATCATGTATTCAAATCATTATTACGACTTTCGATATTAACAACTTATTCAAACATACACGCAATATATAGAAAATCTGTGCAAACTTCAAACTAATCGCATAACCTATCTCGTCCATGCACTTAGGCAGGATGGTTTGCTGTGCTGTGCAGCTCCGTCAGTACAAGTATGTGGGCGCACTAATAAGCTTCTCAGCGCACGCGCACCTACTACTAATTTACTATACTATACAATATCTGAAGTGATACAAAAACAAAATGCGGTAATGGAATTTCAGAAGGGCGCAATATTGTGGCCTCCTGTGCTTTGCTTCCCTGTCCTGCACTGCTGAAGCAAAGCGTGATGGAATGGAATTTCATCAGTTCAGAGTTGCCCAATAATATACTGATATATCTTTTCATTTAGCAAAACGACTTACTTGCTGCCTTTCTGTCAAGATTTGCGGCTTTCCCACATTCCATTTCCATATATATGTGTATTAGGTTCTAGATATGGGAAATTGGCAGAACCACTATCGTCTCAATTATATGCAAATATATACCCACCTTCCAAACCCACTTCCAGCTATGTGTATTATTATTTTTTCGTATTTTGATTCAATGGATGATAGATAGCTAGGTGAAAAAAGAGAAAGCAAAAGTAGTTGGACTCTTCCCACCATTAAGTCATTAGATGTTGAAATATTATCATCCGATTGTCCTCATCCTTCTCTAACTAACTGTCCATCAACTTAGATGTTGAAAGTGGCCTTATCATAAATTTATCCAAGGTGGGTTCAATTCCGACAGAAGAAGAAAAAAACTATTGTTAGTATTTAAAAATGACCCACAATGTATTCTTATATTATTATGAAAAGAATATAAAAACTATATTCATCCTGCAAATTATATCGAGAATGTTTTTTTTCTTAAAACACCTTACAGAATTCATTAATTAATCATCCCGATTTTGAAGCATGATCTTCTCATAATTCACAAAACCAGTGTTTTGGTTGTGGGTAAAGTTGCACTTGGTGTCAAGTACCTCCCTTGGTCTCAAATGGCTCTCTCACTTCTCTCTTTTATGCTAGATCTTATTCCTTCAAATACTTTGTGAAAAAAGATTACTATTTCTTACATGTCTAGCTGTTATAATTGATTGGAAAATTGATAATATATAAAAATAAATATTAAACAAATTTACGTAATTTACTAACATAATGTATATAGACGTTAGAAAGAAAGTTGCCGATGAGCCTAATTCTTTTTTTAGTCATAGTATTGCTCCTGTAATGGACTTACGGATTTGATTGAATCTGGGCGGGCGGCAGCCAACCCCTTTCTCTGGAATAGTGGTCTCTCACATTTTCTATGTCTTATCTTCGCGAATATTTCTTTTAATTTGCCGCCAATGTGAATGTAGTAATTTATGTGATTAGCAATCAATAAAGTAACGGAGAATACTTTGGACATGTAAGCTAAAAACAAGCAGTGGGATTGTTAGATATATTCATTCACAAGGTCGTGAAGAATCAGTGACAAAAAACTAAAATTCAGTATAAGACACATGCACTTGTAATGAATCAACTGCACAATTATCTACGTACTTCTTGTTAGTGAATGGTTATATGATGCACGATTGAACCTCTTCCAACAACTCGAGTTATTGTACGTGACTAACTGGTTTATGACAATAAAGAACTAGCTAGTTGCTCCCAATAACCTGAGTTGTTGGGAAAAAGTTAAGTTGGATCTTATACCACTCTCTAACTCACCCCAAACGAAAGCCAATCCATTGGCTTGAAGTTTGCACAGACCCATCATACCTTGTGCTTTAATCAAAACCAGCTTTGGGCCAAGCCCGCACGATTTTACCCTTGGGTATCCTCCCCAAAAGGCCTCGTACTAATTGGCCTAGGTGGACACTAATATACAGAGTCCCTTCCCTTGTATTACCAATGTGGTATTTGGATTGTCTCACAACAGATACCAAGTCAATAACCATTTGCTCCCAATAACTCGAGTTGTTAGGAGAAGGTTACGTTGGATTCTATACCAATCTCTAGCACTTCTCAAACAAAACATTGAGACAAAGCTGTGCGAAAGACGGCTAAGGTTTTGTTAATGATGAAATATGAATGATATTCCAGCCATGCATGACTGAGCACTGACGTCGCAGCTAGCTAGCTCTAACAGCACCTTCAAATCTACATGTTCCTTCAAAGTACAATGTGTGGGTATATATCTCTAGAAACGACAGACACCAAATTTTCCTGTACATCCTCTTTTTAATTAATCCTTGTAACCATTCATTCATCGACAAAGACCGTTTTTGGATGTTGTTGATGATGATGATAAGACACAAATTTGCGTCTTTTTCTTTGGTTAGAGATTCCCCCTTTTTTTTCCCAATAGAAAACCAAAAAGAGTGGGGTCGAGCTTAATGTTGTGAACACAATTATGATGTATGAATGTCGGGCGCAGGCATTGGTCCACAACGCTAATTAACAAAGAAAAAGAAAGGAAATTAGCTAAATCGTGCTGTGTGATTTTCAGATGGAAGGGCAAGCTGCTGGCTTCCTAGGTTTGGTTACTTGCTTGCTTCCAAGATAGAGTTGCACATGGCCCTAAACTAAGGTCACCATTCTAATTTCACTTATTATTTAGTCCACAATTATGAGATTTCCTGTGCATAAAATACTTTGTTCACATAGCTCAATATTCAATCTTTCCTCCACCGATCTTTCTTTGTGAATGTTGTTTCTTGGGGGAGTGATGATCATGGTGTTTGGAGGAGTCGAGCTAATCTCTTCCGCGAAATGAGATTTGAGGACTCGGCATGTTGTTCAGACACGAGATTTTTCTTCAATCATCATTATACATGTATGGGTAATCAAAAGTTATCGAGAGCTTTGTACATCGTTAGCACTTACATATCAAAAGTTGGAAAAATCACAAAGGAACATGTGTTGATCATGAGAGTAGCAAGCATATTGTTACTATAGCTAGTCAATCATCATCATTATCGTGGTAGAAGTGTGTGATAGATACTACTATTGAACAAAAGAAATGGAAGAGTGGGGAGTGTGACCACGTGTGAGAGTCACGTGTGACCGTGACAGACATTTTGCCATGTTGGACCATCTAGCTAGTAAACATAGCCCACAGCCAAAGCCCCCAAAGGCACTTTAAAACTTCATGAAATTGTGGGATTCATTGGGGGGAACCTTTGGACCATTCCCCTTCTTCATTATTACCCCTCCAATTCCATTGTTTAAAAAGAAGAGAAATGAATCATGACGATCCACAAAAGCCACAAATGCCTAACTCACAAATGTGTAATGGGAAGAATATCAATGAAACACGATTGAAAGATGGGAATGAGATAGGGGAAAAGAAGTAGATTGGGGTTGGTTTAGTTTTGATAGTAGTTAAATTGATGCATTGTAATTAATGTATGTATAATATATATATATATATATAAAATTTGATGTATTGTAGTTTACATCGTTTTTGGTGATAGTTATTGTAGCATTTAAATCAGTTATATATTTTTTGAGTGAAATGTTAATTACTTTTACACATGATTTTAACATGAAAAACCAACACATAAAAAATATAGGGACATAGTTGGAAGAAGCAAACAATGCATGTATTGTTTGTGCAAAAAAAAAAGCGATGCATTGTAAGTAGGGATGACAATTTCAACCTGACCCGTTTTACTCGACATGTTTGGCCTGTTTTGGGGCGGGCCGCGGGCATGGGTACCTCTCATCGACCCGACCTGCCCTGACCCGCTCCATTCTCGCCCCCTTCTTAATTAAATTACATGTAATCTTAGTCAAATTACTTAGAATTTTCCTCGTATCACCTAATATTTTAACTATAATAAAGTTGTAAATAAGTGAAAACCTCATTTTCTCCAATACTTTAACTACATTTTATCATATTATGGTTTATTTCTTGATCTTTTAATGAAAATAATGAATATTTTTAAAGTTTTTTACATAAATTACATACCCATTGGGTCGACCTGCTCCGACCCGTGCTCCATGATAAATTACCCGACTTGAACCCAACCTGCCACGAGGCGGGTCTGGGTATCGAGATACCCAACCCAGACATGCCCCATTATCATTTCTAATTGTAACTATCTCAACCAAACTATCACCAAAACCAAACAAACACTAAAATTCAGTCAAATTAGATTGGAGGAGACAATGGGCACAAAGTATATACTTTACTTTACCCTTTTCATCATGATTTGATATGTATCTCTTTTCAATCAACTTAGAACCCACAATCAATGACCACTACAGCAAATTGTGAGCAACAATAAATAAATAAACAAGGTGGGATGTGCACGGTCTAATCAAGTGTTTCAATTCAGCTGGCCTCACGAGTGATTTTTTTCTTCTTCAATGATTAATCTTGATTCATGCAAACTGGTAGGTCTTCAGCATGACGAGATCTAATGCTAGTGCTGTGGAGTTTTAGTGATACACCAGTGTTTTGTTGCAGTAATACCGTTTTTGAAATAGAAAGTTTAAAGAATTTTTTTTTTTTTTCAAATTCTAAACTAGCAAATTATATTGTAGGATCAACTGAATTATAAGTGACAATGACATATCAATCTATGGAGGGTAAACATAATGTTATGCCAATGTAATATTTTATATTGCAGAGTGCAGACCATAATGATTGTTTATTTCAATATCAAATACCGAACTCAAATTTGTATACCATTCTCTCATACATTACCCAAAAAGTCTAATAATTTTAGAAATGGTTTATTAGTGAATAAACAACTTAATGGAGCAGAAATTGAGAACCTTTTGTATCTTTAGTTTGACCCATTTGTTTACGAATTACGATCACATATATAAATTACTTTCCCCGGCCTCAATCCTCATTACTTCACAATTAGGTTCGTACTTTAGGGTTTGTCTAATTTGGTGACCCAGGTACAGGTTTGTGATCACATATAAATTAATTACTTTTCCTCATTACTTCACGATTAGATTATACACGTCAATTAATAGATAACTTTGAAGAATAAACCCTAAAAGTGACGAATTTTGATGAACGTATTCTTAACCACGAACATAGACTTAATATAATCAAAGAATTATATAATGAGAATAAAATATCATTGTTACATAGACTACTTTGCCTTCAACCCAAAAACGACAGAAGTACAATTCACATGATACATATATAACTAAGCAATAATAATACATCTCCAATATAACATTTTTTTTTTTGGCAATGGTGAAATTAGTTAATACAACAAAGCAATCAAAGGGAAGTTTACAGAAACAAACATACATCTCCAATATTACACTAACACCGTAACCTTCAAGTGTTAAGTACAATATTATATATATCCTATAAACTTCATGTTCGATCATATCCTCACTCTCTTAATTAGTTCCGCATAATCAAGTATGCATTTACTGCCGCCGCTGGCCGGCCGCCGCCGCGAGATCCCTAGCGATGGCCGGCATGCAGCTGGAGCTCCTAGCAAGCCCACCACCACCACCGGCGGCGGCGGCGGCGGCCTTTCCGGCCTGGCTGCGCTTCTTCTTGAGTATCTCCTTCACCGCATCGGCCTGATAGAGCACAGGATACTTCCTCCCCAGGCCGTTAAACCTAGCGCAGGCCTTCATGTGCTCCTTCACCGCCTCTTCTCTCTTCCCGCCGTTCTTCTCCGCCTCCCTCCCGATCGCCTCCGCGCACATCCCGCACACCATCTTCCCCATGAACTTGTCTCTCACCCGCTTCACGTACTGCGGCGTGAACTCCTCCGCCATCCCGCAGCACTCGCACTTGGCCAACTCCTCCTCCCCTTCCTCCAACACAGCCGCCGCCGCCTCTCCTATCGCCGGAAGCTGCTTGCCCGTTGCAGCTGCTTCCTTGGTGGTGAGGTGGAAGGAAAAATCCGACACGGTTCTTTGGAGGCTCTGCATGGTTTTTGTTGGTTAGCTTCCTTTCACGGTTTGTGTGCCGATGCTACAGCTTATATGGAAAAAAAGGAGGGGACTGGGGAGGACATTTATGTGGAACTCGTGATGCATGGCGATGGCTACGTAAAGATAAAATACAGAGAAAGCGTAGTTTAAACGAGGATTGCGCCGAGTTTACTCAAAGGGAAGGGTGTCACGGAAAAGAGAGTGTGAGGATGAGGATGAGAAGGGAAGGTGTCTGCAGTCTTTTTACGTGGTATCACGCCGCACCGTATATGTTTATGTTATATGTTAGCTCAAATCATTTTCTGTGCAGTTGCAGAGTCAGGATTAATATATGTGCATGCATGGCTGGTGATGATCAAACATTATCCAATACGATGATTCAGCACAGTGCTATCAAGATTGACGTTATATATCCAGCTGGGACATCGATCGACCGACCTACTGTTAACTATATATGTATATGCTGTTTGCTATAGTGTAGATAGGAGGTCAATTGTCACGGTTGCAGTCACTTAGATAATTAGGTTGGACAACCAAATCAAGATATGGAAATAAAGATAAAAAGTGAACAAGGGTCGACAGATCAGTTGCAATATGAAGTAAGGGTAGGATGAAGCTGCATGGTTATACAATGAACCAGTGACGGAGGCAGGATTAGAAACTACCCCTGTCCTCTTTTCAAAATATAAACATATAAATAATTAATAATACCAAGATATTACATTCATAAATAAAAAAATAACCGACTATACAATTATTATTTGCATAAACTATCACAATGAGTTTTCATATTCTAAAATAAATGCAAAATAGATCCATCGTCTACACTCTTAAGAAAGTCTCTTTCAAAATATCCCACTAAACAATCATTAGCAAATCGATCACCAATTTGACTTCGAAGCTTGTTTTTAATATAGCTCAAGCTAAAAAATGTTTTTTTTTTAACTTATAGTTGCAAATGGTAGAATCAAAACTACCTTTAGAAGGAAATAAACTTAAGAAAATGACATACACTTATATCTCTACCTTAACTCAAGATAATTCATCATGAACATACAGTTGTCGAATAATAATATCATGAATGGAACCAATAAATTAATTAGTCTTTTTGTCAATTCATGAACAAGTAATGAGTTGTGGTATAATGTCAAAATATTCTTATGTTACGTGTAAGAGTGGTATTTTTTTCGAGCCCCAAATTTTACCTCTGTCCTGGGACAAGGGCAAAGGTGACTGACTCTGCCTATACGATGAATCGGATATATTTTGATGACATTTCGTACCTAATTAAAATCTCGTTGTTAATTAGCACATCAAGGGGATGATAACGGGGGCATGCATGAGGTGCGGGTATGGGCGGGTTTCATGCTTAACAATGAGTTTTTTTTTTTTTTAACTTAAACCACCCCCATCCCTTTTTCAGAAATTCATATACGCTTCTTACCCGTTTCATACTCCGATCGAGAAAGTTTTTGCAACCCATCCTTATACATGATTTTATAATATTGGATAAATATGTAAAATTTTAATTATAAAATACAATAGAGCTAATAAATCATGAAGTCTACAAAGATATAACCATTTTTAATTCACATTCAAAACATCTAATCCTACAACATCAACTAACCCATAATATAATTACTATTTTTAGCATTCAAACATTAGATTTTTGCTATATAGAGAGATATTATTTGTGGGCCTTGTATGAATATGGATATGGTATGAAACAGAGAGACTAAAACTATACACGCTCCATCTCTATTAATTTTCTTGTGGATAACCCATACCCAATCAATACACGAATTTTGCAAAATGAATGAATTTGGGCGATCGGTCTCCAGAATCTTAGATTTAATTGTCATCACTAAGCACATGGTCATTTGTATCAATTTCCATCTTGATCATTTGTCGAACCTTGTCTTAACAGGTTCAACCACTACGGCCAAGCTACACCTAGCAAACAACAAATAGTTCCCTACTCCCCCACAATATATAAGTCGACGAGCATTTCTACTATGCTATATAGTATTGGTACTTTAATGTACAACTTAAAGTTGTACCATAACATGAAATGTATAAGTTTAGATTGTACCATAAAAGAATTTGTACCATTATGTTATGGTACAACTTTACAACTTAAAGTTGTACCATCACATAAAGGTACAAGTTCAAGTTGTACCATAAAAGAATTTGTACAAACAGTATAGGTACAATCTGAAATTGTACCATAACATAAATGTACAATTTTAAGTTGTACCATAAAAGCAAAAACCTATAGCACCAATACTATATAGCATTGTAAAATTCCTCGTAAGTCGACGTTGCATAACATTAATTTTCTTGATAGACCAACTTCTCTTTTACCCACGGCATAATAGCCTACTTGACAGTGTCCAAGCCTCTCGTTGGGCATCTTTAGTAAAATTCTTCTTTTTCTTGATTTGGATTATCATGCCTAAGGCATAATAAGAACAATGTGAGACAAAATGACATTGTGCCACCATGGAATGTGATTCCACGAAGTTGTCTGATTCCAGCATGTTTATCTGCCAAAATGTCAAAACCCTAACATACATCAACTCTTAATAGCATTTCCAACATATCATTTATACGATCAATCATAAGCATTTCTATCGAAATCAATAAATCGGAGTATCCTCCTAAATCCAGATCTGGAACTTTCACTCTCAGCTAACAAACAGAGAAACGGATCGGTTCTAAGAAGAAGAAGCAACAGTTCAAAGATGAACAGTTGGAGAATCCTCCTAATAAAATCTCCGATTTCTCACCTGAACCGGTTTTTGAGGGCAAACAATTTGGGATCCCAGCTCTTATGCGCCAGTTTAACCAGCAGTATGAGAAATGGGTGGGTCTCCCAGTAGACCAGGTCCCTAGGGCACAAGTCCAGATAATGCGATATTCACCTCAATTGGATGATTCCCATTTGGTCTGCATGTGGGACGGTGCTACTAAGGGTGGGTCGCATTCGGCTGGTGGGATGGTTCTTTTTGACCCCACGAGGACACTCTTAATGGCTAGAGGGATCCAGTTTGCTCAAATAGATGATCCTGCAGTGGTGGAATTGCTGGTGCTTCGTGAGGCTATCATTTGGTGTATGGAGCAAGGTTTGTCGGCTGTCCGTTTTGAGGGCGATGCGAAGGTGATAATTGATAAAATTAATCAGGCCGACGCAAGAGATAGCCGGTTGGGTGCGGTGCTTGAAGAGGTTGTTCATTATATTCGTACTCAGTCTGGCTTTAGTGTGCGGTTTGTAGGTCGGGAGAACAATAGGGTAGCTCATTTGGTAGCTAGGAAAGCTCTTTCTTGGTACCCGACTATGAGTCGCTTCTTTGATTTCCAGACCTGGCTGGTTTCCAGGGTGTAACTATTTTATGCAATGATCAATATATGATATCTTTTGAAAAAAAAAAAATTCTCACCTGAACCGATCCGTCCAACTGAAAAAAATAAAAGAAGTCTGTTCAAACTCCACCTAATAAAATCACTGATTTTGTTAGCGAAGCCGCGGGAAGGCAGATGGGTAGCCCAACAGATCTGTCCGCTGACTTGGCCCAATTCAAATAAGGAATAGATGAACAGCGCGCCGTCCCGTCACCTTCACGGCATCTTCTCGCCTCCAGCACTCCAGCCTCTCCTTTCCTCCCCGCCTTTCCCGCATCAATCTGCACCGTCCATCCGCAAAATGGGTCCCATTCTTCTCAATCAGAGCACGCCACGTGCACGGTGTACATTTTTATAATTAATGCCCGTTATTATTATATGTGGACTGGACCGTCATGTACTAAGTCGCCGGGTCGGACTCGGGGCAACTGGCAAGCTTCGTTTTCGTTCCCCTATTTATTTTCTGGAAACCCATTTCTCCCTTTTTCCCTTTCTCTCTTTCCGTTCTCATTTTCTTCTTTTGTTAATTTTTTTTTCCTTAAAACTTTTTTTTGCGCTTTTTTTCTTCCGTCTCGGCCATGTCGACGGTGGCGGAGATGGAACCTCTGACGTCCGGCGCGAGCAATCGCATCATCCCGATCCTCAGAGTCCTGAGGAAATCCCTCATTTTCATCCAATCGATCTTCCTCGCCCTCCTCCTTGTCCTCTTCCCGCGCCGCCGACCTTCTTCTTCGTCTACGTCGGCGGATTCGTCCGCCTCCTCCAACTCCTCGAAGCGCCGATCGATGTGGAGGCTGGAGGAGGAGGATACCTTGCGGAGGAGAGCCCTTGCCGAGGTCATCGATATGACCGTCGACGGTGACACTCGGTGCCGGTGGAGCACCTCTTTGTTCTTCGGCGTCAAACGGAATGCTCTGTTCTGCCGCTCCTGGTTCCCGCTTCACGACGATTTGAAGTAAGGTTTCCTCCCTCCCTGTCTCTCCTGCCGACCTTTTGGTTGATATTCTGTTGTTTGGTTGCGTGTTTCATGATCGTCTGAATTTTTGGAGTTGGAATTGGAGAATTCCTTTTGCTTGTTGGAAAATTATAATCTTAGGGCACTGCTTTTCCTTGTATGGATGAATCTTCTCCTTTGCGATTAGATTCAGCCGGATTTCTTGTTTCCATATCCGGAAAAATTCAATATTCCTGGTGATACCTAAGAAGGCTGGTTTCAGTAAGGTCGTGTTTGGTAAAAAAATCAAATGCATGTTTAGGGTGAACAAGTTTTGCTTCTCGTTTTCAATGTTGTCTTCTCCGTGTTGAACCTTTTGCTGACGAATGAATCCTCTGTGGGTGCGTGTGTGATATCAGGGGAATTTTGGTCATCATCCATGGGCTTAACGAGCACGGGTAACTATTCGATATCCTGATTCGGCAATTTGAGTTCTCTCATTACACATGGTGACGATGCAGAGATTGTGGAAGTTTCTAATTAGTGTTACTTCTGGTTTGTTGTGTAATGCGCAGTGGAAGGTATGCTCACTTTGCGAAGCAGCTAAACTCGTCGAACTTTGGAGTCTATGCTATGGACTGGATAGGTATGCAACTCTTTTTCTTATCGCGAGACAGTAGAATGAAATGAAAATGAAACGTAAAAAACTAATGTCTTTTACAATCACACTTGGAAGCTCTCTCATTTGGATTAGCTATTCCATTTGTCTCTTTGATGGCTTAGGTCACGGTGGAAGCGATGGATTGCACGGATATGTTCCTTCTCTCGACCATGTCGTTGCAGATACTGTAAGTTCAGTGTTCCCACTAATGTGCATTCAGTTCAATTGTGATCCGCTGATCGCCCTGTGTCAAGTTGGATTTTCTCAGTACTTTCAACTCCTTCAAGCATGTCTTTTCTTCGCAACTCTTTATGCATGTTCAACTAGCCTGGTATTTGCAGTTTCAATTTCTCTTAGAACGTGATTAAGTGTGCAGTTTCCAGATTAGCTGGACGACATTGAGATCCTTGTATTATGGGAACTTTTCATGCAACTCCTAGACAGTGGAGGGTTGGTCTGTAACACCTTGTGTAACAGGGGGCTTTCTTGGAGAAGATAAAGTCTGATAACCCTGGAGTACCGTGCTTCCTTTTTGGTCACTCAACTGGAGGAGCTGTGGTTTTGAAGGTAACGTAACCATCTTTAAGCTTACCATATGATACACCTACATGGGAGATATGGTTTGTTGAATGACGCAGAAAATAATGGTTTGCAGGCAGCTTCATATCCTCGTATTCAAGAGATGGTGGAGGGCATTGTGCTAACCTCGCCTGCTTTGCGTGTTAAGCCTGCACATCCAATTGTTGCGGTAAGTAACTAAAAATGTGCTAAAGATATCCTATACAAAATGTGTATGAGTATCTAGTTACTTGCCCTGCCTCATTGCCACTTCTAGGAATAGTTATATGATTCCCTTCTTAGACATTCCCCAACGACTTGTTACCGGGATGAACAAGTTCATGATTCTTTCCACGCTCTGTGGTTGCCTAAAACACGCATTCTCATCATGCTTCATGTTTTGCTTCTTTCAGGCCCTGGCTCCTATTGTTTCGCTGATCGCCCCAAGGTTCCAGTTCAAAGGAGCCAACAAGAGGGGCATTCCAGTCTCGAGGGACCCTGCAGCACTGCTGGCCAAGTACTCCGATCCATTGGTCTACACCGGTCCCATACGAGTCCGAACGGGCCACGAGATACTACGCATCTCATCCTACTTGATGCGCAACATCAAATCCGTCACGGTTCCATTCTTTGTTCTTCATGGAACGGCTGACAGAGTCACTGATCCCTTAGCATCACAGGAACTCTACAACGAAGCCGCCTCCAAGTTCAAGGACATTAGGCTCTACGAAGGGTTCTTGCACGACCTTCTCTTCGAACCGGAGAGGGAGGAGGTTGCACAGGAGATAATCGACTGGATGGAAACGAAGCTTGCTGCTGGATTCTGAAGAAATAAGTGTTTATAGACGTTGGGTAGACTAGTTTGCAGATGCGAAGTAGGTGCAACAGCTGCTATCCTACAAGATTTAGGAACCCACAAGGCTGCGTTTGGCAAAACGTTTGTTTCTTGGCCTTGAATGTGACAGTTTCTTTCTGTAAATTCTATCCTACAGTCGTAATATCTATTTTTTTAGCTGCTACACTTTGCCAACTGTATGTAAAATTGTCTTTCTGCTTCTGCTGAAACTAGTAGCAGAAGAACAGTATAAAGACACTTCCTTTCAGTTGAAAAAAATGTGAAGAGCTCAAAGGCTTTTTGTATTAGGCTTTGAATTTACGAACCTCCAGCAGACCCAACCCATTATCTTCTTAAGCTCACCATGGGCCGTCCTCAAAGGCCCACTACTCAACAGATCCAACCGAATCCTCCATTTTCCGGGCCGCGGATACCAGAACCAACTCATACTTCTTCACCAAATCATCCAGTGTCCATCTCTCCACAGGATCAACGCTGAACCCCCCACTCGATCACGCACCCTGTCCCGTCAGGAACGATCTCGACCGTCGATTCGTACCCATTGAACCCAATGTTGAGTCCACCATCTCGTAGCTCAGAACGCGCGCCGGCGTGATCGACGGCGGTCAATCTCTCCTTCGACCAGCTCGCGACCTGGCCAGCCGAGCAGCCGCCGGCGACAGGGATGGAGAAGCCGGAGCAGTAGCGGATGCAGCCTGGCTGGCCCGTTGGTGCCGATTCATTACACAATCTTATCAATTTTCGTTACAATCTAAAGAAGCCCAACTAATTACTAAGTATCCCAAACTTCTTTACCACATTTTCTCATCGACATGGCTCCACAGACGTTGCTTTACAAATCCACACAAAAAAAAAAAAAACCATTATTTGATCAAATCAACATCACTATGAAATGGACTAACTAGCTAGCTATGTACAGACTTTTTATATATAGGAGCACATCCGATCCGATGGTTGATGCTGTTGGAGTGAGTGATGAGCTGACTGTATAAAGCTCTGAAATGTGCCCTTGTGCTTTTGCAGAATCGAAATAAAATACGGGTAATCAGTCAAACTAATTAATTAGCTGATATCCGTGGTTGATGGAGTTATCCAACAACAGTACCCTTTTTGGATTACATTATTGCATGAAAATTCCCCATTGGATTCCTGTTCCCGTTATGATTACAAACCCACTAAGCTTGGGTGGAAAAAGAAGAAGCTTAGCTTGTTTGTAATGTAAACCCTTCTTTTGGACCATGGGATGATTTTTAAATTCAAAAAGAGTTGGGTTGTAATGGAGGGGAAGATGTAGGGCTAAAGTAAGGTTGCACCTTTAGTTTTAAGGGTGCATATTATTTTTTATAGTCATTTTAAGGATATAAATATAATTGTGTTTTGTATTATGTAATTGAAGGTGGTCATCGATCGATTTGGAATAGGATCGAAAAAAATAACGCAAAATGAGAATCAGATGAAAAGCACGTTGTAGAAAAAAAACAAGGTTACACTAATATATATATGATTTTCTTATAGAAATCTTCGACATAAATATTTGCTTTTTACATTCCCTAATTTAATCAAAGGCGGGACAAAATCAAATCGAATCAAATATAAAAGTAGATGATGATCAAATCGGACCAGAAACATGTTTAAAGGCTAAAGATGCACATTTAGTTTTGAGGTTATATTTTATTTTATATTTTTATAATAATTCAAAGGGTATATTTGTGATATATTGTATTATTATACCTAACTTGGATTGGACCTCCTGCCGAATTCCCCAATTAATATATATGCACATTATGTTCCCGTTTATCCTCTTTTTTTTTTTTTTGTGTGTTGTTAATTGGTTTCTTAATGGGCTCCACTAACCGGCCTGTTTCTCCCTTTCACTTCCAGACTCCTCCATGGGCCTGCCCCGGGCCCGTTCGAGTTCCTTTCTTATTGTTTATGTATTTTTTGTGGATACGGATAATCTATACTTTTCCTTCAAACTTCCATTAAACCCGCTACTTTAGCTCGAAATTTTAGAAATTATCGTTACATTCACTCTAAAGTACTAGTCAACAGTTATGACTTGGGCCAAGTTTTAAAAAATGACCTGAGGATGAAGCGACGAGGCTTCACGGGTTATTCCATGGATTCACTCCCATGGCAAATACATCAACACATTCAGGTTAAACGGACCAGAGGCAACAAAAATGACGTGGCCAAATCAAGAAACCATCCACGGGCCAACACGACACAAAATCATTATGACACAACATGAGTACGGACGCAAAATATATGAGACGGTTCAACACGAGCACGAATACTTTACAGGCTATAAATCATGGATAAGAGCACAAGTATGGGCACAACACAGTCTATACATGATGGGCCTAATATTTCCTTACGAGTGTTAGAACGTGACAAACCAAATACTTCTTTCATAAAACACTAAAGATAACTACACAAGTAATAAGTTATTGTATTTAGGAATGATCATAAAATATTAAATATGGTTACTAACATAACAAAATTCGAAAATAACTAAAAAAAGACACAAAGAACAAATCATTCCCACTGAAACTTCTAGTTTTTTCGTCTTCTTCCGTTTCATTGAAAATGGCTAACACACTGCATGACCCTAAAATTGACTGGTATTGTGAATGGGCATCGGGTAAGCTCATATTGTGTCGTTCCAAGCACGACCCAACGTCGAAGTACACTGTCTGCTCATCCCTTCAGACGAGACACAACTCAGACTCTATGGATTTGAGAACTCCATCTATCCAGCTCCATGCTAAATCTCATTTAATTTAGATCTATTTTCTTGATTAATTTAGACACATGTGCCTAAACACCCCCATTAAGCTTGCAGTTGATGATCAGTTGCATATCTAAACCACTTCATCGTATCATATGTAGGCATGATAATGAATGATTAAACTTCTATTGTAAAAAAAAAAATATATTAAACTTCTGACTATCCATGTCAGTTCAGTACAAAATAATGAAAGATCGACCCACAAAAGTAATAATAATGAAGATTGCTTGCTGGTAGATAATTATAACCCAATTATATATAAGTGGCAAAAGCAAATTTCTGGCAGCAGAGTAAAGTCTAAAAGATGCTACTGCTGAGTGGTAAACCAAAAGCATTATTTTTTAAATATAGGATATTATTACAACAATTAATTAACTAGCAAAAGAAAGGTGCAAAAGGAAGGAAAAGGAAGACAACACAATACAAAAATGAATCATTACGTTGGACTTTGTTGTTCCATTATATATACACAACTATATATGTAAGTACACTAAGATAATGATAGCGTTAAATTACTGCCTTAATCCATGTAGTTCTTGTTTGCTTTAATTAGGTCTTAAATTTACACCCTAGAGCTCAATTTTGTAATTTCTTTTCATTCAGGCCCCTTTTCGTAGTGTTTGACTGTTTGTGCTAACATACATTATGTTCGATTGTATCGTTTGAATCATGTACGAGTTACCAAACTATCGTATGGTTTGTCATGATACTATAGCATTTTTTTCTGGTCGTCATATATTTATCATGCATTGAAAAGTTTCTCGATATTTCAAGTTGAATATGATGGAATTCATGGAATATTCAATCATGTAAAAGCCATATATTGTTAATTCATGTAATATCTAACAATGTCGTACACACTATATAATCTCATTCACATTGATAATATTTATTTTACTTCTGTCATGGTATAGCTTAATTACATGCACGAGTTTCGTTTCCGATGCACAACGCCCTAGCAAATTTTCATGTTTCACATCTCGTGCTTTGATTTCAAATTTCACATGATCTCATCGATCGGTTTACTATATATTTGTTCATCCAAATACCTAACGATGTCATCGTAAATGACCAGTTAAATCGAAATTACTGAGAATGAGTCTACTCCATTACTAACAGATTCGCACACACCGTCTTTAACACATCGTAGGTACCTAAAGATTAAGGAACTAAACAACATAGCACATTGGTTAAAACAACATGGTAACCATAGGGATTAGAAATTGATAAAAAGGTTATATGGAGTACTCTACACCCTTAGCTTGTCTCCCCTTTTAAATACTTAAATCAGTTTGCACCTTCCACCACCACCACCACAAGCCATCATCATTCCTTCCTATATCCCATGTTCCTTATTCCCCCACTCCCCAAAACATAATTAGCCCCAAACCCTATTCCCTTAATCCCTAATTACACTGATCATTACACCACATGGAGAGGCTCAACAATCACAATCACAATCACAAAAACCCACCGCCGTTGATGGTCATCAGCCGGAAGAAGCTCCAGTCCATCCTCCGGTGCGCCATGGTGATGATCCGAAAGGGCGTCTCCAACTCCAAGACCAAGCTCGCCCTAGACCTCCACCTCATCATCCAACGTGGCAAGGACCTGATGACTCAGCACCAAATCTCCCCTCCCGGCGGCTGCCGCCCGGACGACCCGGAAGCTTCCTTCCTGTCCCCCATCAGCTGCGGCGCCGGCCACGTGGACGTCCGCCTATCCTACGTGTCCCCACGCGACTACCAGTTCAGCTGCTGCAGCAACAGCCCTTCCTCCGCCGCCGCCCGCCGCAGCCGCAGGCGTCCCCCGCCGCGGAAGCCCTACCGCTACAACCAGTACTACAGGCAGCCGCCACAGGCGAGGTATAACCATGGTGACGTGGATGGCCGCGGCGGCTTTGAGGTGGCGGAGTCTTGTGCCGCCACGTCGACGGTGGGAGGGTGTTCTTCTTCTTCCGTGTTCTCGTCGTCGGGGGAAGGGTCGTGGAGCCCGTTGGTGAGGGAGGTGAGGATCACGGACTCGCCGTTCTCGTCGATGCGAGGTGGCGGTGCAGGCGCGGGACACGTGGAAGGCCACGTGGACACGGAGGCGGAGAGGTTTATTCAGAGATTCTACACGGATCTGAGGTTGCAGAAGTGGATGGCTGCGGCTGGTTATCACGAACAGCGCCACAAACAGAAACAACGAACGTATTAGCATGTCCATAATGGTATTTACTGAATTAACCCCGAGAAGATGATCACAACAAGGTAAGCTAGCTACCGATCCGATGGCCGAGAACGCGCAGGAGAAGGCGATCCAACGGGTGTCATGAATCGAGCTCTAGTAGTATATATATAGATAGATATGTGCTTCTTTTCTGTATTTTTCATTCTGTTTTTTCTTCCCCCCCTTCTTCCTCGTACTGTACTTATATTGTGTAATTTCTCTTTGCTTTCTTATTGCTGATCTTCTCCTCTCCATGTATCGGTGTTTCTGGGCTTTTTTTTCTGTATGGAGCTACACCAGATCTGGTCTGTTCATTGTAAAGGCTTTTGTAGCATACATGCTAGATCTGCCTGCCTAATTTGTTGTCAACAGCTAGCAACAAACCGAGTTCGTCTCATCACGTGCTTGTTAAAACGAAAATTTGGAAATTGTACGACCCATTGTACTTTGTGAATCAATTAAACGCTCATTGAGTTATCATAATTCGCACTCATGATAACAAACTTTCGGTCAAAGGGTCTGATATATTATAGGTCAAGAACCCTCGTTACTGCGATATGTACTGTTATTGTAAGAACATGAAGATTGAAGTTCACAACATTCCTTTAGTATCACCCTGATTGAGAGGAAAAATAAAACGTAACTCAGAACTCAATTTCATCTTAGGTCGAATTTTCGGTGTCTTATCACCGAATTTCATATTCCTATGAGTAAAGAAAACTGTCGCGTATAAAACTAATTAATCGATCTGATGTCACTCAACTCACTTAATTGTAGTCATGAATAAGTATATGAGTGGACGAGTACTTACGATTTTCTGAGTAAAATTGATATCCCTATCCACAATCCATAGCTACTCTACCCACAAAACGACCCAATTTGGAGAATTGGCTGATTGATGTTAGATATAGGAAAAAATAACGAGCAACAGAACCAAGATAGATCCGGAACGGTCAAAACAGAACTTGGATGATCATTGGGAAATTATGTTCTCTTTTAGGGCAGCCTTTATTAGCTAGTTAGGCCAAGAAGAAAATTTAACGTAATTAAGTTGAAAACTATCAGTATATTAAGACCATCACTCTGCAAGCTAACTGTAGCTATAATCATTGCTACGACTTTAGGGCATATTTGTCAGTATGATGTTTGAGGGTAGCAGTTAACTTTGAAGATTAACGACTAACCCAACGATAATGACATTGATTGTGTCTCGTATCCGAAAATCAGTCTATTTAAGTATATCTGTGCGAAATAGTATGCAAGAATATATATACAGTTGCCTTCTATGACTTAGGATTTGCCGATTTGGGGTAGGCCTAGGGTTAATTTTCAAACCCAAAAGGAAAATGGACTAAACAAATGCATCATTTCAATTGAATTTGGTTGGCATTTCAAGGGGATTGGTCGTAAGAACGTCTTTTATACCGTCGGATATATTGTAAAAAGTATGATCCAAAGGAATGTGGACTTTCTTATACCGTGGGAAGCACGGTCTAACTTCTAGTGGTGCATTTCATTTGTCTTCATTTCTTTTACGACGCTTTATGTGTTAAACCCCATAAAAAACATATGTATAAAAATTCTATCAATTATATACGATGAATTTTATTTCGTAGACTTCAAAAATGTTTTCAATATTTTATCGTTATTTTCTGGGTTTTTTTTAAACTACAACGGTCAGTAGTTTATAATGACTTGTAACATACTTGTCATCTATCGTAATTAATTTATTATATGTATTGGGTCCTTACTAACAAAAATTAAAATAATTATGACACAGATAACCATGTTGGGATTTTGTAAGATTCACATATGAGGTCTTCTAGTGAGTTCAACAATGTGTTGAATTCTTGTGATAGACCTTTGGAGTACTTCTATTGAAAGTTTAAATCTTAGGGTATGCCTACTATGACATGCATGTCACCGTGATATGGACTTTTCGGTCGACCTAATCCTGAAGGCGGTCGACCGAATTGACTAATTTGGGCAGCACGAGAAAGCATTGCGGTCGACCTCAAAGACCACCTGGTCGACCGTTCTTAGTTTAAGTTGTTATTTTTGGTTGACCAGAATAAACCTCGGTCGGCCATTTCATTGGCGTCAGAAACAACATGGTCGACCGTAAAGGTATATAGGTCGACCACTTGATGGCAGTCATTAACAACATGGTCGACCAGATAAAGAAAGAGGTCGACCAGATAGACGAGAAGTGTTCTATCAATTTATCCAATCATTTGACGTAAAATGAAGATCAAGTGTTGGTGTCGAGGTCGACCTAATCCGGTACGAGGTCGACCGAATACAAGAAAGTCAACCTATGCCCCGTGTCTTTTTTGCTTATGTATATCGATTTGTGTGGTTCTTTTGCTCGTCTAAATTACGCTTTAAACCATCATAACTAGTCAAAAATAACGATAACAAGGACTCATCAATTATGCTATGAATTGAGGTCGACCGCCGTTAGAATTAGGTTGACCGCAATGTTTTCTCGTGCTGCCCAAATAAGTCAATTCGGTCGACCGAAAAGTCCATGTCGCGGTGACATGCATGTCACCATAACAAAATCCTAAATTCTTATTGATGAGTTTAATGATATTCTTTTTGATGGAGAGTTTAATGATATTCTATTCATAAGTGTTTCAAGTTTCTACTGAACTACTTATTTAGTGACAAAAAAAAATCTCTTTCATCGATATTAATTAGCTATTGACTATTTTCGAAAACCATCATCCAAGCCATCCGGTAAACATTCTACATTGCATCTTTTTTTGTGAATTAGAGGGAAAATGCGTCCTTTTTGTGAATTAAGGGGGGGGGGGGGGGGGGGGGGGGGGGGGGAATCCTAAAAAGTAAAGGGTAGCACAAGATCTGATCCACTTATAATACGTATAGTCAATCGGCTAAAGAAAAGATGTTTCCAGTCACTAACCGACTCTAACGAAACAATGATTACGCTTTGCATTATATCCTGCACGCCTCAATTAAATATACATGGCTGGAACATGCTTCCCACAAATGTAGTGTAGTACTATACTAGCAAATTCTAAACAAAAAATAGTCAAAGAAAGGTCTAAAGTAACCTTAAACGTCACTAGACCAGCTATGTGATCGTGTCTTGCCCACAACGGTTTGATTTCCCAAAGTCGATAGATAGTTGCAGTTGATAGCAACTATGGATGCTTCGACAGGACGACAGAGAAGAGGATGAAGGTGAATCATACAAGGCTTAGGTTAGAACCACCATCTCCAGGTTCAAAATTCGACGTTACAATTACACCTGCTTCGGATTTGCTCTTGTCAACTCGTGATTTACTCCGGACCTGAAAAGGAGAGAACAGACCGCATATAGTACCTGCATGGCTGCATTTCTCCGATTGTTGGGACTAGTTGTGATTTGTGAATACATAATTTACATCTGCTCTTTGAGATGGAGTACACAAAGTTGAGCAAGTTCCGATAGTTTGGACCGCACTCGGGACATCCCAAAAACCATAGGGACGTGGACTGACAAACAACTCCGCCTTCTGTGGCGAAGAGCATGGAAGCCTAAGACATGAGCCTCTGAGAATGAAAGCTGAGAGCTCACTGGAGAAGTCACACTGCAATTACGATTTACGGCAGAACATCAACAATGGAGCAGGGACCTGTGCACAGACCCTCGAAACAAAGGCCTGTTCTGTTGTTCACCAGCTTTGTATGGAGTTTCTAGGTGAAATGCAATTCATCTCAAACCCAATGGAATGTGAGAAGGTTCACTAGCTCGCGAGAGTTTAGGTCGCGTGCACCTGAGCTCCTGGATGCTAACCAATGGCAACAGTATGATTTTGCAAATGCAAGTTGTCAACACCATAATTCCAAGTCATGAAAAATTCTGAGACCTGATGGGATTCAACAAAATTCCAGCTGTTCAAGAGACAGTTCTGCCGTAGCAAATAGAGGCGATGTAGAGGTTCTTTGCCCATTTCTCCTGGAACAAAGAGGAAGATAGATGTAAATAAAACCAGTGTCAGGAAGGAACACATAGAAACCACGAATTATAAGACAGCGACAAACGAATAGACCTTGACATGTGTAGTTGGGAAAGCAGACGTTCTAAGGGTCTCTTGAGTTTCATCAGCTGGTTTTCTACGTGGGACACTAAGAACAAAGGCAGCTTGATCCCGAGTTGCAGCAGTTGAGGTTATACGGTAACCACTATCCCACCTGTGGTGAATACCCTCACTAGGATAAAGAAAATCCAATTCAATGACCTACAAGTGAAAACGACATTCAGATTTCAGAACAACCATACTTTTCACCAATAGGGGAATCTATAAAGAGCAAATCATATAAAACCACAAGACCTGAGCCGAAAACCCTGCACCACGAGACATAACAACAGCCCATCTACTTCCAGCAGTGGCCATGGCAGTAACATAAAATCCCTCTCGCCATTTCTTATTAATCCACTTGGAAGGAAACGAATCACTAACTTTATAAGACTGTTGTGAGAATTGTGTACCTGTTTCAATAAGAGACGTATGTGTTAGTAAAAGGCATCAGAAACCTTCAAAAATGAAGCAGCTAAGGCTATGCTACTCACCCTTGGACATCACAACCAGCGAGCTGCCATTATTAGCTCCTGCAACTGCACTGATGTAGTAATTATTCTCCCACTGTTCCACAATCCATTCCTTTGGAGAAAAGGTATCAAACCAGTTATTGCAGTGACAAATTTAAAGACCAAAGCCTAAGTTTCGACATTCATTGCAGCATTACATTGCTCGTTACATATTTCCATCATAAACTTATACTGAAAACCAACCTTGTCGAGGAACTGAGGAGAAAGCTTGTAAACTTGAGCAGTGAACCCAGTGCCAGCATCCATAATGAGGGCCCATAGATTTGAGCATGAAGCCACACTGCTTATAAACAACCCATCTTCAGTTCCTTTCTCTACGTGCTGGGAGAGTCTTGCATCAGCCACGTTATAGTGATACCTGCAACAAGCTCAAAGAATTAGTTACTTGTCTTGTGAACATCGGAGCTAGTGCCACAATTTTTGAAGGAAAAACCTTTGTTTCATGGGCCGGCGAGCATTGTAGACACTGATCCACTGTGTTGCAGGCATTCCCATTCGGATCTTTTTATTTGGTTGTCCATCTTCCTCCATTGTCAATCGTCCCCTCTTGTGTCCAACCTGATATATAAGCTTCACATGACCGAATTCGTAGATTAATACAAGAAGATTCATGAAATGAAGAATCATATCAAAACAGCAGACAAAAAGTACCTTCTGAGCACCGTCAGTGTTAATTGGCCTAATATCTGGATTTGGGCCAACAATCCCATCAAAAAGGGATATATACTTGGCATAATTTGGCTCCTCGTCAAACTTCAAATTCACCACATACTCGACAAATTGCCGAAAAGGCTGAGGACAAAAGCAGCACAAAGTTTCCGGGGAAGTAGCCATCTTTTTCTTGCAAACAAGGAATCCTTTATCTTCCCCCTAAAAAGGCTAATGTTAGAGAAAACAAAATTCACTGTTATTGGTGATATCATATGATTCAAAGATGCAGACCTGATATCCTTGCCAAGGCAACCGACCACGGAGAAGGAAAACAAGTGTATAGGCCAGAGATTCCAAGTCATCTCTCCTACTACCAGTTCTACCTAAATGAGCATGAACACTGACATACCTCATTGTTCCCCTGAATCATAGGAAGAAATAATGCACCTTAACACTGAGGCACAGCAAGAAATAAGGCACTTTATCCTGTTTATATCGAAGGAACAAAAACAAGAAGTTACCTGAAAACATCAGGCCGTTGATCATACTCAACATGCAAACCAGTTGAGTTATCACGCCATTTCGTAGCTGTAAAGTTAAAACAAATGCATAGTGTAACTTGTAAGCATTTCCTTGGTCCACTTTAGGAAGACAAAGCAACTGCGTTCCAGTGCATACATCTCTTCGCACTGTGAACGTCAAGGGGGAGCAGAAGTTTGTAGTCTAACTTGGTGACACCACTGTTCCCCATTTTGAAATGATCATCAGGCAGAGTCAATTCACAGAAAGAACTATTTCGAACTTAGAATACAGACTACCAGCAGAGAAAAGTATAGAACTTACCCAGACCAAGGTCAACAAGAAATAACTTTCTCTCATCAGGAGTTCCTGGAGGCCCCAACAAAAAATTCTCAGGTTTTACATCTCCATGAACATATCTGCAAAACCAACATTAAAAATTTGGAAAAGCTATCCCAACCAGCAGCCAAACTAAACAGCATTGTGTTTCTAAGAAGCCAGACTCGACCTTCAAAATCAAAATACAGAAAAGGTCCCTATATTATGGATCAAGTAGGATATTATAACAATCCCCACCGAACCAATGAAATCCAAGCCAAAGCCACAAGAGAACAGGCAAGTTCACATAAGCAATGAAAAAAAGTCAGTCAAATCGAAAGCATTACCCTCTAGAGTGCACCTTCTCCAGAATGGAGATGGCTTCGATGGCAATGCAGGCAACCATCTCAATTGACATCCTGAAATAGAAACCTAGTGGGTTAGCATAATGAGAATTCCCAAACGACAAACTCCAATGTGAGGGGAAAAGACATGAATTTCCAACTCCAAAAAGAGTTCTTTACGTTTGTGAATTATTATTCCAAACATCCCACAAGCTCGGACCAAGCATGTCCATGACCTGCAGCAAACACGGGCTCCATTTTCACCATCCCTGTCTATCAAAATGCTAATCATCTCATGAACACAAGCAGTCAAGCAACCAACATACCATAACATAGTAGTCACTCTGACAGCCTTTGAAATGGACTCGTGGCACGCCATGGCTACCTCCAAGTGCACTATCAGCATTACCAGAGGGTCAAGGGGTTAATAAGTTCATCAAATCACATCCACAATCGTTCACACTAACAGACATACTACGAAGGAACTACAAGGAACTCACTTGTAAACTTGCCACTCGTACGGTGGACCATAATTGCATCCTTTGCTGCTTCTATGCTCAAACTTCAACGCCACCTGAAATTCAGAGACCAAATATAAGCCCGGCCGAAGGGTGTACGTACAAAAGTTGCAGGACAGCTTCAAAGTTCAAACATCCGAAATGCACACACCTCTACTGCACCTGGGCCAGCACCAATTCGCCTACCGACGAAGACTTGTCCAAACCCTCCTTTCCCAAGCCGTCTATGGGAACCACCAACAGCCACCTGTGAAGCAAAGTGAAGCTTATAGCCTACAGGCTACAGTGCAATGACAATTTTCGAAAACCCCCGGAAAGCTACAAGCAAAATGGCGCGGGCAGAGAGAAACCAACCTTTTCAGGCAAAGGAGCTGTGCTTCCCTCGTCCTCTGGCTCGGGCCTTTCCCCACTGTCGTACTCATCCATCTTATTAAGAACTCCAGACTCGCAAGATTTTGATTCTCATAAAAAAAACAGCGATCCTGTTTGTGTTAGATTCCTCTGCGATTATGGTGTCATTCGAATCCACTTCGAGCTCAATCCATTCGGCAGAGGTAACTGAAACGGCCGATTTCTGGGGTGAGCGAGTTCGCTGCTCAGGGATCGTATGAGCGAAGATGACGGTGGTGCCACGCTTCCAGCAAGAAAGAGAACGTTCATCGAGGGTCGGGAAGTTATCGGTGAAGATTGGATTTTAGAAGTTCCAAAGGCAGGAAGATGGACAAAAGGGGAGGGGAGAGAAAGTTCTAGATGGGAAATCAAAGGAGGAATGGAGGATATTTATAGCATGGTTTTGTTTTTTTTTTTTTTTTTATTATAGAAATTTGTAGCATGGTTTGTGAGAACGTACTCTAGCAATAGTTCAACCGCAAAATACCAATATTAAGACTAATCGGTAGACGATAATTAGTCGTATTAATCGTTGAACTACGGTTTCACCATAGGTATCAAGACTGTAGCCACATTGATTGTCTCAAGAATAGGAATGACAATGGGGTAGGTCCGGGGCGGGTATCTCGATACCCATATCCATCCCGTGGCAGGTCGGATAATTTATCATGGGACACGAATCGGAGCATGTCAACCCATGAGTATGTAATTTATATTGAAAACATTAAAAATATTAAATATTTTCAGTATAAGACCAAGAAACAAATCATAATATGATAAAATATAGTTAAACTATTGAAAAAATTGAGATTTTCACTAATTACAACTTTATAATAGTTAAAATATGTAGTAAAAGAAAAAATTAAGTAATTTAACTAAAATTACATGTAATCTAGAACAGGTCAAGAATGGGCGCGAGTCAGGACGGATAGGGTCTATGAGAAGACCCATGCCCGACAGGTCGGACCTACTCCAAAACATATCGGACCTATCGGGTCGAAATTATCATCACTAGCCTCAATGCATCACGAGTGAAACTCTCAGCGAGCAAGAATGATGGCCTAATATTAGCACCATTTTTTGTAAAACAGTACCAGAGATCACATTGTCGATACAAAAACTCCAGACTAGTAAAAGACCTGACCAGTATAACGGGTACAGCGGACCAGTCCTGTACAATATTAACAAGCACTAGCTAAGCAGCAAAATAAGCTGTGCATCAGTTTGATGCAGCCAGGAGACCTGTCCCTTCGGCGACATCTGATAAAACTGGTACCGGGACACCAGGCAGAAAGCTACTGGCGACAGTTTCTCCCCCCCCCCCCCCCCCCAAAGCCTCAATAGTTTTGGCCATCTACATTCTGCTATGCGCAACCATGAAGTTCTCTAGACTCTGAACAAAGTCCCTACTGCGCAGACTACAGTCAAATTTCAACAAGCGGGAAGGTAATGCCAGCTTCCCATTTACTGAAAGCATCAAAAGGAGGAAACAAAAGCTTTTCATTTTGCACAGGTATTCTGTTGGATGGCATATATGACTACTATACACTTGAGAGAGGTCTGGCTTCGCTCCCCATAGCTTCTCTTAATTCTAGCGTCAAGGTGTTGGGCGATAACAGAGTCTTCTAAGACGAACTCTTTCCTGGCAACAACAGCAAAAGAACCAATTCCAGAGTCAGCAACAACCCAAATATTAACAAGCCCCGCTCCCCCTCGGGGCGGGCGCTGAAATGTAACTACCGGGGAAGAACAACGATCGAGATTCTGACCTCCACGTTGTCATGATTGTACCGTATCTTGAAAATGCACCTGCAGCCCCTTATATCATGCAGTTTCCTCTGAATTTCGATCACATGAGCATCGTAATACATCGCATAATCTTTCCTCTCCTGGTAACAGAGTGAGAGGCAAATTGTCAAATGGTTGTGTTAGTTATAGCTAGTTACTTGAGGAAGAACTCAGACTTAAAAGCCGAAACAAATGAAACCTATATCACCCATATAAAAAAAAAAAAAAAAAAAAAACTGAAACAAAAGTATTAATCTAATTTTTTAAAAAGAACCATTTATAATGAACCCTACAAATAACTCTAGCTGGAAATCTGCCACTAAATAAATTTCATTTCTACCTTCCCCCTATGAAATGAACTTCATACCCATAGTAGCATTCATTTTACATTTTTACTATTATAAAACCACACAAGATTTGGGAGATACTGGCAAGCAACTTCGCCACTCACCTGAAAGCAGCATACTACGTCCCCAACATTCACTGAATGACATTCTGAAGGATCCACGGGAACAGACCGTTGTCTGACTGCCTCTCTTACATTTACCCATTCGTCCTCCTCTGCCCCAAATCCTTCAAATCTGACACGAACTTCCTTCAACATGTTATAAAATGTATATAAGTTTATCTGTCCAAGCGCTAATAGTGTTATGTTGATGCTTCTACCATGCTTGTTGAAACGACATTGGATGTGTTTATTTCGGCTTCAAAATAACTAGAGTTAAAAGCTAAAACAAACATATGTTTTTCCAACTTTCTAGAACTACTAGACATGGTACTTGTAGACTCCACACTAACAAATTTACATTTTTACTTAATGCTTCAAAATACAAATAAATTCTTAAGAGTTATATACTCACACTTTTTTCATAACCTACTCATTTATTTATCATCAAACAAACTATCTGTCATTACAACAATTACTTTTTTATTACTACAAAATATTTCATTACTCATTAATTTAAGTTTTCCATAAACCTTATCAACCCACTCTTTCTTACTTTCACGGAAACATAAAAGAAGTTAATTATCTTAGAAAAACTGAAACAAACACAGCTCATAATATTGAGTTTCGATTGCCCTTTTGACTATTATTTCCATCTTCAATGATCATGATCGATGAGACAAGTAAAAATCAAAGGGAACTGACATGAAAAAAACTAAGTCATACTAACACAACTTACAAGGTCTCCTGATGGTAGTTTTCTGTTGCAAAGGAACAATTCAACATCATACCTGGAGAGCAGGGGGAAAAGCATTGAACTTAAATTCCAGACATCTAGTAAAACACTCAACACTTTGTTGTGCATTTGTCTAACGATGTAAGCAATGGACGCAAGCATTGAACATTCCCAAAGTGCAAAATATTCTTGATTCAACTTATAATCTCTAAATGAAGCCTAAAAACATCCCCTCCACTAAAACAAACAAATAACCACACATCCTTATTGGCAAGAGTTAACCACCACTTCTTATCCTTTTTCTCGCGGGTTACCACTCCATTGGCCCACTTGTTACACAGGTGGTGCAACCTCATTGATGTGTCGGCACAAAAGTATTGTGACATGTCTCATACCACATGGTACCTATCCCATGTCTCTAAACAAGCACTTAGCATCCAGTTACTCTTAGGCAAACCCAACTAAGTTGAGCTACCAACCAAAATTCATACCTAAGGGTTGAGAAATCACATAAGGGAGTTGATCACTAAATCTTAAGCTAATGCCCCCTAATCTACATATCACATCGGCTAATGAAAAAAGAGACCAAATAAGGGAGCTATACAACACATTGTATGGAAAAAGTTGAAAAGTCACATGATTGAAGTCTTTCATCAAGCAGTGGAAGACCCAACAAGAAATGGTTTCCAAAATGAAAGAACTCGAGAAGACATACCACTGCAAAAGGAAACCTTGGTTGCTATTGGATAAGAGATGATAGAGGCATTACAAGAAAATGACCCTATCTAACTTTTTTCGCCTAAAGACCCAATAGCATATTATTGTAGTTAAATTCCGATAAGAAAGGAGAGCAACTTCTGGATTTTTCAGATGTTTTGTCTAATGCATCATCCAACGGACTACCACAATTACTAAAGAACTCTATTGAAGAATTTCATAAAAAAATGACTATTGGAGAAGGATTGTAGTAGGCAATTTATGATTCAACCATTCTACATCTTCCGTCAAGCTAGACAACTCTTCTAGGGTGTTCTTAACAAGAATATCAAGTTGAAGTTGGCTCCCGCAGTCTCTCGAAAACGTTTAATTCAATGTTTTATCCCGAGTACTGCACCATGATGTTCTAGCTAGGGTGCCAATTTAGCTCTCTTCTTGTATTTTGTTCCTCATTCTTCTATTCACTACCAATACATCAATCATTCATAAAAAGCAAAAAAAAAAAAAAAATACTAGATATCAAATTGTTCAAGTGAGTGTGCCATCAATTCTATCTCTAGTGTCAATACTGAAAATAATCTCATCCCACCATATATCATACTCTATTCCGCTTACCAAGCACCATCTTTTGATGACTTTGCTTCAAATTGTATGGTCGACCGGTCTTGCATATTTCCTGTTTGGGACATATAGAAGTCAATATAGCATGGAAAGATGAAAATAAATTCTAAAACATCATGATTTCTCATGCAAAATCAAAATAAAAAATGAGGCTTTGTCAACTTATGGCTAGTTTGGAAGAAAGATATGGATGCTATATAAAATCTTTTGCTATTATTTAGCACTGACCTAGTAATATACTGAAATTGCAATTGGCACGCTACTTTATTTGGTTAGATAATGGAATAATGGATAACAGTCAATCAGACATATTGACAGGATGGAGTTCTTTCATTGAAGTGTAGACAAATTTTTGCTACAAATCCAAAATAATTAGTTGTACAGGTAGAGGCTTGTGTTTAGTGAGAAGGGAAAAGAATAGACAATGACACTATTGATCTTGTTATGGTGCTAAAAATTAATTGCTCTTATTAAAATTTATACTTAAAAATTGGCCAACAAATTAAAAACAATTAATCTATTTATCCAATATCTCCGATTGGCTTAAGCACCATAACAACACTAATAGTGTTACTTTGCTATCTTTTCCCTTAGTGAAATGTGAGATGGAGCAAAAAGAAGCATGGAAGCTTGTTTGTATTAAGTTTGTTTGGATGCTATGACAATATTCTGATTTTGTGAGAGCATTTTAACCACAAGTTCAAAGTAAACACCAATAATTTGGAACACAGAAGCACTGATAAGTATTAGGTTATAAGATGAAGATGCAATCCTCATTGTCATTTCATTCTTGCTGTCCTAGTCTGATGTGATGTTAACTAGTTTATTAGCTTCCCATACTCTTGAAGAAGTTATTAACGGTAACTTTATGTTTACTAGTTTATTAGCTTCCAATATTCATGAAAAAATTTAACAATGTCTTCCCGTGGTGAGCAAGCAATTAAGGACTATACTAGGACTACAGTTACTTCAAAGTTCTATTGAAGGATACTTATATCTCAGCAAAGAGTAGTGCAAGCCTCAGAAAAATCGATCATTCCTTCTCCAGAAGATTCTCCAAACCTAAAGCTCTAAATCTTCAATTGGAGAGCACAAGCTACCTAGTTTCTACAGTCTTGAAGACAAGAATGATGCAAGCAAGGTGCTATTATTGCTATCCTAATTGTTCTTCAAATAGCATTGGCCAATCACATGAATAGTACTTCAACCAGAGGATGTGTATGCAATTATGGACAAATTAAACACCTATATTTTCTAATAATAACTTTTAGATATGATAACGAAGGAGTTCTTCATTGATTTAGGAAAAGAAACTAAAAAAGGAGATGATTAGCTATAGTTTTGCTACAAATCAGAAATAATTAGTGTTAGGGGTGTAGGCTTGTGTGTATGGGTTTAAATTGCATGAATGTGAACTCTACCATCTTGGTGGACTAAGGCAACTTAGTAGTGGGATCCAAATAGTTTGAAAGCTTCAATTTGGGAGTTTAAGTTGCATGAAAGTGAGCTTTAGTTGCCTAACTGAAAGGATTATAATTGCATTAATGATGAGTTATATAGGGGTCTCCACAATATCAAGTTCAGGTGTACAAATCAATTCCTTCTTCAATTGCATCTTAATTCAACTATAAGCAACTTCTCATATCTTGTGATTCTCCACTAGTTTAGTTTTTCTTATTTCTTTGTTTAAATTAGATTAGTTAGTACTCAAATCAAACCACTTTGCTTGACTAGATAGAAATTTAAGCCCCAAGAAATACGACCTTGTGCCAATATGCTAGCTTATCTAAGGTACACTTGCCTTTCCTAAGCAAAATAGCTCGTCGGCACCAAGTTTCTTTGCAGAGAGTTCAATACTAAGAAAGTTTTTATCTCTGTATTGCACAAGTTGAAATATCCAACTATTCTTCCCTACACTACGCTTTGATCCGCAAAGTTTAGTTCTACCTTATCCTTTACACTATAAGTTGGAGCACCTCACAACACTTTAGCTGAATTTTATTTCATAGCTTCCAAATCAACAAAAGGTTGCAATACATTGCAAACAGACACTAACGAAGGTAGTGTAATGTAACCCAATCCAAAGAGCTTAAGAAATGGAGCACCTGTATCCTTTTTGGAGGTACCATTAGACTCATTCGCAGGACTAGGCCCTGGCAACATTGAACCATCTTTCGAAGCACCAGTTTCGGAGCAAAGTGGTGGTGTGATGCCTTGTTGCCTCTTCCGGAACCAACTCTCTACCTGGATATAACCATCATCAAACAAGTCAAAATAATTAGAGATGCAAACCAAAGAACAAGAGGTGTTAAACCAAAAAGAAGCTTTACAATCTCAAGCTTTAGTAGATTTTACACCTCGGTCCATTTCACAACTGGTTTACCCGCACGGCCAGAAGATTGGCTGAAGAGAAGATAAAACAGGGTTAGATCCAGAACCAACTATTGAAATTCGTCCACAGCATTTAGTTTAACGCTAATTAAGTCAAATCAATAGTCGGTTGCTGAATTTCAATGTACAGTTCACAAAAGAGCAACTCACTTGAAACCTCTAGCAAGATTTTTAAAGAACTTTGTGTTGAGAGGTTGGACCGAATCATCCAGCAACTTCTCCATCTTCTCGGACTGTGCCCATGGATGCGAAAGAGACAGATCAATTGTGCATGCAAATGAAAGCAAGAAAGGAAGCTGACAATCGAAGTGTTAAACTGAGAGTCATCGCCATTTTGGCGTAAGCGAAGATAGCAAAATACCTCGGCCTTGGTGAAGCCAGAGAAAACCAGCTTCGGACGAAGCCGAGACATGGATGACGATGGACGACTGTTGAGAATTCGAAACTGAAAGGAAACAACCCTAGCTTCTCTGTTTCTGGCTTGCTGCCGGGAAGTGTACTCCGCTGCGCCTTCTTTTGGGGTGGTTATTGGAGAAGCTGCTGGGAGTGAAAGGAGTTACGCAGACACAAACAGAAGCGCAGACGCGATTAGAGAGAGTTGAAGTTTGAACTCTTTGAAGAAAACGGGAGATTGGCACAATCAATCTGGTTTATGTTTTGAGCGCCATTCCTTTTTGGCCGGTGAAGCGGGAGGGCCTTCCGCTTTGGGCCCAGAATTATTCCACGTACGCCGGCCTCCTTCTGTCAAACCATCCTATGCGCTAATGGGTCAGTCATCACTCCTTACTTTCTGCAGACTGCAGCGGCAGAGGGTTAATGACTTCGTGTACAGATTTTGAGCTAATTGTCTTGTTTAAGAAAAAATTAAATAATTAAAAAAAAATTAGGGGGTAAATTGTAGGTATGGTCACTAGTTATTAATAAATCCACATTTGATTACATTCATGGTCACTAAAATTAATTCAATCGTTCAACTTTTGTGACTCGGATAAGTTTATCTTTTGTGACAGTCAAATTTGATAGTTGACGGTTAAACGAGTGACGTGACAATGAAAAATAAATAATCAATAAATTTTAAACTTTTATAATATTATATTCTTTCATAGAAACCCCTTGTGTTCAATTCATACCACTCCCAATAATCAAAATTTTATTTTTGATTTAATGAACATAGGGCAAATTAGAAATAGGTCAGAATCTCTGGAAACAAGAGCGCCTGGCTTCTACATTACTTTGAAGACCTAATGAACATAGGGAGGAAGTCTTACTTCACTAACAAGCAAGATACCAAAAGTGTCACATACGAAAGAACAAACTTTTGGGAGAACAAATAAGGTGAATCAAGGCATGATTAGGAACTTAAACAATCGACATTGTTGAATACTTAATAATAATAGAGTTATAGGCCCTAGAAAATTTCAATATCCATTCCAGAACAGGATTCAACGATAAGTCCTGTAGAGAGGGCTGTACATGCAGCTCTCAGCGTGCTTCACCAGATCCTTTGGCCTAGGAAGGCGGGAGGCCAGACCTAGTTGATAAGCCTTATCAGCAACCTTTGCAGCAATATTAGCTGATATCTTCCTTATGTTGGTAAATGGTGGATATATCAGTCCCTTCTCGAAATGCTCATCTTCTACCTGCACTGCCAAAGCTTCCGCTGTTCCAGAAACCACAGCAGCATATGAGAAGACCAGGCCAATGACTGGACATCAGATGAGGATTATGGTGTTTGGAAGAAACTTACAGGCTGCTAAGAGCAAGTCATCGTGGACACGGATCGCCCCAGACATGATCAGCCCAAGACCAAACCCGGGGAATATGTATGCATTGTTTGCCTGTCCTGGCACCATCAGTGTGCCATTGTACTCGACCGGGTCGAATGGACTTCCACTAGCAAAGATGGCACGACCCTGCACTCACTCACTCACTCACACAATGGTCAGTTCTCCATATTCCTTAACCTGGATTCTCCTATCCTTGTCTCACAATGTAGATGATGAATGATATGTTGTGGTTTACCTGGCTCCATGTGTATGCTTCCTCGGCTGTACATTCCGACTGAGACGTGGGATTTGAGAGAGCAAGAATCAGTGGTTTCTGCAATTCAACAGACATTCGATCAGTTTTTTGTCAAAACAAAAGGATTTTGGTTTATTCCAGGACGGTAGTTTTACCTCATTGAAGGAGGCCATTGCCTCAACCACCTCCTTAGTGAATGTTTTACCAGCTCCAGATGATCCTATCAAAACTGTTGGCTTGATTGCCTAAAACAACATTTGCATAAAGAAAACGGGATTATATCAGCAGCTGCTGACTAATTTCTCAGATGGTTAGAGATTACAGTATTTTTTTTTACACACCTTAACAGCATCTAGGAGGTTCTTCACAGGTTCATGGTCATGAGCCCAGGGCTTCTTAAAATGCTGAAGGGACTCCTTGCGAGAACTAACAATGAGCCCCTTTGAATCCACAAGCCAAATCTTCTTCCGGGTCTCTTCTACAGGAGCTTTCGTCTGGAAAACCAATAAGATCGTAAGTTTAGCCTTTTGGGCGACGAATTGAACTCACAAATAATTCAACTGTTAGATCATTGAAAAGGAAAACGAAGATCACCTGCTTGGAAATTTCCAGTGCTATAAGCTCAGCTATGCCAGTACCAGCCTGCAAGAGACCTCAAACTTGTCAAGAGTTGAGAAATGAGAAGAAAGAAGAAACAAAAACTGTCTGCAAGCTCACCTCGCCAGCTCCCAGAAAGAGGAACTTATGGTCTGCTAAGGTTCCACCAACCAACTTGAGAGCCGCAATTAGCCCTGCCAGAACTACAGATGCCGTGCCCTGGAAGAAATGATCCGAAGTAAAAGATCAGAAGAGCTGCAATTTTGATCTGCTAATGAACCAAACAGCTTCAGTTGCACTAAAAGAAATCACCTGAATATCATCATTGAAAACAAGATGGCTCCGAGTGTACTTCTCTAGAAGGTCAAATGCATTGTGATTTGCAAAGTCTTCAAACTACAAAAAGAAGTTTACTTAGTAAGATATGAAAAATGTTAAGTATCCGTGATACTGCTCCTGCCAAACTAAATCAATGTCTTTACCTGTACCAAGACTTTCTCCCCGTAATTTTGCTTAACTGCAGTCATGAACTCTTCCAGAAGTTCAGCGTATTCCTAAATCACATAAGAAATTTCAGAAAGATGATACTGAGTTTGCAATGACGGAAGAAGAAGAGATGCAAAGGCAGCATTTCAGACCTGTCCTGTTGCCCTCCTTTGTTTAAGACCAATGTAGAACTCATCATTCAACAGCTTCTCATTGTTTGTACCAACATCAATTGTGATTGGCAGGCACTGCAAACAGAAGCGATGTTCAATAATTTCACTAATCAGGTACAAGAAGCTGGAATAGTATAGCAAAAGCTTACTGCTGATGGACGGATTCCTCCGAGTGCTGTATACAGAGAAAGCTTCCCAACGGGAATTCCCATTCCCTGAAACATTTTGACACAAGCAAATGATATGAAAAGTGGGAAAAAGTAAAATGCAGGAATGAATGCCTTATGGAATAAGTAATCAACTCGTTACCTGGCAGCCAAGGTCTCCAAGCCCAAGAATCCGCTCACCATCAGTAACAACAATGACCTGAATGTTCCTCTCTGGCCAGTTCTTAAGTACTTCAAGAATCTTTCCCCTGAAAATACCCAAAAACAGAAAAACCAATCTCAGCACTCCTAACAACAAGGCTAGAATTCGAGAGGCAACTCCGATATAGCCACACATACTTCTCTTTCAAGCTGATATAAAGCCCCTGGGGACGCCTGAAAATGCTGCCATACTTCTGGCAAGCCTCGCCAACTGTAGGAGTATACACGACTGGCAGAAGCTCTTCCACATTATCAATCAGAAGCTTGTAGAACAACCTTTCATTCCTCTCCTGAAGATCCATCATGGCCATGTATCTCTGGAGAGGAACTTCGAACTGACGAAGGTTGTGCATCAACCTCTTTTCCTAATCATCACAAGTCACAACATTGAAAGACCCGAATCAGCAATCAGCGGCAAGTTAAAGGAAATCTCATGGAGCTGAGTTTAATGAACTTTTGAACCTGAAGTTCCTGAGTGAATATGGCTGGGGGAAGAAGACCTCTCAGGTAATGAGCATCCCTCTCTTTCTCTGTGAATGCTGTCCCTTTGTTGTGCCTTGGATCCCTCATCAAATTATACCCACTGCCAGATTATCAACAAACAAGGTGAATAAAAAGTTAAAAACCCAGTGTGGATTTGGGGTGTAAAATTAAAACCATGGCAAGATGTAAAATTCATCCCCACAAAGACTGGAGCTTTTTTCCTCCTCCAGAGATCATTCAGTTTAGTGATATTAGTGTATATAACTAATGTACAAACACGATCAAGTTCGGAGTTATGTTGGGATCTGGTGCATTAGTGGGTCTGTGATCACAACTAAAGAGTAAAGACTATAGCCTCCTTGATAGCCTGTGATTGGGATGCTTGGGGAAGAAAGATTATTTCCACCTGAATCAAGCAAAATAAAAATGCCAGAAAAAAGATCCCAACTTCCTATCCAAACTGACATTTTCAAGAATTATCCTATCTTAACTTGAGCAAATCAAGGGAACATAACTGGAGTGGAGAACCGTATATCATTAAACAATTAAACAGCCCAAGGCATTGCAGTAAAATACAGAAGACTACACAAAATAAATTAATCGCATGGAAACAGAAAAGACGATCAAACTATTTGTTTAATGTTGTTTGTTTGTTACCTAGCAATGGAGACAGCCCAAGGGGTTAGGAACTGCTCCTCCGTGGCGAAATCCTCACCATACACGTCCTCAACACCACCACCACCCCCGACGGCGCCATTGACGATCTTCTCCGTCGAATCACCACCGTCATTCACAACATTAGCCATTTTCCTCTCAGTAATCAAACTCCAACGACTCTTCCTCTCTCTACCAACACCCTGAACAACCCTTCTCTGCAAATCCACCAAAGATCAAAGCTTTACGGTAAAAAAAACAATGAGAGAGTGAAAAGAGTCGTGCTTGGTGAAGCTGAGAATGAAAGAAGTGAAACCCGAAGCCGCCCTTTTTATAGGCAAGGATTCCGAAAAGTCATTTCCCTCATACAATGCGGGACAGTTGAAAATTTGGGGAACGTTTGAAACTTTGATTTCAATGTCAAGATAGAAAGAGAGAGACGAACGAAGACCGGCCACGTGCGCAGTCATGGTTGGAAAGGAAACCAAAGAGGGTGAAATAACGTTTTAGTGGGTACCAGAAAATGTCTCTGGAGTGAACTCATGGGATTGCAGCCGAGAACGTAAGAATGAGTCAGCTAGAGAGAGAAACAGTAGTGTGAGAAAGAAGTGTAGTTGAGGAATGAATTCTCCCTTTTCAGCTTTTGGCTACCACGCGGTTTGGAATGAATTGTGGGTACGATACGAACCTTGAAATCAAAGGAAAGAAAGGGAAAAGATTGGTTGGGTTGGTTGATGGTGAAGCCGTTCCGTTCCGTTCCGTTCCCATATGGGGAAATTTCAACAGGCTGGAGGACGATGCAATGGTCGGTCCTTTTTGGTTTTGATCCACCAAATCTACCTAATTACTTGGGGATAGATTTTTTACCAATTCTGAAAAACTGTTGGTGATTTGCGGACACCAGAATTTCTAAACAAAGATTTCATGTGACTATTTTGGTTTGTGTTTTTTTGTCCAACTTTGTATGGAATGGTTATTGAAGAGCTGTTTTATAAGTTCCTTTACTTTCATGTTTTTTAGAAAATAGATGTTGAAAACAGGTGAAAATAACATTTTTTCGTTTCCGAAAACAGCAGGAAGTTACCACTTTCTGTTTTCATAATTGGAAACAAATAGAAAACAGAATTAAAAGTAAACAAGTTTTCTCATTTCGATTGCCAAATTTATGACATGAAAACAAGAAACAGGAAACGAAAATGGGAAGTGAACATGTGTTTTAGTTTATAGTGATGGGAAGTTAAACTAAAGTATGAGAATGGAGGAATCTAGATTCTTATTGAGCTATTGAGTTACTTGAGAGTGTTGGTTGGAGCGATCACCAGAATATAGCTATTATTTATCGTTTTTCATTAGTTGTTGGATAGCGATTGGGAGGTTTTATCATCCTCATTTTTATGGAAATTCAATAAGAGTGTGGGTTGTCTAATTAGTCGATGACACATGCTATCGTTGGCTTGAATATTTAATTGTGTTGTTCACGTGTTACTTTGTAACTGGACATTGTATGATTGTGGGGAGCTATCCGAATTCTCATTGATTATGAATGAAGAATGTTCAGAATATGGTGTGTTTATATCCAAATACCAAAAGGACATAATCAGTGTATGTTGTATCTAATTATTAATAAATAGTGGACCACGAAAAACTCATTTTGATCCCATCTCGCAATCCTCTATGTAAGTATTTCTCTTACATATCATATCCTTAATTTAATCAATACATATTGTTCTAATTTATTGACTAAGTTGAGCATGGATATTTTAGAGAATACGAATGAGAGGGTCACTAGATATGGATATATGCTATATAACATGTGGTCCTTATTTCCTATGGGGTTGGATCACAAGTTGCTCTCACTTAAAACTACATTCAATAAGAGAATGAGAAAGAAGAGATGTAAATCATGGCCCCCTTTTTTTGGGTTGGTTAGGAGAGGACTAGCTCCAAACTCCAAACCACAAATGGGAAATCTAGTAGGGCTAATTAACCCTTGTAGGGACTAAAGGAGCAGCCACCAGTCAGTTTTCTCTATACCCCTCATTCAATTGGCGTCGATTCCATTGACAATTTGCTATTGTAAAAAAGGGTAGGAGGGAGCCTTCAATGAGGGAAATTCATTTCCATTGAACCAACAGATACCTACTACGCCACAAAGCTTTAATGTCAGTCTTAATTCCACTTTGGTATACATTGCCGTCACAATTTATTGGTTGGTTTGGACGACGTATACATAATGCCTATGAAAGCTTCTCACTACTAGGGATGACAATTTCGACCTAATCCGTTTTACCCGACCTGTTTGGCCTGTTTTGGGGCAGGGCGGGCATGGGTACTCTCATCGACCCGACATGCCCTAACCCGCCCCATTCTCGACCCCTTCTTGCCTAAAATTACATGTAATCTTAGTCAAAATACTTAGAATTTTTCTTTTATTATATCATAATTTAACTATAAAATAGTTGTAAATTAGTGAAAACCTCAATTTCTCTAATAAGTTAACTACATTTATCATAATATGTTTGTTTTCTTGGTTTTATAATAAAAATAACGAATTTTTCTAATATTTTTCATATAAATAGCATACTTATTGGGTCAACCTGCCGCGGGGCGAGTCTGGATACCAAAAAACCCGCCCCGGACCTGTCCCATTGCCATTCCTACCCACTATGCATCTTCTTGGCAATAGGCATAGACATGGACTCATAGTACATTTGGTACTGCAATCATACGATGGCAATGGTGCTAGTATGCTGCAGAATGGGCAATTATCACGTGATAATATCGTTGTATGACAAGGTCATATTTATACAGAATGTTATTTGTATATGATTTTACACATGAGAACGAGTAAAAAGGTTTTTTTTTTGCCAAAGAACACAGGTTGTAACTTGTAAGATCATAAAGTTGTTTTTGTTGACATGCTATTGAAGAAAAGGGTGCGGAGGAAGAGAAATCTCACACGGAAATTCGAATTTTGGATCTCCATACAAAAAAACGAGAGTGTAGCACTAAACCAACCACTCTTTCACAAGATGAGAGATATTTGAATGATAAGGGGATAACTTAATTCACACAAAAGCTAGACAAAAATTATAAGTACAATTGAGTCATTCAAGTGTGTTATGAAGTATTGGTATTTTGGGATACAAATTAAACTTGTTTTTTTTTTTCGTTAAATTTATAAGTTCCATTTTTGCCATAAATGCATTTGTTTCATAAATAAATTTACATAAAAGTTATAGATATATACTGAATATGTATGAACAAGTTTAGTTTATACGGTAAATGTTTTTTATAAACCAAACCAAACCAAAACTAAATTTGTAAAATGTAATAGAGCCAAGCAAAATCCTCCTTTGCCTTGGGCCTTTGAGGTTCGGGTTTGTTACCTTGCGTTTTCTTTGCCTGATCCAACCCAGTTAAAGAAAGAGGCTTAAAGCCCAGATAAGAGGGAGGTGTTCGTTTTATTGCTTTTGCTGCGAAACGGTGCTGTTTCATTAATCATTATTACGCAATTTCCTCCGATCAAGGTTGTCAAACCGGTTTATATCGTTGTGCCGGTTTTGCAAGTGGAATGGTACGACCGGTGGTATAACCTGTTTGTGCCGGTTCATGCCGGTTAAAAAAATGTGAAAACAATTAATATCTAATGTATTTAATCATATATAAAACATATTTGTGGACAATTTAGTTACAATCCAACAAATATCATCAACTTTTAGCTATTACATTCATAAAATGAACGATAAATTAATTTTTTTATTCATTAAGTTCATTAAAGTGATGTCATTTTACTTAGAATGCGTAAGTCGATCATACCGGTGGACGATGGTGTCATGCCGGTTTCATGACCGGCACAGGTTGAACCAGGTTCAACCGGGTGACATGCCACCGGCATGACAACCATGCCTCCGATTCAACGGAAAATTAAGAAAGAAGTCAATCGGCCTTTTCCCATCGACCTCAAGTCCTTAACCCACCCAAATCCCAATACCCATCTCTGCCAGTCCTTCCACCACACCCCGGTTGCCGTCGCGGAGGCGCCGTCGATGTTTACATTTTAGTTCCAACTTACAAGTTCCACGCTTCCTTTCAGATCTCCAATATCCAACCGCAATTCCAGACTTCCCGCCTGGATGTCCCGAGTCTGAAATCTGCTGATTCCGTAGCATCAATCGAAGGAGAAGAAGGCCTCAGCATCGCCAGTCTTCATCAACTGCTCAATTTTATCAATTAGGGTAATCCCACGACCTCGTTTTTCTTCTTCTTTACTTGGGGATCTCTCCGGTCTCGGCTAATTCAGTAAATCTGCACAGAAAAGTGAAATTCAACTAGGACAATTCCGTTAGTTGTTCTTGTTATGTACTACATTAGGGTGAATTCTCCAATATACAATGTATAGCCTGCTGAAACCTGTGGTTGCGGTTATGTAGAAGGTCATGGTTGTAGAAACGGAAGGAAGAAGATGAAGAGCTTCAACGGCATGCTAGCCATGATTTGTAGCTCTTTCCTTGGGGTCTGTGCATTCACCTTCGTTGCTGGATACCCAATTCCAACATTTGGGAGAATAGAGTATGGACTCATCTTCTTTTTGGCTCGGTGCACTTCCATTCTCAAGTTGCCCGATTCTCATGTATCTCACTGTTTCATCTGGCACTATCTCTTAAAGGGTTGCCAGCAATGTATTGATTCCTGGAAATGAACTGTGGAGGGAGACTCTTTCCTTGCAGGGAGGTTCTCGTCTGTATGAACTGCGGGACTTGAAATCGAACACTTGGTATGAAGTGAAGATATCTTATCCGGCTTCTGTATGTATGTAGTTTGATTGTCCCTTCGACTTGCTGATGTCCACACTATCCCCATCATGAAAAATCTTCTTTGTTTCTCCCTGGGATTGACATTCCAGATACCTGCTAGCTTCACTTTACAACTGAAGAAAGATGCTTCTGATTTGGGAATGAACTGGAATCGAAGAATACTAAACACAGAGAAATTAATTTTCAAGACTGATGAGTTTAGTGGCACACAGGTGTAGTTTTCCTACTGATCTGGATCATATTTGCTTGATATTGTTTTATTTTTGTTCTTTTTACTGATGTGTTTCTCTCTGCTCATCAGAACCTGTTGTATGTATCGGTAACTGTAGAGCCGGAGGGGGTGGTTGCAATACGTAATGTACCAGAGAGGGAAACAATCATCTTCAACATAGGTAAATAAACTCTCTGTCAACTTATTAGTTTATTTCATACAAGTTTCTGAAATAACGTCATTGAATCTTTATCCGAATGACTGTTTAGGATTTTATCTGATTCTGAACTGTCTTCATTCTCCCGTGACATGGTAGAAAGGTTTGGTTTTTATCCAGGCAGTAAGACTATTGAGTTCTCTTTATCTCGCTTGCTTGTTTGCGTTAATCATAGCAGCTAACCTACGAGCCTAGGATTGTTCTTGTGAGATCTGCAAGCTTGGTGTCTCTTCCATTAGTATGAACTCCGAAGTTGCTTGACATGGATGCCTCACTAAATAAGTCCTGCTTAAGAGCACATTTTCTCCCTTTTACCTGTGATTATTTCTGCATTCCTTTCTTCTACAATCCAACTACATCACCTTGTTTTATTTGTGTAGCTTTTTCTGTGTAGTAATCTTATGATTATTGTATTGCAGTATGCGATGAATTGTTGCTGGGTATACCACACAAGGCTTGGTGGGTGGGAGTGTTGGTGTTGCTATGTTTAGTGGCTGCATTCATCATTCCTCGTTTGCTCCCAACACTCGTGCTGCCTGAAAACGGAAGCTCCAGATCATCATCATACGAAGGTGTTGCCAAAGAATCTTAGGAGTAGGAAGTTTTCAGAACCGATTCAGCAGCAGGGAGGGGATGTTGGGTTGTCGAAGCTCCTTCTATGGTCATCATGGAAGCTTTTAGGTTTTAATTGTCATTGTTAGCATTTTTGTGCAGAACAGGAGAAAGGAAGGAGTGGCAGCCTTCTCCATGGTTGAAATTAGGGAGGATCGGTATCGTATTCAATGTGGTTGAAAAATATTAAAAGTGTAATAAAACTGTACGAGTTCGAGATGGCTTATTGCTAAATTCCTAATTATCATACGTTCATACTTTTATTATTTCATCTATAATAAGTAGCTAAAAATTCTTCATTATTTTCTCAAATTTTGATAATTAAGACCTCGCAATCAAACTCTTTTCATATTGCTTTGGGTTATAGTGCTTTGGGTTATAGGTATAATATGTCTCTCTACTATGATGTTTTATCAAATATGCCCCTTTACTATTTTTTACCTCAAACATGCCCCTGTACTTTGTAAAAATTATCAAACATGCACTTTTGTTAAAATTTTCGTCCAAAAACAATTAATCAACGCCGAACTTTGATTTGGACGACACAAATATCTAAAATATTCCTAATAATTTCACTTTAGAATTTTTTGGTTCTTTTGTATAGCCAAATAATTCAAATAATTTCACTTTGAAGAGACCCAGAGAAATAAAACGGGGGACAAAACTGATATTTTCCCTCCTACATGCCAATGTCGGATCGTCTAAATCTCGGTTCAACCATGATTGACGATTTTTTCAATGGAAATTTTAGCATAAGGGCATGTTTGACAATTTTGTCAAAGTATAGAGACATGTTTGATGTAAAAAATAATAGAGTAACATGTTTGATAAACCGTCGTAGTAGATGGACATATTATACCTATAATCCTATTGCTTTTAATCGACTCATCTTTCTTATATTTTTTATCGTTTAAATAGGGAATAGAAACACAACGGTGGCTGAAAAGCTCATGTGACTGTGAGTATACCCCACTCGGCCCGTAGACGCTCCTCAATCCTCATCGAAGATAAAACATTTTCGCTTTCATTTCATTTGAATATATTAAGGAGAAATTTTGAAACCCTCCACGTGGGCCAGGTGGAACCTTTTCTTAGTCGACCGTTATAAAAAAATTTTGTATTCATAACATCTTCATAGGAGTAGGACAGACCCCCCCGCCCGCAAGAGTAAGAACAAGAACGGAAGAAAGATCCCGGCCCCTACTTCCCCCTTATTTCCCTTTTTAGTTCTTTCCGCCTTTTTTTTTTTTTGGTTCCATTCGATTTTGAATTTCTCCTCTCTTCCCCATTCTTCTCCAATGGCGATCGCTCCTCCTCCCGATTCCCAATCCGACCACCAGCAACAGGTAATGAAGTCAAATCCACCCCTTGTCGCGACGGCGGCGTGGCCAACGCGATCCTTCTTGCCTGCCGCGCCGCCGCCTCCTAGGGCTTCATTTCGCCCTTGATTTTTGCTCTCTTGATCCTCAATTCCTTAACCGCAGGCGGAAGATAAGGCGGTGGCCGCTGCATCTGGCGGAGAGAACAACCAGACGAGGAGATGGACTCTCGGCGATTTCGACATCGGGAAGCCCCTCGGTCGCGGCAAATTCGGCCATGTCTACCTCGCTCGTGAGAAAAGGGTAACTAATCATAATTACAGTAGCAAATTGAATCTCATTCTACCCTGATTTTGTACGATTTCATTTCAAGATATGTGGTTGTTTGTTTTTCCATGATCGATCCCGCAGAGCAATCACATCGTGGCCCTAAAAGTGCTGTTCAAGAGCCAGCTCCAGCAATCGCAGGTCGAGCATCAACTCCGCCGTGAAGTTGAGATCCAGAGCCACCTCCGTCACCCCAACATTCTCCGTCTCTATGGCTACTTCTACGACCAGGTTCCTCCACATTCTGGCATTTCCTTGTTACGTTGATCTCATTGTTACGTTTTATGTAGCTGATGTTTGCTTTTCTTACCCGCCATTGGAAATTGCCTTGCAGAAGCGAGTCTACTTGATACTAGAGTACGCAGTCAAGGGTGAACTCTACAAAGAGCTTCAGAGATGCAAGTACTTCAGCGAGAGGCGTGCTGCCACGGTGAGAAAACCTCTCTCTCTTCTCTTCTCTTCTCTACACCTCTATTTCATGGCATCATTTGCAGTATCCCTTCTTTGTGAAGTTTTATCACAACCCCCATTTGGTCGTCTGATGTTTATTCTAACATGCTCCTTCTTTTCATGTGTGTATATGATGCCCAGTATGTTGCGTCATTGGCTCGAGCTCTGATATATTGCCATGGGAAACATGTCATCCACAGAGATATCAAGCCAGAGAACCTCCTGATTGGTGCCCAGGTGCTCTACCATTTCACACATTAAAGTTATTATTATGCATCTCTGAACGATTTCAAGTGTCCACTTTTGGGTTATAGTGTGCTTATGTGTGCTGCCATGTACTTGTTCCTCTTCTTTCTTTTTGTCAGGGGGAGCTCAAGATTGCCGATTTTGGCTGGTCTGTGCATACATTCAACAGAAGGCGAACAATGTGCGGGACATTGGACTATCTCCCACCTGAAATGGGTATGTAACCAGCATAGGACCCTTAGTTGCTACTTGCTAACCTCAACATTTGCAGCGAGTCTGATTTGGGTTGCTTGTTTTTGCGCAGTGGAAAGTGTAGAGCATGATGCTAGTGTAGATATTTGGAGCCTAGGTGTGTTGTGTTACGAGTTCCTCTACGGCACTCCTCCTTTTGAGGCTAGGGAACACTCTGACACATACCGAAGGTATGTATAAATCTCATTCAGACTTCCGAATTGCTGCATTTCTTGTGTGCTATATGCCCCCACTTAAAACCGGTGATGTATGTTGCAATGATGGCAGGATTGTGCAAGTGGATCTCAAGTTTCCTCCAAAGCCTATTGTATCCGCTTCTGCAAAAGACCTAATTAGTCAGGTAAGCCACATCTCTTAGAAGTTAGAACCAGCTGTAGGTTCCATCCTAACTTGAGGTTTGTCCTTATTATCATCTGCTGCTGTCTCTTTTGCATCTGCAGATGCTTGTCAAGGATTCATTCCAGCGTCTGCCACTACACAAGCTGCTCGAACATCCATGGATTATTCAGAATGCTGATCCCTCTGGCGTTTACAAGGGTTGATAAGTGTAGATGGATGATGCTAAGTAAACTACTCCCTGAATCAATGTATGTGCTTAACGACTCGAGCATAATCTCTTTGCAGTCACACTCACATTAGAAGAGACTGGAGGCACCAGCATGCTTTGTACTACTTACAGACTCAGTTGAACAATGACCATACCCTCTTCTTTTCATTCACCCTGTTATGTACGAGGGGATGAATTGTTGCAGCTTATTATGTTAATTCATTCATTTGGCCAATATATATAGCAAAAGTATCCATCTTCTGTTGTCATTCGTGCTTGTCCGGTCTCTTTCTGGGACTAGTTGTGCTTGCCCATTCAAATGTCAAAGTGAAATGCTCCTCGACAATTTCTAAATCCTTCACCTCATCAATTCAATGAAAGAACGCATGTAATCCAACTATGACAAACATTTGTGTACATACAACTTGCTTTCCTAGTAAAAGGAAATACACAAAACTGAAAGGGGAAATGTCCGATCTCGAGTAAGTTGCGAGATGCTGTCGAACATGTTACAACTCCCATGCACCTAGTTCCCCAGTTCTCTCCATGCCAGCAAAATTAGGTCTCATAAAAAGCTAGGCTGATTCGTCGAGGATAAAAGTCTTGCCCACATCCTGTCTGTGATCACCACCTTGTTCTGCTTCTCAGTAATGCGCTGCAAGCCAGGAAATGAACTGTCAACGACATGCCCAGAAAATCTTCCAAGAGTCCCCTGTGTATCATTTCATGCCAATTCTACTGGAGGAGAGAGAGAGAGAGAGAGAGAGTGATACTCACATTAAAAGGGATGTAAGAATGTCGTCCGTTCACAGGTCCACAAGTAAAGCCTGTATATCCTGCCATTGCCCCATGAACCGCACTATGAGCAAGGAGCGTGCAGTAGACATTATCAGAAGCATTACTTGGAATTGCTCGGATCATGTACGTAGGATCTGCAACAATCATAACTGTCAAACCAAAATCCCAAAGGGAAATGAAGCACAAGAACACCAAACAGATAGCTTACCTATGTATTTGAGAGTGATAGCCATATTATGTTCCTTGGCGAAATGATCCTGAAACAGAAACAAAGCAACCTTCAGTGGGGCTAACAGAGAGACTCAAGAATTTCTTGATGCTCTTATGGTAAAAGTGTGTACCTTGATCCTGTGAGATATCCAGAATCCAACATCTTGAAGTTGCTTGTTTCCAGAAGCATCTTGCTGCCCCATAGACTGCATGCTCTCTGTAAGCAGATCTTGTCCTGCTCCTTCAGCAATAACGATAACCATGTGCCCATTTTCTTTTAGCCGTTTTCTAATGAATTGAAAAAGTCCACCTTTGCCTTCTAAGAAGAAAGGCGACTCTGGAATCAAACAGCAGTCCACATCTCTGCTGGCAAGTGTAGCATACATAGCAATGAAACCTGTACCAACAACAGAAGGCTTAATGAGGCTCAATGCATCGTCGCGGGTACTGAAGTAGTGATGACAAAACAAAAGCATTAGGAGGGATGGATTTAAAAAACCCACATGTAGGGGAAGATTTTTCAAATTCGTAAGGCTTATGGATTTGGTGCCCTCATGGATTTCCAAGTCCATGGAGTTGACAAATTTTTTTATTTTTCTGCCTCGCCGAACAAGGGTTCTAAGAAAAATTCTCTTCATATGGATTTGGTGCTCAAATTCAATACCTAACACTAACATCCAAATGAACCCCAGGGGATTTTTTCGGACATGTGCAAGGTAAACTAAGACTTACCACTATAACGTCCCATCAGCTTCACAACACCAATACCATTTTCGGTACTTTCAGCTTCCACATGGGCTGCATTGATAGCCCGTTGTGCCTCCTCAACCGCAGTATCGAAACCAAACGACCTGTCAATAACCTGTACCAGAACCCGGATATTTAGCATGAATTCATATAATGCACCCAGGGGGCAAAAAAGGAAAAGGATCCATGATAGTGGAAAGGATGATGTTTGAAAGACCAAGATGGCGGGTTTATCCTTACGGGAATGTCATTATCAATGGTCTTGGGTATTCCAGCAACTGAAACTTTTAGACCGCGTCGTCTGACTTCCTAAACAGGGCGAAAATAAAAATGTTTCAACACTGCCCAACTTGCAGATAGAGAGTGATGCTAGCTAATATAAAAATTCGAATTCATCACAGCCTAATGAAATAACATCTACCAAAAACATACCTCATAAATGACCGCAGCTCCCTTTTGAGTTCCGTCACCTCCAATGACATAAACCTGTACAAACATTACACCGAGAATAAATGTATGAACTACTAGCATAAAACCCATGGGAAGTTGCAACAAAGCTAAATTCGAACCTGATTGATCCCACGATCTTGGATGCTGTCCACTATCTTTGAGGTGTCATGACCTCCTCTTGACGTCCCAAGAACAGTACCGCCACGTTTATGGATGTCATTGACAACCTTGGGAGTCAAAGTAATAGTATTCTTGGAATAGAATCCCATGTACCCTCCCTGGAAGTAACAAGTGAGAACGGATCAAGCACCAGGTTTGAGTTTCAACGACTTAGAGTACCGGGTGGACAACAGTTAGAGAGGTGACTCACATCAATGCCGATGATTTTGGAGACACCGTACATGTAATGAAGGCCGCAAACAATCTCCCTGATGACAGTGTTCAGCCCGGGGCAGAGGCCACCACAGGTGACAATGCAAGCATGAACTTCGTCGGACTTGAAGTATACCTGAGAATAAATTGTTTTGCAAACAAAACAAAGGTTAGAATTCATATCTAGTAAACTTCCCGAGATGTATACAGTATATTCGGTAGGCAGTGGTAAACTTAGATTGGTGGCATCAGGGTATAGATTGAATGGGAAGAACCAAAACCTTTTGGCGAGGTCCAGCACGACGGAAGTGGATTCCCCTGTCACCATTCTTGTGAACCACAATCTGAGAGACAAAACAAAATAAAACCTAAGAAACTAACTTAGATGCTTTTAAGTTTGTCCCAGTACCGGGAGTTCAGTTCAGCATACAATGTGATATTCAGCTACGAAATTAGAGCAATATCCAACCCCGGGAATAGCAGAATAGCAACCAATTTACCTTTTGGGCGACGGTGTCATCCACATCGACGAAGTACTGCCTGAAGGAGTTGAGATCAATAGCGAGGGATTAACGAAAGCAGGGAGGATTTGGAATTAGAATCAACGAAAGTTACTTACTTTACAACAGAGTAGGCAGGATTGTCTTGCAAGGGATTAGGGTAAGTCTGCATCCATTCAGATCAAAGAACACAGATTCATTAGATTACAGAACATACCGCCATTAATCAGTGGGAGGAACACCAGAAACCCAGAAAAGCAAATTAGCAGAAGGAAAGCTTTACGGGGAGCGAATGGAGATAGTCATTGAGATGAGGGACGTCTTCCAATATATAGCCTCCTTCTCCTTCCTCTATCTTGGTGTTAGTAGCGGCGCAACCTCCATCGCCCATCTTCTCTGCAACTACTGAGCGCCGGTGAACGAGCTGTGCCTGAGATTTGCGGTTTGCGGAGGAGAAGAAAGGTCCGAATGCTGGTATCTGTTTAATAGTTTAGTGATTGAGAAAGGACGAGGAATAGTGAGAACTGAGAAGCCAGCAGCACGCAGACGGAGACGGGGAAAAAAAGAGAACGGACAGCGACAGACGACAGAGTCGGAGAGTTGTTTTTGGTGATGCAAAGTCGGGAAAGAGTATGAATTTCGTCTGACGAGTGATGACTCCCTCTCCTTACCAACATAATACGCCTCCATCTTTGTGTCGTTTTCTTTCCTTTTCATTTTAGAAGTTTTATTTACTTCTTTTCCCCTTGCAATTAATAACGAAAATTAAAAAATTTCACCAAATTAAATAATGATATGATTTATATAAATGATATCTATGAACATAATAATTCTAGATATTATCCTCCAAAGTTTTTTCTTTCATCAAATATCATATTTTCTTCCTATGTATCTCATTATTATGGAATGCTTACCGTCAATCTTGTCTTAACATTTTTGCCTGATTTTTACACTATGTTTGAGGATTTCTACACTCCACATCGAACTACTTGACATTACACATTGCTTTTTTCGGTGCCATCTTCCCAGCGCGAGAATGCTCAGATTGTCATCCATAGTGGAAAGAATTCATTTCCTCAGTTGCAATTTGCAAACAAATCCCCACGTTAACCCTAAAAACCCACAACTGTTGCAAAACAGCGGCGTCGCCCACCGATTCAAGGATCCCACTTATTCTCTTCTTTACTCTTTACCATCACGCCACTTGCGACTTGGCTTGCAATGTTGGTTCCCAGTCCACTTTCCTTTCCTTTGCACACTGTTATTATTATTGTTGCACCTTTTCATATGTTAAAGGGAATTAAGATCAGAACATATTCTGGGAAGTAACTACTTTTAAACAGATCACAAAACACTTCACTGAATCCATCCGATTCCTTGCACTGAAGTAACCAAAGACCCTGTGAAAAGAATTGGAAGGAAAAAAAAAGAACAAAAAAAAATCGCAACATATTCAGCTAATACAGGCGCTCTCCATCATCTAACGGGACTATAATCTGTAGCCTTAAATTCAGCGTTACAGATTATTGTCCCATGAACGTCCTGCTAATTTGCATCTTTCCCCACTTCCCGTGGCTGTAGTAGTAGTAGTAGTAGTAATACAGTTCCTGTGTATCGAAAAGCGAACAAATGTTCAGCTAGATTAAAGAGAAACAACTAAAACCATCCAATCCAATCGAAAAAATTACCTCCTCTTTGTTGTGCAGATGCTTGCTGTGAGCTTTCGAACGATCAATGGCTATGCTGGTATGGTTCAAAATGCATACCGATAGATGGCATCAGCTACCCCATCTTCGTCGTTACTAGCACCAATTACGTCGGCCACAGCTTTCGTCTTCTCGACACCATTGCTGAGAGCAATGCCAAGGGCAGCCAATTGCAGCATCTCGATATCGTTCTCCCCGTCGCCAATGGCCATTATCTGGGACAAGGGAGTCCAATCGGAGCTCCAGTGATCATTGTTATTCGCCTAGTACATTCTAGGACCAAACACAATCTATAATTTCACAACACAGTATCCAAACTTCTAAAATCTGACCAGACAGCCCTTACACTGAGAAAGGGGTAAAACACCTTCCAAAGTCCAGACCACATCAAAACTTCAAGAAAGTTATATTATTCCCCACCAACCCACTACTTCCATCATGTATCCTATAAACATGTGAAACCATTTTAACCCAACGCATTTGCCACCTCTACTTCCATCATGTATCTTATGGCATAAAAATAATAAACAAGTGAAGATCAAAGATTGAATCAGCTCTTACCTCCTCAGCTTTCACACCCAGATGATCAAGTAGAATTTGGATCCCGCTACCTTTCGATGTTCCCACAGGCACAATCTCAAGCATATGTGGGACAGCTTGAACTACATTGGCAAGCTCTCCTGCTGCTTCTGACCAATACGGCCTCAGTTCAGTTGCTACTCTATCAGCAGTGTCTATGAACAACATTTTCTGAAATGTTCAATCAGGTAGAATCCTAATCAGCAGATAACTAAGAAATCATTTTGACCCTGATGTAAAAATGGTGGAACTCACAGCTTCAATAAATCTGTGACTGGAATAATGGTAGTAGTTAAATTGAAGGAAATGCGAAACATTGCAAAATACTTCCAAAACTTGGGGTTTGTATTGCAGTCAACAGTAGCAAATGATGTGCTTAAGGCCACTGACAAGTGTGATATTTTAAATAAAACAAATTACGAGTTAATTCCATGATTTTCTGCTGATCTGATGTCCTCTGTTGCTCTTTAAGCAGATAACAAAATAGTGCTCTTTGTGTTCTAAATGGTAATAGATATAAAATAAAAAATACACATACTTGTATGTCAGCTGCAGCTATGAGATCCTCAACTGAAGGCATGACTTCTGCCTGTTAAAATCGTCTTACATCATTACTCACGGGAATAACTCCAGACAGTAACAAATGAACACCTACACTTTTTCATCGAGCAGTGCAGGGACATGAAAAGGGCACCTGCGGCGCTCGGTAAACTGCATGCAGCGATTCAACAAGGGGGTGATCAAACAGCGTTAAGCAACGATCATTGCTGAATGCAATTAGAGGAACCTTCTGCTCCAAAGAATACCTGCACACCTGCAATCAAGACATGATTTCTGTCTCTACATTGTGATATCTTCAGGTTTTCCAAAATTCTTATGGTCCAAGGCTTATCAATTAATCACAAGCAATCCAGCTGAGTAGCCATCTATAGGATGAAAAATACAGACAGCTTATAGATTTGTCTGTATATGTGAGAAACCATGCAAAAGATTCTTTGTCAGTCAAAAAGGATCTAACTCAGACAGATATTAGCATCATAGTGATTACCTCTCTGCAGACACCTGGATCTAAATTCCTTCTGAAAATCTCCTGTCCCTGCCTACCGTACACGAGCAACCCCTGAGATAATAGAAACTCCAAAACATGAGCAACAGAACAGTTTTAAGACTGTATGATTTAAGAAACGAAAAATAAACTACAATAACTATATTCCAGATAAAGATATACATATCTTAACCTTGCAAAATTTATATGGACAAACCCAAAAAAAATCCAGAAGGGACGCAGAAAGGAAGAACAATAGAAAGGTTGTTCATACCTGTCTGCTCGTAAGGGAAAATTCTTAGTGAGTTCTTATTCTTAAACATCCTACCGGAAAATCCAGCAGAAATGTGACCCCAAAACTCCAAACTTTTAGGTAGAGAATTATGAGGAGAGAAGTAAGAAACCTGCAGGAAAACACCAGGGGAGGCCTCTAAAACAATACCATCTTTATCAGCTAAGCCAGCAGTCTTCAAGATATTTATCACAGCAGGGCGAGCCTGTTCCGTGAATTCTTAGACCAGTTAGCAAAACTTCCATCTCAAGTCAGCCATCATTGGACCAAAAAGACAAGTACTGATGGAACAAAGTGCACTGTTTATAAATAATCTCAAGTGGATTATTATCCTACCTTTCCAGTTGCTATGACTACCTTCACTCCTCTTGACATAGCTTCTTTCAATGCATTTGCATTTGTGGTTGAAAGTTGACTTTTGCTGTTAAGCAATGTCCCTAGAGTTCAGGACAAAAACCAAATTAGAAGGAAAAACAGATCAAAGAAAGAACCTAGAAGTATTCACATTGAAGTGGTAATCTCACCATCCATGTCACAGAAGATGTACTTGAATTTTGGTTTATAGAAGCGAAGACTACCTTCTTTCTTCCTGTCTTTAAAGCACCAGTTCAAAGACTCGGAAGCATATGATTTGCGTAAGAATCTGGACTAATATGTAGCAGTAGATTTAACAAAATAATACCATCCAAAATTGCTGAATCAGAATTAGCTTTCTCGCATGAATCATATGCACTTTGAATTAGTCCTTTACCCGTCCACCCAAGACTCTTCAAAAGAATTTCCTCCTCTTTCTCCATTTCAGTTTCAGCCTCGTCACTGATCTCGTGATCAAATCCTAACAGATGCAACAACCCATGGACCTGTACATGGGGCAGAAGGGTAACACAACAGCAAAATGTACTAGTTAGGCATGGAAATGAGGTGAAAGTTGAAACCACCACCAAAAAAAAAACGTCTTCTCAACTGCACCGGATTATTAAAAGCTAATAACTAAACCAACCATGAGGATACGGATTTCATCAAGAAGTGTATGACCTCTTTCTTCAGCTTGCCGTGCAGCTGTCTCCACGGAAACTACAATGTCACCCAGCATAAGCTGCAAAGGAAGAGAAAAATTAACTATCAACCCTGGCTTTCTCTTCCAATACAGAAGACTCGGTTAACAAATGGTCAGGATCTACAACTTACAATAGGAAGATTAAGCTGAGGAACATGCAGTGACATGGAGAGAACATCAGTAGCACTGTCTTCATCCCTCCATTCTTTGTTGAGCTTACGGATGAAGCTGTCATTGCAAAGCATGACAGACAACTCGATGCTCTCGTAGCCACCAACATCCGAGATAGTAGTTTCTCGAGTTTTGCAGGAAGAATCTTTCAGGCCATCCAGTGCCAACTTCAATGCCATGGGCACGTTTAGGCGGAGCAACTCTGCTATACTCTGCAACATTGGCATCCACTCCAGAGTTCAATACAAAACAACAAACATAAAATTGACAGAATACATAATCATTCACGCAAGGGAATGCCGGAATGGTATAATGTCCGTTCATTAAAACCTCTACCAACAATGCGAGTTACTACGACAAAAAATTACTCTTCACATTATAACAATAAACATTCTTGTGTCTCAAACAACCATTATTGGGAGGCTCTAGTTCATGACAATTCAAACGAAAAGTGAACGACAAGTTACTACCAGGATTTCAGAATCGTTATCGGGGAGGTCCTCCTCAATGCAAATGCTAACGCTCAGCTCCAGCTCCTTCTGCTTGCTCTTGGCGGTGGCGCGTCTTCTCACTTTACGGTATTCTCTCTGTCCGCCGGCGGCGGCGGCGCAAACCCCGGGTACAATCTTCTTGACGACTCCGGCGTGGAAGCATCTGGTCGTGAAGAAGGATGGCGGGGCAAAGGCGGTGGACGGCCGCGTGGGAGGGAAGAAGAGAATGATGGACTTGGAAGCAGAAGGGGAGTGAGGAGCGGCGGCGAGGGAAACAATCGGGAGAGTGGCGGCGGCGGCGGCGCGAGAAGAAATGGGGGGCGCCATCGGAGGAAGTAAGGGGAGAGAGAATCGAAGGAGGGGACGGACGCGAGGGAGCATATGGTTAGTTGCGGGTGGCTACTAATGGCTTGGCGTTGGAAGTTGCCGTTTGGTAGCGCCGCCGTCGATGGGAGGGAAGGGGCCGGCTACTGGACAGTGGACAGTGACGCTCGTGAAGCTGAAGTCCTCCCAGGCGTGGCTCGCCGGGAGATTGGTTTTGGGTTGTAGATCTTGGTTCGTTCCATACTGAGTGGTTTGACCGGTTGGACCGTGTTTGATATTAAATCGAATATTTTTTTATATTAAATATACACAATAAAAGTAGGAAGGACATTTTGGTCTTCACAATTACCTTTTTATTCATTAAAAAGACACTTACTAGAATTCGAACCATCAGCACTTTAAAGAAAAACAAAGATCATAACCAATCACACTAAGTACATTTGTTATTTCTTTTTAAATTAAAAACATATAATTGCAGAGAGGAAAAAACCATTTCCCCATTTCAAATTCCCTACTTCAGGAGCGTTTGTAGGAAGAGTATAATAAGGAGTGTCAATTTTTTTCTTTTTCCTCTGTGGAACGGGCCAACTTACCATACACATGCGGATTTAAACGGGTCCAGGAGTGTCAATTTTTTTCTTTAAGTCCTTTTATTTCTCTGTGGTGGTAAAATATATATATATATATATGAAAAGGCAAAAACAATACTCATTTTTATTGCTAAAAAGAAAAAAAAAATAACAATAAACTAATGCATGGATTCTAATGGGCTAACCGCTAATCATAAAATAAAAGAGTTGAATGAGTCTGACCTACACGGTATTTGCCCATCAAATAAAACAAATAAACATCATGGGTTTGCCATTCTAAAACAAGCTATTTTCTCTAGCATAATATATATTATGCTATTATTTTATATCTTAGTGGCTAAAATATAATGTATTTTAAAGTTATTCAATGGTTCAACCTCGACCAACTCAATTAGTCCAATTTTTATCATTTCAAATATATATTATGTAATTATTTGATATCATAATGATTAAATTATAGTGTATATTATAGGGAATCGTTTGGTATTTGTTAGTAAAAAACTAAACAGAAAGATCTATTTGGTTATTTTTAACATTAAAACGATCCTAAATATTTTCAGTTTCCTTTTGAAATTATATATTTTTGTTCCCTAATCAGTGATGTGCAAATGGTGAATTGCAGTCGTCTCTTTTCTTTCATTATTTTTTATTTTCAAATATAAAGTTTAAAAGTAAAGAATAATTAGAGTTTGGCATGGGTCGGTCAAATAGATTGAATTTCAAGTTTTGGCCCGTTTTGATCAAGTCTAATTTATAATCACATGGTTCCCTGATACCCCATAAAAATCTCAATCCAAACCAGTTTGGCAGGTGAGTCCGTGTTTACCACCATTTTCTAGGGATACAGGAACGGTGGTTCCTATCCCAAATCGTGTTGTTCATTCTTGATTTCTTTAGATTTTATCATGGCTTGGCAAAAAACCAGAGAGCACAATGATGAGAAGATGAAAGTTTTATAAAGCAAATTAATCGGCCAACGGGCCGAGTAAAAGCTAGCAACGATTGTGAGATGCTCATTTCCCGAAAACCGGCGGGATAGGCGATTTTTATTCGACTTTCTGGAATTCGATTTCTATAAAACTTACTCCACCTCATCATATTACCAGAAACAATATTGTTTCACAAGGTAACAGGTACTTGATTTTGGTTCATAAGGCTGACTTTTTATTCGTTATATCATTCATGTCTCTTTTTCTACTAAAATTCACTATTTTTATCACGTGTTTCCAAAAAAAAACTATACAACAATAAGCTGTACACCCCATTACATTATCAAATTTCGTACCTCACATTCGTCCGGCCAAATGGTCGGGGCCCACGCTAGTTGAATATATAATGAGTTCCTGAATTTGACGATCGCATATAAATACAATACTTCATTCTCATTTGTAGGGGTGGAAATTAGGGTGGGTGTGGTTACCCGTCCACAAATGTAGAATTATGTTATCCACAACCCGTCCCGTTGTGGATAGTGGTTAACCACAACCCGCTGCGGGTTGGTGCGGGTTAGTTGTGGATACCCACCAAAATTTCACATTAAATATAATAATATGATAATTAAATATTAATGTTGTGTTTCTTCTCACACAAAAACAAAAATATACATAATAAAAAAGTTAATAAAGTGTTAAATAAATGATAAATCTCGAGTACAATAAGTTAATTAGTGTAAATTTAGAAGAGATGAATTTGGAAAGAGATTTAAAGATAACGCAGAGGCGGAGTGACCTGTTATCAGACAAACATCATTACATGTCACGGCTCCTCCTATGGCAACAACAGCAAAACACAAAAGTGGCTTGATAAGTGGAGAAATGGAGATGATTTTGGGTATCAGACTAACCTTTATCGATTATTCCCCTCTTTTAACAAGTCAACTAATTTATCTGACTATATCTATGGTCTTGGTTTTGTCATAAAAAAACATACACCACACGGACAATGCTTATTTGGTAAAAATATCTCACATGAATATTGCGCATTGACTTGGTTTTGTTTTATAGAATAAGTGTGTATTTGATTTTGGTAGCTACTTTAATTCTTAGTCTTCCAAGTTTCACAAACTAATATAACTAATGTGGTTAATATAGGTTACAAAGTATTTGAAGAAATAAACTAATGTGGGTTTTGTGGGTAAACCGTTGTGGATAGTGGTTAACCACTAACCACAAAAATCAATATTTTGCTACCCATACCCAACCCACTATCCACAAATTGTGGGTATGGAGATCCACAAAATGTGCGGTTTGCGGGTTACCCGCAAATCAAACTTCCACCCCTACTCATTTGTATATTTTTCAAAAAATGTCTACATTTTATCTTAGTCATTTTAATAAGAGAGTTCTTCAACTTAACCCTTGTGCAATTTGCGACTAACAAATTTAGTAGGCATTGGAACGATACTAGATCATATTGAGGCAAGTTTATCAATATATAATACGTATATACATGTTCAATGACACATCAGGGTTTAATCATTTGACTATGCATCTCGAAGAAATTACTCAATAAGTTAAAATTTTACATTAAAAAATTTATAAAAACTAGCTATTTTACAAATAACTTATTCAAATTAAATGGTAAATGATCTTTCTTTTTAATCAATCCATCTAATCTCGTAATGAATTATCATATACATAAAAACATATATATGATATATTAAAATTGATGTAATTTACCATACTTGCCAAAGGACACCCATGCCAAAGGACACCCAGGTAGCAGTTTTTTCCCCTCTGAGTGATATCAAAAGAGGACAACAATTATACAAACAAAACTACCTAGGAACCCCCTACAAACGACACCCTAATGAAGCCACCCAAATAAAGTCGAAAGACTCTAACTCTACTGGAGACAAAAGCAGTGCTTTACATGCCACTCTATGGCCAGCACTTGGCGGCTCTAGGAACCACCCTAAACTATATACAAACTGACAAAGAGTCTACGATCTGACGATACTCCCGCAACACTGGACCTCCAAAGGAATCTTCTATGACATCATGACGGATCTGGTGACGAACTCCTCGGAACCACCTTCTACTATCACAAGAGACAAGGTCTTGAGACAACAATGGAGATAACATATCTTACAGCTAGGAGCTATGCCATGAAAGGGGTAGACTACTCCTTGGTGACGCATATCGGCTGTCAGCACCACATGCCCGTCTGACCCACAGATAACAAGACCAAATGAGTACCCAGAGTCACGAGCAGTTACGTCGAAGTTGAATTTCAAATAGTCGTTTGGTGGAGGCTCTCAGGCGGCCGGAGGAGGGATTGGAAGTTAGGGCTCGTTTGCTTCAAGGAGGGTTGGACGCCCATAATTGTGGTTAGGGTTGTCATTTCTATTGTCGAGAGTATCCCATATGAATGAATCTTATATCATCTTCTTTCACGTCCAATCATATGCGAGAGTCAAATCTGTAGGTTTGAAATTTGAACAAATTATCCCACCATGTCGTGCACATCAATTATTAACAGTGAGGGTGGTGACAATTCAAACACAAAACCTAGAGATCAAAGATTTTAATGTCATGTCAAAAATCGATTGGTCAAAATAATTCAAATTATTGGAGCGATTTATTCTCAACATAAACGATGATATACATATTCCATATGTAAATCCCTCTTAACAACTACAGTTATCAAGACCAACCAATTTTTCACGGTACCTACCACCACCGTAAGTATTAATAGGAAAAAAAAACAAATATATCAACATAAATTTCAGTGAGAAACTTCATGAGTGTTCTTGGTAATGGGAGCTGGCCGGTGGGGTTGCTAGCTAGATCGGTGGCTGATTCATGGTGTGAATTGGGATTGTTCCTATCTCAGAGAATGTTAGGGGTCGTTTGCTTCTAGGATTTTAGAAAATGAGGGATTATGATAAAACCTTGGATTTTGAATATGAGAGATTATGTTGGATTTTGATTATGTTGGATTTTGAAACTTCCATGTTTGTTTGTAGGATTTGGTAATGGCTTTTAGTAGGTTGGAATTATGGCTTGATGGGGGAAATTACTTTCTTATCCTTAATAAACCACTTTTTACTTTACTTGTATTTTGAATGTTTTTGTATATACATGAAGAATTAGCATATGTAAAAATGGCAGCAACATCCATACTATTTGGTCATATTGTATACACGCAAGAAGCCATTAAAGTAAATTGAAACTCTCAACCCAAACCAATAATGTCGAAAGGAAAATCAAGGGTTTGGATTGGATTATAAAAAAAGAGGATGTAAGCATGAAATAATTAATTGTTGAGCTTCATATAAAAGGAAGACAAAACGACGATAGGCAGAGATGGAAAAGGTTGCCGGAGCTTTTTGCTGTGTTGCAATCCCTTGGCAACGAAGAGACAAAGTTGATGAGATGAGAGTGTAGACAAAAGTCCTCAGTAGAGATAATAATAACCGAGGGCAAAATTGGATTACACAAAATGAGTGGGGGTAACACGGTCATTAAACATCATGGATTATATCTATCTTCCAAAATCCTAGCTATAGAGGTAAGATTTTATAATCCATGGGGCCCACGGATTTTAGCTCCAAATAATCCAATATTAGTGGACCCCACAGATTGAAACAAAATCCATTATATGCTAACAAACATGGATTCATTATAAAGTCCAACATATGTTGGATTTTGGGCCAAAATCCAACACCAAAATACCAAAAGCAAACGACCTCTTGGTTCATTTGGGTTTTGAATAAACCATTGTTTGCTTGTTGGATTTCATGATGGATTTTGTTGAAATATATTTGTGGTTATATTATGCATTTACCTCATTGCCCTTACTAACCCTTATTTAATTTTTGTATTATTATTATTATTATTATTATTATTATTGTTAGAAACAAAACTGCCTCCCATCCCTTTAGCCTCGTCCCAATCCTCACTTCATCTCATCCTTTCATACTCACAGTGGTCATGGCAACCTTCTGTTATTATCGTTATTAGAATTTTATATATAATCAAAATGGTCGTGGCAATCCATGTTTAACCTTCAATCCATGTTCACAAGCTCTTCCGGCGATGTTTTTCTCCAGCGACGCAAGCCATCCGAGTTCGTCTTCTGAGATTTTTTTTACTTTGTTTGTTTCTTCTCTCCTTTTGTCTTTCCTTGTCTCTGCGGGTAGGGGTGGGCATCAGTTTGGTTCGGTCGAAATCGAACCGAAAATGAGCATATCGGATCTCCCGATCTCTCTACATGTGAAACCGAATTCGAACCGAAATATAAATCGGTTCAGTTTGGCCGAATCGAGTTATATTTCGGTTCAGGATCCCGACAAAACCGAAATTCCACAACCTTCCCCTGCCTTCCTCTTTTCTTCCTCTGCCTTCCACTTTTTTATGTACGCTACTTCCTCTCTCTACGCAGAAGACATGCTTCCTCTTCCTCTCCCTCTATTCCACCTCTCCATCTCTCTCCATCTCTACAACTTCTTCCACCTTTTACCACCACCAAACACTCTCTCCGATTCTGGCCTCTCTACTCTCTCCTTTCATCAGTCTCCGACTTCTCTCTCTGGCATCTTCGCTCTCTCCCTCGATCTCCGCTTCTACAACTCGCTTCGCTTATCCCCTTCCCCCGTCGCCACTATCTCCCTCCTCAGTGTCTCTCGCTCTCCGGGAAGAATCTGCAGAAGACGAGATCTGTCTCATGCTCGCCTCCGCTCTATACTCCGCCTCCAACTACAAGAGCGCGGCGTCGCCGCTGATTCGAGCTCCGAAGACAGGGACAACAACTTAGAGGGAGAACTAAGCTTGTTCTCTTCTTCGATTGTCGTCAGTCGCAAGTCGCAATTGGAGAAAAAAGGTCGCGATCGGAGGTCAGAGAAGATTCCACCTTCAGTGGGAACAATAATTCTAGTCGGCGCTAGGGGTTCGATTGGGTTGAGGAGGAGCAGGGATGAGAGTCTATTAGGGTTAGGAATTTAGGGTGGGCTCTTAGAGTTAGTGAGTGGGCTGAGCTTGCAGTAGAGAGGGGAATTGGGTGTATGGTCAGTCATTTTGGGTTGTGAGAGAGTGGGCTTCACTTAAAATATGAGTTGATTAGTTTAGTTCGGTTTTTCGGTTCGGTCTATCGGAATTCGGGTTCGGTTGGCAGACCCTGGTTTTCGAAACATGAGCTTCTGCCTTCCGATTTTCGAACCGATCAATGTGAATTTCGGTTTCGGTCGGTTCGGCTTCAGTTCAGGTAGGTTCAGAGAGTTGAACCCGAACCGGATGCCCACCCCTATATGCGGGGAACGAGTTAGAAGAAAAAGGAAGAGGATAGGTTGGGCATTAGAAAAATAAGTGGGGATACAATGGTAAAGAACTATCATGGATTTTGTAGCCTATCCCAAATCCCACCTTTGGGCTGGTTTTTTCAAGTCCATGGGACCCAGGAATTTGGTACCTCAAAGTCTGTGAGCCCATGGATTTATCTTCTCAAATTCCATCAAGCAAACAAAGGTTTTGGTCACAAGTCTATTTGATTTGGGTTTCATGTACCAAATCTCTGATCAAAACCCTCAAGCAAACAAGGCGCGGGGTTACAGCCTTACATGTTACCCGTATATAAAAAAAAAAAAACTTAAACGTGGGAAACGCTGGTAGAAAACGGGGATTGTGCTATAAAGCGCGCCGATTATATGAGGGTGTGGTGAGTGTGGAGGTAGTTTCACAGTAACGACTCCGTAATAAAAAGTCGCGCGGTATCCCAAGTTCCCAACCGAGAAAACGGACGGCAATCCGCGGGAAGGCTGCTGCTGGCACCCACCTCGAAACGTCGTTTCGAATTTATAAAAAAACCCTCGTTCCCGTTACTTCCGTCTTCTCTTCTTCACCTTTCTCTCCAGTCGCTCCTCGACCTTTCCTCTTCTCCACCCTCCATACTCCATTCCGTTCCCTTCTCTTCCGCTACTGCTTCCCTCTCTCACTGTCAAACAATCTCCATCCCTTCTAGCTCGCCGCCATTGAACAAACGATTGATTTCTCGATTCATCCTGCCCCGTTACATTTTCCATAACCGGTCAGAATCTAGGGTTCCGATCTTTTTGTTTTCCCCTCTCTTATTCTGCTGCCCTACGTCTCGTCTCGTCTCCGTCGGAACTTCCCAGATTATCATCTCCGTCGGTTCCGGTAAGTTGAAGGAAAAAATGGTGGTGGGTTCGCAGAGTCCGAACGTGGTGGCTTCGTCCACTCAATCGGGGAACAAGAGAAGAGGTGGCATTACTAATAAAGTCTTCCTTGCTGGCCCTTCAGAGGCTGATATTCAGCGGAATGCTAATTTGGAGAAGGTAGACCGGTGTTTTTTCCCATAGATAAAAAACCTATCTTCCGTGTCTTAGCTTACTGTTGAGAAAGTTTCGTGCTTTGTCTTTCCTTGGTGTGATGCTGGACAGTTTTTGGTTGATTCTGGGTTGTATGAGACCAAAGAAGAAGCTGAACAGAGGCAGGAGGTACTTGGCAGGATTGATCAGGTAACCTTGTGAGCTTATTATATTACCTTGCCGGTCTGCAGTTGTTAACTGGAATTAGCGCAAACTTCATGAGAGCTCTTTACCTTGACCTGCAGATTGTCAAAGCTTGGGTCAAGCAACTGACGCGCTTGAGGGGCTACACCGATCAGACGGTGGAGGAAGCAAATGCAGTTCTTTTCACTTTTGGGTCTTACCGTCTTGGAGTAAGTCTAGGTTATGTTTTCTTTTCTCTTTCTACTGAGGATATTGCAATGCATACAAGGATTCTGCTTCTTCTTGAGTGTGAGACTGTAGACCGCCTACAAGCAGTCAGGAGAAGGCTATATTTCTCACCTTTCTATATTCTATTCCCGTAGTGTGCTCCCTTCCCGTATAAAGTTTTGAGCATTTGGGATGAAATAATACCCAGGCGAAGTTAAGCTGGTTTTGTTCCTGCATAATTCCTTGATTCTATGGATATGTAAATGGCTCAGGTTTTGGATATTGCATTATTGCTGTTACTCTCTTGCCTTAATAACTTGGCTGCAAGTCAAGATATAGGGACCATTTAAGGTGGTGCCGTGGTGGTTGAGTGGGTAAGCCTTGTCTTGACTAACTGGCAAGGACAGCCTGACAGGTTCTATTTGCAGGAACGCTGATTATTTTACTTAGTAAGCTTCACTCATGGATGGCCCTTGAGGGCGGTATTTTCCTTCTCGTCTATGTTTTCCCTTGAAGTATTCAGAAATCTTCTAGAGTATTTACCTTCTCCCCTGAATTCTGATTGGAAATTATGAGATATGCTTATTGAGCAGGTGCATGGTCCTGGGGCAGATGTGGATACATTGTGTGTGGGTCCATCTTATGTCAACCGTGAGGTGACTTGTGAAACTTGCTATCGTCCTTGAATGCATACTTACATGTCATTTCTTCACTGATTTTGAATGCTTCTCATACCTGTTACAGGAAGATTTCTTCATTATTTTGCATGATTTGCTGGCTGAAATGGAGGAAGTTACAGAGCTTCAACCAGTTCCAGATGCTCATGTCCCTGTAATGAAATTCAGATTCTTGGGGATATCTATTGATCTACTTTATGCAAGTATTTCTCTTTTGGTTGTTCCAGAGGTAAGTCTTCTCATCTCTAAAACATGAACTACACTTGATTACTGAGTTAATTTATCTATGTGTCGTTTTTTAACAATCTTGAGTTTCAGCTTCTGTAATGGGCTTATTGGTAATTAGTGCTAGTGCTTGAGCCTTATGAGACAAGCTTGATTTGTTTGTTCTTTGTCCATCTGCTAATTCTAGTTTCAGCTGCCTGTTATGGTGATGTTTAGTGGTTTTTGCTACCTGACTGTTTAGTGTGCTTCACTATTTCTTTGTCTTCTCCTCTCTCTCTCTCACTCTCTCCTTTCTGCTAACTGTTTTATTTATCAAGAGCTTGTCATTACTAGTTTATACTGTATTGGCTTCTGGAGTTTTTTTTTTCTGATAAAGACCAGTCTTTCACTTTTCTATCTAAGAGACTGCTTTTGAGTTTGCCGTTTCTGGTCAATGTTCCCTTCCTCTTGTCCAGTTAAATCCTGACGCTACTTTCTGACAGGATCTGGACATCTCTAATGGGTCCGTGCTGCATGATGTGGATGAACAAACTGTTCGTAGCCTTAATGGATGCAGAGTAGCGGATCAAATTCTCAAGCTTGTTCCAAATGCTGAGGTGATTCTGATCATTGTTTCCTTTTTTATCTAGTTTCCTTTTTTGTTAGTGGATTTGATTCTGATCATTGTTTCCTTTTTTATAAAATTCTAGCATTTCCGAACAACACTCAGATGTTTGAAGTTTTGGGCTAAAAGGCGAGGTGTTTATTCTAATGTAAGATGAGCTTTCTCTTTTTCCTGTCAGGTTGTTTCTTAGTATACTTGTGTGATTTCCTTTTACATGTCACTTGTCTGTAGGTCACTGGTTTCCTTGGTGGTGTAAACTGGGCCCTTCTTGTTGCTCGAGTGTGCCAGCTTTATCCCAACGCAATCCCTAGCATGTTGGTTTCTCGATTTTTCAGAGTGTATACTCTGTGGCGTTGGCCAAATCCTGTGATGCTGTGCTCAATAGAAGGAGATGAACTCGGATTTTCAATGTGGGATCCCCGTAAAAACCCCAGAGATCGACTTCATCATATGCCTATAATAACTCCAGCTTATCCTTGCATGAATTCTAGCTATAACGTCTCGATAAGTACTCTCCGTGTTATGATCGAACAATTTCAATTTGGTAACAGGACTTGCGAGGTGAGAGCATAATTGTAATATCTTTCTTAAGGTCGCCTAACATTATGCTATTGATGCCCTTTGTTGTTTCTTCTCTTGCCTGTAGGAGATCGAGGTCAGCAAGGCCCATTGGAGTGCGCTATTTGAGCCTTATCCATTTTTTGCTTCATACAAAAATTACCTCCAGGTTGATATAATTGCAGCAGATGCTGATGATCTGTTAGCTTGGAAAGGCTGGGTTGAGTCACGTCTTAGACAACTTACTTTGAAAGTAAGGGATTGCACCTTAAAATTATTGTTTCAGATCATGCTCATGTTTCTTTACATAATGAGAGATTTTTCCTATCAATCGTTCTGCAGATCGAGCGAGATACAAATGGGATGCTGCAGTGCCATCCTTATCCGCATGTGTACGCTGACATGTCAAGACAATTCCCTCATTGTGCTTTTTTCACGGGGTTGCAGCGGAAAGAGGGAATAAGTCCTCAAGAAGGCCAGCAATTTGATATAAGGGGAACAGTTGATGAATTTAGGCAAGATATAAACATGTACGTGTTCTGGAAACCGGGAATGGATATTTCTGTTGCTCATGTTCGAAGAAGGCAGCTTCCTACTTATGTTTTCCCGGAGGGACACAGACGTTCTCGGCAATCTAGGCATTTAAATCAGCAGCAGGTTGGAAAAGCTAATGATGATGTTGGAAAGTCTCCATCTGGATCCATTGAAGAGAAGCTTAAGAGAAAACATGATGGTGAAATGGCAGCTGTAAAACGAGTCAAGTGTGCCTCTGAAAGTCCACAGAAACTGCTGTCTGTTTCTCCAGAACTCTGTAGAACTAGGTCTGCTGGACCACTTTTAGAGAGCTTCCATGAGGTGGTTAAAATGGGCTTTTCTTCAAATCTGGCTGATGTTGATAATAATGCTCCATTTACATCATGTAGTGGACAGGACAACGGTGAAAATGGAGACCCGGTTGTTTGCGATTCCAAAGGGTTTGAAACTGAAGATCAGGGGGGTGACTTAAGCAGACAAGTTTCATCACAAGACTATATATCCTCCTTAGCAATGAATGAGCCAGAACCAATGGATTTGGTGGCTGAATGGCAGCATGATCCTGACCCAAGCGAATGCCGAGTTGGGGTAGTTGAAACTTGTTTGGAAGCGGGTACAGCAAACGGGTCCTCTGAGGGATTCTTAAATTTGACAGGGGTTGGAGTTGAGGTTGAAGCAGTGCCAATTGTACCGTCTAATCAGACTTTTGTAGTGCTTGGGGAAAAGGATGTAGTGTGCTCTAGTTCCAGCAATCGGAACCTCAATTGTGAGGTGAGTAATTCTGTTCAAGGTTTTTGGGTTTAATGATGTAAAAGTAATGGAAGGGGCTATCTGAAGTTCGGAAGATAGTGAGAACGGGAGGATCTTTGCAGGGTGAAGATGCTACAGATTTGGGCTCTGTTCTGGAGAATAGATGTCCGAGTGGGAAAGGACAGATTGCAAATGGCTTGCCTGAAGAACTAGAGGTCCTAATCCTTGATTGCTGACTTGAAATTGTTTTCTTCCACTAATACGTCTGTTCATCCACTCGTTCGTACCTGATTGCCATATTGCCTACTGAGCATTTCCCAGCATGCCAGTGAAAAATCAGTTTTAAGGAATCTACTATTGAGGTTCAGAAATCTGAGTGATAATGTTTATGCTCCCCTTCAATTGAATATTGCATGAATTCTGACCAGTCAAAGTTGAATGTGAAACTTTTCTTCTTTGATTATTTTCTCTCTTTGCCCCACTTGTTTTATGCGGAGAATTTCCTAACTGGTGCTTATGGTGGCAGGTCCTGCACCACCACTATACGTGCTATATTTCGAGTAACTGTTGCTAACAAAGAACTACCTGAACATATTTTACAGCTGGATACATTTACTCTCTGTTTAATATTTTGCTTTCATTTCCCAAACGAGGAGGCTAACTTTTGATTCTTAATTTGCCTTCGCTTGTATATTTTCTAGTGCAACACTGGCGGGACAGCTATGCAATCTCAAGACGGATCATCGAGGTCAGATTCTTTGCAGAGGCCGTTGATGAGGCATGATTTTTACAACTGCTAAGTCGTGATACCTTTTATGCTTTTTTGTTGTTTCGGTTGTTCTCTATGGCTTTTCTTCTTCTGTCAGGCTGAGTCTCAAATCGACAGTATGAGGTAAAGTGAATGAGCAGCTTGAAGTTCATGGTAAGTGCAGCATTTATTTGCTGGCCCCTCCCCGTCTTGTTTCCTCCAGGTGTGAGCGCCTAAACACGGTAGAGCTGGAGCTGGGTTGAGGCATGCTGCATCGCTTGGTGGTTTGGGTACTTCATCTAAAGCAAAGCGTGAGGCACAGCTGTTCGTATGTCTGGTGCCTGTGAAAGCCACAATGCTTGCAAGATTCACATCTCGGATTATTACTAATTACTAAATGATTTGTTTTCTCTGTCTGCTGGAATTGTGGTCCGTTGGTTCTCTTTCAGACGTATGTTTTCATGTTTTAAATCAGTAGGATCCAAACCTTCCCAAGCAAACTCTGTTGAGGAATCGTTTCAAGTGTACATTATATAAGAGGATATCAGATTGAGTTGTTTTCGCAAGGGAACCACTGGTTATGAAGTACACCTAAGCTTGCAGAACTTCTGGCTTGCGATTTAGAAGTACGCGTTCCTGAAAAAGCCGGGTCGAACACAGTGATGCTTATGATATCTCTTGTGTAATGGAGAGGGTTTATTATCATAGCCATATAATATATACATTCCCTCTGTTCCCTCGTTTGTGCAAAACCTGGTTCTCTATTGACCACTTACATGGGATGTTATTCTACAGTGTACTAACAAGACTAGAGTCTAGAGAAATGGCAGAAGTTCATACGCTGTAGGTGTCATCAATATCAACGTCTGTCACCTTCTTGCTCCGCCTGTAACTAGCCAGATAGGCAACCCCATTGCCAAGCAGAGGGGCCACGTCGAACTCGCGACCACCCTTGCTGTCGTAGTTCCTCTTCTCCCCATTCTTCTCGTACTCTATCGGACACAGTCTCCTCAGAACTTGCACGACTTCCTTCATCGAGGGTCTCGTTGATGGCATTGTGCTTGTGCATATTAACCCTAACTTGAACACTGTCATCATTTCCTCTACATTGCTCTCTTCCTTGATCTCCTGATCAAGACAATCTTCCACTGGTTTGCCTTCTCCAATTTGTCGCCATGCCCATTCCGCCAGGCTAGTGTTCTCTCCTCCGCAGTTCGCCTGCCTTCCAGTCACCAGCTCCAGCAGCACCACTCCGAAACTGTACACGTCGATCTTCTCGTTCACTCTCGTCGTGTAAGCATACTCTGCAGAAACACAATGCATTCCAATAAGACAACCATAACACAAACAGGACTTCGAAAGCAACGATTAGATCGATCGATTATTAACAACGTCGAGCGATGAGCTTTACCTGGAGCGAAGTATCCGAACGAGCCTGCTACCGCAGACACAGTCTCAGGGTCTCCAGACTTGGACAACATCTTCGCCAGCCCGAAATCTGCGATTCGAGGTTTGAACTGAGCATCCAGAAGGATGTTGCTGGATTTCACGTCTCTATGAAGGATCGGTTGAGAACACTCGTGGTGCATGTAGCAGAGACCCTGTGCAGCTCCAGACGCGATCTGCAGCCTGGTCGGCCAATCCAGCACATCAGCAGCATTCGTCTCCGACGCCGATTCGCCGCGGTGGAGCCACCTGTCGAGGCTCCGATTCTCCATGTACTCGTACACCAACAGCTTCGAATCGGGGCTCGAAATGCAGCACAACAGCTTGACTATGTTGGCGTGTCTGATCGTGCCCAGGATTTGAATCTCTGCAGCAAATTCCTTCTCCAGCTTCTCGTCAAGCTCCACATTATTGCTCCAAATCCGCTTCACGGCCAAGAACTGCCCTTCCCTGTTGGAAGGAATCCGGTAAACTTTACCCGACCCGCCGCTTCCCACTACGTTTCTCTCCGTCAGGCTCGCCAAAACGTTCGCCGCCGTGAAATCCACCCTCTGGAACGACGTCAGCTTCCATGCCGCGAGATCTCGTCTGTGCTTCTTCCTTCTCAGATCCCTAATGGCCGAGAATGTGACCAGAGAGGCGAACAGGAATACGATCACCGCCAGCGCGAGGATCATGGCTAGATACTTTGGGGAAAGTCTATTGCTCGAGCTGCCGCCGTTGATTCCGCCGCCTCGGTTTCTGCAGTTGGGAAGGTTTAGAACTGGGTTCACGGCACAGAGATTCGAGTTGTTTGCGAAGCTGTTCTCGTAAGCGAGATTGTTGTAATCGTCTGGAATTTTCCCGGAGAGTTGATTTGACGCCAAATTGAGGGCGGTTAGCCGGAGATTGCTGAAATCCTTGGGGATATCGCCGGAGAGTTGATTTTCGGAAAGGTCCAGATCGAGGAGGTCGGGTAGGTCCCCGACCGCCGGCGGGATTGAGCCGGTGAGCTTGTTTCTCGAGAGATTCAGAGAGGAGAGCGATCTCCAAGACAGAATCGTGGATGGAATTTGGCCGGACAGCTGATTCCCATCTAGTAGGAGTGTGGTTAGACTTGAAAGGCTGGTTAATTCCACCGGGATCTCGCCGGAGATCTGATTGTTGCTGGCTTCGAAAACAACCAGGCCTTTCCAATTCGCGACTCCTTTGGGTAACGGCCCTGAAAGCCTGTTGTTGTTAATCTCCAATCTCGACAGATTCCAGGCTATGGAGGCCGGGAGTGCGCCGGATAATGAATTGTCGCTCAGCATCAAGTACGTCATGTTGACCGCCGTCCATATCCCCGATGGCACCTCCCCTGAGAAATTGTTGCTGTAGAGTTGAACCGTTCTCAGAGTCCCACAATCCCCAATAGAACTGGGAACCTCTCCGCTCAAATTGTTCGATTGAGCTACCAGCCCGGCCAGCACCCCTCCAGCGCAGAGATTCGCCGGCAGCTTGCCGGAGAATCCGTTCGTCGCGATATCGAAAATCTCGAGCCGTGAATGTAAACCCATCTCCGGCGGCAGTTCCCCGGTGAAGTTGTTGGTGAATATCTTGATCTCTTTCAGCGATGGAAGTAGGCCGATGCTGCTGGGAAGCTCCCCGTGTAATTTGTTGTTGAATAGATTCAGAATCTCCAGCTTCTGCAGCTTCCCAAACTCCCCGGGAACAGAGCCCGTGAGATTGTTCATTGAAATATCAATTTCCGTCAAATTCAACGCCTCCACCTTCGTCGGGATCTCGCCGGACAGTTCATTGTGGAAGAGGTAGAGAAACTTCAGATCTGGGAGCGTGAAAATTCCGCTTGGAATCCCGCCTTCCAAGTTGTTCCCTGCCAAATCGATGTGCTCAAGATTCAAATTACCGGCCAACCACTCCGGCACTTCCCCAATCAGATTAGCGTTTCGAATCCAGACGTAGGTTAACTTCTTCAGCCGGCCGAACTCGGGGGGAATAGGAGAAGGAACAAACCCATTATACGCCATCCCCAATTCCTCGAGATTTTCGAGGTTTCCGATCTCCTTAGGGAAAGTCCCATTGAATTGGTTCTGGTAGAGATACAGAGAGCGGAGGCTGGTGAGGTTGCCGATGGAGGAAGGGATGTCGCCGGTGAAGTTGTTCCCGCCGATGTCGATGAAGGCGAGGGAGGTGGAGAGGCGGTGGATGTCGCCGGGGAGTGGTCCAACGAAGTAGTTCTGCGAGAGGTCGAGGTACTGAAGCTTGGAGCAGTTGTAGAGAATGGTTGGGAAGCCGCCGGGGATGTAGTTCCATGACAAGATCAGGCGGGTGAGGTTTCTGAGGTCGCAGACCGTTGAGGGGATCGGAACCGTGATGTTTTGGTTGGAGAGGAGGAGCTCGGTGACGCCGCCGTCGTCGGTGCATGTGATTCCCGGCCAGGAGCAGGCGGCGGTGGTGGCGGTCCAGGATTGGAGGGAAAGTGGGTCGCCGAGCTGGCGCTTGAGGTTGAGGAGGATGGTCCGTTCGTCCTGAGAAATTACGTGGAAGGGTACGGCGGCGAGGAAGAGGAGGAGGAGGAGAAAGGGTAGTCTTGTCATTGCGGCGGTATCTTGAGGGGAAGTTGCCGGCAACCTGACGGGGACGATTGGCTGAGAAATGGAAAGAAGGGAGGGGGAGTTTTTCTAAGGGGATGGGTTGGGGGAAATGGCACTGGAAACTGTAATAATTACGACGGCGAACCATCGAATTGGGACCCAATGATCACTCTCCCCGCCAAAAAGTCAGTCAACGGGCAACAATCAGGGATTTGATTCTAGCACGGGTCCGACTAAGGAGTTTACCTAAACAGCTTCTAGTTTACTAATCTAGAGATACTCTATTTGATCAAATGATAAATTTCTTTTGGAAATTACTGTGTAGTTTTGAATTTAGATTCTATCTAATTTTCTCTTGATCAATGATAGATTTTTTTTTTTAATACATGGATTGTTTCTATGATGTGACAGAAACTATCACTCATTTTGAGTGATTGTTATATCTCAACTTTTAGTTGTGATTGTTGAGATAGTTGAGTTGAGATTGTTTTGTCTCAGCTTTTAGCTGATGCGACATACACAATCACATATACCAAACGTTGTATTCTACAATGCATCAAATTCGACTATACATGTATAATATTTATACATGCATTCTCAACAATACATCTATTTAACAATCGCAACTTCCAAACGACCCCTAAGTGAGAAAAAATCGCACTCAATCCTATATGTATTGTTTCAATTCTATCCACACTATGTATTGATAACATTGCTTATACATGAATGAACACATTGATGATTTGTAACATTATTTTCAAGCAGAAATTTAAAATTCTTAATGTTTTGATGTGATAATATAGTTCAATTACAAATCAGGCTGTGAGGAAATTATTGCCACTTGAACAGTGTATGTTTCATCTAGAAGCCCCCAACCTGTATCGTTATTGGCTTAGCCTTATTGTCCATTTGTTTAATATCAAATCCATTTGCCGTTGCCCTAAACGACACTCAGGCGTGAGAGCGACCGTATCTTGATGGCAAGCTCGTAGTTATCTGCCTGCTCGGAGGTCACTCTGGTCCATCCAGGACCCGCAGCCCTGATAGTGTTGGCGAGTGGCGAATGGTTGGCGGCCAAAGCATGAAGCTTCCGTTTGGGAGGATTTATTATTTGTTTTGGTTCCTTGTTTATTTTGTTCTAGTAGTTAATTTGAGTGGATGATGTGATGATCACTATCCAGCAGCTGCTGAATCTTGACTTTTCTCCCCCACTCCCTCTAAGTCGTCGGTCAAAGCTTTCAGACACAAAATTAATTAATAAAATTACATTAGTGCCTTTGGAAGTTTGTGCCCTGCTGATGGATGCACTGAATCGAAAACTTTTAAGGGTCGTTTGGATGGATCAATCTAGAAATGAGTCCATTTGATCAATTGTCTCGTTTTATAAACGAGACAATTAAAACGAGTCAATTCGAATTACCTGCCCCCACCCTAGGTAATTGAAATTGACTCAAAACTGATCAATTCAAAATACCTCAGACATATTGATCCATCCAAATTTTTTGCTGGCAAACGAGGCAATTTGGTACAATTGTCTCAAAACGAGACAATTGTGTCAAATTGATCCGTTACAATTCCTCATCCAAACGACTTGTTAATGCTTTTGTTCTTTCTCCTTTGTTCGCTTTCTAAGCCAAGCAACCAGAGAGTTACGTTGAAATAAAAACATGTGCTATTTGGTATAAGTATATCTTCTAGATGTGAAGGGACAGAGGCCCAATGGGCCACATATTCGAGAGGTAGAAACGGGAAGGGGGGGAACTGTAATTCGGCAAGATGGGCCATATGGTTTCGAGATAACTGGGCCAGGCCCAATCTCTAATCATTTGGATTCGCTACTCTCGATGACCGCTGGCGTGCTCTGCTGGAATTGACGCAATTTACCAGGAAATAATCCCTAACGGAGAGCAGCTTTCGTGCAACCTCATCAATCTTCATTCGCTCTCTCGGCGATTCTTCTGCGCAAGCCACCCCGATTTCCAGCACTGAAACGAAGCAGTAATTTCTATGCTGCAAAGCGGCGGTCCTTCTTATCGCGGGCATTACATTCCCATCCTCTTCTTCTTCTTCGATTTCATCCCTGTCCTCTGCTTCGGCTGCGTCCCTGTCCTCTGGTGAATACAGTTTTGGGTCCAACACTGAATATATATCATTCGGCAGAGCAGCTTTCACAGCGTCGCGTAGGTTCAGCCACTCGGCGCCGCCACCACCGCCGAACATTTCATCAGTTGGCCTTTTTCGGGACATCATTTCCAGCACAAGGATTCCGTAGCTGTAAACATCCCCTTCCTTTGTACCAGTCGTCGCACTCATTCCGTACTCTGCATTGTCAATGGCGGTTTCAGCCGATGTAAGTTTTACTGAATTGTGTGATTCATTACTCAAGAAACTATGATGTGGTAGTTAATTAATTAGCATTGAGTTACCTGGAGGAGCATATCCGATCGTTCCCCTCACACCAAGGCTACTCGTTTTGCTCCCAGATAACGAGCTGTGATGATCAGCTTCGACTGACAGAAGCTTGGCGAGACCGAAATCGCTTACATGAGCTACCATGTCCGCGTCCAGTAAGACATTGCTGGGTTTCAAATCGCAGTGGATGATGGATACTCCTCCGTTGAGTTCGTGAAGGTAGTGCAGTGCAGTTGCTACATCCAACGCGATGTTGATTCGTTGTATCATGCTTAAGTTGGGATGATCATCATCATCCGAGTGATGAAGCCACTTCTCCAAGGTTCCATTCTCCATGAATTGGTAAACCAGAGCGTTGAAATTGTTGCCCTTATAGTCCAAGCTAGAGCAGAAGGTTATGAGCCTTACAAGGTTTCGATGGCGAACATTCTTCAAAGCTTTGCACTCTGCCTTCAGACTCTTGTCCACTTTGTTATCCCCGTTTCTGAGCACCTTAATCGCCACCGGTGTTCCGGTATGCTCTAGTACACCTTTGAACACCATGCCAAAACCACCTGACCCGATCGAGTTGGCTGCAGAGAATCCATTAGTTGCCTGATGGAGGTCTTTGTACGAAACCACGACCAATTTACCCAAGGCAAGATCATCAAACACTTTTTTCTTGTTTGATCTTCTTCTACTCATGTAATAGAAGAATATTCCCCCTACCACGAGGATAGAGAGGAACAAAGAAGGAACCATTATGGTTAACAACTTCACCTTGAGAGACCTCTTAGTGTTGTTCCTCTGAGTTCCTCTGCATTTGGGCAAATGCAGTTGCGAGACACCACCACATAGCATCACGTTAGCTCCGGCTAAAGATAAGGTGCTTGTGTTGGAAAAAACTCCTCCAGTTGGCACCTCGCCACCAAGATCATTGAAAGAAAGGTTCAAGTACTTCAAACCATGAATGTTCTGCAGAGGCAACGGGATTCTTCCAGTTAAACTGTTGTGGGAAAGATCCATTTGCTCTATCCCTCCCAGAGAAGCCAAAGCGTCAGGAATCTTTCCAGTGAATGAGTTGCTCTGTAGGTATAGGTTCACCAAGCTCTTACAACCACCCATCACAGCAGGAATTTCACCTGTGAAGTTATTGTGTGAGAGATCTAATGAAGTAAGAGATTGAAGTTTCCATGCTCCTCCAGGTAGATGGCCTGTGAATGAGTTCCGCGACAGGTTCAGTAATATCGAAAGGGTGGCCAGTTGCATTATCTCCGGAGGAACTATCCCGTCCAACTTATTACTCGAAACATCTAACAGATCCAACTTCTGACCGCGGACAATATCTGAAGGTAGATTCCCTTGCAATTCATTGAATGAAATGTCTATTTCAAACAGCTTGGTGAGGTTTCCTATGGAGGAAGGGATCCGACCTGAGAGCTGGTTTCCTGAAAGTTCAACTCTTTGTAAATTCGCAAGCTTTCCAAGGAAAGATGGGATGGGTCCTGTGAAGTGATTGACGGTCAAGTCCAATTCAGCTACCTGAATGAGATTCCCGAGCCCTTCGGGGATGAATCCTGTGGCCTGATTGACACCCAGGTATAATTGCTTGAACGTGGAAGCCGAAAAATTTGCTAAGGACTCTGGAAGCTGTCCCCCCAAGTTGTTCAAAGAAACACCCACACGGGTCAAATGGCTGCAATTCACCAGCGACTTCAGGAACGCGAAGTCGCCAGTCGAATTGCTCCCAAGGTTGTTTGCAGCGGCGTCCAGTGTTTCGAGTGTTGGTACATTTCCGAGGCAGTCGGGGATCCGGCCTTGGAAATGGTTGTAGTTCATGTTCAAACTCAGAAGTTTGGAGGCATTGCAGAACGAGGCAGGGATGTATCCTGTGAACGCATTCCTCGAAATGGCAAACATCTGAAGATTAGGCAGAGTGTAGGCAATGTCCCGTGGCAGATCCCCCTGGAACTGGTTTACCGTGAGTGTCATCATGTTGAGCGATGATAGATTGTAAAGAGATTTAGGAACGATGCCGGAGAGCTGATTGACACCAAGGATGAACATCTCTACACTCGAGATCCGGCCATAGCTTTCTGGTATGCCCCCCACCAGCCCATTGTATGCAACATTGAATTCGATTAGCGTTGAAAGGTTTCCCAAGGAAGGAGGGAGTTCTCCCGTGAGATTGTTGATCCCGAGTTGCAGATACTCAAGTTTGTTTAGTGTTCCTATCTCTGGAGGGATGGGGCCGGTCAGGTTATTTCGCTTCAACAACAAGAAGTTTAGCAGGACGCAACGAGTCAAGTTGAGGGGTATTTCGCCGGTGAATAAGTTGTCAGAGAGATTGAGGTGGCGGAGGAGGAGCAAGTTGCCGAGTTGCTGGGGGATTTCTCCGAGGAAGGTGTTGCCTATGAGACCGAGACCCTGCAGAGAGGTGAGATTGCCTATGTAAGGGGACAAAGTGCCTACTAGATGTTGGTGGTCCAGGGACAAAGACATGACTCGAGTGTCACCTGAATTGCAGGTGACTCCGAACCAACTACAGAAATGGAGGGAATCGTTCCAAGAGCTGAGAATCATATTGGGGTCGTCAGTGATTCCTTGTTTGAAGTGAAGCAAGGCGAGCTGGTCTGTGTCGTTGCTCGAAGCTGTGGCCTGCTGACACACGACGACGACGACTGAAGTGATGGAAGCAAGTAGTAGAACTAGCAAGTGGCGATGCGAGGGAGGGCTTTGATGGCAAGATGGAAGACATTGAGAATGTGTTTGCTTTATCATTGGGAATTTGTTAGAAGGATAGCAAGCGATGAATGGAGGTGATTATCAAGGATGGTTATGGGAGGCCCTTTTATAGCCAGATTTTGAAGAGTGGATTCAATGAATGATGATGGCTGGACAAGTGATCATCGTACCAACAAACAAAAACAAATTGGTAGAATTGACATGTCCATAATTTATTTGCAATGTTCTAAAAGGAAGTCAAATGGTATTGTGATGTTCAAATATTACAGTTACAGCATTGATTCAAGAATTAATTACTTTGAAAATTTGTTACCATTGATTGATAACTAGATAAATACCTGATTTGATATGTATAACACCTAGAGATTGAATTTCGACCATTACACATAAGGTTTACAATGTAGTAATAGTGATGGTTATGAACTCATATTACAAACAAGTTGAATCTATAGCATTATTGAATTAAATCCGGTTTATTTTCAACGAATCCAAATTTGTAAATTCATACCAATCTAATTTTGAAAACATTGACCAAACCCATGATTAGGAAAGGCTTTGATTGTGCACCAACTCCTAGAGAATGTCAAAGTTTTTTAGGTATTCAAGGTTTGCTCATGTGCTTATGACATAGACAGAATGCAGCCACAAATTTGGTACATGTAATGTTGCAAATGAATGAAACCAACAGTATAATAGTTCATGAATTATCAGCTGAGAACTGAGATAATTTAATTTACATTCGAGTGTGGTTGTTTGTTCATGCATGACATTTGAATGGACTTTTGACTTCATGAATGTCCCAATCATCCATAGCCCAAGGGTTATGTGCATTCCTTCTTCCGGGAAGAAGTGACAATCGAGTTTTCATACGTTGGAGTAATCGATTTGTGCTTTGTATAAAACAAATATGTAATTGTTGCGAGGAAAATCTTGTGTTTGAACTCCTATGGAGGTTAAGCGAGAGCTCCAGAAACTAAAAACTACAGCTATTGCTAGTTGCTATATTGGATAGGAATGATAAAGTTTGACATAGTGTGTCAAATGTTTGGTTGTGGAACCCTTGCTTCTTCTTCGTTTCTTCTATTTATAGCCACTAGGCGTAACTGCCTTGGTAACCGCCTTGCTAACTGCTAGCTGGCCTCTTGCTCCAAACCGCCTCGGGGTCCTTGTCGCCGCCTTGGTGACTAGTTGGTAACCGTCGCCTTTGGGGCCCTTGTCCCGTCTTGGAGTTGGTGGGTACTTGATGGCCTCGATGCCGGGTCGGGTTGGTGTTGAGTCTTGTCGCCCTGTCATAACTGGATGGGGTCGAGGCTCTTGGCTTAGCCTCCATGAACCATGATGAGGTCTTGATCTCACCCTCGACTGCTTGATGACTCCCCGCTCCTGAGACCGCTACCACCTCATGACACCAAGTCCTCCTCATTAACTTATTGGTTGTTACCAAGCCGTCTCATCGGCTTGATACCTTCTGGCATGCCACCAAGCCCATATAATCAACTTGACACCCCTTGCTACCAAGCCATCCCTAGTGGCTTGGTCTCCATACTTAGTTTTTGTAGCCTCGTCAAGTTGGTAAGTTGCACCCTGCCGGTTGGGTACCCCCATGAAGGTGCTACCAAACCCGTCTTGTGAATTTGTCTCCATATGGCCCCATAAGTCCGCTCCATCCATGGCTGTTTGGTACCTAGTTGGGTGGCTACCTCAGCTAGCCACCATGCCTTAGTCGAATTTCTTGTCTTGTTGGCTTGATACCCCTTTGGGGTTATGGTACCTTTGTCGCCTTGCTTGGCTGCCAAGCCTGTCTTGCCGGCTCGGTACCCCCTTAGCTCCATACTTAGCCAAATTCATGCTTTTCATGTCTTGGTACCAAGCCCTGCCTTATCGTCTTGGTTCTTGTGAATTTGTCTCCATATGGCCCCATAAGGGCTCAGCTTTGCATCCTGGCCGATCCATCCATGGCTGTTTGGTACCTAGTTGGGTGGCTACCTCAGCTAGCCACCATGCCTTAGTCGAATTTCTTGTCTTGTTGGCTTGATACCCCCTTGGGGTTATGGTACCCTGTCGCCTTGCTTGGCTGCCAAGCCTGTCTTGCCGGCTCGGTACCCCCTTAGCTCCATACTTAGCCAAATTCATGCTTTTCATTTCTTGGTACCAAGCCCTCCCTTGTCGTCTTGGTACCCTCTTGGCTCAAGACTTTGCCAAATTTCATGCTTGGGTACCAACCATGTCTTGCCGGCTTGGTACCCTGTTAGCTCCATACCTAGTCAAACGGAGACGGGTTGACCATCGTATATAGAAGAAGGGGTTTGGCCACTTAGGCCCAAAAACCCAATCCAAAAAGCTCTTTTAATTATTAGTGTTGAGCTGGCCTTATAAATCTATTAAATCTCTTGTAATTAATCGATGTTGTACAAGCTGGTATTTTTATGGGTAAACAGTAATATATGTGGGTGGGTTTAAAATGAATAGTTTTTGGTTGGATGAAATATGGATGGATGGATTTAAAGAATTGAGTAAGAAAGGTTAACAAACTCATCGGGATAAAATCGAGTAAGCTTTAATTAGCTTCTCTTTATCAAAAGCAACTTAGTCATTATTTTGCTCAGTTCTTTTATCAGGTTGAATTATTTTACTCGGTTCCATTAATATTGACTGGCGTTGACTGTTAGTATTTAACAGAAAATTTAGTTAGCATCTGTGTGGCATATGACATTGAATTTGAATAGTTTAGGACACAAATGACACTTTTTGGATAGTTTGGGCTTGCCAGTGGAATTAACCCTTATTTTTATACTACAATAACTATCACAAAAACATATAATGTAAACTACAATACACCAATTTCCTTAATCAAATGTATACTAGTATACATGCATTGATCACAATGCCTCGATTTAACTATCACCAAAACCAAACAAACCTTAACATACACATTAATGAGTCTTAGCCACTATAAGTATGATATGATCCACTTTTACTATATGTGTGTACAGTGGCTATAGGGATGACAACAAATTGTGTTAGATGATGGATATTGCATATCCATTATCCTATCCAAAATGGTTCAACGTTTATCCATTCTCATACTCATATAAGAATCGAGTAGAATATCTAAACCATACCATATGCGATAAGGTTTCAGGTATCCACGGTTATTGATAGATAATAATTTCTTACTATAACTTCAACTAATATGTTAATAATTACACGTATACTAACATTATGTAAGTTACAAACAATACAATTTTATGAAAATATTATTGAGAAGACACTAAAAAAACTCTAGCTTTACGAATTTGAAATGTGATAATTAAAAAGGAGACTAAAGACTTACCACCTATTTCATTTTGCATTTGTTCACAAAGTTTACATATAATTTTATTATCCCTAAAACTCTGTGTGAAGCTAAGCTAGTGTTCCTCTTCACACCATGACAAATTGACAATGATAAGATTTAATTCATTTAACCATTGCAAATTTGCATGTCTGTAATTCGAGCTGTGACCGAAAAGATGGGCCGTATAGTTTCGAGATGACCGAGCCAGGCCCAATCTCTAATTAGTTCGGATTCCTTTCTCTCGATGGCTGCTGGCGTGCTCTGCCGGAATTGATGCAATTCGCCTGGAAATAATCCCTAACGGAGAGCAGCTTTCGTGCAACTTCATCAATCTTCATCCGCTCTCTCGGCGATTCTGCAGCGCAAGCCACCGCGATTTCCAGCACTGAAACGAAGCAGTAATTTCTATGCTGCATACCGGTGGTCCTTCTGTTTGTGGGCATTACATTCCCAGTTCCACCCTCTTCTCCTTCTTCTTCGTTTTCATCCCTGCCCTCTGCTTCGGCTGCGTCCCTGTCCTCTGGTGAATACAGCTTTGGATCCAACACTGAATATACATCATTCGGCAGAGCCGCTTTCACAGCGTCGCGCAGGCTCAGCCACCCGCCATCACCGCCGAACAATTCATCAGTTGGCCTTTTCCCGGAGAGCATTTCCAGCACCAGGATTCCGTAGCTGTAAACATCGCCTTCTTTTGTACCATTCGTGGCGCTCATTCCGTACTCTGCATTGTCAAAGGTAATTTCAACCGTTTAAGTTTTATTAATTGTGTGATTCATAACCCATTAAAGTATGATATGGTAATTAGTTACCTGGAGGAGCATAACCGATCGTTCCCTTCACACCAAGGCTACTCGTTTTGCTCCCGGATAACGAGCTACGGTGATCAACTTCGGTTGACATAAGCATGGCAAGGCCGAAATCGCTCACATGAGCTACCATGTCCGCGTCCAGTAAGACATTGCTGGGTTTCAAATCACAGTGGATGATGGATCCTCCTCCATTGAGTTCGTGAAGGTAGTGTAGTGCAGTTGCTACATCCAACGCGATGTTGAGTCGTTGGATCATGGTTAAGTTGGGAAGATCATCACCCGAGTGATGAAGCCACTTCTCGAGGCTTCCGTTCTCCATCAATTGGTATACTAGAGCATTGAAGTTGTTGCCCTTATAGTCCAAGCTAGAGCAGTAGGTTATGAGCCTCACAAGGTTTCGATGGCGAACATTTCTCAACGCGTTGCACTCTGCCTTCAGACTCTTGTCCACTTTCTTATCCCCGTTTCTGAGCACCTTAATGGCCACAGGTGTTTCAGTATGCTCTAGTACACCTTTGAACACTATGCCAAAACCACCTGACCCAATCGAGTTGGATGCAGAGAATCCATTAGTCGCCTGATGGAGGTCTTTGTACGAAACCGCTGCCATTTTACCCAACCCAAGATCATCAAACACTTTCTGCTTGTTTGATCTTCTTCTACTCATGTAATAGAAGAATATCCCCAATACCATGAGCAGAGATAGAAACAAAGAGGGAACAATTATGATTGACAACTTCACCTTGAGAGACCTCCTCGTGTTGTTCACCTGAGTTACTCTGCATTTGGGTAAATGCAGTTGCGAGACACCACCACACAGCATCGCATTAGCTCCTCCTAGCGACAAGGCGCTTGTGTTGGAAAAAACCCCTCCAGTTGGCACCTCGCCACCAAGGTCATTGAAAGAAAGATTCAAGTACTTCAAACTATGAATGTTCTGTAGAGGCAACGGGATTGTTCCAGTTAAGCTGTTGTGGGAAAGATCCATTTGCTCTATCCCTCCCAGAGAGGCCAAAGCGTCAGGAATCGTCCCAGTGAATGAGTTGCTCTGTAGGTATAGGTAAACCAAGCCTTTACAGCCACCAATCGCAGCAGGAATGTCACCTGTGAAGTTATTGTGAGAAAGATCTAATGAAGTTAGAGACTGTAGTTTCCATGCTCCTCCAGGTAGATTGCCTGTGAACGAGTTCCGCGACAGGTTCAGTAATTTTGAAAGGGTGGCCAGCTGCATTATCTCCGGAGGAACCATTCCCTCCAACTTATTACTCGAAACATCCAACAGAACCAACTTCTGAGCACGGGAAATATCTGCAGGGAGATTCCCTTGTAGCTCGTTGAATGAAATGTCTAGTTCAAACAGCTGGGTGAGGTTGCCAATGGAGGAAGGGATTGGACCTGAGAGTTGGTTTCCTGCAAGTTCCACTCTTTGTAAATTCGGAAGCTTTCCAAGGAAAGATGGAATGGGTCCTGTAAAGAGATTCTCAGTCAAGTCCAAATCAGTTAACCGAAGGAGATTCTGCAGCCCTGCCGGGATGAATCCTGTGGCCTGATTGACACCTAGGAACAGTTGCTTGAACGTGGATGCCGATAAATTTGCTAAGGAATCTGGAACTTGTCCCCCCAAGTTGTTCTCCGCAACGCCCACACGGGTTAACTGGCTGCAATTCGCCAGCGACTTCAGGAACGCGAAGTCCCCAGTCGAATTGCTCCCGAGGTTGTTTGCAGCGGCGTCCAGTTTTCCAAGCGCCGGTAAATTTCCGAGGCAGTCAGGGATCCGGCCCTGGAAATGGTTCCGGTTCATGTTCAACATCTGAAGTCCTGAGGAATTGCAGAAAGAGACAGGGATGTTTCCTGTGAACGCATTACCAGAGATGGCAAACATCTGGAGATTAGGCAGAGTGAAACCGATGTCCAATGGCAGAGTCCCCTGGAACTGGTTCATCGTGAGTGTCATCATGCTGAGCGATGATAGATTGAAAAGAGATTCAGGAAGGACACCGGATAGCTGATTGACACCTACGATGAACATCTTTAAGCTCGAGAGCAGGCCATATCTCTCTGGAATGCTCCCCACCAGCCCATTGTATGCAACGCCGAAATCGATTAGCATGGAAAGATTTCCCAAGGAAGGAGGAAGTTGTCCCGTGAGCTTGTTGGTTCCAAGTCTGAGATACTGAATCTTGTTTAGTGTCCCGATCTCCGGAGGGATTGGGCCGGTGAGGTTATTTCGCTCCAACAACAAGAAGCTGAGTCGGAAGCAACGAGTCAAGTTGAGGGGTATTTCGCCTGTGAAGTAGTTGGCAGAGAGATTGAGGTGGCGGAGGAGGAGCAAGTTGCCGAGTTCCTGAGGGATTTCTCCCCTGAAGCTATTGTCTAAGAGGCTGAGACCCTGAAGAGAGGTGAGGTTGCCAATGTAGGGTGACAAAGTGCCTACTAGACGTTGGCGGTTCAGGGCCAAAGACATGACTCGAGACGGTTTGGAGTCATCAGGATGACAGGTGACTCCGAACCAGCTACAGAAATGGACCGAATCGTTCCAAGAGCTGAGAACCATGTCAGGGTCGTCGATAATTCCTTGTTTGAAGTGAAGCAAGGCGAGCCGGTCTGTGTCGTTGCTCGAAGTTGTGGCCTGCTGGCAGCAGATGAACGGAGTGATGGAAGCAAGTAGTAGAAGTAGCAAGTGGTGATGCAAGCGAGGGCATTGATGGCAAGATGGAAGACATTGAGAATAGGTCATCATTGCGAATTCGTGAAAGAGGCTAGCTGTTTACAACAACAATTTTGTTGTTGTAAACACTAGCTAGCATATAATAAAGGTGATTTATGAAGGGTGGTTTTTGCCTTTTGTGAGAACATTACGCTGCTCTTTTATAGGCAAAATTTGAAGGGTGGATTGGATGAATCATGATGGTTGGACGACTGATCATCCTAATTTTTTTTTGGTAGAATTGAAATGTCAATGATTGGTTGATACTTGATAATGTTTTAAAAGGAAGTCAAATGGCATTGTAAAGTTTAAAAAATCCAGTATTGAATTCATGAATAAATAATTTTTAAATTTCATTACCATTTGATCGATAATTAGTTAAATATTTGATTCAGACTGTATAGCTTCTGGAGACTGAAATCCAACAAGAATTTCGCAGGTGACTCTCGAGCCAGGACTTCAACCGTATCCATATGGTTTACATGAGAGTAACAGTGTGATGGTTATGAACTCGTACCACAAACATTCCCAACACATGGTTCATAAAAAAAAATAGTAAATTGTACAACATTGGCAATTCAAACCCATTTTCAACCAGTTCAAACTAGTAAATTTCTACCAATATGATTTTGGAAACATTGACCAAACCAACCCCTTGATTTGGAAAAAAGATAACGATTGTTCACCAACTCCGTAGAGAATGTCAAGATTTACTAGCTATTCAGGATTTGCTTATGTGCTATGACATTGACAGAATTCAGCCACATATTTGCTACTTACCTGCAATTTTTGCAAATTAATGATACCAATAGTGTAACAGTTCATGAACTATAATAAGCTGAGATAATTAAGCACTCCCGTTGACCTTCGATTGTGGTTAGTTCATCCATGACATTTGGCCTTTGAATGGACTTTGGACATGTTGATGAATGTTGTCCCAATCATCCATAGCCCAAAGCTTTATGTGCATTCCTTCCTGTTCTATCTCTTTCCATAACCGAAACAGAACAAGCACTTTGACCAAGATCATCAGTAGTTTTGGCAGGAAGAAGTGACAATCGAATATTCATGGATTCGTAGTTTGTGTAATCCGTAATATATAGGATTTGGTTTAAAATGATATATTTTTTTAGTTGGATCGTACATTGATTATGGTTCTTATTACTGTTTGAACATAAATGGTTTGTACGCCACAAGAGAGTGTGACAGCCCACGGATAGCACCACAAGCCGCGGCAATCGCCACCACCAAGCAAACCAAGTTGAGCAGCTGCAGCCCTATCCAATTAGCCGGCGGCCGCCGCCGCCTTCCACCGCCGGTACTGCTCCGCCGAATCAGCTTGCTCTGCGCAATGTGCATCTCCACCGGGAAATACACGGTGAGGGGCCAGTACGAGACTGCGCCGAGCAACGCGAGGACGTCGTTGAAAAACGGCACCGCCATCGCCACCACGGTTGCCGCCGTCACCAACGCCGTCCTCCCCACCAGCCTGAGAGGGTTGACGGTGAAACCAGCAGGAGCGGACTTGCCGCCGAATATTGCTGTGGGTAGTCTTACGCGGTACTCTTTGGTGACGAACTCTGAGTCTGGCCACTTGTTGCTGGCCCATGCTTCGAACCTCATGAACACGGGTTGTGCAGTCACCTGGAACACGAGGAGAACGAATATTGAGAAGGCAAAATAGTGATTTCCAGCCTAAAATATTTAGAACACGATCGACACTACTAAACTGTTTTCTAGTCACGAGAATTATTTTCGTCATGAATGTACACTAATAGTCACGACCTTTTATTCACGGGAGATGTATCTCATCTCCCGTGTCTAAATGTGTTTTTTTTTTCCTCTCTCGGGTTTATGTTACGAAATTCGACAATAGTTATGGGGTTTTCCGTGATTCATCATTACAAATTATCACGGGAAGGAATACTACGACTAGTTATAATTCCTGAGAATTACATATTTTTCCTTCACCATTAAATTAGATTCGGAGCTTTATATTACGATAGTTTTCTCGTCACTAAAACTATTAAGTATGGGAAACGCAAATTCAAATACGATACATTTCCAAAAACGAAAGAGGCTTTTTTCCTGCAGTGCTACTTGTCTGTTCAAGCAACGTGTGAAGTAGGCTAGGTTTACCTGAAAAGCGCCAACAAGGTGAATGACAATGCAAACGTTGGCGAGATCAATCAGCCAGAAGGGCTCGTAAAAGCCAGAGGCAGAGAGCATGTTCCCCGGCGCGCGGTTGCCGAAAGCAGCGTACCCAAAGCAACCGCACAAGAGGTAGAAAACTGTCGATACAGAAACTGCTACGCCGCTTGCCTTCTTCATCACTTTGTTCTCTGCTGGCGTTGATCTCAGTGTATCCTGAATTTTCGATCAATCTAAGAACTAAAATTCACAGCAGAAATACGAATTAATGGCGGAGTAAGAGCAACATTGTAGTGAAAAGTTGTTCATACTTGGATTTCGATGAGAATGGCGGAGTAAGAGCAAGCAAAAGCCATGTCGCCGATTGCGGTGCACATCCTCCATATCTTATCCATCCCATTCGCCTCCACTCCCGTCAAACTACTACTCGTTTCTCCTTTTCCTGCACAAATCACACCATCGTAGGCAATTAATGTTGGAATTTTATATACAATTGAAAATTGATGAGGTAAAATTTCAATAGTAAAATAATAGGATTTTTTAAGGTCCAAAAATAATAATAAATAATATTAATAAGACAAATCATGAATAACAAAAAGACACTTAACACTTCAATTAATAATAATTCCTCAAGATTAATTTTAGAAAGTGGTGAATCAATGATGATTAATGAGTTGGTGTGAATTGATGATGGTTGATGCGGTGGCTAGTGAGAGAGAACTAGATAATATTGATGGAGTAAAAGAGGGTGAAAGGCTGTCATGTTATGCTAATTTAGGAGAAAATAAGTTAATCTCACATAAATATGTGACCTTAATCCATTAACTTAGTTTGATTTAAGTCAATCGATTCAATATGGATCTAAAAATCGTTAAAATCCTTGAAAGTTGTAAGATTTCAATGATTTAAAATTGTGAACAGTGTAGAATTTTAAGTACTATATACCGCTATTTAAATTTTATAGTGAAACCAGAATCATAAAATTTTAAAAATTTGAATCTAGATTTTGACTAATCTGTCTGAGTTATAACGTGCATGCATGAGAAAGCATGGCCGATCTTGTTGAGCTAAACTTATAAATCAAGTACCGGAGGCGACGCGGGCGATGGCAAGTCCGAGCCCAATGGAGGCGTAGAGGAAAGACATGATGGCGGCCAGAACCGAGAGCCAGGCGAGCTTGTGGAAATTTGGGATTTGGGACACTACAATCTCAGCAACGCCCATCCCTACAAGGTAAGGGTTGGTGGAGAATTTGCAAGACGCAGCATGCCCTCTTTTGTGCAAGCAGTCCGACTTCCGGATCGCCCTGCATTTGATCATTTCATTTAATTATAACAAGCTGGCCAAGGTGGCAATTTCAATCCGTTCCGCGGATATTATCTGACCTGACTTGCGATGGGGCGGGTATTACCCGACCCGCAGTAGCGTGGGGCGGTGCATGGGTATCTACTTCCGACCCGTCCTGTCCCGCCCCGCCCCGTTCTAGACTCATTTATCTCAATTTCTTACAATATCTATACATATTTCTCCTATTTTGACTTTTTTCAACTAGTTAGAGTCGATCTTTCAACTTGTTAGACTCAATTATCCATTCTATTATCAATATTTTTCATTCTTAAAGTGTTTTTCCCTACGTTTTATTGTAAAAAGTAAAATTTACTTATATTTTTTTGAACAACATGTAAGAGTGGGTCGACCCGCCCCGTCCCATACCCGCGTGGGTTTTACCCGCCCCGAACCGTAGAAGCGTGGGGCGGGGCATGAGAATTGAGGTACCCGCCCCGCCCCGCCCCATTGCCATCACTAAAGCTAACTAGTACGTAACATCTATATATCAATCGGTCATATAATAATAATAATAATAATAATAATAATAATGTTCCAACTACTTACACCATGCTGATTGATGCAGTAATGGCGTAGCCAATGGTGGCGCCGCACAGCATGACGCACTGGACTATCCCGCAGGCCCACTCCATCCTCCGGCCCAAGTAAGCGTTCACGGCTTCCATGTAAGTGTAGTTTCTCTTGCCGGTGGAGTGGTGGCGGTAGCAGTCGGAGAGAAGTCGGGAGGTGTAGTATGTGATGGAGGAGAACAGCAGCAGAGTCGCCGGTCCGGCGATCCATCCCAATTGGGCGATCCCCCACGCCAGTGACAGAACGCCGGACCCTATTATCGCCGTTATTATGTGGGCGCTCGCCGTCCACACCGTCCCTGCACACCATCCAAATTAAAGTTGATTAATTAATAATAGATTCGAATTCGCGCGATCGAGGGTTTGATTTAGTAGTATCACTGCTAATTTTTCAATTCGGGGAGGGGGTTCGAATTTCATGTTGGATTTTTCCCTCTCTTATGCATCTACATCAAGATTGTGAAGACGGTTTAATGGTCGGCCTGATTGTGGTCCAACCTGTTCGAGTTGTTTATACAATTTTTCTAAACCAATACGCAAATAAGGTGGTAAGTGGTAATTAAAAGATGTAATCAATAATCTACTAAGCTTATGAAATAAGCAATTGGACATATATAGTCAGTGCACCAATAATCTAGCTGTAAAAGATGCATCGATAATAATTAAGGCTAAGACTTGCATCACAATGCAAACCGATTAATGTGATGGCTCGGCCAACTTTAGCGTAATTAGAAGCTTCTTGCTCAAACTTCCATCACTAATCTACATCTACACTACTACTAATGTCTTAATGTTATAACATCATCCAGATCCGTCTACTTCAACTACTAATTAACAAACAACAGTGAAATTTTAACAAATAAATCACTCCGCTAACTTTTTTTTTTTTGTAAACTCAACTGCATCAATAATTATTTCCCGGTCGTAATTATTTCCAACAAATTGGGCAACAACATACCAGTTCTCATGGGCTTGCCATCATCGTCGACTTCCGGTAGACCCACAGAACCGCCGGCGAGCTGCTGGAAACCAGACGGGGCTTCATCAACTTCCCCCCGGTGGGACGCTACGGCGGCGCCCAGTTCTAGCCCTCCACCACCAGCCGTCGTAGCACTCATGTTTAATCTGAGATATGATGCTAATTAGCTGCGTGCGACTTAATCATTCATATATGAAGTTGAACAATTAAATAAGGTGGAGAATAATTTGAAAAAGAGGATTACAGAGAGATGTGGAGGGATGGAAAAGAGAGCTAGATAGGGAATATTAACATGATGAAGATAAGCCAAGCCGATTTATTGAATTAAAGTTGGTGGGTAGGGAATTACACTAACTACTATAGCCATTATTATGGTATTATTGACCAACGAGTATGTTAAGATACCCTTAACCCTTCAAAGTGTCTCTTCTTTTCTGGCTCTTAATCATTATGCTTGATGAATACACACGTCTTGATTGAGAAGGGGTTGAATTCGAGTTTTGGCGAACGTTATTTTTGTGGCTTCCGTTTGAGTGGCTACAAATAGTTGTTGTGTTGTGTCCATTTAAAACCTGATTGGTTTCGTTCATGAGCCAATATGTACGTAACAAATTCTCTATATATGAAGTGATCGAAGGTATGAAACTGATTTCTTAGATAACTGAAATCGTTGGTAAACCTAGTTAGATTAGCCTATGAAAAACATGAACTAGGGAGAGGGTGTTGGTGAAGGGATCATATAACCAACTGTTTAGTGGTGCATAGAGATGTGTTTGGACTTAATATGTTACACCTCATAACGGTTAACTTGCTTAAATATGCTTGCCAATAATGTTGAATGAATATATTACAGCCGTCTTTAGTGAAAGGCACAGTAGACTTTATGCAAGCATTTATGCCCTAACTTGAGATATTAATTTCTAATGTAGAAAGATGAAGAGTTCTTGGTACAAAAAAGATGTGTGTAGCTTTTGGACCATTGTGAAGTTTCAAGATATCTAAGGGTCAAGGATAGTTGAGAACTTTCACTTCTTCTCATGACCTTTTCCTAGTCTATAATATCGGAGAAAATTGAAAGGTATCCAATCTTAAATCAGTACCCTCTTTCTTATCAATTGGATCATAGTCACAATTCTATCACTAGTCGCTTCTGTCTAGGTTGTCAGTCGTGCCTTCTTAAGTGGTGAGTACTTGTACTATTGGGATGAATGTTCAAGCTATGTAAGATTAAATACAAAGGTTATGAAAGCAGAGAGTTCCAGATACCATCACGAAGTTACAGTATTGTCGTCAAAATATCACTTTAAGTTTTTTTTTTTACGAGTTTGTATTTAGAGTGTTATTGATAAAGCATATAAATAATAATTCTGTGGAATCATTCTCTTTTGAGAGATTATAAAGTGGATCCATATCTTTTGGTAATAGAAATAGACATGATAAGTGTGCTATAAATCGAGTCGTATGGTGGTTGTTAAAAGATGGGGAAAGGGAAGTGAGGGGGTTAGGTGCCTAGGTGGGTGGTGTTTACCATTCAGAATGCTAATGTTCCTTAATTCGCCATCTTTGCCATTTCCCCCTTTTCTTTGTTGTTGTGTAGGAATGAAGCTTTGATTACTTGTCTAGATGTTTTTAGAAAATAATCCCAACATCATTCACCAAAAGTCAAGGTTACTTGCACACATAATAATGGTTCAACTTTGCTCCACATTTGCAAAATTAACCTTTCATCGCCCAACTTTGCTCCGCATTATGATCCCAAATTAGGTTTAAAAGAATTACTTATTTCGCATAATACACAATATTCTCGAAAATATAATGCTTATGTCTAACTCGATTTTTAGAAGTACTTTTCCACTACAAAAAGTGAAACAGAGTTGAATACTTCATCTGCAATCAGAGTCGAATTAGGTGAATACCTTTACCGCTTTCACTTATCTGTAAACATCTGCAATTAGGCAAACTAGTTCTGCAAAATGTATGCTTCATCGAAGAAAAAGGCAAGAAATGGTATACTTATGGCAGTAGATTTATGGACACTTGAAGAGAATAAGATGATTGATAAATAATGATAATAGCAATATCATTTCACCACAGCCATAATCAAGATGATGATCTACTAATAAAAATGAGTATCTACGAACTAAAACCCATCATCAAGTACCAACTCTGCCAGTTGTCGCCAGAATTGTGTTGCCAAAAGTCTTTTCCTTTTTTTTCTGTTTTCATGGTCGGAAAAGAATCCCAATAGCGTTGATACTTGAGAGTGTTATCTGCTATATATGATGCATTCATCCCACTGTAATCCATATTCAGATAGTTTGAATCAGAAACCATTTCCTCAAAGAGAGCCTGGAAAACAGAAAACATAGTACCTGGGAAGATGTTTGTGAGAAAGGGTTTATTTAGTACCTTCTTTCAAGGAAAGTGTGTCCAAGTGAATCAAAACTCTGTCTGTGCACAAGCTACAAAATATCTTTGCTATTTTCGCCATCCTCCAAGCAAATTCAGTGTTGACTATATGTAGTCATTTCCTCACTGCTGACAGTAGGTACCTTTTCATATTCAGAAGTTCCCCTACATCGTTTTGGAAGAATGCAACGGCCACCAAACCTCTGCTGAGAGTAAACGATTGCAGCAAACAGCAAACCACCTATAGGGATGATAATGTTCCAAGATGTGGAGTAGAAATCCATTCTGTGGTTTGCATAGATATAAGACAAGTCGAGGTACCAGGAGGAACTATGAGCCCTGTAAAGGTCATATGCATGTGGCAACAAGCGGACAATAGTCGTTCCCATGCAAAAAGGCAAGGAAAGAGCATCTTCGCTCGAGTTCAGAAATAAGTTGAAAACTATCTGTGGGAGCAAAAACCCGTCAAGGATGAGCCCAGCATAAGACTTGAAATGATCCCAAGGATAATGCTGCTGCTGATAAAACCTGTGACGAGATCGAAGATATGAATTTGTGTAGGAATTCTTCCACTGGTGTGCATACCAAGCAAGAAACCCACCGGCTGCATAAAGTGGTAAGGAGAAATAAACAACCCTTCTCTCAGAAAGCCACAAGCTTTTCTGACGTTTAGCAGTCTGCCTAGAAGTCCAAGAAAGTTGGAGAAGGCGAAACTGGAGGAGGAACGCTACCATTGTAACCATCCTCACTACTATTTCATTCACCTCCAGCCACCCACCACTCCCGAGAAACACATTCTGTCTGCCCGAGGTTGATCCGAACATCGCCTCAAAGTTTAACAGCAATGGTATCATGTGGCCCAATGTCAGAACAACAAGCATAACAAAGGACAAGAAGGGCAGGACTTCAGGGTGCTTACTTACATGATAAAGTTGCAGCCCCACAAAGATACAAGCAAGAGTGTTAGTAACTAAGACGAGGAGAATCTCTATATCCATTCTCCAGATGGAGTCTGCGGCTTGTTTAATGTAGACTGAATGCGAAGATATCTGAAGTTTGCGAAAGTAAAGAGGATCTTCCTTGCCCCGCATACTTTCAATGCTTCCTTTGATATCAGCTCTAACATTTGAATTCAGAGGAGCAAATTGCATGGTGATAAGGATCTTACAATCAGTTGTCTCATTTCTAGTAGGGTGTTTAATATGAGATACCAAATGGCGGCAACCAATCATGCACAATACACCATTCTCTTTGTTATAAGTACCTTCAGCCGAGAAATCAACAGACCTATTAGACAAAATCTCATCTCCAAGCTCAAAATCAGAAGATGGTGTGAAGCTGATCTTGTAACTGAGATTCAGGCGACTGTTAGTTCCACTGTGCATTCGGTATGGCTCAAACAGCTGCTCACCCACAAAAAATGGTGATGCATCACCTTCGGCTTTCTCTCCCTTGCTGTTGGTCACTGACATATCAAATCTCATGTCGTAGGAATAAGGACTAGGGTACGTCCCTTTTCCTTTTGAGATTTTCTTTTCAGCACAAGATTTACCAACCAAGTCAAGCATAGTGTAGTCATATCTCAGCCCAGGCAGACCCGTTACTTTATTCTTAGTGCCATGAAAACCAATTGGGGGAAAGTAGCCTGCCTCACTAACACTCTTGCTGCTCGAAATTTGACCAACTACATTACTCCTATGTTGAATCGTCATCTTCTTGGGAAATCTCAAGTTCAATTGAATCGAGCAATCGCCAACAGAAGCATTATGCAATGAACGGTGAAACCCCAAGACTCGACATGCTATCACACATAGCTTATTCTCCTTTTCATCCCATGCTCCCTCACCGAGTAGCATATTATTCGGGTTGAAAACTCTACCATAACCAAAAGCTCGAGACCAATATTCAATAGAGTCAGGAAACCCAACTAAGACTCTCATACCACGGTTGGGTTCACATCTAATACCTTGAATAGTCATGAAACCAGGCAAACCCTGAGAATCAGCAGTAAGAGGATTGCATTTGCTGCCATTCGAGCTATCGCTACATTCGCTGCCATACTCCAGTTCAAAGCTCCTTGCATGCTGGTACAACTGAGATAAGCATACACTTTGATCCTTCAACTCAATAGGAAGATTCTCTTCCATTCCACCATTACTTCTCAAACAATTTCCCTTGCCTCCACTCATCAACGAATACTTATACTCGCCAAAGTGAGGAACAGCCAATATGGAAACAGGATCGAAGTAATCCAAACTCCCTCCAGGGCTAACACTCTCCAAAGAGCCAAGAATCAAACTACTAACGTTCCCTGGATCACTAACCGGGTACTTGAGCTTCAGAACAACACTTGAAGAAGGAGCAAAACTCACAGCGTGAGAGCTTCCGAGACTGGATCCAGATCCCACCATACACAATTCCCCTGTCTTCCTAGCCCAGAAGCCATGGAACTCGAACCCTACGGCCTTGGTCCTCACAGGAATTCTCGGCCCTCGGAAGCGAATCTCTCTCAAATTCCGGTTGTTGTGCCACATCGAGTAACCTCGGGGAGGGAGGTGGAACTTGAGACTCGCTTGGAGCTTGAGCACGTCGGGATTCTCAGTGACGAAGATAGTGCGGCGTTTCGGGTGGAAAGAGAGCGAGATTCCATCGGAGTCTATCGACGATTTACCTGGGAAGATTTGACTGCCGCCCGTGAAGTACGCAATGTCGAAGTGGAGGATCATGTCCTCGCCGCTATCCAAATTCATCGGCTTCGCGGTTTCGGGAGACTCCGGGACGGTTTTGTGGCAGTACTTGTTATAGTGCGAGAGGAAGGCCACAGCGGGCGTCTTTGCGTCGGCCAGGTGGAGGCAGGCGAAGGATGAAAGAAAGACGGCAATCCATCCGAGGAGCCGCATTGGGATTAGTCGAGGATTACATCGAGGAGAAATCGCCGCCGGCCGAAGATCACCTGTTCCGATCATCGGTGATGGGGACTATTTGCCTTTTGGTGCTTTAACACAGCGGCCAGTGGGAGAGGCAGAAGGGGAACTAGAAAGTGAAAGCAAAACAGTTTAGACCAACTAACTATACTACATGGGCTCAGCCCAACAAACTGATAGTAGGCCGATCCTAAACAAAAATACTGGCCCAGAAAATTTTTCTTTTCTTTTTCATCCTCAAATTCCTTCAAATCCAAACGATAGCATAAATCGTTCTCGGCGTCCGATAAAATTGGAACGATAATATAAATCAATTATTCCTTGTATTATCAAATCCTTATACGCTGCATAGTCCACAACTATCTCATTGTCCACACAATTACGAACAACTAGTCATTAAAAAATAAATTCTAAAAAAATGGACGCATACAACGGTATGTTATTCATTAATCGAACCAACGGTAAAACCGACAAGAGCATGTGGTTCTCTGTTCAGTGACCTCAAGTATCAGGACTTTATACAAATAAACCACTACAAGGGTCAAGGAACACTGATAATGAGAAGTAATCAATGAACAATCATAACATCAGTTGGCTCAAGTGATGTTAAAAGGCCATGATCCGATAATTGTTGGGAAATGAATGACAAATATTCTTTTATGAGTGAAAATTTTGAGTTCGCCAGATCTCTGCACATGAATCAATCAGCAATCATCAAATTGGGGTCATCTTCTCAAGAATCACATTGCTTGATAAACGTTGTTAAGGGTGGCATCTACTATATCTGAAGCCTTCGTCGTACCATCTTCCAATACTCGATCCAGATAACTCGGATCTGCAATTATTTCCTCGTAGCGAGCCTGGTTAAAGGCAAGAACCCGTCATGTTAGCTGTCTCAATCACATGTTATTATGTAAGGTGCTTAATTCTTCCAACACTGACTTCGTCGGGAGCTTGAACCTGATGTGATTGAATTGAACCATCCCGGCTAGTAGCATGAGTATTAGCAGCTTCAATTCATATATCCAGTGCAGGTGATGATAACACATCAAGGTAAACATGAACCACAGAGAATAGAAGTGGGGGCAAGTAAATTTATGCATTCCACATACCTCTCTTTCTCTGTTAAAACTCGCTTACAATCTCCTCAAGCAAGGAATCAACTTTCAGCAAATATATTTCATGAAGGATCTTCTCTAGGGTTAACTCTTTATTAACCTTGTGAGATAGTTTAAGACTCCCCGAAAGATCACTCATTCTATCCCTCTTCATGACCAGTGACAAGGCAACAAATATTTCTTCATAAGCTTTTGCCTTTTTGCCATCAAAGATGGATAATTTCCCACTCAACCAAAAGTACCTGATCCAAAAGTTGCATTTTTCACTTAACAAGGAATCGATAGAAATGAGATCAGAACAACTAGAGTGATCAGACCAACTTCCACCCTGATTTTCAAGGGTCAGGGGAAAAGGATAGTCCAGCGCTACTGATTCCACAATTTTGCATAGATGATACAATGCTTCTGATACGAAATCTGAGAGCTTCGAAGCATTGGAAGGCAAAAATGCAAGGTCGTAATACACCTCAGCCAGAAAAAGACTGCATTCAGGAGTTCTATCTTTCCCCCAATTTCTTGTCAGCCCTTCCAATTCAAGGAGTTTGGGCAATGCATCCTGGCACATAAGACCACTAGTTGAAACATGTTCGATAAGCAAGTGGGCCATATCATAAGCACCATAATTTCTTGATGTTCCTTTGACAAATGCTAAAACATCATTCAGTTCCTTATTAGGTGAACTAGCCCCGGCAGCGTGTGGAGCAGAACAAGTAACTGCATGCTCAGAACTTTCACCTGATGGTGTGCCAACTATAAAAGGATCTAGATACTGGAGTACAAAACTGACCAAATCCTTCCTGTCACCAACATCCATTTCTTCTTTCCCAGGTTTACGACTCCTAAGCCTTTCGAGGTGAGTACTCCTCTCACGAGGCTGTTCATCGAAACTATGTCTTTCTCTTTCCTTGATAGCACCAACTCTTTCAGAATTGCTACTGCTGAGAGGTTTGCATTGACTAGAACTACAAGGACAGTCAATCGGCCTTTTCGTTTCAGGACAGCTCATATCAATATCTAAATTGGATGGTGGTTGTATAATTAACCTCATATCCCCAGATTTGCGTTCATCAGATTTGACATCGGTCTCACGCGCACTGAGCGGATGCAAGATTTCCAGCAGAGCATCAACAAGAGCACCCAACGAAACTCCATGCAGCTTCAACTCAATGGTCTGGTTCAGCCGTTTATTAGCTCGACCTTCATCACAATTCTCCTCAGTTGCTTTCCTCTTGTCCAGGAACTTAAGGCGGATATGCTTTGGTTCCAGTTTATCAATACCTCTAGGTGCAAATGGAACTGCCTCCGACTCTTCAATAGTGCTTTTCACATGCAAAGCACGAGAATGAGAAGGCCAGTGCCTCAAAATCAACTCTGCTACAGCAAGGCAAGCGACCTCGTCACCAATTGCTATAAGAACTTCTAATAACTTCTCCATGCAATTCCCTGCATTGAAAAACGCAAGAGAAAAAATTTCGGTTTATCCTTACAAGAAACATTAGTCTATGAAGAAACCAGGAGGTATAGGAAGCATCATTCATGGGTTTGAACTACAAGAACTGACACTTTGAGTATGTGAAACAAGCAAGAGAAAATGCTTACAGTTATTAGGGCTGCATAGAAGGCCCTGCTCAAACGCCCATCGAGAAAGGCTGAGCAAACTCATCGAACACGATAAAGTTCCCAACTGATTCCAGACAACAGAATCTTTGGTGTCAATCTCAACAGCTTGAAGGTAACACTGAAGAGCATTCTCATAATGAGCTGATCCTTGCTGAAGGAAAACATTGGCGAGATTCTTTAGCGCCAAATATCTGCCAGTGAGCAGGTAGGCATAAATAAACTAGTTTGCAATCACAAACAGCAGGAAACACCATAACAATAAACCCCAGCCCGTGGTACTAGAACCGTAAGCTAACTAGTGGCAGGGTCAGCAGGGGGGGGGGGGGGGGGGGGGGGGGGGGGGGGGGGGGAAATATAAAAGGCAGAAACAGGTGGTGTGGGGTGAAGGAGGAAAAACCTGAGCTGCTGCATATGAGTGTCGCTTGCATTACCATCCACCTGAAGGGAAAAGGATGAAATGAGAGTTTTTACTTAAATGGGCTAAGCAAACAACACTTCGAGCAAAGGAGAGGAGCACAATGATGGTGCTACCTCATGGGCATTGGAGATGAAAGGGTCTCTCAAAACATATTCCAGCAGATGGCGAGCCTTGTCATATCGCTTAGCTTGCAATTCGAGGAGACCATCGTGGTAAGTCTGTGTAAGATGAGATTCCTGCAGGCAAACAGGTGGTAAGAATGTGAATTCATCGTCCAGAGGCAAAAAGGAGCACAGGGAATGGAGGACGGGAAGAAGTGCCTGAGCTTCTTGCGTGGGAGCTAAGGGCTCCGATTGGTGCGTGGAGTCAGTATCGTTAATTGCCGCGATCGAGAACTGAGACCGCCATGGAAGAGGAGAAAAAGGGAAGTGTAAGCGAGCTGAAACTAGAATCACAAGCCCAAAGACATGCAGAATTCAATTTTCGCAATCAAAACAATAACACTAGCCCTAGGCATTCATTGTTTTCTATGTGTGCGCTGATCAGGATTCCTGTTAGAACGCTTTACCATCGTTGTTTCTGAATTTCGGTTATGAGAGGTAGATGGGTACACAACACTGTATTGTTAACTGCTTCTGCTGCTCCCTTCTTCTTCTTCTTCTTCTTCTTCAACCTGGGGTGGTGCGGCTAGTTTGCTTGCTTCGTTTTCTACCGCCGTAGGAGTCGCCGTTGCTTTTCCGGCAGACTTGGTCGCGCTTCCGTTTCTCTCTCGCTTCCCTCCGGCTTCCTTTTCCTACTTCTCCATTTTTTTCTTTCTTTTTACTTACGGATCAGTTAACAACAATAATGGGCCGGGCATGCAGGGTTTGGATTGACTGGGTAATGGGCCCATGGGCCGAACAACTCTAATTACATTATTTTTCTTGAATGGGCTAAACTTGGCCATTAATGTCGTTTCCGGAGAACACTTGTTGATTTGAATAAAACAGATACTGGAGAATTGTTACTAGTTATCTGCGATTTCATTTTCCGGTTTGCCAAAAAGAAAACAAAGTTCTATTGACAAGGGGAGTCACATCGTAGATGATAAGCTGAGCAAAGATGAAGAACACTCACCGCCATCATCGTATATGTCTGAGAAACCTGTGATGGCTCCGAGCTTTCTTACCAACTAAGTCTAACTCTTTCTTCTAGTAGACGAATAGACTCACACCCAAGGGCTGCAAATGAGGTAGATCTTTCTCTTCTTGATCCTACTGAGCAAGGCTGAGAAAGAAAGAGCAACACCTCGTCGGTCAAGAGTTACGAACATTAAACATTGCTACTACATGCTCACCACCTACTCTCACCTCGATCTCACTGTCCACCCTCATCTTCAAGAAAGATTAGCCAATCTGACGGGCAAAGAGAATCGATCCGTTTCAACCTACGGTTGCCTCATCGTGAGGAAAACCAAAATGAGAGGGAAGGGTTGTAAATGAGAGAACGGATGCAGGTAAAAGCATGCTGGTGACCTGAGTCTCAAATCCAAGTCCCATAGCTTTCAAGACTACTGCATTGGCAAAATCGAAGTGTTGCATAGCTAACTTTTATTCATTCTGAATGTTAACTACCAATCTTAGTTACACAGAATCCAGAAAAACAGTACTTTCTTCCTCCAAACAGAAACAAAATGGCCACAAAACCAAACAGATTTTTGACTTCCACTCACCCTGTTACTCATGCTCTCTCATACATCATTTGCTACGACACAATAGTCACAACTGAACAGTACATTGGAAAAGTCTCCCACTGATTGCTAACTACAAAGTCACGAACTACTACTAATACTGCTACTCCCATCATATGTACAACCGAACCGATACATAAATCACCCGCCACCAAATAATAAACGGGCTCCGTCAACTGTGAATTAACATCTCAGACAAAATATACCGAAAAACGGAATCCAGAATCCTTCGCTCGACCCCAAAAAATCGGGGTGAACAAAGGAGACTTAAACATTAAGGATTTCTCTGTTAGCTCATCTTTTACGACTTTTTTCAATTGTCCTTTTTAGTTCCCCCTTCCTTTTCTCCTTCCTATCCCTGTTCCTAGTATCCTGTGTAGACCCAAAAGGAAAGAGGTAAAAAACACAAAGAAAGAAAGGGAGGGAAGGAGTCACTGTTCCTGGTATCTAACTATTTAGCATTTTTTATGTATTCTGTAAATTACGACCGGAGTGGAATCATGATTCATGACTGCCAGAATAGCTCAAAATCATTACTGTACAGTGAACGGTCTTGAATCTCGAGATTCGCCACGTGCCAATTCACGAGCTGGGACTGCACCATTTTACACAGAACCAGCGCTGCGGGGAATATCCACCATTCGCTCTCATCCCTACACCCACAACACAAAATCACCACTCATGAAGATAAAAAGACGCCATCACAAATAGCATTCTATAAATGCTGCGCACAATACAAATGCATAACAGAAAGGCTACGAAACGGGAAGTGCTTCATTACTGTACTACCAAAATGATTCTTACAAACCAGAAATCTTCGACTAGGAATCCAGATCCAAGTTGGATTACGGATCCTAGCATGAGGATTATGAAGCATTTTTTACATAAAGATAAGGAATTTCAAACGGGATTTTAAGCCATTTTCTTAGCTGGATAAGGAATAACTGATAGGTAATAGCATCCCTCGTCCTATTTTAGGATAGGCATAACTAATTGGATTGGGATTAGGAATAAATAAAATTATATACTTACATGCTGATATTCCATGCCTCGAACGGGAACTTCTTGCTTGATGATGTCTGACTGTTGTAGTGGATGTACCCGCACACAAATGCAACAACCTGCGCCAAAAAGGAAAAAGGAACCCAAATTATTCAACGAACCCACTTCAAGAACAGCAGAGAAAGCCACAAAAAAAAAAAAAAAACGATGTGCGGTTAACTTACAACATTCATCAACGAGGTAATGTTCCACAAAGCATAGATACGAGCAAGGCCTGCAGACCGTCTAGGTCCATGACTGAATAGAGCATTAATCCCAGCAGGAAATGGAAGAATGATACCCAGAGGTAGGATGAATAAAACCAGGAAAACATCCCCAAGTGAGATCGAATATAACTGGAGCAAAGTCAGCAACACTAAGCTAAAATCTCCTAGAAGTAGCATTGAGATTACCAAACCAACAAGATCCTGCCAACGAACAAATAATCTAGGCATCAGAAAAGCACGAGAAAGAAAAATATCAGGGAGAGGAAGAGCAGAAGGTACGCTTTCATACCTGGTGACCAATTGGTTTGGTGTTAAAAACTATGAAAGAGAGAAGGTAAAATATATCTCTCTTCTCTTCAAGTGTTTTCAAACTGTCAACGTCAATTACACCCCCGTGGCTCTTCCTTTGCCTCGCATTACTCTCACTGCTTCTATTGGGTCGGGTAAAGAGAGTCTGTGCATATTCTCCATCTGTCTTCTTCATGCTGTTGACAAAAAGAGACCAGACTCTCAAACAAAAAGAAGCATTTGCAAGATAAACTGTGTACGCCTAAAGAGTGCTTCCATACGTCAAAACTGGTTTGCATTTAGGCCCAAACATAAATTCGTCAGCACCAAATTCTTCCACAAAACTTAGAACAAAATATGGCACTGTGTGCAGCAATGTGCCACTAAGTATGTGTTATCCGACAATCGTGATTCAACTTCAAGCACAATCATCATTTATAACGTTTGTAACTAAGTGGCATGAATAAGCTTCATATGCCAGCCATGAGGCAAACAAATGGTTTTCCCTATATGGGCTCTCATCATGAAATGTCATTGGAACTAGACCTTTAACTGCAGAGAATAATGAGGAAGTCAAATGAAACAATGTGAGGACGACAAACAAGTCAAATAGGGAGCAACTGCTACACAGAATAGGCAGCACACAAGTGAATAGAAGAACATAACACCAAAGGTTCCATAAAGCTATACCGTGATTGCTGTGCGATTTGCTTTGCATCTTCCAGAGTCTCGCTGGATGCATGCTGGTTTTCTTCATCAGAAGCATAAACCAAAAGTCCGTACTGGCAATAACTACAAGATGTTGCCTGAAACCTGACAATGTCGACTTGTACTTGATGCACCTTCAGAGCAGGATTGGCATGTGTTTCAAGCCATTTGACCAATGGTTTGAAGGTTAACCTCAGATGCCCCCGACTAACTAATCGAAGTTGTGCATTCAGACCAGCCACCATCCGGTACCAAGTAGTGGGCGGGACCAGCTGCAACCCAGAAAAAAAAAATGCTTGATTTACCCAGTCGTCCTTCTGAATCTGAACAGTCTAAATATCAATAACCTACTTTTCAAGTCAAGTTAGATAGCTTACCTGACTCATGAGGCTGGTGAGAATATTGTCACTTTGAACACAGAAGGGAGTCATATAGCTCCCATCACCTCCAAAAATTATAGTCATTGGAAATCTTTGATAGAGACTAGGAGGAAGGTCACCTCTCTTCTCATCTCCACCAAGGAAGAAGTCAACATATGCGAGCATTAGATCAGAAGTTGCAGCCACCTGAACAAATGGAAACAGCCAATCAAGAGCAAACAATATGATCTATTCTGAAAAGAATAAAAACTGAACACTCAAACCAAGAGCACAAGTGTTGCCAACATCCGAAATGGTTGTGCAAGTTATTAAAAAAAAAAAGATCTGCCCCCTTGAAATAACATTTGCGGTTTTCAATCAGTGAATGTACTTTGTTTCCAGAACCCAACTTCATTCTTTTTCTTTACTTCCACTGAAACTTAAGAAATACTTGCTACCATTTCAGAATTATCAGAAACAAACACACCCAACATCTTTCCTTTTAAATACACACAATATTCTCTTTTCGAGAACACAAGTGGCAGAGTTGGAGACTTGTCATAAATGCATGTCAGCAATCTAAATGAAGATAGTTTTTGTATTGCTTCTAGCTGTCACATAACAAGAGCAAGGAACTCTATCACTAATGACCGTTACATCATGTTGGTCAGCACAGCCTATCCCCAAGAGCAATACTGGATTACTTCAAATGAGAGGAAAATGAAACGAATAACCACAACACGTAAATGCCCAGACCTTAATCCCTTCGTAGAGAGCCCTAGAGCGGCAAGAACGTAGGCAAGCATGGTCATACTCTGATCGAACAAACTCCCGTAGTCTCTGCAATTTGACCCTTCGTCGCCATTGCTGCCATGACCATGCCAAGGGATATGTCGTTACAGAAAGAAGACTGTGGATTGCACCTTCCCACCATTGATACGTAGCTATAGCATTAATCTCATCAACAAATGTATTAAAAGCTCCTTCATATCTGCAAGGTTATAAGAATAAGAGAGGAACAGTGATAATAATATGAGAAGTCCTTTAAGCAGATCAAAGGCAGCAAAGAACTTAATAATCATACTGTGAAGACAATATCTTACACAATCTCTTTTATTTGCTCAGGGGGCGAATGCGGCAGATGCCAAGGCTCACTGAAAGAATTAGAACCCAGAAAATACATTCTGTGCACATGGCTCTGGGACTCCTCAGCTCTATTTGTTTCCAACACCTGGAGAAAGGGAATGCAAGTCATTAGCCTACAAGCAGAAAATCAAAAGCTTAACCTGGCCCTAAAATGGAACAGGAGTAACAGCAGCAAATTGAACTTCAAGGCAGCCCAGTGACAACTTCAATCAGAGTGTACCAGACATGTTGAAGGGACGGGAACCAACCTCGTTCAATGATTCCAAGAATGGGAATGAGTGATCAATCTGAGAACCGTGCTGGGTGGGAGCTGGGCCAGATAGTTCATCACCACCCACAAATTTCATCCTGGCGACACTTAGTACCAATGCCAAAAGAATGAGCAGACCCAGAAGAAGAAGTCCAAACAACCATGGTCCACCAAATGTGTAAATCAACTCTTCAAGGGCTGTATAACAGTTCGGCATGTGGAATCTATCGGAAATACATCTGTAGGGACACGGTGTTTCAGCAATACCACCTGTTCACATAGACAATCATTTAACGTTAGTGACTCTGGTGGTGTGGGGCAACAGATCAAAGGTCTATCACTAACTAGATCATTGGCCTACTCAAATTAACATTTCAAACTTTATGGGTGAGGGTGATTCAGTAACAGCCTCCTCCACCAATACTGTAACCTTAATTTCCATAAGCACTTCATTCTACAACTGATTCAAAGCTCAATAAGAATGTAGAACTTTAAGACTGATTTCAGCATGTCCTTTTGTCTCTTGCAACCCACAGTCTAATCACAAGCTCGAAAGGAAATCAGCAAAACTAACGACCGGTATTTTTCATTAAGGAAAAATTACCTCTAACAGAAATGTATAGAGCACGACTAGGAAGCTCATCAGCTGGGCAGGGTCGGCAAAGAGTCTGATCAGATCCAGTAACATTCTTGTAAGTTCCAGCTGGACATTCCTGCAAAAGTTAAGAACAGAGAATGAAAAAACATAAAACTTATTTACCAAGTAATTATCAGAAAACACTGAGTTTAGAAAATTAACTGCACACATCAAATTGTCATTTTATCAGGACTCACTTTGTGTAGAATGATCCCAGCATTTATCCGGTCAAATGAAATCGACCACACATTTATCATATCACTGTTCATTATTGGAACTTTCATGGGTACAAATTACCCAAAACCATTGCATCCAAATATACCAAGAGGTCAGGGAAACAATCTCTTTCCAGCTTCATAGCTTAGGAGCTGAAGCGTCCATTTCCAAGACTTGCAACAGTTCCCCAACCATTACAGGAACATACAAACCACTACCAGAAACCTCATGAAAATTTTACCAGCCCTACCAACCAATACTCCTAGATGAGAGTAACATAGGCAGTGTTGATTCCAGTGTTCAGATTAAAAGATTAGGAATCACAAGAAAACCATCGTCAAAGAACCTTGTGAAAAAAACCAAGAAATCGTTATGATACCTTGCAAAATACTCCATATAGTCCTTTCGGGCAGGCTTTTCCAGTTACTGTTCCGTTTTCGCCAGAACCACCTCCGTCCTTCCCCAACCCGGCCCTGAAATAATAGTTACAATGATAATTAACACAATTGATGCCCATATAAGAGACAAAGTTTTCACTTTTACAATCATCTTGCTACTATAGGTTCATGTAACCAGACAACAATGGAAAAGTAAGCAGCGAATTTTGCAGCATCAGTTGGCACCAATAGAAACAGGGCAGTGCTACAATTTACAATGAGCCAATGACTTTTCCAAACCAGAGAACCCAAACTAGGGACAGAAATTGAACATTCAATAATGTACATATACTATCTGCAGTCTGCTCTATATCACACTGGGAATCCAGGGTAGCCAGAAAACAAAGAATTTGTTATCATCGATTTGGTACAAACCTAGAGTAGATGCTTCCCTTCACACTGGCAATCGGCTGGTAAACATCGCCAGCTGGAATGTCCGCCCAATGAAAGTGAATCCTCCCCCCACCTCCTCCGCCACCCCCCTGAGGACTACCATAGCCACCAGAACTTGAAAGAAAAGCAGCCTCACCAAGTTCTATCGTCCTCAAGAACATAAGGATGGTTCCCCCAGAACCACCCCCAGGACCCCCGACACTATCATTCATAGAAGCAAGCATCCCATTTTGAACAGTTTGCTGAAAACTTTCTCCATCAGCTCTTACTGATCCTTCAACAGACAAACTTGACAATGGATGCTCCAGAGAACCCATCACTGCTCAAGCAGGTTGAAAATATCGACACAATTCAATGATCAATCAACTGATCAGAGAGATACTTGAATCCTCAAAGTGAATAAACTAAACTAGCTTGGTACCCGGCCTGTTGGCCGGGAAGTCTTATTTTATTATGTGATTACGTTTTCTTAAGATGAAAATTTTATGCATACATATAGTATAATCATGTTTTCGCGAACATGCAACATATATAATGAGATACTTAATTAAAATATTTAAATTATTTTTGTATATATTGTTTTTATAAATGCTGTAATTTTTCACATGAGACCCTTATGTAAAATTTTGATGACTTCACTTAATATAAAATACAAAGACTAATTACATAATTAACCACTTGATGCTGTAAAAATAATTTTCTATTTATTGATATAAGCGATACATGTTCCTAACTCAAGATATTCAGTCTTAATCTACATATACCCATTCTTTGCTAAGTATATAACATGTCTATGCTAAAATTTTGGGATGTTTAAAATACTCGGCTCATGATGGTTTGTTTTTCTAATCTTGATTTGACCTTCACTTATGGGTTAGATATTTCTAGTGCTGGGTTAGTATCTTTATAAAAATCCCACTAAAGGTAATTTATTGGCCAAAATATTCAAGTGATTATTTTATATGATATATAAATGTGTGTTTAATTATTATCAAGATATTCAAATGATTTGTACATACACATAAAATATAGGATACTTGGTAGAAATTATATAATACTTTTTTTTGTGAGAAGTTAATAATACTTCTAAACGTTAAAGAGGTCAAATATGGTGAAGATAAGTATGAAAATAGGAGTGACGTTAAAAATTCCATATATTCCTAATATAATATATGAACGAAGAAAAAATGAGAAAGAAAACACTTAAAACGGAGAACAGCAAAGAAATTTTATAAAAAAAAACAGTAAAGAAAAATAGATAATGATCAAAATTAAGTGGAAGTTACAAATGATCAGCCGAAAAAAATATTAAAAAAAAAGAGGATTTCCGAAACTCACGGAAAAGCCTGCAAGGCTTACGTGGACAGGGTCTATTTCTAAAACCCCTTTAATATATTTTAAGATCATGTCAAAATCCAAAATGAAGTGTTGCAAACTCAGCAGGCTTGATGTATCAACAGAAGCTAACATAAAATATTCACGATGCACTCACACCACATTTAACTTAGTGATTTTATATCTCTAGATGTCAATTCACAGAAAACTATGAGCATGTCTGACAGAAAATATGGAGTTGTGGATACATAGTACTCCGAAATGTGCTCTTAGTTTGATATGACGAAAGCTAATTGGTCCATAATGGGAAATTACGTCAAGAATAGGCTTACCTATAATTCCACCCCCTGCTGTTGTACCAGTTAAGTTTCCATGTCCACTTCCACTACCAAGTTCGCAAGGCAAGTATTGGTCTCCGTACGAAATGCCACCATCAATGCAACTATCGTTGTAACATCCTAGCCCACCTTTGCCACCATGGCCACCACCACTGCCGACTCCGTTGCTCAAGAAACTACCTCTTCCGACACCACCCGTGCAACCTGTATCAGCATGATACACTTAATTACCAAACAAATCAACAAAATAGCTATACATATCTCATGTGTACATCAACACATCAACAATTAGGTTCAGTATGCTTGTCAATAGCATGTGCAGCTAATGATATTCTTTTCCTCTCAAATTGTAAACATGGCTGAAAAGAGGAACCAACCTGTCCCAGTCGCACTAATTGTTCCAGAAGGTTGAACTGTTACAGTTCTTGCGCGATGGAAATGTACTACAGATCCTTCTACAAGTCCCTCAAGAGTAATATCCTCAACTCGGCAGATCTACATCAACTCAGGATATAAATTAGCTTAAGATAAATGGAATTCAAATATCACAAAGTTCTTCCGGTACTAGTGATCACCTGGAGAGTAAATGAGAGCGATGAGTTCACATTGCAATCTTCAGGAGGATGAACCAGTTCAACAGGGCAATCTTCAAGTTCACAGTGGAGTTGTGGAGTACTGGACCGTAAAAAATACCTGTATGAGCAGATGAAAAGGAAAAGACAAATAGACAGAATTGAAGAGGGGGGGGAATTAAAGTGCAACAATTACATGGCATCACTTGTTGCATTTTCCAGAGGGCCACGCAAAGTAGATCCAGGACCAACCTGTACAAATTAATGCAGAAATTGTTACAAAAAGCAACCAGCGCAAGAACTTAACCTCTGCACACAAATTATAAGAGCCTTGACTGCAGTGCCCAGTTCACTCATGACACAGCAATCAACAACTTTTCTAGTTGAAGTGTGCAAAATGAGCAAGCCAGTAAATTAGTTGGTATAGTGGAGTTAGCTTACAAGATAATGCGTCGTTAAACTGATTTCAAGTGATCTTAAATGGACACAATAATATGATGTGCAGAACAAAAGATTTTTCAACTTCTAATGACAATATAATTGAAATCCAGTAATCAAGATATTCATATCCTGAGCTTGATTTATAAACTAAGATTACTTTAGTACTTTTTTTTTCTTGGAATGGATTATCAAGCAAATCCCTGTTCCTATAGAGAGGCAACCCTTCAAACCCCTATTTTTTTAGTTAAAATGGGGAGCAGCCAAAGGATTCCACTGTTAAGCAAGTTATGATTCCTTCTAATAAGATATCATGAGTTCGGAAAAACAAAAGGAACTGACAACGCATGACAGTGCTTGACAACGTATATTGCCCCAAAAAATTGAGTATCAATACTAACACGCAGTTCAAATAGAAATGAAGCACACTTCTATATAGTCGCTTCTATCAATGTTGTGAAACCAACCAAACCACCTTGACAAACTGCAGTGAGATTTATCATGACAACGTCCACGAGATACAATCACCAGTTACCAAAGAAGAATCTTACATGAACACGGTAAAACAGTGATAGGACAAGACGTTGGGCATCGATCCTGTCACCTGGTCCAGATAGATTCAACAAACCTTGTCCATGAACACCCAAATTTGCGTTGGACTGTATAACCGATGACTCCTGTTTGACAAGATGGCACATCAGACATGACCACATAAAGTAACAACTTGAACAGTTAATGGAAGGAGTGAGAAAAATACCCTAAGAACAACTAGATTACTGGCTTCAAGCAAAGAAGTTGCAACAGCAGCATCTTCACCTCCATCGATGAGCATTTGGGAATTCCACATTAAAAACATTTTAACAGTCATGCGTAGAGCCCCATACACCTGGATATCAAATAGGAAATGCACATGTAAAAATCACACCAGAGAAGTAAAACAACAGTATTTCATCATCATTCAGTGACAGCAAAAAATAAGATACAGTTGGAATCAGAATAAACTTACCACAGGGATTGCTGCTGTAACTTACAGAGGGCAATGCAAAAGAATGACCAACCTCTCAATCTTAGCAAAGTACAATCTACCACTTGCAAACAAGCATATACGGAAATAAACTTACCAACAATAAGATTTTAGACCAATGCATACATATTTAGTCATCCAGCTAGTTGCTGATATGTACATGCAGAAAAGAATCATAATGTTCATGTTTCATCAGAATGCAGAAGATGAAGCAATGCGTATTGCATGAATCACACCAGAGTGACCTCTTAGGAAAACAATACAACTAGTGCAAAGGCAAAATTGATGGAAAATCTAATCCTGGACACAACATTTAAAACCTGATCAGACCCTGAACCAAAAACGTTGGAGATAATTTTGTCACTCACCTTCATCACTGAGTCACTCATCAATAGTTCTTCAGCCAATAGTTCGAATTCAGAAGTAGCATAATGAGCTAGCCCAAAGCTCAGAAGTCCACCAGACAATAGACTTATTTGTCCTTGGACCTATGTGTTGTTAAGAATCATCCCAACTTGTTAGCATATGAAGAAGTTTCCTAGACAGGGATTAAAATCTAACCACAACAATTTGAATAAATAAATATAGATGCAATCACATACTGAACTACAGATATTCATTCCCCTAATAGTCTTGCAATAAATAAAAGCTTCATCAAGTTAACAGATAGCTTGGAGTGCATAACAAAAGATAACAAACGATCATGAAAAACACAATGCCATCTGATCGAGCTGAGAATGATCACATACTTAAATTGTCAATACGATGTGAAAATGAAGGTCAGATACAGTGTGAAGTCTGCTAGCTTTTCCATTATTTATAATGATGGCATGATATATGTCTGGTGTAGTACATAGTTGTTTTGCTACTGCATCACTCTAGTACCCATCTAAAAAGACTATCCATTTCATAGGGCAAAATATAAAAGCAATCAGTGATCAAAATTTCCCTCGTCAAATTTGTTATCACTGCAATAACTCGACCGTCAGAGAATAAGTTGCAACTAATAAAAAGGAGACATTGTTGAACATCCAAATTCCAAACCCATTATATGGGACTCAAAATAGGCATCCTCCAATTATATATATATAATATAAGCACCCCATTTCTAATGTCTACCACATATCTTGCACATCAATCAAAAATCACTGTCTTATTAATGCACAAACTCACTCCTAGACAGAAAAGGACAAGAAACAAGAAGCAGCAGAGATGACAATAAAGGGCAGATATAGAGATTTCCAAGCAATAATTAAGAGTTCAGAAACCTGAACACGACTCCAGAGCAAGGGAACGGTAGCGCGTGCACGATTTCGAACATAGACGTTGGTCCAAAGGGGTTGATTAGGAAACTCCAAAAGAAGAGTGTCGGTGTTTGTTGAAAGATTGTCATTACTAACTATAAGGCTCCTTGGAACAGCATCATATAGCGTCCCAGCAGCACCAGCGTTTTCTGGACAGCCACGACTATTTCCTCCTGCATGGTGGAAGAATCCATGCATGTTCATTAATTTCTATCATGGAGAAACACGGTGCACAACAAAGTTGTTTTAAAAGCTTTTAAAATTTAAAATAAGAGGCAAGTAATTGTGGGGCTGAAATAAAACAAACTAAATGTACCTAGCAACACAAAAAAAGAAAGGACGAGAATAAGTCATTCAGAATTTTGAAGTCAGAAAAGAACATATGGAGGATAAGGGAAGAACAATTTAAGCAGAAAGAAAGAGACATTGGCAACATAAAACGATAATCCTTAAAATCTGAAAGTGAATTGGTGCCTTGGTGGGGTATTTAATTCTCCCATACAATTTAGTGAATGTGAAGAGCTATAAACGTCGGAATACCAAGTTGGGGTCGTTGACGTATTTACACTACATACGCAGCACCTCACATTCCAGTTGTAAATATACAAATGAAACGAGGGAAATCTGTCTATCAACAAATATTCACCCCTTCACCATTATAAATTATAAAATAAAATAAAAACAAATGTTCACCCCCACCCCAAAAAAATATTCAATAGCTGAAAGCAGGATTTATGACCTTCTTCATCATTAAAACAAAAAATATATACATACATAGGAAACAACACAACAAAACTCACCATGCACAAAAATTCGAGGATCATCATGCCTGCTGAAAATGTCCACAGCAATTCTCCCTCCACCACCACCAGCAAAACCGCTGCCCCCACAAGCACTTATCCGGCCACTTCCTGTCCTGCACAGCACACGAGAAACATAGGATGCAAGGACCTTAGAATAATCAACAAATCCCTATGTCAAAAGTCACAACACATTGCAAGTTGAGATGTATCCATACCAGCTCTACCCAGTTCGATAACTATGAAAGCAAGATTGCTAAGGTCTAAGAACCAGGAGGTCGAAAGACAACTACGTATGCATGCAAAGACACAAGGGAAATTCATGCAGGTTGATCCCCGCTTAGTTGCCAAGTTTATCGTGCTGAATGAACTCAGTTGCATAATCTTCCTAGCCATCACAAGTTACTAAACACTAGCGAGACTAAAGAATCTAATATAACCTTGTAGATTGCACCAAATACCAACAGGACGAGCACAAAGCTGTTTGGAGTAAACAGCATGCACTACCATTCAGGGGAAGACAGATAGTACATATATCACGGAATTAGCCTTTCTTTAACTAGTCTATTCCTAGTCACAATACTTAATCCGACTCTTGAACATGCATTCCTAGTTCCTAGTTCAAACAAATGGGCTTGAATTCAAGACAATACAAAGCATGCCGCTGCTTAACCACGGTCGCACATCTGCATTCGGTTACCAAACCAGTAATTAATCTCTTAACTCCCAGAATGAAATAATAGGAAACATCCATAATATAATAATTATAACTGATAGCAGTAATTAAGATTGGGAAAAGAGGGAAGATTTTAGTATTTACATCTTATACGCCTTGAGGTAAATGCTGCCACCAGAGCCGCCGCCTCCTTTGGAACCTCCGTCGCCTCCATCAGCCAAAATAAGCCCATCAACCACTATATATTCATCAATGAACATCCTCACGATTCCACCACCACCCCCACCAAAATCCTCCTCATTACTGGTACTCCCACCTTTGCTGCCGTAACTCGCAGGATCCTGCAAGTTCTCCCAAGAGTAAGCGTCCCCACCCCAGACATCTTCGGGGAGCTTAGTGGTGTCGACCAAGCAAGCCGCTCCCCGCCCCCCATGGCCCCCGCCAGCGCCATCCACACCCTGCGGGGTGCCACTGGTCTGCGGGGGCGGATCCCCAGCGAATCCAGTAGTATTGACGAAGGTGCCATTGAGGAACGAGGCGTTGGAAGCGAAGAGGTTGAAGGCGCCGGTGACGATGGAGGAATTGGGAGCTAGAGTGAGGTTGCCGGAGATGTTGAGCGTGAGTGAGCACCCAGGTGTGAGGCAGCTGAAAGCAACGCCCGGGTGGATGTAGAAATTTCCCCGGCCCTGGATGTAAACCTCGCCGGTGAGGTTCACATCGGAGACTATCTGGCATGTGGTGTCCAAGGAGCCGAGGCCATGCAGGTCGTCGGTGCAGGAGAGGGAGGGAGGGTGGGGAGGCGGAGGGGGAGGGGAAGGCGGTGAGTAGTCTTGGTGGAATAGGGAGAGGTAGGCTGCTGATTCATCGGAATCGGAAGAAGGAGAAGCAGAAGAACCCGCGACGGCGACAGCAAGGAGGGCGAAGAGGAGGAGAGAGGGGAGGAACGGAGCCATTCGGTTGGTGGAGGTGGAGTCATCTAGAAGGGGAGTGTGGATTGGGGAAGAAGCAAGCAGCAGCGAATCAGCAACAACGCCACCATTAAAGCTGTCCAAGGCCGAAATCGAAGACGAAGCAGGTGGTGGTGACGGCGAAGCAATGGATTGGGAAATGGTAAATTTGGGGATTCGGAAGAACCCTAGAAATTAGATTCAGAGCTACGCCCTCTCTCCCTCTACCTCTCTCTATTTCCTTTCAGCTCGTTCCCTGCGCTTTGCCTCTCTGTCTACCTATCTCTCTGCGCTCTCTCTCTCTCTCTCTCTCTTTCTGTGAGAAGATGGAATGGGAAAGCAAACAAAGGGTATTGGAGCAAAAGTTTCTTTGCTGTGGAGAAGGGAAGGAGAGGGAGAAAGGGTGGGAACAGAAAACAGAAATGAAATTCCCAAAAAATTGTCAGAATTAAAAAAAAAATGGTTTATTAACTACTTTCTTTTTCTCCTTTATTTTCCTTTTTTTTATTGTTGCTTGGGTGAGTCGGGTCGGGGGAGCGGTAGTTTTCTATCTCTAGTCCACTTTTTGACAAATTGCTCGTACGGGGTGACGTGTGGCGGTGGATGGTGACGACGGCGCCGGCCGGAGTTGGGTGGTTTTGCAAAGCTGCAGCCGGGTTCTGGTGAACTTTTTTTCTCTTTTACAATTGGTCTAAATTGATATTGAACGAACAAAGATCGAATTTGATGTATGTGTCATCAAAGTCTTGAGGCTTAAATGTTTGTTATCAACCATTCTCAGTATCATTTAGGTCATAGTGATATTTTGTCATAAATTCTCGATATCAGTACAAGTACCAAAAGAGTTTGATGGTTTAGTCTTTGAGACATGCTACTTGCTAACCACGAAACGCATCTTAGGAAAGCACCAGAGTTCTATATAAAAATTAATTGTAATTTCCAATCTTTATATCCAAGGTGTCATTGTTGAGGGTGACCCATAAGTAGTGGTATGCCAACATGATCATATGGTTTGGACTCTGATGTCGTAGGCGACCCTGTTCATTGATATTGGCTTTAAGGTGTGCCAAATATGAATGTAGTATTATACGTTAGTATGATTCTTATGATTGATAACCGAGTTGCACATAAATGTAGCACACATAATCCTTACTTATGGTCAAGTGTATGACGATAAGGCGGATACTTTCTTTTGTTCCTTACCGATTCAGGCAGAAGCATATGCTATTATTGGTGTGGTTTCAATGGCAGCGCAGGAGTTGACTCCGAACCTTATCAAGACTGACTGTCAAAGATTAACAATTGCTCTTAAACAACACCCTTCTCTTTGGCCTTGGCACTATTGGGCATTACTGGCGCGGATCATTTGTTGTCTCCATGCTCCTCCTTGGACTATGGTTGTGTTCGTGTATAGGCGTCTCAACCTATTGGCTGCCAGGTTGCATCGCGGTTGGGTTGCCTCCTAGATGAATGAATTGTTGTGGCTTATCTTTTGTCTCCTTTGATTTAATGCTTAGATTCACTAATCCAATCAACAAATACAACTATACAAGAAATTATTTCATCCAATGTATGCATTAATACATGAATTTAATCCATTCGTCACCTATAACCCATACAAAGGAGGAAACCAACAATAAGAATTTAAACAAAACACCAACATCAATAAATGTTAAAAACTTCAACTACATATGTGCAGTTGTCCGGTTCAATACGAGCCAAGTCAGAAAGTGATAACAACTATATAATAGTAAAAACAATATCGGGATTAAGAAACAAACTATCATTACTTTCAATCCAATTTGATCCGACAAATGCCAAACTATAATTTCTTCGGTATTTACAAATTTTACGAAACAAAAAATCTAATAACTTTACTTTTTAACCAATATGATCCAATTCAAATGTTAGTTTGATCTGATACCAACTATTGCACACCCCCACAGCCAAAAACACCACATGAATGGAAAAGTATGTCCGTTTACGAGTGTTTTTTTAGCGAACCAAACACTCACAACAAGGTCACGAATAGAGAAAGAGACAGGGTGAGAAGAATGAAAATGTGAGTGTTGAAAAGGCAAGAAAGAAAAACCTCCAAACCCGAAAACCAAACGAACGGAGAAAAGAAACAAACCCAAACGGAAGTACCGACGGGGAACGGAGGAGCCTTTTCCCGGCTCCGTTCCTTCTAGATTCACCTGAAAAATATATCATTATCATCTCATTGACAAAAACATTTGAAAAGAATTCGACTATCAAGCAGCCGCACCATCATCATCATATCCATTGCTTCGCAAGATCTGAACTCCAAGGTGCCCCCTCGCTCCCTAGATCTAATGTCCCCTTCTGGGTTTTATATAATTCAAATTGTAGTTATGGGTTTCTGTTCTTCGGTTTCACAGATCCGTCTGCCATGGATTTCATGAAAGTAATCGATCAGACTGTCCGCGAAATGTGAGCTTCCCATTCTACCCGCCATTTCCCCCCTCCCTCGCCCTTTTCATTTCTCGATTCATTTGTTAACCCTTTGGCTTGCCTTTCAGAAAGCGAGAAGTGAATCTCAAGGTTTTGAAGGTTCCTGAAATCGAACAGAAGGTAGTTAACTCAGTGCTTGTGCTTTTCTTATTGGTTAATTTCAATTGAATGATTAGGGAGCTGGGTTCCTCTCTGATTCTTCTCTCTATGGCGTTTCTATCCCCTGCTCCAAATCATCTGTTACCTTTTGTGAAGGTACTGGATGCCACGAACGATGAGCCATGGGGGCCTCATGGCACTGCGTTGCAAGAGATTTCTCTGGCTACCAGGAAATTGTCAGTTCTTTGTACTTTTCTACTTGCTATGTTGTAATGCTTTGTCATCTAATTTCCGATTCATTCCTGGTTGAATTTCTAATGTGTTGTCATATCAATTTACATCAGCACTGAATGCCAGATGATTATGAATGTGCTGTGGACGCGATTGGGCGAGACGGGCAAAGATTGGCGTCTTGTCTACAAGGTTTGAAAAGGGAACAGAAAAGCTTTCTTACCTCAGTCACTGCAACAGTTACCTCCTTTTTCCATAGCCCTTTAGTGTGTATTAACTAAATTGGTTCGGTGCCAGGCATTGTCTGTCATAGAGTATCTGGTGGCACATGGTTCAGAGCGCGCAGTGGATGACATTATAGAGCACACTTTTCAGATCTCCGTGAGAACTACTAGTAACTCTCTTGTTTTCACTGGGTTTTTGTGGATCTGTAACTTGCTCTTATAACTTTCTGTCACCTTTTATGTTCGTGGGCTCAGTCGCTTACAAGTTTTGAATATGTTGAGCCAAGCGGGAAGGACGTGGGGATCAATGTGAGGAAGAAGGCTGAAACTATCGTAGGGCTTCTGAATAACCAGGAGAAGATACAGGAAGCAAGGAATAAAGCTGCTGCCAATCGTGACAAGTGAGTTTTTTGCTTTAAGGACTGGGAACTATAACTTGTATCTGCTTTGCTTTGTTAAGTGCTTTATTTACTGAATCTTTATACATGGCCATCCTTAGGTATGTTGGTCTTTCGTCTTCTGGAATCACTTCCAGGGCAAGTTCAGCCTCATTTGGTAGTAGCAGCTATAGTAGTAGTGATCGATATGGGGGCTTCGGTGGTGGGAGAGATACTGATGGTTTCAAAGATAGCTACAAAAAGACCGATAAGGATGCATATGTACCACGACGTGATGCTGATGGTAATAGTGGAAGCAACGTAAACAAGGGCTCTACTGGCTTACGCAGGTTTGAAACAAAGTCTCCTTTCTGTTGGAGGATTTTTACATATTCGTTTACGTCTGAATTGAACTGCAATTGACAATTCTGAAGGCTCTTAAGGTTTTTTTATTGTAGTATACAGTTAAAAGCATAGATTGTACCCTGGTGTATTGCATCTTGATCTCTCAGTCTGACTTTTATTTTCCTGGTTTGAATTGCTTTCACTGCAGCAAGGGCCAGCCTAAGTTTTGGCCTGATGAATCGAAAACTTCAGCAAACTTTAGAGAGACTAGTAAACCAAATTCAATTTCTATTGATGATGACTTGGACGATGATTTTGATCCACGGGGAAATTCGAGAAGTAGTAAGTGGCTATTTTTTCCCATTTTATTTATTTTTTTCTCATGGCACCATCTGATATACTAGATTTCCTAGATTCTTTCTATATAGGTGCATTCATTATTGTTTTTTTCTTTTGCATATTGTCTCCATAATTGGCAGAGTCGACTGCTGAAACCTCTAGCCAGGTCGATCTGTTTGGACAGAGTTTGGTGGGGGATCTCTTGGATGCACCTACATCCGTTCCTGCAGAAACCTCTGTTAAGAACCGCAGTTCTGCAGATGTTGATCTGTTTGCTGATGCAGATTTTGTATCAGCAGAACCTCAGGTCGACAAGGTACCAAGTCCTCAAGCACAGGTTAGATATTGGCACACCTCGATTCTCTGCATAAATTTGAGATACAATTCAATATGCTGTTTGAACATAATAGAGAAACATGGACCTTTGTTCTGTGATTGGTGCCTTCTTTTTCATTGGAAAAGGACTATTTGCAATGAGTTATAAGGGCAGAGTTTAGTGGATTATTTATCTGTCTCCATAATGTACATCTTGCTGGAGTCTGGAGATTAAACCTACCAAAAAATAGAATTGCCCTGATAGGACCTAGTAATATAATTTCACTTTATTACAATCTCATTCTGCCGAACTTCTGTAAACCTGCAATAACCAGCACCAAGGAAGAAAAACAGCTTAGAATTTAATGCAAAGGTGACATGATTGTCCTTTAGAATTCATGTTACATCCTTATTTATGGTTAGGTGGAATGAGTTCGCAAAAATCAGGTGGCTAAAGTTGTAGGGTTTTCTTCTTCTTGTTTGGTGAGACTTAGGTTGATCTGTTTGCTTCTCAACCTGCCATACCGGCTGCTGCTGCCGTTGCTCCATCAGCAATTGACTTTTTTTCTGCCGGCGAACCACCAGCTGTGCCAGAGTCCAAAAAGCCTGTGGAATTCAATGCTGCAACTACCAGTGTTGTAGACCCTTTTGCTGCACTCCCGATAAACAGTTTCGATGGATCTGATATTTTTGGCGACTTCAGCTCTAGTACCACTTCAGGTACTACAGAACCTACTAAGAATCCACCTACAAGTGATGCTGGCACAATTGAGAATCCAGCACAGCTTCCACCAAAAAACCAGAATTTTCAGGTGAAATCTGGGATCTGGGCTGATTCGCTGAGCCGTGGGATAATCGATCTCAACATATCTGCACGTAAGTAACATCTCTTCTTAGCTCTTTTGTCTGATGGTGTTTGTACGTATGTCTCTCTGAGTATGACTTGATTCGACGAAACTAAGAGAGGACATAAACGGAGGAAATGTGGAATGGTGGTGTTCAGATATTTCTTGCAGTTACAATTCAAACAATTTGTTGTTGTTAATGCAGCCAAGAAGATATCCCTGGTTGATGTTGGAGTGATGGGCGATCTCGGTGGAGGACAAGAAGAAAAGGAGAAGTCGGCAGCAGCACCCCCAACATTTTACATGGGGAGGGCAATGGGATCAGGGTCTGGTCTCGGCATGTCAGGGTTTACGACGGGACCTTCGTCTGGGTTTGCATCTTCACGGCCACAGTCAACCCCTGCTGCCGGAACAGGAGCAGACCAATTCTTCTCGAGCCTCGGCGGCAGTCAACAATACCAGTTTGGCGCTTTCAAGTAATCACATAATGGGGTTCCTTTGATGTTGCGCGGTTGAACTCCTATGCTCGTGTCTCCATTTGGCAAAAAGATAAAAAAAAAATTAGGGCTGGATGGTTTTGCTGTGTTGTTGGCAATTACATCAGGAAAAAGGCATTCCTGATTTGGTGTTGTTTAAGGTCACGTACTCACGTTTGTCTCAAGTTTACTTGAGTTTGCTGTTAAAAGAGAGATTTGTAAAGCTTTATTGAAACATGCGAGGATTCTGCATCCAACTATCAAATCAATTTCGAATAAACCGTGAGGCCATCGTCGGTTGGTTCTTGATCTACAGTACAAGTAGTGTCGTAACTTGCACTGGATATAGTTTGAATCCCAAAACTCTCAGAGACAGGCCTTCAATCATACCACTGAAGAATGCAGATAGCTAGAGGCTTAGAAATCCGTTCAGCCACAGTTTGTTTCTCCTAGTTAACACTTGCATCAGAAAAAAGAAGGAAAAAAAAACTGCTGATACCATGGTGTGCCCAAACAGAAAATGGTACAGCAAGTATGGTATTCCTTCAAAGCCAAGATCAGAGCCAAGACTTTGTGTTCCAGCCAAGTTTTGAGGGCTGGAAATCGTTGTTTGCTGACAGAGTATGATCGGTTAGCAAGCTGTAAGAAAATAAGAAAAAGATGGCCAAAGTGAGCACTCGGTAGTAAAATGAGGAGACAGGTTAAATCAAGCAAATGGAAGTGAGTAGTAGTAAGAGTTGGGAGAACTCACAATGGGGTTATTACAAAGATGAAGCGAGCATGTCAGTTTAACGAATCAGAAGGTGATCAGCCTTCCCCTCACAATTGCTGCTCCTTTCATCACTTCTCTCACGGATCCAATTACGAAAACCTACGAGCAAGAAAATAATGCAGCTTATGGTGACAATATCAAAAGCCAACAAGTGGAAAAGGTAACAAAGTTCTGCAATGATGATATAATATGTTCTGCAATAATAAGGCAGCCTATGCCTCTGAACTGGTGGTTAGAAAATCTCACCTTATCAGGTGGACCCCTTGATCCTCCCATGAAAATTTCGGCACTGCGAATTATCCATTTCAATAAACGTAAGTGCCTAGCAGGCCAAGAATTGGTAAACAGATCAAGCTGAGAGAGAGAGAGAGAGAGAGAGAGAGAGAGAGAGAGAGAGAGAGAGAGCCTACTTGCAGGATTCCTTTATGAACCGAATTGTAGATCCACCTTTTCCAATTACAAGTCCCATTTGCCCAGGTGGAACATTGACAACAGTGAGGATTTGTTCCTCAGGGCCATCATTATTTCCTTCATCTCTCTCTAGACAAGTCATGCAGACAGTAGTGGACGCATTAAATTAGAAGACATTATGCACTCAAATTAACCACTAGAATTTTTCACTGTGTATGCAAGTATCAAAACTGGTAACCACGAAGTATAAGCCAAGGACTATAAGGATACAAGTAGATCAGTCTCTGTTAATTAACTAGGCATGGCTATCTGTGGAGTATAAAAAACACAAAGCTGAAAATACACTCTACTGACCTGGAAGCACAGGGAGTGGTGGCCAATCAGCATAGTCATTGTCATTGACGCAGAAACACCGGCAGTAAAGTTGACCACGAACAGAGAGGCACCATAGCGATCTTTCATTCAGTCTCTCCTTCATCTTCTGATAGATGTGGAGGAGGAAGCGGACATCATCGGAAGCTGCACGTGTCATCATCTCAGAAAGTGGTCTGTACTCCCAGAACTTAGGGTCCTGATGATAACCAGTGAGCACAAGGGAAAAGTCAGATGAAACTTCATGCAGTGACTCAATTGCAAACAAGTGAAGCTTAGCTAGGCGAGCGCTAACACCCTTATGTAAACATGCCAAACATAATCTATTTCAATGACAAGAAACAGTACATGACATCAAATATGAAGGATGACAACCCTAATCTAACACCTTGATTACTGAAATCTGGTCAACTACGGATCCTAAAAGAGAAACTCATTTATTATTAACTATTCGAAGGATAGATATGTTTTAACCGACCTGCCGAAGAAGAACACGAACCTCTTCCTTCTCCGCATATTCTACACCTGAAATGTGAGCCATTATCATTCATTAGGAGCGAAGAGGAGAATGATGCAAATATCCATACATTCACTTCACAACAATTTCGCAGCACATGGAGAGCGATCTGACAGAAGAGGCAAAGAGACTGAAGACAAAGTTTTACACAACTGCACAGGAGTACCTAAGTCCATGCAGAGCTATCTGTGTCTGTCTATATATTGATTGATGGTTAACAGCTGACAACTATGTCCTTTTATACAGAGGAATGCCCCATCAATATCATTTGTACAAACCAACACATGCAGCCTGAATATCTATCTAGTCCACATCAGATGATCCACCCCAAACATAGATCAGTAGGAAGGATTTGCTACTAGTGACAAGTAAACAACTACTATCGTTTGAAAGATAACATCAGCTCTGTAAGGACTTAGGCAAGCATTCTAACATGATTCTAGCTAATGACTAGAGTTCAGCACCATAATGAATGGATATAATAATTCAAAAACATTAAGTACCACAATAGTCTGCATCAGCAATCAGGCTAACAAGCGATATGTAGTCATCTGGTGCTCTGTGCCGTCCTTCTTGCTCCTCTATCAGTGAAAAAGCAATCTGCAAAAGTAGAGTAAAAATGTATAAACATCTGGACAAAAGAATGGTGGATAGATAACATTTGTCATGAACAGTTGAAGACTCATATACTGAACTACCATAACTGATAACAGACTGAACTAAGATTTAAAAGATGGATCCAATGTAACAGCTATCAGGGCAAGAGTTCCATCTACTTGATACAGGCCTACAGCAAGTTGAGAATCTCGTTACCTGAGTGTCAATGACGTTATGCAGTTTAATGCCAAATTGAAAGTACAGTGCCTGCAGCAAAAGATCAGCAGAACAAAATGTGAACATTCGCTAGCAGTCAATCTAAAGGAGCTGCAAGAAACATAATAAGATCACTGAATACAGACCTCGCTGTCTCTTTTACAATCATGGATTACTTTCGTGACGTGACTCGACTCCAGTGCAGGCTTACAAGCTTCCATAACTGCCTTCCCTCCGTCAATAGCATCAACAATGTAGATGATATCTGGAAACGCAAGCTGCCATCAGGAAAGAAAACCAGTGAGAAGGCACAAACAAGGAACTAGAGTCCATTATTGGATTTCATCGAGCATACGGAAAGATAGGCAAGAAACGGGCTCCATACTTGACAAACCACAGAATCTCCGATCTCGTAGATTCAACAGAATCTATACACACACTAAGAGAAGCAAGGACACAGAAAGGCTATGAAACAGAGAGTAGAGTCCATAATTGGATTGCAGTGATCGCAGGGAAAGATACGCAAGAAACGGATTCCATACTTGACTGACCACCGAAGCTCGTAAATTCTATGGAATCTATACACACACTAACAGAAACAAGGACGCAGGAACGCTGGAAACAGAGAATCAAGTTCATTTTGGATCGCCATTATCGCATTCGCAGGAAATATACGCAATAAACGGATTCCATACTTAACGATCCAGAGAAGCACGAAGATTCTACCGAATCTATATACACACTAACAGAAACGAAGAAGAAAGCAGAGTGACGTCGGAAACGGTTTTCCGGCTATACAGATCGTTTACCTGCATAATGCATAGTTTTCCGGTGCGACAGAGATCAACGCCTTCACAATCAAAGCCGACGACGAGTTCATGGTCCGGCGACGGGTTGAGGAACTCAACTGGAAGTTGAGAAGGCTCGGTGACGACTAGAACCGGAAGCGGCGGGAATTGAGCATCGTGATCTAGGATTCCACCGCCTGCAATGAATGATAGTAATCAAGTTAAGCACCAAGAAAATCTCTAACCGGTTTCGCTAACGAACGAACGATCATTCATACAGTTCAGCCAAGACAGTGAAGCTAAACGCGATACAGAAATCAAGGGATTCGGATTCCAATTGAACTCCATTCTAGTTTCTTCGCTCGCTCAAGTTCAAGCGAGCTAACAGAAAGAAAGCGCAAAGCAAGAGCGAAGGAGGAATTGGATTACCGGCGTTCGGAACCGGAGGAATGGGCGGCGGATGGGAAGAGGAGGCGGGAGAAGAAGACGACGACGCCATTTGATCCAAGTAACCGTCAAGATTGCAGAGCAAGTGTTTCTTTGCTAGCTTTTCTCTTGCAGAGCACTGCTGAATTTCGCCTTCGCCGGTGGTTTTTGCTAAGTCGTCTCCATTTGGGTTTTCCCGGCTACGGACTATCACTAACAAACAAGCAGAAGGCGAGGGAAAACACACCGGCCGCTACCCGTATATATACAGCTGGGAAAATGAGGTGAAACGGAAACCAGCTGTTGTTGTCATTTGTCCAAATGGAAATAAAATATAAAATAGGAAAATCTATTTAATTACTTTCCGTCAATGGAAAATCAAATTTAACTAATTTCTAGCTGACAATTGGAAATTAATCTAAGTAATTATTAATTTATTATTTAATCACATTTTCACCATTAATCTCATCACGTATTATTGATTGTTTATTTGGTAATCGTATGATAGACTTTCTATACAGAGTAGAAGTGGCTAGAGTTCGGATGGGCCTCGCTGGGCTCCCTTCATTTTCCTTGCCAGGAGCACTTACAAATTATAACGGCCCAATAACGGCTTTCGCCCATCCCCATCCTCATTGTACGATGTCTATTAAATTTGGGCCGATGTGATGCTTATAGTGGGTAAATGACAGAAATATTATTTTTTTTTTATTTACCACGAATAAGGCCAGTTAAAAATTATTGACAAAGACATTGTGTTTTAGAGATAAGAATCGGCGGGGACACCTGAGACACAGGCGCTGCCGCTTAAGCTTGGTTTTTGGACCGTTTTATTTAGTTGGCAGCGGCGGCGCTCAAGACTCAGGCGGTGGCGCCCGAGACTGAAGCGAGTAGGTGGGAAATCAAGACTCCGGCGATGGCGCCCGAGACTGAGGCGAGTAGGTGGATTGGCCACCCACCCTATAAAACCCAGACTATTTCGTTTCAGATTCACACCACAAAAAAAATGGTCCAAAAATAGAGGAGAGAGCTCTGGTTGCTGCTGCAAAAATGGCTAATAGGTAAGAGACACATTTATTTTTGTAATTATATTATTCAAATGCTATTATGATTGTGTTTAGTTTTTAATTAGTGATTTTGTTTTTTTGTAGTGATTTTAGAAGATTTGAACTAGTTGTTCGGTGGAAATCGGAGAAAGTAGAGGATAATTTGGACGTCAAATTCGTTGGTGGTAGTAGTTTTCAGTTGACGGTTCCATCCAGAGTCACATATCACAAACTTTTTGAGACTCTAATTCCGAGAATACGGCGCAGAGACGAAGCAGTAAAAGATAGTGATGTGATCACAGGTTTCACTTACCGTCTTCCAGAATGGCAGAATGATGTTTTATTTCATTATGCGTTACCTATTGTGGATGATGATAGCTTGTATGTGCTTTGGAATTTTATGGCACAAAATCCTTATTGTTTGGGTGCTGAGATACATGTTGAGCTCAGTGATGATCAGGGTGGAGAGGAAGAAGATGATACATGGAGCGTGCCATCCGATCATGACTATGATCACGGTGATGACGGAGAGGAGGAAGATGAGGAGGAGGAGGAGGAGGAGGAGGAGGAGGGGGAGGAAGGAGAGCAGCTTAATTATCCTCCATATTTTTACTTGCAGGGCAATGAAGAGGACGAAGAATTTGCACTTGCTGATTCATATGGCGTAATTCCAATGGCTATTGTTGATAGCTTTGAAGGAGAATTCTACAAGGGGCAGATATTTCACTCGAAACAAGCTGCACAGATGGCAATTAAACACCACGCACTACAACGCAACTTTCAATATGGCGTGGTGGAGTCGTCACCTTCAATATGGAAGGTCGGATGCTTGAGGCACAAGGATGACAATTGTCCTTGGATGGTGCGGTTTGGATGTCGAGATGTTGGGGGCGAATGGACTGTGAGAAAAGCTGAGTTGGTGCATTCTTGTAGCAGTACGACTCAACTGACGGATCATCGCCATCTTGATGTCGACATGATATCTGAGGCCGTCAAACATTTGGTACGTGCCCAACCAAATCTGAGTGTTCTAACTGTTCAAGCCGAGTTGAAAGATAAGTTTAATATGCAAGTTACTTACAAGAAGGCTTGGTATGGGAAACAAAGAGCTGGAGAAGTTGCATGGAAATTGGGAAGAATCCTACGATTTTTTGCAAACATTCTTGCGGGTGGTCAAGAGAAAAATGCCAACATCGGTGATTGATTGGGTAACAGTTCCTTCGACTCAACCCGGTCATTCAATATTTCAACGAGTATTCTGGGCTTATGGACTTTGTATAGATGGATTCAAGAATTGTCCAGGCGTCATGGTTGTGGATGGAACATTTCTTACTGGGAAGTATAAAGGAGTGCTACTCATGGCGAGCTCATTTGATGGCCGGAGGAAGATTTTTCCAATTGCATTTGCCATAGTGGAGAGCGAGAATACTGAGAGTTGGCCATGGTTCATGAGGAAGGTTCAGGGTTTGACTGATCGAAATGATGTATGCATCATCTCAGATAGACATGCAGGACTCTATGAAGCCATGAATAACATCGGAAGAGGTTGGGAGTGGAGGTGGTGCATGCGACACTATGCAAGCAATTTGCAAAGGAAGACTCGAAGCAAAATTATGTATAATCAACTATTTCGAGTCGGTAAGCTTTCTTCATTTAATTTTGTTATTTGTTTTCATGTAATTTTGTCATGAATTTATCTAACACGTGTTGTGGTTTATTTTGTTAGCCGGAGAAAAACGGTTGGAGAAGTTTGATCGTCAAGTTGAGCAATTTAAGAAGGTGGCCGCTGATAGAAATATTTCATGTGATAACTGGGTGGATCAACATCAGATTCGTTGGAGTTTAGCACATGATAACTACAATGGTGGGGGTCGTTGGTCTATCCTGACATCCAACATGGCAGAAAGCGTCAATGGTATTTTCAAAGGTATTCGTGCACTTCCGATAGCTTCTCTTGTGCAGCATACCTATTGGCGATTGGTGGAGAAATTCGATAAGTATAGGTTGGAGACAGGAGCAGAAATTAGAAGTGGCGGTTCACAGTACTCCACCAAGTGCGAAGAGCTGATGAAGTACAGGTCACAAAAGGCAATTGGACATTCTGTGACAGCTCTTGATCGAGGTCAAGGCATCTATGTAGTTCAGACTCCTCCCAACAATTTCAACATGACAGGGTCAAACACACTCACAGTTCACTTTGACGATCAAAACCGGGCAGGATTTTGCACTTGTGGTAAATTTCAAGGAAATAAAATTCCTTGCTCTCATGCCATTGCAGCTTGCAACCGAATGGGGGCTAATGCGTATAGGTTTGTCAACAATGTCTACAAGCTGGAAAAGTGATGGCTTGTTATGGGACAAGTTTCGCACCTCTTGGTGAACCTAAGGGTTGGAAGAAACATAATGGTCCTATTCTCCATCCTAATGTGCACATGATTAGGAAGCCGGGGAGGCCACGAGTTACAAGGATTCACAACGAGATGGACTGGCCAAGGGAGGGTGCATCACACCAAGTGTGCAGCAACTGTAACCAAGCGGGACATAATGCATCAACTTGCGGCGGCCAAGCTAGTAGGAGTGGGAGCAACCGAGGAGGGAGTGGTGGCCAACGAAGTACGAGAGGTGGTAGAAGAGGAAGTAGAGGTAATAGACGTGGCTGAGAGGTGGTAGAAGTTGTTATATTTCTTTTGATTTACCATGTAAAAGTTGTTGTTTGTTTGAGATGTTGTTGTTTGGTATGTTGTTGTTATCTTTTGATTTACCATGTAAAAGTTGTTTGTTTGAGATGTTGTTTGTATGAGATGTTGTTGTTTGAGATGTTGTTTGTTTGAGATGTTGTTGTTTGAGATGTTGTTGTTTGTTTATAGTACATAATAATAACAATCCAAAAACAATAGTCTAAATGAAGTACATAATAATAACAATCCAAAAATAATAGTCTGAAAGAAGTACATAATAATAACAATCCAAAAATAAACGTCTGAAGGAAGTACATAATAATAATAGTCTCACTGACGACCACCACGACGACCACCATGCTCCACCGCTAGATGGCCGCCAGTACCACACCTAGCAGGCACCCTGATGCGCACTGGTCTACCATCATACTCCTGGGGCTCATCTTCCTCAACTCCACCATCCTGATCCTGTGTACCGAACATCTCATCCTGCTGAGACTGAAGATGCTCATCAGGCTGACCGCCACCACTACGCTGAGACTGAACATGCTGCTCATGGATCCACATCGTCTCCCTAAACACCTCATCACCCTCGGCCCACAGGTCGGGAGTCGTCGCTGCTCTAGTATCACCACCTGATGCCATGTTTCCCATCGTAGCATGCTGCGGTGTATGGAAGCTATCCTCTGGCTGATAGAAGCTCGAGGACGGATCTAACTGAAACTGCTGTCGTCGCGGCGGCTGAAAGCTCGAAGACGGATCTGACTGAAAGTTGGCCATAAAGTTGGCCAAGTCCTCACACTGGTCGGGGGTCAGCCCTCCAGACCGTACACCGTCACGCAAACTCACCTCAGCATGCTCGATAGTGTCGTACTAAAAAACACCAACAAAAATGTCAGATATTTCACACAATTAACAACAAATTAAGCAAATAAATCAAATAACTAACCAACGCCTCTGCTGTAGCTCCTCTCCGTGTGCCGGATCGTCTGGTGACATCTCTATACCACTCCATATGCTCCGAGTGGTAGGCTAACTCCTCATCAGTATATGGAGCCGTCGCTACAAACTCGTGTCGACGGTTCCAGAAAGCAATCGACTCTCTGGAGGCGTGTACCAACTGCTGCCCACGCGATGGCCCACGAGTAGCCTGGCGAAGAAAAAACCTAACCTCAGCCTCAGAATGTGGCTGATGAGGCTCATGCTGTCTCATGCCAAACTGCCGGAGCACGCGGTCTGGATGATGCCACATCACCGATGAAAAGCAGATAAGTGGCACTACTGCTCGAAATGTCTCAGACTGTAGCACACTACCTCTGAGATGAAGTGCTCTCTCAAAGTAAGGTTGCTACTACATTAAATCCAAAAATTAACGTTATTATCCCTAAATCTAAAAAAATAAAACAAATGAAAACTATTATATAAAATGAAATGTTATATACTAACCACCACGGTGTCCATCGCGTCAAACCACAGCTTGTACTGGAATAGTTGGTCACCATACTGACGACTGTTGGCCGAAAGCCATCGAAGACCACGTGGGAATGCATCCTCGGTGGCCTGTGCCCTCGTCTCCTCGTCTCGAGGTGCCAGATGTGGGAATCGCTCCCACGCCCAAAACTGCAGTAGGGCGACCCATCCACCAAGGTCACCGCTAAGAGAAGTGCCGGTATGCGTAATGTGCAAAGTCGACCTACCCATCTCACGGTACAGGTAGGATAAAACAGCAGCTCCCCAGGCAAACCGTCCTGCTCTCTCCCAATCCTCAATCAGAAGTAGGTACTGTAGGTGCACCGTACTTCCAGACCGATCCGAGAAAAGTACACCTCCAAGCAGAGATAGAGCATAAGCTCGTGCAAACTGCTCTATAACCTCCTGTGATGCATTCTCCGGCAGATGACTGAATTCAACCCTCAGCCAAACAATCCTAACAACAGCGACATTGCCTACAAGATCGGTCGGAACTCGTCCCAACAGTCTCAAACAGATCGCCGACCACTCCTCATCCGGTATATCAACTACGACGGCATCACCGTCGATCGCCAGACCGGACAGTGTAACAACGTCCTCTAACGTGATCGTCATCTCACCACACGGTAGATGGAAGGTCGACGTCTCGGGGTGTCACCGCTCTACGAGCGCAGTAATCAAACTAGCATCGGGGTTCATAGGGACTAGGGGCACGACACTAAACAAGTCTGCCGCTTCGAGATATGGCCGATAAAGCTCATGGTAAGGTACTAAAATGGTCGTACCTCGAACATGGTACGGTCGATCACCAGCCTATAGTGCACAAAACTTATATTAATTCATTTTCATTCGTAATAATTCTAATTTCACCTAATAAATTCTAATCTGTCTTATCTAACATAAAATTATACTAATTTGAAATTATACTAATTTCACCTAACAGTTCAGTTCACTACCTAAAATAATCTAATTAGCTAATTAACTTTACATGAATAATTATCAAATACTTACCTCGTTTGTCCAAACAGAGTCGATACGATGTTGGCCGTGTCCCCAAAGAAGTGTCGGATCGACCGGACTTGGATCAATTGTCGCCGGCGGTAATCTCATCGAATAAGGATCCATAAGCCTCGGAACTGCAAAAACAAAGCAACAAAACATTAAAAAAAACACAAAACATTAAAAAAAAAAATCAAACTGCCGACGAGAGTCTCACCGCGCAAACGGCCCCCGACTCCACCACGACCTCGCCGACCTCTCCCTCTGCCTCTGCCGGCGGCGAGTGGTTCTTCGTCGGAGGACATCTCGGGCGGCGGCGGGTCAGTCAAAGGCGGTGGCGCTACTGTCAAAGGCGGCGGCGCAGAGGTCTGGGACGGCGGCGCTCATGTCTGCGGCGGCGGCGCCGAGGTCTGGGGCGGTAGCAGTTGCGGCGGGAGGCAATTGTGGCGGTCTGGTTCGCAGGGTTGGGGGGAGGAAGAAGCTTCGCGGGTTTGGGGGAGGAAGAAGAAAGGCTAGGAGGATTGTGTGTGGTGTGGGGAGGGGATAAGGTGGGAGGGGATAAGGGGGACCGTCCGAAATTTTAAAAAAAAAGGGTCCGGGGCGCTCCCGCCTGAGTCTCGGGCGCCAGCGCCTAGGACTAATTAAAAAATTTGTCTGGGGCGGGGCCGCTTGAGACTGGGGCGCCAGCGCCCAGGACTGGGTAAAATATCAGTCCCGCCTGAGTCTCAGGTGGTCCCGCCCCAATCCTTACTAAAAAACACAATATTTGTGTCAATAGTTTTTAATTTGTAATATTAGTGGTAAATTAAAAAAAAAACAATATTTGTGTCATTAATCCGCTTATAGTTTGATTTTTTATGCAATTCCACTCCTACAACGAGTTGAAGTTCTCAACATCTAAGTGTGAGCGTAGGGAGTGATTGATTGTCCCATCGTTTAATTATATGAGTTCATGAACTTTATTTCGATTAGTGTATATCTAGTCACTTCAAGGATATGTATAATCACTCATAGTATGAAGCCGGTCATCATGGTCGACGATAGGTTTGTCATTGAGTAGAAGTTATTTATCATAGAAATTATTTATCATGGGTTTTCTCTATGAGACAAATCTTTTATGGAAAATAATGTTTCAAATCCGTCCCAATTCAGTTAAGATTTGAGTTTTTTCCCCTACATTAACTATAATGTGTATTGTACGAGTGCCCAAAATAAATATTAACGAGGTGTGTTGAAAAACTTATTTCTCGACACTTCACTCATGCTAGATTCGTTGTAAAGTTAAGTGGTTTTAGGTTTTAGCTATTACCACGAGTGATGTAAGGTGAGAATCGAATCCTGGAATTGGCTACCCAACACACAACAAAGAAGCGATTACCAAAATAATAAACATAACTGGATGGAAAGCAACTCGAACATACACTACGATCAAGCAAGAGTCAAGTATACTATGACTCTACAATTAGGATGATGAACAAGTAGATAACGTTTGGCAATGAAAATGTTTTGAAAGTTTCTATGAGTGACATCACTCATTTGTTAGATTTTTTCTTTAACATATGTAATTCCCCTAAATACATATTGCCAGATTATCAATGGTTAATATGATCCTCTGGATTTATGATGGTAGATCATCAGAGTCTTGATGTGGAATATGAACGACGACCTTGAACTGGACGATACTCCCAAAGCACGATCCATCAGATTTTGCGACCTTCCTCAACTAAGCTACCTTAGCTCCTATGCCTGATGTTCTAATCTTCCACGCGGAGAGAAGAAGAGAGTGTTTGGTCTTAGTATCTTGTGAACCACAACGTCAAACTCTTTTATATACTAGTCGCTACGGGCTCTCATAAAATTTAAGGTGACCAAGTATTGGACGTCCACTTGTTGGACCCATATTGAGTTTAAGTAGTCACCTGGAGAGAGGATAGAACTAAAATTTGGATAGATTATGTAGAATAATCATGTGGTCACTTTTTCATTTCCAAAATTAAAAAAAAAATCTTAACCGTAAGATTAAAAAAAACAGTTATTCAAATAATATATAAATAGGTTTTCAATGGATTACTAAAAAACAAGTAATCACCATAACTCATTCCCAGCCGACTTCATCCCTAGTCACTTTGCACCCATTTTATTACCAAAATAAAAGATTTGGGGAGCTGTCAAAAGAACGTATTATAAATAAAAATGCAATAAACAACACACAAAAGGGCAATCAACTTCTTCTAGGTCTATCCACACCCGACTGGGTCCCACAATAGAACGCTTTTTTGATCTCTTCCATCGCTTCCCTTTTCGCCTTTTCCTCCATTCACCACACCTGTTTTCATCTGTCTTTCTTCTCCGTTTCCTCCCCTGAAATCCCTCGTGTATCCTCACCGACCCGTTTCCGCCGGTCGCCCTTTCCTCTTTACCAATTCCTCGCCGAAATCTCGCATAACTGATTTCCCAACCCACGTTCACAGAATCCCCCCTTCTCTCTCCCGATTTCGATTTCTCCCTCCTAATTTCAGCTTCTTCTCTTTGTTTCATTTTCTCGCCGGCAGCTTGGGTCTCTCGCCGCCGTCGCTTTTTCAAGCCTTCGATTCTCCTTTTCGTCTTTCTAGGTGAGAGGGTTGTTGCTTCTGGAATCCTGATCTCTACCCAGTTGAGATTTGGTCGTTGTGGATTACTCGAGGTTTGTTGCTGCTTCTGATTCTGTGGTTCTTTAGTTAGTTCGGCGAAATAGTTCTTCCAGTTGCTTATGGAAGGTGGTTGATTGTTCATTTCAAAAGCTTAGGTGGAATCAGAGAGTCAGAGAGAGAGAGAGAGAGAGAGAGAGAGAGAAAGAGGGAGTTGGGATGAAGAGAGGGAAAGACGATGAGAAGATGATGGGGCCATTATTCCCGAGGCTCCATGTGAATGATACAGAGAAAGGGGGCCCGAGAGCGCCTCCAAGGAACAAGATGGCCCTTTATGAGCAGCTAAGCATTCCATCTCAAAGGTTTAATTCTGGGGTTTTGCCTCGTAATCCAAGTAACTTGGCTCCTGCCGGGTCTTCCAGCCAGGTGACGCTTTGCCCACTGTTATATTTAGGGATTGTGAATATTGATCGAATGGGTAGAATAGTTTGTAGAATACGGTAAGACTGATTACCATCATATGTGCAGGCGAGTGGGCTTGAAAGGACTTTATCCTCGCCACCAACTCTAGCCGATCAACTGCCTTCTTTCCAGCCCAGTGCTGGGAACTTGAACAGTTCTTTGGCGTCACGTGAGCAGAGGAAGAAGGCCGGAGACGAAGATGATTTCACTGTTCCAGTATTTGTACATACAGGTGCGTCCAAGTTGCAGAGAAAACGTTCTAATGTGGAAGAGCTGGCTCCATTTAGCTCGATGCATTCATGTCATTCCAACAAAGCTCAGAATACTGGCTATATTGATACCCAGTGTGCGTCATCCATTGATCCCCATTCAAGACATGGAGGAAATCCATGCATTTCAAGTGATAATTTGCATACTAGAGAAAATTTTGCTGAGTCTGGGGAGGAAGCAATTGTACACCCGAAAAAACGTTCTCATGGTAATCAACAGCAGCCTGCATGGTTGCAGTCAAATGTATGTGCACTTGGTGATGCTGTTCCTGAGATGCGGCGAAGGGGAACAGAGAAAAATGATGTCCTTGTGCGAAAGGACAGCTTGGGTTTTTGTGAAGAGCCATGTACACCCAATGAGGGCAGTGGCGCCTGTGTTACCAAGGTGGACGTGTCAATACCAGTGAGAAATACTGATAAAGGGGACGATGCATCTGACACATCCATTGTGGACTCTGCCGAACCCTTGGACATATCTCCGGATGATGTTGTGGATATGATTGGTCAGAAACATTTCTGGAAAGCTAGAAGAGCAATTGTCAAGTAAGTATTGTAACACATCATGAAAAATTGAGACCTGCCTTCTTTTTTGTAGTTACAAAACGTGCAAGTCTGTCGTGAGATTTTTACTTTGCAATATTGTCATGTTGAAGGCGTTTATTTATCTGGGAACTAATCTTAGCTATATATTGTCTTACATTTGAAATCTTGAAGCTTGGGGAATTTTATCTGCCATACTGATTGAACCCGTCTAAGGTCTGGTCTTTCCTTCGCCCAAGTTTGCTACTAAGAAATTATGAGGTTGTTTAGACAATTATTGTTCAAATTTGTTATTAAGTTTTGTCTAGAGGACTATTTGGCTGCTCCATATGTATGTCACAATAGTAATGGAGTGTCTAGAGCTTCCTCATTTCCTTGTTTCTTGGGTTACTTCTCTTCATATTTACACAATCTGACTTTGTTAGATTGTTTAAATGTCAGGCAGAATGTTAACTGTAGGAATGAAATGATTGCCTATTTTGCAATTATCATGGTCAGTGGCAAGGGAGAACTAGATAGTGGGGAGTCTCCAACCAATCTGGCGTGTTTTTGGTGCTCAAGCCCTTGATAACATTTCAATGTGGAAGTTCCTGCGACAGGGGGTAGTGATAATGGTGATTGAGGTACTTCGTTCAAGGTGCCCCGGGGATAGTAGATCGTCTTATATATCTAGTTCTTTAGCACTTTGTTCTCTTTGGTTATACTCCTATCTTGGATAGGATTGCATATTTAATGGAGACGACTGGGCAAATTACTTATCCTCGAGGGCCTTTAGCACGTAACCAACATCTGCTTGAGATGGCTCCTGGAGCTATCAGTAGGTGAGTTGCAGATGGGAAAATGGAGAGTTATGTTATAGGAATGCCAGGTCTTGGCATAAATTTGTTTTAGTTTTATGTTGGGAAACATGTGTCATCAATTATTTAAATTTATTTAAAGCGCATGAGCTACATTTATCCTTCCCGGAAGAGTTCTGCAAGTCGAAGGCATGGAAACGTTGTGTCAGCATGGTTGAATTCAAAATTTGAGTTCCTGGCTTATCTTCTTGTATTGGATGATCTACTGTTATGGTCTCTGTTTATATCTGAATTTCGCAGCCACTAACATATATGTCAAGCACTCTCTTCCAGGGTATAAGAATTATAGACACTTGATTCCTGTTATCTAGTTGGCCACGAGCCCTTTCAGAAAGTTTGTTGGTATGTGCATATGAAAAAAAACAAAAAAAAAAAAACAAAGTTGTCCAAGGCTGGAGGTATACTATATGTGTGTCATGTGAGAAATTCAGCCTCTGGTATTGTTCATTTAAGGATATTGTTTTACTACGCACTTAATTGTGTGGCGCAGCTTCCATGCTTTCAGCAAGCAAGTAGTTACAGGTGCTGTTTCTTTTTGAAAATAGCAGTCTTCGTGTTCATTATTCGTAATGATATCTTCAACCATTTTAGCAATGCTGTACGCCTGTACCCAACCTGATTGCTAGTTGACGTTTAAACTATTTCTGTTGTTTATATTGCATTGCTGCTTGCACCGGAGTTCTCTTACCAAACTTTTTTTTTTTTTGGCATAACGAACTTTTGTTTGATTTGTCTGTTCATAATCAAATTTATCTTCCTCTCTCTGCAGTCAACAAAGAGTTTTTGCGGTTCAAGTGTTTGAGTTGCATAGACTCATCAAGGTAACACACTATAGCAGTATTTCTCTAACTAGCTTTTGTGGGACAAAAGGTATTCTCCATTCCAAAAACATGACTATGCACAGTAGTATGAAAATCACTTCACATGTTTATTTAGGTTCAACAATTGATCGCTGGTGCTCCGCATCTTTTGGTGGAAGAGAGCAACTTCCTTACAAAATCATCCATTCCTGGCTCTCCAATGAAGAAACTTCAAGCCGAGTACGTCCTGCTGCAGCCAGCACGTGGTACCAAAAGAAAAGATGATTCACAAGAACCTAGTCATAATAAGATGGAAGGTTCTGCAGAGAATGCTGTTGGGAAGTCTCTTGGAAACCATAGTCAGCCACCATCAACCTACAGGCCGCCTCATGTAGGAAACCAAGTTCCAGTTCCAGCAATCACAGACAGCAACAACACGACGACTTCATGGAATTTCCACCAAGCCACTGGCCAGCACTGGTTGGTCCCTGTCATGTCCCCTACCGAAGGACTCGTGTACAAACCTTATGCACCCCCTGGACAAATGGGACCTGGTTGTGGAGGATATGGAGCATACGGCCCTCCTCCTGTAATGGGAAACTTCATGAACCCAGGCTACGGACTTCCAACTTATTTTCAACAGGGAATGGGTTGCTTCCCTCCATATGGTATGTCAGTCATGAGCTCCGCTCTCTCGGGTTCAGCAGTTGACCAGTCGAACTGCTTCCCAGGATCGGGTTCCCATGGTCAAATCAGTCAGTTGTCTGGAAGTGGGGCGAATTTCAACGTTCAACATAACGTGGAAGTGCTAACTCAGAAGAGTGGGGCTGTCTCAGTGGCGGAGATCCGGGTAACTTCTAAAGAAGCTGAGCTGCAAAGAAGCACCGCGAGTAGCATTAGCGAGAGAGTGGAAGTAGTCGGTAGCATTCAGCAGCGGGGTGATATAAGAGATGATGCATCTCTTCAACTTTTCCCAAGAGCTCCTTCTGCATTTGGCGCTGCTCCTCAACGATCAGGTAACGTCTCTAGGGTGATCAGGGTCGTGCCGCATAACTCCAGGTCTGCAACTGAATCAGCAGCTCGGATCTTTCAGTCGATACAAGAAGAGAGGAAGCAAAATGAATCTGTTTAGTCAGGTGCTTGGAGATTCCCTGTAACGGTATGCAATTTTTGCTGTTTATCGATTATTGTTGTTTGTAGTGGGGTTTTGGACTTTTGATCCATTTAACTTTAGTATAGGCTATTCTGGAATGTAGATATGCCGTGTGCTGGAGGACTAACGCATCGATATGAACAGTGCCCCTAGAGTAAAATGTGCTTTCCATCTTTCTTCAGTTTTGCTATATTTGTTTGAGTCTACTACTAAACCGAGGCAACTAGCTAACCTTAAATGATCTAAGGGCACTTGTAGTTTCTTCTGGGACGACAGTGTGTGCACTGGTTTATTTTGTTCTGGTCCGATGCTTGAAAATACATCATACTGAATTGAATCGAATGTAATATAATGTATTCGGTATTTTGTCACATGAATTTTATAAATATAGAAAAATGGATAGAATACGATCATAACTCCATTTTCCATTAAAAAAAAAAACTCCATTCGAACTGCCAATTTTGGTACCCGCTAAATGATCTAAATTGAACCCTATATTTAATGGTATGACTATCGACTTTCAATAGTTCGTCTTTGACTGTCGATAGCCAATTCTCGAGCTCTGACCAAAACACAATAGCTCTTTCGATTTATACCCCTAGTTTAGCAGTTGGAGGTCCCAAATCACCCTTGACATTCTATAGAAATTTCAAATCGGATAGGATGCAATGGTAGTCGGGTTTTTTGCTTCTAAGATATCTTTCACTACTAGACCACCATTCTAATGAGTTTCGAGCGCCTTTGGATCGAACCATTATAGATCCCTAGCCATAAGAAAACTTAGGGCCAAACATATATTCTAAGTCAACTCAGGATGACAATTAAACTGACAATTCCAAATATAGATAAAACCTGCAAAAAATTTACTGGAGTTGGTGGTAGATTTAGTATTTGGAAATGGAGACGAGGGTAGTTTAGAAAAACTCACCCCAAACTCGGTGGCTCCCAACTTTACAATCCACTCAAAATGGATATGAAATAAGGATGAAAAAACAAGTGCAAAGAGGCCTAAAAACAAGTGACTAACAAATGCAATTGCAACTTTAGGAGGCTTCAGTTTTGGGGTTTGACGGTTACAATTTCAGAGCAACGGTTCTAACTGCGATCCGTATAAGATACGCTTGTTCTTTCTCTTTCCTCCTTAATTTTAATATTTATTTATTTCCTGAAATTTAATTCTAAAATCTTTTAATTTTATTTTCCGTAACTGCTCTTATATATAAACTTTTCACTAATTTACTGTAAAAAAAAGTAATAAACAATAATTTTCTTTTGACCTTGTTAGCTTTTGATTCGGAGTATCCGACCAAGCCTCCATGGCTTGTTTAAGTTCATTCGATGGAGCTTAGTTGTCCTCCAGTATGGGCACTTGTGTGTTTGTTTGTTTTTGCAGGGGCACGTAGTTTTCCCTTGATCATACAAGCATCCATCAATTATGATTCAATCTCGTGATGTGGCGCATGCGATAGGTGGAGCGATCTTGGAAGAGATTTGTTTGTCGTCCGAGTCTTTTAATTTCTTTATTTGTACTTTTACACAGAGGTTGTACAACAGGGCTGCCCACTTAGTGGCTTCTAATGCCCTTTCATCGACAGCTCGATATTGTGTCGACTGTCGCGTCTGGTTTTCTAGCGTCCTGTAATATCTATTTCATTCCCGATCTATGGCAAAAAAAAAAAGTCAAAGAGGCCTAAAACCATGAAAATTTTTTATTTTATTTTTTATAATTTAAATATAATATGTAATTACATATTCAATTGTAAATTAATTATTTACACTGATGTAGATGAACGAAAATGAATTGAGGTGAATTGCAAAAGAATTGAATTGCCATAAAAAAACATAAATGCAATTGCTTTTGCTTTGCATTGATGCTCTAACTATATGCCCAAGCCCAGGTCCAGGGACCAGGGCCCATTACCGCATTATAGTCGTCGTTGACTCTCGAGTTTCAACCCATCGGCAAACGAACATTACAGCGTGGAGGTTATGTTGTTACTGTGCTTTGTTTATAGCAGCCGATCAGTTCATTTGCTAGTGCTCGACTCTTGGCGTGGGAATTGGGAAGAGATTCACATTCGCAATATACCACAGTAAGAGAGACGCGAAGAGTTTGAAGAGAGCTTCGCTTCGCTTGATTTCTGAAACGGCGAAATCCGAACATGGTGAACTACTGGCTGATGATCACTGCCGAGTTTGAGAACGTCGCCACTCTCCAGCCTCAGGGCGGTTGCGACGATCCTTCTTTCACCTATTTCTTCAAGGTTCCCTTTCAAACCTCTATCTAATTCTTTATCTGCCTTCGCTTCTGCGATTCCGCCGGCGGATAAGCTATGTAAACTTCTGTTTATCAAGTCCTAGGGTTTTTTTCCGTTTCTGATTGCCTCCAATCGATTTCGAGATGTTCGCTTGGCTCCTCGCTTGAGACTCTTCTATTTCGTCTTCATCTGAAATTTTTGTCGAGCGTCTGTTTGTGCGAATTAGTTTGTGAATGGCGATTAGGCTTGTTCGTGTATCTGACGCGAAGATTTTTGAGATGTTGTAGATGAAATGTGGAAGCTGCGGGGAGCTGACAGATAAGGAAACTTGTGTTGCTTTGGAGAGATCGGTTCAAATTCCGGGTAGCAAGGGCACTGCTAATCTTGTTCAGAAGGTAACCACTTCTGGTTTTACTCTTTATCTTGTCATCCTCGTCCTTATTTGTGGTTATGATCTGTTAAATGTTGTGTGCTTAGCATACATAGGCGTATCAATCAGTTATGAGGATGGATCTTGCTAGCAGTAAGCACAGAGTAGTTCCAATTGCTACAGTGGCTAAGGTCATGTCGGTAATTCAGGACTGCGATTAAGCTTCAATTGTACTCTAGTAAAATAATATTGGTGATACCTTCTTGTGTGATGCATGGTATTTTCCTGCTCTGTTACGATTTGGTATGGTTATCAAGATTATTCATTGCTTTGAAAACTTGAATCATTGGATGTGTTGCTAGTTTCCTTTGTAATGAATAGTTGTGTTATTATTGTCCATCTGCATTTCACTCTCCACAGTGCAAGTTTTGTGAGAGGGAAGGTACTGTGTCCTTGATCCCGGGGAAAGGTAAACCACTCACCCAGGAACTCAGTGAAGCTGGGAAGTATACAGGATTGATGATGTTCGATTGCCGAGGATACGAGCCTGTGGGATTTCTCTTTGAGGGTGGATGGATGGTTGAAACAGTAAGTTTCCATTCTTTGACTTACTGTGCTGTCCCTTCTCCTATTTCTGCTCCTATACAACAATTCTTGGTTTTTTTGTATAGAGCTCTGAGAATGTAGTATGTTGATTCTTAGCTATCAGTGAGGAAATTTTGGTGTTTACGGTAGCTTCAATCAAAGTTCAATTTACTCAAATCGTTTCTTTTCTGGGAAATATGGTCTTGTGATTGATAGTGGATTGGTGATTCTCTTTTGAGTTTTGATTATTATGCCATCTCAAGATGTAGAAATTGAAGTTCAGTTTGCTCTATGTTGGTTTCTAGGAGTCATGACTAATACTACGCATCACCTCAGGCTTTGGGGTCCATCAGTAATGTTAAAGTCACTTAGATGTTATCCATAACTTTGTTGAGAGACAATGATAGGCTGCAACAAGATTGAGACATTTAATAAACAGCGAATGCATTGATGCTTTTGAATCAGGATCAGTTATCATGGAAGATTTCGTGGTTTTAGACTGTCTGAGCAAGTCTAGTCATCCTCTATGTGATTGTGAATCGATATAGTCCAAATTTATTCGACAACGCAAATGCTCAAACGAAGTTAAAATGGTGGCTGCATGTGCGTGTTTTTTGGAAACTTATAGTAACATCGTGGTTATATTACCAGCGGGTTGTAAAAGTTAATATCAGACACTATGTTAAGAGTTGCTGGTCTCGTTTACAGGCTGCAGGGACTAAATTCGAGGACGTTGACTTGTCTGACGGGGAGTTTATGGAGTACGACGAGAAGGGAAAGTGCTCAGTCATGATATCGAACCTCAAATCTGGATTTGTGGTTGCAAAGGGGAAATGATTGGTCTTTCTGCATGCATCATCTGCAAATTTCATGCTAGCTCTACTACTACTACTGTCTTTGGGGTACATAAAAACTAACTCTTGTGAAGTGGTGGGGAAAGAGTGTTTACATTGTTCAGTGGGAGTGCATTTGGTTTTCAAGTGTTCTTCAGGAGTGTGTCTGAACTCCGATGAACTCATCAGTTGTTTCTGTATACAGATGATGCTCATGGCCCATGGGATTCCAGTGGGCAATTATTGCGGTTCCTCTGGAATATGAATCCAAATTTGAGTTTGCAGGAGTGGAGTGGGTATGACTTTATAAAGACTTGGTAGGAGAGCTAGAAAACAGCGGCGGCTCGTCGGGTTGGTTTGTGATTTCGATAGTAATAGGTTGCTTTGTGAAAGAAAAGAAGAGAAAGGGTGTTAAATATCAATCAATAGATAGGTGTTGAAGATGGATGGAAGTAAGTTGGTAGGTTGGTTTGGGCGGGTGAGATGGCAGCTAACCTAAGTTAGGCTTAGCTTCTGGAGGAGTCTAATGCCGCCATTTCACCAACCAAATGGATTCCCTTTTCAGTTCTCAAGAGAACAAGCATATAAAGCATCCTGCTGGGGGATAAGGTCGTCGGATTGCACGATCAGACCGATCGATATAACCTGTTAAATGCATGTGGCGACTGACATTTCTGTGTGCATTCGATAACTAAAAGAAATTACAGAAACAGAATGTATGATGTTACGAAATCAACATGTGTCGCGCTCGCGCCTTCCTCATTATCCAGCTAACTAGATTCAGATTTTTGCCCAAGCGAGTCACTGAAATCTGGCGAGTTTTCCGGTAACAAAGTCTTCCAATTGACACCCCTTTTATCCCTTTTCTTCTTTTTCCACAGTAATTCTTGTTTCCTTTCTTCCACCTTTTTGGAAGGGTTTTTTTTTTTTTTTTTGGCCCTGTCAATTAGAGGTGACGAAAGAAGAGGCTTTGGACGAGCCGGAGATTACGATACAAACCTCGCACCCAAGTCGACACTTCGGTCCTGCCAGCTCACCAAAGATGCGCCAAGGCCCAAGGCTTGAAAGCTCGCGGAAATAGAGTTTAAAAATTAATTAAAAAAAAGCGGAGAAAACAGATGAACAACAGGCGTCAAAATTATAAAAGAAAAATGGCGTGCGAGAAAGTAAAAGTGTAAAACATTCTCTCAACGATTTCAGGACCGTGCGGAAGCAAACCAACAAACAAGGCAAGGCCACCTTTCCCCTTTCCCCCCTCCCTCACCACCGCGCTTCCGGCCGGGAAACCTGCTCCAAAATCAACAACCACCTCCACCGCCGCCGTCGTTAAATTGAAGGAAGAGAAGATGACGGCTCGTTCCCCTATCACATTTGATTCCTGATTCCTTGCTCTACCTTAGATCTGTATGCACACAGTAAGCATCCCCGCTTCTTCCCCCGTTCGTCATTTCGAATTTCTTCCTTTTCGCTGATAATTTGATCGGAATCGTAACGAAAACAGGTGGGATTTTCTCCGATCACCGTCGCCGGAAGCTATGCAATCCCGAGTGGTGGTATCACTCGAGGAAAGCAACAAAGACTCAAATCCCCCTCCGCCTCCTTCAATCAAGACGGCGATCCCTACTCAATCCAGGGGATTCCCCTTGCGCATGCTCCGATTATTCTTTCTCTTCCTATCCCTATGCTTCGCATTCTCCTTCATCAGCATCTACGCAATCAGGCGGTTCGGAGTGCAGAATGTGGTCACCACCGTCAGGTCGGGCTTCATCCCCAGCTGCATTGGTGGTGCTGCCGCTGACTCTTTTGCGACGCTCGAGCGGTTTATCGCCCCACCATCGAACTTGCTCCACAGGATGAGCGACGAGGAGTTGTTCTGGAGGGCTACACTTGTCCCTCGAATACAGAAATACCCTTTCAGCAGGGTTCCAAAGGTGGCTTTCATGTTCTTGTCCAAGGGTCCCTTGCCCCTTGCACCTCTTTGGGAGAGGTTCTTCAGTGGTCATCAGGGGCTATACTCCATTTACCTACATTCCCTTCCTTCATTCGAAGCCAAGTTCCCACCTTCGTCGGTTTTCTACCGGAGGCAGGTCCCTAGTAAGGTGTGTGTCTGACTGTGAACCTCATGTGTTCTTGTTTCATTTTGTCGTTTTTCCTCCCGCATTTGGGTCTACTGTTTTTGTTATTGACAGTACTAGGGAAAGAATTGTACTTCGGGTTATCGGGTATGTACATAGCCATGACATGGTTCCTTTCACCACTTGTTTTGCTTACTGATTGAATTTGAAGGAGCAATGAGTCCTGATGAGAAATAATACAAGTGGTAAAATCTGACATCTATGGGGATTTCAGTTTATCTTTGTAAGGTTAGTTTGGCCCTGCTTTAGGTAGTGCTGATGGTTAACATGAACTTTTCATCTAGAATATCTCGATAGTTATGTATCGCCATTTCAATTTTTTCGAGAGTGCAGCATGTAGAGGTGCTGTGCTTCTAAAGTGAAAAAGGATGTCCTTTCTGTTTGTTCTTGAAATCAGTATCAGAAGGGAAAGCAGAGTGCATATTATCCAGTATGTTTCATACTTCTATTCTATATTTCCTTGTTTGTGTATGTTATATGTCGGATCTGAGAAACCTAGCCGTTATTATGTTCTGTGGTGCGCACATTTCATACTTGCATCTGTTCACTGTCCTGAGCTTTTAGTTGGAACTTTAGATGTAACTTAACCCTTACAACAGCAGAGAGTCCATCTTAAGCAAAGCAGCACTTATTTATACGAGAGTGCAGAGTTTAGCAATTAGGAGCCTTTAGTAGAGGGTATTGGTCATTTGACAACATATTACCATGGCAACATGTGTCTGCGTAATCCTGTTAACAACAATTTTACAAATTGCTAGATGTAGTCGATAGCCTATTTAACGAGGAATTTTGAGCTCATTTTGAAGTTACAAATCTGAGCTGGTAGAAGGCATACACGTCCTGTTCAGCTGTAAATTTGGGTTGTTTTGTGGTGAACATGCTGGATACCAATACCATAATGATGGCTCCCTATATTAAGATTGAGGAACTTTGTCTTAGTCTATTTGTTAAGTTTCAAGTATAGGGCTCAACTCAATCATGCAGAAACCAAATTCATGTTGACAGCGGTCACAGAAACCGTTACATTTTCTACTATGATTGTGCAGGTCTCCGAATGGGGCAAGATGAGCATGTGTGACGCCGAGAGAAGACTCCTCGCCAACGCACTGCTCGACATCTCAAACGAGTGGTTCATTCTCCTCTCAGAATCATGCATCCCTCTCTACAATTTCAGCATCATATACCGCTACATAAGGAGTACAAACCAGAGCTTCATGGGCGCGTTCGATGATGAGGGGCCCTACGGGAGGGGCCGGTACAACGAGAACATGGCCCCCGAGGTGAACATCACACAGTGGCGGAAAGGCTCCCAGTGGTTCGAGTTAAGAAGAAACCTTGCTGTCAGCATAGTGGAAGACACAAAATACTACCCTAAGTTCGAGGAGTTCTGCAGGCCAAACTGTTACGTCGACGAGCACTACTTCCCCACAATGCTGACAATCGAAGCACCGAACGAGCTGGCGAATCGGAGCATCACGTGGGTTGACTGGTCACGAGGCGGGGCACACCCAGCCACCTTCGGAGGGGCGGATATTACGGCAGAGTTCTTCAAGAAGATATACGACTCGCAGAAATGTAAGTACAATGATCGGGAAGAGTTCCAGATTTGTAATCTCTTTGCGAGGAAGTTTTCGCCGAGTACTCTCGAGCCGTTGCTGCACATTTCTCAGCAGGTGCTGGGATTCTGAAAGTGTGGTGGTGAGTGAGATGTGACTCGGTTTCTCGATCATTCTTCTTCTGGGTTTGCCATATATCGTTTGTTGTTACACAGTAGTAGTTTTCGTCACCACCTTGCTTTTATGTGAGAGCATATGCATGTAATGGTGCTGTGGCTGAGCTTGTTTCCATAGGTTTGCAGTCTGTTTTTTTTTTTTCTTCTTCTCTCCTGTAGATGTACAGAAGACTACAACATATGGTTAGTTTTAGGTTATGAGTAGAAGGTAGAGTTTTGACTACTGGGAGTGATTGGCTAACTAAACCGAACTTCAAGGATCCCCAGCCGGGTTGGTAGACAGTTTGCCTAGTGAAATGGCTTTGATTCCTTTCTCTGTTTGAGCTTCGTTTCTTCTAGTAGAACCCTATTAGACACGGTCACGGATCTTTGCTGAAGTAAATATGAGATTGATGAGGGTATATATATGTTTATATGTTTCTTGAAATTACAGTATTTTTAAAAGAAAATTATTCTAATAAAATTTCGTGTAACCATATATTTTAACAAAGTAAACCCAAATGTTTCATATAAAAAAAAAAATGCTTGTGTACCATTATATGAATTCTTAATATTCTGTAGAATACAATATTTTTGAAAACATGTATTATTTGCTTGCCGCCGGCTGCTACTCCGGCGCCACGCGATGGTCCTAGCCCTCCTCCAACCTCATCGGTGGCGGCAGTCCTCGTTAATTGGTGGGTTGCTGCGTGCATGGGTGGAGCCGCAACGATCGGATTGTTAGTTGCAGGTGGAGTTGGTCATATGTAACAATCCGAGACACGATGATTTTAACTAGTAGATGGCAGGCATGGGTTTCGTTTTGTAGTTGTGTCTTCTTTTTTGGTTTGAAAGTCACATTTTTCTGAGGAGATTTCTTATCCTTATTGGTTGGATATTGGACGATCTCTTAACTAGAACTAGAGTAGTATGCTAATCTATTTTGTTTTAGTTTTGTTGTTTCCATTTGAGGTAATAAGATTGTTAATTTATTATATATGTGGGTAAGTTTGATCGAATTTGCAGATAAATCCAAAACACAAGTTGTATTGTCTAAAATAAAGAAATGATGTGGAGTGATACCATTTGTTCTCAACGATTTTTCAATAGGTCATGCACTCATGCTAGTTTCTTCTAATCGTTTGTCAAATCATTCACAAACTTGCCAACATAATCGATTTAAAATTTTTATTTTTATGATGCATTATAGTTATAGTTCTACATATTATCGTATGATATATATTTGTGATTCCTCGAATTTATAACTATAATATAGATGTGAAAAGATTCTATAATAAAGTTAATTCGACAAATATATTTGGATCAGGCCTTATCATTACATAATTCGATATGAATACCATCCTCACAAAAAATACATATGGAATAAATATGTTATTTCACCTAAGGAACTTGAATCAAATTAAATATATTTTCAATAATTATCACTCTCAAATCTTATAACGTCAGCTCGATTTTATCCCGAGTCAGCCCAGTCCGGTCCGGGCTTTGGAACACCACCGTATAGAGTGATGGTTAAAACGACGCGTTTTTAAACTTCGTCAGCAGAGCACAGTTTCGCACTTTCGCTTGCGTGCGACACGTTTCCAGAAATTTCTTCTCCTCCTTCGCTTCGAGCAGGGAAGGCAGACAACCACCGAATCGGAGGAGAAGAAGAAGAAGAAGAAAAATGGCTTGTACGCACGATCACAGCTGCGAAGATCACGATTGCTCTTCTGATTGGTCTCTCTACAAACATATAGACCTCGCTAAGGTGAGAATTCACCCGCTCCAGTGGCTTCCTTAATTTCCGCTGACTATAGCTCCGTTGCAATATCGATGATTCTACGAAGAGGCATTCCAATTTGCCGATGGGAACACAAGCCGCCTTTTGTCTCTCCAGTATTCTTTGAATTCGATTTCCAGCAGCTTATGATCTTACTTGGCATTTCCCATTTGTGCAAAATTTCTAGGTTTCGGCACTGAATGAAGCAGTTCCGGGAAGTGTCAAATCGGTCTTCAAAGCTTGGGAGCACCGCCTGAACTTCTCTGGGGTAAGCTGAACTCCACCTTACTCATTTACGTTTTTGTTGTGTGTTTATGGTTCGATTGAACTGCCAAAACCTTGTTGTCAAGACGGCATTTGAAGCATACATGTATAGTCATAGTCTGAAGAAGATGGGAATATAAACGTTTCTTATCTTGTGATTGATCTTTTTGCCCATGCCAGGAACTCTTGCAAAGCAATGATGGTGATTCTGAACTGCTTGTCTATGTCCCGTATGTCTTGCTAATTCTCTGCTCTTTTTTATGTATCCCAGCTTGATCAACCAATGGGTCGGTTATTAGTCGTCAAATTGGCTTCCTGTGAAAACAGTATTCAACCCTGATATAGAGCAGTGCTGACTGCTGTGTATTGAATCTTAATCTGCAGCTGTTCAAATTCCCAAACAGTCATTTTCCCTCATTATCTGCAAAGTCTTACTCTGTCTACTTTTTTGGCTATTCTAAATTCCTATTTCTCAGTGTCAACTATTAGTATGCTTCCATTTCTTTTGTTTTTTTGGATGCCTTATTTTTACTTTACTGACTGCAGGTTCACATCTGATGTTAAGATCAAGAGCATCTCTATTGTTGGTGGACCAGAGCGAACAAGTCCTTCCAGAATGAGAGCGTAAGTTTCATTTACATGTTTTCTTCGGTATATCTGTTCCTTTGTTGCATTAATCAATAATGTTTCAAGGTAGAATTACAGAGGAAACATTTGCCTTTGAATTTGTGATTACATACAATGAAACTTACATGCCTGCATAATGTTAGTCAAACTGATGGAACATACAGAACTATTTCAATGCATTCTTGTGCTGATATGTTAATTGGCTTGGTGTTATGGAAGAAATACCTTGTACCATCCAAATGCCGTGCTGAATCAGTCTTACTGGTATCTTCCAAGGCTCAATTTGCTGTGCTCTGTTTTTATGTGCCATCTTTTTTACGTTGTATTTTCTTTTGGATACGAAATTGTGACTAAAGGTTGAAATCCCCTTTGCTTGTTTATTCCTCTTCTGCTGATACTTGTACAATGTTAGATAGATCTCACGTTTAAGAAGATGAACAACCTCGCCTTTTTTAGATAAAATTTCTAAATTGCTTGTATATCTGAACTTCGATTGCTGTTTTGAATTCTATGTGCAGGTTTATCAATCGAGAAGGAATGGATTTCTCTGATGCTCAAGACATGCAAGCGGTGCAGGTGTTTTGAATTTCTTCTACTTACTACTAATGAGAGCTTGATCAACTCTAGTATTTTTGCCTTACATGGTCCTAGTTCTTTTCTCTATAAGGAATGGGAGTTGGTTGAAAATTTGCAAGGAGTGCTGGAGTACCAAACTAGGTAACTCTTACAAAATAGTTTCGAAGTTGTTGAACTGGAAATAGCTTAATCATGGCCTTATCTTTCCTAATGTCAAATAACTTTTTGGTATACCAGGTATGCCAAATTCCAGGGAGTGTCAAGTATCACATTGCACTTTCCCGATAATCTTGGGGGAGATACTACACAGATACACTACATCGGTTTCAAAGGCGAAGCCACTAAGGTAACTACATTGCATGAGTGTGATCTCTTGCTCCTGCTTCTGTCAGAATCGAATGTTCGCCATCTCAACTTAAACCGAATGTTCTTTGTCCGTGATAATAAACAGTTGAAGAGGGATACTGTTGCAACGATCGTGTATGAACTCAGGCCAAATCCTTCCGACCATAAGTAAGTTATCTTCTACACCCCACTCTGCTTTGTATTTTCGGAGTTGTCTGTGGAAGGTGGAGTCACCATTTTTCGTTCTGTTTGCTTCAGGACGAAGGCTGAAACTGGTGGTGGTCTTTCTAATGTGGGATGAGGAAAATGTGTCACATGCTTTTGCTAATAGTAGACAAGTAATTGCTCAACCTTCTTGCCCTGACGATGAGAATCTGTTACTATGTGCCCGGGATCGTCCTTGTTTTGGTTCCTTGTTGTCTTTCTTCTTGTTATCTTAGTTGTGTACTTGCTAACCCGGAAAGCAATCACGGGAATCTGTTCTAGTTGAGTGATATCTGTACAAATAGATAAGGGACGTAGAGAACAAACCTCTTTAGGATAATCAATCTTTATGGTATTTATGGACATCCCTTTCCACCCCAACCCCACAAAGCGGGACCGATTTGGGCAACAACCAAATTGTAACGAACAGAAGACAGCTTATGCCGAAACTTGGGATGCCTGAACACAATATCCGGCGGGCTGCTCGTGGCCGGAAAACATAAAGCTGGGAGGAAGTGCCGGCTTGCAGCCAGAGATGGAAGAAAGATTTGCAGACAGAGTCCTGTGGGCTGAACGGAAACCTGAGCACTGGGGCGGATGCCGGAACAAGTGAACGAAACAAAGCGGAACAAGAAATGGGCCGAAGCCAGTGGCAAACTTGAAAATACCTCAATCTCTTGGGGACGTTACTGATACTTCGGCGCTTTTATTTTGGAATTGAGCCTCAAATTCAATTATTTTGGACCAGGCCGGAAGTCCAATTCCATTCGCGCATCCCTGTGCCGATGCAAAGGAGGAAACCCGCGCTACCACCGGCGTTCCAAAATCCGTCTCCAAAGCCAAGTTCATCCGTCAAAGTTTCCGCAAAGCCTTTCCCTTGACCCACACTCAGAGTTCGGATATTACTGACCTAGCAGTGGGAAGGCTCTCCCGTTCTTTCGTCGTCTGTGAAGTTGTCTGGTTTAGTTCCAGACGTGTCAACAATGACAGGTATTCTTCCTGCTTGTTCTCATTTGGCAGCTCTGCAACATGGTTGTTGCAGCCATTCTTACGCTATAGTTCATGGCTATACAAGTAATAGTCTGCAATTCCCTCATTGGCATGGTGCAAAGTGTGGGAAGATCCATACTGCACGGCAAGTGTTCGATAAAATGCATGAGAGGGATGTAATCTCTTGGAATGCAATGATAGATGCTTATGGGGTTCACGGGCTCGGAAAGGATGCAGTTTCACTTTTCCAAAATTTGCAGCAGGTTGAAGAAGGCATGAAACCTGATTACGTGACATTCATTTGTCTATTATCTGTTTGCAGCCATTCAGGACTCGTTGCGGATTGGGAAAATGGTTTGGTTCCATGACCCGAGATTTTGAGATCTCCCAAGGATGGATCACTATGTATGCATGACCAATTTGCTAAGCCGGGCTGGGCATTTTGAAGAGGTTTACAAGTTCATTCAAGATATGCCATTCAAACCCGATGTTCGTGTGTGAGGAGCCGCATTGGCTGCCTGCAGGATACACAAGAATATTGAACTTGGAGAAGCAGCGTCAAAGGAAATAGCTGTTAGGGCCAGAATCTACAGGGAACTTTGTTCTTCTATCCAATATGTACAGCACCATTGGCAGATGGGATGATGCAGCACAAGTGAGACTCGCGCAGAAGGAAATGGGATTTGCTAAAAGTGTCCTGGTTGCAGTTGGATCGAGGTTGGTGGGATTATTCATGCATTTGTTGGTCGTGGGGATAGGTCTCATCCACAATCAGAAGAGATAAACAAGAAACTGGATGAAATGCAAGTGGAGATGAAGAGGCTGGGATACCGTGCTGAATCGAGCAATGTTTTCCATGATGTTGAAGAGGAAGAAATGGATAATAAGATACAGTCAGGGATGCTAGTCGATTCCATCATTTCAAAGATGGAAATTGCAACTGCGGAGATTTCTGGTAAATGACAGCAGTTATTGCAATTTGTTACTACCCATATAGTGTTTCCTTCTTCCAAGCACTACCCGTTAAAGCTAATCAATGCACATTACTCTATAAATTCAAAACCAAAAGTGAACGGAAACCACTACAGAACAGTTGACACACCAATCCTTGAGGCTCAATAGCACTGGGTAGTGGTTACCACTTCAGTTTTACTTTTGATTGCAGCTAAGCACCTGCGGTCAGTTTCAGGGAGTATCGCTGCTCATCCCCGTCGTCGCCCTCGATCACCTGCTGGATCAAAAGGATTTGAAGAAGGAGATAGAGAAGCCAACTCTGTCTCGGACACTCTTTAGTACGCTTCTATGTATCTTTTATTTGAGTAGGACTGTGGGGACAAGACTCTTTTGTCGATATGCAGAGATATGGTAAGATCTCAACACAGGAGAAAAGTACCCATTTCTCCTAAATCGATATCAGCCAGCCACACAGCTGGGCCTGCCCTGCTCTTCCCATTTACGTATTCTTGTTGGTGGCAGAGCGGAAGTGGGGAGTATACTATACCCTCTATCATTAGCATATAGTTGGTACGGCCACGGCAAGAAACCAGAGGATGCGGCATTTGCAAACGTTGCTGTTGCTGTTGGTATTCTGGTTGGTGGTCAATCATGGAGTTGCTGTTGTTCATTCTGCTGCTAGAGGGGAACAGAAAAAGGAACAGAACTACGAGAAGCTGCAGTCAGCTGTGGGAGATCCTGGGATGTCAAGAGATGGACTTAGAGTGGCGTTCGAAGCTTGGAACTTCTGCAATGAAGTTGGCCGACAAGAAGACGAAGATCCTGTAATGGGAAGCCCTAGAGCTGCTGATTGCTTCGATTTCACCCCTGCGCCAGATCAACCACCCACTTCCAACGACAGCTACAGTACGCCTCTCTCTCCCCTTTCTCTCAAAATCAATCATCTTTTCAAATGTTTGTAAAACTGTAAAAAAAAAATTGTTACGGATGTTGAACCAATGAAGCCAATAGTTAAAGGTACTATAGCAAAACTGTCAAATAATTAGGATAATGTAATGGACTGGTGTATTCATTTTGTCTTTTTAATTATCTGGCTTGCATCAGTTTTTAACTTATATAGCAAAGTTTTATTAGATGAGATTTCGTATCCGAATCACGATAACATCTAAATATTAAATAGTAAATTACACGGTTAATTGTTGGTAGGAGAATCTCTACAAACCCAACTTTATGTGGCACGTGAAGAAGTGGTACAGGATTGATTTTTATGCCTCAAACTCTTATTCTTTCCATGAAAATTGACAACACCGCAAGGAATGGTATAACAGTAAATTTCCAGGCTTTCTAAATGGTAACTTATTCTAATTAATCTACCCCTCTCTGTGTGTGTCTTCCTTCTCCAAAAGGATCAACAAACAGGGGAGTGGTGGAGCACAAGGTAACAGAAGCCGATAACAAGCTTGGAACAGGAGACCCTTTTCCAGGATTACCCCAAGAAGCTCTCAACAATCCAGATCTTTACGCTGTGCAGAAGGAGCTCTACCTTGGCTCGTTATGCCAGGTGGTCTCCAATAACAACAAGCCATGGCACTTCTGGATGATTATGCTGAAAAATGGCAACTATGACACCAATTCCGGGTTATGCCCAGAGAATGGGAAGAAGGGGGCTCCTTTCAAGCCAGGGAGATTCCCTTGCTTTGGAACTGATTGCATGAACCAACCCACTCTTGGTCATCAGCCCACTCAGGTTGATTTTGATGGTTGGCTCAGGGGAAGGTTCAATGGCACCTACGATTATTACAATGGGACTGGTGATGGATCAATTTCCAGGTATGAGGTTGTTTGGGAGAAGAGAGTAGGGGTCGGGAGTTGGGTTTTTCACCATAAGCTCAAGACTTCAAAGAAGTATCCATGGCTGATGCTGTACCTTCGAGCTGATGCTACTTCGGGGTTCTCTGGTGGGTATCACTATGAGACCAGAGGCATGCTCCATACTGTGAGTTTTTCCTCCAGATTCCCTTCCCCATTCTCTATTCTGTACTTGCAATCGAACCTGTGACAGAGCTGAGAGCTCGTAGTTTTTTTCTCTGGTTTCTATCATCATGAGTTTGATGAGATCCCCTTAACCTTTTGCCTTGGTTATGTTAAACTGTTACGACATTGATTATAGGAGGATACTGGGGTTCAGTCTGACTCAAATTACTATGGCGTAAGCTTCATTTTTTATGAGGGTCCCTCTCATTAAAAATTTCGAGTTATTGGACGATTTGGCATTGATATATCATGAGAGCTATATGAGCTAAAGGTCTCATATACGAATCCTCATAAAGCTATCAATATTCCTGGTTAATCTAATAAGCAGATCGTGAAATGGGTTTGAACAAATTTCAAACTCAATTCAAGATCGGATTTCAGGCATATTAGTTGCATGCGAATATTCTTTTCGTTGTAGTAGATGTTTCATGTTGCTAGGCTGTGTGCCATGAATCCCTTCTATCACGAATTCATGATTGACCTGACAATTGTGGTGAGCAGGGTTTACCTTCGTTTTCATGCTGCCTTACTTGGGCTATACAATAATGAGGGATCTTTTCAGGAAATTTTGCGCTTCGTCTCCTTTGTATTTCCTTGAATGAACAAGCTACCAGGTTTAGATACTTTATTATTTGTTCCTGCAAACAAATTAACCAGTGTATGCTTACAGTTTGCAAAATGTATGCAGCTGCCAGAGTCTCCAAACTTCAAGGTGAAGCTGACACTGGACATCAAACAAGGTGGAGGTCCCAAGAGCCAGTTCTACCTGATCGACATCGGCAGCTGCTGGAAGAACGACGGATCTCCTTGCGATGGAAATCTGCTCACTGACGTGACACGATACTCGGAGATGATCATCAACCCAGAAATAGAGCCATGGTGTAACCCAAGCAACCCATACCTTTGCCCTCCTTTCCACATTACCCCGAACGACACCAAGCTGTACCGAAACGACACCGCCAACTTCCCCTATGGTGCCTATCACTTGTACTGCGGTCCAGGAAATGCCAAGTTCCTCGAGGAACCCTTCAGCATGTGTGATCCTTACAGCAACCCACACTCTCAAGAGCTGGTTCAATTGCTACCTCATCCTGTTTGGGGAAGCTATGGCTACCCTACCAAGCCAGGGGATGGATGGGTCGGAGATTCAAGGAGCTGGGAGCTTGATGTTGGGGGTGTGGCTAGTCGCCTCTACTTTTACCAGGTCATGATCATGCTTCAATTTACGTCATTTATGTTAACCAAACTTGTCTCGTCTCTGGTATTGGTTAATGGGAGGTGATCTGTCGAAGATAGACGAAATGATTGTCGTCGTGTTAGAAGAATCTGATACAATAATACGATACATTGATGGTTTGCAGGACCCAGGCACTCCACCAGCAAGAAGAATCTGGACGTCCATTGACGTTGGGACAGAGATCTATGTGAGTGATCACGACGAGGTTGCAGAGTGGACTCTAAGCGACTTTGACGTCATCCTCACGTAAGTGAATCATGAGGTGTTTTGATTAATCAACAGCTAATCACTGATTAGGTGTGTTGCTTTGTTTAATTAGTGTGGTTTTTTTTTTTTTTTTCAAGTGCAGTGGGCAAGTTGGAGATGGAGCAATGGGTGGTGAAGCAGGGATGATGACTCATACCTTGTGAGAAAGGGAATTTGCCACCAAAAATTATACACGTGGTCTCTGGACAAGTCATTATAATGACCTTAAGAGTAACGGTCACTAGTTACAAAGTCTTCTCATAATTGATGGCAATTGGTGTACTGTAGAAGTTTAGGGCCAATAAAATTGTGGGACGGGTGGCAAGAGTTGATCGGAAGCAAGCATCAGATAAAAGCACTGAAGACACTTTTTTCAGGTCTCGTTTTCAACTGAAAACAAGTAATCGACTTATATCTCATCCGTTTTCTTGCTCAAGTCCGCTAACAATTACCATAGGAATGATTGGCGTCCATTGTGAGATAGTTTGAGTAGGAAAAGATCTTTCGATTTTGTTGTCGTCCTTAGGACTCGGAGTAGACCCGACTAAGGCACCCCATGATCACTTGCTTGTTATCGATATAGATTCCATCAGTGCCTCTCACGACTGAAATACTATCATGACTGGATGTAGTGGCAACAAAAAGATGAATATGGTGAGTGATTGTGGCATTGAAACCCTCCTCAATTCACCTATAAGTGATCGGGGGACCTGCGCTCAACCGTTGAGGCACCAAAAGGTGGACATGAGAGAAAAACTTGTTCAACGGAAATATGAGAGCCAAAAATATGACGATATTTGACAAAAAACTTGTTCGTGTTTTTAAAACTTACAAAACGTAACGATCTTGCCATTGATTAATGAATTGTTAGCCATATAATAGGCAATGAGAGATTCTAAGATTTCAAGGGTTGTGCCAATATAGAATACAAATCCCGCCATCCTTCCAACTTTACATCATCTCATATGAGAACTGCCCATATGGCGAGCCTCCTGCTCCATATCCAACTTACGGCAATGTGACAAGGGCATTTTGCACCCACTACCATTAGTCAATTATTATTAGGTTTTGCAGATGGGAGTTAGGTACAAAACTCTTACCATATATAGACGTCATATGGCTATTGCCTGTAACGCACTTCTTTCCAAAGCTGTCACTTAAACAAATTTACGGTATCCCATAGTAAGAGATCTCTTCCTTTGATTCCCTTAACGGCTCATTCTCCTCACTCAAATCACATGCAAAAAAAAAAAGTTCTGATCACCTGCCTACCTTAGTAATTAGTTTACCTTATTTACAGAACCTCTCAACGGGCCTTGATACTACGTATTTTCTCTCGTGTTTTGATCTCAACGATACGATATTTTTGTGAATAGTTCATCACATCTGTCGTTCAAAAACATAACATGAATCATCCAATAATATCAATACATGCATCGAACATATTGATCTTATTTATTTACATATCTTATCAACACTGAAAGGATCTAAATACAACTCTGGTTTAAAATGATGCATCTAACATATTGATTTTATTTACATATCATAACAACCCTGAAAAATGTCTGGCTACACCCGGGTTGAATTAAAATTATTAGTATATGTTGTTATCTCGCACTTCCTCCCGTAAGTCGAATTCAACAGAAAAACATTTATTATAAACGCGCTGCTACGGATCGGGAAATCGCCGGAATCGATAAAGCAAGAATACGAAAGCGAGAATCGAAAAAACACAGACACACGATTTACGTGGTTCACTAACACGATGTGTGTTAGCTACGTCCACGGGTGAGAGAGAGCCAGTTTCACTATATTGAGGAGATTACAGATTACAGAGAAGAATGAGAAGTATTTATAGTACTTCTCCATGTGGGTCTAAACCTAATCCAATCTGGCAAAGGAAACGGTTACAGACCAGGCCCAGAACCCGAACCCAAATAACATTGAGTCCATACACCGTGGGCCGGGGGCGTTGCCCCTGGACCCCACATACACCGTGGGCCGGGGGCGTTGCCCCTGGACCCCACTCGCTGACCGGGCAGCGAGACCCCCGATTACCAGTCGTAGCGGCTGATAGTCCGATTCAAGTCACATCAACAACAGTCTTGTGAATAATTTATCGCAATTATTGATATTCGATAACGCAACAAAAGTCATCGATAATATCACAACATGCATCGAACACCTTCCTCGAGTAGAGCCCAAATTGAGAAGAGAACAACACAAGAGGGTTGGAGAAGGCGGGAATTAGAAAAAGCTTATCCTGTATATCTACTCTCCATAACAATGAAGCCAAAAATTAAAACATAAAAAAGAGCAATTAAAAAAAAAGAAAAGAGTTGTCGGAGTTTCTACATAGAGATTGTCGCTTTCAGACGGTCTTCCACGTAACCGTTACAAACGGAGTCGTCGCCGTTCTCTCCTTGCCAAGTCCACACGATGTCCTTCAACGCCGGCCTGGCGTCTTCTTCGCAGAACTTCACATACTCCAAAGTGTCGCCGGCCGACTTCGAGAACTGAACGATCGCCACCTCCGGCGCTACCTCGAAAACCTCCGCCGTCACCGTCAGCCTTCCTTTCCTCCCTTCCGTTCCCCCCGTCAAACTCATCTTGAAATCCTTCACCCTGCCAACCCTAAAATTAATCCCCTTAGCGAACCCTTCCATCCGCTCCATAATCGCCGCCGCCGAGCACCTCGAAGTGAACATCGACCCCCGCCGCCGTCGAGTGTTCTCGAATAGACTCGACAGGTCGAATCCCGACGACATCGACGAGATGAATTGAAACGCGTTGAAGAATTTCGGCGATGAAATCTTCGTCGCCGAAGGAATTGACGAAGAATTGACAATCCCGTCTTCTTCTCCTTCTCCTTCATCTTCTTCCTTCTTAGGGATTGAAAACACCAGGGGAACGGAAAATCCCTTGCGAAACCAAGGCACGCGCATGATCGCCGGAATCGTAATCCTCCTCGACGGATCAGCCACCAGAAGCTTCGAGATCAACCTCCTCGCCTCCACGGAAACCCACGGCGGACACTCGAACTCCGCCTTGAAAACCTTGCTATACATCCTCATCAAATTCTGATGCTGAAACGGGAGAAACCCCGAGACGAGAACAAACAAAATCACACCGCACGACCACAGATCCGCCGCGGCGCCGTCGTACCCCTTCCTCCGTAGCACCTCCGGCGCCACGTAGGCAGGGGTCCCACACTGCGTGTGCAGAAGCCCGTCGTTCCGCAGCTGCTCGGGCAGAGCAGAGAGGCCGAAATCGGAAACTTTCAAATCCTCGTTATCGTCAAGGAGCAGATTCTCCGGCTTCAGATCCCGATGCGAAACCCCTCTGCTGTGGCAGAAATCGACGGCGGAGATCAGCTGCTGGAAATACTTCCTCGCCGTTTCCTCCTTCAATTTCCCCTTCGCTACTTTCGCGAAGAGCTCCCCGCCTTTCACATACTCCATCACGAAGAAGATTCTGGATCTGGTCGCCATGACTTCCTTCAATTCGACGACGTTTGGATGCCTGACGAGGTGCATGACGGAGATTTCTCGCTGGATCTGCTCCATCATGCCTTCTTTCTTCACCTGCTCTTTGTTCATCACCTTGATCGCCACGCTCTCTCCAGTGGACTTGTGCTTGGCGTAGTAGACTTTGGCGAAGGTTCCTTTCCCCAGCATCCGGCCCATCTCGTATTTCCCCAGCACCACCTGCCGCATGCTGTCGTCGTCGGCCGCCGCCGCGTCCATTGTTGTTTTTTTGCTTTTGCTCTGCTCAGTTCAAGTGATTGGTAGAGAAGGAATGGCGGTTTCAGTGTTGATTAGAGACAGAGAGAGGACTGAGTTGTGAGTTGTGTGAACTCGTGAGCGAGTGTGGAGTGGGGATTAGAAATGTATAGAGGGAGGGATGGAGTGGCCAATAGATTTGGTTGGAGAGGAGAGGAGAGGAAGGAAGGGGGATGGGATTTGAAGCTGGGAGTCGCGGGCACCTGGTATTCTTTTTGTTTTCTGGGAAGAGGGTTGAAGTTCCATGTCGCTTTCAAACGTGGCCAAAGGTTATATCATATATTATTGGGGGTTCACATTATTTTATGTATGTGGTAATATTATTTGATTCTAAATGATATTATTACATAAATATTAATTATATATGGAAAGATTATTAAGGTGGAAAAAGTGGTTCATTAAATTTGAGTAATTGGTTATTAACACAGGTATTAGATTATATTATGTTCGAGACTTGATTGTCTTTGGCAGTATTAATATGTTAACAATTGAGGAAAAACGACTAGTATGAACTAACATGTACAAATTTCAAGCTCATGAATGAGTTGTTTTTTATATGATGGAGTTTATAAGAAAATTAATAACATATAGCAATCACGTGATTAGTATCTGTAAAAGAAATTTCCTTCTGAATTGGCGAATTTAGTGTGCCAAATTGAAACCAATTAGGTACATCAAAACTGGGAAAAAAACATTTCATAGAGTTTGATTAGTTGTAATAAATGATAAAAAACACGTTTTTTTTACGCATACTGAACACAAACCAGACCGTTAACCGATCAACCCCCAAACTTTACTATCTTAACTTATTAGGTTAGTTAAAATAATGATCTAAATGATTCGGACGAGAAAGAAAAAAAGACAATGCAAACCACAATGATTATTTCAACCATACTAGTGTAGTTACAATCCGAGTTGTTGCGAACTCGTGAGCGATTGCGTGGGAGTTGGGGATTGATGGGTTAATATAAGCTTTCTGGAATTAGTTGGAATTTTTTGAAATTTATGTGAGCTACCGATGATCCAACTCGGCTCAACCCAAGCGAGCAATACTGAATCAAGTAAGGGATTGGACAAGGTTGGGCCAGATTAATGGGGTTTTTTTTTTCGGGCAAGAGCCAAACCGGGTCCATTTTCGGGCCTATAAAAAAAAAAAGTACAGATCGAGCGGCCAATGGATTCGGTTTACCTGTGGGGGGATGGATTAGAGGAGCGTATGGTGGGAGAAGGTGGCACCTAGTATTCCCTTTTGTTTCCTAACCTTTTATTTCTGTGTTGGGGTTTCAGTTCGATGTTGCTTTCAAACGTGGCCTAGCGGTTTATGACTGAAAAAAATGGGCCATTCATCAAAATTTCGTTAGAGTTTGGAGTAACTAGTATAACCGATTCTCGTTGGTTTTCTTTTCTTTCCTCTTTTAGTTCACATATAATTATGTTGATTTTTTTATGTATGTTCATATCGATCAGCTCACTTTCGTTTACCTCAATTTTAATAATTAATGACATAGCTATACTGGATATATTTTTCAAATAAATTTAAAGTGTTTTATAAATGGCGCATACGCCAACAAATATTTGTAACGTCGTGTTACGCAAATAAAACCGATCGGGGGATTCCAAATAACGATGTGTTGGTTGTGTAGATATATCGGTTAAATTTAGCTTCCACGCCTTTTTAACCACTAATGACAGAGATAATAGTCTCATAGATTCCGAGTAAGTTTTCAATCGGTAGTTTAATCAACTCATCATCGGAAAGTCCAAAGAGAAGCAGTTGACTCATTCCTATCTTCATAATGCCAATCAGATTAAATTGTCGTTTTGTAATATCACTTTTTCTTACTGGCAGTTTATGACTGGACCAGATGTGGAAAATATCAGGGGAGAAACAAGAAATATATATATAGTGGTGTCTTCGGTGCACTCACTTTTTTGTGTGCATTCAGTGCACTCACTTCATAACCGTCATTTCAAACATGCGATTTATGTCAAAATGATGTCATTCATCACTTATAATGTGGTGAACAATAACGCACATCAATTTGCATAAAAACCATTGAAGATTTACTTTAATTTGAAAGATTTAGAGTTTAGAGATTTAGGGTTAGGGTTAGGGTTTACAATTTGGGGTTTAGGGATAGAACTCAAAATTGGAGATCTAGGGCTTAGGGTAATCCACTAATTAGTTGTTATCATATGTTATATCATCATATTACACAATTTCCACAAATTAAAATTCAAAAACCGACACCTTAAGACTAGTTTTTGAGTTGGGTGCATTGAACGCACTCATTTTTGTGAGTGCACCGAAGTAGTCACCATATATATATATATATAATTATATTAGTGGAAGTGTGACGAATCAGAAGGAGCTTAATTAAAAATAATAGTGTTAGTAAATTACGATGGAACTTGTTGGGTTGTTCATTTGTTATTTGTTAAGAGCTAATCAACGAACTGTTATAGATATGTGTCGTTTTTTTTACAGTATCTGCTGTGAGATTTTGGTTGATTGATTTAGTAATTAAATAAATTGTATTCAAAATCTACTTTGTTTATTTATCTATAAATAGAACAATGATAATAATGATGGCCCATTTCACTTTCAGCTGAGATGAGATGTGAATGACCAAGTGTCATGTTTGGATAAGAGAAGAGACCAAAGGGATTAGATATGAAGGGGAGGGAACAAAACTACAAAATGGGAATGGGATGGAACTTGGAATCAAGTGAACGTGTAGTAATATCATAGTTAACCTTATTTAAACTAGCTAGGGAACAACTAATTGTATGGATAAGTCATGCAATTAGAACACAAAATGATAGATTAGGGATATGGAGGGGGTGATCGTGTTGCGACGGCAATTGGATGAAAAAAAGTATATTGGAAGTTAAGAACTGTAGAGCAAAAGAGTTTGTTTCTCTGTTTGCGTATTGTAGAAGATTTTTGTTGTTGATGATTGATTGAGGTAAATTGTCCGACTGTAGTGGTGAAGGTAAACATTGAAACCAATTCTTGCTTGAAGTTGGAAGAGTAAGTTACTCGATAATAAGATCAATTTGGAGGCTAAGAGTCGCGATGGATTTTCATGTGTTGGTTTCCTGTAGCCATGAACTGCAACCAAGCTGCTCGTGTGATGATTTCCAATTTTTGGGTATCGAAGATATCCGAATAGACGGACTCATCAATCTTCCTATACTGCAATTGCATATGGATAAAAGTGCATGATATGAAACAAGAGAAAAACAAGTGGCAACACTGATTCTTTTATTTTTTTCCCGTTATTTCCACAAAGTAATTCCAAGATTAGTAACTAAGGTTGTTGTTATAGGATCTAACGAAAAGGTTAATTTTCGTTTTTATTCCTACCGTGTAAAGGGCCGGGTGACATAAGCATTTGGCCAACAGTAATCCCTACATATTTGATTCAAAGCGAACAACGTCTTAATAATGTGCGGTATCCAAACTAAATTATTCGATTTAGTGTGATTGTTCCCTAACAAACCAAAATTCCTTGACATAAAAAGGAGGAGATAAGTAAAGTATCATGGGCAGACACAAAACGATTATAAAGTTGTGTCCACCTCTTGGTGAGGGAGTTCCCTTCCTCCACTAATGATTTTAAAATGTAACGATAAGAATAATAATTGAGGGGTTATGGGTCCCGTGATTATGGCGACAAGAAGGAAATGGGAGAGAGATATTAAACACACCTACATAAAACCAAACTAGGAAAGCATATTATTAGTTAAGTTTGTGCCTTTAAATTGGGAATAATAATAATAATTAAGTCGATAAGCAAGACAATTGCGCGGGCTTTTTAGGTACTGATAGAGACCTCCAGCACTACCTTAGGTGCTTCATTGTACACATAATTCAGACCATTTGTTGTATGTCGCTTTCATTTGGTGTATATATTTTTTTTTTTAATTAGGGTCGACTTGTTAATGGTAGCTGAAAGGTGATTTTTCTTATATGGTGATATTGGTTTAGTTTTTATTGGTAGGTGTTAATTAAGGGATTTGAACCTCAAATCTTTAAATTGGAGACCAACGGTAAAACTACTAATAAGTCCTTGTTGGCATCTTAGATGAGGTGAGAGATGAGAATCTACAGGGGAAAGGGAGTTGACATTTCCCATGATCTCGTACTATGTGTTTGGTGGTGGAGTTAGAAATTTGAACGAGGAGAGGTCAAACGATGAAGTTCCAGCAATTTGAACCCTAGAAATCAAGTTAGGGGTTACAAACTTACAAAGTGTTATATTTATCACACTTATTACACGTTTTACGTGTATTTCTATTTTCTAAATATAATTTGGACGTTGAGGGTGGGTTATCGAACCGTACTTCTTGTAAGAAAGTTCTTAAGTATCATACATGGATATCTTCGTACATTTCGATTTATTGGGACCAACATGGTTTATAACATGATATCAGAGCTCAGTTGTCATTGATTTCACATGTTCAAATCCTCACGACCTCCAATATTAATCATTGGCTTAAAGTCTAAAGCACATAATATGACGAGTTTATGCAAGCTTCAATCACATACGTTGACTTTCGTTTTGGAGAGTGTGTAAGGAAGTAATTAAGTATCGTACATGAACCTTTCCCAACAACTCAAATCATTGGAAGTTGTTGCTTTATAACCCTTCTAAATGGGAGAGGGGAAACCATAATGTCCATTTATGAAAGCAGAACATCGACCATGGATGAAATTGTATCCAAAGCTCTAAACAATTCGTACATGTAATGACTGAACTCGAGAGACAATACGTGGAGGCTGATCAAAGAATTTGGGTTTAAGAATGCGTGCTGGTTAATCTTTTGGGCTTTTCTTCCAGCCTTCCCCGCCTCGGGCTGAAATCTACTAAGCCCGTAACAACCGGTCCACCTCCAACTCGTCTGATTCAGCTCTTTTGCTGTCATCCGCCGTTCGAATTTCGCCAACGCAAAGCCCAACCTAGTGGCCCAAAATATGAGTCTAGTTGTCGTCAATATTTTTAGCCCAAGCCCATTTGTTTAAACTCCAGCCCACGATACTAAGTTGTAAGCCTATGTGCTTGAAATCTGAAATGCAGGGCGTTACTTGTCAAAATCATTCATTCACTAACCCGATCCTGACTACGACCGTCCAAGTGAGGCCAAATGGGCTGGTCGCTATAATCAACACGTATCATGAAAAATGACGTTCAATAATTCAAGAGACTTTATCGACCCGTTGGGCCCACATGTGGGCCTCCACCACCAAGGTCGATAATCTTATCACGTAAGTGAATCCACAAAATATCCCGAACCCACTCATCCAATTGCCTGCAAGATTCCGTTCGAACCAATGAATCTTTTCCTATGGATCAAAAGATTCTCGTGAAAGAATGAATGGATCAAAGCTTTGAATGATTACCTTCTGATAGAATGTAACATATGAATTTCATTTGGTAAGATTATGGGCTTAATTGCAAGTTTGGTCACTCGAATTGCTATAAAATTTCACGTTTGCCACTCAAATTAGTTGAACAGTTCAAGTTCGGTCACTCTCCGTTAACCTCCGTTAACTTTGACTGACGTGGCGGTCAACTCTGACAGTTGACCGTTAAATGTGTGACGTGACAAATAAAAAATAATTTAAAAATTAAATTAAATTTTTAGAAATTACACATCATTATAAAAAAAATTATAAAAAATAAAAAAGAAATTATCAGAAATAGTCTTCCACCGATAAATTCAGTCCATCGCCTCCGGCCGAACTTCCGGCTCCCATTCCGTCCCCTTCCCAACTCCGGCCACGGCCGCCCCAGGACATCGCTGACGACGTCTCCAGGGCGGGCCGCGGCGGGGATGACGAATTCCGCAGTATCATCTGCGCATCCACGGCCATCCCTGCATCCGACGCCGCCATCTGAACAAACTTCGGCGACATGTCCGGCCGGACGCTCGCCGGCAGTGATGTCAGCGGGAAATTGAATCCCTTTTGAGACGAACATCCACGGAGGCAGTACGAGGCAATGTCGTGAGCCACCGCCGCAGCTTCAGGGGAAGAGTACGACCCGAGCCAGAGCCGTTCCTGGGAACCGGGGACCCGAATCTCCAACACCCTTTTCCCCCATTTCCGGCGCCGGACTCCTTTGTACTTCCTTTCATCTTCCCCACCATCGGCCGCGCTGTCGCTGCTCATGGTTTGGAGGGTTTTTGCCGGGAAAAGTTTGAATCTTTTGTTTTGGTGGGAACAGGGGAGACTTGATGAAAAACAGGGGAAGTTGGGGCGGGTTTATATAAGGTTGAAGGAATTGGGGTAAAGTCAAACTCAAAACGGTGGAAGAATGGGGAAAGTCAATATTTTCAAAGGTCAAAGTGAAAGCTTTAAAGGAATCTGATTTAGGGGATTTCTTGTTTTCATTTTTTATAATTTTTTTTATAATGATGTGTAATTTCTAAAAATTTAATTTTTATTTTTTAATTATTTTTTATTTGCCACGTCACACATTTAACGGTCAACTGTCAGAGTTGACCGCCACGTCAGTCAAAGTTAACGGAGGTTAACGGAGAGTGACCGAACTTGAACTGTTCAACTAATTCGAGTGACTATAAATGGAATAAATTAATTTAAGTGACAAACGTGAAATTTTATAACAATTCGAGTGACCAAACTTGCAATTAAGCCTAAGATTATGTGTACGAGCAAAACTTTGAAATACTAAGAGCATGTTAGGAACTATCCACTATGATTTTACAGTTCAAATATGCTAAATTCGCTATTAAACCTATAAGATAACAGGGTGACCCAACATAACTCTTGAATTATTGATAGAACTGTTTTAATTTCTCTTTAAAAAAAGAGTCACTTTCTACTGGAATTGCAAAAGACAAGGAGAGTCTAACCTTACACCTTTCTTGTAAGAAACTTATTTTGTGTTTTACCAAACGCACAACAACTTCTGTTTGTTTACAATTTTATTAATTTTTACCATAAAAAATACAAGAGGGATAGAGTGTGGTGTTTGTCAAGACTCAAGACCCTAATAATGGTCTTAAAGAAACGGGACTTGATCAAATTAGAGGAGATTGGAGTTTGTTAGCAATATATTGACAGAGTTGGGTATCTTTGATAATCCAAGGGAGAGTGAGCAGCGGATGGTGGTGTCGGCACCTTTAGTGTCTCAGACTAGTCCTGTTCCTGGCTCTTTGTCTTGTTTTGTTGATGGTGTAGTGCAGCATGGATCGCATGGGGCGGGAGGATGGGTTATTCAGGACGCATCAGGTGTCTTACTAGCTAGTGCTGCTCGGCGGTACCAAGGACTTCAGGATCCAACTCTGGTGGAATTGTTGGCTCTGCGGGACGCAGTCCGTTGGTGTTCGGACAGATGTTGGTTTTCGGTGACTTTTATGGGAGATGCGCAAATAGTGTTCCAGAAAGTGAAGGCTGGGGAGGTACATGATGCTCTTGGTGGAGCTTTGCTTCAAGAGATTCAGGCGTTACGTTCCTCCTTTCAGCATTTTGATTGTGTGTTTGTGGGTCGGAATAGGAATAGGGTTGCCCATATTGTGGCAAGGAAAGCCCTTTCATTGAGGCCACCGTTGTTGGTGGGTTTCGATGTCGTTGCGTGGCTTCGGTCACTTTGATTTGTTAGACTTTGTATCTTTCATTTCTCGGTAACACGAGTGATCTAATGGCAAAAAAAAAAAAAAAAGAGTTGGGTATCTTTGTTATAGTTGTTTAATATCAGTCCCTTCAATAATTATACTTAGTTTATAATATTTCTTTAAGCATATAAAATCGAGTAGTGCAAAAATGAGGAGTTTGAGAACAAAGAAGGTCGAAGTTAGAAAGTAAAGTATTTAGAATATGTGACTTGAAGAACCTATGAATAATTTATATTTATTTACCGTTATTCCATAATTTACAGTTTTCATATTATTTATGTACTAAAATATTTGTCTAGCCAGCTCCTCCAACTTAGTGCAATCATTCAATCCTCACTCACATAATCATCGCATTCAAGTGTTTTTTAATTATTTTATTACGAAACAAAGTGTAGATGTAAGAATCAGTAATCCAAATTAGTGGTTGGAAAGATACTCATCCAAGAGGTGTTACAAATGTGAAACTCATTTTACAATCAAACCAATTAATAATAAGAATGTCAATACAAATGAGCAAGCAATCAACAATGAAAATCGAGGAATTATACAAGACTTTTTTTTATCAACAAACTGACATCCTTACTTATTAACGACAACCTTACTTATTAACACAACATTACTGAAAAAATTCCATCTAAGAGCTATAATTAAGTGTAAACGAAATATTACAAGAAAATCAGGGTATAAAAACTATAGTTAGATTCATAAATAAAAAAAATATAGTTAGTTTTTTTCTTTAATAATCTTAGTTGGGATATAAGGTTGGGTGGTTAATCAATTACTATGTGTGGATATTATTTTAAAAAGGTCCCGAAAATTATTCCACTCCTATATATTATTAATATATTACTTTCCTTCTTCTATAAAGAACATACACGTCTTGAAGCAATCAGCCACTCTTGGGTTTTGGTTTTATCCGAATCGCCAATCATTCCCCTCCCAAGCAACCACCTTCCCTCCCGCCTCATCGGAAAAAGCTTAGGTGAGTCGTCGGGGACATGACGATTTCAGCTGCCGCCGGCATCTCCCTGTTAATCCCGCTCCTCCTCCTAGCTCTCTCCACTACCAGCACAGTCAGCTCCGCCAGGCCAGATAAAGCAGATGACGTCATCCAGCTGCCCTCATCCGCTTCCAGGTTTTTCCGCTCCGGTGGCGTTGACGACGATGCCGACTCTACGGGGACTAGGTGGGCGGTGTTGATCGCCGGATCCAGTGGATACTGGAATTACAGACACCAGGTTTCCTCTTCTTTCTGACTTCCCCCGCTGTCTTCTCATGATCAGTCAATCGTTTGCTTGTCTTAGTTCGAGAGATCTTGGAGTGTTCGTTGACCTAGTAATTTCAATTTCTCCATGGTAGTATTGTTGGTAGAGGAAACCTTGAAGCTAATAATGGAAGAAGGGACTCACCTAGATAAGGAGATATTAGCTGATTCGGGGTTTCCATTTTCGTCAACGAGTGATCACAGTACCGAAATGGGAATTTTGGGGTTGTTCTAGTGTGTTCTGTCTCTCAATTCCAGTACTATTTATCTAAGATAAGGGGAAATACTCCGATAGGGGTTTCCACTTTCGTCAATGATCGATTACAGTGATGGCTACTTGTGCTGTTAACCCTTTTTGTAAGCTAACCCCTGTTTTTGTTATGTAGGCTGATGTCTGTCACGCCTACCAGATTCTCAAAAAGGGTGGTCTGAAAGATGAAAACATCATTGTTTTCATGTATGATGATATTGCTTATAATGTAGAGAACCCGAGGCCTGGAGTGATAATCAACAGTCCACACGGCGATGATGTTTACAAAGGCGTTCCGAAGGTCTGCTTTTGTGTCTTCGATCTACTGCAGCATCATCGTGATTGTGTATCTAAGTTATGCTTGCCCTCATTACATAGTATGTTTTCCCTTCTTTGGCAGGATTATACCGGGGAAGATGTAACTGTGGGAAACATTTTCGCTGCAATCCTTGGTGACAAGTCTGCTCTGACTGGGGGCAGTGGTAAAGTTTTGGACAGTGGTCCGAATGATCATATTTTCATCTACTACACCGATCATGGAGGTCCCGGGGTGCTAGGTTTGTCCATCTTTAGTTACTTGCGAAACCTTGAATTTGGATGAATGATTATCATGCTCTTTCTTTTTCCCTCTGCCAATCTATATGGGATCACTATTGGGGTTCTCAATCACATCTGATCATAGTCAAAGAAAGCTTAGAAGCTTTTGCAATCGGGAAATTTACAGTGGGTTCTGTAATTTTGGTTTCTATCTCTTGTTTAATGGTCTGTCTCTTAGGTTTTCTGCTATGCCTATTAGAGAAGTTATCAATTAACTTCGCCTGCCCTTTCTCTTTTTGTTCTCAGGAATGCCTACCAGCCCATACATGTATGCCGATGATCTGAATGATGTTTTGAAAAAGAAGCATGCTTCTGGAACCTATAAAAGCTTGGTAAGTTGGGAGTTCCGTTTTTCTCCCCAGCTTGGACACACTCTTTTCATATAAAGTTTCCCTATAATCAAGTTGTTTGATGCATATCATTGGTGACAACCGCAGGTCTTCTATCTTGAAGCTTGTGAATCTGGAAGTATCTTTGAGGGTCTTCTTCCCGAGGGTTTGAATATTTACGCTACCACTGCTTCAAATGCTGAAGAGAGCAGCTGGGGAACGTACTGTCCTGGAGATTATCCTAGTCCACCGCCAGAATATGAAACCTGTTTAGGTGACTTGTACAGTGTTGCTTGGATGGAAGACTGGTACACCCTTCAATTTATCTTTTCACCGAGTTTCTTATCTGTCATTCCTAACCCAGTTTCTGTCTGTAATCTAACCAGTAGGGAAAACAAACAATGAGAAAGCGAAATGAATGATGTTTTCTTGCCGGTCAGAAAAGTAAATGGCATATTTTAACTTTCTATCTCACTTGCCTTTTGACCAGCGATGTACACAATCTGCGGAGGGAGAGCGTGCATCAACAATACGAGTTGGTAAGAGCCCTGAATCGATATACCTGTATAATATAAGTGGTATTCCAGCAGATGGGAGTGCAATAGTAAAATAGAATCCGGTTTTTGACCGAGGGATATCATGTTGCTGTGTGTTTGCAGGTCAAGTCGAGAACTTCAAATGACAATTCTCCTTATGGTTCCCATGTCATGCAATATGGTGATATGCCACTCAGCAAGGACATGCTTGCCATGTATATGGGTACCAATCCAGCGAATGAGAACTTCACTTTTGTGGACCAGAATGCCATAATACCACCCGTTAAAGCTGTTAACCAACGAGATGCCGATCTTGTCCATTTCTGGGATAAGGTTTGTGTCCTGCTCTTTTCCTTTTCCCCCCTCAACTACGTGCATATATCTTCTTCCTTGCTGCTTTAGGCTCATGTTTTGCCATCAGATAACTGAGCTAGTGTAGTTGGAAGGGTTCCCATAACAATTTCCGTGTCCTCATCTCAAGCGTTTCGCTATCCGATTTTCTGCAGTATCGGAAGGCCCCGGAAGGGTCAGCGAGGAAGATTGAAGCCGAGAAGCAGGTTATGGAGGCCATGTCACACAGGATGCATGTAGACAACAGCATGAAACTCATTGCAAAGCTCCTATTCGGAATCAACAAGGGTTCGGAGGTGCTCAGCTCTGTTCGCCCTGCTGGCCAGCCCCTTGTCGACGACTGGAAATGCCTCAAAACACTGGTAATTCAAATTCTAAGTTGCTCCATTTTCACGTTGCCTGGAATTCTTCGTTCGTCATGCGTTGTTGAGCTTTGACATATCTCTGCCTGTCCTGTTGTTCTCTGATTTTCAGGTAAGGACATTTGAGACGCACTGCGGGTCGCTGTCCCAGTACGGAATGAAGCACATGAGGTCTATAGCGAATATGTGCAATGCAGGAATTGGGAAAGATCAGATGAACGAGGCCGCGAGCCAGGCCTGTGTCAGCTTTCCTACCAGCCCTTGGAGCTCGCTGCAGGACGGGTTCAGTGCATAAGTAAGCTGTGGATTTGCTCTGTTATTGTGTCCATAAACAACAGTTAAGTGTGGCTAAATAGAAAGAAGTCGGTTTGTTGGGAATGGGTTTTGCTAGCGGGCTTTGCACTCTCCTGTAAATAAGAAGTTGAACCCTTTGCATGCAGTTATCTCCTACCTACTATCTGCTGCTCTGTGTAAAGAAAGCATTATCTTAAAGATGTATAACTGCATATTAAATATGTATTCGACTTAAAATTGTTTTTTTTAATCGAAATGCGATAACAACGTGGTTTATCATGATAGACGGTGGTTTGGAAGTTAGTTGCAATTTATTTTTTGATTTTGTTATTATATTTATACCGTTTAAAATGTATTTTTCTTTTAATTTACATAATAGATGGATTGTTCTTTTGAAGTAACATAAATTGTGATTGTTATGTATCAATTTGGAGCTGGAATTTTTGAGTTGGAGAAAGTTTTGTAGAGAATTTGAACTTGCTGATAATCTAAATCCATCCATCCCGAGTAATAAAAACAAGATACAATTGAAAGGAATACAACGAAAAACAAAAACAAAACAACGGCGGGAAATTGAAATTGAAATTGCAAGCACTAGCATATGGGGAGCGAATCAGAAGCAAGGCTATCATCATTCATGGTGGCTTCCGCTCGACTCAGACTTGAGCAGCAGCAGCGACTTGGACCTCATCAAGCGCGGCGCCCAGCGGCTCCAGCTCCAAGTTCTTCTGCCTGGTCGCCCCGGCTTCAACTGCGAAATCTGAATTCTTGGGGTCCGACCTCAGCGTGAAAACTGCCAAGCAATGGCTGCACCGGAAGTAAAATCGCCAGATTTGGATCCCTAAATGCGCCTCGCCGGCCACTTCTTCTTTTCTGATGTTGAATTTGGCGCCCTTGAGCATGTGGCCCTGGCATGTATCGCACCTCACGCTCATCGGAAGCACTGCCCGCGCAAGCCTGTGATTCTCCATTCTTTCTGGTGCTGCGGTTGTCGCTGCACCCACCCTTTGTCGTCGATCTTCCGATGGGATAGATAGATGGATCACTATTTTTATTTTTGTTGATGAAACGATGAGATGAGATGCCTCTCTATCTAATCTAACAAACCCTAATATATAAATAAAACTTGTCTCTCAAGAACGAGATCTTGTTCCGAATTGGTAAAGTTCAAAGGCAGGAGTTGGGTTATCCTTATGATCCAAGCCGGAGGACTCTTATATATACGGTCTAAGGAATCGGCCGAACCGTCTTGGGCGGGTCCTCTCCTCTTCCACGCTCAGCCAGGAAACTTCGCGGGCCGGTAAACAAATGGTGGGCCTTTCCGAGGAGATTGAGGTTCCCGCTAGGGTTTTCATTGGGCTTTTGTATGGGCCAAAGGCTAGCTAAAGATAGGACTGTTGGAATGTTCAAGCCCGTTAATGGCTTGACACAAAAATTTATGGGTTGTTTGTTTGGTGAATTTGAAAAACGAAGGTTTGGTTTTGGGTTCATTATGAATTTAAAAAATATCATTGTTTGTTTCGTAGATTTCATGATGAAATTGGTTAATTAGATTTGTATGCATTAAGTGAAATTTACCTTTGTTGTCCTCATTGGTATGAGAAGAGAAATAAAATATGAGGGGTAGTTTGATCTTAAATGATGGACTTCAAAGTCCATGATCAATTCCCACCTAAAGAAGTAGAACTTCCAAATCCGTGGGGGCCACGTATGTTGACTCTTAAAATTCGTGGGACCCACGAATTTGGTGCCCCTAAATACATGAAACAAACAATAGATTTTGCACAAAGTCTATGATGGATCCAAATCCATCACCAAATCCATTACTAAGGGGTCGTTTGCTTGTTGGATTTGGGTCATGGATTTGGTACCCAAATCCCAAGCTTGATTGATTTAACATAAGTCCATTGTTTGTTGAAGGGTGCTAAATCCGTGGGGTCCACGAATTTGGTCTTTATTTTAGAACCAAATCCGTGGACCCCACGGACTTGTAAATCCCACATATTGATTTGGGATTTGCAAATCCTTGATGGTTAGTTATTTATTTAACAAATTCATCACAAATCCATCATCAAATCTATCATGGAAACATTAGACTCTTCAAATCCATAATCCAATAAATCCAACATAAATCCCAAGATTTTTATTGGGCAAAACCCTCATTTTTCAAATCCAACAAACAAACGACCCCTAAATCCATCAAGCAAACGATCCCTAAAGTGAGTACTTTGCATATACCGTTTTGCTGCCTTACTGGTGCGTAGTTGATTATGAAATATTTTTTTCGTTTTTTTATGTAAATTTACTTTTGTTGTTGTTTATGTACTACTTAAAAGGAACGTGGAAGAGAACATACATAACATTGAAACTATGGCCCCGTTTAGTATCATTTTGTTGCTGTTGTGGTTGCAGTGGTGTTTTGTAAACAGATGTACAACCACAACAGGAAAAAAACAGAAAACACAAACCTGTTTAGTTGATAAATCTGAAAAATCATGAAAGCTGACAACAAGAAACAAAAACGCGTTTAGTTACTACTATAAGAACTAAAAACCAGAAAAAGAAATATGTCCGCAATCGAAATTAGCATAATACATTTAATAAACCACAAAACAAAGACCATATCAATCAATCGAAATTCACAAAGAACATAGCAATCAATCCAAATTCACAAATAACTAGTCTAGCAATCACTACATACATACCATAATTCAAGAACATATTAAGAAGCAACAATATTAACATAATACATTTAATAAATGGTTTGTTTTACCTGCTGCGGGGAGATGATCGGTGGCCGGCGGAGGTGCGCGGCTGGTCGGCGCTGGGCTGGGCGGAGGCGCGTGGCTGGCGGCGCTGAGCTGGGAGGAGGCGCGCGGCTGGGCTGGGCGGAGGCGAGCGGCTGGCTGCGCGGGCCGGAGGCGGAGGCGCCGCTGGCCGGAGTCGGACGTTCTTGCGGAGAAGAAGAAGCTTGGGCGGCTGATGAGTCTCGACAAAGAAGATGGAAAATGGTAAAAGGGCAGCTGAAGTAGGGTTTTGGGAGGGGGCGGATATGTTAAAAAAAAAAAAAAAATTTTTTGCTTCTGTGGGGATTCGAAAACTGGTCTCTTTTAATGAAATCAAGCGCACAACCAGTAGGAATCTCGTGTGCAACATGTTTAAGAATCAGATCCAAAGCTATAAATTGTTGTTTCTCATATTTGGGCCTTGTTGTGCAACTCTGATTCACAACAAAAAATAAAAACCCAACTAAACACGATTTTTTTTCTTGGTTTTCCAAATTTCGTAAAACACAACAGGAAACAAAAACAAGCAACAATACTAAACGGGCCCTATATATATAAAAGCTCTCTCTCCTTTCTCGTTCTTAGATCGTTTGGTTCAATGATTATAGCGTTACATTTTTTTAAAGGTGCGTAACTTACAACCTCGTCAATTTTCTCTTGCCTCCCCTAGGATTGAGGCTCCCACCAAAAAGAGGTTACCCGCTCAAAAATGTGTGTGGAATATCTACAATGACATACATCCTTTTGTTAAATTTTGTATAAACCAAATTATATTTACGCAAAAATAGTTAAATATTTAAATTTCATCGGACTCAAAAATTTGAAATTTATTTCCTCTTACAAAATTGTTCATTGTAGCTTTGTTGGTCTATAGATATTTCAATATGAAGTTGTCTCAGAAAAGGCTTTAAGAAAAAGAGAAGTTGCATTTTGATCAAACTTGCTCAACAGTTTCAAGATTTAACCCCAAACCAGAATTTACAATTTAGTCATTCAACCTCTCAGTCATTACATTCTCCATACCTTTGGCTTTGGCTTTGGCGTCCGGAAGTTTCTTCCCTTTTCTTCTCCATGTTCTCCAGCCAGTTATGACGGCCTCCCTCCTGTCCTCTACCTTCCGTCCACTCCCCTCCTCCAGTTACGACGGCGACGGAGACAGTTACCAGCGGTAGCCTTGGTTCCCTCTCGCGGCGAGATTTAAACGTCTGAGGCCGGCGGTGGAGAACCTGTTCGTTCCCTTCTCAGCATAAACGGCGTCCGCGACCTCCATTTTGAGCCATTTTCTTCCGTAAAATTTATCTCTTAGTCACAGTAGCTGCTCAGCCATAGTTTCCTCTTCCAGAAGGCTCGTTTGACATCCTTTTGTTCTTCGGTACGATGAACTTCTCTTTCGAAAAGCTTCTCATTACGACAAGGGTTTACGGGGCTTTGTAATATAGTCTGGGCATAGGGTAGAATGAATGACAGTTGCGGCAACTTGATGAATTGGGTTATCCTATTTTATTCTTTCTGTTTGCTTGTCAGACTCTAGGAACCAATTAGGATTAGTGAATCAAAGCTAGTATAAGTTAGCGTCGTACTCCTTCAACTACTTGGGTTCTTTTGTTTCCAACCAGATCCATTGACAATTAAAGTAACTGCAGGAAACAGACTCCTTAGCAGTTGTGTCATGGCTGAAGCTGGGTATTGGTATGTTCTTGGTGCTGATCAACAGCAACTCGGACCTTAAACAACGTCTGAACTGCAACGTAAGTGTCCTTCTTCTCTCTTTCTTCCTTATTTGTTTCCCAGGTTACTAGAAGTTTCACAGCTTAGGATTACTCTTCACGTGAAAGCCCCGCCCTTACTGCGAAGTAATAAGCATTTGAAACCTTTGAAGTTTCTGGATACTATTTTCCCCTCGGATGTGTTCTGGTATCATTGTTTTATTATTCATCTTGGATCCTTAGAAGGACCCAAATTTTGCTTGGTTTCTCCTTCTGCGACCATTATTTTTTACCTCCAAATTTGTCTCCTGCAATGTCAGTTCAACCAGCTGTCAAAAGCAAGGGTTACGGACATCTGTTATCTCTGTTTGCTGGTTCAATTGGTCTAAAATGATGAACCGTCTACTTTCCTTTCGTTACTCTGCATCCACAGAGCATTTCTTAAGTGGATTCCTCCTAGAAAGTACACTTGTATGGTCTGAAGGAAGAAGCGAGTGGCAGTCCTTATCCTCGGTTCCTGAGTTGATGTCATCAATTTCTCAGCGAGGTATGTTTTTCTTTTCCAGCTGAATGCCATTACTTGGGATTTGTTGATTCTCTTGAAGGATCTTGACTCTTTATTTATATACAGCAACCGCCAATGGTGCCAGTATAGGGGAGACACAGGATGATGTCCCAGCGGTACAATCAGTGTTGGAGCCTCTAGGTTTTAAAGATGTAAATCATGGCAACACGGAGCAGCAAGGTCCCCTTTCAACTGCAGGTGTGTATTTGTGTGTCTTTGTTTCTCAGCTCTGTTTGAAAGGGTACCACCTTGTATATATGAGTCCTAACCAAGTGGATAGAAATCTAGGGTAAAAAACAACAAAAGGCTATCGATATTCATCAAACAGTCCTCGAAACCATACAAGTAGCTGCTTGAATCCAAGGTGTAATGGGCCAAGGGTTGCTGTAATTTTTTATAGAAGAAAGAGGGCTGCTGGAATTTTGAGGAACTGGTTTGAAACCTATGATTTCATAATGTATATGGAGAAAGCACGTTTTTTAGACAACGCTTATTTTAGAGACAGCTTGTGTTGAATGCATGCATTTCAAACCGGATGATAAATTCATATGCATAAACAATACTCTATTTCCATATATGATATCACTATTACTGCTAAGTTATGTTTAGCTTTTCTATCTCCTATGATATCTATATTGAAATATGTGTTGCAGTCCTTGCTCATGTTGATGAGGATGAGTTCGAGAAATGGAAAAGGGAGGTCACTGAGGCCGAGGCAGAGGCAGAACAGTTGATAAACGGATCTGAACCAAGCACAGTTGGGACTGATCATGATGCAGTTGTATCATCACCTCCAGAGGGTGAACAAGAATTCACAGATGATGATGGGACAGCATACAAGTGGGATACAAGTCTCAGGGTGTGGGTTCCCCAGGTCGGTTGTATAGTTTCAGAGTACTCGCTTGAAATGATGAATTGTATCTCTTGCTTAATTGTTGAGTTCATGATTCGTTTTCATGGCTATACTTGTTGATGGACTTTTTTCAGTTCATATGATATGTTTCTGTTACCCTCTACGGATGTTAAATGCCTTATATGATATGAAGTCGATATTGATTCTCGCATATGGATGATCTCTAGGAGAATATAACAGGCATAAGTGAGCAATATGAGCCAAAAGATATGACTTTCGCAAAGGAAGATGAAGTCTTTCCGACTCTGAATGTTGATGATGCATTGCTAGGGGGAGCGACAAGGGATGTTGACGAGACATTGGAACCAAACCATAATGGAAAAAGGAAATTGCCAGAAAAACAAACAGATGTGAAGGATAAGCTGTCTGACAAGAAGGTGTGTTTCCTTTGATCATCTCGTTTATATTATCAATAACAGTGGCAGGTGTAACACTAGCTCTTACATGCATATGGACAAGACTAGCATTGTTTGTAGTGAATTGTGCAACCCAGATTACATGGTTAAGTTGTATGGCATCTTTTCTATGCTGTGCCTGATTTGCTGCTTCTGGACTTCTGCTGATCATTTGTTTGTTTTTCTTGCTTATGCAGGAACCCAATAAACCACCTGATAGTTGGTTCGAATTGAAAGTCAATACGCATGTTTACGTTACTGGGTTGCCTGATGATGTTACTGCTGAAGAAGTAATGTTCACTATTTTGGTGAAAGAAACTAATTTGATGAAAGAAACTAATTTGATGAATGTTACATTAGGTGGCTGAGGTATTTACCAAGTGTGGGATAATCAAGGAGGTAATATCAATTCCTCTCCTGATTGTTCTTAGTATTTTTTGTTTCTAAGGAAAAGAAATAAATTATATATGTGTGCGCAATAACAGATTTAGCTGTCTTTTTTATTGCTATGGTAACCTATATTTCTATAGCCTGGAGTTAGCCTCTAGATGTCTATTTTTTGTGTGTTACAAGCTAAGAAACATTGAGTGTAGATTTTCCTTACAGTTGGAAATTCGTTGAGATTAACAGATTGGATATATGAATTCTGCAGGACCCGGAGACAAAGAAGCCTCGTATAAAGATCTAATTCGATAAAGAGACAGGAAGAGTAAAAGGAGATGCATTAGTCACATTCTTAAAGGCAATCTCATTGCTCTTCAACTTGGTTTCTGTACTTGGGAGGTGAAAGTATTATGCTTCACTTTATTTTGTTGTCTTGGCTGAATATTTTTGCCTATTATTTTAGGAACCTTCGGTTGACCTTGCTATTCAAATATTAGATGGAACACCTTTGCGTCCCACTGACACGACCCCTATGTCTGTCAGCAAAGCAAAGTTTCAGCAGAAGGGTAACAATTAAATTTATTTTATACTCGATCATAAATTTTGGGTAAGCTAAGCTAGTAATGTCTCTGTTACTCATTTAGTTATGATTGAGTAGCTATTTTAAGGCTAATTTGTTGTGGGTATTCTGAATGACTGATCGGTGTTGTTCCCACAAAATTCAGGGGATAAATTTATATCCAAAAAGACAGATGGAAACAAGAAGAAGAAATTAAAGAAGGTAGAGGACAAGATGCTTGGATGGGGTGGGTGCTACTTTCTCCATTTCTCTGCTGTTTTCAGTTGCTCATCTATGCTCCTCTTTTATGTTTTCATGAGGTGTATTTCATCTATTGCAATGATTTGATCACTTATTAGCGACATGTTACCAATTAACACTCTGATGATGGAAAAAAAATTGCATCTCATGACTTCTATTTGCTATTTTTCACCATTCTTAAGTAGTATCACATTAGTTGACGTGAATAGATAAGCCGGCTATTATCACATGTTCGATGTTAAATTGTTGCCATTTCTTCTGCTCACCGTTACTGAGTACACTTCGTTATTTGTTGGAGATATATGATGTGATGTTTCAGTAGCTGATATATGTTCCATTTTCTATATAAAGGTGGACGTGATGATGCCAAGATCTCCATTCCGTCTACAGTTGTTTTGCGGTACATGTTTGCTCCTGCTGAGACGAGGGTAGGTATAGAACCTTGAACTACTGATCAGCGTTCTCTTATTATTATTATTTTTGTCGTGATTTTCATGTTCAATAGATGACATGGTCATGAAGATATTGTTCATGACCATTTTGTGACATAAACAGAACAACCATTTAACTGTCTTTTTTTATTTTATTTTGTAGCCTGATGAAAATCTGTGTTCTGAGCTAGAAGAGGATGTTAAAGAGGAATGCCTAAAGCTAGGTCCGATTGATTTTGTCAAGGTAATTGAAATGTTTAAGGATTCTTTTTGTCCTTCTGGTGCTGGTCCATTTTGTCAAATTTTTTCACTGTTGTACTTGTCCTGTGTTCATAAGCCATTTTCTTGGAGTGCTTCTCTCTCTCTCTCTCTCCCCTCTCTCTCTCTCTCTCTCTCTCTCTCTCTCTCTCTCTCTCTCTCTCTCTCTCTCTCTCTCATTTTGACCATCTGTTCTTCTTCTTGACATTTGCATTTTGGCCAGATCTTGAAACTGATCTGTACTTGTTCTTCTTACTTTAAATCGATGCTATGATCCCATCCCACCCACAATGCTCACACTTTACCTTGTCCTGATGATTGTCCCCTCCTCTTCAGGTCTGTGTAAATCACCCTCAGGGGGTTGTGTTGGTCAGATTTAAGGATAGGAAGGATGCTCAAAAGTGCATAGAAACAATGAACGGACGATGGTAAGTCTGTTATCTGCAAAATGCTCAAGTTCCTTAACAACATGTTACATAAGAATATACCCCGAGAACTGCTAATGTCTGTTGTTGAAATCGTGTCCATTTCCGCTTGGTATATATTTCACTTAGCAAACACAAGTTTTGATCTGTTGTAATTTAATGCTATAAACACTTCTTTTGCAGGTTTGGTGGTCGACAGGTACATGCAAGCGAGGACGACGGAGTGGTTAATCATACGACAGTACGCGATTATGATGCCGATGCCCAACGGTTGGAGCAGTTCGGTGCGGAGCTTGAAGCCGACTGAAACGATCGCATCTCTAAATCATCGATTGACGGCATCTGACGCGAGAGAAGTTCCTCCTTAGGCAATGCAGCATGGCGTAAATCGTTGGTGTTTTGTTGAGCTTAATGATGCAGACGTATATAGTTCGTAGCCTTACTTGAATGTTGTCTTAGTTGTCAACGTGCTCACTTTATGAAAAGTATTCAGGGTTATAGATAGGCACACCTGCTGATCAATGGTTTGGCATTGAATCTATCTTACATAATACATATCACCCGCACTGTCTTTTTGGCTGTACATGATAATGTTTTGAAGGTCTTTCCTCTGGGTGTTATAGACGTGTTTAGTTCTCTCTTTGCGTTAGTGGCCCCAAACTTCAGTTGACCTTAATCTCGAATGACCCGAATCAAGTTCAGATGATCTTGGTGAACAAGTTCTAGACTACACGGTTCTTGTAAGTATTTTGAAGAATTACGACCCGAATCAAGTTCGGAGGATCTTGGTGAACAAGTTCGAGACTACATAGTTATTGGAAATACTTGAAAAAATTACGAGAGCAGGTTAGATTACAGACTTACCGGCCATCGTCAAGAATTTAGTCTCAAAATAGAAAAAAGGGCATGAGTAAAATACGAGATTATATCATACTAACCCTCATTTTATTAGTCGGCTTATCACTTGGTGGTAAAATCAAATCCCATTATCTTCTAAAGATTTGGTTGATGTTCTTTTTTTTTTCTATAATGAAGGATTTGGTTAATGTTAACATTAATGAATATTGTTAACTCTCACACCAATTGATTGATTAGAAGCATTTTTTCTTCTTCTTTTTCTTTGTTTAAAGAAGGTCCACTTATGTCACTTGTCAGGGACAGGCAAAACAGACAGGACAAAGGTTTAGACGTGCCGCCAACCTTGTTGCAGTTAGAACCTCTTTCAACATTTTTTAATTGGAGCCAATTACAAGGCTACATTGACAAAGACAAACGGCCCACGCTCCCCAAACAAACACATCCATCGAACCGAAAACACGTTAAAGTTGCCGACATAAGCAAACATCTTTCAACAACTCACTCTAATCCGTTCAGATTCTGTAATCTGTTTACATTTGCAATCACCATGAAAACTGTAATCATTTTCACACAGCTCTGCAGCTGATTGACCATGGATTCGATCCTTTTAAGGCTCATGAGACCAGAGCTCCCTGTACAAAAGTTGCTGAACAGATTCACCATGTGAACAGGGATTCGACCTTCTTACCCCATGGAACCTGACCTTACTTCGTTGTTTGTGCTAGCTCTGCACTTCTTGTGAACTACCATTACTGAGCCTTCTTCCTCTAGCCACGGCTTTCCACCAAGCGACCTGCAACTCTTTTTCTACTAGCTTCCGCTTCACCAGTTCCAGAGCAGCTTCCAGCTCTCTGATCTCTTCTTGCTGCCTTGCTTCCAGCACTTCGTGCAGCTTACTTGCCAATTCGTAAGGGTGGATGGCATTGGGGCACTCGGCATCCTCCTCCCCATACTCTGGATCAATCACTTCTTCCTCCTCCTCTTCTTCGGTCGAGGTCGTACTGTAGGATTTTGATGATCCCGTTTCATCCCCGTTCTTAACCTGTGTCATTCAGAATTACCCTTAATTAGGAAAACAAAAAACTTGCAACTGAATACATATTTTACACGAATAGGATTCAAACCGAGATCAAGCTACATACTAGGCAGTAGGCACCACATCAAAATGGTAGGAGTTCCATTTTTTAACATTTCTCGACAATTCAAGTTAGGTGAACGAGCTGGGGTTTTAACACTAACCACCATTACTGAATTAAGAGAAAGAGCTCAATTGGATGCCTACAAGTATTTCAACAAGTCAATTGCTCTTACCCTCAGAAACTGAGATTGTTCCATCGACGTATCTCCATCCAATTGAAGCTGCAACAGTTCGAGCTCAGCTTCGAGCTCCGCCTCTAGCTGTTCCATGTCCTCTGCAAAATCCTCCCTTTTTGGGGTTTCACTACCTGAAACCACATTTGACGAGGAGGCAGAAGAAGCAGCAGCAGCTGGCAAGGCATACAAATTTGTGGGGAATTCTGCCTCGCACTCATCATCATCATCACCGTCATCTTCTTCTACTACTACAGATTTTCTGATCGAGACTTCAAATAGAACATCATCGTCACCACCGTCTACCTCTACGCTCCGCCTCCGTTGTAATTGTTTGGCATTCTGTAGAATCGCCTCCATTTCCACCCGGGCAGCGTTGAACCTGTCCAGCTCGTTTCTCGTCGCGGCAACTAAGTACAGCAGATAAGCTCCAATCCCGGCATTAAAACAAGTCTCCTTCCTGCAACCCACTGGACAGAAAGAAAAGAAATTCAAATCCACTAGGGTTTCAAATTCAGAGCACTCGCAAAAGCTGACTCCTTTTAGAAAACAACGATTTTGAATTGTGATCTACCAAACTACATACCGTCATTGAGGCCATTGGTCAAACACCTGGGCTGCACACCCGCTTCTACTCTATTCCCCACCGTTTCTCTCCTGCAACACTTCCTCGAAATTCCCTTGAACTTCACCCGCCTTATCCAGGACATCCACCGGGCGACGAGACGGCACGGCGGCGACGAACAGTACGAAACCCGGCGACGATCTTCTTGGAAGAAACCTTCTTCACCCATCAGTAAACTCCTCAGATCGCGATGTTTGGTGTGGGTTTCGAGAGACTTTTCGTCCGGTTCGTCGTCTTGAGGAAGAGCCAGGTAATCAGACATGCGCAGCTGAACTTGGCCGGCGGTTGCGGCGGCGGCCGGCAAGGAGGAATTATTTGGAGGAACTGAAGAGTCTGGATTTGTGGTGGTCATGAATGATGATCGAATTTCCACGACGGAGAAGTTAAATTGAAAGAAGAATTTGGTTAGGCGAAGGAATTAATTGCAGAGATGTGAGAGATTTGGGGACCGGAGGAAGAGGAATTCTTTTATTTACTTTCTGGACTATAATTGAGGAGTTTGGAGGGAAATTTTTGAACTAATAATTTCCGGCTTGGAGAGGGACTCTTAAAGAGGCGTGTTGTGGTACTTTATTTTTTTTTCTTTTTTAGGTCAATTACATAATTAGTCCCTAAACGTTAGAGTTACTAAAGAAATTGGCTGTATAAACTTTGATATTTTACGAACTAGTCACCGGAGTTTATCAAGCACACGACTAGGTTGTATTGGTGACTCAAAAGTTGAATGACCAATTGCACAATTGACCAAATAATTCTCTTTTTTTTCTTTCATCTTCTTATCTCCACGCCCGGCCATTTTGCGTTTTTTTTTTTAATAAACATTCATTTCATTCATACCCAATAAGAGGAGGCTTACAACATAGGGAAGACAATATTTAGCACGGTAATCCAATCCGGAGGAAGAAAATTAAGGCGAGCATTTCTAGCTACCCAATCTGTTTTCTTGTTACTTTCTCGGTTAACAAAGGACACATGAATCCAATCAGAAGAATGAAGGATACGAGCAACAGACGAGAGCGTAGGTTTCTTTTGCATGGCTGTCTTGCTTGATAGAGACTGCCGCGCACGTATAGTATATATGAGTTATCAGCAGGAGGAGGAGAGAATGAATGAGGATGGCAGCAGCAGGTCAGTTTGAATTATTAAATATGTATTATGTTCCTTTGCCGAAACTGATTAAAGACATTTATCTGCAATTATATTAAATACACGAGGATATGATTCTCTTGTTCGGTCATGGCAATCCCGTGAGCCGTGACCTACCTGTACACGAAGAAGAAGAAGAGGTTGCTTTCACTTTGATTAATGACTAGATCGGAAAGCCCGCGCTGCGCGTCGGGTTGCAAAATTAACATCTCACGATCTTAAATAGACAGCGTACATAACATTATGGAGAATTCAGTATAGCATTAGATCGTAGAAAGGCAAAATCCACCATTGTGCATGGAACAGCTCAGTTTGTTTTTAAGGTGCTAATAAGGGGCCTGGTGTGAAGTTGGAGGTGAAGTGATATCTAAAATACTTGGAATTTTTAAAGGCGGAAGTTGCTAAACTGTTAATTTCGATTTCAGTCCATGTGTGGGCAAAGTAAATGAACACAAGAAACCTAAGGTGATGTATGGGCTGAAGTTCAATTCATAAGAAAAACTTATCCATCCCGAGGAAAAAGTGAAATATAAAATAACACAAATCCAACCTCTAATTGTAAGGTATGAAAAGCATTCAACACAGACCAATCCTTGTCGTTGAACATGGCCTCAACATCCTTTTCTGTCACCTATCCCGATTAAGCTGGTGACTTCCTTTCTTGCAGCGTTTAGGTTCTTGATCACATTCTAGGCCTCCCTTCTGGCTGCTTGTTTCTCTGACTGTGAAATCTTGATAGGTCCTACGACCGGAAATATTAGGAGGAATGATAGACAACACAACATGAATATAGAAGATTCAAAGAAGAGAACCTAGAAACCCTTCCTTGCAGTTACGAAACCTGTGTTTATGGTCTTCTTTTTTGCTCACTCCACACGCATTACTAATCCTAATAGAAACCACATAATTAGAACTAATGAAATAGAAACTCCAAGTAATAAGATAGGAGAAATGAACGACATAGTTGTCAAAAGTCATAAACCGACACATGTTTACAGAAATGGAGCAGCAGCTTGCACTCTATATATGTGTACTAACACTGAGAATTACAACTACATACTGTTCAAATAATCGACCATAAAAGACTTCTAAGGTTCTCCCACAATAAAGATCCCAAATGTGAACGAACACTGACCAGAAACACCAATCACAGTATAAGCTATTAAATTCAAGATGGTATGCAAGAAATTGATCAGGTCGATCAACCATTCTGCATAAAACTTGCTCAACTCCCATATATATATATTCACAGAACCAAAATTGCATAATTGTAACTGGCTCTCCCTGAGGCTAAAAAACAGGACAAACATATTAGATTCTGGTAGCTTAGTCTGTTACAGACCAACCGAACCATGGATAGGTAGAAGATTTTGAGAGACGAAACTCACCTAGATAGGCCATCCTCGAGCATCGGCCCCTCCTCCGACGATTTGTTGTTGGACACACGGTTTCTGTTGGAAGGAGGAGTTTTGCTACTTGCATTAGTAGCATCTCTATTATGGTGTTGCATATGGCTACCTGATGCCATGGACGACCGTGAACAAAAGCAACAAACTCATAATCTCAATATGGACCTAACAATATAATTAACAAAAAAGGAAAGAAAGGGAAGTAAAAGTAAAACATAATGCTCGTCACATTGAGCTAGGTGAATGGAGAGAAGAGCAGAGGGAAGGAAAACCTCACTATCGACAACAGCCTTCTCATCATCGTAACCTTCCACACTGGAGCTGCTGGAGTTGTACCTCAAACGGATAAATTAAATCATTAAATCATAAGAACAATTAGAGGTTCAATGTTACTCAAATGCAACAATTCCTAATTCTCCCCTATTCCCCGCCTGTGGAAGAAAATAACTATACAAAACCATACTTGTGCAACTGTTAGACGTACACCAAACCTTGAGGCAATGAAAACAGAGATCTAACACAATTCTCGCCTCCAAGCAACATATAGATTTACAGCTTTACATCCTACCCATTCGCAGCGACCAGTCCATATAACTCAGTATTAGTTCTAAGTATTTATAAATTTACAGCTTCATATAGACTTACAGCTTTACATCCTAATCATGAATGCAAGAACCAGCTAACAAAAGAGGCAACAACATTGAACCAATTAATCATTTCGATCCAAGAGCCGACAGTCACACTTACAAAGACTCAAAGGGTGCTACAACGGGAAAATTGAACCTATAATTTCCCTCGTTATCAGGCAGTGAATATGACCATTTCCCTGATAATTGCAACATGTGCAAAAGATGGTACATGTTACACCCCGATATTTGGGTTCAGGTTCGACCGAACGGTTGGATTGTCGATTACGTACGAAGGATGAGAACCATGGGTTAGGGTGAATAATAATATTAACTATTATATTATTATTGTAAAAAAAAAAAAAGAGAAAGGTATTTATCCCAACCATTAAACTCCCTCCCTCTCTCTCTGGTTCACCCTTCCAACCCGTTACACCTAGACACCCCAACGTAAGAAAAAAAAACCCCACCCATTAAACTCCCCATTATTCCCCATTCCCCTTCTATTCAATGGGAGCATCAGAGCAAAGCAGAAGACAAAAAGAAAGAAGAAGAAGAAAAAGAAAGGATTTCTGATCTCGCCGCTTCCTCCCTTTGCCATCGACCCGTCGGTGGAAGTAGCAGCCAGCACCGACGATGACCAGCGCGGCAGCCACCCATCCCTTTCCTCGCGCGATCGCCGCCGCCACCATAGCAAAAAAACCCAATGAGATTAGGACGTGCGGTTGAGTAGTTAATGGAGATGGCAGTGAAGGACGTTCAGGGCGCCCGAATCGATTGAGGACAATAATGGAAACGTTTATGATGGAGACGAGAGACCTAGTCTACGGTGGGACTCGACGATCGATATGGAAAGAAGAGGAATGGTAAGGAAGTCACCGGGTTGCAGAGCTAGTCGGTGGTATACGCCCAAACGGATCATGAAAGGACGATAAAAGACAATTACAATTGAAGAACCGTAACGGCAGGCGGCGGTTTCAGAAGCAAGCTCCAACAGCTGAGAATTTCAGAGGAAACAACGACATGATTGGATCCATGATGATGGTAAGACGTTGGCCAGACCCCTGTCGGAAGATTAGGATGAATTACTTGAGGAGGAGTTAGCGAGATGTTGTGGGCATGCACCCGCAGGGATTGAGAAGGGTTTGGATACCTTCGTCGGTCTTTATTCGATGTTGTGAGCAAGCTCGACATCGTTGTGGAAGAAGCATGACGATTAGGCATGGAAGCTACGGGGAGACTTAGCTTGGCGAGGCGCCTACAATTCTCCCGACCGAATGCGATTGCGGCTGAAGTCACGTTACGGCATCATGGATTATATGACTCGCCAACAAAAGCTCGTACTGGAGGTAACGATTCATTACTCGTCCATGTTAGTTATAATATATGATGGGAGATGGAGAATGATGTGGGAGCTTGCGCTGGGCTAGGTTGTTTTAATTATTATCAACCTTTAGCTACCATACGTGCATGGAAATGCACAGAGTGTTATGTGGTGGTTTGAGTTGAGGAGATCAAAGTTGGTTTTAGTCATGGCAATGTGAGGCTTTATAATTGGTACGAGAATAGAATTAATTAAAGGGATGAAGAGTTGGAACTTACGAAGAGAGATTTTTCTTATTGCAATTCTTGTGACTTATGAAACTCATTTGGTCCGTTAATCAGCTAGCAGAGACTAGTAATTCCATGGACGTGGTTGCATGGTCGTACGGGGCGATTGCATAGCGTGTACATTGAGTTGTACTATTACGTGGTTATTTCAAGGTGAGTGTAAAGGGGGTAAAATCTCCGTCGAGGTCTTTTAGTTTATGCCTTTTTAATTCGGTTATGTTATTTAATTTTTCTAGTGTGCGCGATTATGTGTGTGAGGCATCCCACCGCCTATAAGGGTGGAGGCACACGTTGTGCTATGTATGTGAATGTGTATGGTTGTTGGTAAGATGAACCCCCGGGCGGTTGGGCCACTACTGGACGCGGTAGATGGTCGGGTCACTACTGGACGGCGATACGTAACGCAGTAGTTGACCGGGCATGGACTGGACGGCGATACGTAACGCAGTACCATTGCCTTGAGGATAGGGACACCAGACGGCGATACGTAACGCGGTGATTCCCTAGTAATAAGTATATAAGTTAAGGTAGTAGAGAACTTCTATGATTTAAGGATAAAGGTTGAGAACCTCTATGAGTTAAAGTTGAAATGAGTTATTAAGGATGAAAGTGAGAACGACTTCCATCTAAGGAAAGGAAACGCTAATAACGTGTTTTAGTAAGGAGGTTTCTTAGAGCAAGACCTTAGGAAGTAACGACGAGACTGACCCCTTCTCACTCACCAGGTTGAGGTTGGGTTAGCGGAAGTGCATCCCGAGAAGAAGTAAGATGAGGTGACCGGCCGTGCCAGTACTAGTGAGATGTCAAGGAGCTGGGTGAAGAGTTAGAGTTAAAACTTGAAAGTTATTTTATGATTATGAATATGAGTATATGTACTGGAGATTCAAGGTTCAAGATGCTGGGTTAAGTTGTTTAAGTATTTAGATTTTGATTGCCCAAGTGTTAGGGCTTTTCGTTTGAACTTCTCAAATAATGTCAGTTTGTTTATTTAAAAAAAATGGTTTGGTTGCTCCGGAGTAACCGGTTTTGGGTTTGAGTTGTGGTTTGATTTTTCGAAAAAGGTCGGGACGTTACAGTACAATTAATTGCAACAAGAATGTGATTTGATGACAAAAAAAAAAAGCATGCAAGTAAGGTAACTGGTAAAACATTTCACATTATTGGGTCCTTGCTTATGGCATCAACACTTCACAATTAACAAAGGCATTATATACAATTTACGAATTCATGAGAAGCAAATCAACACTAACATTGCAACTTAACAACAGAGTACTAATGAAAATGAAGAAAATTAAACACTAAAAAGGAAACTTTCATGGAAACTGAGACAAAATAGCAGAGGCTGCAAGTGCTCTCCCGTTGTGATTCTCCTCCGACATGTTGTCATCACAGGTTCACATACTAGAAGCAATAAAGTTAGACTTAGCAATAAGCAAGAGCATATAGAGGCAACAGATCTGAAAGTGAAACTAAAGTAGTACCCAAGGTACATAGAATTGTCAAAGCAAGAAACGAAAACACAATTATGATTAGAGAGTACACAAGAAGAAAAATACAAACTGAATACCAACTAAGAGTACAAAAGTAGACAAACCAAGAATACCCAAATCCTAATTTTCGAATAAGAACCCATTTGGTTTCTGAGTGCTCAAGTAAGAGGAAAATAATGCGAAGTTGGGTAAGAAATAGGAAACCAAATGGATTGCTAAATCCAAACCAAAAGTCAAAACATAAAACAAATTTCCTAACCCGCAACTACCAATAACTCAAACACAGAAAAGTAAGCAACTGTAACTCCGTAAGTTACATGGAGGTGAATAGTTTAAGCTGATGAGTCACGTGTCATGAACGTTGTAAGTTACTCCTACACATGCTTGGTGGGACATCCAAATTGTGATAAAACTGAACTCACCAGGGGTGGAAATCATCTGCACAAATTCCTCCCTTACAACCCAACATCAGTGATCTTCAGAGACTATGTTTCCCTTCTCTTTGTCCCCTGACTCTTCCATTGTTCCATTGGTGTCTTTGGGTCCAAACTTGTCTGCTGCAATTTATAAAAACAACATTATTTGAACAGTTCTGTAAATTCCATCCTAAATAAGCAATGACCTTTCCCATTATTAAAACAATTATTAAACCAAAATCACAACCCTACTTTGCTTAATTGGGTACGATGCAGGCAAAGTAAGAGCAGAAATAACTATATGTAAATAAATCCAGGTATGAATGCGACCCTACTTTGTTTGATCCCGGTGTGTACGTTGTAGAATGGTTAATTATACTCGAGACTGTCATCTCTGCAAAAGCTGTTTTAACATTAAAGACTGTATTCAATTCATTTCATGAAGCTAGGAAAAACAATTGACAGTCTGAATTCTGAAACTCTAATCTAATTAGTGAATGACCTCAATACTGTACATCAAATTAGATTAGAATGAACCAACAAATTAAAAATCCAAACATACCAAACCCGTGAAGGAAATAAGTCCACAAAAACAACTTACCATGACTGTCGTTGGTAGCTGTCTCGCCGCCATCGGCATGCCATGTTTCCTCTGGCATGACAATAGACGAATCCCTCCCTTCTTCCTGATTGAAAACCCCATAAATAAAAGATAAGAAGTAATAAGAATTCAAACCAAACAACAAATAAAAATCCAAACATACCAAACCCGAGAAGGAAATAAATCCACAAAAACAACTTACCATGACTGTTGTTGGTAGCTGTCCGGCCGCCATCGGCATGCCATGTTTCCTCTGGTTTGACAGTAAACGAATCCCTCCCCTCTTCCCGATCGAAAACCCCATAAATAAAAGATAAGAAGTATAAGAATTCAAACCAAACAACAAATCCCAAAAAACACAGTATGCAAAACGAAAAAACGGCTCTCACTCGTCGTCGGGATCATCACCGGCATCCATTACCGACCTTCCTATCTCACCATTGGCCTCGTTCATGCCTTCCCTTCTCTTCGTCGATCCAGAAGGAAAAAATAGAAGGAAGTTCTAACCTAGGAAGAACACAGACACTAAGAAAAATTAACGGAGAGTAAAAGCAAATGCAGAGAATGAAGATCGCCACTGTTAGGAACACTGAAAACAGAGGAAAACTCACGATCTAGCCAACCAGGCGTCGAACGACCCTCCTTACTTGGCAAGTTTGGCGCTTCATTGCTGAGCACAAAGAAATAACGTCTGGAGCTGGATCGCGGAGAGAAGGAGATCACAATTGAAGTATGGGGGGTTCCCTTCTTCCTCTTCTAAGTCTTCTTCCTCGTCTTTTTTTTTTTTTTAGGAAGTCTTCTTCCATGGAGAGATGGAGATTGATTTGGGGGTGGAAGGGAGTGAGAAGTGTGGAAGGGAGGGAGAAGTTACGGGAGAGAAAGGAGAACGAGTGGATGAGAATAAGGCAATAAAGAAAGAACACAAATTATGTTTTTTATCCAAAGATTTAAGAAATCAGATAAAGGGTTTTAGGGGAAACCGAAAAAGCAGAAGATAAGGAAGAGAGCAAAAGCAGAGGGAGTAGGGGGCAACCCATCACAATGAAAAGACAGGCTGGGCTCGGGCAGAACTCGAGGAAACCCAAAAGTAGTGGCAGCAAAAAAGTAAACAGACGAAGAGAGAGACAGAGACAACCAAAAATAATAAGCAAATATTAATATATTACAATAATGATGGAACTAATGGCAGTAAATAATTACCATAGCGCCACCCATTGGATGGGACACTAAGGAACAGTAGCATTTGGACATGTCTTATGATAAGAAGAATATTGGGGCCGACAAACCAATTTCCGGCTATCGCTTACATTGACAAATTGTTGATTTAATTGTTGATCAATATTCATCCTGATTTGAGAAAGAACTATTAATGTCATGATAGGTGACCCTCTTCGATTTATTATTGAGATTTGAGAGTTAATTGATAATTCAACTTAACTTGTACATGTATTCATTGTTTTCATTATCTGTCAAGCTACAAAAGCGATAAAGTATATGTAGATGTCGTTTGAGTGATCGAATTGATAAGCTAATTTGGTCCAAGTGTCTCGAAATGAAGCAATTCGGTCAAATCGTCTCGTTTGGCAACGCAAACTGGGAATGTATCAATTGAATAAGACAATTTTAATTATCTCATTTTGTTTCGATTTAAATTGACAATAGAAGGATAATAATTGTGAAATGGTGTTGAGATGAAACAATTTTAAAATATAATTAAATTAAATTGAATCATTTGAAAAATTCATCACCTAAACCACCCACAGTTTTTTTTTTATAAATCATCAATCACCCATTGCTATTAAAATAACCAAAAACAATATTTTTTTTTTGGTGTGATAAACCAACCAAAACCATTGATTTAAAATCCATATTATCGAGTATTATCAATTTTCCCTTCACTCATATTTTGGTGCGCAATTTCCTTCATTCCCAGTTCCCCTCACCCACCACTTTTTGCTTTACGTTTGTTCCGTTGCTCAACTACACGCCACTATCCTTTTCGTAACCAGTCCAGTCCCCCTTTCTTTTCTCCCCACAGAAATTCCTGAATCGCAGGACATTCCCGTCTTCAATCTCCATCTGACTGATTCCGCCTTCAGCGAATCCAGCAGCTCTCAACGCGCCGGAAATTCCTACGCCGACTGGATTCCTCGCCATTCATTACAGAAAACCAGGTTTGATTCCTTCCCTTCCTAATCTCTCGCTACCCTATTCTTGAGCTACACCCTTTAACACCCTCCAAGAATCAGAGATTTTCTCTCTGAGAAGGACAAACAAAGAGAGATAGAGAATGAAAGGAACTCGATCGGCCTCTGTTAGCTCTGTTTGATGTTCTTCTCTCTAATAATTTGTGGACATGTTTTGGCATTATGGTTCCATTCCCATGATTTTCGGAGCCCATTGATTCGTGGGTCGTTGTCAAATTTCTGTCTTTCTTTCTCTGTTGTTGAGAGAACCTAGATAAATAAGATTATGGCGTCTGGTGGTCTGGTTTCCTCTTCCACCGGGACCATGGGTCGCTCTCTTGTTCTGATTATGCTTGCCGTAATGGCGTTTAGTAGGTGCATTATATGTATGGCGACACCAGTAGAAGAAAGGAGTTTACTGGAAACGGGAGAATTCACCCTCGACTCAGTGAGACAGTCTTTAACTGGCCAGGAAGACACCATTGTGTACAGGTTGATAGAGAGAGCCAAGTTTCCCTTGAATTCTCGTCTCTATGATCAGAAATATGAGTTGGTCCCTGGATCTCCTGTCACTTTGATTCAATTCCTTTTCAAGCAAACTGAAATTGTTCAAGCCAAGGTAACAATGTCACTGTGATACTGAAAAGTACTGGTTTTCTCGAATTCACTGACGAGAGAGCCTTGTTATGTGTAACCAGGCTGGGAGGTACCTAAATCCGGAAGAAACCCCCTTCTTTCCTGAGAATCTTCCACCATCAGTGATTCAAGATCGCACATATCCTGTGGTAAGTTGACTGGCTCTAGGGTTACTCCATTTGTCTAGGTTTATATAGAGACATTAATACACTAAGAGGGAAAGAAACTGACTACATGTCTGTGTTGCTTCAACAATCAATCAACGTGTATACAGTTCCTGCACCCCCCTGCTTCTTCTGTTAACGTGAACAACATCATTTGGGATGTCTACTTCAACAAATTCCTTCCGTTGTTAGTCAAACCAGGGGATGATGGTAATTATGCTGCAACTTCTGCTAGCGATATCGAGTTGTTACAGGTAACTGAGGACTCGATGTGTCTGCAGCAACACAAATGATCTGACTTGACTGTCAAATTCTGGTTCGATGGTGCAACATTATGATATATAGTACCATTACAACTCTTTCAATACTGCTTCCTTGGCAGGCACTCTCTAGGAGGATTCATTATGGGAAATTTGTGGCTGAAGTTAAGTACCGGGAAGCACCTCATGAATACGAGCCTCTAATTCGTGCCAAGGTATCTATTAAGAGGTTCATGCTATGGCTTGGGTTTAGGATACTTTCATGTCACAGACACGAAAGGATGATTCAGGTTTAGGTGGGCCTCAATCATAAATCATAGCTCAATGTGAACCTCTATTAGAATGAACCGATTCTTGACTACTTGAGTTATTGTGACGAACTAGTTACTGGCATTTGCACACTCAAAATTAGCATTTTTGTCAAATGTAATTGCAGGACAGGAATGCTCTGATGAACTTGTTGACATTCAAGAAGCAAGAGGAGATGGTGATGAGAAGGGTTGAGAAGAAAGGGATGGTGTTTGGACAATATGTGAGCCTGAATGACACAGAAAGCACTGGCAAGTACAAGATTGATCCATCTCTTGTGTCTCAGCTCTATGAGAAGTGGGTGATGCCTCTAACGAAGGACGTCGAGGTCGAGTATCTGCTCAAGAGATTGGACGGAGAACAAAAGCAAGTGCCTTAAATATGATAATGCTATATGCCCTTGTAACAGAAGATCCCTATTGTTTTAGATATTCTTGAATGGTGTAGTATAGTAGTACAAACCGACTGTTTCTTAACAAAATGCCTCCTCTCTGGGAAGTGACTTTAGGCCTTCTATTCTAGCAAGTGAGGAGACTAGTTGAGTTTCAATCAGATTGTATTACAATACTTCCTACTTATTCAGTTCCGTGGTGAGAAACACTCTTATAGCGAATGCAAACTTCTATCTCATTGATGTATTCTGAAAATATAAGAGAGTCGAACTCGAAAAACATGAGGGGAAATCATGTTAGACCAGCTAAATTCTCTGAGGTCCATGGGCTTAAGTTCGGCCCGCCCCTTGACTCCCCTTCTCGTGGCCCAATCGAACAACATCGAAAGCCCGGCTTCTTTTCTTTTCCTAATAATCCCGCGCCTTTTCAGTTGTAATTTGTTAAGCAATCTCTTTCTCTTCTCCCCTAATCACTCTACAACTCTTCGATATAGCGAGCCGGAACCGCCGCACGCCGCCGGCGCCGGTGTCTCCTTGTTCTCTTAGCGGTCTCCACTCTCAGCACCAGAATTCCACCCAAAACGTTTCTTTACACCTTGTTCTTGATTTGATTTCAGTCCCCTTAATGAATTCCGAGTATCTCTAACAACACTCTTTGTTTTCATCTACTATCATCACAGAATCTGAGAACAGGGAAACCACCGGAAAGAAGCAATGGCTGGTCCAATGGAGGACGCCGATCTCGATGTCGTAGAGATTTCCCCGCTCTCCCTCCCGCCTTCCCACTTTACCAGGAAGAGAAAACAGAAGCAGGTTGGTTTTCTTAATCAAAAAGAGATGGTTGTTTATTAGGAACTCTTAATAGCGATTGATGATTGGCCTCTTTCTGTTTCTGCAATACAAAACCGTAATGAACTTATGAGGACCTCTTTACTCTCTAGATCAGCTAACTTCTGAGCAACAATGCAGAACCCTAATAAAGGGAGCGGTGATGTTTGGAATATTGCTTATTTGGGAGTCGAATTCTACCTTAGCTGGCAGTTTCTTTACTATCTCTTCAAATTGTCACTCATCTCTAATGCTGTACTGTACATTCCTTTAGCTTGAGGGAAACTTTAACCTGAGCCAACCTTTAATCTCTGCATGTTGTGCCCTTTGTTCCTTTTGGCCTACAGTCGGTTGCAGAAGAATATGCATGCGTTTGAGTTACCTGGATATATGGTTTTCAATATTGTTACTTGTTGTGGATGTTATTTGACAGCATCGAATAGATTTCTCCTGTTTAGTAACATGTTGCTAATTGTTGATAATTTCTTTACAGGCTGTTCTCCCTGAGATCATAGATGTTGATGAGTACGATTCTCTCAATGATTCGGTGATCCTGGATGAGAACGCTCGCAGAAAAGGGAAAGGCAAAGCGATTGAGGATGAGAATGACGTGAAAGTTCAGGTATACAAGACACATATACCATCACCATGTCATCATCATCTCCAAATCACCTCTATATGTAATCTGACTTGATTCTCAGGATGTAATCTATGTACCTCCTCGCTTCTGGAAGTCGACATCTACCCCTAATATGAAGAAGTGGACTTCTTCCCAGCACGGAGGGATTGCCCTAAAAGATTCACATATTTCTGGTAGTGTATCGCCCCAAGACATTCATGCCATTGGTCAAGAGCCATTGGCTAGGAGTACCAGAAGCAAAAGAGGCGGTAGTAAGGGACCGGTGGCTCCAAGTTCTGCACGTATGGGTGCATTTGAATATCTTCCTCCATTATGTTCAACCATCGTGTCTTTCATTTCTAGATATGCAGAATAAGACTGAAAGTCAACCATGTATTGATTATCAATTTTCATGCTCTATACATGCCACTTGCAGGAGGGCAACCTGGAGTTCCAAGTGCTTTAAATGATGAAATCTTAAGGAAGTTGAAACTCTTCAAGCATTTCGATATCGTTGAAGGACATTCAGACCATCAGTTTCAGTCTTCTTCATCAAAACAGGTGATTCTATTGTAAATATTTACTTCTCTGGTTCTGTGAGAACACTTCGAATAGTTTGTTTTTGGGTGAAGATGATAAAAAAGGGATCAAACAGAAGTCTCATCTGGATGAAAGGGGAGGGACCAAAAATCATTTCCTTTTGTTCCCAAGACTAGTTTTCAATTCTATCAAAACTCAGTCTTGTTACTTATAAACTATTGACGTTTGTACGATGAATTCCACTTTTGTTCTGCCAGACTGAGAAGAAGTGGGCTAAAAGAATTCAAGACGAGTGGAAAATTCTGGAGAAAGATTTGCCAGGTAAGCTTCATACTGTGTTTTCCTTTCAGCATCCACGAACTAAGTTTCTGTTTCTTTTCGTAACTAATTGGTTCTGTAACATCATTACTTAAATATGGTCTGTGAATATTTGTTGACGTAAACAGAAACCATATATGTGAGGGCCTATGAGTCAAGGATGGACCTATTGAGGGCTGTCATTGTTGGTGCAGACGGAACTCCTTACCATGACGGTCTGTTTTTCTTTGATATCTTCTTCCCTGATAGCTATCCAAGTGTTCCACCGGTATGTAGTGTTCTATTCGTGCTGTGGATCAAACCTTATGCCATTGCACCTCCTCTCACAACTCTTTGCCTTTTTTGTTTTCCCTTTTATTAGAAAGTCCATTACCATTCTGGGGGTCTTCGATTAAACCCAAACTTGTACGCAAACGGATATGTTTGCCTCAGCCTTCTTGGAACATGGCGTGGTAGCAACAACGAGAACTGGCAGCCTAGGTTTTCAAATGTGATGCAGGTTCTGCTTTCTATACAAGCGTTGATATTGAATCAAAAGCCCTACTTTAATGAACCTGGCTGGGAACCGTCAAAGGGCACAACTACAGGTGAAATCATGTCCCTAGAGTACAATGAGAAGACATTGCTTTTATCGCTCAAGACGATGGTTTATTCAATGAGGAAGCCACCAAAAGTAAGTGTCTTTTGGAACTTGGCCTTTCCCTAACTGTTGACTATTGAGTTACTTTGAACACTGGTTTGGTCTATTATATTATGGTTTTGCAGATAGTTATTTTACATATCTAGACCTGGAATGAACCTGTGTGTTTTGGATCCATGTATGAACAACTCTAGACCTAGTCGAAAGACTTAAAACGATCTGGAAAAGCCAAAAAAAAAAAAGGCTTCATTTTTCATCATTGTACAACTTTCTGCAGTTCACATCCATATAGTTCAATCAATGTTTGTGTCCATTGCAGCATTTCGAGGATTTCGTGAAGGGCCATTTCCATAGCCGGGCAAAGGACATCACGGTGGCGTGCAAAGCATATATGTCCGGTGCTCAAGTCGGGTGTCTGCTGAAGGGTGGAATCCAGGATCTCGAAGAAGGCGACAAGACCTGCTCGTCAACGTTTAAGAGCTCCTTACCTGCACACATGGACATGCTGGTGAAAGCGTTTACTGAACTTGGAGTGAAGAACCTATGAAGGAGATTGGTTTAACTTTCTGATTGATCTTTTGATGAAGTTCACTCGATTTTTGTGGCGACGGAAAGCCTAACCATCAAGCTAGTTTGATGTAAGGTGTATTAGAGCATTCGTTGATCAAAGGTTACACGATTTAAATCCTTGTGAAGTAACTCTCGTTGTGAATGACTCTGTGTTGGCATTGGTATATGGTCGATGTTACTATCAAGTTGCGTTGATCTTGTCGAATGTGCCATCTGAACATGTCAGCCTTTGTTACCAAGGCCCATGGGCTAAGGTCTTGCCACCGCCAGTTGGGTCCCTCCTTCTGGCCCAAGCGAATTGGAAAATTTAAAAGCCCACCCCGCTTCTTTAAAACCCGGCCCAATTCAATTATTTAATGCGACCCACTCTGATGTTTTTTCCTTTTTTTCTGAAGCCATCTTTGCGACTTCATGGCGTGATTGATCTCTCTTCTTCTTCATTTCTCCAAACTCCAAAAATCTCATCACACTGTACTCCTCTTGATACTGTGAGCTGATCGCGGCGCCGCCGTCACGGTCGATAGCCGCCGCCATCGAACGCAACCGCCGCTGCTTTCTTTGTGTTCTATAGCGGTCTTCACGGAATTCCACCCAAAAAGGTTATTTGTCGTGTTCTTGATTTTAAATTACACTACTCCCCCTTTATAACTCCGCTTGTTGTGTGCATCTTTATAAACTCTTTGTTTTCATCTGCCGTCATAGGAAAATTCAAAAGCAGAGGGAACCACCGAATCGACGGCTGTTCCAATGGAGGACGTCGACTCCGACGTCGTGGAGATTTCCCCGCTCTCCCTCCCTCCTTCCTTCCCATTTCACCAGGAAGAGAAAACAGAAACAGGTTGGTTTTCAGAATCAAAAGGGAGCTTTTTATTTTCCGGAATTCCCGATACCGATTGATGTTTGGCCTTGCCCCTTTATTTTCTGATCGTGGCCATTCCTTTTAGCTGCGTTTCTTTCTGGCCGGGACTCCTCGTTTCATTTCCCTCCATTTGCGCGCTTTTCTGGGTGTCTATTTCTTTGAGGTGCTGAATGAGTTGTTGAATTCTTGGAGGTGCTACTTTGTATGAGTTCTTCGTGAAATATTGAGCCCCGTTGTTGGTTTGTAACAATACAAAACCCGAAATGTGCTTATCTATTGGTGGGATCACTAGGGACCCTTTACTCTTCAGAGCAGTAAAGTTCTAAGCAACAATGTAGAACATATATGCCTCTTATTTGCGGATTTGAATTCATTCTTTAGCAGATGGTTTCGTTACTTTATCTCTCCAAACATTATTAGTGTTTTGAAGCCATGCATCTGTATTGCTGTAAATTAACCTCCTTTAGCTTTAGGGCGAAGAACTAAAGGCGAGATTGAGAAAACTTGAGGAACTGGCTGAGAGAAATGCCTATCAGGAGCTAGTCAAGGATATCACTCCGAGCAAGGAAACAACTGAACCCTTCTCTTCTTACAAGGATCAGCTCGGCTTTGGTATAGTGTACTTAAAGAGTTCACATTTGATCTTCCGTTATTGATGTCTTGGTGCAAATCCAAATTTAGAAAGAAAGTTGATCAATGTGGTTTATCGCGTCAACAAAATTAGTTTGTTAGAGAAATAGGATACTTATGTTAAGTAATAGATGAACTTGATCTTAGTCTGTTCCATTAATATACTTGTTATCTGAATACATAATTGAATCATGTTCATTATAATGACTGCACAAATTTTGAGTTCTTATGAGAAAGTAGGAAAACTCTCTCTTGGGAGGATTTATGCAATTACAGAATTATTTATCATCATTCTTGAACCAACTCTCTACATGTCTGCACGTTGGTCTCACCATGTTCACTGGATATTTAGTTGGATATGCAGCATTCAGAGCATTGTTTGGCCACAGTCCTGCCATGGTAAATACCATCTGTTGTCGTAAAAGAAAAAAAAACTTTTTGTCTGGTTTCTTTGTCCATCTGCTGCTCTATATGCAGAGAGTCTGAGTTTTGGTGCTTGTCTACTGAATTCTTAATTGCAGAGCGCTGCTGGCGGAATTCTGGGATTGGTGGGTGCGATGCTTTTGGAAACACTTCTTTTCATTATTAGAACATCTGATCAGGCTCCCAAATCAAACAAAACCAAGCTAAAGAATAATTCTTCACATGCTTTCCAAATGAAGCGCCGCCGAGAAGAATCGTGGAAGCACAGGGACCACCACAAGTTCCTTGAGCTCTTGATTCTCAGGACAGTAGGAAGCCAAGCCGCCGCGGGCGAACTGCACCAAAAACACCACCCTAGTAGAAGTAGTATTGCTCCTGATTCTACACAGCACTCGAACGGCTCCTCCTTCATACGACGTCGGATTCATCAGGGACGGAGGCAAGTGATGGTTCCCGATGACGAAATCTCGGGCCCACGACTCCTTCACGCCGTACTCCTTCATCGCCCACACCTCGAGGGGAGTTGTTGCCTCGTGGTCGGGAGGACCGGAGACCACCGCGGACAGGCGACCGGAGAGCTCCGCCAGGTGGGAGATAGTGTAGCGGTCCCGGCCCAAGCCCTCGAAGCATGTGGCCGGGAAAGCAATTTCACGAAACATTTCTTCCCTCAAATCGAACGAAACAATCTTTACTGCGCTGCTGCTGCTGCCCTGTCCTAGACCCAGAGTGAGCCAGTGGAGAGCTGCAGTGTTTGCCAGCTGTAAGGTGGCTTCCGATGGCCCTGGTTTCAGATTCCACACCGACCTCCCCATCTCTCTCCACGCGCCGCCGACGGTGAGTACCTGAACCTGTCGGGACCATTCATATTCATGTCATGTCATGTCATGCAAACTTAATTCTAATGTAATTCTTGATCAAACCACGATTTAAGCTAGAAAAGAGGTATATATATATATAACGGATGTTCGTGATAATTGGAACTCTCTAGTTATTGAGACCAACTAGTTCTTAATTAATTATATGATTAAGAAGGGTTTTGTATTTGAATCTTGACGAAGCACATACATGATATTCTCTCCTCAAAAAATATTCCAAAACCAATTTCATTTTCCATACTTGCTTTCTGCCGTCTATTCCAAAATCAATTATTCAATCTGTCAAGAACCAGTCGATCCCAATAACTCGAGTTGTTGAGAGATGTTCAATCGTGGATCATATACCACACTCTAACACGCCCCCTCAAACTAAAGCCGACTCATGGGCTTAAAGTTTGCACAGGCCCACCATACCTTGTACTTTTAATAAACTGTTAATATTGGGGGTTGGGAGATTCGAACACATGACCTTCCGGTTCTAGGCTTTGATACCATGTCAAGAACCAGTCGATCCCAATAACTCGAGTTGTTGAGAGAGGTTCAATCGTGGAATATATACCACACTCTAACCCAATCAACACAAACAAACCCAAAATCCAAAGTATCCGATGCATTAATTATAATCGCAACAACAAACAAGTTTTTTTCCCCCTCTCCGGATCGAACCGAACCTGTGAAGTCCAGACGAACCCGAACATAGTGGGGCGGTTGTAGTAGAGGATTCGGACGATTTTGGGCGCCGAGGTGGTTGGATCGGGACCCAACCCCACCGCCGCGTGCAGTGGTTCGGGGAAGCCGGCGGCCGTGGGCGCGGGGGGCAGCTGGATCTGGTGTCCCGTCAATGGGTTCCAGAGGCAAACCGGCGGGGCAGCAGCACTACTCCACGAAGAAGAAGAAGAAGTGGTATCATTGTCGGCTGCGGCAGCAGCATCGGAGTTGCACAATAACAAGAAGCCGTTGCAGGATCCAGCGGGGGCAAGTTTGGTGAAGTCTTGGTCGTCGCCGATCCTAATTAGTACTGCGTTGGTGGCGTCGTCGGCGAGGACGAGCCGGTGGAGCTGGCCGCCGTGGGAATGGAGGAGGATGGATGGGTCTCGACGGCTGGCGTGGGCTAGGTACAGGGGCCGGAGTCGAGGGTTTTCGGCTACGGAACGGAGGGATTTGGAGACCGATTTGAGTCGGATGAGAGAAGCGATTGGGAGCCTGGAGAGGATCTCCAGACCTATTTCCAACGGCAGATTCTCCATTTCTTTGAGGAATAACATAACATCATTCGCTTTAATTTAAGCCCCCCTCAGGCCCTCCTGCCCTGTCCCTTAGCTAGCGGGAAATAATATAAAAATAAAAATAAAAAAATCATCTTTGCAACCATGACAAAGACATCCTATCCTACATCGTACACACTAATATATAGAGATTCACCATGATGAGTGGGTTAAAACAAAAAATTGAAGCCTCCACCTCATCTCACGGAAGGCTAAAAGTGTCTTTCCATCTAATTTAATTTTTTATTTTATTTTATACTACTTTTGATTTATTCGTTGAGGGAGGTTGCACTTTTTTTTTTACAATTTGTTTCTGCATTTTATTTTTACATACTTATTACTATTATTATGGTAATAAAAAATTGTTATAGCAATTAAATCTAAACTAAGTAAACCTTATATGTGGTTTGTCGTTCGTCAACAAACCTATTTGTTTCTAGCATATTATTTTTACATTATTATTACTATGACAATGTAAAAGAATTTGCTAAATATAGTCCGTCAAGTAGATCTTTGTAGTTGATCACTTGAATATGTTGCTAACGATTGCGGCCACTTCTCCCCTGGCTGTTATGTTTTAATTTGATGTCATATAGTTGTTTCTGGTTCCCTTGATTTTGTTATCTAGACCATAGCAAAGTAAACTTAGTTGGGACCAACTTAGTTCTATCGGAGTTTCAGTCGTTGCTTGCTCTGTTTTTACTCTGGAGCATCGTTGCCGTTTCCGCCAACTCCTACCCGTTGCTGCTGTATATCTTACCTTCTTTGGCCACTCATCCTCAAAGTAGTTGTTCTAAAAGTTGCGTTCTCAACAACTATTTGACAAAGAGCGCTCTAAAAATAAAAATCTGCGCTATGCAAAAGTATAATTTGCGGATTGCTGCGGATTCGCGCTTTCAGTGCTCTAGAGAGGGAACGCAGACAAAAACCCATCGAATTGGATGACATAAGGTAGAAGTATCAGTATTAGTGAGAAAGAGCAAATCTCATATTTGCTTTCAGTGAAATGTAGATGAGGAAGGAAGACATTATTATTGGTGAGGATGATAATGATGAAGCAATCGCGAAGTCCAAAACAAAATATGTAGTAATTTCTAATCAGAGTGTGATTTGGACGATTTTGTAGAGTTGATTCTCTTGCATGACTTTAGTTGATGAATAAGTTAGGATGTCCGAAAAGTTTATGATACATGTTCAATTTATGATCCATGTTCATTTTATTTTTCCAATATTTAAAATTACTCTTTTATAATTACAAATGAAAATGTATTTTGCTTCACATAATTACTATTGTTGTTTAATGTTTATATCATGAAAAAATGTATCCAGCCAACTGGCCGGGGTAAGAATCTAGTAATAATAATAATATATGCAGATCAGTTGAGGCTTGCTTAGCGCATGCTAGCATTTTCACCCGTTTATTTTTATTCAAATTATGAATTAATATGAGTTCGGAATAAGATACTATATGCCGTAAAAAAAATTATTGAGTTAACTTCAATTTTAAATTCTCTAAACTCGAACTAGCTATAAGATTCATTTAATCTAAAAATGATAATAAACTGTTCTACTTCATCAAAATATATTCAAGTAATTAGATGTGGGCGCCCAAATATATTAAATGTTGTTAATATTAGGGGTGGCAGTTCGGTAATCGGTTATCGGTTGACCGACCAGTTAAACCGATAACCGACCGGTAACCAAAGTAACCGAACTTCGGTCGGTTATCGGAGGCTGGATGAAATGATTTTGGGTCTTAAAATTGGTTCGGTTAACCGATAACCGAGATAACCAAAAACAAAGCTTGTTTCGAGCGGTTTTCGGTAGGGGGAGTGGTTATTTTGGTTAACCGATAACCGGTCAATCGATCACCGTTTATAACCGAAATAACCGAACTTCCACCCCTAGTTAATATCATTATGAAAAATAATATATTCTTATCCCCATAATACAATCTCTTATATCAACAAGCTCTACTACCTTCAAAAAAAAAAGCTCTAATACCATGCGGAAACCGAATCAAAATTGAATAATCAACAAGAGTTTCTTCGAGAAAGGGGGAAAAAAATGAGAGGAGCTCTCTCCTCTCTCTTCCAGTTTTGCCTTCACGTCGGTCGCCGCCTCGGTGGAATTCTCATCTGTTTTCTTGCGGTTAGCTTGGAAAACCAGAGATGGGCAACCAAGAGCGATCACGGGAAGGTGATAGAAGAAGATTGTGTGTTTAAGAAAAGGGCGGCGAAGCCGGGCCGTGCCAGAGGTTGGGGCGTGCTCGTTCTGGAAGGGAACCGGCTTTTGAACTCCTATGCTAGAGGAGGTCTGAGTGCATCGTTGATGCGTAATCCTAAAAGGAAGCGGGAAAGTTGCGAGCTAGGTCACCGGCTCCCAACCCCGCCCAAGCGGCTTTGTCCGCGTTCAGTAGTGAATGATACGTGGCGATTCTCGTTACCGTCTTCAATGGAGTTGGAGGAGGACGAGTGTTTGTTTGATAAACGGCGGCCTGTTCAGGGACAGGGATCGCCTGCAAAATCCGATGAGGATAGTTCAAATGTTGAACGGTTGCCAATCGGTAAAACAGGGTCAGGTGCTGACCATTTTGATAGACAAGCGGAGAAACCCTTGACGGCTGTTGGGAGCCTTGCGGGGGTCCGCGGTTTCCGGGCTGTGTCGACGGTGGAGGGGATGTGGTCCTTGAGTTCGTCGCCGGCGATGGGCTGGTTGTGTATGGCTGACTTTGCCCGGCCGAAAAAATTGCCGGTGTGTCAGCGGATAGGCAGTAGGCGTGAGCGGCAAACCGTTTGCGGTTTTGGGCGAATCCCCCGTATCTCGGGGACAGATTTTGTGTTTAGCTCGAAAACCCCTCATGCACGTACAAATCTGCATGCCAACGACTTTGTTGGGAGTCCTCCCGTTGGAAGAAGTCTTCTGAAACCCTTTATAATGCCCCTCCCCCAACCGTTTCCCATCATATTCCCCTTCTCAGTGAAAACTTTTGGAGCTATAGCCGTGAGCAAAACCAAGTGCCCTATTCCTTGGCGGCTGGGTTCGTTTCAGGAAGGCAATATGGCCCACGTTTCGGATGATCAGGTGGTGCAATTCACGTTAGAAGAGGTTCACTCGACCAAATACTGAGCTGCGCGATCTGTGCTGGGGAGGCTGTTCTCGGCCAGAATTTTCACACCCAAGGAGCTGAGTGAAGCCCTGGACACGCCTTGGCAAGGAAAGGGGCGGATCCAGGTGATGGCGTCAAGGTTTGGCTTGTTCGAAATCGTGTTACCTAATGAAGCTTCCAAGACCCGGGTCATAAATCGATCGCCGTGGGTGATCAATGACCGCATTCTCCATGTTCGCGCCTGGGCTCCCTCGATCACCAAGCAAGTGTTTGATGAGCTGGTAGTAGCCCCGTTCCATGTTCAATTATGGGATATAAAGGAGGGTTGCTGCACGCAACAATTTGGTCGAAAGATGGCTACTGGTACTATTGGAAAGGTTCTCGAAGCAGGAGTCTTTACCTGCCAGGAATCGGATCAATGCTTCGTGAAGATTCGCGTGTTAATTGATTTCTCCAAGCCGCTCCGGTCCCGGTTAATGGCGGCCAATGAGGAGACAGGATGTTTTTGGATTTCTCTCAAGTATGAACATCTCCCAAGTTTCTGCTTTCGATGCGGGAGGGTTGGGCACTTCCAACGTGAGTGTGTTTTTGATCCCCCTACTCGGAAGGAGAAGTTTGGAATCCACATGTCTACTCGTCGGCGGGGAGAGAAGGTTTACACGGCAGATGAGGATCTTACTCCCACGGTTTGGGTTAATACTAATATTCGAAAGATGCAAACCGGCAGGGAGGAACCTTCGCGGCGCTCTGGGTCGCAAGGGATGATCACTCCAGAGGGAGGGCGAGACACGAGGCTGGCTCATATGAAGGTGCAAGCTGTTGTCCCGGAGCAGCCTGGTCCGCGTGGGGGCAGAATCGCTCGGCATGAGCAGAATACGGTGGAAGCTAAGCGTTATGCCCGAGGGGAGGCGGCTACTATGGACCGAAACCGGAGCCGTGGTAGCCCTAAGGGATTTGCGATCCCGAAAAAGATTCGTTCACCGAGGATGATGCGTGCAGCTGCACCAACGGTGGGAATGGAAAAGAAGGGACATGTGGAGCAGACTCGTCGACGGGCGGGGTCGCAAAACGGGATGAAGGAGGAGGTCCTCGTGGCTCGGCGCCGAGCAGGGCGGAACCTACAGGAGGAGGCGGCTCGTGAGCAGGTGGTTAGGAAAGTGGCGGGGAAGAAGAAAGGTAAACGGGGAACGCGTAAGGATGAGGCCCCGTCCCACATTCAGCTGCAGCAAGCAGTTAGGAGGCGGCGTTTGTTGCTTGAGGAATCAAAGGATGAGGGTCTGTTTGCTCCGTCCCTGGTCAAGCAAGGAGAAGCCACGGGATATGAGGCAGGCGGTGATAGAGATGGCGGCATCTCGGCTACTGCTGTGACCAACCATGCCTGCTGTCTTGGCGGGGCGCGTCCAATCGAGGGAAAGGGCGCAGATTACCACTGAGGGGAGTACAGGGGAGGAGGCTGGGAGGGAAGCCGCGCAGCAGGCGGCCCGCTTGCGCAAGGGGAAGATGGTGCTGGTTGCTGAAGAATCGGAGGAATGGGAGCCGCCATATATTAGCAAAGAGGCGGTGGAAGATGATTCGGATGCTACCCTATCCGATGGTGCAGCAGACCAATTTGAGATTCGGTCTCAGGGTCCTCGCGTGCCCAACTCGGACCGCCAACCAATTGTGGCTGGACGGGTAAAGCAAGTTGTTCAAGCCTATGAATCAGGAGGTATGATGGGAGAGGGGGCTGGCGAAGTGAATAAGCTGGCTAGTGCATCCGAGGTCCCTGCTCCTTTTGATGAATATGGTACAAATACTCTGGTGCTAGGGATGGGTGGAAAGAAACGCTCCTGGGAGAAAATTTCGGGCATTGTTGAGGAAAACCCCACGGTGAAGAAGCAGTTTGTGGAGGAAGTCGAGAATGAGGATGGGAATTGGATTACTGAGGAAAAGGGGAAGGCAGACTTGGCCACAGAATTTTATCAAAACCTTTTTACCTCGGAAAATCAGGTGCCTGATATGCGGGCCAGGGTGGATGCCTTACCGCTGGCTCAAAAAGTCACGGATGAAATGAATGCCCAGCTCACTGCGCCGGTTCTTCCTGAGGAGGTACGGCGAACAGTGTTTGCTATGGGCTC